AAGAAAGAAGATATCTCGTTCTTAACAGGAGATCTTGGTGCGTCGAGGTGATGGTTTCCTGGTGTTCCGTCGAAGAAAGAAGAAATCTCGCTCTTAACGGGAGATCTTGATGCATCGATGTGATCATTTCCAGGAGAGCAATCGCAAGTGGATGAGATAACTGACAGCGGGGTCTGTGGGGTCTTGAGGACAGTCTCTTTTCGTAGGACTGATTTGGGTGTGTTGAACCGTCGAAGTTTCAGACGTGGCGGGGACAACAGAGTCGTGTCGATAGGTGTTGGGGCTTCGGGATTCTCTGATGATGATGCGTCTTGCACAACAATGGCAGGTGTCGGAGTCTGTGGGGAGTTTACGCTCAGACCTTCGGTCTGGATTCTCTTGGAGGATGTCGTTGTTTCGCCGTTCTCAGTTGCGCGGGAACCTTGGATCTCAATGCGTCTCTTTCTAGATCGCTGAATGGAGGTAATGACACTGTTTGATTCTGTGTCGCTCTCGGTGACTGTCTGCGGGCCTTGCGGCAACTGGGCTCTGGGTGTGGTAGGTTCGGTGGAGGTGATGGTTGCTGCAGGCGACTCAGTCTCGAGACCTTGCTGCAACTGTGCGCTGGGTGTGGTAGATTCGACGGAGGTGATGGTCGCTGCAGGCGACGTGTCTGTCTGGAGGCCCTCTTGCAACTGTGCACTGGGTGTGGTAGATTCAACCGAGGTGGTGGTTGCTGCAGGCGATGGGGGTGAGGCAGGAATTGGCTTCAACTCCGGATAGGGAGATTCTAGTTTCCCACACTCTTCCAATTGTCTCCCAATCTTTTCTTCTGGAGTTGGAAGATGAACTAATTTTGGTTCTTTTGGAGGTGTAAATCGTGGCATCGCGGGGAAGACTCGATCGATGCGTGTGCGTCGGTACCGGACTCGGGGAGTAGCATTTTTGCTGCGTCGGTTCAAGACGTATTCTGGTCTGAACTCTGGAACTTCGTATAACATGTCCTCTGTGGATTGATGTTGTTCCTTTGCGGGCGAAATAGGTTTGGATTGTGGCTTGGGAGGGACCGCAGGCGTTTGCGGGAGAGTAGGTGCTGTTTGTTGAGTTGTGATGAGCTCTCTGGCTACAGCTCGATTCCATGGTGAATCTGAGAGTGGTGGAGGAGGCGGTCTTTGAGCAGCTCGTCGCCTCTGCTGGTGAGGTCTCTGCTCACGGCGGCGCTGTTGGAATCGTCGGACAATGTAGACAGTGGGAACATTGACAACAGTTGTGGTAGCATCAATAGTACATCTGCCGAGTTGTGTAGCTGCGTGAAAGCCGAGTCCAGCCAATCCGCCGAGGCCTGCGCATATTCTCTTTGCGACAGGGAGAATGTGGTCAAGAGGAGAGGGTCTGCGAGGAGGCATGAAGACGCCGGCGGTAGGAGGGGCAGGTGTGGGAGGATCGACAGGCCAGCCACCGGGCACGTATCTTTCTTGTTGATACGGGTTGTGTGCTGGAGGAGGCGTTTGAGGATGCCAGTCCATGAAAGATGAGGTGTCAGCCATGGCTGTGGAGGTTGACGGTGAAGTGTAAGCTTGAAAGTGTCACAATGCAGGACGCAGACAAAGAAAGTCCAGTGCTGTGTGAAGTTTAAGATGAAGATGAGACCGAACAAGAGAAGTGGGAAGAGGGTGAAGAGTTTTGTTGACAGCATGGAAGTGTGAGGAAAGGTGAGTCGCGTTGGGTCGCAGAGTCATAAGAGTAAACAACAAGTCAGTTGAGTGAAGAGAAACCGTGCATTGGGTCTGGTTGTAACCAGGAATTAGTTGTATTATTGATGAAAGATGGGGGAGCAGCACCGCAGACAAGACGCGACTCTCCAAAACTGCGAAAATGCGGCACGGCAGCGATTGGCCAGGTTGGTTTTCTGCCGGACCCGCCGCCACCGGTAACGACAATGGATTTCATATCCGATACCGCCTTTGTTCGCCAAGCCTGTACGAGGTACCTTTACCTACTACCTAGGTAGGTACCTAGGTAGGTACCTATGTCTCATGTGCAAGGCAAACACCCCGCCTACAACTCCATATGTGTGGGCTCGATACCATTAGAACACATGGCTCGTGCTGAATGTAAACAAATAAACACCCAAACATGACTACTGCCACCGGTATCATTGTACGATCTAACAATCAATGTATGGTTGCCTTGTACCTCGTATTGGAGGCCAATTCAATACCTAATCACACTCCCACGGGATCAAGACGCCATATAATTCAATGTTTCCCTGGGTCATTGTACGCTCAATCCGATGGTCTGGAACAGGACAGGGATGCCCTCAATAGCCAGCCATGCGATTCCCGAATACACAATGAGCTTAGTCACCACTTCCACATCATATCGGACTCGAGGTTTCTGTAGGCTCAAGAATATCTGTCGTTCCTGCAATTCATCCATTGCTTGAGCTTCCTCTGGGGTGCGCACTTTGCCGCTAGCCGGTGGAGCTGCAGGAACCGGTGATAACGTTTCCATTCCAGTACCCATCTGCGCACGGAACATCTCCAGACTGCTAGATCTTTTCCTGCCCGAAACCGCATCTTTGGTCTGGAAGTAGCCGCGATCAGGAGAGGGTGAGGATGGCGGGGATTCCTTTATTGCTGGAGTCAGTGCCTCAAGAGCATTTTTGCTGTCTCTTCTCTTCTTGTCACGGTAGGCCAGTGTTTCGTACGCGTCTGCCTCAGACTGAGGTCCAACCGAGATGGCTCTCCTGCGTCGAAACGATGACAACAGGTGAGGGATATCCCGCGCCGGTGGGATGATGTTGTCGTCATTGGGTTGCCGTGGAATGGTCTCGTACTCTGACGCTGGTTTAAAGAACCGTCGGGGTAAAGTAAGACCAAGCTGTTCAATGACACGAAATATTGGTGGAAGTATCTTCAGTAGGGTTGGCTTCATGATGCCCCTCCATGCAAAAATCACAAGTACTCCGAGTAGAATGCGCGCCAATGTAATGATCCAGCCCAGTTTTGCAAGGTCGAACGGGATAGTGCCCTTTGCGGGAGTTGACCAGGCATACGAGGAGCGGGCAAAGTGCCAGACAGCATATTCACAGCCAATGATGACTCCAGCAAAAGAGACGCTGTCATCAAAACAAGGACAGTCATCTGCCGGTTCGGGATGGATGCGAACCAGGACTAAGATGATCAGAACAACAAGCACGACTCGTGTCAAGTCGCCGCCATGGAGCCAGTCATCGAACGCCTCCCCATAGAAGCATTGAACCAGAGCTATCAATGCGCCGAGAATGCTTCCCCAAATGACGTCAAAGAAACCATGCATCCCACAGTACAGCCGGCCAAGCACAATAGAAATGGCGTAGAAGTAAGCTAAAATCTGCAGACCGAATTTGAGGTTCGGGTCCAGGTTGTTGGTTTCTTGTCGGAGAAGGTAAAGGGAGTAGACAGCAACCGATACCGCATTCGTCGAGTGAGTGGACGGAAAGCCATACTCAAGGGCGGCAGATCCAGACATGGTAATTCGGGTCAACGGCGGAGAGAGTGGTCGGGGGAGGCAGAGGAGATCTTTGATAAAGCCGCTCAAGAAAACCCCAGAAGCCAGGACATGAACCATCCTACCGCATGTCAGAATAAGCCACCGTTGATTGACCACTTGCATACCCTCTTCCCAGACTTGTATTCCCACACCAGAAGAGAATAGGCAGCATGACCATGAAAAAAGTGTGCGTCCCCAGGTTTGCCGACGTTGCAAAATAAGTATCAAAGGCCGGAGTTCGTAGGGTGTCTTGTAGCCAGGCGACGTAGGGAGTCTCCCAGCGCACGACCGGGAGGAGTTGTTCTCTGAGAAGGTAGCGCCATCGTGGCAGTCTGAGCTTGTCTGAAGCGCAGTCAGAAAAGACCCCATGTAGTAACTGGCATTTCACTCCAACATACAGTGATTGAGCGACCTCAACCCGGCATCTGGTCTATCTTTCTCCTTGTCCATTTCTGCAGGGGGAAATATCGAGCAAAGGTCCCGTCCATCGAGACCAAGTCTGGCCGAGGAAAGGAGCAAGTCCCTCACGGTGATGCATTAACATCGACCGCGGAAGGCAATGGAAGGCATCGAGATTGTCAGCGGAGGATCCGGAGCGTGGCTGTCAAAATCTGCAAAGACGTCGAGTTCAGTACGAGGTAGTCCTGGTCGCGGCGATTCAGGGACAATGATTTTGGAGATTGTGGGTTATTCCATTCGTCCACTCAGCTGCCTGCAATAAATAGTCCAGCCGAGCTCTCAACTCGGCTTCAGTAATAGGCCGATACCAGCAGGAATTGACAAACTGTTGTTCGACATGGATCACGCATGCACAAGGACCATGTCGATAAGCGAACAATGTCGCAATTGCCGCAGGCATGCAGCTGGAAAGAGGGTCACTCAAGGGTCACCGAGGGTCAATTGCTGCGCGAAACCTGCGTTTCACCTGGAGTTGGGCAGTGGTTACTTGGGCAACCGCAACAGACAACAAAGGCAGCCCGCCGCAGTCATCCCACGATGAGACGGCTATTATTGACTCGGAACTCTCAACAGAAAACCTGCTTGAACCTGAACCACATGTGCAGATCCTTCAGCCGTTATCACCACATATAATAATACTGCCGCTCCCGTTCGAACAGTTGAGGCTCTCCCACGTCAACTTGCTATTTCACAGCAGAGAGGCCACCCTCCAACTTCACCCACCATGGCAGAAACCGACCACTGTTCTTCGCGAACATCCACCGTCCTGTCGGAAAAAGGCCCATCTTCCTACATTACTCCCTCCTCACCAAAGCGAAGGCCCGTTCGAGCACCAAGTACGAGGACAAGTAACGGCACAGTCAGCACAAACATGAGTTATGGCAGTGCGGGACGATTGTCAGAGACCACAAATATCACGCAGCCACCTGCGCATTCCAAAAAGTTCGTTGTTGTTGGAGATGGAGGTTGTGGGAAGACCTGTCTCCTCATCAGCTATGCACAGGGCTATTTCCCAGAGGTATGCAGGACAGGAGAAGGGATCATAAGCAGGCAACTGACGGTCGCTAGAAATACGTGCCGACCGTGTTTGAGAATTACATCACGCAGACCATCCACAAGCCCACGGGCAAAACAGTCGAACTCGCACTCTGGGATACAGCGGGACAAGAAGAGTACGACCGGCTTCGACCACTGTCGTACCCCGAGACGGACCTCCTCTTCGTCTGCTTTGCCATCGACTGCCCTAACTCACTAGAAAATGTCATGGATAAGGTCCGGCATCTTCGACAGCTTGGTTATGACTTCTGCTGACTTGTCATCACAGTGGTACCCCGAAGTCCTGCATTTCTGCCCAACAACGCCCTTGATCCTTGTCGGCCTCAAATCCGACCTCCGTAACAAACGAACCTGCATTGAACTTCTGCGGACTCAAGGCCTTACCCCTGTCACCCCAGAACAAGGAGCTGCGGTAGCTCAACGAATGGGGGCCAAGTATATCGAGTGCAGCGCAAAGGAAAACAAGGGCATTCAGGAGGTCTTCGATTTGGCCATCAACACAGCCATTCAGGTGGAAGAGGAGAGCTTCGAGGCCAAGCCAAACAATAAGGGCGTAAAGGTCAAGAAGGCAAAGAAGAGGAAATGTGTATTCCTGTGATCTGACGGATCGCAAACAGACTCCCTGATGAGGTCACAACTTTCCATTCTCGGGGTACAAAACTTGGATCTTGTATGATTGACCTTTTGGGCTCGAAAAATCGCCCTTTGATGTGTGATGGTACGCATATGGGACGGCGTTGGATGCAATTGAGTTGCATGACGAGGCGCTGTAATGAGACTCTGCTGGTTCTAGAACGGATGTCGCTGTGCGAGCGAGCTCCGACGCGGGCTCGAAGCTCTGTGGGCGCTTTTATGTGACTGCTGCGCGAGCGGCCCATTGCAAAGCTGCTCCAAGAATGAATACATGCCCTGTGAAACATGCTCTTGTCCTGGAGCGGTCCTTTCGAGACTGTTCGGGTGTGGTTGATGTCCTTTGTCTTCGCTTCTTCCAAAGCGAACCATCATTTAAATCGATGGGCAAAGCGACCGTCACCATCGGCAGCCCACAGCTCATGGCTCAAGACACAACTCGGATGTGGGCCGCTACCTCATAGGCAGGTATGTAGCCACAAATACTCTCATTTGCCATGCTTGCCTTCTCCATTACCAGCAGTCGCATGGACAGTGTCGCCGACGTTATTATTTTCGTCGCTGTTGTCCTCCCCCGCTGATCTGCCCATGACGGTCTCGAACTGACTCCACAAGGCCTCGACGCTGGAGAACTCGTTTCCAATCTAATTCATCATCACGTTAGTCAGTCTCTGTCCCGGGCGGACGGACTCTGCGGGGAAAAGGGGTTCTGCATACTTCTATGATCCCCTCGAGGCTGCGATTCAGAGCATTCATCTGTGCGAGGGCCTGTTCTAGAGACTGCAAAGTTCCACACCCAGAGGAGGAGGAGGGCATGAGTTAGCCATTATCGTTCAAACTCCACTGGTTCCAGAAAGACGCGCATCGTGACCACGGAAGATGGATGGAGCACATGGATGATACGGGAGAGGAAGAACATGGGCCGAGCGTGTCGTCCATCCACGGTTCCCAATTGCCTGCCTGCCTGCCTGGGTACCTGGATTTCCCCCAATCAAAAAGTCACGGTGGACTTTTTGGGGGAAGGTAGAGCAGAAAACGGCATCAGACTAACCTCTCCAATCTCGCCGACTAGGGCAGCTCGTCGCATCTCGAATTCGCTCGGTTGATGAGGCGGGGGTTCGTTCGTCGAGGTCGCCATTGCAGAAGTTTTGCCCCTCTGTATCAGCCGTGTACACACGGAGTCCAGGCCCCTTAGGGATTCTGGAGGGAGATGCGGATCCTTTGCTACGCTTTGAGAGGAGAATTGGAGTGTATGAGATGAATCTGTGTGGTTTTTGACGACTTTTTACGGAATTCAAAAACAGTATTGAGCATTGCGACGATATTATTCACGAGGTAGTTCAAGACGCGTCCAGGCCCTTTTTTCCACATGCCCCCCGCGCCTAGTACCTACCCCATTCATTCGTGTCCACTTCGCACACCAAGGCCGTCCCCGCTCCCAGAAATAATATAGAAAAAAGAACAGCCAGCCGGCGATCGCCTTTCCGTTCCAGAGGTACATACATACATCAGGGAGCCCGCCCAAAAAAAATCCAAATTTACATTATTTGAGAGGAGTGGGATTCGAACCCACGAGGTTTCCCACTGCGGTTTTGGAATCAAGAGACCTAAACACAGCGCCTTAAACCACTTTTACGCATTTTGTTAGTTGGACGATTCACCCAGAAAAGAAAGATGGGAAGTATTTACCTCGGCCATCCTCCCGGCATAAATTCAGGTCATTTTTGACGTTTGTGATACATATACCGGCAAGTTTTGAGCCTGGAGAGGACCCGATTTCCCGGGTGCTTTGAGCTCTTGGGAAGCTGTGGAGGAGGAACGGCTAGGCATGCATGGGTGGGGTGTGTTGAGTGCTTCTAGGCATGCAATCAGGGCCTGCAGTGCTTGGGCATTAGTGCCTAGAAGCCCGCAGTAGCGGGGCATGGGGAGAGGTATTCTTTAAATACCGAGGTACTTTCTTACCTACGAAAGGAGAAATGGGGAAGTCTTCAAATAGAGATACACGTTCAAAATCATATCTCACACTCGGATACTGTCATTGTGTTCGTTTCGTCTATCGTAGATGCATTGTTGATGCTGGACAATAGTCTAAGGTTCCAATATGCTATAGTGCGTTCAATCTTGTACACCCGTCATGTTGCCTCTGCCTCCGAATTGAGGGAAATGGTATATACGACTTCGAAGAACCAACATGTTAAACCGCCACTGGCAACGGTGACGGTTCAGGCGAGTGCCATGTCGAGTCCGATCGAACAGGCAGCATTTTCCACCTCTACCAAGGATGATCGTGAGATCGTGTTTGTGTAGGGATTTGTCTGTCTCGGATCTGGCGTCCCGTCCATATATGATAGAGTGGCAATCTCGATCTTGATGGTAGTCCTTTCACACCGCAGGAAACACTATCGTGTTTTGAAACTGCCATCTGTCCTTCGCTGAAGAAGGTAGTCGGCTAGTTGGACTCGCCTTTGGCGCCAGAGAACATAAAGTAAATGCAGGGCCGTGCCGATCGCCCCTTTTTCTGCTGAACTAGTTTCACATCATGGGCTCGAGTTGCTTTGCGGTCTAGAAGTGTCTGGCGCAGGAACGACAACCCGCATCGACTCACAGCAGTTCATGCACGCGGGACGGTCCCTCGCTTCCACCACAAGGCCGAAAAAAATGGTTTGGTGGTTTTCATTCTCCTTTTTTCGTTTGTTGCGATAACGTGCTTGTTGAATGGGAAAAGAAAAGTATTGTTGAAACGGAAGAGCAAGCGCGAAAGGAAGCGAGCATTCGCCTTGCTCGTTCCCCCCTTCCCAGAAATTTTTTTGCTCCGGCGCTTTTTGAGATGGAGAGTTTCGTCAATGAATGGACTTTTTGTGTGGTCGTCAAAGAGGTATTCCCTGTAATTGTTGCTAATGCAAGTGCCGTTGATCCCATGAGGTCATGATCGTGTGTTCTTCGTTGCAATAGAAATAGTTCATGCCTGATGGGAAATCATCGCTTGCCCCCTGACAGTAACCTGGAGAGCCTCTTTCTCCTTGGCTTCTCCTCGGTATGGTCGCCATCAGCGCTTGAAGAGCTGGGACTTGTTGAACTGGCCTCGGATGATGTTCGATCTCGAATTGACATGCTGACAGCACCTATAATGTCCTCCAACCGCACATCGTCCTGAGGGGATGTTGTCTGGTATTGGGGATCAAGTATTTCTGTGAATTTCGAAGGCATTGTACCTAGTGACTGTAAAGAACTTTAGGCGGGGCGGAGGATGTGGCCTCGTGTTGTGGGTCTTGTGTGTTGTGCTCTATATTTCGCTGAGATCAAGAAACGAATGCTATCAGTAGAACAAAGGAATCGAAACAGGCTCTGCGGACGGCGAAGGCGGCGATGATATAGGGGAGAAGGAAACTCGGGTCCGCAGTGCTCTAGTATTTAATATTGTTCCTTCCTCTATCCCCTTTCGTCCATGGCACACGATCAAGTTCCGCCTATTCAGAATTTGCGCTCGCGTCGGTTTCCCCCTGGTTGAGTGTTTGGAAACCCAATAGAAGGGCGGGTGGCTACGACGCCGCCTCGTCATTCCCCTCCTTGCGAATGCTCCCCCGGATAGAGTGGATGGAAAAGATGTCTAGACCCATGTCAGAACCCAGAACCGACTCAACCGAGGCCGCTTGGAGGTGAGCCATCCCCGTGGAACCCACCCATGGGTGCCACCGGTCCCTAGGGACCAATTTTCAGGGTCTCATGTGTGGCTGATGGTGACCCCCAGAGCCTGAGAGGTCAGAGATCGACCACATGGGTGGCGGGCGTTGCAGGGGATATTCAAGGAAGACAGCAACCGTCACGGCAAATGGTGCTTGTGTAACACGTTGAGGCGTACGAGTCCGGTGTTCAAGCCACGTAGGACAGGATGAAGATCGCAAATTCAGTGACCACGTTGAACTCGGATTCGCTTGCGAAGTGCCGAGTGTCCTCCGCGCCACCAAACGTTCTCATGCATCTCGTCCTTGGATGGATGGATGGATGGATTGATTGGCGGTTGGTTGGCCGGTGGTCTAAGCAGCGCTGGGCGCAATGCACACAATAACACTCCGTGTTTTGGGTTGACCTTCCAAGGTTCTTGGGTTTGGCCCTTTGGGAAAGGGAATCAAGTCGACTTGCCGGTTTGGGCTCGAGTTTGCCTCCCGGACTGAAACCCCCTTTGAGTCGCTGTCCGAACTAAGGTATGTTCAGTCCGAACTCCTCCGCGTTTTTGCGCCTTGTTATTATTGCCTATCCGGCTGACAGAGCCACTCTTCTCTAAACCTACTTGTAGGATGGTGGCCATTGCGGTGATCCGCCTCGTGACTATTACTTTCAGGCGGCGCGGAAGCGCAGCAGTACGAGGGGCCAAAAAGCTACCTAGGCACTGGGAAATTCTCCTGTTTGTTCGCATCAAAATTCATTGAACTCTGTTTCTCGTCACTCACGGGTCGGCGACCAAAGCTGTGGTCTCCTCAGGACGACATTGAGCTGTCCTCGTGCAATGAACAGCTAATAATGCACATGGCAAGAACTCTGATAGTCCGTGGTCCGCGTCCTGCCCCTCCTGTGACGCCTCGGGTGCCTATTTGTGGCATGAAGGAAGCAGACCAAGCCTCATCATCCAGAATTGCCCGGTTGTTATGAATGATCAATTCCCCATGTAGACTCGTGACTTGCGGAACGTGACCGATTTCCTGGAGGATGGCTGTGTTTGCATATGGGAACCCACTACCTGTAGCCACCCCGTTCGGCGACAATTGAGCAAAGTCATAGCGCTCGTCGCATCGAATGTGATCTCTCAGTACCAAAGTAGACCAACTTGTTGCAGTTGGTATTGCTCGACGGGCTGCGACGTCATCAGCTGCTTGGAGGATCGCATGGATTTCCCCTTTCGCCAGCATCTTGGTGGTGGTCCAGCTTGGGCCGACAGGAATGCATTTCGGTGTCTGCCCACCAGCGAGATGTCTGTGTCTGAGCATGTGCCCCCGGCGCAGAAACACTGTAGCGGCTTCATGACCAACTGTTGCGGGATCACGAATCCTCAGTGTTCCTCTGCTTCTACGGCATGTCACCGAGTTTAATCCTCCATTTTGGTGTCGGGTCCTTCGCCGTTCATCTCGACTCCTTTAGCCGCAGATATCCACAGAACGTTGTTACATCTAATGGCCCAAGTGGTCAGACTCTTTTCTCACAATTGCCAGCACCGCGTGGGACTCTGTCGGCCATACCTGATGAGCACCTGGCCCAAAGTACCGGTGTGTTTCCTGTCAATATACTCTTCTGTATTCGAGAGCTGGATATTCATGTATGAGTCGACACTAATGAGTCGGCCTTTGTATTCGGTTTGACCCCATTTTAGACGGATGATGACTTCGTCGTTGATCCTGCAACATAACGTGTCAATGGACGTATTTAGGCAATTCGAGGGGTGCCCGGCAAGGGGGAAGTGCTCGGCGCACTTTGACACAAGGGCGCAACAAAGACGTACAAGCTCTGGAGTAGAGGGCGCGGGTTTATGGGGGTGAACTGCGAAAATGTTAGAGAGGTCGCAAAAGCTGCCCACATTTCAACTTACATTCATTTTGCTCGAACTGCTGGAGTGGAGGCCGAGCGGGTCAAAGGAAGGGCGCAGAACAATCAGTTCTCATTGAGGAGTTGACTCCAGGTGATGTTTTGGTTCAGCAGCTTGGATCGCAGTCGGCCATGCTTCGAATTCAAGTTTGGAGTGAAAATGTTCTGCCAAGAGGCGGTGAAACTGGCTGCCCTTGCATCCCAAAACATCGAGCAGAAGGCTACATCACGTGGTAAAATCACGTGCACTCGAGGTCCTTGCAGACGTCCCCCTATTGGTCCATCATCTCGTCGAGCCTTGCCAGTTCGCGCCACCGAGGACGCATGTCCTTGGATGAGAAGAAGTCCCTGCTCGATAAGTATGTGCTCGATCCCACGGCCCGGGATTTGCAAATCCAGGAGCTGCTCACACAGCCGGATGAGCCAGCGATCATAGCCATCCTCTTCCTTTCTCAGATAGCTGTTGTGGAGAATCCGACCTATTTCAGCAACTACTTCACACCATATATCCAAGAACTATATTTCGATCCTCGATGCGCTGAGCCACCCGTTCTCAAGGGGAACTTGTCACGTTCAGTCTCCAGATATCAATGTCGGGCCGATCGTGGCTCCCCGATACTTATCGCACCCGGCGGACATGGAGATCCAGGAGCGCGCCGTCATGTTCACGAAGAAACTGGGTTTGACGGAGCCGCTGCGGTCTGCGGTCTTCGTGCCTGGTGGCACGCAGATGCCAGAAACTGTTCCCGACGACCTAGACAAGGCCAAGGAGGTTGCTCGAAGACGTGTCATCTCATTGATGCCAGCATCTTCCCGCTCGAGCCGCCGGGTAACTGCCAGACAACTGGGTACGCGGTGGCAGGGAAGGCCGCTGACTTAATTAAAGAGGGGCAAAAGGTCGAAGGCTATCCAGCTTTGTCGTCCACTTCTCAAGCGTCAAGCCATTGTCATATAAGAGATATCGATCAAATATATTCAGCTACCACTATATCGTTACTGTCCACTGGGCCAAGGCGGCGTACATCCTTATGGGTGCCATCTACACTTGATTGTTCTCATCGACCGAGGGCTTCTTCGTTTCGTCAGCACGGCTGGCATCGACCTTTGCTAAGCTCTCTTCGTGGAAGGCGTCCACCACGGTCGATTTGAATTTCCTGGCGGAGACCTTCTGGTCGAATAGAACGTCCAACTCAGCGAATGTCCGGCCCTTTGGCTCGGGAAGACGGAAGTAGCAATACGTGGCACAGAGGAAGCAGAGTCCTCCCCAGAAGAAGCCTGCCTTACCTCTCCACTAGATCGCGGTTAGCATGTGCACTTCGCCAGGGTCTGCTTCTGGTCAATTACTTACATTCCACGCCGATGGATTGATCATGTATGGGATGATGACGTTGTTGACCAGGCCAATCAAGTTGTAGGTGTTTCTCGCTAGCACGACAGTCTTGGTCCGGAGTCGGTTGGCTGGCATCTCTGCCACCAGGGAGTAACAGACAGAGCCCACGGCCAGGTCGTAGAAGAACGTGTACGCCAAGAGCATACCTCCAATCGCCCAGCTTGCCTTGTCGTTCGAAGACGGTGCGAGGGAGATGAAACCGATGATCATCATGAAAAGACACTGCAGCGAGAGTCCGGCAATATATAGCGTGCGGCGGCCGAAGTAAAGCATGAGGCCCCAAGAGAGAATTGTCCCGATCGCTCCAAGGGAGTATTGAACCATGGCCAGGTTAAAGGCGGCCGTCGTGCTCAGGCCAGCCTGCTGCATGAAATACGTCGAGTAGTTCATGAAGGCCGCGCCCGAGAGATTCTGGATGGCAAAGACGACGCAAGTAATCTCGGTGCGGCGAAGGTTCACGCCCCTGAAACAGTCCCAGTAGGTGGTGCCGACTTCGGTTTCCTTCTCGATCTCATTGGTGTACACCATCATGGCAATGGTCTCTTCAGGATTAAAATCGTGGTCATGTCTGCTGGTCAATCGCAACAAGGCCTTTTTCGCGTCCTCGTTCCGCCCTTTTCGCACAAGCCACCTTGAAGATGTCAGCGAGCATTCTTGGCTAGAAACAGTGCGTGCGTACCAGGGCGACTCTGGCGCGAGGAAGACGCCAATGGCCAAAGGTATTGGCCAGGTCCATTGCAGCGAGAACGGGATGCTGGGTCATGTTAGCACACTGTCCAATGCCAGCCTCCATCTGGTCACATGCCGGTATCCCCATTGGTCATTGCGGTCGAGGAAAGCCCGTAAGACCCCCTGTCCCAAGAGCGTTCCAATGACCCAGCACAGATTCACATATGTTGTCAGATAGGCACGCAACGCCACCGGACACACCTCGGACGCGTAGACTGTTGAAGTTGTCTGAAATATTCCCCAGGGGATGCCCAAGAGAATCTCGCCAGCCTCCAGCATTTGGATGTTTTGTGCGAAGAAGGGCAGGAAGATGAAGCATGTCACGGCAAAGAGGCTGGCCAGCAAGGTTTTGCGGTAGCCATATCTCTCACAGACAATCCCGTTCAGGGTCAGACCCAGAATCTCTCCTGTTGCGGCGCCATTGGTAAGTCCAGCTTGCCAGGAGGCCGTCAACTGGTAGGACCCATCTGCCTGGCGCACGCCGTATTTTCTCTGGAAAGCCGGCATGGCGAAGAAGCCCTGCATCAAATTCAACTGGAAGCCTTGAGATATTTTTAGCGAGGCGAGACCCAAGGCCAGACGGGAGAGGGTGGCGCACCTTCCATGACAATGGTGGCCGAGATGATAATAGAAAAGAGTGCTGCCGTAGGATACAGCCGGAGACTCTTCCACAGTGACATGTGGTGCTCCTTGTTGGTGGCCTCCTGGGCCTTCCTGATCAGGTCGGTAGCATCCTGGTTTCGAGTCGCAAGCTTTGTGTACGCAATGTCCTCGGTCTGCACGACGGCCTTTTTGTCGAGGCCATCACCGACGCCTTCGAGATGTATACTCATATTGTTGGCTGCACCAAGCCAATTACTGGGACCAGAGAACCGAATGTCTCGCTGCGTGACTGTGAATACTTGGGTCTGTTCAATGGTCTATGCCGTATGAGGAAATATATCAGCCAGGGGTTTTGTGGAGAAAGTCTGGAGAAGCTGGGGGAGTGGAACGCCTTCATGCTGTCGAAACGTGGACCAGTTATGTACCCCATGGAGTCGAATTCGCAGCCAGTCATACTCGAGCGGCGCTTCGGAGGAGCATGTGGCGCATCAACGGAACGCCTTGTGCGCCTCTTCAGTTCATCGCGGACCTAATTGTCCGTTGCGGTCTGTTTTGTACGAGATATCACCGGACCCTCGTGTCCGGTCTCTGTGTGGGCCCACAGTTCGAGAATACCGCTCGCTCCGTACCGTTGGAAAGGGGATCGCAAATCGGGCGCGAAGAGGCGAGCTCAGCACGGTTAATGAGCCATGGGTGACATGGCTACAATATCTTGTTGGGCCCTCGCTTGGACGGTGCCTCGTCTGAGGCTCACCAGAATCCTTGTACCGACACCGAATTACTGAAGAGCAATGGGTTCAGCAGGGGTGAGGATTTTGTCGCACGAGTCAAGCCGCCGTTTGCTAAGTATTCTGCCCAGGAGCGCAATCCGTCATTTGTCCTTCGTGCAATTGGACAGGCATCCCTTGAAGACAAACCGATCCCTCAGCTCAAAGACCCGTGGGATGTACGCATCCATATCGCACAAACCGGAATCTGTGGCTCTGACCTACATTTCTACGATGAAGGTCACATCGGTGGTATGTTTCTGCGTGTCCGTATATGATGTTGTGAGGTGGCTGGGGTAGATGATGAGTGCTGACTGATGTAGATTTCGTCCTCACCACCCCCATTGTCCTTGGGCACGAGAGCTCTGGAACGGTTGTAGAGGTTGGGTCCGCCGTGAAGAATTTGGCCGTTGGGGACAGGGTCGCTATTGAACCTGGAGTGCCCTGCCGACAGTGAGCATGCGTCACCCTCCCTCTGATATGTCGAGACTGATGTGGAAGCATAGCTGTGATTACTGCCGGTCAGGGTCCTACAACCTCTGTCCAGACACCGTCTTTGCCGCCACGCCGCCCTGGGATGGCACTCTCTCCAAGTATTTCCTCGTCGCTTCAGACTACTGCTACAAGTTACCCGCGCACCTGGACATGGAACAAGGGGCCATGGTTGAGCCTACGGCTTGTGCAGTGCAGATGACCAAGGTTGGTGGCGTCCGTGCCAACCAAAATATTGTCGTCTTTGGGTGTGGCCCGATCGGGGTTTTGTGTCAAGCCGTCTCAAAAGCCTATGGAGCGAAGACTGTCATCGGCGTCGATATCAACCAAAGTCGACTTGACTTTGCGCGAACTTTTGGTGCGGACGGGGTGTTTCGGCCACCGAAGAAACCCGTGAGCTCCGCACAGAGCGACATGGAATGGAGTGAGTCGGTGGCCAAGATGATTCAGTCGCAATTTGCCCTTGGGGAGGGCGCGGACGTGGTCATCGAGGCGACTGGTGCAGCGCCCTGCATCCAGATGGGCGTCTTCGTCACGAAGAAAGGAGGAACCTATGTCCAGGCGGGTATGGGCCAGGACAATGTTGATTTTCCCATCACAATAGCCTGCCTGCGAGACCTGACAATCCGGGGCTCCATCCGGTATACGACAGGCTGTTATCCGACTGCCTTGGATCTTGTCGCCAGTGGCAAGATCGATGTCAAGCGGTTGATCACGAACCGGTTCTCCTTCGAGGATGCGAAGGAAGCATTCGACCTGGTGAGGAGAAGGGAAGAAGGCGTCATCAAGGTCGTCATTGAGGGTGTCAGAGATTAAATATATAGTGATACAGCGAACCTGTGCCGTCGACGTTCTAGACCGAAGTTTTGGAACGGCAAATTCGACTAGCGCACCTCTTCGTATCTGGGCCCATGGAGATGCCAGGCTCTCGCCGTTGACTCCGCGCTCGCACATACTCTTCGACACCCCGACTTGCCCGCAGAGCTAAAGGTGTGAGTGACGGGATTGCCAACCCAAGTTAAAGACAGTCACGGTAGTTACGGGCCAGCCCTTTTAGGCCTTTGGTTGAAGGCCTCGGAACAACGCTAGTAGATACCGAGCACCTAGTATAGTCACAGTACTCGTACCTTGTAGAATTCACCATGTCCCTCCACTGAGTCGCAAAGGAACCTAAGATCAGACACTAAAATACGAAAGCCCTTGCCAAGCCAGTGGGAGAACTCGGCCTCAAAAGAGGACTGGATCCCGCCCGCCTTTGACCCCGACCACCTCGACACCCTACCGACGATCTCGGCTCATTGCTATTTATGTACCTAGGTATCCAACGCACGAACGGCAAATCCTGCACCAATGTCTCGCGTAAGTGAGAGAGAAGTCGGCGACGGGCTTCACACTCGAGCCGCAAATGTTGCCGCCAGAGCTTGTACAGAATGTAGACGAAGAAAGTCCAAGGTCAGTCTCAGACCGATGCTCACCCTGACTCGATTTGTTTAACCCAAGCGACTGACTGCCTCGCCGTGCAGTGCAACCGATCGATTCCCACATGCTCGCTGTGCGATAAGTTCCGACGAGGCTGCTACTATGCAAGAGACCAGCGAAGTCCCCCCATTAGACAGTGAGTCCTGAAACTTGTTGGCAGACATCCGCCATATCGAGGTATCGAAACGCGGCGCTGACACGTCCGCTGGATAAAGGCGCTTATTCGAAATGGAGCAGGAGCTCGCGCGGACCCAAGCGATACTGAGGGAAGCGACAAGAGGTTCTCCTCGTAGTCAGCAGCGCGTCGATGACCATACGTCAAGCTCCCCCAAGACGACTGGAACAGGCGCTTCACTCGACCTGAGCAACCTGACTTCCTTCCAGGACCAGACAATGTTTTCGATGTCTGATCAAACCTTATCAACCAGTTTTCTCGTCCAGGACTCCGCCAGTGTGAGCAACTCGGATCAACCACACCAGCAGCGGCGCCATGATCCTGCGGAGCACATGAACGAGGTCCAGCCAACCGTGAATGGTGACGTCGAAGTCGAAAAAGCAATTGACCATGTCCTCTCTTCCTCTCGCTCGACTAAGAAGCCTTGGGTGTCTCTCGAGAAGGGGCCGCCTTCCGGTGATTTCGACTGGGACGAAAGGAATGAGCTGCAGACGGCGAACAACTTCGTGGATGGAATGGCCGCTCTGACCAGCGAGTCCAACGGAGGAGGATATTTAGGTGAGATCCTAGAGACTCAGATCGTACTATTACGCCTCGAACGGTGTGATTGATGATTCCCAGGAGTGGCTTCGGGTGCGGCTATGCTGCGATTGACGGGAGCCTCCGACCAGAGTCCTGCCCGAGATCAAAAACGAGCCTCGACGACGATTCCATACGCCATTACATCATTGTCATTTTTGGAAGGGTTTCTGGATGCATACTTTATGCTCTTTCATCGGTCCTACCCGATTGTTCACGAGGCGACGTTCCGAGCGCAATTCATGGAGATGGTCCCCCGTCCGCGGGGTCAGGCCTGGCACGTCTTGCTGTACGCCATGTGTGCGATAGGAGCTTGGACCTCTGCCACCCAGCAATCGGACATCGACCTTGGGCTCTTTGAAGCTTCCAAGAGTAGGATGTCCAGCGATATGCTGGAGACGGGCAATTTAACACTGGTCCAAGCCCTGACTCTGATTGCTAACTACGTCCAGAAGCGCGACAAGCCGAATTCTGGCTATAACTATACTGGTCTCGCTCGGCGAATTGCAATGGGCATTGGGCTTCACAAAGAGTTTCCCAATTGGCAGACGAGTTTATTGACTCAAGAGATGAGGCGCAGAGTCTGGTGGTCGCTGTACGTGCTCGATGTCGGAGCGATAATCACCTTCTCCAGGCCTTTGGACTTCCCGGATCGAGGGATTGAGACCGAGTTGCCCCTGAACGTTCATGATGCGGTAAGTTTCCCTACGAACCCTCCCACTTGGAGACTCGAATTTACGCCGACAGGATTTCACCGCCCTGACACCACAAAAGCCTTCCTCAGCCAACGAGACGACGCTGTATTCCCACCTTCGAGCGCAATCGACATTTCACCTTGCCACTTGCCAGATATACTCGTGCATCATATCCACTCCTTACCCGTCACCTGCGGATCTTCTCCAGCAAGATGACAGTCTCATCGGAGCTTGGCTTTCAGGGTTGCCCACATATTTCCAGGAGCACAGTCCGCAGCCTCCAAGATACGCACTTTGCCATTCCATACTCAGCTGGCGGTATCGCAATTTTCGTATCCTCATGTATCGCCCATTCCTCGTCCGACGGCAGATGGCTCGAGCGCAAACGGTCTCAGTCGATTCTTCAGAGGACATGCACTCCGAGGAGATGGCCATCCAGCGCTGCCTTGATGCGGCTCGAGAGTCGATCTCTCTCATCTCAAAGTTCTGGGACGAAAACGAGAAAACCATGATGGCCTCGTGGTACAGCCTTTTTTTCCTCTTCCAGGCTATCCTGATCCCCGTGATTTGCCTTCGCAACGACCCTCAAGCACCGGAAGCGGAGGGATGGCAACAGCAGGTTTTGGTCGCCATTCGAGTGATGGAGTCGATGCTGCAGGTGAACCCGACATCGGAGCGATGCCTCCGCGTGGTGAGATCCTTGACGAGGGAATACCTGGGCGCAAGCGGCGGCTGGGGAGGGCCGACTGAAGAGTCGCCGCAGACCCAGCTCAACAATCTATATCCACTAATGTGGCCTACGTTGGAATCGGCACAATTTGACGGGGTCGATGCCATGCTGTAAGTCCTTGCCGTAAACCAGTCTGGATGACAGATCGCGGCCAAAGACTAACGGAGATAATTACAGGCAAGAATCGATTATCACCGACTTCATGAACCAAATTCCTGGCTTTTATTGAGCGTTGTGTTATTCCTGCTCGTCAAAGCGAGCTATTCGAGATCTTGTTTATGGCAATGTGTATCCACCATCGATGACCAGGTTTGCTCCAGTCATGTAACTGGATGCATCTGATGCACAAAAGACATATGCCTGAAGGGAGCTGTCAGTTGATTCCTTGCTTGTTGACAATGCAACAGAACATCACCCACCCCTTTCAACTCGTATGGCTCGCAGTTGCGCCTGGCTGGCACCATCTGCCTCCAAATCGCCCGTGTCTCGGCCGAATGCATGCCTAACATTTCTGTCTCGATGAAGCCTGGAGAAATGCAATTGACCCGGCAGAAATCGATCCACTCGACCGCTAACGATTTGGCCAGATGGACCAAGCCCGCTTTTGAAGCGTTGTACTTGGTAGTGTCAGAAGAATTTCCAGCCGCACGAAAACGTTAGTGGCTGAACATACCGCAGCCTGTTTCTGGGGCACATTCACGAGCAGTGCACTGACTGATCCGGTGAACACAATGTTTCCCGAGCCCTGGGCTCTGAAGATCCTAGCAGCTGCCTGTGCTGTATAGTATGCTCCATTCAGATTCACGTTGATCATGTGGCTGAACTCTTCCGGCGTGCAGTCTTCGGCCGGGTAATGTGCAGCAATCCCGGCGTTGGCCACGAGGATATCCAGCCTTCCAAAATCATCGACAACCCGCTTCAGAGTCTTCTCGATGGCCACCGCGTCGGTCACGTCTGCGGCGTAAGCTTTGCAGGCAATGCCGTTCTCTGCGGCTACCTGTGCCGCCTTCGCCACGGCATCTTTGGTAGTGGAGTAGAGCAGGGCAACCTGGGCAGGAGGAAGTCAGATTCGAGTCCATCAAGAGGCGAGCTTCATCGACGTACGTTCGCCCCAGCTTCGGCTAAACCGCGAACAACTTCCAGCCCAATCCCTCGTGCACCACCTGGAGGTCGTCAGCAACAGCATCGCTCTCCAGTTCACTTGGCGCACCTGTCACTGCAGCGACCTTTCCTGTGAGATCAAACGCCTTGCGGACATTGCGGTTCTCTACCGTTACGAGCACCATGATGAATATTGCCTCGTCATCTCGAGCAGCGAGATTTTGCGACTGTCATTCTCCATTCTGATTTATGGCCAGAAAATGAGCTCCTGCTCGCCCGTTGGGTCCTCGTTCAGTAGTAGTCTGCTCTCTGCCTGCTTCGGCTTCCTGTTGGCGATGGACGCAATTGACCCTCACCTCAGAGCCCGGGTCCGCATCTGCAAATCGTGGGCGACGGCAAGTTCGTCCGACCACGGATTTTTACCTCCGCTGGACGGACCGGATTGTCCGGTGCGCCATCTTGCTGGAAGGACCGTCCATGCTGAACCGGTGAGAATGCTTGCTCGCAAAGCAGTTGCATATCATCGCCCGGATGAGCAGAGACACATCGCCTCGATGCATGCTGGCGTAGCTGTCACATGATTTTCATCGCAACGAAAAGAATCTGCACAAGTTCGAGGCTACGTTCCTATGGATGGTCCCACCAACGAGACGGAGACATATAAATCCACTGCACGTATCATCAAGGAGCAAGCGGCGTTATGTGGACGGTCGAAATTCCTCGTCGCCATCGCTGGAGCACCCGGGTCGGGGAAGAGTACAATTGCTGGGGAAATCGTGAAGCGAATCAATTCCGAAGCAAGCGATTGTACAAACCGCGGTATTGTTTCGTCGCTGGGAGAGGGTTCCAACAAGGGGAAACCGCATTTGTATAATTCGACTGCGGCGCCGATACAAAGCTCTCAGGGCATTGGCGCCATTGCCGTCAGTGTTGGCATGGACGGATTTCACTACCCACGTTCCCATCTCGACGCCATGCCTAACCGCGAGCAAGCATACCGGCGCCGCGGAGCCCCGTGGACATTCGATGTGGACGCGCTGCTGATATTCGTTCGCCAACTGAGGCAATGGGCGGATGGGGAGTCGTGTATTTCAGATGCGACGTCTTCAACCTTACGAGAAGCAAGTTGCGCAATCGACGAGGGCAGAAATCAGCCACGCCCCCAGCTGACTGCGCCCTCTTTTTCTCACGCCATCAAGGACCCTGTTCCGGATGCTATTTCTATTTTCGCCTCAACCACCATCGTCATCCTGGAAGGAAACTATCTCCTCCTGGACGAGGACAAGTGGCGAGACATATCCGCGCTCGTGGACTTTCGAATTTTTGTGGATGTGGATTTCCAGCTGGCGAGGATGAGGGTGGCAAGACGGCATGTGCAGGCGGGGATTGAGGCGTCGCTTGAAGGGGCGCTGGGGAGGTTCGACGGAAATGATCTGGTCAATGGAAGGCTCGTGCAGGAGAGGCTTTGTCGTGACGCAGTGGACTTGGTAGTCGTGAGTAAAGATCACTGATTCAAAAATCGAGTGAGTTGCTACTAGGCCGTGAAGAATTGTCCAAAAAAGGGTCGTTGGAACTCAAGCGTCTGCGGCTGTCTTGTTGCTGAGGAAGTCTTAAGATGCCAGTACGCCGGAATGATTCCACACAGCGGAGCGGGATGTTTTCCAAGTTTTATATTCAGATCTCAGACCGGGCGGCCTTTTCTTGTATAGTATTCATTCGACCAACATGCGATCCAGTCTAATCAATGGCCCCTCGAATCTCGACGTTTTACCAGCAACAATAGCCCCCGTCGACCACGACATCTGTCCCCGTGGTAAACGAGCTCGCGTTACTCGCTAGCCACAGATATACACCCTTGAGCTCCTTTGCGTCTGCTTCGCGATGCATCGGCGTCAGTCGATGCCACTGGTCCTTCATGTCGCGAGAACAACCGCCCGAGATGGCCGTGTCGATGTATCCCGGGCTTACGGTATTCACGCGAGCGTTGAAGCTGGTCCATTCGGCGGCGAGAGACTTGGAAAGGTGGATTACAGCCGCTTTGCTGGAGTTGTAGCAGGCCTGTTTTGGGGAAAAAACTTCAATTAGTCTCTCTTGTCTTTTTTTTGGACTCTGCTTCTTCAAGGGAATGGTTCCGTATATACCTGCTGTTGCGGCGTGTTTGCGATATGCCCACTCATGCTGGCCGTGAAGATGAGATTGCCGCTTCGCTGTCGCCGGAAGATCTCGCCCGCCACTTTTGCACAGTAGTACGCGCCGTGCAAGTTCACGTCCATGACCTGGTGCCAGTTCTCGACCGGGTCGTCGATGCCCCCGGCCGGTCGGGAAATGCCCGAATTCGCGACCATCACGTCCAGTCGGCCGAAGTCTGCGACCACGGCGGCGACCTGGTCGCGCACCTCGGCGTAGTTTTCGACCGCGCACCTGTACGCCTGACACTTGACGTGGAAGTCGGCGGCGATCGTGGCCGCCAGGGCCGAGGCGTTTTTGGCGGCGTGATAGAAGATTGCAACGGCGCAGCCAGCCTCGGCCAGGGCCCGCGCAACTTCGTAGCCTATGCCTCCCGACCCACCCGTGATGATGGCGACCTTGCCCGTCATGTCAAACATCTTGAACACACTGTCGGGGACGACTGGGCGCGGCCACCGTGTGTTGTTGGTCGAGAAAGGGCTGGACGCCTTCCAGCTCAAAGCGCTGTTGTTGGTCTCGGCGCCATTCGTATTGGGTGCTTCTGGGATGGAGCCCATGATTCAGAGTCGACAAAAGGCTTAATCTGGGGGATATTACTTGTGGTGGGTTTGAAGTTGATCGGCTCAGGGGGGGTTGGGAAAGAGACAGACACCACCTTCAGTGCCTCATACGCTCGTTATAGACAACGAGGCTATCCAGTACTAACCTTCACTGGGGGGTTTGCCGTTTACATACCCCGTCCTCCGCTCCGTCCGGTGGCTTAAGCAACGCTCCATACACTCCGCTCCAGAATGTGCGCAGCAAGACAGGTAGGAATACAATAACAGACGATATGGTGCAAAGTAGGCGTCTGCCCAGACCATTTGAGGCGGATAACGGACAGTAATGTCCGGGGCACGAGAATCCGCGGCCGGGTTACTGTATGTATCTACCGCCCTTGGCGCAATTCAACCCCGAAATGTTCGCACTGGCAATGATTGGACCCAATCGATGATTCCAGCCCAGCAATTCACGGGGCTCTCCCCAATGTCGGCCAGAAGGCTTTCGTCGACCGGCCGGTCACGAACGGGGTGCTCGAGCTGTCTGAGCGCCAGCCGTAAGTGCGATGAAATCAAGCCCACCTGCCGCGCACCCTCTTAGATCTCCTCGCCTCGGCAGGCTCAGGCGCAGACACGTTCCAGCGACTGGAGGAATGGCAACCGGACGAGACGCTGGCACCAACGACACTGCTGCCACCATGCACACTTGAGATCTGGCATGCATACCGACTGGCCGCCCAATTGTGTGTTGCCGTCCGGGACTTGCATCCCATGCAGCTTCAGAAGAACACCCCGCACAACACCCGCATTCTCGATCAGTTGTGGCAGATCGTGGAGCGATACTGGCTACGTTGCAGGCAAACTTCGTCGGAGAATGAGCGCCAGGTGATTTGGCCCATAGTTGTCGCCTCGTGCTTGACGGAAGAAGACACGAGGCTCGCATTCGCGGAGACCGTGCTCTCGGAGCTGTTTCCAAACGAGACTCTATTTTGTGCTTCGAACCTCAAATCACTTATGCAGGAATTATGGTCCAGACGGCGACAAGGACGATATACGACCTTAGACAGCCTTGCGCGAGAGTGGAAGGTGGAGCTTGGATCTGGTAACAGGAACGAGGTGGTACCACTGCTCCATGCCCTTGTTAAATTTAGATCAGGTACTACATGACTTTTTTTTGGCGTCGCAGGCCGTGACCTGAATCTTTTCACTTACAGCCTTAACAAAGTATAATGAGAGATAAGGACACCCGCCGCTGTTGAGGAGCGGCTTTAGAGACACACATATACCGTGTACGGCTCAAGTGGATAATGGCGTCTGTCTATATGCGAGCTCGTCACGCCAAAAGCCCAGGGCGATAAAGCTTTAATCACTTCAACGTCGTTGACATCCCCACCCTCTCTCAAAGCACACACATACACACAAAATCTCTCAAGGCCCGCCCATCTTCATGCCCACTTATCTTCAGGCCCACTTGTCGTTCTTACGAGTGACCTTGAGATAGTATCCCGCAGTGGCATTCCTCCACTTCTTGCCCCAAACCGCAGAGGATAAGAAGGTCATGTAGACGGCAAACAACATCATGGCGATGCCTATGCAGGCGTTTTTGGGACCACTGGCATTGATCCAGGGTCGGATGGAGAAGGACAAGGCACCCCCGACGGTATTGCGGAGGAAATTGATCATCTGGACGGATTCGTCGAAGATGTCGCTGTACGAGTCGAAGGCGTAGGTCATGGAGACGGGGATCAGGTTGTTTGCGGCGATGCCGATCAGCGTGAGGCCGAGGCACGAGACGATTCCAGTGCAGGCCGTAGTGGGCACCCAGTCCGTAACATGAGGATGCCGCCGGCGCAGCAGAACGGGACGGGGAAAAACGCCCACAGTCGATGCTCGGGCTCGGTCACGCCCTTGTTGCGACGCGCCAGGCGGAGAACGAGCCCGTCCGCGCCCAACCCTCCCAGTACCGCACCAATGACGTTGCCAATCACGAGAGCCACGAACATGAGCCCCATGGTGCCAGCGCTGAAGTTGTAGGGTGGGATGGAGAAGAAGCTCGCCTGGGCGCTGAAGATGAAGCTGGTCAGGAAACTCTTGAAGCTGACGATGAAGCTGGCCCAGGCCACGGCGGGGAGTCCGACGTACGGGAACGGCGAGACGACAAGCTGCCAGTACCCTTGCTTGACGGTGGGATCCTTTGTGATCAGCGCATGGCGATTGCGGTAGAAATGTGTCGGTATCCTTTCATCCACGACGTGGGAAGCCGTGGTAGGCCCATCTTCCGAGACTTCGGTGACGCTGGCGGCCCTGTCGGTGATGCTGGCTCCTTCCTTGGACGTGGAGAGACGGGCGAGACCGAGCTGCTCTGCGCCAGCGGGTGGCCGGACCGGTTTGCCCACGTGCACGGGAATATGTGATTGACGGGGGTAAAGAGTCTCTTCGGCGCTGAAGATGATGAGCAATGCGGAGATTCCCTGGAATATGAGCAAAGTATCTCAGCACCCAGCGCCATCCCTGCGAGTCGACGATGAAGCCACAGGCGATGGGCGGTAGGAAGTTCCCGGCTTGGAGAACAAGCGCGTATATCCCCATGTATCGGCCGCGCTGGTGGAGGAAAGAGATGTCCAGGAGACTGTTCTCATTCAGAGAGTAACTCGGGCTGGAGCCGAAGCCGGAGAGGACCATGTACGCCCACATCAAATCGATCGAATGCATCGCCGCCCCGAACGCGAGGCCGGCGAGCACGAGTACGGAGCCGATGATGTAAGGCAGCCGTCGTCCATATTTAGTGGCCATGGGCAGCGCGAAGAGGACGCCAATACCTCACGTGAAGGTGAGGACGGACTGAGTGTTGTTGAGGGCGGTGTAGGTCGTCGGGAATTCTTGCACCCAAAGATCCTAGGTTGGGGAAGTCTACGCAATTCTTCACAACGTGGACATGTCAGTTACAGCTACCCTTTCTCAGGAACGGAGGGAGAAGCACTCACGATGCATTGATCATGAAACACCAGAACAGGGTGACGGCGGACAACCAAGACTTGCGCCACAAAGGCCAGTTCTGGGGGTACATGGTCAGCTTTTGCTGAGCAGCAACGAGTGACGAAGAGAACACACCAATGGGTCATTGGGGTTTGTGGTCGGGGTTGGGATCAAAATGACGGTGCTGTTGTCCTTGCCCGTGCCATCTTCCTTCTCAGAGACTGCGAGCCAAGGCAGGTCGGTCAGCTCCAAGTCAATATAGACAAATTCCGGGTACTTACACTCCACGAGCTTCGTGGTTCCGACTGCTTCGATGCGGCTTTCAGCGTTGATAGACATATTGGCACCTCTGGTTCGTGAAATGGTCCCGGCAAAGCAGATATAGAAAGAGACCAAGACGGAGAGGAACAGGTCTTCAGGTAGACGCCGGGAAAGAAGCCGCAAAACTCCTGGAATGGTTCTCGTCTTGTATAGTCCACGGCCGTGACCATTTTGCCCTTGCCTTCCAACCTGGAACGCGGCTCACATTCACAACATTGATAAGGGTGGATCGGCACCGTCTCAGAGAGAGGCGTCGGGCAAGTCAAAGACATTTCCTTTTCCCTTGACACTTCGAAGTTGCGCTTTTGACTGAGGTCCCAAGTTCTTGGGGAAAGGATCTGGATTGGTGTGTTTGATAACTCTATCCTGAGCGCCCTGCCATCGGCGAAGTACCGAGTCCCTCGTACAAGTATGGTAGACGGAGAATTGCGCCGTGGAAGCTTATCCTTCTAAAATTTCCTGATGCAGTTAGCCTATAGAGCTATACACACGGCTCAGTCTCGCTTCGCTCGCAGATCAAAAGCTCAAGATTTTGTATCGGGTACGACAAACTCCATCATTTTCCATCACCATGTTAGCTAGGGCCCTTTGGAGAATTGACAAAGATGCTTCAATGATGGCTTAAACGATCAGCAGAGTCGTTTGCATTCAGACCCGCGTCTACGCTCCTTATCAATCATCTCTATCAAGTGGGGCCCAGCATCGGGAAGAAAGCGAGACCTAGAGTGCCTGGGTCACCTATATCACCTATACCTCCCTAGGTATGGAAACGACTATGATTTCCCATGCCGTGCATCACGTGTCGTTGCTCGACGGACCTGCGCACTCTTTTCGGGATATACAAGTATTGCCTCAATAACTCAACTTAGCCCAATAAGTCCTCGTCCCCAACCGGTACTCATAATACTGTGATTACAGTAACAGGGAACTCGACACGGCGAATAGAAAAGTTCTGAGAGTTCGATGCCGGGTTCTCACTTGCAATAGATCGAAGGACCATGGCACGGCCACCTTCAGAGCCTGACTATGCCTGGTCACGCCCTGGTGGCTTGGTCGAATTCTCGGGCGCGGAGCCTGGGAGCCTGGACATTTGGGTGTATTGCGACAAGTTCTCCTACAACCAAGGTGGATCAGTCTCCCTGAGAACATATTCAGCAGCTCCTGCATATGACATCGAGATCTTCAAGGATGGTTGTGAGCCTCGGTCCGTCTTCCATAAGAAAGGCCTGCCGGGACACCAGCACGAGACTCCGTCAGATGCCTACGCTGTCGGCTGCAATTGGCCTGAGGCACTGTCCATTCGTCTTGACGAAGAGACCTGGACACCGGGATATTACGTGGTCATCATTCGAGCAAGGGACCGCCACCAGCGAGTACGTGAGCGCGAGGGGTTTTTCATTGTCAAAGCCGAGAATCCCTCGGACGCCGACTTCGTGCTCATTCACACGACATGTACCGTCTTGGCCTATAACGACTGGGGCGGTGCCAATCATTACCGTGGGCTACCAGACGGGTATCAAAATGACACTCTGACGCCACTGTCAAGTACGCAACGACCGATTGCGAGAGGCATGATCCGAATTCCGGACAACGCACCTCGAGAAGGGACGGGCGACTTCATGCCGGGTCTAAATTGGACACCGCGATATCTCTCTCTGGAGTATTCGTGGTACGGGCGCTATAGCAGGCATTATGCTGATGCGGGCTACGCCATCTACGAGCGACCTTTTATCCTGTGGGCAGAATCTGCAGGTTATCAGATCCACCACCTCACTCAGACAGATCTCCAAGACTCAGCGGCATCCCCTCTTGATGGGTACCCTTGCGCCGTGATAGTCGGCCATGACGAGTACTGGACGTGGGAGCAACGTGACACAATCGACCAATTTGTGGACCAAGGAGGCTCCTTTGCACGCTTCGGCGGTGATTTTGCCAAGCAGGTCCGGTTGTCGTCCGATCTGAAAACGCAGTATTACTATGGTACGCCAGATCAGGACCCCGAGAGCAAGACAGATCCTCGACGGACCACAACATCTTGGGAGTGGCCAGATATTCAGCGCCCGGCCGCACAAACCGTCGGCCTCTGTGGACTGACGGGAGTATACGCGCGGTACGGTGTCGCCACTCCACGCTCTTCAGGGGGTTTCCTTGTCTATAGGCCTGACCACTGGGCGCTTCGAGGCACGCAACTCTTCTATGGCGACACCTTTGGAGGTAATCCCGTGAATATTGCCGCATTTGAGGTGGACGGCTGTCAATATACCTTTCGGCAGGGTCTGCCATACCCTACATTTGAGGACGGTGTCCCTTCCACACTGGAAATCATTGCCATGTGCCCTGCGGTCCTGGGCGAACAAGACCGCTGGAACGGCTCGGAGCCTATTGGTGGTCCTGTAAGGGACAAAATCGAGCTCATGCAAAGTCTCTTCAAGCCTGAAAAGGACGGGTCGACCAACATGCCCAAGTACCTCAAAGGGCTCAAATACGGCTCAGGCATGATTGCGTCTTTCACGCGCCAGAAGGGGGAGGTCTTTTGTGCCGGCACAGCGGAATGGGTCGTAGGTTTGAAAAAGCGCGACCCATACACGGAAATCATCACTAAAAATGTGTTGAACAAGTTTATCGGGAAGCCTGTACGTAGATTAGGGTGTCGCCTATGGCATCACACATATCAGCTCAATATCCTAGCAAAGTCACTACACGTAGGGGTAAGGTAGTCTATATCCTATGCCGTTCATGGAGGAAAATCAAGTCGTCGTAGGTCCACAGGGCGAGGAGTAGCGAGTCAGGCCCGAGCCATAAAGTTGTGTTTTGAGACATAGTTCTCCGCGCCCCGGATTTTGTCAATTCTCCTCTCTTACAACCATTGGCTTCAGTACGAGCCCATATTTTGTCCATCATGACATTCTGCCTGCCTCTGGTCGTCTCGGGATTGGGCGGTCTGGTCCTCGCCAGCTGTGAAATAACAGCGGAGGAAGCAGGAAAGACAGCTGCTGCCTAGGCGGGTGGAGGGGCGTGGTAGTTGTGAGGCTATTTCGCAGCCAGCAGGCCGAGACACACAGCGGGCGTAGGTATGTACTTGAAAGGGAAGAATCGAAGGAGGGAAGGGAAGAAGGGTGCCAAAGGGAACCGGAAGCAGATAGTGGATTTCACGGGCCCGAAAATGGAGTGCCACCAAGTTTCGCCAATAATAGATGCTGTATTGGGAAGAGGCGCGTAGAGGGGACTGCAGTAGAAATCAGAACGTAGAGGCGTGGGTGAGAAGAATGGTATGAAGAGAACGAGTCGTGAGCGCGCGTTGAAATAATTGCTTGAGCTGCCCAAGGGTTTTTGAGCCGCGCCGCAGCCTCGCTCCCCAAGCCTTGCTCCTAAACGAGGCTGAACTACGGCGCAATTACTAGTAATATGTGGGATTGACCTCGATGCCGAGCCTAACCTGAGATTCAAGCTCGCCGTATCTGCCATTTGATGTCTTTAATGCTCACTTCCTCACCGGCTTTCTCATCGTAGTCAAACCACTCTCCTTCCGACAAGTCAATACCCGTGAACTTCGTCCCAGACTCGATCCCCCTTGCCTCCCACTCCCCCTAAGCCGATCAATGTCAGAGGAAAGAAGATCTTACTGTGGGCGATCAACATACATCTGGCTTGAAATCCGTGAACTCAAGTCCTCGGCAATCGATGTCTATGATATTCTTTGGTTTTGCGGGAGAATTTTGCTCATATTTTGCTGGAGCTGCTTTGATCGAGGCGCTTGATTCTCTCTGTGCGGAAATGTACCCGTTAGCAATAAGAAAATCTAGCCGGATCCCACAATCAGCCAACTCGTCTCGTTCACACACCTTGCAGTTCTTGCATTTCCAGACAAAGTTCGCTTCTCCTCGGCTCCCGGATTGTTCGTTCATCTCCTGTATTTTGCGAGGTCAGATCGTACCTGGGCCGAGTGCACCCAAGACCACCCCAGCCAGAGCACAAGTCCATATCGAAGTCGTGTGAAGGCAGATCCAGGAGCGCTACACATGACAGAGCATCACAGTGACACGCTGTCCTGGGCGACCTTTGGAGAGAACTTACATGGCGGCTGACGCCCACCCAGTTTGCATGAATCTCGCGACATGATGTGCACTGGACTTTGAAAGTGTAATAGTACGGTGATTCAGCTGTATCAGAAGGTACGAGGTCGGTCACGCTGCATAAAGCCATTAGTGTCAAATGGAGATTCGCATACTGAGCGTCCTACCCTTCCAACTCCGCTGTCAGCGCTAATGCCAGCATTTGGACAATTCGACCAGGAACCTTTAGTGAAAGTTGAGCTCAGGGCGGTCTCAGATGGGCAATGAGGAAGTAACACGAATGTCGAATGATCGGACGCCCAAACTAGAAGATGTCGCTGGCGAAGGACTTGAGATATAATGCGAGGGCGAAAGAGAAAGCAAATCGACATTTGGACTCGGATGGCAAATAAGGTTAAGCGAAATACTTCTATTGGCTGCCTTGCCAACTGGAACTTGGTACTCAAGTAAGTTGGTTAGAAAATACCAGCCTCGCTTTATCAAAAAGAATCAACCATCTCTTCCTGGCTCTCTAGGCAAGCCAGATCCCTTCCGCCTCCTTCCCCTCCTCTTCGGCTTTCGCGATGGCCTCCCCGAACATGATCCCAGGGACATAAACAGCCCCTCCCACGATGTAGTAGACGCCCTCCTGCCTTTCGACATTGCGTAAGAGAAAGGGCAACGCACCACCCCACAGAATCCACACCATATCACCCGGTTCGATATGTTCGCATGCGGAGCCAATGTAGCCTCGGGCGGTCCGAAAGAGTCTCCTCCTATTGATATAGAGGCCATTGGGAAATGGGAGCTTCTTAAACGCCTCGTAGCTGCGCAGCCGTTCGCTCCAGTTGAAGGAATGAGCAGAACTTGGATCGTGGAGAGGCCTCCCAGCGGACCACCACCGTTTGAAATCTTGTATCACCTCCTGGTGGGAATGTCCCGAGATTTTGACGTTGCCGAATGTCAGTGCCTGGCAGAAGGCTTCGATGCGGGCTTCGGGTTCGAGATACGGATCGTCCTGCACCTCTGTTGTCGCGCAGTCCCACCAGGAGCCCCAGTCAATTTCCTGGTTGGCACTCATTTCCTGCGCCGGCATGGATGAGTGGCCGACCGAAGTTACATCCCGGATCTCATCAAAGAGGATTCCCCTCAAGCCAATCTTGTCGAATTGTCCACTGTAGATGAGTCCGGGTTCTTCCGGAGGTCTGCCGTAATGAGCTGGACGACCTGCGCAAGCATTGAACGGGACCTTGCCGCTACGGTTTTCGCTGTTAACTGCATATGCGTCACAACCTCGCTGTGGGAGAATGTTGTGCAGATCAGTTGCGCACCCGAGCTGGTCAGGATGGACTTGCCAGTCGTGCATCCAGGATGGGAACGCAGAATTCTCGCGGGATACCTCATGCTTACAAGCGCAAGAGAGCACGTCCAAATTCATTTCGCTGTTGATACAGTATGTCACGGTCCGTCCATAAACCTCCTGTGTACTCCGCTCGTAAGAGATTGGCAGTGGACGGATCTGGCCCTTTTCAGCCCGAAATTCCTGATCAGCCATGTGCCAAAAGGCGTAGACTTTCTCGCGAGCATCCGTGCTCCGACTGACACGGAGGCCCTGAAGGAGGGTGGATAATGGCGCCGACGGGAGGAGAGTCTCATGTTTGTACCGACTTTCCTGCCACTCTCTGGTTTTCTTGATCATCTGGAGTCCGCCTCGATGAAATGTAGCCAAGGCGGAGTCCTCTGCCGTGCTCCACGGAAGGGTCCAGTATGACAAACCGGAGATGGCTTCCTCGAACATCTCCCACGGCAGAACCACCGGGCCTAGGTAGACGAGGAGATTTTTGGCGTGTACCGCCTCCTGAATAACCCATGATCTACTGAACCAAGGGTCTTCCAGAATGTCCTTGGCTATTTGTTTGGTGAAAAGGTGGTGGTCCTCGCTCGGAGGTGGATACAAATGCGGCTCTCCTGTCATCAATCTGGCCATGAACTGCGCGAAGGAGGGAGCGTCCTCGATTCGACCGGTCCTTCGAGGGCTATGAAGCCATGTGAACATTTGTGTAAACATCTGTGTTTTCTCTGCTCTGATTGCTTTCCCCAACCACACCAGAACGTTTTCCGCCAGGGAAAATATCATGTGCATCTGCTGAACTTGACTTGTTCTCTCTTTCAAATCAGCCTGATTAATACAGATCTGATCAGCCCAGACGGTGCAGAAGTCTTCATAGCCACGGATTAGCATAAGGGCACCGAATAGATTGGATGTAATCTTGATGGCGGCATTTTCGATGAGGATTTCCTCCCTTTTTTCTGTGTCTCTGAGTTGCTGGCCGTTAAGGACGACTGTAGGCTCATCCGGGTCAGCCCACACATACGACAACGCTGTCCACCGAGGACCCGGGTGATTCTGATCAGAAGCTAGCGCCAGCCAGTCAGGGCGCACCGTCGCGATGGTGGCTCTAAGAGGGTCCTTGGGGTCTCGAGATGGCACAAGTTTCAAAAGTCGGAACTCTTGGTGTTCTTCTTCCAGTGCCTGATAAATGTAGGGCTCTGGAGCTGAGCCTGGTGTTGTACTCCATCCCTTGGTCATTAGAGCCAACGGGTCCATGAGGATGTCGACCTTCGTGTGTAGATGATCTGGTTTCTTTTCTTGTCTTGTTAGCACCTACTAGGTATCTCTGTTCAGCTGGCTTGGCAAACTGCAGTCTGGGCCCATCAATACGAAGCTAACTCCCCCATTCGAACGTGACCCGAACTATGCAGCATGCGCAAGACCACATTCGACTCGGAAAGACCGAGCAGGAGTGGTGCATGGTCACAATTGACAAAGTCCTGACAGCCTCATCAATATCAAACTGTACCTGCTCGAGAAGGATCTTGTCTAACAGCGGTCTGATCACCATGACACCTGATACACTCATTCCGAATATGGAAGCCCCGGAATCTTTCAGCAGTGAAGACAACAAGGATAACAAGTTACTATTCAGGAAGCTCCTCATGAGGCTCTGGCTCACATTTAATTGACGTGTAGATCCACAGTGGGAAACTGGGGGGACAGTTGGGCGGCATCACTTTCAATTTCATCATGTATTGTCTTGGCGGGTCAAGACGAGGTAATTTTTACCGTCGTTTGTCTACTAGGTATATATACCTACTAGGTACCTTAGGTACCTAGCTTATATTATTTCGGCCGGTGTAAAAATCAACCACCAGCTCCAACCATACGAACCCTTCGAGAGTGCAACTCACCCGATTGATAGTCGCACAGCCTGCAATGCTCGGATCATGAAGGCCGTGAAGTTCGACTTCTGACAAAAACTACTCGCTCATCCGGTTCGGAGCAATGCCGACGTCCACCGGGCTTACGTGGCTTACGTGGCTGCTCTTTTGTCTAGCTACTCGAGCTCTTCAGCCGCCCCTGTATGATGCAAGTGTCGGCGGCGGACAAGCTGGACACTACCCCACGTTACCTAGCTTCATAACGTCAAAAATACGAGCTCCACGCGTCAACTTCGCTACATGGACCCCAGAGTGCGACGATGGGCTCTACTATTTCATCACTCCTCGTGGCTGGAAAGTCAAGGATCCTGGTCCGATGATACTGGATGCTGCAGGTACTCTGATATGGACGCAACATTTTGCGAATAATTACGGTGGTCAGGCATACGATTTGAAGGTGCAGGCCTATCGGGATGAAGCAGTATTAACCTTCTGGCTCGGTGACGATACTGTCAGAGGTCATGGTCAGGGACATTATTACATTTTGAACTCTTCCTACGATGTTGTGCACAAGGTAGCAGCAGCGAATGGTCTGTTCGCGGATCTTCATGACTTTGTAATCACGCCCGAGGGAACAGGTCTGATCACGAGTTACTCCAAAACTGCAGCCGATGTCCGACCATTTGGTCGCAAGTTCAGCGACTTGTGGAACCAAGCAGCATGGGACGGGGTCGTACAAGAAATTGACTTGCAGACTGGCACTGTTTTGTTCGAGTGGCGCGCGTCCGACCATGTGGATATGAAGTCGACATACCACAAATTATCGCACGGCATGAGTGCGGCAGGTACACGCGCTGAGCCTTTCGACTGGTATCACATTAATTCTGTGCAGAAGGACGAGCATGGCAATTTTCTGGTCTCCGCTCGCAATGTTCATGCAATTTCCTACATTAATGGCAAGACGGGCAAGGTGATGTGGACTTTGGGAGGCAAGACCAACGACTTTCAAGATCATTCTGAAGGACGAGCTCTGCAATTTGCGTGGCAGCACGATGCTCGATTCGTCTCGGTAGGTGCATTTGGTCAATCTTACACGCCGCCACGCTCGACTGCTGGCAGGAGCACGCGCCTGATGACCATTTTCGACAATGCGGCGATGGACTATGACCACACCTTTGGCATGCCGTACTCACGAGTCTTGCTTCTGGAAGTTGGCTGGCCTGATGACAAAGCTCAAGATGATGCTCACGTTCCAAACCATTTTGGCACTTTCGCTCATCAGGAAGTTACATCTCAGCTGGCCCTGAGTGAGATAGACTCAAAGAAAGTCCAGACAATCAATGGCACCAACCCGGCGTATACTGTACGTCTTCTACGCGAGTACGTGCATCCGCTACGCATTCGATCCGGAACACAAGGCTCTGCACAGTTATTTCAGGCCCACTCGCAAGAAGATGCGACTATCCTAGCAGGCTACGGCATCAATGCTGTAATGACTCAGTACAGCAGCAACGGATCTGTGCGTTGTGATGCCCACTTCGGCTCAGTGAGTTCTTGGAACAACGGAGACGTGCAGAGCTACAGGGCTTTCAAGTTCCCGTGGGTCGGACGGCCGAGACATGCACCGGCCGCTGTTTGGCGAGCTGGAAAGTTGCACGTGAGTTGGAATGGCGCCACAGAGGTCAAGACGTGGGTGTTGCAGGCCTCAGAGAATGGTGTTGACGGCTGGAAGACTATCAAGCAGGAGCCAAAGAAAGGCTTCGAGACTGTGACCGAGCTCAAGGACCTAGGAGCTGATGCAGCAAGTCGATTTTTCCGATTTGTCGCTCGGGATAGCCGTGATCAAACTTGCGACTACGGCGTCTCTGTCGTGATGGAGAGAGGATACCTCAGCTTATTTGCGGGGTTGCATCTACACACTATCTCGGACAATGCTGGAGTTCGCTATGAGTACATTCTTCTCCTAGTTTTATCCATAGCACTTGCCTTCAGGTATCGACGCTGCTTCCGTTGTCGGACTTCTCGTCAAGCTGCAGTAGTCAGTGGGTGTGAGCGACGCGAATGATAAACGCATGAGTTGGGGAGTAACATATGATTTCCAAGTACCCTCGGTCCAGTAATCAGCCAGGAACCTCGTACTCACGGAAAATCTCATCTCCTGCCCTCAACGCTCACAAAAAATCAGACGCCAATCATAGAATTCATAACCATCTCCACCAGGATGAATCGGCATGGGTGTCCACACCACAGCGCTATGGCTTGCACGAGTCAGGGAGAGCCGGGGGTGAGAATAGGGCGGCATCATCCTCGTCCCGATCGGCGGTGAGCTGAGTCTCGATGTACCTCGTCTTGGCGGCGACATTCCTCGCCCTTCATCTCACCTCAATCTCAGACTTCTCTGACCATACTAGTAGTAACCAAGAGCAACAACGAGACAAAGTATCGGCAGTCCCCTTTCGCTCAGTTTGGGCCACGCGACAACCTTCAGACGCTCACACGCGCAGCAGATTCCTGGCTACTCGCGGCTACTAGAAAATGGCCCCGAAGAAGAAAAAGAAGCCCACTACAAACCCCGCTCGAGGCTTTGCGACAACTTCTGTACCTTCTAAATCCAAAGCCGTCGATGAGCCCGATGAGGCTTTGGTCAGCGTCAATGATACTACCCAAGGCCCAGGCACTGACGCTAAACTCACAGCACCTGTCAATGATGAGCACACGGCCTCGAAAAATGGCGAACAAGCTAGACAAGATCTGAAGATCCAAGATATGACTCCCGAGGAATTGGAAGCTCATCTGGAAGACTCAGAGCTGGAAGGGATACTCGCCAGGTATGCTACACGATGCATTGCTGATGCTCGACGTCAAGTCGTAAGGCTCGAAACCGAGCGGCGTCAATTGCGTCCGCAGGCGCAGAAATTATCAACATACAGCTGGCTGCCGGAAGAGACAGTCGACGATCTGTTTGATGTCGATGCCCATGATACGAGCCATGTATCATCGGCATCTAGGGGTGTTGAGACTTCTGTTGATGAGGAGAAGCTCTTGCTCGACCTGTGGAGTTTGGAGAGAGTCCTGGTGTCATTGAAATTCCCGAGAGTCTCTCAAGCAGTTGCCCATATTGCTGAGACGGCTCTTTTGGGACAGCTGAGAAGGACTCCTGAATCTCTGCCCGGTCTGCCCGAGGCTTTCCAATGGTATGCCTCTAAAACGCCAGAGGGCGAACTCGTGAACTATGAACAGACCCAGGGTACACTGACTGGACTGAGTGGTGATAACACCCCTTTCCAGATAACATCTGGTGAGTGAGAGAGGGCTCGACGCTCGAGATTGTGCGGCTATCCTTTCTGCCCTAGAAAGTCAACAAAGGCAGATCAAGAACGGCTCCTCAAGATTCCTGCCTGCTGCAAAGTATGTGTGACGTCGCGAGATCTTACGCTGTATCCTTGTCTCAGACCGATGTTCTTGCTTTCAATGGAACAGCGAGCTATGCATTTCGCAATCTTGACCTGCATGTACCGAAAGGACTGACAAGGACATAGAACCGCCAACCGCCAGCCAAAGTAGACAAAGCCCAGCGTCTACGCCTGCAAGAGTCTCAGAGGCGGAGGAAGACTCATCATTGAGCCTAGAATCTCCGGAGTCTGAGGAAGATAACGACCCCGCAAAACTCACCGACAAGTCTGTTCAAATCCAACGACTGCTCTGGGAGGCACAGAACGAAGAAACTAACGGTATCATGAAGGCGGAGACAAGAAAGGAAAGGCGGATCACTAAATTGCATCGCAAATTGCAACTGCTACAACGTGATCCGCTGTTTGATAAGCATGAGGCAGAAGCTGCGTGGGAAACCATCTTGACCCAATTGCTGGCAACCCGTCAACAGCTCATGCGAGCTGATGCTGCAAAGCGGCGAGAGGGAAAGCGAGCCGCTGCTCACCAGAACCTTGACGATGATACAAAGCGGCAGGGGCCCATCTCAGAAGACAATGGACCAGGCGCTGTGGAGGACGAAGATGCTATCCTGGGCGGTATGTTTGGAGACTCCGAAGACACCATTGCCTCCGAACAAAATCTACCAGCATCAGAGAGCTCGGTCCGACTGTTAGACTTTGGGAAATGGTCGGGTCTTTCACCAAAAAGACTCCTCGAGGAAGTCTGCACGGGACGTGATACGAGATGTCGAATACAGGTCCGAACTTTGCAGCAAACCCCGTACTCTGCAAGGCACAAACTACAAATTGTTTGGACAGCCGATAACATGACCGAAGCTCACACGACGACGGCATTACCACCTGAAGTCTCTGCTCAGGTAAATGAGCGATTTTGGGAATTGGAGATGAGAAGCGTTGCAGCAGCGGGTGCTGCCCAGTCGGAGGCTTATATCTGTACCCTCGCCCTGTTTCTGTTGTCGACACTGGGTGCAAGCGAGCAGAAAGCAATAGGCCGTCTGCCAACGGTCTGGAGAGATGTGGTAAAAGAGTTGAGCGACGCCAAAGAAATTCTCGTCAATACGGAACGAAAGGCGACCCTACGGAGGCTGCGGGCGCTCATCTTGGAGACAAAGGACCGACTGAAACAGCAACAAGCCATACTATGCAGCAAGGAGCCATCTGAGACTCACACCGACGTTGGTGATCGCCACCGTATTACGGTACCTGTCTCTGCGATTTGGAGTCCAGAACAAGTCACCAAGGAATGGGATATCCGTACCTCTCGCCCATCCTTTCGCGAAATGCTCCAAATCCGCGAACAGCTCCCTGTTCATCATTACAAAGATCGAATACTCTCTTGCATTGCCGAAAATGCAGTGAGTATTATCTGCGCAGAGACCGGAGCCGGCAAATCATCTGGAATTCCGGTACTGCTTTTGGAACAGGCATTCTGCGCCTCCCGAGACTTTCGCATCCTCGTGACACAGCCAAGGAGGATATCGGCAATCACTCTCGCCAGACGCGTTTCTCAGGAGCTTGGGGAGAGCCGCAATGACATCGGCACCAATCGATCACTTGTCGGCTATGCAATCCGGTTAGAGAGCAAGACCAGCAGTACCACTCGCATCACTTATGCAACCACTGGCGTGCTGTTGAGGATGTTGGAGGAATCCCCAAACCTCGCCGAGCTGGACTGCCTCGTTCTAGACGAAGTTCATGAGCGCACGATGGATTTGGACCTGCTATTCATCGCGTTGCAGAAGTTGCTGAAGCGTCGGAGTACACTGAAGATCGTCCTCATGTCGGCCACGGTGGATGCGAAAAAGTTCTCGGACTACTTTGACGGCGCTCCCGTGTTAGATCTACCTGGGAGGACATTTCCAGTCGAAGTGGGATTTCTGGAAGATGCACTCGAGGTTACCAATGACCTTACTGGCGTCAAAGAGAAAGACCCGGCAATCCAGGACGAGGATCAAGACTTGAACGATTCCTACGTGACCGAGAAGGGGCGACCTATCATTTCTGAACCAGAGAAATACAGTAGCCAGACCCAACAGACGCTTTCCAACATGGACGAATATCACATCGACTATGGTCTCATCGCAAAACTCGCTGCCTCGATTGCCAGTAAGCCACGGTACGCGAAGTACAGCAGCGCAATCCTGATCTTCATGCCGGGTATAGGCGAAATGCGGCGTTTGCACAATCTATTTCTTTCAATGGACACCTTCAGCAGAGACTGGATCGTGCATCTTTTGCATTCGACCTTTTCGACCGAAGAGCTCGAACGAGCGTTTGAACGCCCGCCAAAGGGGCAAAGAAAGATCGTGATCGCGACCAACATTGCCGAGACTGGAATCACCATTCCAGACGTGACGGCCGTGATCGACTCGTGCAAGGAGAAAATCATGCGCTTCGACGAACGCCGCCAGCTCTCGCGCCTGACGGAAGGATTCATTTCCCGCTCTTCGGCGCGTCAGCGAAGAGGTCGGGCTGCGCGTGTACAGGAGGGTCTCTGCTTCCACCTCGTCACCAAGCATCGTTTCGAAAATCTGATGCTGGAGCAACAGGTCCCCGAAATGCTGCGGCTGAGTCTGCAAGATCCGATTCTGCGAATCAAAGTGTGGAACCTAGGGTCGATTGAGGAGACTCTGAACGCAGCAATCGAGCCGCCCTCGAGGAAGAATGTGCTCAGAGCGATTGACAAGTTGAAGGACGCGGGGGCATTAGCGAAGAACGAGGCGCTTACGCCGCTGGGCCAGCGAATCGCGAGATTGCCCCTGGAGGTGTTGTTGGCGAAGCTGGCGATCTTTGGCGTCATTTTCAGATGCCTGGTGAGTTTGCACATCAGAGAATGAAGGACTTCTGATTGAGCACAGTTACTAACTTTGTCTGCAAAAGGATCCCATACTTGCCATCATATCCCTCCTGACCTCCAAGTCACCGTTTCTCCCGATTCCAGCATCCGGTTCGCAAACCGACGCAAGACATATGTTCAGTCGAGGTGACTCGGACCTGCTTTCCTCCCTGAACGCGTACGAAAGTTGGAAGAAAGCCAAAGCGGCTCGGACGGGCCAGGAGTTCTGCCGCAAGAACCACATCAGCGACCCGGCGATGGGGCAAGTCGAAGCGCAAAAGATCCAGTTGCTTGTGTACCTCGTTGACGCAGGGTTAGTGAGGCTGGATCCGGAGGAACGAGCAGCCTTGAATCGCGCTCGAACGTACTCCGGACGTGGCGGCGGTCTTCTCCCGTCCTACACGATCCCTGTGCGCTACAACCAGCCCGTCCCCGACCGGGCGCTCAACGCGATCGTCGCCATGGCGCTGTATCCCCGTGTCCTCATGCGCGAAGGTAAAGGCTGGCGCAACGTGTACACGAACCAGGTGGTCTCGCTCACCTCGCGATCCGTCAACCACCCCTCCCACTCGCCCCTCACCACCCCCAGGGCAACACCGCGTTGGCTCTCGTTCTACGAAGCCATGCAAAACACCCGCAGCGGCTCCCTCAACGTCTTTGAGACGTCCGCCATCCCGGAGTCCGCGCTCGCGGTCCTGTTGGGCGCAGAGGCCGAGTTCAAGTTCTTTGCTGGCGTCTTGGTCTTGGATGGCGGCAAGCTGAGGCTCTCAGTCCGGCGGTGGAGGGAGTTGATGGCGGTCAAGATTTTGAGGGAGAGGCTGTTGGGCACGCTGGAAAAGTGTTATAGCAGGCCTAGCGAGGTGGGAGAGGAGGGTAGGAGGTGGTTGGATATGTGGTTGAAGATCGAGGCGGCACAAGAGGCGTAATAACTACCTAGCTAGTTGGGTTCCAGAAGCAGTTTATTCCAAGGCATCTATCTGTCCCTTGCCAGCAGCCTGCTGCTCAGCTGACTTCCACACATCTTCTTGTCATATCTGCGCAAGATATGCTATAGATTTATGACAAATTTTGACTCGCTGGCATTTGGAGGTGTCCATGACCCCTCGAGTCTCGCTCACCTCAGTAAATAACCTCCATCAACAGGTAAGGGGACGCCCGTGATCCAGCCAGCGTCATCGCTCGCCAAGAACACCGCCGCTTTGGCGACATCCTCGACGTTGCCCAGTTTCTGCCCGAACGGATGCTTCCCTTGAATGTCTTGCAACTCCTGCGGCTGACCCTGTAGATTCTGCGTCATGCTCGTCTCCAGAAATCCCGGGCAGAGAGCGTTGCAATGGATCAAGTCCTTGGCATAGTCCAGTGCAATCTGCTTGGTCAACATTACCGCCGCGCCCCTGGACGCGCAGTAGGACGGGGTACCGTAGAAGGGGACGAGTCCCTGGACGGAGGCGGTGTTGATGATCCACCCTCTGGAGGCGTATACCTGGTCTTGTCCGTCCAGCATTTGCTTGAGGGCGTACTTGCAGCCCAGGAACATGCCTTTTGCGTTGATGGCCATGGTCTTGTCAAAGTCCTCCTCGCTGGTCTCGTGACACCGCAGTGGGCGAAGATGTGTGCTCTCGACGCTGACACCCGCGTTGTTCACCATGATGTCCACCCTCTTGTATCTCTGCACGCAGGCTCGGATGGCGAGCTCCATGTCTCGCGCCCGCGTGATGTCGGCTTTATGGTACGTGGCCTCGCCCCCCATCTGGCGGATGCGTTCGTGCGTCCCGGGCCGGTCGGCGACGCGGTTGTGGAAGTCGTCCGCACGCTGAGTGGTGGGATTGATCGCGTTGCGCGGGGTTGGGTATAGGTCAATGCAGAAGATTGAAGCGCCTTCCGCGGCGAGGGCGAGGCAGATGGCCTGTCCAAGCCCGGAGCTGGAGCCGGTGACAATGGCCACACGGCCCTGCAGGCGGCCTGGGGGGGATGTCATGGTGCTCGAGAGGGCATATAAGGGGAATATATAGAGAAACAGAGGAAGAGAGAGGAATACGACAAAAGTTTACCTTTTGGGCGAAGGATTCAAAAAAGCTCACAGCGATTGATGGTGTGGAAGAAAGGACTGCATGTTTATGATATCACAACGATCGTCAAAGCAGCCTCCATAGGCCAGGCTTGCCTCGCCCAGCTCCGGAATCTCATGCGTCTCGATAACGCACAAGACACGGTACATGAGGCTGAACACGGGAAGTAGCCATAGAATGATAGGTTGATTGATGGTTCGAAGAGGCGGAGAATGGAGGCGACACGAACAATGCGCTGGAGACATGACCGTAGCCCGCAGCTTCGGGTCGGAGGAACCTTTATTCCTTGCCCAGCCTGTAACCCATCGGCGCTGACCATCACACTGGCAACTACTGCACTTCTCAGTCCACAATGAGTAGACCGAATGTACTTGTGCCTTGACGCCAGAGCGGCGGAGAGGCAGATAACATCAGATAGCTTTCTTCAGCCAGTGCAAATACTTCATACTCTGGAGAAGCTTCGCTCCATGTTCGGGCTTCATGCGTGGTGACGCTGCTGCTCCGTAGCCCCAGAACTTTAGTTCATCTGTGAGAAGAACTTGTCTTTGTTGATATCTCGCATCCAAGAGCTCGCCTCGCTTTCTTGCAACTGGTCATGTGAGCGATGCTTGTGTGCCGCCCGTTGAGGCGGCTGTATCTCCGTACAGCATTCCAATATGAGAAAACCATTTTCAGCAAGACCATTCTCATAGCCGCCTTTAGCACCTTCACTGGTGGCCGGTCACAGAAGTCCGACAAATACCTTCCCCCGCGCCCAACCTTACCAGACGCTGAGATCAAACACACCTATGTCAAGGGCACTGGACCCGGTGGTCAGAAGATCAACAAGACCAACTCGGCCGCGCAGTTGACACACGTCCCAACTGGCATTGTTGTCAAGTGTCAAGCCACGCGCAGCAGAAGTCAAAATCACAACATTGCAAAGAGGATCCTTGCCGAGAAAGTGGAGTTGTTGGAAAAGGGCGAGGAAAGCCGGGCGGCCAAAGTGGTGGAGAGAAAGCAGCGCAAGAAGAGGAGCGCGGACAAAAAGAAGCGCAGGAAGTACAGACGACTGGCAGAGGAGAAGCTGGGGAGTCACGGGGGAGTGTATGCTGAAGAAGAAGATGATGGCTTGGAGGAAGACATGAACAGAGAGCTGGAGGGCCAGACGTCGACTCAACAAGAGAGCAACCAAATGCCGAGAGGATGAGCGGATACATCAGTTCAAGTCGGCGCACCATTCGTCTCTTTCCGTTCAAAGTTCATGGCGGTCACCCATCTTGGCGGGATTCTCAGCCTCGCGTACTCATACGCTCCCTTCCCACACACAGCCTTGTGTTCGAAAACCCCCAGATCACTTTTTGTGCGCAAAAACAAAGGAACTGCCCACTCGAACAAAAAGCAAAAACTCTAGCCTGAAGCCCAACTCCACGCTTGGAAGTTGAGGTTCAGGTCGAGGGAAACTCTCCCTTGCAGGATAGTTTTTCCCGTCGGTTCGTCAGGTTCTCTCCGGCCTCGGACAACCCACGCTTAGGGAAGCCGTTTAAGGACTCGGAACCCCCGGCCACGACGCGGTGGTGGGCATCTGCTACTACCTCGATGGGTAGCTTGCAGGGTCAAGGAGTTACCTTCTAGGATTCTCGTAACTCCCAAGAGAAGCTGTCTCATGCCTGGCGGCCACACCCTCACGCCCTGACTAGCTCTGGTACTAACTCGGTGTTAGCCATTTCAGAGGTCAAGACCCGGGATAGACATGAGAATTGTTGAGGGGAATTGTGAGACTACAATATTCATACTTTGAATTTTCTGCCGGACCAACCTCCACTTTCTGGACCCGTCATCACGGGTTGAAGAGTGAATTTCTAGACGCCTCATCCCTACTGCCTTGCTGCATGGAATCCTGAATTCTCTGTCCGTAGGCAACCCCTACAAAAGTCTACACATCCATCAGACAGGTGAAGGGCCTACTCTGTTGCAAAACTCGACAATGTTCGGCTCGCGGATCATGAAGGTTTGTCTGTCGTTTTTGCTAATACTCTCTGCTCTGATGTTTCTGTGCTTCGTCCACCGTTTCGAAATGCCTGTTCCGCCCTCGTTCACCGTTTCCAGCATTGATACCTGGATATGTCTCAAGCACCTCCTGCGGAAGTTGATGGAGAAGGACAATATCTTCATACCGGCCAGTCATCCTCATTTGCATGTAGGGACCACATTACCGATCCTTGTCCATCGCTCGCCTGTGAAAGACTGAATCCTCGATAGTATGTTGGACGATGGATGCCCACGGCAAACCAACTCAGACGGGATGCGGCATTTCGAGGTCGGTTTTAGGAGCCTAATGCAAAGAGCAACGGAAGCACTAAATCTCTGAGCAGGTTCTTCTGTCGAGATGCTGATAGCAAACACCACCAGCCTCTACGTTTCTCTCAACAATCTGAACTCCGCCTCGAAACAGCAGCAACCCGAACGTCTGGACGCACGGGAAATCTACCATTCCGAACTTCGGTCGATCAATGCCAGAGCCTCAGACCCCGTCAGCCTCGTGGTATCGATCGAAGGCCACAACACTTACTGGGTAGAAGCGGCTGGGTTGGTGGTCCCGATTGTTCAAGACCTTGACCCACGGGAGATGTACAGAGTGAGGCTCACACATATGGGAGGTCCAAATAGCACCAACGGAATACTCGAGTTTGAAGGCCTTTGGCTCGGAAAAGCCACATCTGCGTACGCCAGTGCAGCTTCGTCGACCTCCAACAAAATATCCTCGCCAGCGAGACTCCTTCCTTTTGGTGAAGGCCTCGACAGACTTTCAAACAATGAAGCAGATACACCGCAAAGAGGCAGGAAAGTTGTCGAGATCGTAACGTCAGAAGTCTCGGTCTTAGCGATGAACCATCTACATCCAGCTTTGCAAAACAACTCGAACGACAGAGTAGACGATTGGTACAAGGAGCTGGACACGGTGATCCTGGACACGACGGGAATCGGTTTGTTGCCGACGCAAGAGTCAGGGTTGAGTGTCAGAGATCAGTTCTTCCGCGCAGGACCTCCGGGCACCAAGGCATTTGCGCGGCCCTGGAATTTCAAGCTGTATAGCCCGTCGGTGCTCCTCCTCCAGCTTGGACTCGAGGATTTTGTCGCATTCTTCTCTTCTGCCACGAAGGGGAAACCCGTGGTCAACAAGCACGCTCTGGCCAAGTACACGAACGAGTTCGTGAACGCATACGTCAAGTTGATCCAAGCGATCCGCGCCAACGCGTATCCGTTCAACCCTGAGGCGACACCGACGACGACGCACCTGGACGAAGATGACGGTAGCTACATCTACAACTCGGCACCATCCACGCTCACAATCTTCCTCCTCACACCTTTCTCCGCGGCACGACACTCGGTCACCAAGAAGCTCAAGCTCGACAGGGTCATCTCCAGCGCTCTCGCCCAAGTCGTGTCGACCGTGCAAGCCGAGGGGGACAAGTCGACCTTCTGGATCGACACGACCGGCTGGCTGGACGCGGAGACGGATTTTGAGAGCAGTCGTCCCAGCTCGAATTCGCCCGAGCAATCACCACCATTATCGCCACCGTCATCAGCATCATTTGTGCTCAACAGCGCTGGAATCTCCAAAGTCGCAACCGTTCTCGCAGACCACCTCTGCCCGTACATTGGGCCCAGCCCCAACTCACATGGCTCCTCCCCCGAAGGAGCAACTCCAGCGCGGCCATCGCCATGCCCCTTTGACCGGTACGACAATTATCTCGGCAACGTCTATCTGCCCACGGACGTCGACTTCGACAGAACCCTCCTAGAACACAAGATTGAATTGATCAAGCAGAAGTTCAACTTGTAGGCGAGAGAGGAAACCTAATTGTTGGGGGGTTGGCGAGGGGGATCGCGGCTCTGAAGGAAGGGCCTTTGTGATGGGGCTTGTGGACACAAAAGGGTGGAAAGAGGCAGGGTTTCTCTATCATCAGGCCTGAGACTCTTTGAGGAGGCAACAATACCGGGATTCGGCTTGCAGGCAGGCTACTTTAAGTTGAGACTCTATGCGGCCTCATGCGCACAGCCTCCGCTGCAAAAGCTACGCATGGGCCGCGGTCAAAAAGGTCAGAACCTGTTTCCTTCGCAGAATGTGGGATTGAGATATCTGTTTACACAATGCTTCTGTTCCCTCCGGTACGGTTACACTGGCATCAACATCCCCTGGCATGCTCTTCCAGACAATGGACATATGACATACTTCGTTACTCGTACTCGACAGGATAGGAGGATCAAGAAAGCGGCCAGATAGTCCACGCCATTGCCAACTCTCGGTGCTCTACTTGTAACCCAAACTCCGACAATCACACAATCGCACCAGGCTCAATCTTTCAGTCCACTCGGCCTCGTCCTCTCCGCGTCGCTCGATCCATCCTCGCCTTCCAGAGTGACGATTTTGTGACTAAGAAGGAGCCGCAGTTCCGGCGTGATGACTCTTTCTTTGGCCTTTTCAGCTTCTTTTGATTTTGCTGGTTGCTGAGGTCCGCGTCTGGCTGGACTTGTGCGTGGGGTTTGGCCCTGTGTTGGCCGTGTTGATGCGCTCGATGCGGCGCCTGAAGATGAAGCGGTTGGAGAAGTCTCGTCCCCAATACCTGCCACTACCCCTGGTTTCCTATGTCGCAGTTCCGCATCACTTTGGCCAACATTTGGCGGCGGGAAAGCGTCTTTCCGGTCAATTGTCTCGACCGTCTTCTCAAATCTCTTGAATAACCCCTCGGCCCTCCAAAGAATATCTTGCAGTTCAATCGTCCCACTGAGCTCATTAATATACTTCAGCACTTCGTCAAAGTGCTTCAAATGGTCCATAATAACATCGCGATGCTTTTCGAGAATCGCCATTGCGATGAAAAGATGAAACTGCGACGAATAATAGTCCGTCCACAGTGACTCCCAAAGCCTTAAAGTGTCGGACCATTCAAACTCCCTCTTGAACCAAACAAGCAACATTCTAAAGAAGAAAAAGAAATTGGTCGAATCTGCTGATTGAAGATGGAGGTACAACTTCGGATCGAGGAGTTGGACTAACTGGTCGAGGGTGTTGAGTTGGGCGCGCATTCCCACCTGTGAGCGGACGAAGTTTCGCGACATCCTGCGCATGAACTGCACGAAAGCCCAGAAGGCGATCGCGTCGTCTTGGAAGACGGCGTAGAGGGGTGATAGGAGATCGGACATGCCTTGAACATAACCCAGATTTTGGGGATGGGGATTTTGGGTCTGGTAGCGTCGCGGCTGTGAAGAAGAAGAGGGGTTTTGAGAGTTTGCGGCCGTGGTGGAGGGAGGTGTGTCGTATTCCAGATAGGTCAGCAGCATATCTTTCAACTGTTCCATATGCACGTTTGTGCCGGGTCCATTGGGATTGAAGAACGGTGAAGTCGGGTCTGGATGAGGAATATCTTCGCCTGCAAAGAGAGGGATGTGACGGTCGGTGCGGTGCACATCCTTTTCTACATGTCGAGCGGCCAGGTCAGTTGAGATCGTAAGTATGAAGAAAGAAGGACTTGGGGAATATTCAGACTTACCAATTCGGACTTTCTGCTCTTTCCACCATTCCTCCTGTTCGGGCGTAGCATCGCCATCGATCATTCTGTCCCACCAAGCCCCTTTCAGCTGAATGTACTCATCTCGTTTCCTGTTCATGAGAGCATGTCTTTCTTCTTCTGTACTGTCCCACTCGTATACTCCCAAGAGGAAAGGCCAAGCCTCTTTCCTTACACCATCCTCAGGGTCCAGACCGCCGTGGAAAATACGCTCCTTGACCTCTTCCACCATAACCTGCAATTTGCCCTTTGAGTCGAAAAAGGACTTCCACTCTTTCATGTCAACAGGGCGCCTCTTGCTGTCGGCCAAGGTCATTCGTGCAGCCTCCATATCCAGAATTTCAAAGTCCCCGACGCTGGTTTCTTCAGAGTCCAGCACATCTCGTGCAGTCCATATTCTCTGTCTCCTCTCGCGCTCGCTTTGCTCTGCAATGCTCATGGCCCATCGCGCCAAGTATAACTTTGCACTGTCAAATTCATCCTGTAGAGTCTGGATCTCCGGGTTCTGGATGAGTCGTCGCACTTGAGGAGGGAGATTCTTATTATTGGCAAGGTCTTCCGCGGTGCGTCGGGTAAACGTAGTGACTTTGGACAGGTGTTCCAAGATCTTCCACCTGGTTTCTTTAAGTGCCTTTGTGAAAGGATCCATCCCAGGCCCTGATGGTTTCTTCTGCTCAGGTTTCTTCGACGTTGATGCTTCACTCTTGCGTCTTGCCTGTTCGAGCGACTTTCGTCCTTGACCGAAGCCCACACGATCTTCTTCCGACGGGTCGATCAGGTATATCGATGGTTCTGCAGTGCTCCTTTCAACGGTTACATATCTCTTCAGCCACCTGAGCACCTCGTCACCACCCCAGAACAGGTCGCCGCTTTCTCCAAACGGGTCGAATGACTCTCGCGCTCTTCTTTTCTTTTGTAGTATTGTGCTTTCGCATTCCGAGTCGTGAAAAAACAACGCCGGTAAGCTCGAGCCAGCACGTGTGTTGATGACTATGCTGCCATACCACCAGCCTAGACTTGGCGGACGGACGTTGATGGAGTATATGCTGGAGAGAGGTAGCGAGAACGCATACGGTCCGACGGGGGATTCGTCAAAAGTGGTCGCAAGAGGAAGAGGGGGGACCAGATAACTTTGTCTGGGAGGAGATTCGCTGTCCTTCATATCCACCTTCACATAGGTGCTCAGGTCATCCTGTGCCAGGGAAGCTTCGGGGACCCAGGCCAAAAGATATGAGGATGCGTTTGTTTTCTTCTTGGACGTGGAGTCGGAGGAGGTGGGCCGATCGCCGTTGTCAGAGAGCGCGGGCGACTTCTGCTGGACCAGGGCGATGAAGCCGGGGATGTTGTCTTTGGCCGAGGGCGTAGGATGCACGTAGACCTTGCTTTTGGAGAAGAGCAATTTCACGCCTTTTGTGGCAGAGGCATGAGTGATCGTGTTGTAGCCGCCTTCTTCGTCGTCCGAGAGGTCATAGAAGGATGCCGAAGGCGAAGGCGCCTCTGGCCGGGAGGAGGGCCCGGAAGTCATGATGCTGGGCTCTGGTAGTGTTGACGGTGGTCAGCGTACGATTGCATATTCCAGAGCAGAGAAATAGTAGATGGATGCCACGTCCACGGGTAAGACAAGCTGCGTATGTATTGGAGAATGTTCGACAGGTGGCGGTGCACTGGCCGAATTCCTGATGCCTGGGGAGAAGCAGCAACAGCAGCTGACGTCGGTGCTGCGCATGAGAGGCCAGAGGCGAGGGGCGTCGAGTGAGAGAGGGGCACTTCAAACGCTATGCCTCGTCATCCCCCGCAGTCTGTCACTAGGCTGGCTTGCCTGGTGGCCACTGGCAGTACATGTAATTACTCCGTCGAGAGCTAAATTAACATAGAGCTATAGGTTAAGCACAGGGGTGTGGCACAGGTGGGTGACAGGGACAAGGTTAGTGGTTACGTACCTAGGTAGGCACATGGAGCGACATGGTACTTGGATACTCGAGAACGAAAAACCTAATTGCCATTTACGATTTGATCCTAGAGGGTGAGCGAAGGCCACTTTGACCTGAGCTTTAACTGAGCCCGTGGCTGAGCATCACTGAGCGCTTCCTTAGCACTCCCTGATCAAACACGCCGGGAGCAGAGCTAGATACCTAGGTACCTACCTAGTTACGGTAGCTGTTAGTGACATCATGCTAGCTTGGTTTTATCGTTCTGCACGCCGGGCCAGAAACCCCGTCAGTCTAGGTAGCTACCTAGGTAGGCAGTTTCTGCTGTTTCGTGACGCCTGGTGACACTGAATTCCACCGAGTCAGGGCCTCGCTCCAAAGCTTTTTTGATTGATTCATGCTCGTTCGAAGTTTAAGAGGGCTACTCCCCCCAACTTCGACAACAGTGTTCAACAACAAGTTCATCGACGAAGTCTTTGTTGTCGTTTATTGTTCCTAGCTCCGCCACAGTGTCTTTGTCCACCACACAGCAAATTTTGATGCGGAAGAGGTCTTCGCGTTTGTGACCTGGATCCTGGCTCCTACTCGGCCAGGCCTGCCGACATTGTAAGACGCGTTTGCCCCCAACAAATGTTGCCCTTTCCCGTCGAACTCAGCATCTGCACCGAATTGGAGATTCGAGTTAAATTCGCGCTCCCCCGCCAATCTCACTCTTGTCTGTTCTTTGCCGTCAAGGTCAAAGATCAACTTTGCTTCCACCCTGCCACGGTCGCCTCGTTTTTGAAGACCCACTGCCACATCTAGGCCGTATTGATCCATAACCCTATTGTTGCGTGCGAGAAGGCAAAGAGGGCAATCCGACCTGGTTTCGCCTGGAGAGTGATTGTGTTCGGCGTGGGTCTCCCTCACGTCGACGCCAAGGGAATATGAGTATTCCTTTGGCATCTTTGGGAAATGCCCCGTCGTTTCGAGCCCTTTCTTATTAGCGGTGAGATTGAAGAGATTGTGCGTCGATGTGAATGCTAGAGTCGGGCCTAGGTAGTGGGGCCCCTCAAGATCCAGAGAGGCGCGTTGATCAATCTTGAAGTTACCATATGGAACTGGCCACTCCGTGCAAAGTTCGGTGGAAAGCTCGGCCGCACGAGAACTGGTTCTGCTAGACGAGTCACTTGACGAGGCTTGGGCCGAAGCCCCGGCTGCTCCAGATGACTTGAATGTGGGCCAGAGACCGGTCAGAATAGAAGGAAGCCAGGAGCCTGGCTCTTCACTTTTCGACCAAGGGGTGCTCGAGCTTGACTGTGGAATTGCATGCTTGAAAGGCTCGTCCACTCCGTTGCCGAGCCAGCTTAGGTTGTGAGGGTCGCTACCGATCAGAAATCCGGGCTTCATGTCGATGAACTTGTTACCCCCAAAAGGGTTGTCTGAGAGGCGCTGCCAGGACGCGGGAAGAAGACTCTTTTCCATCTCAGATGACAAAGATGACTGCCCGAGGCTGCCACAACGAGAGGGAAATCCATTGGACTGAAAGAGGTAGGGCTTCGAGGGGTTTGTGAAGCCGCCTCCAAGATCGAATGTTGAGAACATGCTCACTTCAAGTCAACTTTGCTTGCAAAGAAATGGGGCGGTTGGTTTTCTTGGAAGCAGACGAAGCTCTTGCCGGGTGAGAAGTCGCATACTTTTATACCCTAAGAGCCCGGACTTATGCTGGGCATGGACCATGGCTGAAAGTTGGCCTTTATGGAACTTCTGCCTTGCTAAGTCTCATGCATTAACCACGGCCACGCTTGGTAAACCTGGACCAAGATCCTGCCTTTCTACGCGAGTGATAACAGACTATGATATTCTGCCTACAGAATCGACAACGGTTGGGCGAATACGAGCCAAAATACCTGACTCAGCGTCGATCATCGGTCATGGGCACACAGTTGACACCCGAGCAAGTTGACTTTCGCAGAACTTGTCCGCTTTGATGGCAGCCTCCATCTCCAATCAAAGTTGACGCATGGATATTCAGGACAAGGCCTGGCTGAGGGACGCCCACGGAAATCCTTAATTGGATGATATTCCTCCCTGAAGGAGGTTGCGTGCATGCTCAGGTTTCACCAGCCTGACCGGCTCGCATGAAGGCCAAAGCTTCACTCGGGGCTCTTCTCGAACGACCAACTGGAGCGCATATCCTGTCCAGTGCTGCGGTGCTGAATTTGTTGTCCTGCATGGCACGGACTGAGCCACTTACAGACAGGAGAGTGGGGGTACTTTGGTGCATCCTTCGCTTAAACGGCCAGTTGCAGAGTGATTAATGCTCTCGCCCTCGTTAGGCTGAATAAGAAAGAAGGCGAAGAGAGCAGATATCCCTGGGGCATTTCGAGGTCTCAGCATTTCTCGATCACCACTCTCAACTCTGATTGAGAGATAACAGCTCCGGTGACAAATTCGCTTCATAGCCAGCTCCACGATCTTGTCTGGATCTCTACCATATTGCTACTTCCACCTTCCAGCTAGGAAGCAATGTCTGCAAAATTCCTGGAGCGACATCGACTGGAGATAGTCGAGCTTTATATGTGGTCTGGGCTGTCTGGCAAGCCACTCAAAGAGATGATGGTTGAGATTGAAAACAAATGTGAATTGGAATGCAAATGTGGACCCGCGCCGAGGTGGTAGGAGAAACGAATTGCACCTTCAATCCCTGAGCTAAATATGAACACAGTCAAAAGAAATACAAAGACTATTTTAAGTTGTGCGGCGTCTTCAAGAATAATGAAAAAGTTGAGATCGATGAGGTTCAATCCAGATTGGCGGAGCGAATATTGCCGGATGGTGACTACCTGATACTGGCCGACGGCATGGTTCTTGATCCTCTACAGATTCAAAACTACCGAGGGAAAGCAAAAAAGAAGAATGACGACGCCTGCCCGGGTTCAAATCTACCTCCTCGAAGATCGATCGAAGTGATTGAAGTCCCTTGCCCGATCCCTGCGTTGAAAGATCCCCACAAGTTCAGAGTCTTCCAGCGCTTCCTCTGGCTCGCAACTCAGCATTTCAACAGCTGTTTCGATCACAACATATGGAAAAAGGACGGTGGTGACCCCTCTACGGGAGGTGACCTTCGAGCCGATCTGAAAAAGCTCAGCAATCTACATAATATGCTGGTCGACGCATGTCAGCATCCCGAACGTAGGGGGGTGCTGGAGCCAAAAGCTTTCAACACCTTGCAAGTCGTTGCTAACACGAATCACCATCGCCAAATGCCTGACATTCTCGCAGTGCTTCTCCTCTTGGAGAGAAGTGGTAGATCTGATCTAAAGGCTTCGCTGGTGCAGAGGTTGTCTAACCTGGCTGAGTCTATGGAACTCAATGATCCACGCCGAAGGATGTTGGACACTTTGAACAGCCTGCCAATTGACAAGGATGGTCATCTGCCTTTGGCCTTTGATTCATGTTGTCGAGATCTGTGGCGGCGCAGGTTCAGAGGGGACGATCTCATGGCTTGCTATACGTACTACCAAGCTCCTTTCCCCGAAGCACTCCGACCACCTTCTATTATCTGTTCGAAGAAGAGTCAAGGGGAGACATCGATAGCATCCTGCACCAAGTCGACCAGAGGTTCCCCTTGATGAGCCACCCGATGTTTTGCCTCTGGCACATGGCGATCAATTTTCTTTTCGAGAAACAGCGCTATGTGGATGCGGAGGCTGTCTCTGATCGTCTTGTCCAACGGGTCTTGGATATTGGACGTTCAATGGATAAAGACCCGCAAAGTTTCTATGACTATGTCATGAGCCTCTTTTACCGTGGGAAAGCACGAGAAATGGTAAGTCGGGCACAACAAGGACGCCACCAACGCGAGAGCCTTATAAGAGCCAGAGAAGATCTGGAATCCGCCTTGCGCATGCGCCAGGAATTTTTGAAAGATCATCCTACTGCTGTCGATGGTACAATTTCATGGGATGCGCCCTTGAAGGTGATACTCCGTGCCCTTATATCTGTGACAGAACAATTGGGGCTTTTCGAAGAGACTAGTCGATGGCATGCACTGCTTGAGAGAATGTACCGTCGATGAAAGATCAAGCTGAGATACCAGTCAGCTGGGACGGGCGTGGAACTGATCTCATACAGCACTGGTTTTATGAAAGAATTGTTTGTGCTGAGGAAAAGAGAACTTTTGCTATACAAATTACAGTCCATAAGATTCAACCCACCAGGAGTAGGGTGCATTTTTACCATCCTTTCCTTGCCCTGTAACCACGACGCATGTCCGGTCATTTTGTCCCACCAACACCGTGCTTGCGATTTCCTTTACCTTTGCCGTCATCGAAATCCCAAGTCGCTGCCAAAGCACCCTCCTTTTTTCCCTGCCCACAAATTCGTTAGATCGTCCACGAACTAAAGTCTAGCTGGGATGCTAGACTGCCATCCTTCTCCCTAGGTACTGGGGTCCTTCTACCACTGGATGTGCCCGGCGCAATGCTGCTGCTGGTTGCGACTGGGCCTGCTGACGGTGCCTGCTTGTCACCTGATTTACTCATCACGCGCTCTTTGAGTCTTTTGATCTGTTGGAATCTGGCCCTCCACGCACTGGGAAACTCAAAGTCGTCGTCTTTTGTGTTCCACGTCTGGCAAAACATATTGGCATTCAATGCTAGTGTTCGCACAAAGGGGCCAAGCTGAGCCGCCGAGATGATCTTGGGATCGGCTGCAGGTGATATGTTAGGTAAATCGTCTCTCGTCACAACCCGAACCCAGTAAAAGCCTGGCATGAAATCCGGATCTGGTGTTTCTCGGCCGCGGCAGGCTGGTCGGATCACGATATTCACATAGTTCAACTGGGACTTGAAGTTGTTAAACTCCCATTCGAGGCCCGATCGGTTGAAAACGATGTTGACGTGACAGTTACCAACATGCGACTTCTTGGTGATACACTGAGGATCGTCCTCCAGATCCGTCGGCATCATTGTGGGCACATGATAAATGATCTCTTCCACCCGGTCCCGCCATGCTAAGCTATGTTTGCCGTCTCGCGGGAATTCCAGGCCTTGAGGGTTGAAGTTTAGGGGTGGCTCAAGCGAAACAACATAACCGAGACCATCGAGAAGCCTGTCGAAATCGGGACTCCCGCTCGTATTTGCAAGGAATTCAGATTCAGCATTTTGTCCAGGCCCAATGTAAAGCACGCCAATCTTGTGGCTGGTCACGGTTGGAATGCGGTCAAAGCTGTCAAGGGCCCGTTGGACGAAGTCTTCCTGAGGTAGAAGCAGCGGCTGGTCGGCAGCGGTGGGTGTTGCCGCACTAGCGACCATTTGGAGGATGACATGCGGAGGGAGGATTTCGGTCGTGGCTTCTTGATTCCGAATCTCAGTGTAGCCTGGTCGGTGGTGAGATGGCAGCGGAGCAGTCAGCTGTTGGTACCTTGCATATGTCGTACCCGAAGCCTGGCGCTTAGTTATCTGCGTCTTCCCAGTATGACCGGCTGTCTGTGCGGTTACAATACTGAGGCCGACAATCCACGAGGCAGATGAGACTGGTCCATCTTCAGGCGCTGCAAACTTGTGGTCTGGTGAAGTCTCTCCGAGGTCAGAGAATGCTGTTCTCTGCATCATGTCGATCAGAACCTGGCTCTGCTCGTCAATAGTCTCTTCTCCACGTCCATTTTTCCAGACAAGTCTCGGAATGATCCATGGCACATACTTCGCCCTGATGTCCAGTCGAAGGGACAAGAACCAAAAGATCATGTTGTGATAAGCCAATGCGGCAGCATATTGGGGTAACCCGGTGTCAGCCAACATGACCGCTCGGTATGGTGGCCGACGAAAATTCATTCCACTATGTCTTGACGCCGGATTCATTCTACCGGGAGGCGAAGCCACCGAAGAGTGCTGCTGCTCTCTCGTCTTCTCGAGGAACTGGATGCATATTCCAAATATCATCTGAATCTCGTCTGGGTTGAGGTTGGAGTGCATTTCTGGTAACAGTGCAACTTGGATGAGAAATTCTAGGATATGCGTGGTGAGATGAGTCTGCGTCATATTCTTTGACATCTTGTCAATGATGGTGGGATACAGAGTCGCAACCGAAGAAGGAATTTCGAGGCTGCAGAGGGACAGTGCATGGATACAGCCACGCGATGTGCCTTCCCAAGCTCCGCCAATACCCGAAAGAAAGGCTCGAACAAGGTCGTCTCCGAACCCCTTCTGAATGGCTTCAGACTTCATTGTCGCATAAGGGATCAGCGTAACTAAGATGTTGAACATGCACAAGCCAACGTCCGACTTCTTCAGCCCAGTCGACGAGGGTGGCTCTCGGAAGGTATTGTTGACAATCTGTTCACAGAGCACTTGGCGCAGCTTGATGACAGCTTGGATGGAGTTGAGAAAGAGGGCAATGTTGCTCAACTGAGCCGCAGCGTGGACGACGGTGTAGCCGTAAGTTTCCCAATCTTGGTCAGCTTGCAGGCACCGTATGATGCTCATAAGCCATGTGTCCATATCTAGTTCTGCTTGCACCTGTGGGTATGCATCTTTGTCAACATTAAGGATGCTAGATGCTCGCCCCGAAAGTGGGTAAGAGACATCTTCGGTGTCTGGGTACATCCACAACGGTTCACCAACATCCGACCTGGTCGACAAGCTGCTGCTGCTAGCTGAATGCCTTTGCGAAGCAGGAAGGTCGCTGTTGAAAGCTTCGGCGGATTCTCGCGTGCGTACAAGTGCACTGGCGATATGTTGACTTTCGCTAGCAGGGCTGATGTAGACGAAGCCAGCGTCATCAGCTCGCACCCTGAAAATGAGGCGTTTCGAGACGAGACGAGCTGGTCGGTATTTGCAGCGCGAACTGGCTATTTCTAGCAGGACCTCAAAGGCTCTCGCAGCTGCTCTAGCATCGGTGTGGATAGTATAAGCGAAAATAGTCACGAGAACTTTTGTCGTCAAAATTGCAAGATCGTCGTTGAAAGCAAGTCCTCCAGGACCCTCAATGATCAACGTGTGCAGCTTCTCCACCGTGCGAACGGTTGAGGCCTGTGCCTTCACAGCCTCCTGATAGTTTGAAGCCATGCAGTCCAACGATTTGAGGAGCGTCTCGAAGACTTGGGGATCACGCTCAGCATCGATCTGATCAAGTAACCTGTCCAAAATCCATGTGTATGCGACATGGGGCTCTGTGCTGGATTCTGGAGAGGCACTGATAGTGGAGTTACAAGCCTGGACGAGGACTTCGATACCCTTCAAACGACAGACTGGGGGTAGGGAGTAATTCAGGACAATATCATTGTAGATTTTGTCCGAATATTGCCTCCTGACGTTATGGTCTTCAGACGACAAATATTTGTCCTTCGCGTAATCCAGAGTAATTGTCAATTGGGCCTGTCCAGCATATTGCGGAAACATCAGGAAGAGCTCATGGACGGCAACTCGATCCTGGAGGGATAGCAAATCCCATAACCTCATGAAATCATGGGACAGCCTTTTGGCCATGGTCTCTCGATCTCGGAAGTGGCGTTCATATAGGCGATCCTTGTCGTCCTCTTGAGGGTTGATCTGTGGCGAAGTGACTCGAAGGACAGTTGCTTGCGGGTGACCTGAAGGAGTCATTTGCAGGCAGAGCCTCATAATATCCACGGCTTTGGTAAAGTCAATGGTAGCGATTTCGGGTTTCGGGCGATTGCTTGAGAGAATCTCATGCAAGGAGCCGAGGATATCATGGCAAAATCGAAAGATGCCTTGCTGTGCGGCAAAGTGTAATTGCTCTAAAAACTCTCCCAAGCCGAATATGAAACCACCTCGGTTGTGTTGCTCGTCGATAAGATTCCGCAAGAGTCGAGTAGCACCGCGGGCATGGGAGAGATTCTTGCTGTTGTTGCTCAAGGTGGGAGTCCGTAGAAAGGCGTACAGTATACTCATGAAATCTTGTTGCAGGTCACCAGCAGCCAATATCCGAGCGCAGTCAAATAGGTGGTCAGGCAATTCGGGTAGGTTTGCAGCAGAAGCACACAAAACCACGAGAGTCTGATCGAGCCCACTTCTCGGGTATTCAAAATGGGTCATTATGGTGTATAAGATATTTATGCCTCCATTGATATCGCTTTGACGGCTAGTATTGAGGCAGAGAGTGGTGACAGTCTCCACAGCACGGGATAACTCCAGAGGATCAAAATCAGAGTGACCCAGCTCCAGGTAGTCGCAGATGTATTGGAGCAACCAATCGAGACTCTTTTGCTCTTTGAGGGATCCAGACTTGGAGTTCTTATTCTCCTTTCGGGCCTTCTCTGCCTTGTGCGACCACAGAGGTATCCATTGGATCAGCAATGACAGCAACGTGGCGGCCTCTTGATCGTCATGATGGTCTTTCCGGAGGTCCAAGAATCTGCGAGAGACGTCTGTACCCGGTTTGAGGTCTCCAAAACCAACAAGCCAAGAACGTGCCTCTTCTGGCGCATCCCCAACGGATGATCCATCCTTAAGGACGTCTCCCAAGTTGAGAGGCGTTCCGTTGAGGGACGGTTTCTCGGAGCCTCGTCCTCCTTGAACAGTACCGTCAGGGCTGGGAGAAGTATGTGTCGCTATCGGCATGTGCCACAGTGACAACCTCCTCGAATCTCTAGTATTGGGATTGGCCGAGCCTTCCTGGGGTGAGTCATTTTCCTTCGACATACGACACGACTCTTCTCCTAAACAGGACATAGTTAGCCAGGCCAGAAATTGTTTAGGGGTGATGATAATTAGGCTCGGAATGGAGCAGCTTGCCGGGCCATGGAAAAGACAAGACAAAAGCAAGAGGGAAAGGTAGAGGAACCCGAAAAGGCGCCACTCGGTGCAAAGGCGACAGACTGAATGAATCACGGGAAGAGTTGTACTGTAGGAAGAACAGTACCTAGGTAGGTGGGAAATCCAGCCTCGAGACGGATAACAAGGCACAAGGCAGATGGTTGTAGGCCATGAGAAACGAAATGCGTACACACCTTGTAAGGACCCTGGGGGCGAGGATGCTATACAAGCACTGGCGCAAACGAGCGTCTCATCAGAAAGATTTTGTATTTGGCTATCGTCGCGATCAGCCCGTCGAAGATGGAGAGATTCTGGTTTATAATTGTGACGAGACTCGACAACGTCAGGTGGCCACTTTTGCTGATAACAGCGACCACGTTATCAGCAGCATTTGCGACGGGCAGGACGGCCCGCCGAGGGGACTTCGAGACGAGGCTTTTAATGGACACGGATGGTGGAGCATGGGTCGGTGAAAAATGAGAAAGGGAAAATTTTTTCTGGAATCAAGAGATAGAAGGGGTGACAGGACAGGATGAGACTCTGCCAGGACATTTGTTCTGGAATCCTGGGGATTTTATCCGTGACGCATGGCACCGTTGGATGGGAGGCGTTTCGAGCGTGAGGCGTTGAAGGCGTGGGAGCCCGAGAAAAATACAGCGCATGGATGCAAATGCCCCTCCCCGGGAACCAGACGATCTTGACCTGGAGAAGGCCTAGCAGCCTTACCTAGGTATTCTCTAGGCGCTGAGGTGCCTAACAACGGATACCCGCATACCAAGTGACCATGTTCCCTCCTCACTATCATTTTTTCTCCGAGCCTAACCGAAGTTTAAACATCTAGCGGGCTCTATGATCCACTGTATTAGCCTGACGACATTTATACGGTTGACCATTTCTCCTCTCACCAGAAGACCCGCAGGTCAAGGCGGTGAGCTAGCAATTCTGTATTCTGCCAACCCGCAGCCGAGATCCAACTGTCTCGTACTCTCTGCTCTGTATAAACAAATCCTCACCGTCGTAGGCCATCTTTGCCCAGCTGCCATTCAACGTGCCAGTGACCACCTCTTCTTACTCCGTGCTAATCCTTCTGCACTTGGAGTAGCTTTGGATCAAGAAGCCATACACACTCGTTAACTAGGGTGCCTCTATCCCCATCTTTTCCTTCCTGTGTTGTCGGCCAGCAAACCCTCTTCGCCAATATGCGCTAAGATTTCCAAATATTCATTGCAACAACGAGCAACGTTCCACAATCCCCGAGCAACGATATCCACCATGGCTTCCCTCGCGGCTCTGGCTCAACTGCTGGATGCTAGCCTTGACCCTCGGCAGAACAAAGAAGGTATGTTAATTCCGGCACTCTGATGGTTGAATTCGATCTAACGCTACCTAGCCGAGCTCAAGATTCGCGCTGAAGAGAAAAACCCCGGGTTTGCCATCTCTCTCCTTCAAATCACCGCCTCGAGCGACTTCCAGTACAATACCAGACTTGCAAGCGCCCTTTTCTTCAAGAATTTCATCAGACGCAGTTGGACCGATGTGGAAGGCAACTACAAACTTCCTCAGCAAGATGTGAATGCGATCAAAACAGAGATCGTGGGGCTTATGATATCCGTGCCTCGGGGCATTCAGACACAGCTGGGTGAGGCCATCAGTGTGATAGCAGACAGTGACTTCTGGGAGAGGTGGGACACCTTGGTGGATGACCTGATCTCTCGCCTGAAGCCAGGTGATCCTGTGGTAAATACTGGCGTTCTCCAGGTCGCCCACTCAATCTTTGCGAGATGGCGGCCATTGTTTCGATCTGATGAGCTCTTCACCGAGATCAATCATGTCCTTTCCAAGTTTGCCCAACCGTTTCTCTCTCTGTGGCAGAGCCTGGATGCCTACATTGAGGCTCATAGCAATGATAAGGCTGCTCTGCAACATGCTTTTGCTGAACTCGACCTTGTTCTTCAGCTCTTCTATGATCTATCATGCCAGGACTTGTCTCCCGTGTTTGAAGACAACCTAGAGGGCATTTCCGGCTTGCTTCTGAAGTACCTGAGGTACGATAATCCTCTCCTGCATACAGATGACGAATCAGAGGCCGGTCCCTTGGAGAATATAAAGTCCAACATCTTCGAAGCATTGACCCTGTACATCGGCAAGTACTATGACGACTTTTCCAAATACGTCAGAAGCTTCGTCGAGAGCTCATGGAATCTGTTGACCACGACCGGGCCGGAGCCCAAAAACGACATCCTGGTCAGCAAAGCTCTTCAGTTTTTGACATCGATTGGAGGCATCAATGAGCAGGCGCGGACTTTCAACGACCCAAACATTCAACATCAGATTGTTGAAAAGGTCATTCTGCCGAATGTGGCGTTGCGAGACTCAGATGTTGAGATGTTCGAGGACGAGCCTATCGAGTTCATCCGAAGAGATCTGGAGGGGTCAGATAGCGAGACTCGCCGAAGAGCAGCTGGCGATTTTCTTCGTCAGCTTAGCGATCAGTTCGAACAGTCCGTGACCGGAATCGCAATGACCTATGTCCAGAAATGTTTTCAAGAGTTTGCGGCAAATCCTCAACAGAATTGGAGGGCCAAGGACACAGCAGTGAGCGTGTTCTATGCCACGGCCGCGAAGGGAGCAACAACTACCACGCACGGAGTGACCAAAACCAACAGTCTGGTGGATATTGGCGATTTCTTCTCCAAACATCTTGCCAGTGATCTTCAAGATGAGAATGCCCAGCCGCTGATCAAGGTCGACGCCATCAAGTATCTCTACGTTTTTCGAAGTATTATTACAAGGGATCAGTGGCAGCAAGTCATGCCGTTACTCGTTAACCATCTTGGTAATGCAAATTATTGCGTCTACACCTACGCAGCTGTTGCCGTTGAGAGGGTACTGGCCATGACCGACGAGACTGGGCGACCAGTTATCGACCCTGCGCATATTAGACCGCTGGCGAGCAATCTGCTTGAACATCTTTTCAGCTTGGTCGAAAAAGATCAAACACCACAGAAAGTCCAAGAGAATGAGTTTGTCATGCGGTGTATCATGAGGGTCCTGGTCGTCCTCCGAGATGGTATTTCTGCAGTGGCCGACAATGTACTGCGACATCTGACCACCATTACAACAATCATAGCATCCAACCCCAGCAACCCGAGGTTTTACTACTATCACTTCGAGAGCTTAGGAGCGCTGATCCGATTCACGCCGCAGACACAGGCGGGTGCTTTAGCATCGCATCTCTTCAATCCATTTGCCGCCATTCTTGCCAACAATGTCGAAGAGTTCATCCCTTACACCTTTCAACTGATGGGTGCTCTTTTGGAAGCGGAGCCGAACAGACCGTTGCCGCCGGAGTATCTGCCACTGATTGGACCCATTCTCGGTCCGACGCTTTGGGATCAGCGAGGCAACATACCTGCCTTAGTTCGCCTGCTGGTTGCCATTATCCCCCGCGCAGCCAACGAGTTGGTCAGCAGCAACCAGGTGGAAAGTGTTCTGGGGATATTCCAGAAGTTGTTGTCGACCAAAATCTACGAAAGCTATGGCTTCGACCTTCTCGAAATTTCCATCTCAACTTTTCCACCGGCAGCCCTTGAGCAATATTGGGTGCATATTCTGAACATCATGCTTACGCGACTACAAAGCAAGCAATCCCAGGCCTTTCAGTTACGGTTTGTCCGGTTCTACCATTTCGTGTCGTCACACCAGGAGAAGGGTCTTGGGACCGATTTTTTTGTTGCTGCTACGGATCGCGTCCAGCATGATGTTTTCCGCCAGCTGTACCTGAGCATCATCTTGCCAAAGACCCAAGAACTAGCTCGCCCTCTCGACCGGAAAATGGCCGCTATTTCTCTCACAAAATCACTCGCAGATTCCCAAGCTTTCGTTGAGCGTTATCCCAAAGGCTGGGGACTGACGTCTAATGCGCTACTCAAGCTGCTCGAAGACCCTCCGCTTCCACCTAAGGCCGACGACGCCATCGCAGAGATTGACGTCGAAGACAGCAGCTTTGGCGTTGGGTTTACGCAGCTGAACACCATCCGCCCGCCACCGCTTGATCCTTTCCCCGAGGTAACGGATCTGAGGCGATGGGTGGGACAGTATCTCAAGGCAGCAGATCAGCGACACGGGGGCAGAATAAGCAGAGCGGTCAATGACTTGAGTCCGGATTCGAAGAAGGTTCTGAATGCTTACATGACCCTCCAGTAGCACGGGTTTGGAGCACTGCAGGTCGAGAGAAGCATTCGTTCGGAGTGCACCGCCATCTGTCAGGATAGGTTCATGGAAGTGGAAGGATTCTTGCCGGCGAGGGGTTTGTACTTGACCGAACTAGTTTCATATACAGTTGATTGTCAAGGAAGAAAAAAGCTCCGTGTTCACTCACCCATGCTTCGTTCAGGACCTCAGACACAATGTCGTCTTTCAGGCAGGTTAATCATCATGTTATCTACCCTTAGCGGCACAGTTTCGATTCTGATCAGGAAACGGCCGAAGACCCATCTTTATGCTGCCGGAGGGACGGTTGATAAGCGAAATTGGAGGACTGTGGCTAAACCCGTGAGAGACAAGGCTGAAACCCAATTGTGCCCTGTGATTGGCTATGCACATTGTTTGAAGGATGCCTTATGGTCATGTCTCAAGTATCGGCTAGGGTACGGAGCTGTGATCACGGATCAGACGCCGCCAACCATAAGTTGACGGTAATGGAGGCTCCATCTCAGGTCTCTCATTCCTATCCTTCCGCAAGGGAGAAAGGAAGACGTCCCACACGTATTTTTGCGGCAATACGCCTATACCATACCTATGGAGAACTGAGCAATTCTCATGCCGGTGACGGCAGTTCAGCGGCTCTGTAAAGCGCAAGTCTCCAGTCCCTGTCGTTGACAGTGTGACAGCGAGCAGCGCCACGTGTGTTGGTCTTAGAAAATCAAGTCTCACCCTCTCCGTCGAGCAATGAAACGCCGTCAACAGACTGGCATCCCATCCATCCCTCATCGACATAAGCACAAGTGAGGAATCCTTCCACTCTCTCTTGTGGGCGACAATTTGACATGTTAAACTTATAAGACCGATCTGGGCCTTCGAACGGCGCCGTTGCGCCGTCGACCGCTCTTACGAGAAGCACTGGCCTGGTTGTTCAGCGCCCGAGAGTTGAGAATGGACTTTCTAGAGCCACGGAGGGCCTACACTCGGGCACACACAGAAGACATAGAACTCAGTAGCCCAGATGTCTACTTGGAGCAGCATTCTTTGGGGTCCAAGTCCAGTTTCACAACGACCTTCAGCTCGACGATCAAAGATGAATCGCCTCTCCTTGACGCTGATAGCCGTCCTGGTCGGAAAGGATTCTACATCTCAGGAAAATCTCTGAAACTCCCCTTCTTCGTCTGGCCGACTCGCCTCTACGGGTGGCGCACCGGCGCCCTCACAGCTGCCCTGCTTGGCGCGATATCGTTGCTGATCAATCTCGTGGTGGTCTCCTGGCTTGCTGCCCGCGGCCACGGATCTAGCCTTGTTGAAATCTACAACGGTCACTGTGGCAAGGTCGAATCCCTGGACATTTGGATCCACCTGGCGATCAACACGCTCAGTACTTTACTCCTGGGTGGTTCCAATTACTGCATGCAATGCCTCTCTGCTCCTTCCAGGGAGGATGTCGACCGCGCCCATGCGAGGGGTGAATACCTGGACGTGGGGGTGCCGAGTGTGAGAAATCTGAGGAGGATTGCACGACGAAAAGTAATACTATGGTGGGCCCTGGGATTGTCCTCCATACCTTTGCACCTCATGTAAGGATCTTTCGAGGCTAGAGTTCCAGTCATTCATACCGGTCCTGATCACTTGTAACAGGTACAATTCTGCATTCTACAAATCCCTTGAAACCAACGACTACAATTTATACTTTGTCACACAAGATTTTGTCGATGGCAAACCGTTTGTGCCGTGGGATGGTTACTCGGACCTACCCGACCAGAACGATATCCAGTCTTCACTCCTCACAGATCCGGACACATGGGAACGCCTAGACAACGACGCATGCATCCGTGCCTATGCCACGGAATTTTTGACCAGTCGCCGGAATTTGGTTTTGTTGTCAAATAACAGCACAAAAAAAGCGAACGAGAGTGTGCTGGAGGTGGCAGACTATGGCTCTGGGGACGTAGATGCCTTCGACTGGTGAGATTGTGCCTCTTCAAGCTTCAGCTTTGTCTTCCTGACAAGATATCCAGGATTTGCAACAGTGATACAAACATAGCGTCCAAGGTCGATGTACCTTATGGACCGGACGGCAACACACGACCATGCGAAACATGGGTTTCTAAAGTCGAAGCCATTGCAACCCGATGGCAACCCTACAATTTCGACGTCGAGTACTGTCTCTCTGAGCGGGTGAGTGAGAGATGCAGCTATAACGGCAACATTCCAATTATAGCGACTGTTCTGGTATGTAATGCCATCAAGATTGTGGGAATGCTCTTCGTCGCCTTTCGATTGGAAGATAATCCTTTGATCACGGTGGGAGATGCCGTGGAAAGCTTTTTGAACGAAAATGACAAGTCGACCGAAGGCTTTTGTTTGCTGAGCAAGAGCGATGTGGTCATGGGCATGCAGTCAAAGAGCCACTGGTCGCTTCGAGCCCGAGGGGGAGATGTCCAATCGAGGGCCAAAGTGGCTCGGCTACGCACAAAAATTGGGCTCCAAGCTGCCAGCCTTACACGGTGGTCATCGACCGTTGGCTTCCTGGTCCTGGCGTTGATCGTGGTGGCCGTCTTTCTGGCCATTGCAGTCAAGGCCATCCATTTGGACGGCTTCGACATTGGCGCGATTGGCTTTGGCAAAGTCACTCAGGCGGCGGTGATCAGCGGTTGGCAGGTCGGCGCCACTGGCTCTGCATCGTCCAAGATCCTCTCCGCGATCCTCATCGCAAACTTGCCGCAAACCATCTTCAGCTTCTTATATCTGAATCTGAATGGAGTATTGACGAGCATGTGGTTAGCGAGCGAATGGAGTAATTTCGCCACGCAGAGGAAGACTTTGAGAGTGTCGAGACCGAAGGGGGCACAAAGGAGCACACACTTCCTCCAGTTGCCCTACAAGGCTGCCGTGCCCTTGATGGTTCTCTCCGGAGCCTTGCATTGGTTGATCTCACAGAGCATCTTTCTGGCGGTGGTTGCGGAATATAACGCCGACGGGACTCTCTATGACCCTATTTTTATTGCCTCTTGTGGTTTTTCTCCCCTGGCCATGATTGTGGTGCTTGTGCTGGGAGGAGTCCTCGTTGTTGCTACTTTGGGGCTGGGGAACATGATGAGATATGACCCATCGATACCGTTGGTGGGGAGCTGTAGTGCGGCTATTGCGGCCGCGTGCCATCAGCCGAATTGGGACACTGACGCTTCACTGAAGGCTGTGCAATGGGGCGTCATCCCCGGGATGGCTGACGGTGATGGAGTTGGGCATTGTGCTTTCAGCAGTGGCGATGTTGAGCCTGTACGCGAGGGGAGAGCATACACTGGGATCACAGACGACAAGCAAAGTCTGAAGTCAGTCGAAGGACACAACAATGCCAAACGTCGAGCCCGACGACATGTGGTGTCGGACTGATCTCGAACATCAATACGATCACGACGACGGAATCCCAGGGACTTTCCTTTAGTGTTAAAAGAGAATTAGAAGTTTCTCTCAGCAACGTGACTTGACTATATGCATGTCTGATCTCGCTATATTGAGAAGCCATAAGATGCGAGTCGCCGACGAGGCTGTGAGTTCTCCACTCTGATTGGCCATAATCTAGCCGTCCCGGCAGACCTTCCTTTCATGAAAGAGCACATAGATTTTTTTGGCGTTTCTTCGAAATACGATCTTTTGCTGTGAGCTTGCCGCATGCGAACTTCATGGCTCGACGGGCTGTGCAGGTCGGATATCATGACAGACGCCGACATTTTAACAGACCAGCAGATTGACGACCTGCTGGCACAGGCTGAAGTCCGCCTGCGGGAGAAGTCAAAGTCCACAAATGAAGACGAGATCAGCTTGGAGATTGTCACACCAACAACGACATCCAGGAAGATGTACGCCTTTCGTATCTCCTGACCTGGATGTCCTCGACTGACTCTCGTTGCAACAGAATTCCTAAAATCCACCATGGCCTCGTCCGATCGAGATATATCAATGACAAGCAGGGTGTCGCTGAGACCAATGCAAAAGCCATCTTAGAACGCCAGCAAAGCCTGTTGGCGGATGGCCTCAGGTCTGTCGAAACGGTTCAGAAGTCCAAGAAAACGGTACGTGCCCCCTTGCGTTGGAAATAGTCTGGTTCACATGAGGAAATCTATTCCCATTCTCTTCTTGACGCAGATCAGCAGTCCATTCTGGCCTGCCCTGCACCCATGAAAGTATTTATTCATAGTTACTCTGACTGTACCTTCGATTTCTGCTTGATTGGACCTGTCATCGCGAGTTGTGACTCGGCTAATGAATCAACAGAATGACCAAACCAGTGCAGGCCCAGACTGGTTCGACATGCCCAAGACACACCTGACTCCTCAATTGAAGCGCGATCTGCAACTCATCGAAATGCGATCAGTGCTCGATCCGCACAGGCATTACAAGAAAAATAACAGGAAAGGCAAAGTACCGACATTCTCGCAGACGGGGACAGTCATTGAAGGTCCCACAGAGTTCTTCAGCGCAAGAATCAACAAAAAGGATCGCTCGAAGAACTTTGTCGAAGAGGCAATAGCTACCGAGAGGGAGACTGGGCGATTCAAACGGAAGTACAGCGAAATCCAGGAGTCGAAGACAAGTGGCAAGAAAGCACACTACAAGAAGCTCATGGCAAAGAGGAGAAAAAGACCTTGAAAGTGAGCGTGTTTGTGAAATGCAGAGATTCATGATGCCAAAGAGCCCAACACGCATAGGCTTCCTCCAAGCGTCGTTCGTGCTTGGTTTGACCGCACGGCCGAAGGAATTTTGCACGGCTGGTGAGTTGCCCCAGCCTTATTCAGGCTCCCATACTCTGCGGAGATCCTGCTCTTCTTGAAATCACTTCGAGCCACAAGAGGCAGGCAAGGGAGCCAAAAGCACCGCGACTACAGGAATGTAGCCGATTGGGACTCCGGCTTTGCTCGACACAGCCGCAGCTGTCGGCCCCCATCATTACCGAGGCCAATAAAGGCGGGAGAGATCCATATCAAACAAAACTTGCAGAGAGGCAGGCGGGTTGAAAGTATCCTAGGAGTAAAGCAATGCAAGGAACTCCTAAAAATGTAAGAGTTCTGAGATAATAGCTTGCTGCAGGCATCAGGGGGCTGCATCAGGGGACTGGGAGGAGCGGCCCAACGCCCAAAGATTTTGATAGCACTAACGTAAGATGATGAGAGGAGATTTGGGAAGGAAGGATACTTTAGGTACGCGGTACTTGGTAGTACACTGTGCATGCACCATGGGTTAGGTATCCTGACGGCCCGTAGCATGTGGCAATCGCAATCTACTTGTGCCTAGAAACCATTCTTTGCTCAGCTTGACATGGGACTTGATAATTGTTTGCTACTCGTAGTCGTGGCTCTCTGGCGTCCGCTGAGAAAAGGGTGCTGACTTGATTCGAGCCCCGTTGGGTACCCTCCGAGCCTCCTCGTCCCTCCTGCAGTGGCCATTATTGCTGGCGTTGGCCTCCCCTTAACAACTCCTTTCTCAGCGCCTCGACTTGAGCCGTTATGGGACTGTCAATCCAATATCACACCGTCCAGGCCGTTGCCGTCGGGCCTCCGACCCCACAGACCCGTTTCTCCTAAAATTTCCCATTTCTCCCAGCGACGGGCGTTGGTGGCGCCATAGAAGCAATCGTCCTCCAAATCCTCCACAAATCGGATGGCGCTAACCGAAGCGTTCAAGAGCAATCATCCCCCATCCTGTTTTTGATCGAGGCCATCTCGCTACTGCATCTGCCGGACGCAAAAAGAGATGACTTGGGACACGTGCATGACGATGAAGTCATTTGGAGTCTGTCCGGAAAGAGGACGCTGGCGCACGACTGCAAACAGGTTTAAGAATGCATGGTCCAGCTCCACGCAGCTCCTTTCAGGATGCAGCCCTGGCTGAATCGTTACGAATCACCTTCTACCCCCTCCGACGATCCATCAAGTCGGCTTGGGAAGCCTCCAGGCTTGGTGGAAACATCAAGAAACCCTATGTGAGACACGCCATCAAAGCAGGATTGCCATCGACCAAGCACAAAAAGCCCACCAAGCGACCTCGAAGCACGAAGCGAAGGCCTGTTATCTCGCGAATAATTCTCGTTGCAGACACCTTGTGCCTCGAGTTTTGAGACTTGGGGATTATGTCCCCTGCCACCGAGCCGGCCGAAAAAAGGTTCACATTCTCCCATCAGGCCATACCTGAAAGGCCAGGGCTAACTGGGCTCAGCAGAGGGTGCAGTGACGGCCTGACAGGCATCCGCCCACGTCTTTCCGTTTCCTGCCGCTGGCGTTCAAGCCTCATCTCAGGCCCAATCGCATCGAAGTGGTCTTTGGCTACTGGCCCAGTGCTGGGCAGATTGGCCAGTATCAGACCTGCGCCGCGACTCCGCCCCCATTGGCGAGATATCTTTAGCTGGCGCCACAAGGAGACGCCCCAGACAAATACTAGGCCCCTTTGAGCGCCCACCAGGTCATACCGCGGGCCAAGTCAGCTATAATCCAGAGCCTTTTCTCCTACCCAGCCCCAACCACCGACAATACGATAGCACGACGATTACTCGGTAGATCTACGACGTGCCGCTGCCGTTCCACGACTCCCTGACATCCATCATTCTGCAGACTAGGATTTAACCTGATCGTTGCCTTGGTCTGTTCACTCTTCTGCAGAATCCATGCGCAATGCGTGCGCGAGGTGAAGCCTCGCTGCGAACCACTAGCAGTACAACCTCAATGCCCCTCCTGATTGGAGAAGACCCGTGGGAGCTCGAAATTTGAAACAACTACATCTCCATAACAACCATGACATCTGTCCTGCGCCTGGGCAACAAGGACCGTTCGTCCTTCTCGTTCTTCAAGCGACAGAGCTCTGATAATACATCGGATGTTTCTTCCGATAATCTTGCCCACCGCCTTCCCGACATCTCACATGTCGACACTCGATCCTTTGCGGAACTATTTGACGAGTTTATGACCAAGGAGATCAACGACGTACCCAAAGTCCAAGTGCAAACTGAGGCAACACAGGCCCCCAAGTTGTTGAAGGACATCGCCTCCAACCCCCCGGCCCAAACGACCCTATCTACAAAAGCTTTCGATACCAAGGTCGACTTTTTAAAAGTCAATATCACCAGGAATGACTCTGCAGCATCATCTTGCTATTCTCAACCAAGCCAGAGGGATAGCGATTGCTCGCCCTTGGTCACGAGGCAGTCTTCGAGCTCAAGCTATACCCAGGAGCCGTCACCCGCAAATCAGAAAACGGTTACGTTGAAACCCACGCCTATATCGATCCCTAAACGACTGACCCAAGGATTTTGGGGCAATTTTACAGAATCTCCTGTAAGCGCTCAGCCTTCGCCGTCAAGGGCCAACTCTTCTCTGATAAGGGTCGTATCGGTGCCGCCAAACCTCGATAAACCACTTCCCCCGGGCCCAACCGACATAAAAAGAGCTTCCACTTCGGTACCGGATCTACTTCTACGTCAACCACTGGCGGAGCTTCCGTCGGTGTTTCCTATCTCAACCACTCACTCCTCTACCAAAGTACAGCGCACGTATTCTCAACCGAGCGTGATGGTCTCCATGAGACGGAGCTCTGATGGCGGTGCCGTATCAGAACTGCCGGCATGGTCGTCACGATCAATGCGAGGGCCTTCGTCGGAGAGGACTGCCAGCCATGGACATCACAGAAATCGCTCAGTGTCTGACACGGAGGTCCCGCATCCCGGACGTTCTTTGACCCAAGTTTCCAGGCGCCACACGGTTGATATGCAGAAGCTCGCTTTGACTGCCACCTCTTCCTTTCGCCCGAATCAGACAGCCAGAAAGCAGAATCGACGTCCGATCACTGCCGCCACCGCGGAGCGTGTTATCTACAGAATCATGTGCAGCTTGCACAGCGCACAAGACCTCCAGGCTACTGCCATGGTCAGCAAAGGCTTTTTGCGGACTTTTCAGCGCAACGAGTCCAAGCTAGTAAGCCATTTGATTTTCAAGACATCACGAGCTGCTTGGGAGCTTCGGCGGAGCATTCTGGCTTTGAAAGGATCGAATGACTTTCTCCTGAAGGATTATCGCCGTGACTGCCGAACGCTTGACGCGCTAAAGGCGTTCATCGTAGCTCACTGCAGTTCGAGCTGCAAGCGAAGCACTCTCGTTGGTCTTCTTGGTCAAGATGATGATAGAAAAGCTCGGGTTGATGATGCGTTGTGGCGCATATGGACTTTCTGCACTCTATTTGGAAACACGGTTGGTCAATCTGGGCCCGCGCAGACGGAAATCGATTGGCTCAACGGCAGCAGAGCGGCCACCAACAAACAGCTCGGTGCCGGTTTCGCTATTGGAAACGGAAAGGGACTGGCGACTCACGAACTAGAGGATATGAACGAGATGTGGCAGTGTTTACAAATCCTCATGTCGGGTTTCTATGGTCGAGAACAAGAAGCCAAGCGATATGGAGTCTTTGACAATTGGCACTTGCGAGACACAACCTCAGAGTCTCAACATCTCGTAGAGTGGACTTCGTATCTACTCGCCCTTGGTCCACAAACCGTTCTTTCATTGTCAAGCTGCTCGTTCGAACAGGCAAAGATGCTTGGCCTGACAAACTGGCCAATTCCACAGGCAGGTCAAAGTCGATCATCCTTCTTGACCACGGCAATTGCACAAGTCTACCAAGAGAGGGTGCTTGAAGATGCCACTCGGAGGGCAGCACGGATGTCGCTACGACACATACCAGGACAAAACTCAGTCCCCCGAGCCCCGGTCCATCGCCCAACCAGATCACTCGACGAACAAATGGTCAACTTGCCTTCCGCTCGCGCCACCATTCAGTCGCAACCGCTGCGGATTGATACCTCTAGCCTGAAAAGGAGACCAATCTCGACGAATGCTTTTGCAGAGGTACGACTGGAGATACGCCCGGACTGCGATCCTGCGAATGATCGGCAAGAGATCCGACCTGATTGTGATCCTGGTTCTAGGATGAACCGGGCATCACACCTTCTTCCGACCTCTCCCTCAACAGATCCTACAGTCTATCATTCGCTTTCAATGACTTCGACAGCAAGCACCAAACTTGGAGCTACGTTATTCCCTATGGACTATGCCAGTCCTGCGCCTCGAGTTCCTTTCCGGACCCCTGAGCCGGCCGCAGCCACAGCTTCTGGCATTGTGGATCCGGTCGACAAAGCAATGAACCTCTTGGTGCGTGAATACGGGTTTCCTGAGACGAGAGCGAGGAAGGCTCTTGCCATGTGCGATTCGGGTTCCGGAATTGATTTGCAGAAGGCGATCGAATTATTGACTGTCGATTCAAAGGATGCACAAAAAGGGAACCCTCTGCCTGTAGAGTTACCTACACCTGCCAGTGTCGCTAGTTCCAACAGACTGAAGAAGGCTCAGCCGTCAAAGGCATACTGCGACGGCCATTGCTCGCGAACGCCGACCTTCTCGCACTCCAGAAACAAATCGACGGGCACTACGGGCACCGGGACAGATGTCTCTCTGAGTCCGGTCTCGGCGCTTGGTGAAGAAGAGTGGCAAGACACAATATCTCCACTTCTTTGTACGCCAACATTGGGTCCTCGATTGAAGGCCCCAGTGGCTCGAGGGCCAAGCAAGGCTAAAGCATGGAAAGTGCTAGGAATGGACAGCCTGCCTAAACGGAAGAACTCAGTGCTTCATATCGACGAGTATCAAGCCAAAGTGGAAAGACGAAAGAGCATGCGCGCGAACACCAATGGAGAGCAGCAAAGTTCGAAGATCAAAGAGGGGCTCGGCAAAAACTTGCTCGGTTTGGGACTTGGTATCGGTAGTGGTGCTGGAGCGAAATCGGCGGAGGCACAACTTGAGCGTGTTCGCGAGGAAGAGAGGCGGAAGAAGGAGAAAAACCGTACCAGTTGCATGCCCAGATATGCCTGAGCTTACTCTCTGTGAACCCAGTGCGGCGTATCACCACGTTCATGAGGTATTTGAGGGAAGAGCGGAGCTGAGGCCAACAGCGTTTCCCTGCGATCAACGTTGCGCTTGCCCTGTCTCTATTCTGGCCATATTTTCACTTCTGCATATTAACCCCAGGAGTTGGATGTTCGACAAGGACATTCTGAAAACTCCACACGGATTCGAAAAGGGAACGAATCCTTCACTCATTTTGCGAATATATGACGACTTTCAGGCGAACACATTCTGCACATGGAACGAGATGACAGGGAAACAGAAACACGACACAAGGGACATGACACGAATCTGCGGAAATGCAACAATTGACGACCAACATATACAATTTTTATACTGATGACATGCACTTCTCGGGCACAAAAGAGCCGGGCTTCAGGCGAAGCGGACACGATACCTAGTACATATCTTTTATTTGTTTATGGGCTTCATGGGTTTTCTCGGGTTTCCCCTATCCGATTACAGGAGTTCATACTTTCATTTGGTGGCTTTCGCTCCGCAATCATGTTCCCATACCCACCGTCATTTACTGGAGTTCCGCCGAGAATATCATTATATACATTTCAATCACGAGATATATGAAGTTTCAGACAATAAACGAGAAAGGTCCATTCTTTGAGTCTTGTTCCTGCTAGGCACTCGACCTGGCACACTCGTTGTTAGCAACTACTCTTTAGACTCTTTACACGAGACCTTTCGAAGTTTCTTTTGTTGATCAATGCGCAGCACGATTTCCACCCAAACGCTACCCTCAATTTATGTCCACTTGTAGTCTTTGCCAAACCCAAAGTAATTATCATATTGTCACACGAAACAAGCTCTTCCCTCTGCATTTTATCAATCCAACGAAGCAAATAAGCTCAAATAGATACCCCAGAACAAGCCCACCACGCTCGCCACAATCACCCTCCTATTGACAGGCACGAGGGTGAAATTGAGGAGTGCCACAAAGGGCCAGAGCTTCCAACTGCTAATCATCAACGGGACTGTATCCCTCTCCACCTCGCGCTGTACGGCCTTTGCTGATTTCCCCTTGAAGGCCGCCATGGCGGCGACGAAGGCGACCGTGTTTACGAAAGCGCCCAGGGTTTGGTCAAAGAGGAATTTGCGCAGCGTGTTGGGGATGTGCAGCTGCTTATCCGGGCCGGTCGGGGAGGAGGAGGTAGTGGAGGCAGAGATGGGTAAGACGGTGTAGCCCGGGAATTTGTATTCGAGGTATTCTTGCCAGAGAATGTTGGGCGGGCAGGATATCAAGGTGAAGATGACGAATTGAGCCAGGGGAGCGAGTTTGATTGTGAACGGGAGTGATTCTCGGTAGGATTTTATGCCTTGGGCGGCCAGGTTTGAGACGGCCGAGAGGCATGCGGCTTGGAGGGTTGTGGTGATGAGGTGGGAGACCATGGTGATGGTGGTGGAGTGTTCGTGGTCAGCTCAGCAGGGGGAGGATAGAGGAAGAGGGGCGGAAAGGTCCTCGTAACAGCGACAGCGAGGAGTATGTTATGCACATGAAGAGCGTCGAAGAGTGAGACACTTGATAATGAAAGAAAAACGACTCAATTGAGACCAGTTGATTTCACATGCAAGTTGCCAGATTGCGGAGAAAGAGACAACTGAGATCGTGGAGAAGAGGCGCCACTAGTGCCAGAATACGGCGCAGTAAGCAGCCTTAAATGACATGCATTGAGTGTCTACATGTTGTACCGTATGTGGTCACGTGGAAGCCAGGTCTCGGATGCCAACGCATCCCACCCCCGCCTCCCAGCTGAGTTTTGATGCCCGAAGTGAGGCGAATCATGGGCTCTTAGCCCTTTGCAGTGACCTTGTCTGCCATGAATAGTACGAGGTACCTATACCTGGGAAGTAGCGAGGGGACAACATGGCACAGGCATGTCCCAGCCTCGCGGGCGGCGCATGACGGAGAGGCTTGCTGGGTGGCTGGGAAATGTACCGAATAATACTCGTTGATGGTCGTGGATCAAGGTGAGATTCGAACCGTGTGATGGGCCAATCTACCGACTACGGTTGATGATCAGGCGTGAGCGCCACGGGCAGGCAAATAGAAAACCACTGGCAAGAAAAATGGCCCAGTCATTGTCGTCCTTGGTGTGTTGTCTCAGCGCATCCGTCGACGCTCTGTAATTCGTCCCATTCGTCGCCCTGGTCGGTCGAGTGATGGAAGTCCGATTGGTTTGTCGGAAAGGCTTTGTTGACATGATGAAATTGAGATGGGCGAGGCTCTGTCTCGAGTCTCGAGGAATAAGGACCGAAAGACGGTAGACATCTGGCCTTCATGAAGCTCCGATCTCGACAGTTGGCGGGTTGCTTGGTGACCAGCACCCAGACACCCAGACACCCAGACACCCAGTGCCCGTCACCCAGGGATTCAGCTGAGCTCCATGGGCTAGGGTTCCCCGCGCTTGCGCTGCAGGCCCAGCTCTTCCCTTGCCTCTTCCCTTCTACCACCACTACCGGGTACTGCCAGTGTGTAAATACACCTTGGATTTCCTTCTTCCTACTCTCCTACATTCCCTCTCCCCCTCCACTCTTCCCACACTTCCTCACCGACAATCGATCCACCCTGCCCATCGGTAAATCCGGTTTTTCGCTGCTTCTGTCACTGCGCCGTCCATCGCGCGACACTGACCGCTCCACTGACATCAATTCGCATCCTCATTCTGTCCGGCGCGACACCCGGAGTTGGCTGGGTCGTGGATAGAGGCATCAACATCACAGCATCTTTTCTATCATCTTCTCTGTGTCCTCGCCCGTGTCGCACTCGCTGCCTTGCGATACAATCTCCCACATCGCTTCCTCTCTCGTCTATAGCTTGCGGTTGCGCCATCGTCGATATTGTCCCCGTTGAGTCCGTGCACCACTCTGCCTCCAGAAGCCACCTCCAGCTACGTCGAGGCATTTGGCGATTATGGATCAACAACAGAAGACGGCTGCTCCGGTCTACGACCTTTCTCAGGGCGGTCACTACGGAGCCAGCGCCGCGGTGAGTGTCTTCACCTTCCTCCCTTTGGATTAAAGTGCAGGCGTCTGCTGGCGCAGAAGAGGAGGCACACAAAAGGGCACATGGCCATGCGCAGATTTGATCTTGTTCTGGAGGACCGACATACTGACACAAGATTATAGTTGTCAGCTCAAGGCTACGTTCCTCATACCGAATTGTACTCGGGACTATGGTCAAATGTCTGTGATCATCCATCCCAACCCCAATGCCAAACACCATGCTCACCAGTCTGCAGATCAACCAAGGGCTTACTGGGCCTTCTAGGGAAATCCTGGCAACGTATTGGCAACAGACCATCAACCATCTCGAGACGGACACCCACGACTTCAAGATCCATCAACTGCCTCTGGCAAGAATCAAGAAGGTCATGAAAGCGGACCCGGAGGTCAAGATGATCTCCGCTGAAGCTCCCATCCTCTTTGCAAAAGGCTGCGACATCTTCATCACAGAACTTACCATGCGCGCTTGGATCCACGCCGAGGACAATAAGAGACGGACTCTGCAACGTAGCGACATAGCTGCAGCCCTTGCGAAGAGCGACATGTTCGACTTTTTGATCGACATTGTCCCCAGAGAAGACAGCGCCGGGCACGGGAACTCGAAACGGCCCAACACCAGCGGCCAAGCTGCGGCCGCGCAAGTTCCTCAACAACAAACTCAACAACAAATGCCACACCCAGACTACGGCATGCAGCATGGGACAATGGGCCCACCTGACAGCCAATACGGAAGACCCCAAATGTACCCGGGCCATATGGGCGGTGATGCGCAACAAGATCCTAGTCAAGGCTATGGTCAACCTCCGCAAATGTTCACTGGCGGCGAGATGTACAATCCTTATGCCCAGGGACAGTTTGGTGGCACTGGTGCTCAACAGGTAGGTGGACTTCCGTGATCATGAACCTATATCGACAACGGGCATGTACACCTCCTTGCTGAGAGCTATTTGCAGTAGACGCTGACTCGGAATTTTCGAACAGATGTACTCGAATCTCCCAGGCCAGAGACCACAAAGTCAAGGATATGGAGGTCCAAGGCCTGGCACTGCTGGCAGAGATCAGCAGGTCAATGAGCAAGGTTATGGACCTGGCTAAGGACCCAGATCAGATCGGACTCTCCGCCACCACCACAAGTGCCAGAAGATTTCAAGACTTTACCATTGGAAGGACCAAAATTGATACCACTGCCGTTTGATGAATTTGTTTGAATGCAAAACAAAGACCACTACGTTTTCCCACTTCAGAAATGGATACCACGAGCGAGGGTGACAGCAATATCTCACCACCAAGGACAACGCCGACCAAGGCAGAGAGACGGATTTAATAACCCATGGGCCCCAGCACAACACGGTCTTTAATGGACTGCATCCACAGCAGAATGGAAATCTTTGGTTTAAACTTCCCCCAGATATTGGTTTCCTCCCGCGTCTTTTGCTCCCTTTTCAGAGTAGAAGCCGATTCGTAAAGTGAACGTTTCTAGCACCGTACCATCCGCCTCCTCGCCAGCAAGCAGTGCTTCTAAGTCGACACAGAGCCTTCCTTGTGACGGATCGCGACGACGAAGGAGCTGCTTCAATCCGCCCTAGCAAAAACCACCGCCCAGACTGGCTGCGATGCGTGACACAAGAGCCCCTGTTAGGATGGATGGCAGGGTGGAAGGGCCACCTGTACCTCGTACTGTAGCATACTGTAGCTCAGAAAGTCCCCCAGGTCCGATTGACGTGGATAGATGTGGACAGACAGTCAGACAGCCCTGCGCCAGAGAGAGAAAGAAAGAAAGAAATGGAGACCAGCCCATCGACACAGAAGTTTCGCGCATTCGGGGGCGAGGGGGAACACGAGTAGGGGGCCTTTTATACTATTAAACCAGACAACATGATAAGAGTAGAGAAAGGAAGATAGATGGTGGGAGAAGAATTGGGTAAGATAGGTAAGATAAGCGTGACGCGAGCTCTCTCTCTCTCTAATAGAGGAAAGAATGAATATGTAATATTCATCCCTCAATGAGAGGTATACATAATGAGGAGTTACCTAGTTCTCTAAGGGTATATTTGGCTTGCGCCGTGCATGGCAATCGCGGCGGGAAGCCGTTGTTTTTGTTTTGGGAATCCATGTGCAGTGGCTGGCCTCGTGGAAGAAAGGTATCTAGGTAGAGAGAAGAGGCCACGGACTCCTCAATAGGTACTAGGTATGTATGTAGATGGATGGGGAGGTTGTATTTTTCACCGCCCGCTGCCATGAGACATGAACCGATTCTGCAGCGCCGCAAAAGTGTTGCCACCTCTCGAGCCTGTGCTCCCACTATGTGCCAGGCCGGCACCGCCGGGACTGTGCACGCCGCCATCTTTTCCACCGTTGTCACCACCGTCAAAATGCACGTGTTGCGCGCCTGCGCCTCTAGCAGCAGACACGGCTGGCGGTCTGACTTCGACATGGACGACCTTCTCCAGCAGCTCGGGACCCTTGAGCGGGTCGACGTTGCGGTATTTCTTGTTCCGCAGAGAAATGTCGTAGAACTCGTCGGGCTGGTCGGTGCTCATCAATGCGACCGTCTGGATCAGTTCGTCCAGCGACTCGAGCAGGATGCTGTTGTTGGGCAGGGTCTCGACGTAACTCCGGAAGTGTTGGATGTCCATGTCCATCTGGGCGATGCAGGCCGTGGTGATTCGATCTACTTGTGGCGACAGCGGTAAGGAGAGGATGCTGGATGCGGTGTGGGAGATGGCGTTGAAGAGCATGAGGTCTTTGAGGGAAGACGGGAGAGAGAGAAGCACGCTGTTGATTATGTTGGACAGGTACCGCGTTAGGGTGAGGATGTAGTTTGATGGTTCGGTTGGGGGGTCGCGGGACAGCCAGTCATACTCGGCCGTCTCGATCAGGTCGCTGACTTTGCTGTTGACAAGCTCAAAAATGCGGTTCTCGGCCGTCTTCTGGTGCGTGCTGAATTGCGCAGTGGCCTTGAGAGAGACGGGTGGGCCAACACCCACGCCAGCGCTTCCTCCTCCGCCGCCGCCGCCGTTGAGAGCTGACGAGGATGCCGACGAACGCGCCGTGGCCAGCAGCGTTTCGAGTTCGTGGCAGGCGGTGGTGAAATGGGAGAGGTTGATCAGGATCTGCACGATTTGGCCCAGGTACTGCGACGAGAGTTTCGACACCAGGCTGGCGCAGACTTTGGTGGTCAACAGGTCGTCGAGCGAGGTCAGCAGTTGGGAATCGATCTTGGCCGTCAGCGGCGACGCGCCCGCATTGTCCTCCTGCGCGGAGAAGAAGTAGAATTGGTTCAGGAAGTTGCGGATGTCGATGCAGCAGAGCGGATACATTTGCGAGAAGGGGAAGACGGTCGGGAAAGTCATTTCATGTACAGGGCGATCCGGCGTATACCAGGACACGTTGACGACTTTTTCGAATTCCTCGGCATTCTGGATCGGCATGGGCATGTAATCGTCTGTGCTGACGATCTCGATAAAGTCTTCGCTGAACCGCTGCTTGAGCAGCTCGGCGTACTTGTCAAACAACACCAAAACGAAATTGGACATGGCCGCTGTGTTGAAGTTGAAGCCGTTCATGGTCTGGATAAACAAGGAGATGAGGTTTTTGATCTTCAGCAGGTGTTCGGCGTTGTCCACGGCCGAGAGGGCCTTGGACATCAATGAGATTGCCGTTTGGCAGAGCGAGTCCCAAAGCTCTTCAACCTCGGTCGTAGAGCGCAGATCAGGGACCTTTTTCATCGTGGCACGCTCCATGATGGCGAAACCTGCTATATCTTCCAAGAGAGTGTGGAGATCGCCCATCTCTTCGTCGACGAGGGAAATGGAATTCTGAAGCAGGAGATCGCGTTGAGCGCGGCGACTGGCGGCGTAGTCGGTCTTGAATTTCTCCATTTGACCGAGTGAGCGGTGGATGTGCAGTGCTTCGAACAACGGAGAGAAATCCACCTCGAGGTCTTCGCTTTTGAGCAGGTCGAATTCCTCGTGTTCGTCCGCCACCAGCTCAATGGCAGAGTTGAGTTTGAAGTTGGCAAGATATGATGTCTTTTCGGATCTTTCCTTCAGCCGCTGCTTGCGAAGATCAGTATGGTAGAAGGACAACTCCCCCAGATATTGGGACATCTCTCGGACGCGAAATAGCCAGGTGTTGAGGTCGGCCATGACGGCTTCAGCAATCGATTTCTGAGTCGCAGGTACCGATTTCTGAATGAGCTCGCTCAACTCGTACTGCGTGACATTCTGGAGATGGACGCTCTGCAACTCGTCTAGAGCTCGGAGAGCAGCATAGTGTTTCTTTTGGTCACGAAGCTCCTGGACTTGATTCGCCAGGCGAAGAACTTCTAGACAATCTTGCAGAGCGTGCCGAGCATCTTCGATATTCTGTCTCACGCCGCGGGACTCAACCAGGGCTTTCTTCTGATCTACGAGACGCTCGGTACTCGCTTGAATGGACTGATTCAGCTCGAGAATCTCGTTGGTGAGAGTGACGGTGCCCTCGCGGATCCGGAGCAGCTGATTAACAGACTTTACAAACTCCTGGTGGTTGGTGTTGCATTGGCGCTCAATCTCGGCCTCCCGCTCACCGGCAAGGTCTGATAGCTGGCTCAGCAGATGGGCAGTCTTGTTTCCGTAGCTGTAGTCTTTGATGTACGGAATCAATTGATCCAATGTGTCTGCCTCTGAGGAGGACGTAACAATCTCGTAATTGCGTCAGCCTAAGTTGCACAGTGACGAGGTCTCTCATACCTGCTGAAGCACATTATTCATGTCATTTCTGTATGGCGCTATTGAGGGCATCGTCCCAGGAGCTATACTGTCTCGTAAAGAAGTTGTAGTTCACAGGCGAGACTAAAGACCAAGATCTGGGTTTCCAAATCGCGTCGTAGTCCGGCTTACGTGGCTTGTTCTATGGGAGCATGGAAAAGGACGACTGGACAAAGCGAGCTGTGAGGATTGGAGCAAGTAGCAGTGGATTTGTCTTCTATTCAACGTTCACACTTTGCGAACAAAGGACAGGCAGAGAGAATATGATAGACTCTGTGGTTGTCACTCCGGGAGAACAGGAGAACTAGCGGTCGGCTAACTTGCCATGGCAGCGAGGTGTCGGAGGTGTTAGAAACAACGCTAACCCCATGGCGTTAGCGTATGGCCAAGGAATTAATCGCTGTAGCCCCTTCATCAACCTCACTTCTCTGTCTCCTTCTCTTCCCTTCATCATATCAAAAAAATATATAGGTAAACCCCCCTCCTGAGGGAGCCAGAGGTGAGAGCCGGGGGGCTCGCCGCGACGAGAAGAGCCTGCGGGCAGCAAATTCAAGAGCAGACATGACTGCAAGGTGTCGGGTCCGCGGGAAGGACAAAAGCAAGGGCTGCCAGTGATTTGAGACAAGAAGATCGCACCTGCCCTGTGATAATAATGTCAGCAAACCGGGCCCTGCCGTGGTGTGGATGACTGAGCAAGAAGACAACAAGGAGAACAAGAACAACATGCAAGAGCTAAACGCATAGATGTGACACTTTGGAAGACGGATGAGCTTGTGTCCTCGGTCCAGGCCCCAGAGGCAGTTTCAGTGTCAAATCATCAAGAGATTTGCAACGATGCATGAACCTGCTTGCCAAGCTGGCTGCTGAGCTCGCTGAGACTGTGAATTCCAAGCAGATGATGATGATGTCGTCGTTGCCTGGGTGGCAAATTGAGTGAAGGTACCCAGCCGCCCATGATGTCGCCAAAAGGTGAGGTGGGAAGTGAGAGCGCAGCGGAGATTCTGGCCTGACGTTGGCCACGCCCAAAGCACGCTTGTTGCCGCATATCGCAGCCGTGGAATGGTCGCTACGCATACAAATTCTACGGGCAAAGCTACAGACACTGCGGTTGGAAGCGTGGGATCGACGTGAGAACCCCGTGGCCGGTGAAAGTCAACAACCCTCACTTGGTTACGCCGCTGCATCGTCCAGCCGACTTGTTGTTCCGTCATTCGAGACTCTCGTCGTCGTTTGAAGCGGCCTATTCCCGTTGTGGATTGTTGTGAGTCTCTCCCAGCCGCTCCTTCCCACGAAAAAATTCGCTTCTTCTTTTTTCCGCCTCAACTCCCCTCACTTTTCACCATCCTCCACGTTCCTTCATCATCCTCACACTCCTTCAACACCATTCGAATCCTCGAATCTTCTTGGTATTCGTCCTCACTCATCACATTCTTTACCACAGCACACTCCCTTCATTGATTTCAGAGCGTCACCCCATTTCCCAACCTCAATCCGCACGTCTGGTGAGTCTTCCCAATGCCCTCTGCCCAATGCCCTCAAATCGCCTCTCTGCCAAAGAGAGGCGAGTTCGATTTGCCCAATGGCACATCATCAGTCTTCCTGCCTTTCCAAGCCTTCTTACGAGAGATGGTGGACACTGATTTTGATGACTGTGCCCCCTCTTGCTGGCTGGATTGGAAACGTGATGTTTCGGTACACAAATCCAAACACCATCAGCGTTACTCTCCCCCATCCCTGTCTCAATGGATTCGAGCCATCAGCTAACTGCCCGTCTTGAACAGCCATGTCTCCTCCACATGGGCCAGGAATGGCTTCCTCTCCTCACTCTACTGATGAGACAACCAATCATGGAACTCCATCAACCAACCTCACTGCGTTCACCCCTGAGGCCGACTTCGGGTCCAAGGGACGTGCCCAAGACTTCGCTCGCCCTGTCTTGACGCTTCGTCCTACTCAACCCAAGCATGCCACGTAAGTGTGATGAATGGCATCTATCACATCCAAGTCGTGGAGTATTAGACTGACTTGGCATCAGTGTCTGCGATGAGTCCGAAGAGGATGTCTTCCTTACTGCCCCGATTGCAGCCAAAGGACAGCAACTCTCACCCACTGCCGAGGTCTTCACCCCGAGATTGTCCACTGGCTTCATGAAGAAAGATGGCGAGACCCAAGCTGGTTACATTGACAGTGCCCAAGAGAACATGGCGGTAAGATTTCCTTCAGCACCAACATTGTACCCGGCACATACACTGACAGTGCAGCAGATCCGCAAGCCTGGCAAGTTCATGTATCGCCCGATCAATTTCCAAAAATGTCCACCTTCTGCTCAAGTCCCTCCTCTTCATCCCAGTACCCATCGCTATGGTTTCGGCCTACTCAAGCTCGATCAGAGCCCCTTCAAGCGTTTCACTGGCATGCACCTCCACGACTTCAACGTGACTGAAGGCGTCTTCAGCCTTGATGAGGGTTTGACTCGTACCTTCGTCGTCATGGGTGTGGCACAACTGTTCCCATCTCAGACCATCACCCGCCACTATACAGTAAGTATCCCACTGTCCTTCATGTTCATGCATATACTAACACTTGCAGGCTGAGATGTTCCCAACCATCAAATTCATCAAGTCCACACGCGCCTCCAGCGGCCTCTACGCAGTTTCTTGCGCTGATCTTCGCGACTCACTGAAAGCTGCTCGACAGACTAACCTGATCTTCCCGCATTCGTTCATGTTTGTTTTCACTGGAAAGCAGCAGATGTCTGACATCGGTGGAGACCCATCCCTTGTATCTGATTATGAAGGACAGATCATCGTCAGCATCCATTACAACGGAAGATTGATTGAAGCAGCTCCTGTTGTTGCTGAGATCAAACGTCTCCTTTTGCAATGTGGTGAAATCAAGGCTTTCCACAGCATCCCTGCCACTCGGAATGAAGTTCGGGAGATTCGTGTGGAATTCTACAATGCCGACGTGGTTGATGTCGCCAAAGATGTCATTCGTCAAACTATGGTCAATGTATGTTGTCTCCGTCTACCCTTCTCTCCAGGACTAACATATCTTAGGGTGCTGTTCTGGATGCCGCGACGTTTCAGCCTGATGTTCTTGTTGTTTCCGAGTACAATCAGGAACAAGAAGAACAACTGTCTGTCACTGGTCGTTCAAGAGTGCCTTTCGATCCTGAACTCGATCGCATCGCTTATGCAATCCAGCATGATGGCCTTCGTCATGGTCGTCGCCTCAATCAGGCCATGAACCATAACGCCGTCGACATTGCCCGCATCCAGGCTGGACTTGACGTTCGCACCACTGTCAGTTGATTTCCGTTCCCCCATCTTGACTGTACCAACTGACAATACGTCCAGATCATGCTTCGTAACATCCCAAACCGCGTTGATCAACCCATGTTGAAGACTCTCCTTGATGTCACCAGTCGTGGCCGCTATGATTTCATGTACCTGCGCATTGGTAAGTTGAACTGCATCTCACATTTCCAGATGCTCACAACCACTTCAGATTTCGCCAACAACTGCAATGTCGGTTACGCTTTCATCAACTTCGTCGATGTCAGTTGGTCCCTACCCCCCAAGTCATTGCTGCTGCTAACTCTCTCCCAGGCTCAGTCAATCGTTCCGGTTCGTAACCTGACCGCCTCCCCCGTACTTCCTGTTACTCACTTCTATGTTTCTAGTTCGTCCTTGCTCGCGCCGGAAAGCGCTGGAACTGCTTTGCCTCTGACAAGATTGCCGAGGTCTCTTATGCCAGTGAGTATCTCTTCTCTGTGCCATCACCGCAACCAGCTTACAATTGTGTGCAGCCATTCAAGGCAAAGATTGTCTTGTCCAGAAATTCCGCAACTCTTCCGTCATGCTTGAGCATCCTGCCTTCCGCCCAAAGGTAAGTTGAGTCTTTCCCTGCCTTGGTTACCAGCTGACCACCCTTAGCTCTTCATCGCTGGCAATGGTCCAACTGCTGGACAAGAGGAGAAGTTTCCTGGACCCGACAACCACTCGAAGATGCGTCGTTCTATCGAGAATGCCGAGCATGTTGGTCTGTACATCCCTCTTCGTATGAATCGTCCCGACCGGTACCCCGTGCCACCACGTCATCGTCGCAATGTGCGTCGCACCGGAAGATTCAACGTTGATGAGGCTCGTCGCAACGATGTCTGGTCGCCTGGCCGTCGTGCCTACCATCCCAAGTTCAAAACTTCGCCCAAGGGTTTCAGAAACAACGCGTCACCGGCTCGTCGCAATGGTGTCTACTTGCCTCCTGCTCGTGCCAACAAGCCCAATGTCAAGACTGCACCCAAGGCTTTTGCAAACAACGCGTCACCGGCCCGTCGTCAAGGTCCATTGTTGGTTGACACTCGCGATCCTCATGACCCGTTTGCCGGTCGTCCCCGTCACAACTCTCCGTGAGCATATTTATTCTTATCTCGTCTACAACATCAGTATACTGACTCTCGCTCTACATAGGACTTTTCGCTCCTAGACAAGGCCAGGTCTATCGTGAAGAACAACGACGTCGCCGCTCTCAATTTGACCGAGGCACCCCTGGTGCTGAGAACGAGTTGGGCGTTGCACCTCGCTATCATCTCCAAGATCCTGCGCTCGAACACATGAGCAACATTCATCTTCCACGTTTTTAGCACAACATGATCGTGGCGCTGGACGTCTTTTGATGTTTCAGGTCACACCATGTTGGTATCATGGACTGTTGGCGGTGATCAATACCTGTGGTCGAGATGTCCGCTTCTTGCCTTGTCGGCTTGGATTGTCTTCCTGCTTGCATTACGGATGGATTGAGACACTTGGTCTTTTGAGATCAAGTTGGTCTCAACCTGGACAACCAAGAAAGGAGTGTGCTGGAGGACTTCCCCTGTCATCGAGTCATCGTGGCTCTTGCCCCCTTGTTTTCCCCTGTGTTATTACACAGGCGTGCCCCTAATACTTGCAAGTTGAGCTTCTTCTCTTTGCTTTCTCTTCAAGAAAAAAAAAAATGTGAGCAGGGTCTTCTATGAGTCCAATGTACGACAGTGAGATGGGATGGAGCTTGGACTTTATTGAAGACAAATCATGTACCATCAACACAGCGTGTGTTGATCACTCATAGTGATCCAATAGCTTACACAATCAAATGGATTCAATCCACGCTTCTTGTTCAAGGCCTTGCTTGTCGTTGATGCTGTATACCTCCTGACGAGACAGCGGCTTGAGATTTAGGTGAGTGCCGCAGTCAATTTGTCCTGAAACCAGACGCTGACGACGGCCTGTTTTCTGAGCACCCACAAGTCCCTCGTAATAAGCCCTGGAATCGCGTCGATGCCAATGCTGTGTGATGCTGATACCTTCCGCAAGCACAATCGAGAACTCGCTGTCGAAACCACCGCCCACCTCGACCCAGACGTCATCACGCGGCTATGCGCCTTGCTCACGAAAGCCGTCCAACTCCCATCAATCCGGCAGACCTCATTTCATACGGCAGCGGCTTTGTTGGTGGAGGCATTAGCCCAGGCTCAAGACAAGCAGACAATGTCAGCCTTTACAGGCCGGACAGGCAGATTCCGTGCAGTATCAAAGAAGAAGACGGAGGACTCTACAAGATACAAACTCAGCAGGAGGCTCCAGGAGGGTGGTGTGTGTGCACTCAATTGAAAGAGGCCATATTTAGCCATGCGAAAGCGGTACTAAACAAGGTGACATTACTATCTGCAATTCTCCGCTGTCTGTTAACATTCGTGGCACAGTACTGATGGCAATTGTCGATCAGTGGCTGAAGACAGACTGTTACATTTGCGCCACTGGTCTGCCGATTGATGGGATATCAAGCATCAGCGCGGGTCAGCAAGGTATCTGCAACACCGGTGACACCACTTGTTGTCCTCTTCAGTGAGAAACCCTTCCTTGCCTACCTTCAAGCATTACCAAGGCTGGATCCCGTCTTTCCTCACCACACAGCCGACATCTTTGTCCCTCTTCCCTTCGACCACATCCCTCACCACGCCTGCTCCGACGCTCGGATCCAAGGCTCCCATCTGCTTCAACCGCTCTGGATCGCCGAAACCGAGCCCCGTCGCCAACATGCCCGGGCTCACACACCACACCTTGACATTGTCCTCCTTCAGCACCCTGGCCCATTCGCGCATCATCATATTCAATCCGGTCTTACTCGCCCTGTACGCCGGAATTCCTAGCGCTCCGAAGCCGCCGCTGGCTTTCGGCCAACCTTTGTCTGTAGGCGATCGGTTGATAGGCATCGCCTGATTCGTGTGCTCGGCGAGAGTGGAAGTACCACTTGTGATAAAGAGCAGTCGAGGGTCGGAAGATTTCAACAAGAGAGGGACGAGAGTATATGTGAGGATGTACGTGCCTGTCACGTTGACTTCCCAGGACTTGTTCCACATCTCGCGCATGGTGAGTTCGCCAGTGGAAAGCTTCAGGTCGAATTGGCTACCTATCAAAGCACAAACAAGAATCAATATGGTCAGGACTCGATTACCTTGGGCAGGAATTCATACCGGCATTGTTCACCAGCACATCCAACCTTCCATAGTCCTTCTCCAGAGTCTCTGATAACTTCTTGATAGATTGGTCATCGTCGATGTCGATCTGCACTGGTGTCACCGTGCTCTGGCTTTTGGGAAACTCCTCCTTGACCTGCTTCGCTGCAGTGGTGGCCTTCTCGAAACTCCGCCCGCCTAGGAGGATTGTGTATGTCTTGGAAGATTGGAGTAAAGACTTGACGGTCTCAAGACCTAGGCCGGTGTTTGCGCCTGTGATCAAGACGATGGTGTTGGCTGCCATGGCTGTCACGGAAGAGATGTTGTTATTGTACAGTTTCGTTCTTGGGCTGCTGCAGACAAGACCCTATTGACGTTGCCCTCTCTTTGCCCACCAAGAAGATGTCGATTTCTCCCACGGTATGTGCTGTCTTGGACGTTGGTGCTCCAGCCAATATGCGGATCGAACTTCTTCCAATTCTCCTCTTTTCGGGGTGGTGAGTAGACCTTATTGATTCGCGACGTGAATTGGACGACGAGTTTGAACACCAGAGAAAACCTTAACAGAGAAGCGGTTGAGACAAGCCTCTCATCCACAGATTTATATACCCTTGGCACATGCCTATACCTCGTATATTGTCCGAGAAGCCTGATTTTCCTCGCCACCTCCACCGCCATCTAGCTATCCTCGTAACCCCCCGACGCTCTACATCATATGGGGGGTTGATCTCGGACATAAGCCTACTGGCCCCAGGCCCAACTCCAGAGGATCATTTACTGAATTTGGTCAAAGGAGGGGTCGGTCGGGGCAATCTCAACAATCAATCCCGCACATGGCAATGCTTGTTTTTATCTCAAGGGTTCCAAAGCAGCAACGGGGGGCCTGACTCCTGAGAGGAGTAGCGGATTTAAGGGCTTGCACCCACCCCTGTTCTATTACCTGGTTGGGACTTCTTTCAACACCATCGAAAATTTACGAGAGCGATGGACAATCATTGTCACATTGTCACATTGTACCATTGTCACATGCAAAGGCGCAGAGATACCTACGTAGGTATCAATTGGCTACAGGGCCAAGACCGAGGGGGCCGCCGTTCAGACGGAGATCGAAAAACTTGCTTTGCTTCGCGCGCTAGATGCCTCGTAGTTCCGGGAGATACGCGGAGGGGGACGAACTGGCGTAACTGGCTGGCCGTATCGTGATAAGTATTCGACTCGGTGAGCACCCTTTGTGATCGTCCCGTTGTATTCGTCAGTGTTTTGTAGATCGATCGAGCAGATACACCTAGGGTATGGTAGAACCCCGGAGCGCCCACTGGGGCAAGGAGATATCATCGGTGCGTGTGGGCTCGGGATCGGAATCATGCCGACTCGGGACGAAAAAGAAGCGAAAACTCCAGTTAATATACTCGGTAGTATGAGTTAGTGGGCGGAGTTTAAGCCCCTTATAGACGTTGGATCTACTCGTATTAACTGTAGATGGATTTCTATATACTGATATTATACTGCTACAGCATAATTTCAAATGTATTGGGATTCGCAGTTGTCTGATACAAACAGGAACCCCTAGGATGGTATCAAAGGCTGCACACAGTCGCTGCAGCTGTTGTCGTAGCTCGCCTGCGCCAGGCCCACGGTCAACGTGTCGTAGTTGAACAGCACGTACGCGGAGCGCAGGAACGTGTCGCCCAGGGTGTAGAAGCCCTCGCCGTCCGGCATGGGACTGAGGCCCAGCATACACACACCGTCAGCCAATCCGGAGTCGGGGAGGATCATCTCGGGCCAGGGGACGGCGATCAAGAGGTCGTCGCCTGCTTGGTTGGCGAACTCGAAACCAATACCTCCCGGATCGGACGCGTAGTCGCACGAGACGGCGTAGAGGCCGCCTTCCGCGTCGTAGAGTTCGGCAGCGAGCGCGTCGGCGATGGCGGCGAACTGCGATTTGGGGAGATAGGTCAATGTGGTGCCCGTGTCGAGAAGAACCGTGTACTTTTGGTTGCTGGGCACTGAGAACGTCTCCCCGCCGACGACAAAGGCGATCACAGGTCCTCCGATATCCAGCTCAATTGCCCCTTCTGGTGAAGGCTCCACGAGGGGGAACGGTACCAGCGCACCAGTCCACTTGCTCTTGTCATAGCCACCAAAGATAATTGTGCCGGGAGTTGTGTCGGAGTTGTGTCGGTGGCGGCTGGGAGAGGGAACTGTGTTAGGCGCGGGTTGCAAAAAACGGTGAAGAGGGACCTACTGAGTTCGTTGAGGAAAATACTGTAGCCACGGACGGCGATGATGCCTTGCTTGTACAAGCTGTCGATGTAGCCAGGATACTTGATGTCGCTTTGGTAGACGCTTGCTTCGTTGGCGGAAAAGGAGATGCCCATGATACCGCCGGGAGGGTCGCCGGCGTGCGCTTTGGTGGCAACGCCGAGAACCATGTTGGCTGAGACTCCGCCTGTTTTGAGAGTGTCGCCGACATAGTAACCGAGCACGGCCGAGTTCTCAGACGCGTAGGTGATGTTGAAGAGACCCAGGTCGTCGCGGCTCTTTGCTGTGGAGGACTTTGTGGGATCATCTACATGCGCCAAGGGTCAATTGCCAACTTCCACCAATATATAAGAAACAATAGCGGAAGAGGGAAATGTGTACAGAAGGTTGAGGTGCACTTTGGGCATGAGGATTCGGCACCAGGACTGTACGCCCAAATGTCACTGCTCCCTGTGTCCAAGACCAGGCTCAGAGCCTGAGGAGGAGTTCCGATTTTGACATCAATGGTATAATGCGCCGGGGTCTTGTGCGAGAGCGAAGAGCTGAAGGCTCGTCGACTATGCTTTGCAGCTGAATCAACCGACCGCTTCCTTGTCAAAGGCAGCGCGACATAAGACGGGGCATCCTGCGCTTGGAGGGACGGTAAGGCTGAGGCTGAGGCTGAGGCTGCACTTAGCACGCAGAAGAGGACCAAAAGATACATTTTCCCACCCTAAGCATCACCAGCACCAAGGAAGAGAACAGAAGGACGGAACAGGACAAAGTTTTCGAGTCTCCTTCTTTCTGATTTATTTTCTGTCTCAATCTCCCTGAAATGGATTCCATTGCGGAGCGAGAGGGCTATGGGAGCTCGTGAAGTTCCAAGCCGTGCGTGAGGCTGAGGGCTGAACAATCGTGCATACACGAGTCAAGCTGCGATTCTCATTGGTTTCACATGAGGAAATCCTAGCGTTAAGTCTCTAGGAGGGCACATCTGCTGCAGCAGATCGAGCTGTAAGCTCTTTGGCCTGACGGCTGCCATGTCTGTACTGGAGGGGGCAGACTGCAATTCTTCGTGATCGCGTGGTCTTTTTCCCCCTCTTTCTTTTTTTAGGCGAGAAGAAGCCTTCAGTTGCCCATTTCGTGAGTCCCGAGGGTGGGGAAAACCAGCAGGCGACTCGCTTACCATCAAGGATGAACTGGTCGAAGGTGGAAAAAGCCCAAGTCTCCTAAGAAACAACGAGCGGCGTGGTGGCAGGAGCCAAGGGCTTGGAGAGGGATGGCATCAAGCTTGTCTGCGAAGTGCCTCCAAAGCTTCAGATTGCTTGCTACCTACGTGGTAGGTACTGATGGCCCATGGCCCTCTCTTCTCCAGAAAGGCTTCTCCTGCGTGAATGTTGTATATTTCTCCCGGAAGATCTTTCCATCCATTATTGTACATGGTTTCGCCACGCTTTCGTCTTTTGCCGCCGAGGTCGTGTACTCTGGACTCGAGTATCTCCCTGAGCATAGAAACCCATGATGCTGTTAGGAAATCAGATCATATCCCTACCTAAGTAGGTACCTAGCACTGCCCTAGATACCGACGTGGGCTTCAAGTTGCATGCCGGGATAGAGCACCTCTTGGCGCTCGGCAGACCTGCCACTAGGCTTGGGTAGAACATCCTGCGCCGCCATCCAGAATAGGTCAGACTTGCTAATATGAGGCTTCAAAATCATTGTTTGCCAACTCGTGCAACACAAGCTAGAGTGTCCAGTCCAATGCCACGGGGTCTGGGCTAGCTGAGAATCCAAAGAAAATGGGCGAAAGCCACGACATCGATGCCCACCCTACTTCGACCGCAGATACAGACACGCGGAAGTCAAAGCGGCGGAAGATATCAAACCCACAGTCAGGGATCCGGAATCATGCTCATGCACGGCTACGAAACAACACGGTAAGAAAGACCTCGGGACGCAGACGCCTTGGTCCTCACCCACCACGAGATCTCCATCGACAGACTGGCAAAGCAAAACCTGACTCTGGCCTCTCCACTCCGCAAGGAACATCAAATGGGGATCCCAAGTTCTCGCTGTCCTTCGCGAAATCCATCCTTGACAAGATCTGGATCCGCAACAAGAACCAGCACCGGACCCAACCGTGGTGGAAGTCTCTGTCGATGTTGAGGAAAGCAGTCTCCCGACTTGTGCTCATCGAGCAAGAGGAACGGTCTCTGCGTCGGGGCCTGATGATGGGCCAGCAGGGCGCTGCTACTGCCATGGACGCCAAAGCCGTGAGGAAAAGGTTCGAGCGTGAAACGGAAATCCGCGGAGAAAAGCAGGTCTGGGTCGATTGGATTCGTCTGGTGTTGGTGCCCAAGGCTTATCTTGCCTTTTCCGGGCTGGTGAGTGATACTCAATTTGCACACCTGGGGATTGTGCTGGTTGGGCTTCTTGCCGATGTGGTCAGTAGTGTGGGTCTGCCGACCCCAAGCCAGCAGCAAGAAGACGAAGTTGAGCAGGGAGGAGGGACACGGATTACGGCAACAAGAAGGGGCCAATCCGAGACTGGGACTGCAAGTGCACAGGCAAGAAGTCTCACGGCCATGAGTACCAGGGTTACGGGCTTGCAGAGCGGTGAGATCGTGGAGAGGACGTACGACAGTGATGACCTCGGAGAAGTGGTCGAAAGAAAGCGAAGAAGTGACCCCAATCAGGGGCAGGAGCAGGAGCAGAAGCTGAGTCAAGCTACGACCACCCGTTCATGGCCTGGTAGCGTTACAGACCGTGGTCCAGCTCTCGGAGGAAATGAAGATCAAGCACTGGTGGCCGGTCCTGCGGCCGAGGGCGTTTCCAGAAATGACAATACAATCAGAGCCACGCAGGCACGAAGGCAAGAGAAAGAGAACCCCTCCTCCACGGCCGAAAGTCCTACAGCACCTTCGCTATCGCCCTCACTGTCAGGATCACTCCCCACTTCTCAAAGAGACCCCCCCACCATATATCAAGACACCGTCGCCGTTCCTCCTCCTCCTCCTGCTCCTCCTCCTCCTCCTGCTCCTCCTCCTCCTCCTGCTCCTCCTCCTCCTTCTCTCCTCCCTCAACATCCACCCGTTCCGCCGTCCAGAACAACTTCGATTCTCAAAGACACGCAGAAGCAGACCACACCACCCATTGCGGAAACCCACGCCAGGAAGGAGACGAGAGACAACAAAGGCAAACCCAAACCCGGTTCCAAACGCAGCACCACCACCACCACCACCACGAAGGGTAAAGACAAACACAAAGACAAAGGCAAAGAAAAGGGGAAAGGGAAGAGCGCCATCGACGATCTGTTCGCCGGCTTGACGTGAGAATATTGTACTAGGTAGTATGCAGATCAAAATGCAACGCCCACGGATCCCGCTGTCCCGTCCACCCATCCCATCAATTTATTCCATCAATGCGAGTGTACCGAGGACAGTATACGGTGTACTTCCGTACATGTATGTCCATGTCCATGTCCATATCCATATGCGCCCATCTGTAACGATACAAGCCGAATCCCTCTCTAGTAGCATCATACACATCGTTGTCGTAGAACTATAGGCCCCTAGTTTGGAACAGTGGGACTTTCTGAACTACCACGGCCTGGCCTCCGCATTATCCTCTTTCACCATCAAATATTCTCTTAGACCCGACCCCTTTGTAAGGGCATACTCACCTGCGCCCTTCTTCAAGAGGGATGACTCTCACTCTCAGAGAGTCGGACATTCGCCCCCCTCAGCACGAAAAACAGGTGGCTTTCACCGCAGAAACGACGTTGATCTAAAGAGGGTTAACCGTCTTGATTATTTTTTTTTTTCAATACTATAGCTAAGGTATAGATTCAAGTTTTCTCTCATTGAGTAAAAGAAAAGAAAGAAGAAAAAGTCCCCCATTCTATCCTTCCCAACAAGCAAATCTTTCACTTGGGACAAAAGAAGACATAAAAGTCCTCCCCGGGGGTATCATGGTTGTTTTGCTTTTCCGACCCCCAAGCTTTGGAAGATTCGCTATCAGCCCCTGTTGTTGCCCTTGCCCATGTCCTTGCCCTTTCAACCCAATTGAACGCCATGCGGTGGACGGCAGAGACCAATGCTGCGCCCTGTGATCATGTAGTAGCTGTGCTTGCGTTGCCCTGTCTTCATCGATCCCGCCGCGCCGTTCGCTATGCAAATGTAAGAACACGTCCTTGATCTTCATCCTCATCATCGTCTTGAACCATTCGATCCAAGACCGTCATTTCCACTGTGGAGATCGGTAGTGCACCACGCCGCTTTGCAGGTACCGGTAGTAATCAGCAAAGGTGCGCTTTCTCTCGTTGCCTACGCCAGCACCACCATATCCCAAGCTTCGTCGTTCCTATCGGCGATAAGGATCTTGTCCACCATAACCACCTCTGTCTCTGTCCCGCTCTCTGTAGTCTCTTCCCATATCGCGGTCTCTATCTCTCCTATCTCGGTGCCCGTCCCTATCTCGTTCCCAGTCCCGTACTGGACTCCGACTCCGTGGCCTTCGTTCTCGGTCACGATCCCTGTCTGGTACTTCTCTCCCACCAGTGTCATCATAGCGTAATGGTTCGCCATAGTCAGGGGGTCCATCCCTGTACGCTGGCCGATCGTCCCTGCGTCGATGCTTCGGCGGAGCCGCATGAGGATCGGCACTGGAGTATGGAGGGATATATGTGTCACGGTTGCCACCACTGGCAGGAGCGCCAGCGCCGCCACCAGCTGTGGGGGGTGCCCGAGATCTTGGTGGTGGTGGACCACGTCCATCGTCACGAAAAGGTGGAACATCTGGCGGACCATATCGATACGAATCGACTTCGCCAGGTGGTAGTCGCGGTGGCGGTGGAGGATCGCCAGGAGGTCGTCGCGGGTAGGAGTCATCATAAGGCGGACGGTGACCTTGGCCGTACGGTGGCATGTCTCGATGAGGCGGGTAAGGATTTGCACCTCGATAGTCACCTCCGTCCCCATACGCGCCATTCTGGGGAGGCGGACCTAATGGCCGTCTGTTAAAGTGTTGGTTGTTGTGGCCGTTTGCGTATGGTGGTCTGCCACCAGGTACTCGAGCACTTGGAGGGGGCCCGCTGCCACGCATCCCTTCGTATGGTGGAAGCGGCCTCCCACTGATGCCCCATTCTCCCTGTGGGCCGATCCCTACAGAGCCACCAGCTGGGGCGGGCGGTCGTTTGGTTTTCTGATCTCTGAACTTCTTTCTATCCAGTTCGTGCGACTCTTCAAAAGAAGGCAAATCTTCAGGTCTCGCTGGGTAGGGCGGAGAATGAAAATAAGGATGTTTGAGGGCGTCCATGGCGTTGATTCTTTTGCGCCAGTCCAGCTTCAATAACTCACTCAACAGTGAGAGCGCCAGGGGCTCGAGGTCGCGGAATTGTCGATTGAGCGTGGAAGGCATTTGGTCGAAATCCAGGATAGCCTCGGCGCCAGGAAGCTCTCGCCAGCCAGGCATATTCTCTTCGGTAGGGGATCCCAGCAGCTCAAAGATCAATCTGGCCTGGTTCAGGTCACTGTCTCCGGTCAAAATGGGCTTGTGCTTGAACATCTCGCCAAAGACACAACCCACTCCCCACATGTCGATCGCAGTGGTATACTTGCGCAACTGGAGGAGCAGTTCTGGTGGGCGATACCATCGTGTCACAACCAAAGTAGTGTATTCTCTGGTAGCTTCGCCGCCTCCTTGGCCCGGTCTGGGAGGCTCATCGTCGTAAGGACGCGCCAGCCCGAAATCCGCAATCTGCAGAATTCCTCGATTGTTGATGAGCAAGTTGGCGGTCTTCATGTCTCGGTGTAGGATTTTGTTCTCGTGGAGATATGCGCAGCCTTCGAGGAGCTGCTTCATATAACACTTGATCTGTGCCGTGGTGAAAGTGACGTCGGGGTTTTCCAGGAGGCCGGAAAGATCGTGGTCCATGTACGGGGTCACCATGAACATGCTCGTTCTCTTGCTCGCATTCTTCGGTCGCTCGACGGCCATCTCTGCCAGCTTGAGGACATTGATGTGGTCGAGTTGCTTCAGCAACTTGATCTCCCGCAGTGCGGTTATGGGGAAGCCATCCTTCTCGTTGTGCATCAAGATCTTTTTCAGGGCCACAATCTGACCTGTCCTCTTGGACTTGGCTTTGGAGACTTCGCCAAAAGTTCCCTCGCCGAGTTTGCCCAGGTATTCATATTCTGTGATTCTTGAGCAGCCGTGGAACCGGGGTCTGCCATCTTCAAGGAATTCGAGGGTTTTTCGAGGATGTTTTGAATCCGAGGACATGGCGACCACGGTTTTCACGACCTAGACCGGTGGCCTCTTGTCGGATGCTGCTGGTGCGCACTGCGGCGGCAATGTGCAACAGCCTCAGTCCGGTGCAACGGTGATGAGATGGATAACGTCCAAGCGGAGGTGATTGCGCCCTTCTGGCGTGGAATCGATGAGGCTGCAGTTCGCTATCGACAAGGCCGAGGCCAGAAAAAATGAAGTGGTTTCGTCATCTAGTCGCAGAGACACCAGATAGAGACGAGTTCGTCTAGCGCGATGCAGGCAGGATCAGGATCGAAAGGTGCGGAGTGATGATTTCACTGGGTGAAGTGGGAATGTGCGGCAAGGGACATGCGCAGGTGAAGGCGGACTCAGTGGCGGACTCGAGCGCAGGTTGAAATCGAGCGCATCGACAATGGTGCGGTCTTTGCGATCTTGGTTGAATGATTCAAAGACACGATCTGTCACAGCCGGCAAGATGATGAGGATTTGGCTTCTACAGGTGCTGCAGTGCCCGGGCCCGATTATTGGGCGACAATGGAGACCCTGCAGATTCAAGCAGAATTGGCTTGTTGCTCGCTTGTCCCCAGATTGTCGTGGCTCGCGCGTGGCGCCTTGCCGAAGCTCCGGAAGAACTGTTGTTCCGGCAAGGCTGCGTCCAAAAGCCACCAGGGGCCCAGGGACGGTAAAGGCTTATGACACCTCGCAGAGTACCTTTCCACAATCATCCTAGTTATTGCTGTTTGAGTTCATCAGCCATGAGCAGGTAAGTTTGGCCATAGAGCCCTGAACATGCAGAGCCGTTGTCGGCCGACAAGGCTGTGAAGAAGATACCCAGGTAATAAGGCCAGGCTCATCCTCATGCTGGGCAGGTGGGAGGCCTAAGCACTTAGATGGCATCTTCATGCTTGTCAATCAAGGCTCAGCACGCCCGACGAACAAAGCCATCTTATTACCCTTCACTTTCCTATCGAGATTGGGGATTATCTCTGCTTTTTCACTTTCACATCCGCAGCTTGGCCGCAGGTGATACTGCTGCCATACACACACTCCAGCCATGGTCGAAGGAAGTTGTCTTTGCGGCAATGTGAAGTTCAATCTCGACATTGACCCTGAGGCCGTGGAAATGGTAAGGCGCCCGCATCCCACCGGTGGCTGTACGATACCGAGAGATTGTCTCATTTGGAGAAATAGCAAACCAAAGCATGCCACTGCCGCCCTTGCCGTAAAATCACTGGGGCATTCACGTCCCTCAACCTGACCGTTCCCTCAAAATCATTCACCCTCACAAACGGCAGCTTGAAGACGGTCAAGACGACCCATGTCGATGAAGGGTTTGAATTTTCCCTCGCCTTCTGCCCAGACTGTGGGAGTCCCATCTACGCAGTACCACACTGGGCTGGGCCGCAAGATATTCTTGTGATCCAGGTGGGCACGCTCGACGACGCCAGCTTGCTGGAAAAAGTGCCGGCTGTTGAGATGAACGTGAAGCACAGGCTGGGGTGGGTGAAGGACGTTGACGGGGCTGAACAGAAGGAAAAATATGTATGATATTGTTTTGTTTTGAATACTAAACTTCTCGAGCCATTCATGCGCTCGAGCTGCGTTGAATCCATGCCTAGTCAGTTACCTTGTGAATGTCCGCTGTGGCTGAACTAGTCTTCCGTCAGGTCACCATATTCCCACATGCCTCTCCGTTCCTTCTTCGCTTCCTCTTGGAGCTCTCGAAACTTTGCCAATGTGTCTGCGGATTGCCTTTCCCAAGCCTTCAACTTGACTGGAACCATGGCCAATCCTTCTCGAATGACTTCCGCGTTGATGCTCTCATCGATTTTGTTGGACGCTTTCGGGTCGAGCAGAGAAATATGTAGCGTCCCTTCCGGAGCAATGTAATCCACATTCGCCACCAGCTCTCGCCCATCTGTCTGCTCCGCAATGAAATCAACGGTGTCTCGGAGATACTGCTCGGAAGTCGGAAGCTGGAGGAAGGACAGGACGGCATCAGTCGCCTGGGGTTTGAGCTTCTGAGTGGAGAATTGTGGTTGGGTCAAAGGCCGGAGTCGAGTCCAGGGAATGGTTTCCGAGTTGCCATAGTCAAGGTAAGTCAAATCCACCTTCTTCCCGTCACGGTCAACTCTCCTTACTCTGGCTCGATACCACTGATCATCAACTGTGAACTTGGCAGCAACGATATCTCCGACCTTGGGTGGTCCAGGCAATGGTTGGTCGTTGGCTTTGTTCAAATGGAAGGATTTGAAGGCATTCATGAGCTCTGTCAGGCTTGCGGTCCCAGCGCCAATTTGTTGAACCTTGAGTTTTCCGGTCTCGTCGACGTGAGTCACCATCACATCGCGATAGTCCTTTCTTCTCGAAGGTGGCTGAGCCCCCTCTCCATTTGTGCCATTCGCACCGTCTCCAGCAGGTACAGCCTCGTCTTCATCGGCGTCCTTGCTTGGATCCCAATCGTGCCACATGCCCTTTCGAGCCTCCTTGGCCTTTTTCTCGGCCGCAAACAACTCATTTGCATGACCGCTTTTCTCGGCTGAGAATGCATGAACTTCGGCGAGGCCCTCTTCTAAGAGAGCCCGCGCGAAATTTTCGCGCCCCACGTACATGGTACCAATAAATCCGCCAACTTTGTCGGTATCCTCAACGTCGATCTCCACGTCACGCTGCATACATCTTCTGTTGGCAAAGTCATAGGCTTCCTGTCCAAACGGCTCGGCGGCCTCCCCGGATTGACGTGCTGGCTTGGGCGTTCGAATGCCGGAGAGGACAAAAGTCAATTTTGCATTCTCGCGGGGGACGAGAACCACGAATCTCGAACCAGCTCTGACAAAGTCGACCACAGCTGGGACCTTTTTCTGTCTTTGCAGCACTGAGGCTTCCATCTTGGCTTTCTGGAGACTCTCCGAATAATCCTGATAGTGTTTTGCTGCAGGAGGTTTGTCCGACCACATGCCTTTGGCATCCTTTTGGGCTGATTCCTCAGCGAGAAGCAAAGCATCGTAATCGGGCGAGCGATCGTCGTCATCTCGTCGGTGTCGGATGACTGACGCATAGCCGGCCTCCACCAAGGCCAAAGCAACGTTCTTCCCGGCCACCGTCACAGTAGCCACCTCGCGTTCTTCAAACCCTTCCGAAGCCGGCTTCTTGCCATCAATGCTCACCTTGACGTGCTTTCCGATTAGTCGCTTTCTTAGGAACTCCTTTGCTTCAGCGCCGAAAGGAGATTGTTTCGGATCTGAAGGCTTTGGTTGACGGATGCTGGACAGGGTTACTTTGCGTTCGTCGCCAGATCGGGTCCGAAGAAAGATTGTTTCGGCATTTAAGATCCTCGAAACTGTAAAATCCGCCTCCTGCACTCCAGCAGCTTTGGAAGACGCAACACCGGTGAAGACGCCCTTTCTGGCATTCTTTGCCGCGTTCTCGGCGTTTCTAAACTGGGCCATTTGATTGCCCAGCAAGGTGACGTGCTGGTCATTCGAGCGAGCCAGACCAGCCTCAAGCAGAAACATGGCGATATTCCCTTTGGGGTGCAGGACATTTGCGATGAGTTGATTTTGCGGCGTCACTCCAAGAAGCTCGACGGAGCATTTGCGCTGATGTAGCCTCTCGTCCACGAAGGAGTGTGCCTCGGTGCCGTAAGGCTCGGCCGGGACCTCCTTCCCCTCCGGCGTAGTTCTCTTGGTCGCGGGAGCTCGTATACCGGCCAGGACAAGCATGGTCTGAATGTGCTTGGTGGGAGTGAGCATGAGACGAGCAATCAAGCGGTCTCCCGTCAGAACCCTCTCAACGATAGCTTCGATTTTCTTGCCCTTGTACTGTTCAACCAGGGCATTTGGGTCGGAGACCTCGGACGAGTTCTCGATCTGACCGCCCTTGGCCCATAGACCTTTGCCCTGAGATTTTGCATCACTCTCCAGCGACCTCAGCTTGTCAAGGTATGCCAATGCATCTTCGTCGTCCTCCTTCTTGCCGGCATCCTCACGCACTTTAGCCCAGCCTTCTTGGACGATGAGATCGGGCAATTCGGCACCGTTGGGGAGTCTGACTCGGCCGTATTCACGTTTCGTGGTGGGGATAGCATAAAGGACTTGGAACTGAATGACCTTGCCGAGGACCTGCTCGCGGACGAATTCGCGGGACTGAAAGGCAAAGGGCTGTGCCGGTTAGCTGCATGCCGGTTGTGGGTCTCGTGAGGGTTATACCACCGACCTCGTCACCTTCTCTTTTCAACCTTGGAGCACTGATGTAAGCCAGAGACAAGGTTCGTTCAGCGCCCTTTGCATTGGTGATGATCAAGGTGTCGCCTGACAGGATGCTCTTGACCCGAGCTTGGAGGAGAGCCATTGCGAAGACGGAGTGGTTGCGGAGAGGAAAATGTCGAGGGGCAGCAAGAAGACAATGAAATATAAATAAGGACCGCTATGCAAAGCAAGAGTCACTGCAAGTGAACCAGAGTGACAAGTTGATCAGAGCTCAAGAGGCGGTGGAGGAGGAGGGGCGAATTTCAACGGGTGTCTGGTGATGGAAAGGCCAGCGCTTTTGTGGACAGTTTTCGATTTATTTACCAGCGCATTGTGAAATTTGTGGGGTAGAATAATAAGAATAAGAAGGGATCTCGTGCCCACCAGACGCTGGGCCCAGAGCCTCTGAACCAATGCCACCCAATGCTGGTGATGCTGGCGGTTAGTAACGCAGTCATGCCTGTTTGAGCCTAGAAAGGGCGGGACTGTGCTCGTATAGGCGTTTGACGTCACCGCTGCTGGGCAAGGACCCTAGTAATAAAAGAGCGTGAGCCCTAGAAGAGCAGCGTGGAGCAGCCACGAGGGGGCAGCAGGTGGGAGGTTTTAACCAGCTCGCCAGGCACCACAGGTACACGGGTACCCAGGATCTTGGGTAAGAGGACTTCAGTTCAGGCACCAACTCATAGAGCGATATTTGTTCTGTATTGGACGGCCTGTGCACGGAGATGGCCGTATAGAGAAAGCCAGAGAAGCACCGGTAGATGAAGGTGCGCCCAGCAGCCGCTCCTTCCTGTTTGAGGTTCTTATCTCTTTCGCTGCGGGGTATTGAGAGTCTGTGTGTGCGTCTCTTGCCGATGGATGGATGAGAGCAAAGAAGCCAATGCTATATCTATCCAACGGATCGTCGCTTTAGACCAGCCTCTTCAATTCTAAAACATCATCTCTGCTGTATACAGAACTGTCGAAGCTCATTGCTGCCGTCCTGTATTCGCTGCTGTGCTCCAGGGATCTCTCTCTATCCTAGGCAACCCCTTTCCACTCCAGCCTTGTCCTGTATACCACCCACCAAGAACCACCATGAACAATACAGACCCAAACCATCGCAAAGGCGTCGTCGGCAATCCAAATGGAACCTTCTGGCTCTATGACTCCAAAGCAGGCTTCGACCTCACGCACCCTGCGACGCCCACATCGCCCACGCCCACGCCAAACTATACAGTAAAGACAAACACCCTCCCCATCACGATCCACCCACCGAAATCAGCCCTCGTGATCATCGACATGCAGAACTTCTTCCTCTCTCCCAATCTCGGACGGCCAGAGAATTCCAAGGGTCTCATCGCTCAACAGCAGCTTCTCAAGTATGCTATCCCGGCGGCGCGAAAAGCCGGCGTCCGCATCATCTGGTTGAACTGGGGCTTGACCGACCAAGAGATCGCCGAGATGCCGCCGGGCACTCTCCGCGCATTCGGATTCGAAACCGTTCTCGTCTCAGAATTCGAATCCTACGACAAGGTCGAGAAAAAGCAGGCAGCTGTGGACTCGCACGGCGTCAACGAGGGATGCCACGAATTCCCAGACCCTCAGATCGAAACATCGGGCAAAAATCCCCGGCTCTACAAGGGACTGGGGAGTGAAGTTGGCCCAGTGACTCTCGACGACGGCAGCACGATTCAAGGCGGGCGACTTCTGATGCGTGATACGTGGAATGCTGACTTGACCCCGGAACTGAAACAGACGCACGAAACAGACGGCAAGAATGCTAACCCTCCAGACGTATGGATCCATAAGAACCGCATGTCTGGGCTATGGGGCCCAAGTACCATGTGTACCGAGTTCCTGGAGAAAGAGGGCATCAAGACATTGTTCTTTACTGGAGTAAACACAGATCAGTGTGTCGGAGGGAGTCTTCAGGATGTAAGTTATCATTCTATCACCATTCCTTCCTCTGTATCTATCTTCCCTTTTTGAAATTTGAATGACTAGAAGATTTCCGTTGAATATGGCTGATTCGGACGTTTGTCTTGGACCAGGCATTTTCAAAAGGCTACGATGTGGTTCTGCTCTCCGATGGCGCTGGGACGACGAGTCCCTCGAGCAGCCAGGACAGCATCGAATTCAACTGCGCAAAGACATGGGGCTTCTGTACCACATGCAAGGACTTCGCGGAGGGTCTGGGCCTGTAGGATTGAGAAACAGAGGGACTTTCGAATGTAATGTGGACAAATCTGAATTGACTATCGACTTCCTTTGGATTGAAATACTCCCCTGATCCTCCACCTGGCCATCCCTGCCATACGGGCAATCCGTCGATGTCGTGCTTGAGTAATGACCCTGACTACCTACTGTTCCTCCACCTGGCCGTGCTGCCAAACTCTCTCTCCGTCGATCCCGCACTTGAAAACTCTCTTGAATAACCCATATCCTCCACCTGGCCGACCCTGCCAATTGCCAATCCACTCCACCGCAAGCAAGCATATCAATCCACCGACCTCATTCTGACGAGGACCTTCACAGTCAGTACCCACCCCTGCCACGTCCACGACCGCGTCCTTGGAACCCACCGCGCATGGCGGCAGGCCCGCTCGGAGGGGTCGCATCGGCCCAGCGACTGTCCGTCAATTGACGGCCAGACGTGGGAGCGGACGGGCGAGGTTCAGGCGTCGACGGCTGCGCCGGAGTCGTCGCAGGAGCCTCTGGTACTTCAAGCGTCGGGTTTGGTGCTGGCGCAGGTGTGGCGTCGCCCGCTGGTGTGGGCGGGGAGACGGGCACTTTGCCCAGCCCCTCGATCTGCGCCTTGAGCGCCTTGATGTGGAGGGTGTGATTGTGAAGCCGCTTGGTCTGCTTCGCCAACATTTCCTCCCTGCGGCGCGAGAGGTCCTTGTCGAAAAATTTGGCCGACCGCAGCTCCTTGTTTGCCTCCTCGAGTTGCTTCGTCAGGCGGTCTCTGACGCCGCCGAGCGCGCTCGCTTCCTTTGCGGCGGCTTCCTTCTCCTCCTCAAGTCGGGCCACGGCGTCAGCCTTCTCCTTGATCTCGTTCTCCTTCTGCTGGAGAGCGTCCTTCGCATTGCTCAGTTCATCGCCGTAATGTTCTTCTTGCCTGTCCAACCGGGACTGTAGCGACGCAATTCTGCTCTCCTGCACATCATCAAAGTCCTTGAGGAAGTCGGCATTTCGGTCCTTTTCGAATTGATTTAGCCCCTCGATATCGTCCTCTAGCTTGGCGATTCTGTCCTTTTTTTGCGTGATCAAGTAGTCTCGTTGAGTTATCGTGGCTTCTTGCTCCTTGATCAAGGAGTCTCTTTCGATCAGGACGGCGTCTTGCTGCTCAATCTTGGTCTTTTGCTTAGCCATAGTGGCTTCGTGCTCCGCGATCAAGGAGTCTCGTCTAGCCATCTTGGCTTCTTGCTCCTTGATTAAGGAGTCTTTTTTCGCCATGGCGACTGCTTGCTTCTTGATCTCGGCCTTTTGGTCAGCCACTTTGACATTTTGCTTCTCGATCTCGGCCTCTTTCTTGGCCATGGCTGCATTTTTCTGAGCGATGTCGGAGTCCTTTTTAGCAATCATGGCTTCATGCTCCTTGATCAAGGAGTCTTTTTTCGCCATTTTGACATTTTGCTCCTTAATCTGGGCCTTCTGCTTGGCCATGCTGGCAGTTTGCTCTTTAATCTGAGCCTTTTGCTTGGCTATGGTGGCTGCTTGCTCTTTGATTTGGGCCTTCTGCTTGGCCATGCTGGCATTTTGCTCCTCAATCTCGGCCTTGTGCTTGGCCATGCTGGCATTTTTCTCTGCGATCAAGGAGTGCTGTTTAGCCATCATGGCTTCTTTCTCCTTGATCAGGTCTGCCATAATGGCCTCTTGCTCCTTAAACAAGGAGTCCTTTTTCGCCATGGTGGCTTCTTGCTCCGTGATCAAGGAGCCTTTCTCTTCGAGCTTCGCTTGCTGTTCTCTTGCGAGCTCGTCATTTGCAGTCATGGATGCTCTATTTTCTTCGAGCTTTTCCTTGGCCTCTTTCATCTCCTTTTCGAGAGCTTGATTGCTGCTTTTATAGGTCTCGCGGTCCTTCTCCAGGCAGGCAATCTCTTCCTTCTGTCCCTCGATTTCGCTTCTCAGGACACGGAATTTTTCTTCATGGTCGCAGACCATGGTTTCCCGGCGCTGTGCCGAATCTTCGGCTTGGAGTGCGCGTCTGCGCCAATTGGTGAGGTTGGCGAGAGCAAAGAGGACGGCGACGACGAGGAGAGAGATTAAAATCCCAGGAATGAATCCCAGGTTGCCTCTGGCGACAGGGAGAGAAGAGACCTCATTCATGCCGGCGATGGCCGGAATTTCGATCCGTGCTTGCCGTTGGATCACCGGGCATGTTGGTCGCAGGACACCCTCTTCAACCGTCAGAGGGATGCATGTTTTGAGGAGGAGGGCGGGCTTGTTGGCGGCGGGGAGGTTGACCCGTCCAGTCGCGGCCTTAGGCACAACGACGCGTTGCCCTTCGATCCAAATGTCGGACGAGAAGAGGGAGCCTCCAGAAAAGTCTTTGGCATTGGGCGGGAAGTCTTCTTGTTTGACATGAGAGCTCTTGGAGCGTCTCTCGGACGCTGCCCACCAGTCGTAAACGCCGAGCTTTTTCAGCACCATCATCCAGATGATTTGGTTGGCTGCCATGTTGAACACTTTGTATGTATTTACTTTTCTTGAGAGCAAAGGTGAGGAGCTTGGTGGATGGTGAGCTTGCCGGTGTTAGGGCAGCGGTATGATGGAGAGAGGGCAGGATGGTGTCGCAGGAGTGATCTGGAAAGGTTCTTTTGTTTGAAAAGTACCAAGGCTGTCGACAAACAAGGGAGCAACCTCGCTTTGTTGATCTGGGAAGACAACGAAGGGATCTGGCAAACAAAGCGCTGATACAAAGGTCTGAAACAATGTATTAGTTTGTTTCCTCCAGAATTTAGGCGGCGAGGATGAACCTACCACTGATGTCTGATCAAGAGAAGGCCGAACCCAAGACCGGTGCAAGTGGAAGAGGCTTTGTTTCACTCCTTGCCTCTGAGGTTCTGGGAGAAGTGCTGGAAGAAGTCCTGAAGAACTCTTGGAAGAAGTGCTAGGGAGAGTCTTTGAAGAAGTCTGGAAGGAGTCTTTGCAGAAAATCCTGAAGAAGTGTTGGGAGAGGTTCTAGAAAGAGGCCCAAGGAGAAGTTCAGGAAGAAGTTCAGGAAGAAGTTCAGAAAGAAGTTCAGGAAGAAGTTCAGGAAGAACTTGAGGAAGAAGTTCAAGAAGAACTTGAGGAAGAGGTTCAGGAAGATCTGGGAAAAGTTCAGGAAGAACACGAATCAAAGCGGAAAGCTGGTCTCTCGCAGTGAACAGGATGGTGTCTGATGATGTGCAAGATGGAATGATTCGAGCAGGATACACTGTCTGTTGATGATGATCAAGAGTCCTGAAAAATGTGGAAAGAATGGAAGTGAAAGATGATCAGGACAGAGACGAACTTGTAGAAGAGAAAATCTTTTCGGACAGTGAATTCAAGAGAGAAAAAACTTCTGCTGAAGTGAATCAATTCAGTAGTCGCGGGCCATTCACAGAGCTGATTGCTAAAAACATCCTGCCGGACCCAAACTCAGCAAATGAAGCCGCCAAGATACCTATTTGCTCGAAGTCAGCCGAGGCTGCGACAAGAAGAGGGAGTTTGCGCAGACGAAGGTCAACACCATACAGGGTCAACATACCTCAGTCACTGCGCAAGCGGCAAGAACAATTCCATAGGAGGCAGGAGGAAAACTAGGAAAAGGTACGAGGAAGTCTGTATGGCAAGAATGGGGTATCATGTATTGGTACAGTGCCGCCCAGCGGGAACAGCCCTGCTCTCTATCTCAGAGAGTGGAATCTTTCTCGCCATGAACGCCGTAGTAGGTTCAAAGGTGACCGTGGTGTTCTCATGTACATACTGGGACGAATATCTCCATCATACATCATTGTTGAGGCATCATCCCGTCATTCATAGTGTCGCTCAAGATAAAGTCGTTATAAGTGGGCTGCCCAAACGTCTCCGCCCAATCCCACTCAAAAGTCATAGGCATCTGCCACAAGTCCTGAGGGACAAAAGGTTGTTGAAAAGACCCGACGTTGAGAGGCGACATGGTGGAGCTGGGCATTTGCTGACTACTGAGATCTGGGCTGAGGCCTGGCGCCGAAATCATGTCAGCATAATCGTTGTCAAGGGCCGGCATGTTAAAGAACTGAGTGTTAGAATTCATGTTGTTGCCCGCAGCATTACTGGCAAGGGGCGTCACGGGCGCGGCGGTGGTGGAAGTATGTGGTATGTTGCTCGTAGTGGTACGTGGTGAGGCTCCGGCGCCGCTTGATCTCCGAGATCCAGCCTTGCGCCCGTTGATCTGCGACTGCACCTGCGCCATGGCTGATTGATTGACACGCATGACTTCTTCCGGCACAAGCCTGCGTTTTCGTTTTGAGCCTTCCTTCTCTGCTTTTTCAATCACCACTCTGGCAATGCGGGCGAACTCCGAGCATACAGTGAGCATGCGGTTCAGCGATCCAGTGCCTTCGTCATGCGCCACATTCGAGAGAAAATTGACGACAAGGTCCATCAGCTTGATGTCGGCTCGTGCACGGGTGTCTTGGGGGTTTTGCAGGATGTTGGCAAAAAGGGTGACGAGTGCCGAGACGGGGAAGTATAGGACTAGCCAAACGCAAGCAAAGTCACCTTGCGGAATGTATTTGATGAGGTGGATCGAGGCTCGGGCAGCTGAAACACAGAGTGCCGCAGAAGAAAAGACCCTTGGATTGAGGGGCCTTGCGTTGAGACCTTGGATGGCATATTCCGACAGTCGGCTGGTCCAATAGCCGTGGTGAACAGACATCCGGTGAATTGTCGTCAAGCAGTTGTAGTAGGAGAAATGAAGGACGACAATATGCAGAATGAGCGGGGTATGAGACGTCTTGATTTCGTGTTCGGGTCGGAAGTCGAGAGGAATGCTGTCCTTCCAAGCTTCCAATTCTTTGTCGAGCTCGCCGATGGTGTTCAAGAGCTCTCCGTCACTCTGCTTCGAAGCTCTGACGGAGTAGAGTTGACGATACACCTTGCTGGAAATAATGGCAAACTCACACATGAGACGGAAGAGATTGATCTTGCTCTTGCCGTCTGCCAATGGGACGTTGCCAATGTTATCAGGGGGATCTTCCGAGGGTAGCTCGACATTCATGTCATCATCGTCCTGCGCAGGCGGTCTACCAGCCCGAAGACAGGCATCCTTGTCGAGCAGATACCCGATCCAGAAGACTCGCTTGCGCTGTTCCACTTCGATGGGATTGAGGTTGAATGCAGACCCTCGCTTGTGGAGTCCTATTGTATGTGAACATCTGATGGCAGCAGCGATCAGAAAGAAGGACGGCTGAGGGTTTGGTGTGCCTTGCAGGAACAAAGCCATGCCGAGCAGCGCCTGGACACTGAGAAGATCGGTGTTTCGCATGGTCAGTTCAGTGATGACGCCCATGGCATTCTTCAGGTAAAGCCACGCCTTCTGGTCGTCTTCTTGCGGAACAACATTACTCATGACTCTGATGCGGTAAGCAATGGCGAGAGCGACGTTGATGCTCGCCCACCACCCGCTTCCTTCGTACGGGTCTTTGGAGTATTGCTTTTCGACAAGGTGCATAAAAGTAGGTTCATGGAATAATGGGAACATGCAGTTAAAGTTCTCAAAGAAATCTTTGAATAAGGACAAAGCTTCTTCCTTTGGTGGCAGCGGCTTGAAGACTCGGCGAACGAATATGTCTCCAAAAACCTCAGGTTTCCAGTACTGCCACTTGGTATCATCGTCGTTGACGGCATTCTGAATGGTTTCCTGAAAAGAGGTATCCCCAGTCTTCTCATTGACCCACTCGATACCTTTACTCGAGAAGATGGAGAAGGCCGAAGACGATCCTGAACACAGTTAGGGGACACGGATGTGGAAATGAAGCAAGAGAGTACCTACCAATGTATCTGGTCTCACCGACATTGTTGGTGACAAGCGAGCACATGGCCTCGGAAAGATTCTCTACTTCCTCTCGGCTTGGTCTCTCGCCATCCGTACTCGGTGAAGTGATATTATCACGGGGAGTCTCAAGGGAGTCCCGTTGGGAGGCAGGTCTTGGGGAGTTCTCGGCCGCCGCAGAATTGGCGCCACTCTTCGCAGCGCCCGGAGAGTCTGTCTTGTGCGTTGGAAAGTCCCTTGAAGAGGCCTTTTCGGCGAGACGCTTCTCCAATGTACCCAAGTCTGTTTTCCCAGCTTCTTCTTCGCTGAGGAGCCCGGACATCCGTAAGAGCGACTCCATGCGCCCAAGGCGGTTTTCGAGGCCTTCGATATACTTGGCTCTGTCGCGGCCATCAGTTTCCCAGCTATGAGGTTGCACAGGGACCAGATTACATACCCCTTTGGAGGATTCCGCTTCTTCTCGACCTGTGTGAAGATACATTCCGTCTTGTAGTTTATACAGTGACCGCATTTGGGCATCTTGCCGTCACACTTTATCTTCTTCTTTCTGCACATATCGCAAGCCTGCAGTCACCGTCAGAAGACACGGCCTTGTTTGGTAGCTATGTATGGAGGCGCACCCTTGCAATGCGCCGGCGTTTTGGATCATTCTCGTCGGCACCTCCATCATTGAAATCGCCAAAGTATGCACCAGGTGGGAGGGTCGCAGGTATAGGAGTGCCGTCTGGGTTGTAGGCCCCGAAGATTTGTGGAGGCTGCGGAGAGACGAATTGGGACATGTCATAACCCAACCCATCAATGCTGCCATGAGGATCCATGGTGACTTGCCGGAGCCGCCGCCACCGCCGTAATACCTCAAGGAGGGATTGTATAAGCTGGAGAGGGACTCGTGGAACTACGCTGAATGCAGGTACCCGGTAGGAGAGGACGGAAATCCGGATAGTTTAGCAGGAGTAAGCCACTGAATTCATCGTGTATGCGAACTTGTTGGAACGGGGTTCTTCGCCACTGGAGCATGGGACAGGACTGAGTGACCAAGCAGGAAGGTCGACAGGAGCCTGTGGAGGGACGAGGATTTGCGTATGGCAAAAGCTCACCTCGAAAAGGACTGGGGGAAATGGAAGATGGGAAATGGGAAAGGAGAGACGTGGTACAGAGGCGATCAATCAGGCAGAAAAAGAGGCCGTGATTCAGGAATTTCAGGAAGGTTGAAAGTGTATCAAGTAGTAGTAGTCACAACGAGGCCCATCGTGGACCATGATCAGATACGATTTACGAGTGGCAGCTTGTGGGAACGGATGCGGACCCATGTTGCTACGTGCTTGCCATGACCATAGCTGATGAGAGGTAGGGCACCAAACCTAGTTCGTTAGTCGGTCGGCCGGCTATGACGATGGCGGGCAGCCCTGCGGGTTTCAGGGTGGCTAGGGGGGGGGGGCATCCAGCTGCTGCCCTGCATGTGTTAGGGGCCCGTTGAGCTGGATGGTGGGGGTTGGTCCATGCTCAAACGGGAGCATCATACCGAAGCCCCCAACTCTCAGGCTCCAGGCACCAGTATTTGCATTTCCAGATACCCTGACGTGCCCCTTCCCATTCGACGGGGACCCAGGCCAGCGGCACTCAAGCGGCTACTTCCAGTGATTGACGATTCCATCATTATTGATCATCTCGTCAAGCTTGGAATTCTTCAGTCCCATATCTGGCCACCTGTGAGTCCCCGGGGTTAAGGCATTTGGCCGGAGACGGCCATAGTATTGAGGCTTTATTTCCTTTCTCATTTTCCCCCTGCGGTCAGCAAAATGTGAACTACTGAACCATGGGACCATGGGACCATCACACGCTGCGTACCAAGCCGTGGCAAGGAAACCATGGCTTGTACCACTTGTTCGCTTCGTCCATGGATCCCCCCCGGGGTGTATCAGACTACGACAAATCGGTCTCAACTCACCTCACTTTCGCAGCAAGACAAATCAGTTTCATCAACCTCGAATCGAGTCCCCCGGATGAGTGACGGGTCTCCATCGCCTCCTATGTCTCTCGGTCTCTGCGCTCTCTTTCCTTCCACTCTCGATTGACCCTCAGGTCACATTCCAACCCAGACAGCCGGACTAATACTATAACTCAATTCAAAAAAAAAAAAATTCCTTTCATCCGCTCCGCCCTCGAGCGTACTCGAGCGTGCTCCGCCTCCGTCTCCGTAAATTCCTGCGGCGTCTCCTCCAATTGCAGCGAGACACCTGCAAACCTTGGAAGCTTGACATGGCGCCGTTCTACCGTATTGTCGGATTCGGTCTCGTTTCGCACCGGCGGACCCGATGAATGGTCCGAGTGGCCTCATAGTTGCGCTCTCCTCCCCTTCGATTTCTCAGATGGACATTCTCGCAATGTTGGACTCTTCTCGAAAACCGGGCTTCGGCCCCAACTTTCTCGGCCGAATCTGCCGGGGTGGCTCCTCACATGGCAGCCTTAGGCAAGCCAACCCTCGTTTCCTCCTCCTAACCGTGCTCTTGTGGTGGTCCAGAAACAGGTGGCAGGCTGACTAAATCAATTAGTCTTCTCCTCCGGGTTCTGCACGAGGTTGGAGATATGAGCCATTTTTCGTCTGCTACCTTACTTTGGTCGTCGATCTCAAAGCAATCGATGCTCGGCAGTTACTTAGATCCCGGGGCGCAGAAAAGACCGCGCAGATTGTCGCGAGTACAATCCGATTTAACAGTCGTGTGACTAGGCGTAGCACTTTGCTTCCCGGAGACGGCCTCGACGGTACGAAGTCGGTGCGTTCAAAAAAGCGAGAGCGAGAATCACGAACAAGAGGTATGTGGAAATGCTTGAGTATTGCTTCATTGGCTTCATGGGGCACAACCATGGTTCTGTGTCAGGAGGGGCGTCGGTCTCTTCTTGCCGCTATCAATAACCATGGGCTCCTCTCTAAGAGTCCAGTTCCTCATGGTCACCGATGATTTCCTGGCAAAGAGCAATCATGTACCGGCCATGTACTCTTCTGATGCCGTCCCAATTGGCCCACAGCCATTCCCTGCCCACTGTGGCACACCACCATATGTTTGAAGCCACAGATGCATGATCGTATGTCCGCCGACCGTTGACGACCACTCGCCATGGCTCCTCTATGGTGTCAGGCTGGGGAGTCGTTGCTTGAAGTTGGTTGAGCTCACGGAACATTCTCTCCCTGCAAGGGAAGCCGTCTTCTTCTCCCGGCATGTCGGCGGACTGGTCGTCGTCGTCGTCGTCGTCGTCGTCCTCGTCATCCTCGCTCAGCTCTTCTTCACTCTCGTCCTCCTCCTCACCAAACCCTTGCCGTTCTTGAGATCCTCCACTATCACCGTTTCCTTCACTGTCACCCTGCCCATATCCTCCACCATAGCCGTCATCGCTATCGCTATCGTCCCAAGGGTCCTCTCCGCCCTCTTCGTCACTTTCCTCGTCTTCCTCCTCGGATTCCTCCTCCTCTTCATCATCTTCTTCATCCGCATTGTGTTCGGCATTCGCCGAATAGGCACTCTCGCCTGTGCGGTACGCCTCAGCTATCGCTCTCTGCCGTTCATATGCACGTTGAGCCGCTTCGAATTCGTCTTCTGAGGAGTCGCCATGATCTTGAACGGCGTCTTCAGACTCATGGTCTACGCTTACGTATCCCAAGGTGTCATCCTCAAGTTCAGGGTAGTGACTGTCGACTTCTTCTTGAGCCCCTTCCTCCTCAAGTGGAGGGTATTCGCCGGTTTCTCCTTGGCCGTGGTTGTCTTCCTCATCCCCTGGAGTGACTTGATTGTCAACGCCGCTTTCTTCATGAAGGTCGTCGTCACCATCAGCGGTTTGATCCACGTTTATGTATTCTTGATACATCTCACCCGTTCCATGCTGAGGTTGTGTGCCAACCTGGGGGGCATCGCTATCTTCGCGTGCCTGGGAGACAGGTTCACCAAGGAGTGCTGGATCTATCACTGGATATGTCGTGTGCTCCAGGTTCTCAAAGGGGTTCACCGCCGGCCGAGTCTGCTGTGACTCTTGTTGAAGAAGCGCAGCTGCCACCAAAGGGTCGCATCGGAGAGTCACAGATTTCATTGACGCGTACTTTCGGTCACAACCCTCGTATTGCCTCATCCGATCGGCTTGGGGGGTGTCAGCCCACGGGTCTGTAGGAACTCGGTCGTCGCCGTCTCGTGCACGCTTAGCAGCGTTCGGTTTGTCGCGACGTTCCGCTTCTAGGTCCGCATCTTTATGGATACTTAGACCAGGAATTGGAGACTGAAGGAGATTTTCTTTGCACGGCCGTGGCTCGGTTACCGGCTGATCACCAACCTCATTGCTTGCGGCCTCCGGAGTCTCAGACGTTGTGCCTTCATTGAATGCAAGAAGGGCGGCTACATCTTCTGGTGCCATGAATTCCTGCTGTTCGTTGCTCACTGCTGCTGGAGCCTCGGCTGTTGTGCCTTGATTGACCGCAAGAAGCGCGGCTACATCTTCTGGAGCCATAGGTTCTTGCTGCTCATTGCTCACTGCTGCTGGAGTCTCGGCTGTTGTGCCATGGTTGAACGCAAGAAGCGCGGCTATATCTTCTGGAGCCATAGGTTCTTGCTGCTCATTGCTCGCCGCTGCTGGAGTCTCAGATGTTGTGCCATGGTTGAACGCAAGAAGCCCTTCGACATGTTCTGGCGGCATCAAGTCTTCCTCCATTTCTGTGTCAACTTCGATCTGGTCATATTGCCCTGGAGCTGCTAAGTCGCTCTGCTCATGGAAGATCCCTGCCGGACGTGCAGGCTCATAGCCAGGCGGTAGCACTGGCGAAGGAAGCTCTTGTGGTGCTTCTTGTGGAAATTGAAATTGAAATTCGACCGCAGGGCCGCCGGGTTCAAAGTCCATAGCCACCGGGCGTTCAAAATCCGTGGTCATCGGCCGGTCAAAGTCCATGGGCACCGGCTGTTCAAAGTCCATGGTCACCGGCGCATCTTCTAAAGATAACAGATGCATGCGGGCCGATAACTCAGCATCTATGCTCATATCTTCCAGCCCAGATTGCAGAGGGTCGCTTTCCGATGCAGCTTTGACCACCTCCATGAGATCTGAGGGCGCTTGTTCGCAAGCAACAGCGGGGCATGCAGTGCTCTGCGCACTCTCGGCAAGAGTTTGCGCTTGGTACTCAGCAGACATGTTACTCCACGAGTGCAGGGTCCTAAGGAAAGCAGGATCGATTCCAGGCGTACCAAGGGGCAGCTGTTGCTCTTGAACTTGGTATCCAGGAGTCGGATCTTCTGCAGCAGGGTTCAACAGTGGTTGCTCGCCACTAGACGCAGTGGTCATTGGTGTCGACTGTTCGGCCGAGAGTGGAACGCCAGTGGCTGCTTGTCCTTGAGCATCTATGACCATCGACTCTTGCACCGCTGCAGGCGCCTCATGTTCGAGGAAGTGGCGGGTGTGGTTGACCACCGATCCATCAGCGTCGGCCGCGATAGTGACTCCACGGCTGGGTTTAGGCCGGGTCGTTGTCTTTTCTGCAGATGGCGTCAGGCTGCGGAGTATACTAGGACGACATTCGTCGGTACCCTTGGAGCGGTTGACAACCGGTTGCTTGGACGGAGTCGATACTGGCGTGTCCGAATTGAATAGCTCGTCAAAGCCAGCAGTGGAAAGTTCGGTGCTGTCGCCAGAGAAGGGCGGTTCTTCACTGGGCAAAGAATTTTCGCACGCTTCGTCGTTGCTGCTGCCACCGTCGGCCTGAGACTGGTCTGTGCTCTCCTTCGGCTCTTCTTCCTCCACGATGGTTTCGAGGACACTTGCCAGTGGACCAGAGGCATTTGGAATGTCGCTCTCATCTTCGCTGACTTCCACGGTGGGAGCAGGAGGATGGTGCTGGGGCTCTTGGTCCTCGTCCTTCTTGTGATCCTCAATGGGAGTCGACAAGACGGGTGCACAGGCGGGAGATACGACGGACTCAGAAGGCGTTGTGGTGCCTTGACCTTCTGTAAAAGTGGCGTCGGTGAGGTCATGCTCATTGGAGGCGATTGACAGAAGCTGGCTATCTGCAGGTTCGCTCTCGTGTGAGTTGTCCAATATGGGCATGTCTTCTGAAGCTGGCAAAACACTCATACCCGATTGGGAGGAAGGCGCTCGCTCGGACAAGGAGGCAGCAGTGCACTCTGGAGCCTGTGTGGTCAGAGGATCCTGTTGAGGCTGGTTGGGGATTTCAGCTGGAACTTGTGGCAATGGCAGGTTTGTAGCCTCAACTTGGGCTTCTGGCTCAGTGTTGGAAAGCAGTGCTCCCGACGGCAGGGCCGATCTGACGAGAACGAGCCTCTGCCCTGGTCTGCGAAAGCCAGGTCTTGAGCTTTGCGGTGGTGGATGTTCCTTCTTCTGCTTTCGAGCGCGCGGGTTGCGAATGAACTCCAGGACCCTGGCTGAGTCCCTAGGTGGCGGTGCTTGAAGCGATCCTTCACATAGTCTCTTGCAGATTCCCGTGTCTGTGTAATGCTCGGGGTGAACCATTGGGAGGCTCTCTTCTTCGTCGTCTGCTACGTTACCGATCCAGGCTGTCTGTGTGCTCTGCTGGTCTGACTCGATGGTAACATCGAATGCTTCAGCTCCATCGTCCTCTTCAGTCTCTGTTAGACTCGACGTGGATTGAGTGGCAGGAGTTGTGCCCAGTGGAACATCCGCCAGCGTATCGAGGGCAACCACTAACTCATCAACAGGCAATGGTTGAGTATCAGCTTCGATGGTGAGCTCCGGTTCCGCTTCTCCCCTGGGATACCCTTCGATATATCTGCTTAGATCGTCAAGCAGATAGAGGAGGGCAAGAGGAGCAAAGCGGGACAAGATCACGAGGCCTTTCTTTACCGTGCCGATGTTGGCCAGAAGCGGGATGCCGACCAGAATGAAGGCTTGAGGAGCCGGTGCCAGCTTCAGGAAAAGACCGAGCGCCTTGTTCAAGAAGTCGCGGACAACGAAGAACTTCCTCCTTGCAAACTCAACGATGGGCTTCGTCTTTTGGTCTGCATACGCATTCGCAAAGATAGACGCAAGGTTCCAGGGAACAGAGGATGCATTGAGAGCAGAAGGTCGATGCACAGGTAGGTTGATGCCCTTGGAAACACGTTCAGCCTGAGAGTTTTCATGATCGAGCCATTCATGAGGAGCGAGAGTATCGTTATCGGCAGTGACAGAGCTGTTTGAATTCGTATCGTTGGTGTTGTGGACCTGGAAGCTGATAATCTCTTCGATACGAGTGATCGTGCCATTGCTCCATGCGCCAACCTCGAAGAACCGTGTCTTGGGCTCAGCTAAAGGATCTATCGACTGAGGAGTCCCATCTGTGTTGCCTTCCGATATGATTGTCTTGACAATAACACTGGGGCCTTCAGAGGTTGTGGATGTGGCGGTCGGAGTAGGAGATAGGCTGGACTCCATGACCTGGATACCATCTTGAACGGATTGGAATACGGCGACAAGTTTGTCTTCCGCAGCCTTTGGATGCTTGGCAAGATGCCAGCCTAGGATGCTCACAACACCAACTGCGCCCGCAGCTCCAACCAAGATTTGCATGTCTTGGTTGTTGATTCCAGGGATGGCTGTAACATTGCTTATGAGCAAGAGCAGGAAGAGGAGGGTCCACTTGAAGGACAACATGATGAAGGTAGGTTTCGAGGATGCTGTTGATGTTGTTTGTCGGTCTCAGGAGATGGAGTGTTTGGAAGATCTCGTGTTGTTGTCGACGGTTGACCTCTGTTCAGGTTTGCAACAAATGAGGAGGGTGGAAGTGGTTGTGACGAAGAGAGCTCGACAGTTTGAGAGAGCGGTTACAACCTTGCGTCTCTTGGTGTGGTGGGATTGGAAGATGGATGAATGGCGATGATTCGAAAGGACGCGGAGTCTGCTCGACAATCTGCGAGAGTGATTATGGTCTTGCTTCGCTCGTTCTTGTGAGACTGGAAGATGGACGATGGGAAAGAATCGAAGGAATTCGAAGTCAAGTGGACAATTCGCGAGATTGTGCTTCTCTTGGTCTGATGGAAGTGGATGATGGATGATGGTAAGGAATCAAAAGGATGCGAGGGTCTGTGGGAAGATGTTTATGGGAGAGGGAAAAGGTTGGGAGGCAGATGCGCGTGCAAAGTTTTTTGTTTTGAGGCAGTGAATGGGCATATTGTTCCCAATTGAGGGTTGCTGGAGTGAATCCCAAGGGTGAGGCAGTAATGGCTGTTGGATTCACTGCCTAAACACCAGGCAGTGCCGAACACATCGATATTTTGCAAGGCAGTTCTATGCGCCAACAGAGGCTGACCCGAGCGACCCATTCATGGCTTCTGGTCTGCGTCCATGCCGAACAGCGATTCTGTGGACCTTGATGAATATAGAATATATCTCTACACGGGCCGCGAGGCTGAAGATTCAAGGGGGTAGAAATACAGCAAATTGTTTCCTCGCGTCTCTCTAAGTCTGGGTGTAGCTACGGCTTTTGAGCGGCGATCAATCCACCAGCGGTGATTGCTACTTCTAGCGCTTCTTTCTGTACGAGACAAAGGTCCTATTCTGGTGGTTCTCAGCTTTGTCGCGGCCCTCCCAACCTTGAGCACACCCACAGCCTTGTCGATTGTGTTGCAGACAAAGGCAGAGTCGTTGGCTCGAGCCAATCACAGCGACGCGTGATTCGGTACCATACAATACCCGCGGACTGACTCTTCTAGGGCCAGAATCTCAAATAACACGAAATAAGCGATACAGCTCTTCAATTTCTGTCATTTGAAGGACCCCTATGACATCAACCTGCGTGCCTGCGATCTTCAGGCACGTCGTTCGGTGCCTCGTCCTTGAGGCCCTTGGAACATGTGCGAAGCAACCACACTCGAAAAAGGGTAATATCACACTCCAAAACCTGTTTTTCGGACGCTCGTGGCACTGGGGCTGGCGTTGTGCATGGTTAGCAGACGGAAGGTTCCCACCTTTGGCAGGAAATATATTCCTTGTCCAATTCCACACCACACCCTCTTTCGAACACTTTTATCCTCACGAACTTTGGCAGCTAGATTGAAGATATACACCTACATACCGACTACTTTGTCCTTTTCTTGTGTCCAGGAAGACTTTGAATCCCCAGAGAATAATTATAATCCCTCTACCTCTCCAGCCGCGGTTTAGAAAAACCACACACGCGCAAAAATGTCGGACGATGCAGGATTCTTCAAGAAGACGTCCGAGGCCGTCGCCAACGCGGGCGCCTCTGTTGCCGGCGCCGTGTCCGGGTCTTTGTCACTAGGCGCCAATGCAAGCCACAAGAAGACAACCACGACCAAAACAAAGACGTCGCTCCCAGCAGCACAAGACCAACAGTACTACATCGCGAATGGAGGAGCAGCGGGACAGCCTCCCCAGGGACGCATCACGGACGGTGGACTGGGCGAGCAGAAGAGGATCACGTCCAAGGAGACTGATGCTTTGTACAAGGAGCGCATGGAGGACGAGTATGCGAAGAGGGAGGGCGGTGCTTGAATAAATAGGCCGTGAGGCAACACCTACGAGGAGTATAGCGCAAGCAGGACGGCTGTCCAGCACCTTCGGCGATTATAGATGGAATCATCAATCATGGGTTTCCTCTGCTCACCTTTTCGTGGGTCTTAAAAAGATATTTATCTCACCATTCTGGGCTCTTTGAAAGCATTCTATATACTCTGTAAGAATCCCTAATCCCGAGTCGAGCACATGCACACGAGAAGATGGATTTCCAACATCGCGACTGCAGAGTGACATCATTGTCTACGATAAGTGTGCAGAGGGAAATCTTCGGCGAATTCAGCCATAGAACTCTATTGCGCTCCTCGCACTCTATATTCTCCTGCGGTCCTCCACGAATAGACGTATCGACAAGGCTGGTGCCCGTACCCAGTACAACGCACCATCTCACCGGTTCTGTGCGCGGCTCATGGCTCCCGACGTATCAAAAGCTCTGGAGCTAATAGACGCCGCTCACAGAGAGGACCCGAACACTGTCGAAGTTGATGGCGAGAAAATCCCCTACGAGCTACACTACGCTCGAAAAATGACCCAATTTCTCGACCTTCACACGCCCGATGCAGGCCCCCTGCTTGCCACGGCCGCCCGAGCGCAGCACTTCCGGCGCTGGGAGGTGCCTCGCGACAGCTACCCGCGCACCAAAGCCGGTTACTTTGCATGGCGCACGTTCCTGAAAAAGCGACAGGCCGAGCAAGTGCGACAGATCTGTCTGGAGTGCTCGTACAGCGAAGAGGAAGCGGGCAAAGTGGCGGCGCTGATTGCGAAGGAGGATTTGAAAAAGGGGGAAGGTAAGGGCGACGCCGACGCGCAGGTCATTGAGGACGTGGCCTGTCTGGTGTTTCTGGACGATCAGTTTGACGAGTTTGAAAAGGGCCACGACGAGGACAAGATCATTGGGATATTGCAGAAGACGTGGGTGAAGATGGGGCAACGAGGACAGGAGTTGGCGTTGGCTATGGACTTGAGTGACAGGGCAAAGGAGATGATAGGCAAGGCTCTGGCTGCGTGATGGGAGTGATTCAGATGTGCTACCAGCTGGAGTCAAAGATGGCCGTGTCATAACTCTCCATTCAACACTCTGTTCAGCCATCCTGCCTGCCACTCGGTGTCGATAGGTCCGCATGTTCTGGCAGCGGCATAGGAGTAAGCTCCTCATCCATCGACCCCCTATTGTTGAAGCTGTTCAATGCCATCTCCGACTGAAAGGACCCAGGTCTTTGGTCATCACTTATCGGCCTCGCTCAAACAGACAGGCCGAGAGTGTTACACACATCCTCATGGATAGTGGGACGTTGTAAGGCGCGTCCCACATGTTGGCGGCATGGCGGGTAAAGATCGGTCCTTACAAGGGTGGTGTTCGAGTTCAGGTTGTGGGAAATGGCGACCCTCCGCAATATCTCAACCCCGCAATATTGGGCCACGTCCATCTTATATTATCACCACCAAAACCCTCTGGCACCTCTGGAGTTCCGTAAAGGCGATTGCAAAGGTCGATTGTTTCTTACAGCATCTGACATACTGAAACTTCTATTCCTCGACAGCGCAACATCCTCAATCCAGAAATATGTCTCCCCATCCGAAAGTCGACTGCCACTCTCACTTTCTGCCAGCGTGAGTTCATTCTCAGTGGGCGCGGAGTGCCCTATTAATAGATAATGCCCTCAGAGAATATCGCAAGGCACTCGCTGAAAATGGCCACAAGAATCCCGACGGCATGCCAGCGATCCCGGTATGTGTTGAGAAGGACGCCCGAACAGGCTGGCTGCCTTGCTAGCGGGCTAACGGCAGGCGTGTCAGGAATGGAGCGAGGAGAGCCATCTCGATATGATGAAATCCATCAACGTGACAAAGTCAGTCCTCAGCATCAGCACGCCTGGAGTCCACCTCAAGGCCGGGGACGACGCGCTCGCCCGCAAACTGGCCAGGCATGTCAACGAGGTCGGGGCAGATATGAAGAAGCGAATGCCCGACCAGTTCGGCTTCTTTGCCTCTCTGCCCCTGCCGGACGTCGAGGGCGCCCTGCAAGAGATCTCCTACGCCGCGGATCACCTCAATGCTGACGGGTTTGTCGTGCTCACAAACTTCCACGGCACGTATCTCGGGCACAAGGACTTTGATGCTGTCTTTGATGAGCTGAACCGGAGGAAAGCCGTCGTCTTCATCCACCCTACCACGCCCTGCTTGTCGTCGGGCACCGCGGCGACGCCGCTCCCCCAGTTTCCCCGACCAATGTTTGAGTTCTTGTTCGACAGTGCTCGCGCCGTCATCAATCTGTTCTTGACAGGTACCGTGAAGCGATGTCCCCACATCACCTTCCACATGTCACACGTAGGAGGCGCATTCCCACCCTTGATCAACCGGTTCTCGAGTGTGGCCGAGATCATGAGGCTGGGTGGATCCGCCAACGAGGTCAGTCCCGCCTGGGTCAAGGAGCGGCTCAACACCCAATTCTACTTCGACACGGCGGGCTGGGCGTTTCCGGAGCAGGCAAAGGGGCTGTTGGAGTATGTTACGGTCGACAGGATGCTGTACGGGAGTGACTTCCCATATACTCCCCTGCCGGTGGTTCAAGCCTTGTCAAAACAGCACGATGAACATCTGCCGCAGGTTTTTCCCAGTGACGAGGACAAGGAGAAACTATGTAGCAGGAACGCTCTGCAGCTCTTCAGCAAAGTTTCCAGCAAGCTCTCTTGAGTGAGATAGGCTAAGGGCATTGAATTAGGGTTTTCTAGACAACCATAAGAATCGCGTACCATCTTTCGGTACCTTTCGCCTCCCTCGTGGGCGAGTCAGCTTCGAGAGTGTCGATTCTCCTTATCAAGTTCCCTTTCTGCACCACTTTCCGGAGCGCCTGCTCTTGAGAATCACAAGGACCCTTTTGCTGATCATTCTGCACGAGGAAGTTTTGAAGGGACGGGTGCACATTTCCTATTAGACTGTCGCGTGACGAGCCTCGAGGGCAAGCTTCCTCCGCTTTGATCGGAGAATTATTCCGAAGACTCTGGGCCCCTCCTTGCCATCTAGCATTTGCAATGATCGTCATGCAGCTGTCGTCAGATAATGCCCAGGTGAAGTCATTGCAGCAGTGAGAATCAAACGAGAGACTTGGCTGTGCAGGAGCGTTGGGGAGCATATATCTATGGGTGGTGCATGTTTCGTACCAGCCCATGGGGGACATTTCGCAAGAGACTACTCGATAACAAACCAAACAACTTTGACAACCAGAAAAACAAGACCGTTCCAAGACCGTCTCACCATCGCAACATTGTCTACCGCAACATAATCGATCCCATCCTTGAGAATGACGGACAATCAGACAGGAAACACGACGGGCACCTCAGAAGGTCCCGCATCCTCGCACTCGGAATTGTTTGGGCTCCAAGGTCAGAAGAGAGCATCGACGACTGCAGGCGCTGGAGCAGGATCAGGCATTATCGGGACGAGTGGGCATGCTGGGGCTGCTAAGAAGGGTGCCGACCTAGAAAGTGGGAGCGAGATTCAGAACGCTGGTGTGGCTGGCGTCGATGAGGGAGGGAAGAGCAGCACCGTCACAGGATCTGGCGGCGAGACTCTAACTCCAAGTCAAGGAAGTGGAGATGTCCGACCTGCGGGAGAAGACAAGGGCGTTTTTGACAAGTTGAACCCATTGAAGTGAAGGTGATCGCAGGGAGTAGTGCTTGGATGCATAATACTTGGTGATGGAAGGGGAGGGATTGTGAGCAGCTTTGGGAGGAGGAGAGGAGAAGTGGCATCGAGGATTGAAGAAGACGGCAACATGTCCTCACTGACTGTACCGAGTACAAACATGCTGTACTAGTAAGATATCCCAATACGACTGCTTAGACTTGTCGATACAAAGGAACCCAAGGCACAATATCTCGTACTCGGTGTGATCAGGACATTCCATTCTCCCCAAGATTTATAGGTATCTAGGTAGAGACAAGCCCCATGCTCGGGCGCCGGTTTAACTGCAAGGGAAAGGCGTGGCGGCCCGCGCTGGTGCTAGAGTTGGGCAAGCGGAGGGGGGAACCAGTTAAATGCCCTAGCCAGGTAAGAGCTAGGATGCCCCTGGAGCAGCCGAGCTCGTTAGCGAATACGCTGTACCTAGGTAAGTGCCTACTACGAAGTGCTGTTCGGGGCGCTTGGACGCCTGTGAGGCGCTTACAAGCCACATCCAACGGGCAACTTCCATCTGCAGCTGCCATGGAAATGGGGAAAACGGTGACTCTTTGACTCTCTCGCTCTGTCTGACCGTCCGTGTTCCCAACTTCGCAACCTTGCAACTCTGCTGTCACTCTGTACAATTCCAATCAATATCCAGACGCCAATGTCCAGCTTAACGTGACTCAATCAATGTTCCACCACCTTTCTCATCCTTTATCGACATTGCGCCTCGCGTTTGCTACGCTGGCACGATCTTTGCCAACATAAAAAGACCAAATCTCCTGCTCAGCGCCAGTTGCGTTGCTGCGCTTTGCCTCATTCAATTCGACACGACTTCCATATTGGTCGCTTGATTATTTGCTGTACTCTTCGCGGCACCCGCACCCAATCAGTCACCTTGTCACCTCCGGCTTTTGATCGACGAGACTCGCCCACCACGGCGTTGTCGAGATTTAACCAATCCTTCGACAACGACGACACCGACCGCGACCACGAGGACAAGATATACATTGCTCCGCCGCCTCATTCTCCCAGGTCCGAAGCGTCATCCTCGAGCCCTCCCTCTCCACGCCCACCTCCCTTCTCCTCTCTCTACTTCCCAACCGACGCCGAGCTCGACCGCATCAGAGCTACTGTCGCCGAGGCTCACAGCGACTCGCTTCTAGCCTCTGCCCCGGCACCCTCCTTCGAGGAGGCTCTCGCCGAAGACGAACCCGGGTCCAAGGCTGAGCGTGAGACCAAAGCTGCCCTCCCACAAGATACAAAGGCTCAGTCTTCCTCGGGCAAAAACGTTGACGACGGAGAGCCGCCACCACCTTATACCGAAGGTTCTAGTCCGCTAGAGTCGTTCACATACCTCATGGCGGCAGCAGGCGGTGCGGCCAGCATCATTACACAAGTCCAGCAAACAGGCCCACCAATCAATACTCTAGGAGGTGAGTGGCGCTGCCATGGAGGAAGATGGTAAAGACTGACCTTATGGCCCTATAGCAGGCGAGGCAGCGGCTGATGAACACATCACGTTGGACTTGAGGTTGGTTCTCCCCACCCACTGAGATCAAGCAAACAGGAAACTGACCATAGGACAGAGGAACGCATTTCACTCTTTCCCGCGATGAATTGTTGACTCTGCCCGAATTTGTGTTGCTATCATTATTCCCCAATGGTCTCCTCCCGGATGGTCACATGAACTCGTTTCATGAAGGCGATGTCTATCCCGTCGACGTACGTCCCGCTCAAACTCCCCATCCCATTGTCGTTCTTAGCAATCCTTGTATCTATATCGGAGATGTAACATATTCTTCACAGTATGACCCAGCCTCCCTACAGTATATGTTAAACTTTTTCCGAGATGTGGCCCAATCAATACCCTCCACATCTCCCTCCCCAACCACTCCACCAGAACATGACCCCATATCGATCGAACCGTTACAGGGTTCGACCAAGGATATGCTTCAGGACCGTGCGGGGATCATTGTCTTGAGGGAAGACCTCGACTTCTACGTCATTCCTCCTCGTGCGGATATTGAGCAGCCGGAAATGACAGAAATCAAACGTGCCGCCGGGAAATCCTTGCTCAAGCAAGATGGAATCTTCTCCGGTCTTAAGCGGAGTGAAGAAGCAGGCACGACTGAGCAACATTTGATTGAAATGTTAACCGCAGGGTATGTTCTCACAAAAGGATCAGCTTAGACGGATATTCTGACGCATCTAGCGGCTTTAACCATGACGATGCTTGGGGCCATCGAGCTGGAGAACCAAACAAGGCCGTCATTTGCAGCTTAGCTCTTGCAAGACTGCGGACTGATATCAAGGGAGATTTGGCAGGGAGCAACGTTGTGGGCATGGCTCAAAAGCTACTGCTGTTCTGGCGCAAGCCCGCTCGGAGATGCTGGTGGGAGGGCGTTGAGCTGACTGATGTGGAGGGAGTCGAGGGTAAACTGAAAGTATGGATTCGAAGAGTGTGGACGCTCGAGATGGTAAGCATCCCCTTGGCTGGGCAAACATGGCGTTGTACTTACATTCTGTGCAGAGCGTGATCGGCCTACGATGACAGGAGCATCCTTGTTCTTCATTTGCAGTTTGGCGTTTTTGCATTGAGCGATCACCGGAAAAAGAAGTTCGGTTTAGGGATATTCATATGTCTATGGGAGTATTGTGCCTGTGTAGCGGATTGCAGCTGGGGATTGCCTGCGAATGGCTGTGTGAGGCACGATACCGCCAAGGTTTGGCTTCTTCTCACTGTCAGTCACACAGTGTCTTTGTCTTTAGTGAAGTTGAAACCCATATTCATTCCGTCGCAACTTGGGGTCAGAAAAAAACTATGTATACGAGTGTCTGGGGCCGGGAATCGAACAACAGATTTGCCCACTGCCTTCACAACCAAGGAGCAAAAAAGATCTAGTAGGCTCAGGCGACGTTCTATTTTACCTTCCCCCATTTCCCTTGTAGGTGTTGCGGCTCCTGACCTCTCCCCGGTGGAGAGCAGTTATCGAGCAATCTTACAACAGCCACATTGTGGTACTTTGGGCAGACATGAGCGAGACCCCTACAGCAAGCTCATTGTCCTTTGGAAGGCCCCTCCCTCCTAACCCACTAGATCTTTTTTGTTCGGATCTAGCATAGCCCCCCCTCAACTTGAAGTTATAGGGGTCTCCAAGTGCTGTTCAACTTCAAAGTTGAATTGTTGAATTGTTGGTTGTTGATGTGATTTCTCACTTGGGGGGGCTATGTTGACAGATTTTCGGCGATTCAAAATGATATCCCTTCAATTTGTTTTTTTCCTCTGGGTGGGTCCGCGTGGTGAGTGAATTTGCCTGGTGTACGTGGTGCCGGGTGCAGGTACTGCCGGACTCTACCTATATATCACTCCAGCCTTGTCTACGAGTAAAAGTGGGTCTGTATGTTATACAAGGCTGGGGGGACAAAAGGCACCGCCTTTGCGGAATACCGGAGTAGGGAAAGAGTACCAGGAAGACGATGGCATAGAGGGATCGCAACTGGGGGAAGAGCTCGAGCCTTGATCTGAAGACTATTTGGTGAGATCAGGTATTGGGATGTTGCGAGTATACTGTACATGTGCATTCTTCACCATGGACGAGATGTAGCAGTCAATCACTCCTCGCCCTTGCCGAAATCTACGTAGCTGGATGGAAGCAGACATGACATCGTCGCGAGATCTCGACACAAACTACCGTACGTCTGAACATTGTTCCCCCTGGGGGATAGATTCGACCTCGAGTAGGCCCTCGATATCCCATCACCACGCAGGAACCCTTTAACAATTCCGCTGCGTGGAGGCCTTGAGATTCCGTTCTTCAATGACTCCGGCTTTGTTGAAGTGACTCTAGAGTGCCATCAGGTTTACCATGAGCATAGTCTCTTCGATGCTATTGATTGTTGTACTCGGTTATTGAGGAGGAATGGTCAAAAACCCTTGCCTCAGCCCAAATTAAGCTCTTGCCTATAAGAGTTTAGCGTCTTGGTATCAGTACCAGGATGCAATGGCTTGGCACTAGACCCTTCTCGGAAGGGATCGAAAGTCGCGACTGCGAACATTTCTTTGAAGCCACCAGTTGCTGCGCATTGCGACACGCTTTCAGGCCAGATTCTTAATATTTTTGATTCTCTTCAACGGGTGTGTCGCGTGGCGCAGACTGTTCTGACTCTCTATGCCATCGACCATGTCATAGTGTTGTGCCACCTGTCCTGCCAACCGCGCGGTGAACCATGGCGCCCGCGCAAGCATATGTGACCAGCTATCCCCCGCGGATCCGCCAATACACCAATACCCTCCTTCAACCCGTTCTCCAGACCCAGAATGTCGTCCCAGGCGGTCGCACTACCAAACGAGGGACAACGATAATCAACTACGCAGATGATGCCTATGATGAAGACGACTTTGAAGACAGCGAAGGCCCCCGGCGACCGACCGGTTTGCGATCGTTGCGACGGGAAGAGCTCGAGAAAAGGGAACCACAGAATGAAAAAGTGGGAAAGGAAATACACGAGCCCGTTGACTTGCAACCCATATACCGAGACTGGATAATCAGGAGGGCAGTCAGGCCTACGTTAGTACCCATCTTTCGAGCGTTGTGACCCCGTATTGTTATTGACCCAAATTGTGTCGAACAGGACAGATGCCCAGGCACAAATTCAATCGCAACTCCCGCTCACCCTTATACCCATACGTATCGATCTCGATGTACCACCCCACCAGCCCGAAGCGCCTTTTCCCCTGCCGCGCGCAGGAGTCGATATCGGGGTTAACCCTTCGCTGCCAATGTTCAAGAAACCTGAGCCACTACCGGGCTACAAGATACGCGACATCTTTTTGTGGAATCTACACGAGAATCTACTTACCCCGGATGACTTTGCGCAGTGCTTCGTGCGCGAGCTCGACTTGCCGAACCAGACAGGCCTTGCGATGAACGTCAGTCAACAAATACGAACCCAGCTGGAGGACTATGCAGGGGTGGCCATGCACCCTCTGTTTCACACCCAGCCGAAGAGATCACAAATGCCTGACACTAATCCTGCTGCGACACCCTCGGCTTTCGTGAACGGAAGCTCTCGCGGCGGCACTCCCCGCGCACATTTGGGTGCGTCAATATCTCGTCCAGCCTCTACAACACCGGGGACTCCCGCTGCTTCGACGCCCCATCCCATTACATTGACAAACGGCGCATCTATAACAGCAGTTGCTTCTCCGCTACCGCCAGAACCTCAAATTGAGCAGCAGGATGACTCTGAAGACCCGTATCTCAATCCTGACGATACCTACCGCTGTGTAATCACGCTATCAATCTATCTCTCTTCGAAACTTTACCAAGATAAATTTGAGTGGTCATTGCTACATCCGCCGGGTGCCGCAGAGGCGTTTGCAAGGCAGACTTGCGCTGACATGGGACTGAGCGGCGAGTGGGTCATGGCCATCACCCATGCAATCTACGAAGCAGTGTTGCGACTGAAGAAAGAGGCATGCGAAGGCGGCATGGTCATGATCGGTGGAAATAACTTAAGCGGAGAGATCGACAATCAAGCCGTCCGAGGTGAGGAAGGCGCTGGTTGGAGGTACGACATTGACGATTTTGGTGCTGAATGGGAGCCCAAATTCGAGGCTTTGAGTAAAGAAGAGATCGAGAAGAGAGAGGGCGATCGAGAAAGACAGCTGCGGAGATTGCGGAGAGAGACTGCCAAGTTCAGCTCAACTGCTGGTATGGTGCCCTCGGCTCGAGAACAGGAAGCTCAGCAGCGAGGAAGTTACTTTGACTACACCACCATCGGGAGCGCCGGTACCGGGGAGGAGACGCCTCTCATGGGTCGTGGAGAAAGAAGTAAGAAGAAGCGGCGGTTCAGATCGCTCTCTCCTGTGGCGAAGGCACAGACCCCGGACGCCACCGGAAGTTCTGCTGGTGCCGGATGGGGAGGTGAGGGCAATCGGTTACAGGAGTACGAGAGGCAGAATTGGAGGTGCAAACATTGTCTCATTTGGGGCAGCGCCGTCTGGGCTGTGCGAGATGGGCCTACGGGTCCAAGAGTGAGTCCAGCCCCTTTTCTTGTCTTTTCCTTTTCTGCCTTGATATCACCATCGTTGGTTGCGATACTTGGTTTTTATTGAGAGGTGAACTATGCTGACGAGTGATGTTTGCGAGCAGACGCTATGCAACAGTTGCGGCTTGATCTACGAGCGAGACAAGAAGTTGCCCGTATGGAATGAAGGATTGCATCGGCATACCTTACCTCTCGGCAGGTAGTCACTGGAGCTTGGACGGAACCGATTTTGAGACACCACTCCATCATCTTCTCTCTCATCCCGTAATCGATGGTGACGTTCTCGCGCTGATTGTGGGTTATATTTCTGGAGCTGGCTAGGAATGGATCGTTTCTCTGGTCCAAAAAGGAACAAGCGGTCAGGCTACTTGCACCAGGGCAGCACGGCGTTCTAAACGGTCCGGTCGCGATTCAGGGTGCGAATATATCAATCGGCATTAAGGTTGCATGTGCTGTGCGCTGGCAAAGGAAAATGTATTAGAACTATCCCAGATTCTTTGAAGGATGCCCCCTTTTCGGGCGATATATAGTGTCTTGACTGTTAGCTTCTCAATCAATCAATCGAGACAGAACGATGGCTGAAAAGATAATAGGAGGAAACTTGCTGCTGGAAGTAAAGCAATGCGAACAGTGCATCTTGTGATGCAGCATTGCAGCATCGCAGCCTCGCTAGATAAGATAAGATGGCAGAAGCGGGCTGGCACGCTGCCAACTGCGCACGAGGCTGAAGCTGCGCATTTGGAGTGTTGGAGTCTCCAGCAACAAATAGTTGCCAGATCACAATCTTGCGCAAACAAACACCCCCATCTTCAACACTCATTGCGAGTTTCTCCGCCTCATTTTCCTGCTCCCTCATAGCCTACCTACCTATTACCCCGGCTGTTTAGATATGCGGTAGTGCCGCTTGCTGCCTCTTGCTGTCCTCACCTCACACATTTGCCTTGATTCGTACGAGGTCCTGGAAGCGGAAGCGCACTTCAGGAAGTTGGACGTGGAAATATGGTATGTTTCGTCCGTTCGCCTACGAGGGCTGTCTGATTCCCAACTCGCAAGAATCCCCATGGCTAACTTCGCACCTACAAACAGGCGCAAGTCATTGCGAATTCGGGTCACGATGACATGATTGTACGTTCCTTGTCCCTCTGCGTCCTCGAAACCTGCGCAAGATTTCGGTGGCACTGCCGTCAAGATAGGAAGGGAAGGAGGGCGGTCCTGAACCTCTCGTGGGAAACGAATTTATAATGGAATGAATAAGAGCGTGGGCTAACTCGAGTGTGTGAGGACAGCACGATGCGGTCCTCGATTACTATGGCCGACGACTTGCGACCTGTTCGAGCGACAAGACGATCAAGATCTTTGAGATTGACGGCGACCAGCACCGGTTAACGGAGACGTTGAAGGGGTAAAGCATCCACCGTCTCAAATTCTTGCTGTCCTTCCTGAAACGCCCTTGACGAACTAACAATTTCACCACAGTCACGAAGGCGCCGTCTGGTGCGTCTCCTGGGCTCATCCCAAGTTCGGGACCTTGTTGGCCTCTTCCTCGTACGACGGCCGGGTACACATCTACCGCGAAACACCGTCCCAACAAACGCAACCGGGCCAACAGTCTTCGTCGTCATGGACGCTGGTGTTTACGAGCACATTCCACACGGCTTCCGTGAACATGGTGTCCTGGGCCCCGCCCGACCTGGGGTGTCTGCTGGCGTGCGCCTCCTCGGACGGGCAAGTCTCGGTGCTCGAGTTCCGCGACAATCAATGGGGGCATATCATTTTCCCAGCGCACCCCATGGGCGTGAATGCCGTGAGTTGGGCGCCGTCGGCTCCTCCCGGGGCGATTGCGAGGAAAGATCCCGGCGGCGCGCCTGGGAGCAGCGGGCTGCTGGTCAAGCGCTTCGTCACGGGCGGGAGCGACAACAACGTCAAGATATGGGAGTTTTCCCCTTCGTCATCCACCTACGAGAACGCCCTGGTCTTGCCGAGCGGCCACGCCGACTGGGTCCGCGACGTCGCCTGGTCGCCCACCCTGCTGAGCAAATCCTACATCGCCAGCGCCAGCCAGGACAAGACGGTCAAGATCTGGACATGCACAAACATGACCTCTGGCAATGTCGGGGACTGGACTCTCGCAAAGACGCTCGAGTTCGACGCCGTCACGTGGCGCGTGAGTTGGAGTCTCTCCGGCAATGTCCTCGCCGTGTCAGGCGGTGATAATAAGGTTACCCTGTGGAAGGAGGATTTGAAGGGGAATTGGGAGATGGTCAGGGAGGTCACTGAGTAGACTGTCTACCCCCTAGGTAGGTAGGTAGATGGTTCCTGCATCGAGTATGGTCTTTGGGGTTGGGGGCTTTTGAATCAACAATCGCCCCTGTGCTACGTGGTGCCATGCGAAGCAGTGGCGGAAAAGGGCCAGAGATTACCATGCAAAAGACAACTTTACTGACGTTTTCTTCTCTCGGGGGATCAATTGTTCTGGATGGACATCTCTGTGGCTTTCCAAGCAATGGGTACGGGGAAGAACAATTTCCAAAAAAAAAGGGGGGGCATACTAGGCGTGAGAAAGATTTTAGATATCAAGACGCCGTTTAAAGCCTACCTACCTACACACCCACCTAGGTAGGAACTGCACGTCTTGACCCTCAGACAAGGAAATAATCAGGACAAGAAACTGAGATGAGATGAGAGCGGCAACTTTTCTATTTTCTGCTGCTAGGTACTCTTACGAAGGCAGCTCATACCCCCTCCACGCCTTCTCGACCCTCCTCTTCCCCTCAACATCCCCTTTCCACCCCTGCGCCTCAATGACAGGCCTGGTTTTGACAGTTTCCATCTCTCGAGACTTTAGATTCGCTTCCTGGATCTTTTTTATACACGTCCCTCTGCCCAAAATCTCCAGTGTCTCGGCGATGGCCGGACCTTGTCTCCCGCCCAGCAGTGCCCAGCGGAGGTAGTGGTATAGTTCCCGTTTCCAGGTCGGTGGGTTGATGGAGATGGACTCGTCTTGGGGGACGCTAGCTTCTAGAGCGCGGAGGTGCGAAGAGTGGACATCGCTAGTCCATGAGTCCTCGGGGATTAGAGCGAGGGTTGATGCTGCGACGCGGAGCGGGTGGAGGAGGTGGGTATCGCTGACTTCCAACTCTCCAAGGGCTGGAGGCTCGAAGAATAAAGAGCACTGTTCGGCGAATTGAGATGGGGAGCGGTAATGCAGAGATTGGATCTTGAGGAGTTGGGCGAGGACGTCTCTCAGTTTCCTTTTGTGAGAGCCGGTGTCTAGAAACTGCATGATTCTCCCGGCGCCGTATCTTTCCAAAACAGCAACAGCCACGTCACGAACCATTTGCTCAAATCCTTCGCCTCCGGCCAGGATGCGTCGACGAGCGTGTTGTTCCTGCAAGAAGTTGAGTTTGTCAAAGGAGACGATTGTGTTGCCCTTTGTGATTTTCAGATCGAAGAGGGATTCGAGCTGGGCGAGGCCCATCACGTCTCGCTTCTGGGTGTGGGACCAGCCCAAAAGCGCGGCGAAATTCACCAGAGCTTCGGGAAAGATCCCTTGGTCGCGGAATTGTGAGATGTCCGAGTTGAAGTTCCTCTTGCTGAGCTTTTGCTTGTTGCTGTCGACCAAGAGCGGAACGTGCGCGTAGGCCGGAGGCGTCCAGTTTAGGGAGTTGTACAACGCGACATGCAGTGGCGTCGAGGCCATCCATTCGGAACCCCGGACGACGTGGGTGATGTGCATTTCATGGTCGTCGCAGACATTTGCCCAGTGGTACGTGGGGAAGCCGTCGGATTTCATTAGGATGGCGTCCTCGTATACCGGTTCGTCCACCAGTAATCTCTTGGTCTTTTCGGCCCCATGGCCCTGGGATTTGCCATAGACGAGGTCGTTGTAACGAGGCCATTCGTGCGGAGAGAGGAAACGGACAACGTGCGCTTCACCGCGATGGGCTTTCTCTTCTGCCTGCGACGGGGAGAGGCTGTTCAGGCATTTCCTGTCGTATCCCAAACTCAATCCTTTTTCGTGGCGGCGGCGATTGAGTTCGTCCAGTCGGTCCGACGTGCAGAAGCAGCGATACGCCTGTCCAGTCTGTAGGAGTGTCTCGATATGTGTCTTGTACAATGCAAGTCTTTCAGATTGTCGATATGGCCCGTACGGACCTCCTACTTCGGGCCCTTCGTCCCACTGCAGCCCTGCCCATCTCAAATCTCTGTACAGCTGTTCCTCCGCACCGGGTATGGTCCTCTTCGCATCGGTGTCTTCGATTCGGAGGAGGAACTGGCCCTTGGTCGCTCGTGCGAGGAGGTAGTTGAACAACGCAGTACGGATGGAGCCCAGGTGGAGGTTACCTGTGGGAGAGGGAGCGAATCTAGTTCGAGCTGGTGATGAGGGAAGCTTTCCTCGTCTCTGGGTAGGATGCGTGCTGCTGCTCCTGTTACCGATCGCCGGACTCGAGGAGGAAGACGGCGCGGTGGAAGCTCTGCGACTCGGGACAAGCGAATGCCCCTTCGTCGCCGCTGCGGTTTGACGGGCACGACATGAATTGCACACCCATGCAGTAGCGCGGATGGCAGGCCTCGCCGTCATGTGCAACTGCAACCAGGGAAAACCGTCGCCGTCGATAGAAAGAATGCAAGGTGTGGTAATCAACAACAAAATTTCTGGGACTCGAAAGCACCAGAAGATTCACGCTTCGGCCAGTAGGAATAGAGGGAGCAATCGAAAGTCTCTCCCAATGCTTCTGCTATTCCTCCGCCGTCCGGGTTAAAACCGTCAGTCAGGTATCCATGCACATGCAGCCCTATAGCTTTTGGTCGAAGTAAGGCCCCATCAACCACCATTTTCGTGCTAAACGTTACTAAATGACAAAACTGCAAAGTCCCCTCACCCAGTCCTGGCAGTCCACTCAACTTCCACCATCCAGCACAACCTGTCGATTATTACTGTTAGTTGTCATCCGTTGGTCGCCTTGAAGAATCTATTAATTTTTCCCCCTCCTGTCATCAACTACGATATTTCTCTGTATCCTGAACATACTTCTCGACAGAGCTATCTCCCAACATCTCCGAAAACATGAACGGCGATACTACAGCAGGCAACGGCCCAGAGATCGATCTCTACGAGATCCTCGGCGTACCCAGAGACGCCTCGCAAGCCGATATCCGCAAGGCATACAGAAAAGCGGCTCTTGCCAGCCACCCGGACAAAGTACCCCCCGAAGAACGGGAAGAGGCAGAAGCCCGTTTCAAAGCCGCCTCCCAGGCCTACGAAATCCTCTACGATGACGAGAAGAGACACCTCTACGATGCCCACGGCATGGCTGCCTTTGATGGGTCCCGCGGTGGGCCCGGCATGGGTGGGGAGGTGAACATGGAAGATATCCTCAACTTGTTCGGTATGGGTGGTGGGATCCCCGGGATGGGCATGCCAGGAGGAATGGGCGGCGGGATGGGCGGCCGCAAAATGCGAAGGAGTCCCGATGAAAATCAGAAATACGAAGTCACTCTGGAAGATCTGTACAAGGGCAAGACGGTCAAGTTCTCATCGACCAAGAACGTCATCTGTTCGAAGTGCAAGGGTACAGGTGGTGCAGAGAAGGCGCAGGCCAAAGAATGCACTTCCTGCAAGGGGCAGGGTGTCAAACAGGTCCTGAGTCAAGTGGGGCCCGGCATGTTGACCCAGCGCATGGTCGAATGCGGTGCCTGCGAGGGCACGGGCCAAGTCTTCAACCCCAAGGACAAATGCAAGAAATGCAAGGGTAAACGGGTCACGGAGGAGAAGAAGCAGCTCGAGCTCTACATCCCCCGCGGGGCTCGGGAAGGGGATCAAATCAGACTCGAAGGCGAGGCGGATCAGATCCCCGGGGCGGAACAGACGGGCGACATCATTTTCCACCTCGTCGAGCAACCTCACGATGTGTTCCAGCGCACGGGCAACGATCTCAGCGCAAAACTCGACATCACCCTCGCCGAGGCCCTGACGGGCTTCCACCGCGTGGTCCTCAAACACCTCGACGGCCGAGGCATCGAGCTCAACCACCCTCAGGAACCAGGCCAAATCCTCCGCCCCGGTGAAGTCCTCAAGATCCACGGCGAAGGGATGCCACTGAAAAAATCCGACGCAAAGGGCGATTTGTATCTTGTCGTCGAGATCGGCTTCCCCGAAGACGGTTTCTTCCTGGACAAACCCGAGGCCGTGGAGCAGTTGCAGAAACTCCTGCCCGGACCCGAGCCGCCGATCGAGGCTGAGGAAGCCGACGAGGTCAGTTTCGAGATCGCGGACATTGACGAGATCGGTGGCCAGGAGGCCCAAGAGGCGTGGGAGGACGAGGACGGTCCGCAAGGCGCGCAGTGCCAGACTCAGTAAAAGTCGGGAGTTTCCCCTGGGATGTCATCATGGGGCTGGCCGGTTGGACGAACTGCGATACGATGTTATGATTGAAGAACAGGACACTCCAGAAACAAAGGGATGGGTGGAAAGGAAAGCCAAAGCATTTAAATGGCGTTTTCTTTATGTTGTCTTCAGGGAAAGCATTGCACCGGCGTTGTGGTAGAAAGGACGACGTTGGATTTCGATCTTGAGAGGCACACCAGGAAGATGCCGTACTCTCTTATGTCGAGCGGTTTCTCCCCGTCCTCGCTTCCGATCGAAACAATGTTGTCGTTGGATGGCGATTTGCAGCTGGGGAGACCGGATCTTTTCCTGGTTCAAACAATGGTTGGATCTCTCAATGCTGAAATATATACATTTCCTCTACGTGAACCAAGTCTTAGAAACATGAACATTGCTCCACTTTATCCAAGCTTTCCATCTAACAGCCGCTTCTTCTCGTGCTAATTCACTCCATTCTCGACAGGCTCTGGCTCCGGTGCCCCTGAGGCCCTCAAGCGGCCGCCAAACTTCTTGTCCATCCTCTCCGGAGTGACTCTGTAGCAAGTGGGAAACCAAGTCTTCAACTCCTCGCCATCTGTCCCTTGGATCATGCTCGCAGCGGCCTTTGCGCACAAAAAGCACAAGACCATGCCATGGCCCTGGAACGACGCAGCCAAATACAGCCCTTCCTCGCCGGGTACGGGTCCTACAAACGGATACCCGTCGCACGAGAAGCCCATGACGCCGGACCAGGTTCGTCGACACCGGCCTTCCGGGTTGTCTTTGCCCCAGTTCTCCGTGCCAAAGTATCGCTCCGTGCACTCCAAGAGATAGTCTGCGCTGTTTTCGTCGTAGGTGGTATCGTCGGTATTGCCGTACTCGGACGTTCCCCCGTCTTTGGCAACGTGCATGCCGCCTCCGATCACGATATCGCCCTCGAATTTAGAGCCGGCGGGGCGGGAGATCATGTACTCGAAGCCTTCGTCGTAAACGAAGGAGTATGTCGTTTCTAGCCCTTTTTGGGGCATGCTCAGCCCAGGCCGTTGAGCTGTCACCACTCCTCGCAAGGGGACGATCACGCCTTGCAGTTGCGGATAGAGGTGTGCAGTATAGCCGTTTGTAGCTAGCACGAGGGTTTTGGCTTTGATACTGCCACGTGGTGTCGAGACGGTCCACTTTCCATCCGTGGTAGATTTGGATATGCGAGTCGCTGGGGTGTTGCATTGGAGGTTCAGTCCCTTTTGCAGAGCGAGTTTTAGCACGCCGATGGTGAACTTGTACGCGCTCAGACTCCCTGATTCGTACTCTAGCCCTCCTACACTGTTGGGCGCCAGAAATTTGTCGGCCGTTGCCTGGCTGTCGTGGAAAATATGCTTCGGAGCATTTTCCTTTCCCATCAATTTCTCCATTAGCGAGATCGATTCCCGCGCCTTTGCAAATTGGTTCTCATCGTAAAAGACGTCAATGGTTTGACATCTGACAGAATCGCAGTCGATGCTGTTCTCGCAGGCGAATTTGTGTACTGAGACCATGCAGTTGTATTCCAGGTTTGTGATCTTCATGGCATCTTCCGCACCCACGGATTGGACGTTATCGAGAAAGGATCGATAGGTAGCTGTCTTAGTGTGACCTCCTTTAAAGGGGCCATGTTAGGAAGTGTTTGTGTACCATAATGCGGGATAGGTGATCTTATCAGCTGGTAATAAGAGCAAACATCAAGAAGGACGACTCAGCTTCTGATGACTTTCGACCTACCATTTCGACCACTGGCGCCACTGGCAGCTTGACGAGCCTCCAGAAGCACAACCTTGAGGTTTGAATTCGAGGAGAGCAGGTTGTAGGATATAGAGGCGCCGCTGACTCCAGAGCCAATAATGGCGATATCGACCTCATTGGGAAGTTCAGCGGTCGTCCGGCAATCTGCTATCTCATCGGGAGGATCTTGCCAGTAACTCTGAATGGGATTGTCCCGGGGTAGACCTGGAGGTATACTGGCTCTTTTTTCCATTGGTAGAAGCACGGGAGGACAGGATCGACACCTGGGAAGACTGGAGGCTGTTGAGGAAGATGACAGACGGTCAGACAGATAACCAGGCCAGGGACCGTCTGGCACTACTGGTACGGCGGAAGTAGTGGAACTTGCAATCCTTGGTGGGCCATGGGGGTTACATAAAGGGACCCGACCTTGAAGCAATAGAGACATTTCGGCTGATTGTAGCTGGGGTTCGGATAGCAATCACGTGATGCCAGCTGCTGCAGCCCGAAGCCTTTGCCGGGCTAACGCCGTTTGCGCCTGCTGGGCCAGTAGTGAGAGCCTGTCTGAGGCCTGGTGGCCCTGACTCGCGGGTGGAGGTGGCTGCTGGGTGGCTGCTGGGTGGCTCGCTGGGCCATGCTGGGTGGTGCTTGGGTGGTGCTGCGGTGGTGCTGGCAGCCGGCGCCTGGGCTCCAGTCACTTCGTTCGCCTCGCCTTCTTTCGTCTTTGGTCTTCCGCCCCGTCACCTGTCGACTCTCAGACTTTCGATCCTGTCTTTGTTCTTCTCAAAACTCATCCGACAAACAACTCTCTGCTCCTCATTCCACGCAACACCTCGCTCTCACCGCGTCTTGCTTGCTGCGACCGACTGGTTCTTTGTCCGTCCTTGTCCCTATCGCAAACTGCGTCCGCCTTCATTGCCATCCCCTCCCGAAGTCGCCATTGATACGAATCCGATCCAAGTGACGCCCCGCTCCGCCTCTGCCCAAGTGACAGCTCTGCTGGACTGCAGCGCTCTCTTCGCGATCCCTCCGCTATCGACGGTGGCGCGCAAACCACCGCGGAAGGACTTTTGTTGCGCGGTTTCATGTCCTCTTCAGCCCACCCGACTGCCATCCCGCCATCTCCAACTTCTCCGTCTGAATCAGGTCTTAAGCGACGGCGCCTGTCTGACAATCTCCCGCAGTCCCCCATTTCTCCTTCTTTTATGTCAGTCGCTACAAAGAGCTATGTCTCCTCTTACGGAAATACACATAATCCCGACGAGGCTTCGGGGCGCTCGTCCCCGAACTCCCCAAAGGCTTCAGCACCGCGTAATCAACAACCGTTGTCCCGTCCCATGCCGTCCTTACCGACTCCTGCGCACAGTGTAACGGGCACGTCGTCTGGTTTTGACATGGCCGATGATATCGATCAGCATCGGGATAAGCGGCAGAGACTGGATTCGGATAGAGATCAAGAGGCGGATCAAATGGAGGTAGAATCACTTCGAGAGGCCACAAATCACGACCGGAACGATGAGATGGAAATAGAGGGTGTCAAGGGAAAAAGCGCCGAACTTGGAGAAAATGAGCAGGCTGCAGAGCTAATGGTGGATGAGAAGACCCTGGAGCAACTACAGAAAGATATGGGCGAAGCCTTTCTTCTCTGCAGATCCAGTAAGACTCTCCATCTGTCCACCACTCACAATCTCTCCTTGCAGGTTTGTTAACAGACATTCGCAGAAGTTGAGCGCCAGAAACCGAATCCGCAGCAGCATTTGTTGGCGTTGTACGGGCTGGGCCCCTTATTGCACAGTGTCGCTCGTACCGATCCAAGGACCGGCGAGAAAATTAACAAGCTACGGAAATCGTACGAAGGCCAAATCAAGGGATTCGCTTTGGCTGGGCGGAACAAGCCGGTCAAGGGTGAACGCAACGTGGAAGAAGATCAACCCGGACCGTTACGGCGCATGGCTGGCTCGTCGCCTTGGGGTCTTCAACCGGATGAGCAGTGGAATGCAGAGCACGCGAAATCCAGCATTGAAGTGACGGCAGACTTCAGAGCCAAGTTGAAACAAGCCGTGCAAATGCAGCCAGGAACAGTTCGGAATAACGCCCACTGGGAGGATATGCTCGGATTCGACAAGCCGAAGCCCAATGTGGCTCCAGCGCCGCAGCCAATGTCTCGACCGATTGCAAATGGTGTGGTACGACAACCTCAACAGCCTTCTGCAGAAGCAAAAAGACAGACTCGGGGGAAAAAGCGGAGTTATGGTGATGACAGTTTTGTCGGGTACGGGGAGGGTTATTCGGATCCTGAAGATGGTGATGGCGACGAATACGGCAGCCAGAGGAAACGGAAAAAGGTGACAGCTACGGAGTACTGATGGCTCGATCTGTGACTTACAGTCTCAGGATTCGATTGGGACACCTCTTCCCTATGGACCACACCGCTAGATGCGGTCGGCAGTCCTGTTCAGCGTCCCTACAAATTCACGACATCACCTTCGAGTGCATATTTCTTGCTATATTTGCATGCATGGGATGTTTCTTAAGATACCCTAATGAGGACCGATAGAGAGATCAGAAAAGGGATACGGACGATGGGCGGCCAAACTCGTCATGGCGTTTCAGGGGGGTCGATCTTGTGCATTCTTATGCTTTTTCCAGTATTGGACATTGGTTCGTAGGGAGGTTGGAGCCGGGATATCGCGGTCTTTACCAAACCCTGGGGATGGCGAGAGATGGTATTGAGTATGCTTATTATCTATTCAGCGTCAACAAGCCTCATACTGCAAAGGGGAAAATATAGGTGGCGGCGGCCTCCGGATGAGGATGGATGACATTGCAGGAAGGGTTGTTCACGCCTTTCCAATCCTGCGCCTTGTGGCATCGCAACCCTAGGTAGGTACTAAGGCGCGTTGTGGATGAAGGTATCATGACATCAAATGAACAAGACAATCATTGGAAAACTTGTATATATCTTGGGTTGCATTCCGTGCAAGCCCTTTCGTCAACCAAGAGACAATATATTCATACGTCGCAGTCGCAGTCGCAGTCGCCCTTCGCGCAGCCAAGCAAAGCACCCTTATCCAAAGCTCCATTGAACCCCGATATTTCATCTATTAAGGAGTCTGTATCCACGGAAAAGAAAACACCAGCCCCAAATTTGAAAGACGAGATGACTTCTTCGTCAAACATGCCCTTCCCCATGCCCGAGCCCACCGTGCCCAAACGGCCGTTGTCGAGCTACAAACTCATCTCGTACGACATCTACGGCACGCTCGTGGACTGGGAGACGGCGATTGTGCAGCAGCTGCAACCGCTAGTGGCGCGCATCCCCTCATCGTCCCCGCTCGCCCACGAATATCTCGACAGCACGACTCCCAACGCGGGGGGAAGGATTAAATTGGCGGCCAAATTTAACGACGTCGAGCATGCGTTGCAGAGCAAGAACCCTAGCCAGCAATATGATGAGTTGCTGAGGGATGCGTACTTGCGTGTGGCGGGGGATTTTGGGATCGATGTGAGTGAGGAGGTCAAGGAGGAGGCGGAAAAGTTTGGCCAGAGTATTGGGTCCTGGCCTGCGTTTCCGGACACGGTCGACGCGTGCCAGCGCCTGGTGAAGCAAGGGTTCAAGCTCGTGCCGTTGTCGAATGTCGACCGGGCGAGTTTCTCGCGAACCTGCGCTGGGCCGCTCAAGGGGGCGGACTTTTTCAGGGTCTACACGGCCCAGGATATCGGCTCGTACAAGCCCGACCTGCGCAACTTTGAGTACCTGATCAAACACGCCAAGGAGGATGCCGGGGTGGAGAAGGAGGAGATCTTGCATGTCGCGCAGAGTATCTTTCATGATCATATCCCGGCAAAGAAGATGGGCATGGCGAGTGTGTGGATCAATCGCAAGGGTGCCGGTATGGGTGGGAACGAGGCGATTAGGGGCATTCATGAGCGTGGGGAGGTCGGGTATGGGTGGAGGTTTGAGACTTTGGGGCAGTTGGCGGATGAGGTTGAGAGGGAGAAGAGAGAGCAGGGGAAGTAAGAGTGAAAGTGCACAAGAGAGGAGGGAGAAGAGGCTTGACGAAGCTGCTGCTCTTCTTTTTCCCCCTCAATATCATTTGCGAATACTTCATCCCGAATTGTCGCCTCTTGTTCTTGTCTCTTGCTGCTAATCCCAAGATCGCAACCAGGCCAGTTCACTCTTTCTTCTTCCGAGATGTTTCTGGATCTGCCAGAGCTTGCGCATTCCATCTCGGGTCACTGCTCTCGGTGACCGGCGCCCAGCCCAGTTGAATCTGTTTCGTGCCAGTCAGTATATACACGGCCAAACACGGTTGACGTGCAAATGGTGGTCGGGGCTGCTTACCTGCATGGTCTTCTGGTCCCAGTCCTTGGTGAAGCTCCTGATCTTCTCGTCCTCCACTTCAAAGATGGCTGCTGCACTCCACATGGCGTGTTTCCTCGTTGCTTCGATGCCTTTGTACGGCTTACCCACATGGCTGCCTTCGGCGGTATATCTCAGCAGGACATGGCCGTTTTTGGCAAACACTTGGTCAAAGCGCATGATGTGCAAGTCTGAAACGCTGGCCATCACGACGGAATGGGACTCTGCGTAGTCCATGGGCGTTTCGCATCCGGGAAAGGTCGCCGGTGCCCAGAACCAGCTGTCCGCGTGACAGAGATGGGAGACGGATTGGCCGCCTTTGTTCTCGGTCGGGGAGTAGGCTATGGCCATGTATTGCTTGCAGATGTCGATGTTGCGCTGGTTTTGGAGACAGGAGTATCAGTTAGCCTTATAATCCCGGGGTCTATGCAGGGTTCTATTTCAGCATGACAGACAGGGCTTTCTCACCTCTTCCTCTGGCGTTTGCTCCGTGGTGATCAGCGCCGGAGGGTACCTGGACTCTGAGGCCATTGTTGTGATCAGTGTGCTTCAGCCGATGGAGACACTCGGAGATTCTCTATGGGCTAGCCCTTGGACCTTCCCGTGATAACTGGAGGGATGCATTTCAAGTACTGGGACGGGTTTCTGCTTGCTTGATATCATAATGAGGGTTCAATGAGGTCATGCGCCTCAGGAGGGGATGTTGGCCAGTCGTCAGCGCATTCGATCCGCTTCGGGAGGTCGTTCGTTCATTCTGTTGTATTTCAGCTCCTGCTCTATTTGACGAAGTCTCCTTTGGTCAGCACGGCCTTCTTGCGAGGAGATTTGGATCACAGGCGAAGTGATATTGGGGGTGGTGGTGATGGTAGGAATGTGAGCCAGGAGTATCTTCCGAGAATTAGCCGCAGCAGGTACATACAGGTACATACCGTCCTCGCCTCGTAGTCTCTTGTGTTCTGCCTTCGGTGTCTACTTTTCCTTCTCACCCGCGTTGAATCATCAACAGTGCCGGCCCGCACAGCCTTGTACGTATTTGGTCACAGAATCTGCGGTCGTTCAGAACCTCCCGCATGATAAGGACGAGGGTGTAAATCCCTTGGTCTGCCAATCATGCAGCAACCAGCGATGAGGCTGTCGCTACAATGCCATTAAACCGATTGAGGAAATGTTGCAAAACGCCACAACGTGACCGCTGGCCGACTTCTGGCCACCGCTCGACAAGATGGCCTGGCTCTCCCCCCGAGCCTTACTTCAAGACGCCGTCCACTTCTTTCCATCTTCTCTTCTCCAGGATGTCTCGAAGCTATCTTTCTTCTGAACACACCCTGGGAGCTGCTTGCACACTTCAAGGCGAATTTCACCCTCAGCCATGGCGAATGCTCGACGCACCCTTCGGGGTGATCCTTTTATCCAACAGGATCCAAATGCTTCCCGCTACAGCCGAAGACTCTCGAGAGAGCAATGGGCAGACCTCAAGCCTAGAGTGTTGATGCTCTGCAATCAAGGTGTCAGAATTGCTGACATCCTACGAGAAATCCAGACGCAAAACATCCCGGTCACCAGAAGCCAACTCGACCGGCAAATAAAGTTATGGCGTTTCCAGGAAAGCGATCAAGAGTTTTCTCTGCTGGCACTAGGTGCCCCTCAGGATACCGACATATCACAGCAAGCCACATTCCACGATAGAGCACTCCACAATTTAGCAGAGCTACTATCCATCGATGGTGTACCTATATCCTCGACGAGCCACCCAGCTATTACAAATACTGGCTCAACGCTCGAATCAAAGCCGCCACATGCTGAACCAGCCTCCCTTTTCGGACCGACGGCACAAAGTCAGTCGTCGAGTTCGCAGCAAGTAGACAATGTACCCGAAACCGATTTCATCATGGTCGAATGGTCCCCCATTCTATGTTCGGCATGTACTTCAGCCAATGCGCCTGTTGACGATGCATCCATCGCCCGACCTCAATCTAGTGAAATTATGCAAGACGAAGAGAATATGACAACGGAAAGGCCTTCTCAAGGACAAGAGTCACTCAGCCCCAACTCACGCCAAAGTTCGCCGGGCCTGCCACCTGCGCTGCCTGACAAAACTGGCCCCAGATTTACGATTAATATTGGATTACATTGTTGCAACAACGCAAAAATAGCCCACCGAATATTCTCCCACACCATTACCAAATATGGCGCTTCTATCAGGGTTCTCAACCGCCTCGCATACATGGCTTCGTTGCTCTTCCTTTTGAAGTGCAACTCGCTGGCATTTCAGATCTCTCTCCATATTGTCGATCAAATCAGTCGTCAGCCGATCGTGCAAGGACAAACGATCCGCCTTCTGCCCTTCTTTGTCATCAATTGTGTTTATTTTGCTAGGGAGTCGCTCGAAAATCGGGACGCAGATCGCCTTGGTCTGAAAACATATGACTGGCTCTGGAGCTGCCATCCGTCGGGACAGGAGGTAGACCAGCAAACTCATTCATACATGCAGTTCCTGATCTTCCGTGCAAATAGTCAACATTATAGAGACAAGGAAGCCGCGTACTGGATTTTAAACGCTGTACGCTCAAGTCTTCAGGAAGAGGGCGAACAGTCCATCCATCCAGACATGTTTCCTTGTGACAGCGCCGACGGTGCCCTTCGTTTCTTCCATGAAGACAAAGGCATCAGGAACGTTATGGAAGAAGCAATTGGTCGGATGAAAGTATTTCTGCGTGCCAATAGGGAAGAAATCGATGCAATTTGGATCGACTACTGGCAGCCTCAAGACGATTATTCCTTGATGGGTCGAATTTTGACACGCTTGATGCTGAGACCTCGGCTTCGCTGTGATTCCGAAAATGCTCATGATTGGGTCTCTTGGGAAGACGCAGAAGTCTCCCAGCGGTCAAGGTTACTCTCCCGACTCCGAGAACATGTCTTGATTGGATTGTGTGGTTTGATCGGGAAATGGTTCTGGGAAGACTGCATCCAGCCCGGGGGTCGGACTCCTCTCCCTAACGATTTGAAACCGTCGGTAGATCTCACCAGGAGGGTTGCATCACTCGAACGAGTAATAAAGGACGACGAGGACGAGGACGAGGACGAGGGCATGGAAGAGGATTTCGATTATCCAATGATTGCGCGCGGCTATGAGGGGTTCATCGATGACTATCTTCGCTACTTGACGTGCATGTCGCTGGCGCCGGTCCATCGGGCAATACCAGATGGTCCTGGCGACGAACATCTTGTTGGCATAATTGCCATTCTGGCCAAAGTGTCGACAACCAAAGACCTTGACGTGTTGGGTATACCATCTGTGCCATCGCCGCCCATAATTCGCTCACGCGGGCCCCAGTTCGCAACCCACCTTTTTCGAAGCCCTTATACTATGGAATCAAGTCAACCGCCCAACCGAGAACGAGAATCCCAAAGCACAGGGTCTTTGGTGGGGCCGCCTCTTGCAAGGTCCTGTACCTCTTCGATAAGCTCCGGCTACAGATCCTTCAAGGCTGCAGCTATGGATCGTGGTACCCTTGGCCCGAGAGGTCCTCCAACGATTCCTCCGGTCCCATCTGTTGACTGGTCGGGGCCCATGAGCTTAACCTCAAACGAAGTGGCAAGCATTCCTTCCGATATCTCGCTCCGCGAGTTTGAATCCCATGCTGGAGAGGAAGATTTTATAGCTGACCTTGTGGACTTTGTGGACGAGACGAGGCGGGGAATGTTGTCGCATCTTTGGCCCGCCTCTTAGCTGCAGGAAAGGCGCAAGACAAGGGTTTAACACTTGAAATTCGGGTAAGAATGGTTGAATCGCTTCCGCAGTAGATTCGAGATGGAAAATGCATGTTATACGGAGACATGTTGGACTGATCTGTGCTGCACGTATAGTACCTCGAAGAATACGCGTTCTTCCGTTGAATTTCTAAGTTTATTATACTCCAAATGGTGCTCCGCAAATCTATAACCCTTCCGCAGGCACGGGGACATTGAACCCGTTGAGATTGACCGAAACCAAAGCATACAGCGACACCAAAAAGATCAGCTCTGTCAGCAAGCTCTGTCCCAGCACCTCGACACCTTTGGCATAGAGATCATCCGGCAGCGGACCCCCGACCACCAACGCCTTTGAGATCCTATAAACCAGCATCTCATCCGGCGACAGATCCCTGGGCGCCTCCCCACTCGCCAGCGCCGCGACCTGTTCCTGGGAAAAGTAGTGCCGCGACAGGCCCGAATGCGCATACACCTCATACGCGGCGCGGTAGTGCGAGCCCACCGTCAGGATGGCGACTTGCCGCAGCGTCTCGGGCAGCTTCGCGGAGCGGAACATGACTTTGCTGAGGTGCCACATGGCGCCGCCGACCACGGGCTCGTGGATCCACGCGTTCCAAGGGCCCAGCAAGGCGCCGCGTTCGTCCCGCGTGATGAACGACTTCTTGTCGTCGAGCGTCTTGACGATGTTTTCCACCACGTCGTCGTACAGCTCGCGCTGCGGGGGGGAGAGTTGCTCTGGCGGCACGGGCTGGAGGCGCATTCGGGACGTCATTTTGCTTTTGGCCTTTTTGAGAACTGAGGTGCTACAAGAAGAGTCTTGAAAGGGTGTTGTTTCAGTGCTAGGGCTGGAGAAAGATCGAATCTGTTCGTGTGTATCTTGGGGTGATTCTTGGAGTCTGATACCGTTTGCACAGCTCCACTCAATTGTTGATCTCAATGGACAGTGAACATGTTTCGCCTTTATAAAACCACTCGTGCGCCCTTTTTTGAATGGACGACCTTCCTTTGCGGTTTTTCTTCACGATACTCTCCGGGCTTCAATTCTCTCTCATAGCGATGCCGACGGGCCGACAATCAGGTAACGAGACAGGAGAACTCACCAATGGCTATGATGTAAGCGCTGTCATGCAACCGACCACAGCCGCGGCCCAAGACCACCTCGCCACGAGGGGAGGTGGTGCCACTTTTTATGTTCTTCCCTTCTCGCGATGGGAGAAGGGGGGATACATGGTCGGTAAACTTGGAATCTGGTGCGAAGTTGGCGAAAGTCATACGAGGGGATCCACTCGACCCAAGGTTTCCCAGTGACTGGCGCTAGGCGTTAAGATGTGGAGAGGCACTAAAACGTCTCCGAGGCTAGGGGTTAATCATCAGGCGAGAGGCGCTTCCACTTTACGAGGTACTACTACTAACACGCATAGGACTGACTAATAGCCCCCTGGACCCGGTCCGAAACCTGATTAACCCTGCCTGTGAAAAGGGTTAATGGATATGGGGGCGCGAAATCCGACGGAAAGAAGCAAAACCGGTGAAAGGAGATTCTAGAAGGGGAGAGCGGCGTGAAACCATGGGTCAAATATATCAAAGTACGCTCATATCAGAGTCAATATTACGGTCTACCCGATCTAGGTACTAGAATTTTAGAACGGCTTTCCCAAAGTTACGCCCGGAGAACAGGGCCAGAAGCCCGTCGATCGCATTGTCGATGCCCTCGCACTCCCAGGTCATCACCTCGAGTGACCCGTCCTTGATCCACGCTTGCACATTGCGCTGGTGCTCGGCGCGGTACTTGTCGCCGAAGCCGTGGTCGAAGACGACGAAGCCGCGGACCGTGAGTCGCCTGCGCAGGATCAGGCTGTAGTTGTACAGAGGGTATGGATGCTGGGCGCTGTAGTCGGAGATCAAGCCGCAGACAATGACGCGGCCGTGTTCTTTCATGGCGTCCAGGGCCGCGGAGAGGTGCTCGCCGCCCACGTTCTCGTAGTCGATGTCGATGCCCTCTGGGGCCAGGCGCTTCAAGGCATCTGAGGGATGCTCCTTTTTGTAGTTGAACCCGGCGTCGAAGCCGAGCTGGTGGATGATGAAGTCCAGCTTGTCGTCCGACCCGACGCTTCCGATCACTTTGAGGCCCTCGCGCTTGGCAAGCTGCCCGACCATGCTCCCCACGGAGCCGCTGGCGGCTGAGATGAAGATGGTCTCGCCCTTCTTCGGCTGCCCGATCTCGTAGAAGGACGAGTACGCCGTCAATCCCGACATGCCCAGCGCGCCCAGAAACACCCGGACGTCCTCCAACCCCAGGGGGTTTTCGAGGTGTTGGATCTTGTCCAGCTCCTCCGCCGAGCTTAAAGAGATGTATTGCTGGATGGGGAGCTCCCCAATCACCTGGTCGCCGGGCTTGTACTTGGGGTGATTCGATTGGAGGACCCTGGCGATGCACTGGCTCACTAGCGGCTTATTCAGCTCAAAGGCCGGAGCGTTCGATTTGATGTGCGCTGGTCGCATGCGTCCCTTCATGTATGGATCAAAGCTTGCATACTGTGCTTGGACCAATACTCCCCCGGCCGGCGCAGGCGAGCTTCCATCGTAGTCGGCAATGGCTTCGATCGTCAAGTCTTTGCCTGCCACTGGGAGTCCTTCAGGAATTTGTCTGAAGACCATGGCTTTGTTTACCACCATATTGGCAGCGTGTTGACCCCAGGCGGATCTGTGACCAGTCAATGAAAAGAGGGGCTGTGTTTTTGAAATCTATGACAGGGCGTTGGTAGACTGAGGGGGCAGGGGAGTTGATTGAATCTTGATCTGTTCACTGGAGCTTGCAAGGATTACGGCCAACCTGGTGACTTGTGCACTTTGTATAGCAAACATTCCCTTCCTTATAACTGAGAAGTCTTCCACAGACCACGGCTGGCGAACAAGCCATCTCGCGTGTCTGGTATCACACGATTCTTACCTCTCGTCACACGGGGATGAGGATGGGATCTGGCTTTGCCCTGCGGACATGATGCTGCTCTTCCAGTGTAAGACATCATCCTAGGGAAAAGACTAGGCAATCATGGTTGAATAGATATCGCAGTCCGTGAGCCTGGCCAGAACGAAGAGCCAAACCCAAGATGTTGGAAAAAGTCGCAGCTGATGTCGCCATCCGAAAAGGACTCGTCCGGCTCCCGAGTCTTGTTGATTGGCTGTGTCGACGGTCTGTCTAGCTCCTCCGCTATCGCCGCGGCGATGCTTGAAGCTCTTCCGGCGGAACCGTTTGGCTGCTCAGCTCGAAGCACTGCATGAGGACGTCGCCCCGCTGTTGCAACAAATGCCAAAGCTCTAGAGCGTGCCCGTTCAGATCCATTCATACGTCGTGCATCATCCATATCCGTTCGAGTTGCCTGACATGACATCTCTGATCAAGTTAGAAAATGACTCGGAGTTTCAGATCCAAGGAGTTATTCGTAAGCAGAGACTCCCTAGAACCTCAACTTGGGATACGCTTGATCCATTACCATGGTTATATATAGGCTGTGAAGGAGTCAGTTCGGGGGACGTGCTCTGCGGATTGCACCAAGTCAGCAATAGAGGAAGCAGTTATCTCACTCAAGCTAACCTCCGTGAAAAGCATCCGACCACACATCTACAGCTTCCACTTTCAAGTCATCCACTGAATCTGATTACCGTCCAGAGATATGGCTCACCCTCACATCGTCTACCAGACGATCAACCCGGCCAATGGGCAATTGATCAAGACCTTTCCGACAACCACTGACGAACAAGTGTTTGCCGCCCTCGACGAAGCCCATGAAGTCTACCAGAAAGACTGGCGACGCCGGTCCGTGGCTGAGCGCTGCAAGATCATGAGCAAAGCTGCAGCCCTGATGCGGGAGCGCCAACAGGAACTAGCAGAGCTCGCTGTCCTAGAAATGGGGAAGACCATCGGCGGCATGCTAGGCGAGGTCGCGTTCTCTGCCGCTATTCTGGATTATTATGCCCAAAACGGGGAGAAATTCTTGCAGACCGTTGACCTACCTGGTGTCCCTGGCGCTGTCATTGCCTCAGAGCCCATTGGGGTCATTCTGGCTATTGAGCCGTGGAATTTCCCTTACTACCAGGTCGCTCGTGTAGCTGGTCCTCAGCTTGTCGCCGGCAACCCAGTCATCCTCAAACACGCACAGAGTGTGCCACAGTGTGCGCTCGCCCTCGAGAAGCTATTTACCGACGCCGGAGCACCAGCTGGTGTGTACACCAACCTTTTCTGCTCCATTCCTCAAGTCAACGCCCTTATTGCCGACTTCCGCATCCGCGGCGTGACCCTGACCGGCAGTGAACGCGCTGGCGCATCGGTCGCTGAGCAAGCCGGTCGCCATCTCAAAAAGGTCGTTCTGGAGCTGGGAGGTTCAGATCCACTGATTGTCCTGGAGGATGCCCCCCTTGATGAAGCCGTCGAGGTAGCAGCTGCAGGCCGCATGATGTGTATGGGTCAAGCTTGTGCCTCGATCAAGCGATATATCATTGTGGGCAAGGAGCGGGGCCAGAAGTTCCTCGAGGGAGTCAGGGCAAAGTTTGAAGCGATGAAACCCGGTGACCCAATGGACCCAGCAACAACTCTTGGTCCTCTGGTCTCCGAACCCGCCGTTGAGAATCTCGTTAGTCTCATTGACGAGGCCAAGGCTGCGGGTGCCACAATTGTCATGGGTGGAAAACGTATTAACCGTCCTGGCAATTACCTAGAGCCTACGCTCATCACAAACGTGTCTCGAGGCAACCCGTTGTTCATGAAGGAGGCTTTTGGTCCTGTGGCTACCCTGTACGTCGTCGACACCGAGGAGGAAGCCATCGAACTGGCGAATGCCACAACATTTGGCCTGGGTTCGTCGGTATTTTCGGCCAACATAGAGCACGCGAAGAAGGTTGCGGCAGAGATCGAGGCCGGCATGGTCTTCATCAATTCCGCCGTCAATTCCGGCCCAGGCGTGCCATTTGGTGGTGTGAAGAACTCAGGGTTTGGACGGGAGCTGAGCGAGCTCGGTATTCAAGAATTTTTGAACAAGAAGCTCATCCGGGTGCATGAGAAGTGGCTGTGAGCCAACAAGGCTCCTCGCTTGGGAAGTCATGTGAAGTATAGGGAGAAGATACCAGTAGTTCAAGCATAGCAATTTCTACTTTTGATTGCCTGGCAAAACCCTTGTCACTCTGCTCAGTATTGTTTGACATCGTCCGTCAAGGCTCGAATATACTCTCATGGTAGGAACGGTTTCACGTCGACGATGATTCTGTACAGATAGATATATGGAATGCCCAGTACAAGAAGTGATATTCAAGGACAGAGAGAAATATTGGTGTTGACGGTTGGCAAGGGGCAACATCTGCTTGTCTTGGTGAGGCCGGCCTCACCAAGTTGCGACAAGGCTGGCCAATCTGGCAAGGCTGGCACCTTTGCTCCACCGTAATAAAGTGCAACGCGCGACGCGCTTTGACGCGTTCCTGCGGCCCCAATTCTCCGCGTAAAGGAGACATTTCCACCCTTGCGCTTCCCAGTCACTCCTTCAAACACCAAAACCTCCTCATCATAACAATGGCGACTCTAGTTGACTCGATCCTTAATTCAGACGCCTTCGGCGCGACACCGTCGTCACCGCGGCGGACTCAGAATGGCCTTCCTTCCTCCTCCAGACCGCGCCCCTTACCCTCCGAGAGCAATGGCATACCCTCCGAAGCCGATGTCTTCCCAGATGACGAAGTTGTTGGCGCAGCTCGCGGTAGACCCCGGAACCCTCTAGACCGCAATGTATCACAGGTCACGGACAAGGCAGGCGAAAAAGTACAACAAGCCTTTGAAGATTTCCTCGAGTCCCACATCGAAGAACCCTCCTCCTCAGGAGCCCCTCCCTCGAGCGAGTTGAGAACAAACAAATACTACATTAATCAGATTCATGGCTTGCGGGAATTCCAACTTTCGACGCTTTACGTCGATTACCGCCATCTGCTATCTTACAAGGAAGGCCCTATTTTAGCAGATGCCATCGCACAACAATTCTATCGATTTCATCCATTCCTACTCAGGGGGCTACACAACCTCCTGGCCAAATATGAGCCGGTCTACTTCAAAGATCACCGTCAGATGACCAGCAATGCTTCGCAGGCAGGTACCTCAATGGCGGGCAATGCGACCAGCGAGGGGAGCAGTCAGGGTGATAAACCACTGAATCCACAAGCGGACAAACTCTTCGCGCTAGCATTTTACAACCTTCCCCTAGTGTCTCGAGTACGGCAGCTTCGAACAGATCAAATAGGCAAATTACTTTCGATTTCGGGTACTGTGACGAGAACATCAGAAGTTCGTCCCGAGCTGGCCCTCGGAACCTTCATTTGCGAAGCATGCAACACCACAGTGCCAAATGTTGAGCAGACGTTCAAATACACAGAACCTACAGTGTGCCCTAACCTCACTTGTGGCAACAAGATCGCGTGGCGATTGGATATCCGAAACAGCACGTTTGTGGATTGGCAGAAATGTCGGATTCAGGAGAACAGTTCTGAGATCCCCACCGGAAGCATGCCTCGCACAATGGATGTTATTCTTCGAGGAGAGCAAGTCGAGCGGACGAAGCCTGGGGAGAAGTGTGTCTTCACAGGCACCCTGATAGTTGTGCCAGATGTCTCTCAGCTGGGAATTCCAGGCGTAAAGCCAGAGGCCTCGAAGGACAATCGAAATTTTCGGGGTGCAGATGCTGGTGGCGCAGGAGTATCCGGCTTGAAGGCACTAGGAGTCCGAGATCTGACTTACCGGATGGCATTCATGGCCGGCTTCTCTTGCCCTGACACCACTACTGCTGGTCAGGCAGCGAGTCAACTGAACGGTCAATCAACCAACATCCTGAATTCCTTACACCAGACCGATCTCTTTGATCAGTACGACAGTGGTACAAAGGCTCAGGAGGCGTATTTGGAAACTCTTACACAAGCCGAAATCGATGACCTGAAATATATGGTCCATACCGACAAGATCTACAGCCGACTTGTTCAGAGCCTCGCTCCCATGGTCTACGGCCATGAAATAGTCAAGAAAGGTCTGCTGTTACAGCTCTTGGGAGGTGTGTCAAAAATGACCCCAGAAGGAATGCCACTTCGAGGCGACATCAACATCTGCATCGTTGGCGACCCGTCAACGTCCAAATCCCAATTCCTCAAGTACATTGCTTCTTTCCTTCCTCGAGCGGTCTACACCTCCGGAAAAGCGTCCAGTGCAGCAGGTCTAACAGCTGCTGTGGTCAAAGATGAAGAGACTGGCGAACACACCATTGAAGCCGGCGCGCTCATGCTCTCTGACTCGGGAACATGCTGTATTGACGAGTTCGATAAGATGGATTTGACCGACCAGGTCGCCATCCACGAAGCCATGGAACAGCAGACCATTTCCATCGCGAAAGCGGGCATTCATGCCACGTTAAACGCGCGCACAAGCATCCTAGCTGCCGCCAACCCCATCGGTGGTCGCTATAATCGCAAAGCGACTCTCAGGTCAAACATCAACATGTCGGCTCCCATCATGTCTCGCTTTGACCTCTTCTTCATCATTCTCGATGAATGCAATGAGACGATAGACCGTCACTTGGCTGACCACATCGTCAACCTGCACATGCTGAAGGATGATTTCGTGCAGCCTGAATTCTCCACTGAACAGCTTCAGCGGTATATCAGATTCGCGCGCACCTTCAAGCCCGTCTTCCTACCTGAAGCAAAAAAGCTCCTGGTAGAAAAGTACAAAGAGCTGAGAGCGAATGATACTGGTGGCGTGGTTGGGAAGAATTCCTACAGGATCACTGTCAGGCAGCTGGAGAGTTTGATCAGGTTGAGCGAAGCAATCGCCAAAGCGAATTGTGTGGAAGAAATAACGGAAGTCATGGTATATGAGGCTTTTGATCTGCTTCGTCAATCAATCATCAGTGTCGAGAAAGACGATGTCGATGTCGAAGACGATGAAGAGGAGAGCCCGAACCGAGAAGATGACGCAGGGAACCAACGAGATGGAGATAGTCCCATGGCTGATGGTGACAACGACCAACAAGGCGCAGCCGGCACAGGCCATCGCGGCACCTCTGCAACCCCTGCTGCAGCTCCACGACCCACCACGAAAATCACCTTCGAAAAGTTCAACACTATTCAAACCATGCTGGCAACGCGCATACGAGATGAGGAAGACCGCACGGGTGAAGGCCCCGAACGCGATGCATTATTGTTATGGTACTTGGAGCAGATCGAGGAGCAGTTGGGAAGCGAGGAAGACGTAGAGCGCGAGAGAGGTCTGGCAAGGAAGGTGCTGAAGAAGATGGTTAAGGTACGCATGACCCTCTTGAACTTATCCCTTCCGTCAATGCCCGGTCTGGTCCGGCATTTTTGCTAGAGTCCAACGTTCCATTCTACACCTTGAAGGTATGACTGACTTTAGTTCCTACAGGATAACATCATCATCGCGATCCGCGGAGAAGGCCTCGTTGAAGGAGACGAAGACGGCGCAGGCGAGCCTTCGAACCAGCGACTGACTTATGCTCTGCACCCGAACTGCGGCATCTTCGACGACGAATGAACCGAATCCAGCAACAACATACATGCTTAGCAGCAGAATTGTACGCTCGGCTCGGGCCGATCAGGATGTTGCATACATGTATGTGTGTGATGGACCGATACTCGGCCTCATGCAGATGTAGAGGCATATCTCGTATATTGAGCTTTATGGGATGGAGATATGACGTGCCAGACGCCTGAATGAAATATACCTATCATCACAGGCTAGAGACAGGGCAGGGCATGAGGGCGGAACACGTCACGTCAACCAGAGAGAGGCACAGGGTTGTGAATGATCGAACTGAACTGAACTGGATTGGGTTGAACGGGATTGGACTGTACTGTGTTTCAGGACGCATGATGAATTGATTAATCAAAGATTGTACACGAGTGAAATGTGCGAAAGGGCGTCCTACATTAAATGGCCGACAGCCTGCAAAGAATGTAATCATTTTTCCCTTGAACTCGGCTCTCTGTGTTGTGCAGAACAAGATCGTCGGCAGACGAACATCAACGAACTCCCTTCTGCCTTTTTGATACAAAAAGTATTTTGCCACGACAATGGATGCTGGATGAATGCTTGGTCATGGTACGGAACAGCAGCCCAATCCCTTGTGCATCGGTTAATCCAAGACTCCGTGCCCGGTTGGTGTATTCATACAATGCCATCGCATGCCCTCCCGGAATATCATGCTCTCTCAAACCCTCGGCGCCTCTCAGCAACTCGCACAATGAGGAATGCCTCCGCGCCTTCTTTGAGGAATCACGTACCGTGGCGCTGCTGGCGCAACGTGTTCCTCTGGCCTGATCGGCACGCGCTCTGCAACCCCTGCGTTTAGGACTGCTTGCTAAGAGTCCATAATCTCTTGTTCTTGGTGCTCTTGTTGCACTTCCTGTTGGCTAACATCGTCCTCTTGCCTCTCTTTCTCTTCTCTCTCGGCGAAGAATTTCCGTCGATACACAGAAAGCGCTTCCGCCACTTTTTCGAAATCCTTCACCTCGTTGGCCCTCAACCCGGCAATAATCTGCTTCAACCCAGCATGGAATTCGTCCCGTGTAGCTTTGTCTTTGATGTCGCCGGCAGAACTCATTTGGACGAGAATCTTCTCATCTGCAGGGAAAAGCACATCAGCATGGCAAACCTCGGCTCGGAAAAGGGCTGGACCATAGTTCAAAGCTCAGCAGACCGGGAAGAAAGTGGATTAAACTCAAATAACGTACCAGGAAGTCCAAGTTGAGCAAAATGCTGTTCCTCACAGTGAGGATCAGCACAAACTTCGCCGGAAAGTTCAGTAGGGCAAAGCGGGCGGGATGGGTCGATGTTGTTGCTGTACGTTAACGAGCGATAGCCAGTCTTGACTGTATCTGGATAGTCGGAGTGGAAGCGGTAGTTTTTGAAGGAGCTAAGTGGTGTCTTGTATGGCACATAATGCGTAGGTGGCGGGCAGGTACCGTCCAGGAAGGGAAGGGCGTCGGTTTCTCGATTTGATCCAGGGGGTGGTCTGACTAGTGTATCAGCATCAGTCAATTGATCCCTGGACTCGAGATCATCTTTAGTGTTTGTTGGCACTTCCGACACAGCACCAACTCCATTGATTCCTGCGTGTGCCTCCGCGTATGAGGCGTCGGACTCGGTAGCCCCTGAGACATCTCGCGCTCCGTTGACTGGAGTCTCGGTGGCTGTGTGGGGGCGGCTAGCATCGGCGAGCTCTGAGGCCTCGTGAAAGTCTTGAAGCCCATCTTCCGGGACGGTCGTCGGCGTAACGCTGTCCACCGGCGCTGTCTCAGGGTCATATTCATCAGAATCGTCGCCTGACTGTTGCATAGGCTGTGAAGTATCGACATCTGCAGGCTCGTACTCCTCCTCATCATCTGAGCCAGACATGCTGGCACTACCAGTACTGTCGTTGTCCACATCCATGGCCTCGTCGGGTGTCTGCACCATCTCCACGTTTTCTGGCAAGTGCTCTTGCGTTTCAACATAATCCTCTGGTTCAGGCGAGATCTCCATTTCATCTGTTCGAAATTGCTGTGCAGCGTCGCCGAACGCAAGTGACTGGACGGGCTCGATCTCACTTTGAAGAGTATCCTGAGGATTGTAAGGACTCAGAGGCCCGCGGTGTTTTTCGCTATTCGTGCCAGCATCAGCCTCAGCCTCAGCCTCAGCAGTCTGACTGGCGCCCACAGCCTCGACGGGCACGCTGAGCGAACTTCGCTGCCTCTGCAAAGTTTCATCTTGATTGTCAAGATGGCCGTTGCCCAAGTCTAATTGTGACTCAGAGATTGTGCTTGTCGCTGGATGCGATGGGTCCGGAGAAGTGATGGACTCCTCTTTTGCAGGAACTGCTTGAGCTTCGGCAAGCTTTTCAAGCCTGATTTGTTGCAGTTCATCAGAATAGCGTTGCTGACCAGATCGACCTTCCTGCAGTTGTTCCTCGAATTTGGAGACTTCTTCGAGCAACCTCTTCTCCTGCACCTCTAATTGATTCAATTCCATGTGCATATTTTGAATTTTTGCACGAACTTGCTCCAGCTCTTTGCGCGAGTCCTCCAATCGCGTCTCGGTCTTTTTCACTTTCGCATTCAGATCAGGCAAGCCGTCTTGTAACACTTGCTGCCGTTGAGCACGTTGTCTCAGGAGTGCCTGTTTCAACACTGCCTCTCTTTCTTGAAGTTGTGCAGGAGTTAGCTTGGAGATCACGGGAGGAGCTGAAGGACCTGCAGCCTGACGCTGAGTTGAAGGACGGGAGGCGCCAGGCAGTTCGATAGCTTGTGGGACAGGTGAACTGGCTAACTGTTGTTCCTGACCGGTCACTGCGGGCGTCGGAGGGTTCGAAGACGACGGGGATTCGATTTGACTTCTGGTTCGTTTGAGCTTATTCCGCTGCTCAAGTTCAGCAATCTTCCGACGCATAGCTTCAATCTCTGACTGTTTGGCGCGATACAGCTCGTCCTTTCCTGAGTCGCTAACTGAGGCTGTTCGCAATGCTGTTGCCGGAGTCTGATTGATAGGCGTCGGCTTGTTGAATATTGACGCGGCAGTGGTCGGAATTAGAACAGGTGGCACGTAGTCTTCTTGCATATCTTGTTCTGAATCTGATCCCATCGCCATAGCGTCACTCCCAGGCTCTTCGACAATCTCACCCTCCGACTGGTAGTCGGCTTCGCCTTCCGGAAGGGGTAGCGAAGGGGTATACTGCAGATCTTGTTGCATGTTCTGCTTCTTGGGGAGCGGTATGTCCATCGTAGCTGAATCAGCGTCCGCCGGGCGTTTTGCCGGGACAGTGGAAGACGATAGTAGTTGGAGATTTGGAGGATCGACAGGCGATTCATTCTCGGCGATAGGATTCGCTTGTCCATCGCCCCCTGAAGAGCTCATTGGTACCTCAATCACTGATCTTGTAACTTCGTCGAAGCCAGATGGTTCATTCGAACTCATGAACAATCCCGGAATCAGGGATGGCATTGAGGGTTGAATCTCAAAAGTAGAAATTTTGGTTGCTGACGAAGACGTGACGCTTTCAACTTGGGGAATCATTCTTGAAGCGTCGCTACCAACGTCGCGACCGAGAGCCGCCTGCTCTGTAGGAACTTCAGGTGCATTACCTCCTGTCTTAGCCTGCGCTTCACGCTTCAACTGTTCCATTTTCTGTTTTACGAGCTCAGTCTGAGCCTTCGGTTTCGTCCCGCTTGCTCCTTGAGGGACAGCGACTGGTTCTGACGGTTGCATCGTCCGAGGCTGTGGACTGGAGGAAGGCACGCCGTCGCCGATTGACTCTGCAGAAGCTGTAGTCAGAGCATGTGTTTTGGGTCCTTCGGGCTGGGTCAGCGTAGCTGATGTCGGATTAGGTGTCGGACGACCTGTCTTTGCAGCGAGAAGCTGGGCAATACGGTCTTTCCGCTCCAAACTGGGACTTGAAGCCGGCTGTTGATTCCTTAGATCCAGGATCGCCGGTGGTGCTATGGCCTCACTGATCCCACCTGGGCCAAGGGTGGTTGAAGAGGGAATAATCCTCGTGGGATGCGATATTGCTTGCACCGTGGACACTGTCGCTGTATCTTTCGGCGATTCCACCTGGGGCTGCTGCAAGGCCGGCCGTTGCGAGGCGGTCGATGATTCATTGCCATCAACCATAGAATGTTGCTCACCGTGTGATTCATCGCGAGCTTTTGATTGAGCAGCTTCGATCCTGAGGCCGAGCTCTTCATACAATTCTTGCAGGACTTGGGGATTGATGCCTTCCTTTACCAGGTCTGCGTAGAGGATTTTGTGAGGCACAAGAGATAAGACTGCGCCCTTCGCAAGCTGTCGCAGCTCAACAAGAGACTTATTATCGTAAGTTCTCTCGACTGGCCTCAGATTGGTTGTTTTCGAAGGTTTGCTAGAAGATACAAAGCCACTTGGTCCTCGGTCGTTGATCGGCGCGGGGCGAGTCGGATCGTATGCTTGCGAACAAATTAGCCAGGCCCAGGCACCGTGGAGTTCCAAAAACTCACGCGAAACATTCCCATCAGCTTCTAGGTCAGGCTCAGCGGCGCTGTTTGTATCTTTCGATCGTGAAGAGATCACGGCTTGTTCAACTTGACCTATCATAGCCTGACTTTGAGCGCTCGCGAACAGCATATCGATATCTGATCTCGATCCAAAAGAGGGAAGTGTCTGGTCTGTGACCTGATTAGAGAAGGACCGGTCAATGAAAGGCACACGTACCCTTGTCACGATCTTTCCGCTTAGAATGTGGGTGTGCAGGGTGTGAGATCCCACTCTGGACAGCCATTGCCGTGCCATACACCTGAGGGTCTGTCTGAACCTCCATTCCTCCTCGTGAGCCCGTTCGCGCGCCAATGAATTGGTCTTCCCCATGCTGGCGAGGCTGTTCATTTGAATTAAAGCCTGCGCCAAAGACTGGCGCTCCAGCAGCCACATGTTGAGGATAGGGCGAGGGAGTGGAGGTATTCACGGAACCAGGCAACTGCGGATACGCAGCACCGGGTATTGGCACTGGGGGAAAGTTTGGAGGGGGTGGAGGCGGGAAACCAGCGCTTGCAAATTGCTTGAAGAAATCGGGATTAAATGGAGTAGTGGTAGGAGGGGAAAACGGATGAAAAGGAGGCGCAGGAGGACGAATCTGTGAAGTGGCATCGAATCGTGGGCCATTCGTAGCAGGCGATGGCTGCGGTTGGTAGGAAGAGTGCGACTGCGGTTGCGGAAGCTGCTGAGGGATCCCTGGAGTGGTATTTATCGGCTGCTGTAGTCCATTAGATGGAAAAGGCGGGTAGTATGACTGTTGAGGCGCGTATGACGGCGTGCCTGCGTACAATGGGGTGGAAGAGTAGGGATGCGCCATCGCCACGGCGACAGCAGTGCGATGACTGCGATTCGGCGGAAAGCAAGGTCAAGATGGGCGATGTCATCGACAGAATCTGATGATCCCACAGAGACGCGCTCGCACTGATTCAGACAAACTGCTCATCATCATCACTGAGACAGCCTGCGAGATCAATTCCTGGAGACGCGCAAAGACAGAGGACGACCTTCTTACTGCTGCGTCACAATGCCTGCCGACTTCCTCATGTGGATTAAGAATGCCCCTGAGAGATCTCTAAGAGTAGAGATTGTTGCAGAAGGGGTGCTCGTCGTGTTCCAGGTCGTTGTGGTCGACACTTTCGTCTTCTACGGATATGAAGACAGTCCAAGTGCAGGCGTCGTCTTCCATTTTGTCCAGAAGACCCGACTGACTTGGCATCCTGTCTACGGCGGTCGATACAAACTGCGAACGAAGCATTGCCATATGGTTCCTGTCATCCGCCGTACTGACCGCCGCCGGGGTCGTTCAGGAGGTGGCGTGCTCGCACGTGACTGAGCTGGTTGCTCTGCAAAGGCACGCCTTCCCTAATACAGAAGCACAAACAAAACATCGTCATCCAATCTGGGTCACGACGAGGCTACAACAATCATCACTGCATCAGCCTTCATCCCACCTTGACAAACTGGACATCGTCAACTTTACTAACACTCGGAGTTCATAGCACCTCGTCGCATGTGAGGAACAGTTAGTCTTTGTTGTTCCAGCGGCACCATGCTGCTCCACGACCGCAGCCCAGACACCTCTCCCTTCAACAGCAATCCTCAACGCCCTTTCACGAGATCAGTCCATTCCGACATGTCTGTACCTTCACCAATGACCTCTTCAAGCTTCAGCAAATCACTCCTCTTTGCCTCCCCGACACCTGTACAAACATCGACAACCAGACATGAGCGCCAACAATCGTACTCCCCCACAGCAACCTTCAGTGCTGTTCCCTCCCACCTCCGCACGCATTCTCTCCAGCGACAGGCAAGTACGTCCAGCACCTTTGCTCCCAAGTTCATCAAATCGGAAGAAATGAGGAAAAGCGAAGATAGAATCTCGGCCATTGAAGGCGAGAATGACTTCTCTGGCAAGCGCTATGTATGGGTGAAAGATCCTGAAAAGGCATTCGTCCGCGGATGGATAACAGAAGACCTCCCTGGGAATAAGGTCCTTGTGCAGTTTGACAACGGTTCATCAATAGAGACCGACGTTGACGAGGTGGATAAGGTCAACCCAGCAAAATTCGACAAGGCCGATGATATGGCAGAGCTCACTCATCTGAACGAGGCTTCAGTCATTCACAACCTCTACACTCGATACCAGGCTGATCTAATCTATACCTATTCCGGATTGTTCTTGGTGACTATCAATCCTTACTGTCCTTTGCCTATTTACGGCAACGACTATGTTCGGATGTACAAAGGCCAAGCCCGAGAAGACACCCGCCCCCATATTTTTGCTGTCTCAGATGCCGCTTTCCGTCGCTTGGTCGAAGAGGGAGAAAATCAAAGCATACTTGTGACCGGAGAGTCTGGAGCAGGCAAAACCGAGAACACGAAGAAGGTCATTCAATACCTCGCTGCGGTTGCTACATCAGATCTGGACACACCCATGACAGGGAGGACGCCCGGGAAACAGCTTTCAAATCTCTCTCAACAAATCCTTCGCGCAAATCCGATCCTCGAATCCTTTGGCAATGCTCAGACAGTCAGGAACAACAATTCCTCACGGTTCGGCAAATTCATTCGCATTCAATTCACTCGGTCGGGGCAGATCGCTGGCGCCTTTATAGATTGGTATCTGCTGGAGAAGTCTCGAGTGGTCAAGATCAGCCCGCAAGAACGGAGTTATCATGTTTTCTACCAGCTGTTGGCAGGAGCTGACCAAAGAATGAGAGATGCATTGCTTATTTCAGGCATGGACGTGGAGGACTTCGCCTATACACGAGCCGGCAATGACACCATTGGCGGCGTGTCGGATCGGGACGAGTGGAACACGTTGATCGAAGCATTCCACATCATGAATTTCTCCGAAAAGGACCAAATGGCCGTTTTCAGAACCATTGCCGCCATACTACATCTTGGCAACGTGGCGGTCCGACAAGAGAGCAGAGCAGGTGACCAAGCTTCGCTCGCCCCAGAAGCTCGAACTTCAGTAGACAAGGCATGTCGACTACTGGGTGTCCAATCAGACCCGTTCGTGAAAGCCCTCCTGCATCCAAAAGTCAAAGCTGGCCGAGAATGGGTGGAGAAAACCCAGACACCAGAGCAAGTACGTCTCGCCTTGGATGCTCTGGCAAAAGGCATTTATGAGCGTGGCTTCGGAGATCTCGTATCGAAAATCAATCACCAACTCGACAGAGGAGGGGTCAGCAGCGATGACAGCCACTTTATCGGAGTACTTGACCTTGCTGGTTTCGAAATTTTTGAGACGAATAGCTTCGAGCAACTCTGCATCAACTACACCAACGAGAAGCTCCAGCAATTCTTCAACCACTACATGTTCGTTCTCGAGCAAGAGGAATATGCTCGTGAGCAGATTGAGTGGCAATTCATTGACTTTGGCAAAGATCTCCAGCCGACAATCGATTTGATTGAGCTTCCCAACCCAATCGGGATCTTCTCTTGTCTCGACGAAGATTCAGTAATGCCCAAGGCTACGGACAAATCGTTCACTGAGAAGCTCAATTCTTTGTGGGAGAACAAGACACCAAAATATGCTCCTGCCCGTACTAGGCAGGGATTTATCCTTACACACTACGCGGCTGAAGTCGAGTATTCAACCGAAGGCTGGTTGGAAAAGAACAAGGATCCTTTGAACGATAACCTGACCCGGCTTCTTGCAGCTTCAAAGGACGACCACATTGCCAGTCTCTTTTCCGACTGTGTTGACGAGGTCGACGAGCCGTATAGCCCTCGAAGTCGAGTCAAGAAAGGCCTATTCCGCACAGTGGCGCAAAGACACAAAGAACAACTGAGTATTCTGATGAGACAGCTGCACTCAACCCAACCTCATTTCGTCCGTTGCATTCTGCCGAACCACAAGAAAAAACCCAAACAATTTGTTGCTCCGCTGGTGTTGGACCAGCTAAGGTGCAATGGCGTGCTTGAAGGTATCCGGATAGCACGTACTGGTTTCCCCAACCGTTTGACTTTTGCAGAATTCAGATCAAGATACGAGGTATTGTGTGAAAATATGCCGAAAGGGTATATAGGAGGCCAGGAGGTCGCAAAGATCATGCTTGATCGACTCAAGATGGATCAGTCCAACTATCGCGTAGGTCTCACGAAGGTCTTCTTCCGTGCAGGAGTCCTGGCCGATCTGGAAGAGCAGCGCGACAGTCTGATCCGGGACATCATGTCCAATTTCCAATCTGTTGCTCGAGGCTTCATGCAACGACGCTTGGCTTTCAAACAGCTGTATCGCGCAGAAGCCACAAGGGTTATTCAGCGAAACCTGAACGTATATCTTGATCTCCAAGCGAATCCGTGGTGGCGGCTCTTTGTTCGTATGAAACCTCTGCTAGGAGCGACTCGAACTGCAAGTGAAGTCAAAAAGCGAGACGAAAAAATCGAGCAATTGCAGGCAAGGGTGAGGCAAGACGCAGCAGAAAGACAGCGGGTGGAAGAAGAACGAAGGCGCGCAGAAATTGAAGCCCATCGAATACAACAGACTCTGGATTCAGAACGAGCGCTTGCTCTGGACAAAGAGGAGATCTTCAAGCGATTACAATACCGAGAAAACGAGCTGAGCGAGAAGCTGGCCGAAGCAATTACTGAGCAAGAGACATTGGAGGACCAGTTAGACGAAGCATTGGATTGCAAAAAGAAGACGGAAGAGGAGCTAGCCACCCGTCGGGAACAGGTTCTGCAAGCTGGCCAGATCATAACGAGACTGGAAGCGGAGAAGAAAGAGCTTCAACGACAGATCGAGAAATTGGAAGACGAGCTGGAGAGCGTGGAGAAGTCGCATACTCAGAATGATGACAGGCTCGAAACCATCAGTCAGGAACTTCGTTCGTTGCGAAGCAATCTGAGCGTGAAAGATCGCAAGATATCTGAACTCGAGGCGAATCTGCAACAGGCTGAGAAGGACAAGGAGAATCGCGCCTCGAGCCTCGAGCAGGAACTTCGATCTTTGAGAAGCCAGCTCTCGCAACGCGACCGAGCAACAGAAGGTCTTGAGCAGGAACTTCGTTCACTCAAGAGTCAACTTTCTCAGAGAGACCGAACAACTGAAGACTTGGAGAAGAAACTCCATCGCGCCGAATCCCTCCGAACGGAAGAGAACAGAAGGCAAGCAGAGGACTTTGATGTGCAAGTCCGCTCGCTGCGGAATGAACTGAACGCCAAAGAGCGCAAACTGCAGGAGCTCGTGACCACATTGTCCAAGATGGACAAGGATGCCGAGGCCAAGCTGTTGCAAACCACTGGCGAATTGAACAACACCAAGAAGCTGCTCCGAGAAATTCAGGGCCAGAATGAAGAGCTTAGGAATCAAATCATGAGTATGTCCCACGCGTCGGTGAAGCATGAAGAGTCACTGCGTCGCAAGGAAGGCGAGTTATCAGCGATCATGGCGGATATAGAACAGCACCAGCGCGAGAAAGCGGACTTACGGAAAGAGAACGATAGGCTCAAAGGAGGACACGAGGGTTTGGCGGCGGAAAAGAGAGAGGTGATGGCGCAGATGGAACGGATGCGAGAGCAGAGGACGAGGATGGAAAGGGAGGCAGTGGAAGTTAAGAAGTGTTTGGAGAGGGTGATGCCCTTTTTCTCGCAGAATTTCTCATGAGATGAGAAGTGGATGGAGCGTGTGACAGTAACGCATGGGACATGGACATGAAATCAAGGCGATAGCGTCGAGAACGCTCTCGAACGGGCCTGGCATGAATCGTTTAATGTGTTTGGCGGATTTGCGTAGTGTGGTGTACCGGAGCCAACGGGTTGGTTATGCATATGCACTGCAGGCAGGATGTTCTCAGCACTGTACATATTTCCCGGTTGGACAACAATCAATACTGTGTATGCTAGAAGTATTGTCCTCCTTCGCGAGGCTGCGTGAGGCTGCGTGAGGCTGCGCGAGGCTGCGAGGCTGCGAGGCTAGCTTACACAGCCTGAATTGACCCTTTTCGTCATGAGCATTGGCCTCCAGCCCGGCCCATGTCGTCGTACAGCATTATGGCTCTCAATTACTGACCTGTTCCTGCTGACCCTCATCAGCCGCAGGTCAGTCTTGTCCGCTGAGCCCTCTGCCTCTTCAGACGGGCGTCAACGCGGCTGAATTTGGCCACAATATATCCCACCAACTTCGTTCAACCCTCCAACTCAGCGTTTTCGCAGTCGCAGCAAGTGTTCAGCGCCCAGAATCGCTGGCTGATTGACCACTTCGACATGCTTGAATTGGAGTTTGGCCGCATGCAAGGCTTCTTTGAATGCATCCGTAAAGACTCTACTCTGCATCAAGCCGCCGGCTAACAGTAGGCTGGATGTTGTGGTATCGATCCGTCCAGATCTTGTGAGAGGGCCAAGCAGCTGAATTAGGCACTCCACGGCTTTTTGAACCATGTTGGCTGCTTGCGCGTCGTCTGTGCTGGCATCGATCACAAGCCGGGCAACTTGCGCGATCCGTTTCTTTTTCTGCACGTCTGGCGAAGACGACAGAGCGGCGCTCAGTAAGTCCAAGTCCTGTGTGTCCGTGCCGCTTGGGCTGAAAGAGTCAACGATTCGCTGAACGAGCGCAGTCGGGGCGAACGTCTTGTCCGCGTCTAACTCGTGTCTGCGATTGTTGAAGTCGTCAACTGCAGACAGTGCAAGACGGATAGCCTGTCGCCCAATATCAAAGCCCGAGCCATCGTCACCGAGAAGATGGCCCCAACCTCCTGACCGTCCGACGGGGATAAATGACTCCCCTCGACGCTGGAAGCTCATTGCGATGGATCCAGTGCCGGCGACGAGCACAATTGCCGAGTTGCTATCGTGTTTCGTCGCTGCCGAAGTTGCCAGCAGTTCGATGTCATTCGTCACTTTTAATGTTGCACCGAGGGGTCGCTTGAAGAGCTTTTCCAGCACGCGGTCGACGCTGAGTGCGATTCCCTTCCGGTCATGGCCGGCGAGGGCGATCCAGACGGATGAGAAAAGGTCGGGTGTCCATGCTCCAGCTCTGACTCTGGAGTGCGCATCGCATGCTCTTTGTATCGCTACCGAGATTGACTGAATTGCAGATTCGACGCCGACGTCGGTTACATTGCAACCTGGCCCCTCGCCGTATCCTCTTTGACCATCTGCAGAGATCACGACTGCGGCACATTTACTCCCACCGCCATCAATGCAGAGCACATATTCTGAAGCGTGGCTTTCTGTTGTTGTTTGACCGTTTATGCATCCATTAGGAGGCTTCTTGAAAACACTGGCAAGCACACCGCCCGCGTCTTCCAGGAGCCGTTTCGCCTCTGATACTGTGGCCCCTAGGCCTAATGTTGCAATGGCGAGCTTGACGCTTCCCTGGCAGCTTGAAAGAAGAGCATCCAAACCGGTGTCCGAGTCGGGGCATTGAGAGCCACAGATAGTCCGCAATATGTTTCGAGACCGCTGCTGCAGTTTGAAGTTGGTTGCTCTGAGATCAACCATCTGAACTTCGATCAGTATATTTCTCCTATCAGATATGTCGATGGTGGGTATTTGATTTCATACCATATTTCCATAAGTTTTCCCAATTTTGATCATGATCCCCGTGCTGAGCATGTTCAGAACCAGCTTCGTCGCCGTTCCGGCCTTCATTCTCGTGCTTCCCGTGATAACTTCCGGTCCGACAACAGCATCAATCATGAAGTCCACGTCTCCGCTCATGCTCATGGCTGAGGGTTGTGCGCACGCCACGCCGATCGTCGCGCAACCGAGACTCTTAGCATAAGATAGGCAGCTCAACACATAAGGAGTGCGACCAGACGCTGCGATACCGATCAATGAGTCAAGAGCTCCATTCAATTGGAGCGCTTTGAGATCTCGAACGGCGGCATCGATGTCGTCTTCTGCACCTTCTTGCGCGTTTCGAAGGGCTGCATCTCCGCCAGCGATGATGCCCACAAACTGACCCGCAGGAGCAGAATAGGTGGGTGGAATCTCCGAGGCGTCCAAAACACCCAGCCTGTATATCCAGATCGCAGTTAGATATGGAATCCTTCCTCCTTGTGGAAAATGCTGCCGGGTGGCTTTGCATACCTTCCGCTCGTTCCAGCGCCAACATATATCACTCTGCCCCCAGCCTGGACTCTCGCAGCTAGGCAATCAATGGCCGCCGCTATGACTGGGATGCATCTCGATACCGCCTCCGAGACAGTAGTGTCTTCTGCGTTGATGATTCGGCAGAGCTCGACGGTCGGAACTTGGTCAATATCAAGACTCTTTGCGTTTCTTTGCTCGGTCTGCAATGCGACCAAGTTCTCAGATGTCGCCATCGGGCTGCTTTCTTGCCCTTTCTTCACCTCATCGTCGAACCATCCGGGTTATTCGCCGCCTGCGGACTCGTTGAACAAAGGTACGAGGACAGAAATTGCGGCCTTCCTGAAGACATCTTCCCTCGCCTTCCAATCTTCCAAAAATCCTTCCGTATCTCGGCCTTGGGAGATCCACTTACACCGCGCGCTTTCGATCTTATTTAATAATGGACTGTTACACTCACCCCCAATGCAACTTCAAGGATGATAGCTCGAAGCGTGAATAGGGTATGCGGAGAACCACGCCGTGCATCAAGGGTTCCAAGCCCCGGTCACCGGGTACGTCTCCCACAACACCCATATCGCCTCCTAAGGCTTGGGTGGAGTTCAGCGGCCTGCCGGTAGCCGAAGGATTTCTCCTACCGCTAATGAATGTTGATCACGTCCAGAGTAGGAAAACCGTCTCCTCACCCAACAAGACCTTTCGCCTCGACAGGAGCCTTATCAAAGGCTAATCAGAGTTGGGGGATGAGGAGAGCGAGGAGTCGATGTAACGGTATCCTTCGGGCTGGGAGATATCTGGATTGTACGACAATGTCGGTCGCAAATCTATATGATGCGCCTTATATGGGCGTCGCCCATTGCGGAGGGCTCCTTTTCGCTCCTCACAGATCTATCTGTGACTGTGAATCTTCATCATGGTCAAGGAAGACGAGACACAGGCTGTACAGCCGGTTGAGTCCTACCAGAGCAATGTCGAGCAAGCGAATGGCTCCCGCTTCTCATCCGTCAAGTCCTTCTATGCGCACCCATGGACTCAGATTATGCTCATTAGCCTGATATGCTTCTGCTGCCCTGGGGTAAGTACCTGGAAGCTCCTGATCAGATGAAGACATGCTGACCTACCGTTTAGATGTACAACGCGCTTGGTGGTCTTGGAGGTTCTGGACAAGTCGATCCGACAGGTAATCTGAAGCAGGACAAATAGTTCCAAAAGTCATGTATTGACCAACCAGCGCAGTCGCCGCGAACGCTACCGTTGCTCTCCTTTCCGCTACCGCTGGTACAGCCTTATTCATAGTCGGCCCTCTCTTTTCTTACACAGGGCCTCGGATCTGCTTTTTGCTAGGTGGCTGGACGTATGCCCTGTACAGCGGCAGCTTGCTCAATTTCAATCGTAAGGACGATTGCGCTGTGGAAGGTGGTTTTCTGACGGTGGGCAGATCATGACAACGGCGCGTTCGTCATTGCATCTGGTGCTATTCTGGGCATCGGGGCCTCGATGCTCTGGGTTGTTCAGGGTGCTATCGTGGGTTTCCCTTCCTGCTGTTAAAGCCATTGCGATTATGGCTCCCCCATGATCAGCTCAAGCTGACAGATATCGGCAGATGACAACTTACGTTGCAGAGTCCCAGAAAGGCCGTGCTATTGCCGTCTTCTGGATCGTCTTCAATCTCGGTGGTGGAGTGGGCAGCCTCGCGTCCTTCGGTCTCAACTTCCACTCTAAGTCCGGCACGGTGTCGGACTCGACCTACATCGCCCTGATGGTGATCATGCTCTTCGGCTGGGCATTGGGGGTGTTCATCTGCTCGCCCAAACGGATTCGCCTTGCGCAGCTCCACGCCGCTGTCGAGAGGGAGAAACATTCGTGGAAGGCCACCGTCGAGATCGCTGTGCGGACAATGGCCAGCTGGCGCGTCTTCTGCATGCTGCCTCTGTTCTTCTGTGCCAACGTCTTCTACTCGTACCAGCAGAACCAGGTCAACGGTATGACTTTCAACATTCGAACTCGGTCACTCAACGGGGCCTTGTACTGGATGGCCCAGATGCTTGGGGGCCTCCTGATTGGCGTCCTGCTGGACCTACCGTTTCTTACCCGTCCCATGCGAGCCCGGCTTGGGTGGGTTGTTCTCTTTGTCACCGGCATGTCCATCTGGGGTGGAGGATATGCGTTTCAGAAATGGCAAGACCGATGGTTGGCTGCTGGATTCAAGCAAGACGTCGACTATACCCAGGGCTCGATGTCGACGGGACCGATCTTCCTGTACATCTTCTACGGTGCCTATGACGCGCTGTGGCAGGGATTCTGCTACTGGCTCATCGGCACCGAGTCAAACTCGACCTCACGAGCGGCCATTCTCGTGGGCGCGTACAAGACCTTCCAGGCGACGGGCGGAGCAATGGCTTGGAGGATTAACGCTTTGCACAAGAGTCCCATGACACAGCTGGGGATGAACTGGGGCTTGTCGATGGGATCATTGGTGATTGTCTTGCCCACAGTCTGGACCGTCACGGCTATAACCATTGAGAAGCCAGTCCGTGATCAGGACCTGGAGATGAAGATTCAAGAAGTCGAAGCCGGGGTTGACAAACAGTGATAGACCTCAACTTGCCCTTTCAAAGCTGAATGAGCGACGAGTGAACTTCACAAGTTCACCCGCCAAGGTTAAAGTACACACACGTATATATAGTGATACTTAGTCTCCCACTCTATAAAAAGAAGTAGTTGGATTGAGGATCGAACCCCGACCACCTCCTTAAGAGAAAAGTTCCGGCAGCAAAAGTTCAGTTCCACGCCTGGTCTATCGTGTAACCTTTCCCTTGGCTTCATCGCAGGTGTTGCGGCTCCTGACCCCTCCCCGGAGGAGGGCAGTTATCGAGCAATCTTACAACAGCCGCTCAGCCCTATCTCATGATACCACTGCAGGTGATGCGGCTCCTGACCTCTCCCCGGAGGAGAGCAGTTCTCGAGCAATCTTACATCAGCCACAAGATAGTACAATCATTGATAGTACGACATGGGCGAAACCCCCACTGTTCCTACCTCCCAAACGCCGCCCCCCCGTTGCCAGGGGGTGTTGTTTAGAGAGCCGGTAACAGCAAAGCCTCATGTCAAGGAAAGGCCCCACCAACCAGACCGTGATACACTGAACTCTTTGAACAATAGTCCCTCCTGTCACTACTCTCTCCCCCCTTGCGGGGAGGGATTTCGATCAAGGGTGGGCCGTATTCGAAGCGTAGAGTGGGGGTCTCTTTGTTGCTGTTTTGGACTTCTTCCGTGTTGGACTAATTGTTGGGAAACTTTCTGGTTTTCTCAGATTTATATTCGTCATTTTTGAAAGTGGAGCTCGGGTATCAGGTGATGCTGGGTGAATGTTGATTCTTTGTATCCTTGGCGGGAGTGTGGTTGTTGTGAAGCTCATCCTGGAGAGCCTCATCTCAGATATGTTGGTTCGCAAGGCTGCAGCCTCGTCAGCCTCGCGGTGGCAGTTTAAAGAGGCAAGTCATCCGGCTCCGCGACTTGGAGAACACTCGGCCACCCCCAAATAATCAACTGATGCTCAAACTGCCTTAGGTATTCATGCTCGCATAGCTTCTATCGGGCGAACATCCTCCATATTCTCTACTTTGCTCACAAGGGGTCTATCAACAAACGCGCGGTCACTTTGCATACCCTTTCGGTCTCTCCAGACTCAGCTCTCGTCTCTGCGTTCGAAATGCCATCCTCGTGTAAAGACATCCGTACGTCCTCTCCCGCCAATATGTAGATGATATTTCATTACATGTAATCCATGGAACTTCACTGGCTTATCCCTGCATATTCCCCTCTACTTTCCCCAGACCATCCTCTGTCACTAACTCATCTGACAGGCGCCGCGCTCGCCCAATGCCTCCAAAACAGCGACTGCATTCTCGTGCAGCGGCACACACCCGTCGAATGCCTTTCCCACCCGTTACTCGAAACCCTGCCCGAGCAATGCCAACAACTCAAGATCGGGTTCCGAGAGTGTCGGCGCGGACTGGTCGACATGAGGAAACGGTTTCGAGGGAACGCGCCCATCTCCACGAGCTTGGAACTCGAGGCGGGTGATGGGAGTGGAAGAAAAGTGGAAGGTGCGCCGGGTGGCGGGATCAAGAGCCAGCTGTACGCTGGACGGCCTGCGTTTGATGTCCGCGAGCAGATGGGTAAGGGCCAGAAAGGGGAGGTAGAGGGGTTGGGGTTTGATGAGAGTAAGACTAGAGGGCTGTAACGGATCGAGCAGTGGAGACGAAGACGATACGACTCGAATCGCCGTGTTCCAGGGCGAAAGTCCAGCGGACATCCCAGGTGTGGCGCAGACGGACTTGCAAGAGACAAGCATCTCTTGGGTGGTTGAGTACACTCACATTGTCACCAAACAGCTTGGGGAGAGCATCGATGCTGCAAAGCTGGGACCCCAGCATCAGGCACAATCAGCGGCCACGCAGAGCCGCAGGGCAAGAACTGGCCGAGCCGAAGCGACAGTACTCAGAGTCTATTACCTTTCGCGAGCAATTCGTACTGCCCGAAGCTCTTCGTCGCCGATTTCGACTTCGAACAGCAAGATGGACTCATTCTCGCAGTGAACCCCCATCGCTCACGGGCTGCGAGGTAAAGGTCGCGCGCACGGTGACAGAGATGCAACAAACGATCGAGCACGTTGCTGCTATGTGGCGATCGTTCAAAAAGTGAATCCCACTGGAATCCCTCTTCCACAAAGTGCAAGGCAGCCAGCTCATTCAGGAAATTGTCGAACGGCAATGAGCGAATTCTGGCCGCAGTGTTTGTATATATGGTCGGCAAATCACCAGCTGGCATACGTCAAATTCAATATCGCACCTCCGTAATGGTAACATGTACAATATATGAATAGCACGATAGAGTCACAGAACAAAGCACGAACTGAATCCACATTTTATCCATGAGACTGTTTTCCAGATCAATCGCCTTTTTCCATTCGGACCTTTTTGGAATCTAGGGAGTTTCCTTATATGCCCTCGCCCATCCGTCAATGAAGCCCACTTAGAATACATGAAATCCTCTTCCGTCGTGTGTCTACCTAGGGCTACTCACACTCAACTTCCTCCTTCGCTCAGCCTCCTCCTTTGGCGGCTCGCAGTACAGCCAGACCATAACAAAAGCGACAAATCCCAGAATCACACTCCACAAGCCCCCGATCCACGGCCACGCACCACTAATGGCCCAACTCCGAGGCCACTCGTCGTGCGCAAAGTGTCGAACCGTGACCTGTCTCTTCTCCTCAATGTAGGTGAGGAAGGGCCGTTTGTAGTTGACCTTGAACGCGAAGATGCCGTGTTGGTCGGGCGTCGTGAATGTCGTGCTGAAGACGGTGCTGTTGGGTGTCACGGAGGATGGGTGGAGAGGGATGCGGTGGAAGGGGGAGAGCATGGTGAACTCGAGCTGGAGGGCATCGTTGGTGGGGACAGTGAAGGGGACGTAGTGTGTTCGGTCGTATTGGCCGATTTCGATGGAGAATTTCTGGAGAGAAAGTCAGTTGAAGACAAGCCATAGGGGGGCTTCAAGGCAAAGCAACTTACCACGTCATTTTTGATTCGATAGATGGCCGGATCGTACTCGCTGATTTGCGTGGTATTCTCCCCAGCCTTGGTTGACGGCTTGATCTCATAATGTTGGATATGGAAGACCTTGAGAACGCCGACCTCCTGGAAGGTCCACTCGGTCAATTGTCTTGCAAATTCCTTGTTCACAGTCTTGCCACTCTTTCCGCTCGGTGATTTCACAGACGCATCGAACCATTTGTCTTGAAGCATTTCCAGCGAGCCGAGGACAGTGAATCTGGCAGAATTGCGGGCTTGCATTGCCGACACAAGCGACAACTGCGAACCTGTGGCGAAGGGCTCTTCCACGCTCTCGCCCTCCTCTTTCGGATTATATGCATATGCCGTGACGGGTGCCTTCAGAATCGGCGCTAGGAGAGGACTGCTGTTCCCCAACGTCTGCCCGACTGCTTTGGGCACAGCTAGGGTGCCGTCACCACCGAAGAAGTTGACAGCATCGGGTCTCAACTGGCCCGGGCGATCGAGTAGTAAAACGTCGTGATTCTCGGCCGCGGAAACGGTGTCATAGTTGAAGTGGTCGACCACAACAGACGATTTATCGGGGGATAGGGAGATGTCAAACTCGAGCAGGAGAGAGGAAATGGCAGAAGGTGTGCCTGCGTCGGAGGACAGACTAAGCAAGACGTTTCCCCCTGCATTGACATAGTCAAGCAGTATCTTGGGCGTCAAGGCGGGACCGTAGCCTGTTCCATTTTTCAGTATTCTATCCTGACCAGAGCTGTGATGTGGCTGCGTTCGTTTACCTTTCGATTTCGGAGGTGTGAGGAGTAAATGTTCATAGGCTAGCTGGCCATGTCTGAAGAGTGAGAGGTCTTCGTTTCTGGGAGACTGGAAAGACAGTTTATAGTCACGCCCTGATGGACAAGAGTTGCAAAATCAGTCGCTGCTCTCTTCCCAATCTAGGCGCAAACAGAATGAACCCCAACTCCTAAGGGAGACGTACCTTCCAGATCAGCCCAGAATTGCGAATAGAGTCCCTTTTGCGATTCGTCTTCCAGGACGACCAGGACCCGGTCTCCCACAGCACTTTTGGCCAGCACGGCGCTCAGCAGCGGGAGGAGGACAAGACAGATTGATGACAAGAGCCGCATCTTGAGACAAGACAAGATGGACGACCGACCTGGTTCCCGGGCTTAAGCAGGGACATGCATTCGGGAGGTTGTACTTGTAGTTTCGTTGCGTTGAGTACGCTTCCCCAATGGCTTTTTGCGTACCTCGTACTGCGGAGACGTGGTCAATTAATCTTCTCCTCAGCCTTGTCGCATATGAGTCAAATGCTCTGCAGTAGCTGCCAAGGCTGCACTTGGGACCTCATCTCGAGCTTCCAACTACCCTCCGCCATGTCCCTCCCTCAGACGACCGCCAATTGAGCCCGACGCAGGGCGAAACAACGGGTTCCTACACCGTGGCCATACCGATTGCTTCTCTCCTTAGCAACTCGCGACTCCTCTTGCTCCAGAATCGAGCTCGGAAAGCCAGACGATCCGGACTCTACAGCTCAACTCGGACACTGCTACAGAATCGAGCAAGCTCCCTTCCTCCACACCTCGTCACCAAATCTGTCCAACCCCGTTACAAGCACATACCCTTCAGCCATCCTGCTTCAAACTCCTCCCCTCAGGGCACGCATCCCCCTCCACACTCCTCTCATTAACAAACAATGTCCGGTGTCCCTCAACGTTTCTGGGGCCAACCCATCCGGTACCTTCGCTGGGCGGCGCACGAGAAGCCGGCGATATTCTGGAGCTGCGTCATTGGTGGTCTGGGACCTGCGACATTTGTCTTTATACCGCCGATGAGGAGATACTTTGGGGACCAAGATCCACCGAGAATTCCTCTGACTTATCCCGGTACGTATTTACGAGTCAAGTGAGTTTTGTTTGTGGTGTACAGATGGTGGCATTCGCGGGGAAACCCGGCTTTGTTTGGTGTAGGGAAGAAGGAGGGGGATCAAACAATGAGAATGGAGGTATCTTGCAACTTTGGGACGGCAGTCTTTTGATATCGGAGGATCTTGGTGTGGTCAAACTGAAGACAAGTGAATGGACACATGGATTCTGAAAGACTACGCTGGCGGAACGAGACTTGCTGACATATATCACTATCTAGTACCGAGCGGACCGAGAAAGATACCGACAGGGTTCGACGACCCGGAATGAAAGTTCAAGTCATTTTTTTAGATTGCATCAAGCCGGAATCCTGACGTCCTTGGAACATTGAGTGCTCAATACGGGTTCTTACAGCAAGGGGGAGCGGAAGTGGATGGACTGCAATGGCCCTGATCACACTGGCAGCAGATGAGGCGATGATGGTCAAGCAATGTACATAGCCTGATGCACTACAATTGATGGAAAAGGGACAGTAAAACATTGAAAATGTGCATTCGATTGCAAATTCGTTTTTTGACTAAGTCCCCTTTGTCCCTAGCAACTTGGGGGAATCCCATGCACTCTTCTTCCTGAGCTCTGCTGTTATGCTATCCTGCACCCCTTCTGGAACAAAGGCGGAACACGTAGAGAACGGCCGCGAAGATGGCGCCTCGCTCAAAGACAGGGACGTCCGCGAAAGGGGTGTCTCGCCCAAGCTGAAGAACAGGGACGTCCGCGAAAGAGGCGCCTCATTCAATCCAAGCATAGGGACGTCCGCGAAAGAGGCGCCTCGTTCAACCCAGGCATAGGAACGTCCGCGCAACAGGCGCCTCGTGCAACCCAAGCATAGGGACGTCCGCGAAAGAGGCGCCACGCCTAAGCCCGAGAGCAGGGACATCCGCGCAACAGGCGCCACGTTCAACCCCAAGCATAGAGACGTCCGCGAAAGAGGCGCCACGCCCAAGCCCGAGAGCAGGGACGTCCGCGAAAAAGGTGCCACGTTCAAGCCCAAGAATAGGGACGCGCGCGAAAGAGGCGCCTCGCCCAAGAACTGAAGCCTCTAGTTGAGGTTTGTCGTGTGACTCTTGTAGCCAATATCGAAGTACTATCCTGGCTCACACCTGTCGCGTCTTTTTTTTTGGTGTTTTTTATGCATAGTGTGTGTCCTAGTTCACACCTGTCACGTCTTTTTTTGGATGTTTTGTGCATGATGTAGTGTTCTGGTTCACACCTGTTGCGTCCTCTTCTTCTTCTTCAGCTCTTATGCAATTGCTTAATGCCCGGGAGGCCGCCGCGATTTCGGACAAAATTCAAGCAGTTCTGAGGAATGTCGTACTAATGTGAGCATTTTGGGCGATTTGTGAGAATCCAATAATGAAGAGTGGTCACAGCTGTGTCGGCTGGAAGCTCTCGACCGCGGTTTGAGCGACACATTGATCACTCCTCCATCGGATCAGATCCATCTTCTCTGACGAACATGTCGTTGGAGGATCCTCCATCGTCGTCAGACTCGCTGGCGCTGTCTAGTTCGTGGATCTTGGCACGTTTCTTTGGTCGGGCGTGAGTGTGACTGTCGTCGTGTCCACTGCGTTTACCACCACCTTCGAGAGTGGCCCGAACTTGCATCAGAGCCTGTTCATCTTCAATGTCATCGTACATGCTTTGCAATGCATCGTTCGGTTTTGTGTTCGTATCTGGAATGTGCCAGGGCATGTCTTCCTTTTCGATTGTTGCACATGTCAACCAGTGGATCTCGTGTTGCTCTCTCTTCAAGTGAGTGTGTTGTTTCATGATATCCTCCACGAAGGCCTTGATGTCTTCCTTGAGAAGACCCATGTTCGCCTCAAGCACATGGCAGGCTTTGATGCTCATAGGGAAGTATTTGTGAAACTCTTGGAAGTCCATATGGTTGAGATAAGCGTGACCTCCTGCGTGTAGCGACATGTAGAAATTCAAGCCGCCGTCCGGAGCGCGGCGCGTACGATCGTCGGAGATATTCTGTGCTACCCACTGCCGGAAAAAGCCAACAGCCATCCACATATAGATGTCACCAGAATATGAGGGACGTCCAGGCTTGTCTGCGGCAATGCGGCGTATGAACTCCGGGTAATGACCCAGTATGCGAAGTTCAAGCGCTTCTTTCTTGAGCGAGAGTTCAGTTGCCTTGCGTTCCAAGATCTCACGGATATCTTGACTGACTCTGTCCTTCTCTTCATCGGGGATCGTGCCCCACTGGCCGATCAAATGGATGGCTGCTTCACGGTAGATGGCAGGTGATCGAACGCGGCGACCAAGCTCAATCCAAACGTGGGGATTCTCCAAAATAGAAGTCCAAAGGACATCGTCTTGACGCATCAAAGCGAGATCAACCACATCGCGGACATGTTCGACGGCGCCGATGGATTCAGCACACTCAACCAGAGAAAGGACGCAGGAGAGGACAGTGGCGAGATTGCTGTCATCGAAGACAGGCTCACGATTGTAAAAGACTCCAAAGAGCCAATCCCATGCCCGGTTGCTGTAGTCTGGCCCCTTTCCGTTTTCCAGGTCTGGCATCACAACATTCCTGCTAGGGCCTACAACCCGCCCAGCCTCATTGATTTCCTGTGATGCATTTCGTTAGCCTCTAGTCTATCGTGACATTTCCAGGATGAGGGGATATTGTTTACCATCCGGATGAACTCCCCTGATTGATCTTCATCTGACGACCGCTTGAATTCAAAACGGTACGCAGCCGCGTTGTCCCGGCGAGCCTGTGCATTCAGGCGAGGGGCCGGCTGCGCGGCAATTTGCTCGGCGAAGACAGTTGAGTGGGTTGTCAGGACTTGCGAGTGAAGTTTGTAGACTTGAGATGGTGAGATGATGATGAGGACGTCGCCATCCAGAAACTTGGGAAAGTCGGATCTAGTTGGGGAGGCCATCTTGACAGCGGCGGGGGAGTTCTCAGTGGTATCGCAAGGTACACCCTTTCAGACAGGAAAGGGTGGAAGGAAGGTGACAAGGAGAGGAAAGGAAGGAGAGTGAAAAGGTGAAAAGGAACGAGAATAAATAGTAAGAGAAAAAATCTTCGCAGGCAACGACGAATAACAGTCACTGCCTTAGTGACATCCTTAGTGACATGAGGGTTGGGTGAGGCAGTAAAAACATGGCGGCGTGTGTGAAGCATCGAGTGACACTCTCGAGCCAGCGTACGCTGAGCGGGTGAGCTGAGCTTGGCGGCCTGGCGACGACTCGACTCGTCGTCTCTCTGCGGCGATGGAGCGGCCGTCACCCCTGGTTCCAGTCCATGGTTCCTTCGACGATCCGGTCGACGATTCGACCAGGTCTAGCAAAGCTGTATACTATCGACGTTCTCCAACCATCTCCCCTCTGCCTTTGACTGCCTACCACGGACCAACGGATAGACTCCTATGTGATGAGCAAGAGACAGGTAGTGGGTTGACAACGACGGGTGCCAGCAATCCAGATCTTGGGTAGAGGCGAAGCAAGGCTATATATATGTCAGACCATGTGGCAAGAAAACAGACTGTAGGAGGCGGGTCCTGGTTTTGGTGGACACGAGAAACAGTCACTCCTTGCCAGCGTTCTTCAATGAAGAGCTGGTCCCCGAAATGTCCTGTGAAGAGTGAGAGTCGAGTTCAGCAGACAACAAGATGGCCTGTACGTCCAATCAATCAAGCGAGCGTCGAGCTGTCAAAGAGCGGACTGAGCCCGCAAAACCGAGGTCAAGGTAATGGGAACACCAAGGGATATCCGGGTAGGAGCATGATGGGCCCATCCAGGTCAGCGAGGATCACGACAGGAAGCAACATTGAGAATCATCCGGAACACAGCCTGAGTGACAAGCCAGTGGTATAAGGTGTCGTGCTATTAGTCGTTGTCATCAGTCTCGATAGTTCAAACAAAAACAACTCTCAAGCTCCATGATTCATCTCCAACACGCCAATCCAATGCCCGGTGCCTCCAATTCCTGATTCGTAAGACCGGGTTTTGCCATGATGGTTATCAATCTTTGGGAAGAACATCCATTTCCAGTGATTTTCAATACGCCTCCAGGATGCACGTGGACGACGGTGGACAAAAAGGCCCGACTCCAGGAAAGTGATGCGTAGATTGGTGTCGCTCTGTAACCATAGACCGCGCAAACTGTGTTGCCTCTGAAACCTGCAATAATTCGTGGCCGCATGAGCGCCAATGTAACAATCCGGTTGTATTCCCATGGCATAGGTCGTCATGTCAATCCGGGCATAACAATAATAGTGCATTTGCAATCCATGTGGCCTGCTTGTTCCAAGGCCTGCGGCACGGCCGGGTAAGAATGTAGGGGATCTTTGAATATCTGAATCCCGGGCTTTGGAGGAGCTCCTGCTCAGGCATGACATTATCCAGGGACATATGCCGTATGAAAAGGGGACAAGCAAGATGGCGCTCATCTTCTAGTGGTACGTGTCTCCGGATAGCCTGGGGGATATGGACCTCCCATTATGTCCCCTCTTCGCCCATCATAGGATGCTGATATCGACTGGGTGACAGGCGGTGCTGTCCTCGGTGGGTATCCGGGTTGACCATAGGCCGCGGGTGGTGCAGCTCGGCTAATGGCTGAAGTTGGAGGCGTCGTGTTACCCCCATGTAAAGTCCGTGGTTCTCTGTCTACTCCGTAGTATGCCGGTTGGCCTGGAGCGTATCCTGACTGTTGAGAGGAAATGGCATATTGGGTATAACCAGGTTCAGGAGGATAGCCAGTAGTGACTGGGATACGGCCAGTAGCCACGGGGCGGGGAGGTTCCAGGTCACGCTCACGTTCACGTTCACGCTCACGAGGTTCACGATGCCTAGGAGGCGCACGATAATCATCCTCGTCAAGGTCCATGTCTCCAGGGGGTGGGAATCGCCGTCGGTCTAGGGTCCTTTCTTGCGAGTCTGCCAAGTCGGCATAGGAACCTGTCCGAGCCTTAGACTCGTTTGCTGGAGGTGTCGTACGGCCCATACCTCGGTTTTCACCTTGCCGCCGCCTTCGATCTTTTTCGCGCAGCCATCTCTCGGACTCATCACGCAGGCTTTGCTCCATCGCCTAGCCAGGGTCGGTCAGTATGGGGATCTCATAACACAAGGGGAGGGAAAGGTGGCAACCCGGAGTCCGTACCGTCGTAAGTGCGCGATATCCCCTAACCCAGTAGCCCGGACGTCCCTAACGACAATTGTTAGCAACCACACTTACCATGACGACCTGTTGAGGCAGCGTACTCGAGAATCGACCCCGGGGCGACATGTGGCATCTTGGCCAAGAAATTTGCAAATCTCATGTTGGATCACTTCGCGTTCGATTCCCTCTCCGGGGCACCAGAATTCGGAAAGCTGGAGTTGGGGCCTTGAGGGTTCATCACGGTCCCTCATGGTTGCGTCCATTGGTACACGACGACTGGGGGGAACAGGATCAAGGTAGTCACGGTCTTCACGAGGAGGATATCTCTGGGGGGGCAATTGGCGGTACATTTGTCCAGTGGCGGGATCTTGGTAGAGTCTTTCAGGAGGCTCGACACTACGGCTGTCCACAGTACGTTCCGACCGGATGGGATCGATACTCCTGGCAGTGTTGGCCCTCGTTGGGTCTCTCGCAATGTCCATGCGGTCCATCCTGGGGTCCGGGCGGGCTTCCACACGGCGGTCAATTCCAATGTCCATGACATCAGACATTGGGGTGTCTCTTTCTCTTCGTTCGGGGTGGTCGTCTATTATCCTTCTCTCTCGGGGTGCAGGCTCAACACGCTCGCGAGGCTCACGCTCACGTTCTCTTTCTCTTCGACGAGGCTCGCCTCCGCGGTAGTCTCGGTCATCATAACGGGAGGACATGCTGGCGGCCGCGAATATAAAGGGCCTCCGATGCGCAAGAGCGAAATCCCTGTTCCGTTGGGCAGCAACAAAGGCGGGAACAGACAAATGGGAAGGAAAGTGGTCAGGTAGAACGGTTTGAGGGTAAGCGACGGGATTGCGTTGGTCAGGTTCCTTGTGGGCTAAAGTAACTCCTGGGTAATCAAAATCCACCGGGATAGACAAGTCCAAGGAGTCCGTAAGGATTGAGATCCAATGGAATGGTATGGCCTGGGATACAGGAGTGGGTGATGTGATTAATCGGACGGGGTAAAAAGGGTGACGATGATAGAAGGACAGGTTTTTGGAAATGGGAAAGATAGAAGGAGAAGGGAAGAGAGGGCGGGTTGTGTGTGCAGGCACTGCAGGCAGAACTGCCACCAGGGCGGCTTTTGGGCAGAGGTCCAGAGGCCCAGAGGGTGGCACCCAGTGGGTTGTTCAAGCGAGGCACTGCTACCCAATCGTTGCCCATAGACGGGCCCCTTGTACCGCCGCCCAACCCAAATAATAAGCAGCTTGGGGGATACCCAGCCTGGGTGCCAGCGAGCCAGGTTGCAGGCATCTTAACTACTAGTAGACATGCCTACCTAAGGTACCTTCCCCATACCTGGCGAGGTACCGAAGGATGTACGAACACAGTAGGGCAGGGAACGAGAGCAGCTTGCGGATCAATGCCCCAGAGTGTACAAGGACCAACAAACAGGACTCCTCGTCTCTTCCCATGAGTCGCGAGTGGCGGTCTTTTTGCGCCTCCTGCTACATAATAACAGATAGCAAAGGAGGAAGATCGAGCATCGAGTCAGCCCAACGTCTCGCCAGGTCCTGAAACACGAGAAACCGTTAAAGTGGGATGATGATCCTGCTCGCAGCACTACATACCGTCGATCAACTGGCACCCAGTCTAGCGGAGAATAGAAGGTGGCACTGAAGCTGTCAAATAGAAATCAAGCCTCTTCTTTTGATGGGATGGGAGACTGAGAGGCGAAGAGCGAGAGACGAAGTCTTCTCAGTTCGCGGGCAAAAAGACAGAAAAAATGCATAGCAGACGCTTATCAAAAGGGCCTCAAAAGTACCTCCTACCTTACTTGGGTAGGTTTACCCATCTACGGACGAAACAAATTAATTTCACCATAGTATGTGCTTCCAACAGTTGCTTCCATTCCATTTGTTTCCAGAAAGAAACAGACGAGGAAGGACATCCTCAAGTGTCTTCACTTTCGCCTTCACATCATCCTCCCACTCCATACTCTCCCCATGACGAGACCTTTTCTCCTGGGCCACATCCCGAGCACATCAAAATGCCCACCCCGTGGCGGACATGGACAAGCGAGGCCCGCGCGTGGGAGGCCTGCAGCTGCCTTGGAGCTTACCTGTCTGTCGATTTCTTACACGGGGGTTTATCAGTGCAGATGACCGGAAAAAGCTCAGCCTAGTGACACCGGTGAGCTCAGACAACCCCCAAACATGCCAGCTGGGACTCGCTTTCCAGCCAATGGCCTCGCGTTGGGCAGCAAGACGCATGGGCATCGCGTCTCTGTGCGTTTCTTACCAGCCAAGAAAGGACGCCATGGCCCTGCAATTGGCCACCGCAATCTATCATGAGTTGGGCATCTACTACTACTGAGTCTTTGGCGCTGTTGCATGTGTGACATGTCACCATTTCTCCGAATTGCACAAAGCTTATTGACCATGAGGTGAGAACACCAACCTCCAGGCCCGATGCGCTCACCGTCTATTGTTGCATAATAGTTCGCTGCTGGGGAGCCCACTGCCTCCTTTCGTTGAGTCTTGTCGAAGATGGCCAGAGCCAGGAGGAAACCTGGGGTTTAAGAGCTGGGATTCTGGCAGCATGAGCTTCAGATCCGTCCAGAGGTGGGAAATCTACCGCGTCCCTTTTAAATGTCTCTTTCCAGACCGGTGTGGCAGGTACCTAGGTAGGTTGTACCCAACTTACAGCTCCACAAGAGCAAACAAGGGATAAAATAGAGACGGCATGGGCCGACACGCAGAGGGCCCGTGGATGTACACTTTGGGACCTTGACTTTCAACCTTTCCGGCTCTTTGAGAGCCCAATATCAAGATTTCGTGACACATAGGTTGGCTTTCCCGTTTCAGATGGCTTTGGTCTGAATATGCCGATGTGTGAGCTCCTTGGGCGGCAAGGCGGTCATATGCGCCCTTTGCAATGGATTAGACAGGAGCATCGGATTATATTGCATCTGTGGAACGACTATCGCCTTCTCCGACTGCAAAACTGTGCAGCCACCTCACAATTTGGACTTGCCTCCACCAGTGACTGCTTTGATGCGGAACCCTGTCCGGGGAAAATGCAGGCGGACCTCCTTGTCCTTGGCTTGAGTGCTCAGGACAACTTCATCCTCTGTCAACCCAATGAGCCGGCCCTGGTCATGATGACTGGTGCCTGAGTCAATTGCATACACTTCCACTTCGGTTCCCTGCTGCAATCCAAGAGGATCCGCGGGGTCAACGCCCAAGTCCTTGTCGGCGAAGGGTGCGTTGAGGATCCGCTCAGCCGCAGCGTCGCCTTTCAAAGAGGCCGGTTTCGGCGCTTGAGCTTTGGCGGCCTTGAGTGCATCGTTGAACCTGGCAATCCACGCAAATACCTTGGGATATTTCTTGTCAGAGATCAACTCCCGGGGAAGAGCCCCTTTGAGCCCGTTCAACCAATCAAACGTCCAAATGGCTAAGGCCACTTGCATTAGCCAAATCGATATGGAGGACGACCTTGCTAGGTCCTGCAGTGTACTTTTTGCTTACCTTCGATGTCGGCCAGAGTCGGCTTTTCCGTCTTGAGTACCCATTTCCGCCCATCGGCCAGCAGAGTCGCCTCGAGGAACTTGAATCCGCTTCTGATGGCTGCCAATGCTTCTGGTCGATTCTCGGCAATAAATTCTTTGCTCCATGGTCGGCCGGAATAATCCTCTCGGTCTTTGGTGAATTTGGGATCGTTCAAAAGCGGCATACTCGTCGGGATAAGCTGCGACGCCCGTGTGAAGAGTCCCGCCTCTATGCTCCAGATTTCCAGAAACTTCTCAATGGCCTTCTCTTCGGCCGTTGATGCACCTAGAGCCCCTTCGGGGAACATGTCTTCCAACTTGCGAAGGATGATGCGACTGTCACAGTAGACATCACGGCCTATGGTCATTACAGGGATTCTTCTGTAGTTAACACCCAAGGCACTCAGATCTGGTCGAGGCATAACCGGCGGTTGTTTCTATATCAGTTTTCGTTAGGCGCTCGACTCAGGCCAAAAGAGCCGGCAAATAGCAAGCAGTCACTCACACATTCAGCATAGTCCATGCCTCGCAGACTTAGATACCACAGAACTCTCCTGGCGAAAGGGGAGAATGAGTAGTGATAGAGGACGATACCGTTGTTTGGACCCGCCATCTTTGCTCGACGCTCACGATCAGGAAATGAGAATTCTTGGGAGAGACAAGTCAGCGCTGGTTCTTTGAGGCGCTACAGAAGCTCGATTGACTTCAATATGTGCCATAGGGAAGCTGAAGTGGACTGAGAGATGAATATTATTGCTAGATTATGGTTCATTCCCCATCGCGAAAGCTCTTTGCCTCGGCAACTTGGTGGGCTGCGGGGCACAGTCCAGCAAGGACGGGAAGCTAGCTAAAATGTTGACGGAATCAACGCTAAGAAAAGTTGTCAGATGGTCGCCGTCTCTTGTTACCTCTCTCATCAACACTCGGCATATTCTTTCACAGCCTGAGCAGATGTTTGATGCCAATCTCTCTCCATGAGGCTGACGACCACGTAGCAACTCTGAAATCATGCCAGGAACATCAGGCACCTCAGGGGCAAGTTTCGTGACATCATCATCTCCACTGTATGACGATGAACTGTTCAGTGTGCACACGATCTCCTTCGATCCCTGGGCTCAAAGACGGCTTTGAGGAGCAATAAATTGTCTCGAAGAATCTGCCCGTTTCTTGTGTCCCTGAAGTCCACCCGAACACACCTTTACCAGCTCCCTGAACGTATTGACTCGCATCTGTAACGTTGAAAGTGATCGTTTTCGAATCCATCATGGCTCAATCCGGACGAGACAGCGGAGGTGACCTCTTCGACATGGCACAAAAAGGCACAAAGGTACCAGACGACGCAGCAGAGCCGCGATACATCCCATCCAAAGCGCGGCCGGATCAAATAGCCTCTGAAACCGATCCTAACAATCTGGGTGGCCGGACACTTGCAGAGGCAGCGACCAACGAAGGCGACATCCCCAGGGTCAGTACCAGCTCAACATCCCACATCCAATACCCCATATCCCATTACTCAAGCTAACTCTTACGTAGACCACCAGAGACACTGCTGTGAACGATGTTCTTACTGGAACGGGAGATTCTCTCCCCTCCCAAGTTGACTCCAAACGACTGCACGCGGTACCCGGCGGTGTCACCCACGATCCATTTGCCAAGGGTTCAACCAGGATGACGGAGCACAAAGTGCAGCCGTCGGATTTTGTACAGGGTGCGTCGGATGGTCCGCGGACTGATCGAGCTCCTGGTCAAGAGGGATTGAGTGATGAGCAGGCGATGGACAACCTCGAGCGCAGAGGATGAGTAGAAAAAATGGCATATGAAACCAATGGAGTCTAGCATATATTTTCATTGACGGAATGCCTCAAAAACAGTTCTCTAAAAAGACAATCCATTGAAATACTTATCCACAATGTGTGTTCTCAGAGGGCCAACCTTTTTCCAAGGGCCTCTTTCAAAATGCCGCCTCGGCCTTCCTGAAGCAGATGTCAAGAAGTCCATTGACGGCAGTGGGGGAGCGCTATATGCTCTGATTTGCGCAGCTGGAGGTGCGAGGATATCCGACCCGCCAATTAGGCCTATGCAGCGTGCTTCTCCGCATTTTCTTTGTTCCTGCCTCGCTGTCCGTGACTGCGGCGTCGCGCCCTTCATGTTCTACCAGGGGATCCAACTTTGAAAACCTGCCATCTCCCACCGTGATCTTTGTCTGACCTTCCAACTTGCTTGCTACATTGCCAGGAGTAAGTCCAATGCTACCACTGGGTTCGACTGACCTCTCCTTTCAGTCGAGTGCTCGAAGCCTGCCTCAGGAAGCCAGGCAGGACTACTAGTTTTTCAGTTTGCATGCGCAATCCACCCCGCACCATTCACAGTTGCAGTGCTCAACGTTCCATAAAGCTTGATTGATACGAACCATGGCGTCCTTCCTGCGAGCCCCGGCCGGACTGCGCAGTGTCGGTCGTCTAACAACTCCAGCTCGATCCTCGTTGAGATCAACGCCTTTCCGAACTTTGGCGACGAGCACCAACAAACGTAAAGCTGCCGCTGTAGCCCAGGCTCACATCGAGACTCCTTCAATGGACACAGCATTCTTTCCCGATGAGCCCGTTGGGCCCACGGTCGTTACGCCTATACCCGGCCCACAGAGCCAAAAGGCCATTGCAGAGCTTCACAAAATATTTGATACTCGCAGCCTCAACATGCTGGCAAACTACCAACAGAGTTACGCCAACTATATCGCAGACCCTGATGGAAACGTGCTGCTCGATGTGTACGCCCAGATCGCCTCCATCCCTGTCGGTTACAACAACCCTTCGCTCCTGCTAGCCGCTACCAGTCCAGAGATGGCCTCTGCGATAATCAATCGACCCGCGTTGGGCAACTTCCCTTCTCACGACTGGGCCTCAATCCTGCAAACCGGTATACTTCGAGCGGCACCCAAGGGCTTGAACCAGGTCTTCACTGCCACGGCCGGTTCCGACGCCAATGAGACCGCCTACAAAGCCGCTTTCATGTGGAAGCGACAGCAAGAGCGTGGCGGCCGAGACGTGGAGTTCACCCCAGAAGAGATCGAGAGCACGATGAAGAACCAGAAGCCCGGCTCCCCGGATATGTCAATCATGTCGTTCAAAACTGCCTTCCACGGCCGCCTGTTTGGAACTCTATCGACCACGCGCAGCAAGCCCATCCACAAGATCGATATTCCAGCCTTTGACTGGCCTCAATGCTCCTTCCCCTCTCTGAAGTACCCGCTCGAACAGCACGCGGAGGAGAATGCGGCCGAAGAAAAGAGATGCCTCGAGGAAGCTGAGCATATTATCAAAACTTACCACAATCCCGTTGCGGCTGTGATCGTCGAACCCATCCAGTCCGAAGGCGGCGACAACCACGCCAGTCCAGCCTTCTTCAGAGGTCTCCGAGAAATCACCCGCCGCAACAATGTCCTTTTGATCGTCGACGAAGTGCAAACCGGTGTCGGCGCGACAGGCAAATTTTGGGCCCACGATCATTGGAACCTGGAAGATCCACCGGACATGGTGACATTCTCCAAGAAAGCACAAACGGCGGGATACTACTTTGGCAACCCAGACTTGCGACCGAACAAGCCATATCGACAATTCAACACCTGGATGGGCGACCCGGCGCGAGCAATCCTCTTCCGCGCCATCATTAATGAAATTGAGAGATTGAACCTGGTGGAGAATACAGCGATGGTTGGTGACTACCTATATCAAGGCATTGAAAGGCTCGCTCAACAATATCCTCAACAATTCCAAAACCTCCGAGGGAAAGGGCAGGGGACTTTTATTGCGTTTGATAATCCCAAACGTGACGAATTCCTGGCCAAGGCTAAGACGCTTGGTATTAATATTGGTGGCAGTGGAGCTTCGGCTGTGAGGTTGAGGCCGATGCTGATATTCCAGAAGCACCATGCTGACATTCTGCTCGATGCTTTTGAGAAGCTGGCCAAGTCTCTGTGAGGCGCAAAAGTTTGTGTGTAGTTATCGACGAGTTGTCGCTTGGTGGCTGAACTCTGCAGCGTTTGGCGCACATGTCTGTTCTCTGTGGTCTCCACTAATGGCGATATCGTAGCGCATGAATAAGAAAGTCTTTTCGTCAGTCCTCGTATGGTGTATTTGAGAGCCACGCAGTGATTCTTGATTGGCTGTCTTCATCACTTCAGACGTCCCTGGCCATCAGGAGCAGAAAATCTTGTAAATCATTCTCCGCAAACAGCCTGAACCCCTTGGGCATCAAGAAGCCGCGACACTGTCCTCCTCCATTGCGGTCCCGTCTCTTGGGACATACTTGATGCCGTTGTCCTCCAGCGAATCTATTATCTCCCTCGGCAACGTTCCCACGACCTTGACCGCATAGATCCCGGGCACGTAATCGGTCAGGCGCTGCCACCGAGCCACCCAAGATGTCTTGGGATCGCCCATAGCAATCAAACCCTCGAACACCTGAGAAGTGCATTCTTGAATCGCGTCTTGAGAGTTGCGCAGGCCGAGAATATCTTCGCAGTTGGGGCAACCGTTGCGGAAGAATTCCTGCAGCTGTATGTTAGTCATTGGAGAGGGGCAGGGAATGACAACGTGTTGCTTACAGTGGCGGACTGGACAATGGAGCAGACCATACAGGCGCGTGTGCGAGTACCGCGACCAGCCATGATGAGGGTGAGGGTGGAGATAGGGTTGACGGAGAGGCCAGAGAGATACACTGATGCAAGGGCGTTTTGTTGTCCGCAGTTTTGTAAAGGCGAATTCATGAATGCCATTTAAGGTTTCGGATGATCGGCCGATAGCGTGGTAGCCAGACGTCGAGATCTAGGCGGCACTGGGTGTCACTGGGTGTCTGGCTCACGCTGGCTCCAGCCCTTGAGCCTGAAACTGCAGGTCTGACGAGGTTCCTTTGGCTTCTCCGAAAGTTCTCGACTCGACGGCCACCCAACGGCCGATCCGCGACCAGAAAATCTACCAGCGAAGCCCGGTACCTAGGTGAGGCAAGTGAACACTCGACCACGCATTTCTCAACACATTTCACGCCAGACACCGGAATGATACGATAGCACTCGTGGCTGCACTACCCCGCATCTGCTCTCTCATTTTTCTCTGGCCGAATCACCTCCAATCTCTCTTCGGCCATGGCCTCGACGCTCGCCGCAGACAAGGCCGCCGCAACCGCCCTGAAAGTCAAGGGCAACCAGGCCTTTGCGCAACACGACTGGCCCTCAGCTATTGATTATTACACCAAGGCAATAGAAAAGTACGATGCAGACCCGTCGTTCTACTGCAACCGGGCCCAGGCAAACATCAAGCTTGAGGCCTACGGCTATGCCATTGCTGACGCAACCAAGGCAATCGAACTCGACAAAGATTATATCAAGGTATAAAGTCGGCGTCTGGTAGCACTGGCTCGGTAACTAACTTCTATCACACTAGGCATACTGGAGACGAGCGATTGCCAACACTGCCATTCTAAATTCTCAAGATGCCCTGCGAGACTTCAAGGCGGTTTGCCGAAAGGAGCCCAACAACAAAGAGGCCAAAATCAAACTGGCAGAGTGCGAAAAGCTGGTGAAAAAGATACAGTTCTTGAAAGCGATCGAAGTCGAAGAACCTCCCTCAGCGTTCGAAGGACTTGACTTGGACTCGATAGAGGTGGACGAGAAATACGATGGTGTAAGATTAGGGACCGAAATGACGCAGGAATTTATCGACGATATGATAGAGCGGTTTAAGAACGGCAAGAAGATCCACAAGAAATATGTGTTCCAGATCATCAAGGCTGTGAGAGACATCGTCTATGACGAGCCGACCATGGTCGAGATGGACGTGGCACCCGCCACTAAGCTCACGGTCTGCGGAGACACCCACGGCCAGTTCTTCGATCTGCTGGAAATCTTCCGACTTAATGGCTACCCGACGGACAAGCATGCATACCTCTTCAACGGCGACTTTGTGGATCGAGGATCATGGTCGACAGAAATCGCCTTACTCCTCTATGCCTACAAGTGGCTGCGACCTAACGCCTTCTTCCTGAACCGGGGCAACCATGAAACAGACGATATGAACCGAGTGTATGGATTTGAAGGCGAGTGCAAGGCCAAGTACAACGAGAAGACGTTCAAGCTTTTCTCCGAGTCATTCTCCGCGCTGCCGTTAGCAACCTTGATCGGGAAGAAATATCTTACCCTCCACGGCGGGCTGTTTTCGGACGATAAAGTTACGCTAGACGACATCCGCAAACTCGATCGCCACGTGCAGCGGCAGCCCGGTCAGTCTGGACTTATGATGGAGATGCTCTGGACGGATCCTCAGCCTCAAAATGGCAGAGGCCCCAGCAAGAGAGGTGTTGGGCTGCAGTTTGGCCCTGATGTTACGAAGAAATTCTGTGAAAACAATAATCTCGAGGCCGTGATTCGAAGTCACGAGGTGCGGATGGATGGTTACGAGGTCGAGCATGATGGGAAGTGCATCACTGGTATGTTCGAATGACCACTGCTATCTGCGCATAGACACTAACCAGTCTCCTCATAGTCTTCTCGGCGCCCAAATACTGTGACACGACGGAGAACAAGGGAGCATACATCAACATCGGGCCCGACATGAAGCTGGAGTATCACCAGTTTGAAGCCGTACCTCACCCTGATATCAAGCCTATGGTGAGTCTATTGACCCGCGCTCACAAATGGCATGTGACTTACAGTCTTTTAGGCGTATGCAGCGAGCTCGTTGATGTCCATGATGTAGGACGTTTTTCTTGGATTGATCGTGTTTGTATGTCCTGAAACGGAGAAAGAGCTAGGGGATGGGGATCTACTGTAGACTCCAGGATACTGTGGTCCATGTGTTACAGCCCATGTATGTGTATCAGTATGGGACATTGTACAGCGTGATCGAAATTCATAGCGGGGCCGGCGCTGGATACAGGCATGTTGTTAGAGGTCAACTGGAGTGCGATTGCGACTTTGAGGGAAGGTGGCTGAGTTTGCGCAGGCATTGCTCAGCCGTATACGAGTACTCGTAGGCTACTAGGCTGGCTTGGCTGGTAGGCTTAACTAAATTCAAAGTTCGGAAGAACCAAACAGGTAACTCTAGCTCCTCGCTTTAGGCGGTGACTCTAAAGACTGGCAGCATTGGGTTAAGGAAAAGCACGGCCCCGGGCGTTGTCACATTGGTGGCGCCCAGTAGTCACCTGGGCTCGTCGCGTACCTAGGTGGTGGGTGCAGCGGGTGCAGTGGGTGCAGTGTCTCTGGGTGTCCCTAGCAGTCGCGGCTGGTGCCGTGGCAGTGGAAGCCAGTCATTGTCAGCCTCTCATTCGCCGGAGGGAAACCTGAAACCCCCTGCATCAGCCCATCTTGCCCTTCAGCCCATCCCCGTCGTCATCTGCAAAGCCCAAGACATTGATCGATTCGCATCCCGTGCTTGCTTGGGTGAGAAGACTATGGTGGCCCCTTACGAGTACATGCATCACCAAGCTACGGCTGCATCGAGCCAGCCCATCGCCCGTCGATGGCGAGATGTCGTCTCTGTCCCCCCCTCCCCCTCCCCGCTTTTTTTTGCAACCTTCACTGAACCTTCATCATCTCACCCACCACGTTTTGAACATCGTTCCCCTTCGTCAGTAATTGTACAATCCTTAAGAGCGAGCCTCATTGCCCATTTGTTCTCAGATTTGTCGTTTCTTGCTCGTTCGCGTGTACCATTGATACCCAACAGTGTACGTGACTGATTCGTGCCGGCGCGTTCTGGGTATTGATCCTTCAAGGCTGTTGCCTTCTCAGCCTGACAAGGACACGGTTCCCTACAGCTTCTGTGTGTAACTGAGCAAACATTGTTGGCTCAGCTATCTCAGCCCGACACTGTGTCCAAACGGTGTTTTGGAACTTCGAACCTTCAGTATCTCCTCTTGCGACCACTCCTCCGCGATACTACCACCTACCACCTGTAAATCAATCACTGCCTGTGTCAGACGGCGAAACATGGAGTACATTTCTCAGCCCGATGCGTGTGGTCATTCCTGCCTAGCGGCACCTTCAAAATCGTCCTTTTGGTCTACAGGAGTGGGCGGCGAATCTTCTCGAGAGATTGCCGGCGACCAATTATCAGACCACAAGGAGTCCACCAGAGTCACTGTCACAGAACGTACCGCGGACAATCCCATACGATCAATGATGGAGATGCAACCTTCGACCTCTTTAATCTGGAAAGCCAAGCACCGTGCATCCATTCCGGCCTTCTTCTCAACGACCAAACCTCAGCTCGAACGAACGGCGGGAAAGTCACAAACGAGTGCCTTCCTCTCCATCTTACCTCGCGATGTGCATTTCCTCCTTGGTACTACCTACCTCGATTTCGACACTTTACTCGCTCTTCGACAAACATGCCGCTCAGTGTACGATATCTTTCCAGCGGACGTCGTCCGCCGCGTCCGGTCCAAGATCGTTAAGGCAAGCCTCGAGGACGAGGTGCGGCAGTACCGGGAGTACAGATCCATGTATCCTCGACAACGACTTGGTCATCTGTGGGACTTGCTTTACGCTGCCTTTGACTTCCGGCTGATTGAACGACCCGCCAGAGAACTTCGATGCTACGGTTGCCTCGAGGAGAAGCCTGTGTGGTGCTTTGTCGAGAGAATGAGCAACCGTGGCACCGGTCTTGGAGCCAAATTTGCCCAAAATAGGCTGTGTAAGGACTGCATGCGCAGATATCGCGATATCGAGGGGGAATGGTGGAAGGAAAACTGGGTCAAGAAGAGCGACATGGTCCGCAAATCCAGCAGAGGCCGCAGACTTGGTCGCTGGATGCTTGAAGGCCAAAGCCTGGTCAATCCAGACGAGCAAATTGGAGTCTGCTCCTCATGTGGCAGCTCGACGTTTGAGCTGTGGTGGGGTTGTGTTCCTTGCTTTGAACTGGAGGAGCAAAGACGGCGGGAGGAAGAGCTGATGGAAACCGACGGCTGGCAGCGGAGAATCGCCGAAGTCATGGGGACTTGGCGAGGACGGAAGAGACTGACCCGCAGACGACGCCACGCGAGTCGGAGTCGGAGTCGCGATCGCGATCGCGGGAGGAAGAGATGGTGGGCTCCTAGCTTCACATTTGCAGGCGGGCTTGCAGACCGAAAGGCTGCTTTGATTGAATGGAAAGAGCACAAGGACAGCAAAAAAGCCGGAACCAGTACAATCAAAGCCAACCATCAAGACTCGCGGTGGCATGCTCTGGACCAGATCCCCTTACCCGAGAGCCGCAGAGAAGCAAGGTGTTCGTCTTGTTGGGTCCCCAACTGTCACAGCCGAACATACATTCTCGGGTTGGCGTATGAAAGACCGCTGCCGAGAGAGCGTTGGTGTACCGGGTGCAAACAGGAGTTCGATCAGCGACTTGCAAGGAAAGGCTACCGGAGATGGAGAATGAAAATGTGCAAGAATGAAAAGTCAGATAACGACTGGCCTGAATCGTTGGCCTGGCTGTTTGAAGAGAGTTAAGGTCAAGGTATGTAGAAACAGTTACGACGGACATGAAGGCGCTTCAGGCGTTGAACGAGCGACATGAGATTCCCATGATGGGTCACTAGGCCTAAGAAACGAAATGAGCAAGATGTACCACAAATGAAGTATTTAGATCGCTCTTGGGTTCGACAGCTGGCGCGTAGCAACAGGGGCTTCGAAGGTCTCCTTTGAACAGCAATTCTGTCTCGACTCTTTCACCATGGCCATCCAGTCGCTTATTCTCGGCTCAAACCTACAGGCAGAAATGTGGGAGTTTATTAACGTGCTGACCAAATGTCTTGACCTCTGAAATAGGAACCCGTTACCTTTTCCTAGGGCTTCTCCGCGCTTCACTACGACCCCATTCTCGGCTGGTATAGAGAAAACTCTACGGGCCCCGAGCCCACCATACACGCCAGGAATAAGGCCAACCGGACATCGACGTCGAGTCAACAGGTTTGCGCTCCCCTTCCGGCAAGGTTAGGCTCGGGTGTCTGACCATACCGAGTCCACGATGCTGGTTCTTCCCATTGCCTTTGCTGTGTTGAGGCACGCAGTCAGCGCGGAAGGATGAGAAAAGCCAGATGAGGTGCGCAAGTTAGGCAAGGACTGGATATGCAGGATAAGACAATGTACAGCACACGAGGTACAGTTGAAGGGATGTTGGTGAGTTGTTTGTTCTCAATGTAGCGATCTCTTTGCATCCTTCACATCACTTGTCCTATCCCAGTCGACTCGCTCTCATTGTCTGCTCCCATACATCTTGAGTAGCACCAAGGATCCCGCCACTAGCAGACAGATCGATCACCAGTAAGAGAAGAAGAATGGCGACGAAACTCCAGGTCCCGCCGTCTTCATCCATCGTCAACGTCTCCATCATCGACAGCACCGCCCGCCTCCACAACCTCCCTTACTATGTCGCGATGACACCGCTGTACCCGGGCTACGAGCGCAGCTCCAACCTGCCATGCTACGTCTTTTTGATCCATCACCCACCGACAAACACACGGGTGCTGTACGATCTGGGCCTGCGCAAGAACTTCCGCACACATCTGAACCCGCACCTTGTCCGAAAGATGGCGCCGCTGGGGATGGAATTCAGCGTGGAGAAGGACACGGCCGAGATCCTGGTGGAGGGCGGTCTCGATCCGGGGGATATCGACACAATCGTCCTCTCGCACCACCACTTCGACCACGTCGGCGACACGACAAAGTTCCCTCCCACGACGAGGCTGGTGGTCGGCCCCGGGACGAAGGAGAAGTACTGGCCTGCAGGTGGTGGGTATCCCGAGGATTTGGAGAATCAGGATTCGACGTCGGACACGTACGCCGGGCGCGAGGTCGTGGAGCTGGCGTTCGACAACGACCGCAGCGGCGACCCTCCCCGGGGGCGGGTGGTCTGTGAGATTGGCGGGTTCAAGGCGTTGGATTACTTTGGCGACGGCAGCTTTTATTTACTTCACACGCCGGGACATACCGCGAACCATATCTCTGCGCTGGCGAGGACGACGGCGCCGGCGACGGCAGGGCCGGGACGTGACGAGAACTCAACCTTCATCCTCATGGCCGGCGACCTCGTGCATAGCTGCATGAGCTTCCGCCCGTCGAGGGGGTATCCGCTTCCCGAAACCATCGTGCTGGAACCACAAGAAGCCACTATTAGTGCTCCATCCTCGTCCCATCCCCCGTCTCTAGAAACCGAAGCCCTAGCCCGCCACCACCGCCTCTACCGACCCCCGTCGTCGCCCTCGACATCTTCTCTGGCCGATGCGCGCACCCAACCATTCAGCCTGATCCCGGCCGCGGTGGAAGAATCCCCCCCGCTCTCCCAGCGCAACGCCAACATCCTCGCGGAATATTTCGACGCCGACGACAACGTCTTGGTCATCTACGCCCACGACGACAGCTTGCTCGACGGCGTGCTGGAGTTTTGGCCACAAAGCGATGCCAACGCCTGGAAGGAGAAGGGGTGGGGGACGAAAGCGCATTGGCGGTTTTTGCGGAGGATGGTGCATGCACTTAAGGAGGAGGAGGAGGGTGGGTGATTGGGATGGGGATTGAGACACGACGAGACGAGTCGTTGAGGACAAAGCACCGGGGGCTGGAGGGGAGGAAACAGGAAAGAAGGCAAGGCAGGTGGATGGGTGGATGGACATGATGGGCCGAAAAAAAAAGGCGTCGTGCTCGGGCCTGTTTGAAGGGGGGGGGGTTTATATCGAGTATATTTTCGAAGACCGCGCTTTGTTTTTTTGTTTCCAGAGCGGAAAACATCTTGTCCATTTCCTCCCCAATGAAACCACTTTTGAGAGGTCAAAGATAAGACGCAAGCAGGGCAGTTTTCAATACTATGTGAAGACAATGGCAGAAGCACCCGTAATCAAACGCCAACAATACAAAACGCAACGCAACGCAACGCATGGCGCCCTCATTTCTGGTGGTTCGGTCGGCAATCTGGTCATACATGGAACTTTTCCCCCATAGCTACCTAGATAGTCATCCATCCCTGCATTGATTTGTCAAAGTCGACCAAAGATACCCTCAAAATCCATTTTGTTACATCACAACATCCCCTCCCAAGAAAGTATTGCTCGAGGTCAAGAGAGCTCACTCAAGCCTTTGGCGCGCTCTTCTCGACACCGTCCACAAACTCAACAGCCTCCTCCACAACTTCATCCGTGATGCCCGGCATGGTGACATCGGGCAAGTATTTGCTGTGGCTCTGCCCGTGCGTGGCCGGACCCTCCATGAAGTTGTGCATCTTCTGGGTCAGGTCGTCGTTCAGGCCCGGGGTTTTGGTGCTGGAGGAGGACGAGGAGGACCGTACGAACTCACGCGCCGCAAGGGCTGCGTCGTCGGTCACGCCGCTGGACGAGCGGCGGATGGTGCCGGCCATGAAGTCGTGAGCAGACTTGGCTGCGTCGTCGGAGATGCCGCTGCTCGAGCGTCGGTGGGATGCGCCGCCCATGGAGCTACTACTGGTGGCGGGATGGGCGGTTGTTGGGGATTCTTGCTTGTTTGACATTGTGGACGGAGGTCGAGGGTGAGTTCGTGTGAGTACTATTGCTGTTGCTGTGGGTAAAGTCCAAATCAACGACACTTAGAGCTGCAGGGAGGTCTTTGCCGTAGAAGGTGAGCTTCTGGACAACACCTGAAGTCATATCCCATCCCTTCCATGAGCGAGGGGTCGCGTGCCTTACCTAGGGTCCAAGGGCGGGGTTGCGCTCAGAGCTCACGAGATGACCGCGGGTTCGTGTTCGGAAAGGGCAATAGAGCAACGCCGCCATTGAGTTGATTCGCTGAGCGCTTGTGCCATCTCTCGATGGCCTCTGTGTGGGAAAGTGAGAGTGGACTGATGGCTGATGTCCGGGAAAGCTTTTTCCAAGACGAATGAAGCCACTGCGAGTAGAGGAATACAAGACAGAACGATCGAGGAGAGGTGCTGATGGACTCAAGGCTGTACTTTGAATGGGTCATTTCATACCGCTGAAGGCTATCGCTTACCGGGTATCGAGAGAGAAGAGCCAGAAGCTTGCTATTCGCATTTTGATGGATTGTGACTAGACACGAAAAGAAGGAGAAGAAGTCACAGCTTTGGAATGTGCTGAGAGTTGTAAGGAGCAGATAAAAGGTTTTTGTCTGACAGAAGCAGACAACGCAAGTAGGCGAGTGACGGCCACCCAACTGCAGGTAGTGAGGTACATAACTACCCCGTCAGACAAAAGAAATATTCCAGAGTATGAAAGTCATCGGGATAGTACGTAGGTACCTAGGTAGCTTCACACGAACAACGGATACTGGACACGGTGCAGTTCCTTGAAAAGCCAAAATGGAGGGTCCAGCAACATCCCTCATGGACTGCGCGAAAGGAAAAAGAGGAACAAGGTGTGGTTTGGCGTCCACTCTCGAGAGTCCCCAGCGTTCAGATTCAACCATGGGCTTGGACGGGAACCAAGTTGTGGAACGGCCACAGAAAGCAATTTGGCAGCTGCTTGTTTTCAGATATATACCATCCCACAGGACTGTCGCTGCTTCTCAAGACACACAGTCCGAGGCAATTCCAGCCACCTCCAACCATGGGTCATATTCATTCGTGTTTCACAGGTGCCGGACGAGGCGATGCCCCGGACACCACCCACCTCGGACACCTTTCGACTGCTGGATCCGCTTCGTCCCTTCAGAGGCAGGAGGGCCCAAGACAGCTCGGAAAGGGACAGTGCGGGACAGTCTGGGCTTTGGGGGACCTGGTTTTCAAAGCACCCAACGAGTGTAAGCACCATCAGCTCTGGGAAGATAGCTGCCATCACAGGAAGGTGGAAGACGCACTTCAGCGGGCACCCTGGGCAATCCGGCCGCGTATCAACATACCTCGTTGGACGGACTTGGTTCACCCCTCTGAGGAGACGTTCTGGGACGGGTTTCGCAGCTGGTTTCCCTCAAACTTCCAGCCGACATGTGGCATTCTGTCGACCAGAATACACCCTGTACGTCCGCATGTCCGCCATGCCATCGTCGACTTGTTCGCTCCTCCGTCCATCAAGGCCAACAAAACCGGTTTCCTGGCTTGCCCGCAGAACCACGACTGCTTGGTCCGCCTGTACTTGGGTCGAAGAGCCGAGCGGTCAGCATCGGCCGCCTCGTTTCGACTTCGCGACTTTGATCTCATGGTCAATGAAATGGAATATATGCAACTTGATATAGGTACCTGGGCTAGAGACATGGCTCGAACGCTGGCAGTCCTGCACTGGAGGGCACAGGTCGATGCTAACGGCGTTGAATTCGTCTTGGGAAGGACTGGGGACGTCGAAGCCGAGTTCAGAGCAATATCATTGAGTGGTATGCGTGACAGGCTTGTTGATCGCCCCAACGTCTTCAAGTTCGAGTTATCATCACAATCCATGGGCGTCTGGTTGTTGGATTTCGACCAGTGTCGGACATTTCCAGAGTCTCCAGAGGGTGTCAAGCAGCTACAAAGAGCCTTCTATCTAAATGATCCATATTACCCTCGACCGGTTTCGAAGCACCCCAACGACGTGGCCTTGTGGGAGACCTTCAAGGCTGCTTACCTGCAAGCCAGCGCATTCCTCAAGCCGCAGAGCAGAATGCCGAGATTGTTTATCCAGGCGGTTGAGGAAGAAGGCCGACGGCGTGCTGCCGGCGGTTCTGTCTAGTCCGTGGAAATGGATTGTCGACTGGAGCCGCCACCTCTGAAAATCCTGGAGAGCCACAGGCAGCCACAGGCCGATGGAAGCGAGAATACCCCGTGGCACCGGCGGAAAAGATCCACGGGCCCCCAGCATCATTCGGTTACACCCACTGGGGTCTAATCCTTTCGGGGATATTTGCCTGCAAAGTCGTTCCATCTCGATCATTGAAAAATCGCCGTGGTCCGCGGCCGCCAACCTTTGGTCCAAATTGCTATGCTCCCGGCGTTCATGCGCCACATATGATGGAATATTCAGAGTTATTGTTGGGGTGATCGACTTCCATTTTTGGAACCCCAATGGAAATTGGATCGCGGATGAAGGGTTTTTAAATATGGCATTCTTATGGTGGCCGTCCGGCACCATGACCAAGTCGGCCTTCTTGAGCTCTGTCATTGCCAGAAACAACTACACGAGCATTGCCATCACGAGCCACCATGAGCATCGAGGTCTCCCTTTCTCCAAGCCAGTCTGGTTGGCCCTTCCCAGCCGACCAGCAACTCGACTTTTTCTCGTCGAATCTGCCCGTCTCTGGATACCCAGCTAAGATCAGCAAGGACGACTCCTCGATACCTGAGTTACCTCTGTTCGCCGAAGCCAGATCTCACGCCCTCGCGGACCCGCACAAGGTCGCTATCATCGACAAGACCAAAGACCAAAGTTTTACCTTTGTCCAGCTCCTGAACGATGTGGCGGCTCTGAAGGCTCAGATCCAACGATATCTCTCAAGTTACGACCCATCCATTTCAACCTTGGAGGAACCTAGGGTTGCATTCCTTGCACCCTCTGGGTATGACTATGTCGTCACCCAGTGGGCCGTCTGGGCAGCGGGAGCTGTGTCGGTGCCGTTGTGCACGTCTCATCCGCTCAAAGAACTCCAGTACACGATATCGGACTCGGACCCGTCTCTGATTATTCTGCATCCTTCATTCCAGAAGTTCGAGGCGGGTCTGCAAGAACAAGCGCCAGGAATCCCGATCATGTCTCTCACACCGCACACCCCAAGCTCGAAGAACTTTCCGTTTCTCCCCAGATTTACTACCGCCTTTTCATCATCTCGACGAGCCCTAATCATCTACACCTCCGGCACGACCTCCAGACCGAAAGGGTGTATCTCGACCCATGAGACCATTACCTTCCAAGCACGCAGCCTGGTTGAAGCTTGGAAATATAGCCGATCCGACCATTTAATCCATGTTCTCCCTCTTCATCATGTCCACGGCATCGTCAATGGACTTACGGCCACATTACTCGCTGGCGGGACGGTGGAAATGTATCCGAAATTCGACGCAAAGACCGTTTGGAGTCGGTGGTCTCAGAAAGGCTCGTCGACCATGTTCATGGCCGTCCCCACCGTGTATTCCAGATTAATCGACTACTTCGACTCCAGTATACGCGGGACGCCCTCGGAGACGGCGGCGCGAGAAGGCGTCGGTGCTCTTCGTCTGATCGTCAGTGGATCGGCTGCTCTGCCGGTGCCCACCAAGCGCAAGTTTGAGGAAATTTCAGGCCATGAACTGCTTGAGCGATATGGCATGACCGAGATAGGGATGGCATTGAGCTGCGGCTTGGACAAGGAGAAGCGCATTGACGGCAGTGTCGGCTGGCCCCTGCCCGGTGTGCAAGTTCGCTTGACGGATGAGAAGTCTGGGCAGGTCATCACGTCTTCCGGCAAAGACGAGTCCGGTATGATTGAGATCCGCGGACCGAATGTGTTTATGGAGTATTTCCGCAGACCGGAAGCCACGGTCGAGTCGTTCACGGGAGACGGCTGGTTCAAGACGGGCGACGTGGCCAAGAGGGAGGAGAACGGCGCGTATTTCATCCTCGGACGGGACAGTGTCGACATCATCAAGAGCGGGGGGTACAAGATCTCGGCGTTGGAGGTCGAAAGGAAGATTCTGGGTAATGAATACCTGAGCGGCGTTGTCGGGGAAGTCGTCGTTGTCGGCGTCGAGGACCAAGAGTGGGGCCAACGAGTCGCGGCCGTCATCAAACTCAAGGACTCGGTAAGTCCATGTCATTGCTTTGTTTGTTTCTCTTTCTTTCCGGTTTTTGGGAGTGATTTGGGCTTTGAGTGCTGACATACATACGACTAGGCTGTCCTTACCGGTCTCGACCTAGCCACACTCCGCAAACACCTCAAGGAAGACATGGCCGCGTACAAAGTGCCCACGATCCTGAAAGTCGTCGAGTCGATCGACCGCAATGCCATGGGCAAAGTCAACAAGAAGCAGATCCTGCAGCAGTACTTTGGGCCGAAGCAGTAGAGCGGCTTTTCGGCATTTTGTGCATTTTTCGGGGAAACATCTAGTGCATGATTATGTGTGGTGTCCTTGATTGGTTTAGATGGTAGACCGGACGAGGGTTATATGGATATATATGTTGACATTGGCATGGAGAGTGGAGTGGGACGGAATGTAAATCTATAATTCACTCCCATCCATTACCGATCTACCATTTCTACCACTCTACCACTCTACCGTTTCTACGACATCTTACCTGCCTTTACGATACATTATCATACATCCTATTCGATCCCTCCCTTGCCTTTTCATTTCGTGACCATTTCTCCTCTTACCCCCCCCCCACCCCAAATATTATACACTTGTCTCCCAACGCGACTTTTTTCTACGCAGACCGAGGATGCTATCCTGCGGCGAACCCTTGGAATACCAAGGTTGTTGTGTTGGGGTGGTTCACGAAGCGGATTCGGGAAAGATAGACTGATCCGTTGACAGGGCGTACAGACTCAAGTCGGGCGAGGGCGAGGGCGGGGAAAGGTAGAACTAGATAGATAGATACAGTAGTAGTATTCCATTGCACTAGTGCAGACTTGAGGACTATCTGTGAGCACTGAGACTCATGTACCTAGGTACCTTCCGCTCCGACTCCTTGCGCTATGCTCTATTCATAATATACTAATTTCTAGATAAAAAATCAGTGACTCTTGGCTCGCGTCAACGTTACAAAACACAAACCAGACTGCCATGAGATGAGCATAAGTAACTTGATGTTTCTACTCGACCATGACGCGGTCCAAAAACCTCCACTCACCCGGATCCCGGTCCTCGTCCTCGTCCTCGTCCGCTTCGTCCCTCCACGGCCTCTCCGCATGGACCTGCCTCGCAACCTCGTCGGTCAATCTCACCGTAGCGCGCAACGTCCCCCTCCCGGCGCCCAAATTGACAGACCCAAAGAAATGGCCCTTAGCCTGCGGCGCGCACCCGTCGGCAAGACAGCAGACAAACTCCAACAGGCCCGTTTCGAGATCTCCGATGATCGAGGACTCGGCCAGCAGCTCGCCGTAGATGCAGTTGATGGCGAAGTGCGTCAGGTCGCCGCCCGAGCAGGCCGACATGGATGACAGCACGCGCGGGGTGTGCTGTGCGTAGATGCGTTGGAAGAGACGCATGCCTCGTGCGGCTTTGGCGGAAGGGTCTGAGGCGGGAGAAGTAGTAGTGGTGGTGGTGGCGCGTAGAGAGGGGTCGGATTCAAGAATGGTGGAGAGGGTTGGGTGGGTGGTCTTGAGGGCTTGTTGGAGGGCGAGGAGGGCGTTGATTGCCTGTTGGTGTGGGAAGAGACATAAGTCAGTTACCCATTGTATGTACGCGTGCAAACTATGACATGCAAAGAGACTTACCCTTGGAAATCCCACCAGCGTACTGGCTTTCAAGCACGCCTCCCGAATGCGTCGGGCGATGGCGAGCAAATCACCCGTTTCTCTATCGTGTGCATCATATGCCTCCCGCTCCCTTCGGCTCAGATACGTCCATAGCTCCCCGATCAGCTTTTCCTTGTGGAAGGCCAACAGGAGCGCGGTCGTCAGAATGTACCACAGTGGTGAAGAGCTGGGGGTTTCTTCTGTTGTAGTCTCCGGTGCGAACAAGTCTTCCAGGATAGAGAAGTCCATTTTCCCTCGAGTGGCCGGTTTGGTCCTCACAGTGTCTGTCGACGGTGCTGAAGTGATGGAGACGGCGGTGGTCGTTGACGATGCTACGGAGCTCGGAGTGTGCGTGCCGTCACTGCTGGATGAACAGTCAATGCTCTCCTCGTCCTCTGATCTTGGCATGGAGGGGATGGATTGCATGTATGACTTTCTGGGAGGAGACGCGGATGATGCGCGGGCAAAGATGGTGAACCCTTTTGGTTGTGCCATGGTGAGGCTGTAAATACTTCTTATTCAAGTGACACACTAAATTGGGAGGAGTGGTGGGTGGTGAGGTCGGCTAGCGTGGGTCTTGCAATAGGAGCAATTGTGTATGAAGAGAAAGGAAAGAAACAAGAATATAAAATAAGTAAATAAATTATTCGGCACCTTTGATGCAACTGTAGTGTACTGTATCATTCGACGCTGTTTGTATACTGCTTGGAAAAGATACTGATTAGTACCGCGTGCTTACCAGGCTGAGCGGGGCGGAAATCAGGGGCCAGAGCCTCGGGGGAATGGCTGCGTATATAGGATGCAAGGCCAGTCAAGAGCAAGACGCGGCATGGGCCGGACATATAACAATGCAGGATTCGCCATCCGTCGCTCCTAGGGTTCGGGGCTGGAATTGTTGCCGTAATGCAAGGATGGGGGTGGGAAGAGCGACAGTCCGGAGGCAAAGGCTGATGTCGGGCAGGACTCGGGATACACTTTGCGCTCTTCCGCTGCACCGGATTGCACCGAGTAGATGGCGAGATGGATCCATGAGCCACGAATGGGAGATTCTCGCATCGGCATCCAGAAAAATCCCCGAAGCACCGGTGGTGAATTGTCTGGGCTCGGTGCTCATGTTCCCTCCAGCTCATCAACAGCTCGTTGCTGTCAGATAGTCCAAGCTTCCACATCATCGCCCTCATGAACAAAGGGCTCATCAATCTGCTTGATGCCCAAGTCCCCGCACAGAACGCATTGCTCAGCAACCAATCCGTCCAGCTCGGCAACTAGCTTCTGGCGCTGGACGCCCACACTCAACCCCTGGTTGACCTCCGTCTGAAGGTCCTTGATCCTCTTCCTCTTGCTGCTCCCCGAGCTCTCAAGCACGCGTTTGCCCAGGCAGTCGCTGTGGAAGGCGTGCTGACAGGGGAACACGAAAAACTGCCGGCTCAAGACCGGGAGCGTGCAGATCCAACACCGCTCCCCCGCCTCCACGATGGCATAGCGGTGGTCTAGTGCTGCAATCTCGGCTTTGATTTGCTCTGCCGTGTGTTGCGAGAGATCCATTTCCTGCTTGAGGCTGTCAATGTGCCGCGAATATTCCTCGAGTGCCTCGCATATTTCCTCTTTGAAATCGTCAATAACCACGAAATCAGGGAAAAACGGGATCAGATCTTCGATCTTGAGCAGCTCGCATCTCTTCAAGAAATTGATCGCTTCTTTGATGGTCGCAGCTTCCTTGATTTTCTTCTCGGCGATAAGCAGCCATAACCGCTTTCTCACTTTGTCGTTGCCCTCTAGTCGATCGGCGACAATTGCCGCCAGGTCAATATCATCGTGCTGCAGTGCAAGTTCCACCGCTTGCTGGTATTGTCCCATGGTACTGTAAATGTGCACGCATGACTGTACTCGGTTATGCTGAATACAAAGCCTCAATGCAAAGTCCGCGTCGTAGAATGGCGGAGAAGGCTGGCTTTCAAGGTATCCCAACAGCATAGTTTCTGATGGCGACGGATGTGCAGCCATGATCGAAATAAGCGCATTGTGAACAGAGGCAGGCACCTCGAAATTGTTTGTTACAACAAAGTTCAGGTACCGCACCGCCTGATTCTGGTTCAAGGGAACGTTGGCATTCTCATTGTAGCTGAGAAGGGCGGGTACAAGCTTTTGCGGGTCGAGATTGCTTCTTCGCATCAAAATCTCTACCAATCCAACCGCAACATGCGCCATGAGCACATTGCTGTACCGATAGAACGTCTCGGGATTGCTTTGTTTGTTGAGCACAGACAGCGCCTCATTCCATTTCTCTCTTTGTACCCAGTACGACAAAACGTAGTCGTAGTCGGTGATGGTGTTGGCGAAGAATAGGAGCTCCTCTTCTCTGTCGTGGCTCGAGATGATCTCATAGACTGTCTTTGCATCAAGATCCGACTTGTACTTGGCCACAAATTCTTGGAACTCGGTCCGTGCCTTTTCCAGATCTCGTTTTGCCCCTCCGGCGTCCGTGTGCTCCAGCAATTCCGCTTTTGTGGCGACCATATCGTCCAGCGAGTTCAACTTGGCCATGAAGATCTGCACGAGCCATGTTGCTATCATGACTCGCTGCATGATCGATGACTTCTTGTATGAGCCCAACTTGGCCAACAAATATCTCCTCAAGGCTTCTTCTTGCCCATTGTCAATTAAAGATAGGCACACTTCCTCGAATGCTTTGCTGCTCTTTCCCCATACGCTTGCCGCCTCCAAGAACTGCCCTTTGCTCGACAGATAGTCTCCGGAAGCAGTCGCAACAGAATCTTTCTGTGCCGCTCCTTTGGCATAGCGAAGAGCAGCGTCGTAATCTTGTTGTTTCAGCATGATCTTCCAGATATCCCGCTCCTCGTCGTTTGCCACCACCTCGAAGATTTCTTGGCTGGTAAAAAGCCAGTACGTGTTCTTCTTCTGGTCCGCCACCAAGCCAAGAGCAGACTGTCCAGGTTCCAGCACCGCCTGATCGTACACAACACTCCCATCAAGGCGATTGACGGCGACAATGCGACCTTCGGCGAGGGCCAAGACGTGCCATTGAGACAGAATCGCAGAGACAATGGGATCTTGTATCAACTTTCGTCCACCGCGAGCAGATATCGTTTCCGGAAACACGGATCGCGGGTGGAGTTTCGCCTCACCAAAAATCTTGGAGCCTAGACTGGAGGATGTGGGGGAGGTCAACAGCTTTCCTGTCAGGACACCCTGGGAATATAACCAGGCGAAACTGCGATACGAGTCCGGGCCAGCATCTTGGAACTCAGGCGACACCGAAAAACATGACGGCGCGGTTGCGGAGGCGCCTGTGGTGTCGTGAGTGATAGGGGCTTCCTTGGAGAAGAGATCGGCATAGATGGAAGCTGAGCCTTCTTTTCCTCGGCCGCCCGTCTTGCCTATCCAGTGACACAGTCTCGAATGTGATGCCACAATCACTCTCCGTATGTCTGCCTTGCCGTCGATTGTCTCCGCCCAGAGGCCCGTGACGGCGCCGTCCGGGATCTTCCAAACATGTGTGCAATATCGTTCTTCGCGGCGATAGAACTCGGACGCCGGCTCAATGTAGATCTCGTAGACATTCCCATCCGTCCCGCCCACCAAGATCTCCCGCGTAGAGGCCGTGGGTTGTGAAGGGTTCCAAGCAATCGACTCGATGGATATGCCTTTTAGCCGCGACAGTGCCTTGGGCTGCTTCGACTGGCTGTGCAGGTAGAAGTTCTCGCCAAGGGTGGTGGTGATGATCAGATGGGAGGCCGAAGGGTCGAGGAACATGCGGCGGATGAGCCCGACCTCGCTGGTCTTCTTGGGCAGGTCGACATCTAAAAGTGAACACAGTTACAGGATTAGTGACACGGGGCCTTGGTTTCGAGACACAAATATGGAGATTGGCAGCAACCCACCATCAATGTCCGAAGGGCTCTCGAGATCGATCCGCAAGATGCGCCCCGTGGCCAGCGCCAGGATCAGGACGTTGTTGGCGACCTGCCCGGCCACAAAGTCGGACGCGATGTTGAACTGCAACTGCACTCGCTCGACGTTGAAGATGGGCAGCGAAGTCTCGATACCACCACCGCCGCCTGAGCTCAAGCCCGGAGCCACATATCCGTCGTCTAGATCCAGCGCCATTCCGCGGCCGCGCGTTTTCGTATGGGCGTTTCGTCGTTCAATGCATTATTATGGTCTCCCTACCAGTGGTGATGGTGGTAGAGGTGGAGGTGGAGGTGGAGGTGGTAGTGCTGCTCGAGTTTGGCCAAGTCTGGTCTTTTGATTGCCTAGCGATGGGTTGTTGGGTTCGTCAGAAAGCTGGGGTTCTCTGGGTAAGAGTAGAGGTACCTTACAAGTAATGCAAATTGTCTCGTTCGAGTCCAGCATGCTGGGTGGCATGGGTGCCGCAGTCACACAGGCAAGGCTGCGTCATTGAGCTGCACGTGATTGCGAGGCTCGGATGTTGGAGTTCAGCCTTGCACGGCCTTGTCAAAGGCGGACCGCTGCAATGCACTGGGGCAAAATTACATAGGTGGTCTTCATGGTGTGCGATTTAGGGAATTTTTATCCCAGTAGAGAAAAGACAAGTCATTGAATGCATGAGTGAATTGTCTATATCTAATGCTGCGTCGTTATCAAGACAGGAGATCATGACGCCTCCAACACCATCGCTTGCTTAGCCGCTGAGATGAGAAGCAGAAAAACCGCCCAAAATTCAACCGCAACCTATTGTTACACACCAAATCACCTGAATTGACGATGAGAATTCCATTAGAGTGCTTTCGTGTCCCCATACCATCCTCATCATCATTGAAAAAGTCATAGAGGTTTCTCTCTTTATTTCGCAGCAAACCTCGATCTGGCTCTCAAATTTGCGCCAAACTTCCACAAGGTAAAGATGCCGATGATGCCGCCCACAGTCAGTCCCGCCAGCAAGCTGACACCGCTGCCGACGCCCAAGTTGTGGAACAAGGGACGAGAGAAGTGAATCGCACCCGCAGCGATCGACGACCGGGCAAAGTCGTTACCCGCGAAAAGCGACGCTGCGTATTGTGGGTACGTCAACGGGATGTAGATGAAGATACACTGGAAGAGGATGAAGATCCCAACAGTGAAGACGACGACACCCAGCGTCGGCACAATCCAGTGGATTTTGGGTGAGCTGTTACCAGTCCATGCAAACCAGAACAGCCCGATAGGCAGTAGCAGACTGGCGGGGAGGGCAGGAATGAGACGTCTCTCAGGTTCTCCAAGGCCTCTGGTTTTAACCTCCGGCTCGAACACAAAGTACAGGTACAAGACGTAGGTGACTATTGCGATGCTGACCCCGACAGAGATGGAGAGGAAAATCAGCCCGATTTGGCCTCCATTCATGCCATAGCCATGTGTCGCCTTGCCTGGGTTTCCGGTGCCGTAAACGAGAGGAAACACCTCAAAAAAGCTGTAAAAGATCGAATACATCAATGATATATAGAGACTGGTAAAGAGGACGGCAGGGTCGAGGATGTTGATCTGGGCCGGTCGCCAGAGGTTGCTCATCACAATTTCGTTGACGGTCAGATTCTCCTGGTCGATCTCAGACTGGGATTTGAGGTTGTTGTTGCCGGTCAGCTTGCGCAGCCGAGCGGCGCGGCGGAGCAGGATGTTGGAGGAAGAAGTCTCGGGCAGGAGAAAGAGGAGAGACACGTAGACGGGGCCGGCGAGCCAGAGGATCTCCCAGAGAGACCAATGCCAGTTGGTGGCGGGCACCGAGAAACCGGAGATGATCGGGCCCAGAGCGGGACCTGCTGTGGCAAACGCAGCCCACCCAGTGAGAAAGTAAGGCAGCTTCAGCAGCGAGAAGATATCTCCAATGGAAGCACCGCCAGTCGCCAGACAGGGGCTGCCGAAGAAGCCCTGCAGAAAACGCAGCACGACGAGAGCAGGGAAGCTGTCGACGAGGGCGGTGGGGATAGAAATGATCACAAAGATTCCCAAGGTGACCATGTACGGTGGATTGCGGCCAATGATGGGGATCTCGGAGAGAGGGCTGAATATCAGAGGGCCGATGCCGTATCCCAGGACGTACATGGACAGGCCGAGCGCAGCGACGTTCGGAGACACACCCATCTTTTCAACAATGAATGGCTCAGAGGGCGTGAATATGGCGGACCCCATGTAGACGGCAAGCGTGTACAGATAGATTTGCAGGACAACGATGGTCTTCTTACCCCGGGACCAGTTTTGCGGGTTCTCTGGGTCGTCGGTGGCGTACCAGTCGACCAAGATGGTGCCATCGGAGGTGACTTGGGGTGCGATGGGTCGACTCGCTTGAGTCTTCAGGGTCTCTTGTCGCGTGGCGTTGGAATAGGCTTGTTCGAGATCGGCGCGGGTGTTCACCTGGCTCAATTCGGGTCGAGTCATGATCTTGGACAGCGTCCGGTCTGAAAGAGCCAGCGACTCGCCATCTGCGGCAGTTCTGGCTGCGGCCAGGCTGTGGGAATCGGCATCGTCCGAGTCGTCGTCGGTCTTCTTCTCAACATCCTCCGGCACGGCGAGAGTTGGCTGCTGGGGTGGGTGTGCAGCACCAAGCTTGTGGGATTGGTAGGATTCCGGCAGCACGAAATCGGATCGCTCCTCTGGGTATTGCAAGTACTTGTTCCTTGTCACGAATCGGATCACCTGGCCCACAGGGGCATCGCGCAACAAGGCGGACATGGTGAGGCCTGCTTCAAGGGTATAGTGGGGTGAAACGCGGATTGAGGTGGCCAAAGAAGCAAGAGGGAGTGCGAGAAGAGGCTTTGAGTCGCGAGGGAAGGTTCGCTTTCCTTGTAGAAGACTGGAAGAGGCCGATGATGGACAAGACAAGGAGACATGATGGGGGTGGTATATTATACTCACCTGGTAGCTTCAGGTTGTTCCGCTCCAGTCTCGAGTCTCGAGTCTACCCTATCTCCATCCTAATGCGGCAAATACAGGCACGTAACAGTGCAGTGAATCCTCGTCGTCTCCCCAAGCCACACACGGACCTAAGATGGTCCGCCCGCCCGCCCAGATCCTGAATAATCAATGAGCTTAACGTGAAACGGGAACCGGGTATAAGCCAGAAGCAAGCTTCTCCCTGGGAGGAGCTAGTAAACGCCGTGTTGTCATTGCACGATACCCGCCGGGCAAGCAGAGAAGCGGGTACGCGAAGGAGAGGTGCAGAAAAAACGAGAAGATACGCGCGGGATTTTGGCGAGCAGCTGGATTGGAAATAATGATGGACGCGCAGCAGATTCGACCGAAGAATGGGGACGAATCGCCAGGTGGGTGGCAGTTGGCGGGCAAGGGAATAACGTAAAGGGCAGGGAGAGCAGGCGACTGGCTGACGGATTATTGCGTGCATTAACTTGGAAACAAAGTCACCGGAGATCGAACGGACGGCGGAGAGGAAACCAATACGAGGGAATCATGGAATAACGAAGAAAAAAGTGAAGAGCAAAAGGCCATGAAAGGCCGTGATGGGCACAGTGGGCAATGACGACAGCCAAGCCTCTTTGTCAGCAGCCACGCGCCCAACAACTTGAACCAAGACGCCATCTTTGTCATCCGAGTCAGCGGTGACTCTCCATCCTCGCGTGCCTCTCTTCTTACATGCAGCTCCATGTGTTCCACTACGAGGACTCGGAACCCATCCATTCCCCTCCAATAGCCCCAGCGTGACCTGCCAGTCCACACCTCAGAACCATTCTATCCGCCATGCGGGTGACTCATCTGCATTAGCCAAGACCACCAAGACTCCCTCCGTCTCTTACCGCGCACGAGTCCAACTACGGAGCATGCAAGAGGTCAGGTTCAAGAGTTGACATATGGATTCTGGTACACCGAATTCACCCGAGGGTTTCATTGAATGGCCGGCACTTGCACGTCCACAGAAAGCGACCAGATGTGGAAAGTCCAAGTTTTCTCGATCCAGATCTCGTATGTTTGCCCATGAATGGGCAGATGAACAGACACACGGAGAATACCCGATGCCCAATGTCCAATACTCAACAACAGCAGCCCGATCTGCCGACACGACTCCCCCGACTCATATTTTTAACCAATGTTGGTGCGTTTCAATAATCATGAATAACCTTCGGCCCACCCCCTTTGTTGAACCTAGTAATCACAGAAAAGCACCTTGACACCTTGCCCCTCCTCCTTCCCCAAAGATACAAACAGGTGGTGACTCCTTTGCCTCCAAATATCCTCCACACAACCCTGCGCTTGGCTCTAACGTTGAACCCCATCCTGGCCATGACCCTGGGCTTGCGCCTGCGCCTTGAGATTTTCCTTGGCCAGCGTCTTTGCGAACAACGTCTGCGGCTTTGCGTTCCTGTCACTCGTGATGGACTGTTAGCTGGTGCTCGACAATGTTCGCTCCGATAAGATCAAGCTATACAGGGAGCTCCTGTGTAAGGGGGGAAAAGAGGTAACAAAAACGCACATAAACCGCCGTCCCTTGATCTCACTCAGCTTCTTGGTCGTGGGACTCCGAATCGCATCCGACGGCGAGATATATGTCTGGCTGCCCGTATTTTGGGTCTGAGTCTGCATTTTGAACATGGGCACATCCGCCACGGCGAGCTTGCCCGGCGGGGACGCTGACTTTGGCTTGGTGGGCGATGTCGGGTTGGGCGACCTCTCGGCGAGAGGGCCGGCTGCTGCTTTGGTGGGAGACATTGAGAATGATTTTTTGTTTGCTGGTGGTGCCGGGCGCACGACACGGGTTTGGAGGTCGAATGAACCGAAAGGAGAGAGAGGGATGGATTCAGCTGGTGTGCAGCCGTGGCAGTATATATTTCGACGAGACTTTCTCGTGGTATGCAGCTCGTGTGCTTCTCGTATTCAGACAGCGAGTCGATCAAGTCAGCAATTATGCATCCACCGACGCATCGGCTGTCCAGAATCCTGCAAGAAAATAAGGCATGCAACAAACATGAGAAGAATACCTAGGTACGAGGTAAAGAATTCGGGTGGTTGCGGGCTTCTGTTTCCCATGACGTCAACCCAGCTTGTTCGGATGGTTGGCAGGGCAACAAACACCCACAGCATTCGAGTTTTCTTTTCTCTTCAGACTCGGACTGTCTACCTACGAAGTACCTACTGTGTACACAAAAGTCCCCCCCTTTCTACGGTATTGTGGTGCCAGCTGTTAGTTAGGACCAATTCATTACACAATTATTATGACTCTTTTTATCGCCAGGCTTAGTATACTTTTCGTATATACAATGCATGAAAGTACCGGTATGCTTTATTGCTGAAAGCCAGATCCATCCCACATGCAGTTGAACTGGCTGGTTAGACGCAAAAACACCACAACCCCAGCAAACACCAACGGGGCTATGGAGATAAGATCTCGTCCCAATAACATCCCTCTTATGCGACCTAGAGACCGTTCCCCTTTTCCCCCCAAAATCCCCATACCCCTTTTTGATGCATTTATACGGGACAGAATGTATCGCGGATTTTCCCTGTAAACCTCTTCCTTCCTTCACCGGGATGCTATGTCTCGCAAAAATACAGTCTGGCTGTTGTCGTTCTTTGAAGCTGGATACGATGGCAGCTGGATCTATCCCTGTAAAATATCCATGGCTTTCTGCGCTGCAAGTCGGTGAATAGGCTCGCGTAGATTTCTCCAAGAGATCATATTCTCGAAGCCCCGGCAATGTCGTTGTTGATAGGATCAGCATCGTCGGCCTCACATTCTCTTTTTCCCATACTTAGTTGGGCAAAATTGGTGGCAACAAGGTCCTCTAATCCTCAACGGCAGACTCGGTCTCATCGGCCTCGTCTTTCTGGTACATGAAGAACTGCACAAAGATGGCCATGTCCAACAACAGCGTGCCCAAGCTGCCGGCGATCCAGCTCGCGTTCACGGCAATGTATCTCAGGTAGATCGACCTCGCTTCGCCCGGCCGGCAATGGCCAGGTTGCTGGCAGACGGGCGAGTAGGCAAAGATGGACATGTCGTAGGTCAAATTGCCGATGCACGCGAAGAGGAAAAACAGCAGCGACACCCCCTCGGTGGATTTCCGCTTGTAGTTGAGCAGGAGCTGCGGCACGCGGGAGCCCAGGTAGAGCACGGCGCAGAGGTACCCGAAGATCTGGCCCAGCACGTCAAATTCCAGGGGCGGCGGGGGTTCGTCAACAATCGGTTGCTTGGGGGGCTGCTGGTGGTGGTGGTGGTGGCGCTGCTGCTGCTGCTTCTGCGCGCCGATCCACCAGCCAAACACGCCGGCGGCGCAGACGAGGAGGATGGCAAAGGTGTTGAGCAGCGCCGCCTGCCACGCGGTGGTCGGTCGCAGGTTGCGCACGGCGGGCGGGTCGGTGGGTTTGGGGGGGTCGATCAGCGGCGTGACGGGGGACAGGTGGGCGCCGTCCTGCGACAGATGGCGGCGGAGATGATGCGAGATGGACGACGAGCGCTCATGTGGCTCGTCGCGTGACGGCGGCTGGGTGACGGAACCGCTGTGCAGCAGGGGCCGCGTCTCGGCATCGCCGTTCTGCGCGTGCTGGGGCTCCTTCACGTAGTCGGTCAGGGTGAAGCCGCGGTAGTAGAAGCACTGGCCCAGCAGCACGATGTCGGCCAGGGTGTAGTAGACGGCCAGGATGATCATGGTCGGCAAAACGCCCTGCAGGACCGCTCCCAGGATGTTGAAGACGTCGCCGGCCAGCCACACGACTATAAACACAATCGACAGGCCCTCGGCCGACCCGCGCCGGAAGTTCTCGATGATCTGCGGCGAAAAGACAACCACCCAGCAGGCGATGGAGATGGAGCCACAGATGCCGGACAGCGCTTCGATGTCGAGCGTGACACCCTGTTGAGGCGGGAACATGATTGGAACGAAAATATATGATGAACCGCCCGGTGATGGTTATAGGTTTATTGCTCCCTCGATACTATCCCTTGGTGCGAAGAAGCCACGATGGAAAAGCAGGCTCGGACAGAGACAGACAAACAGGCGGCGACGAAATGGCGAGACGGTGAGAGAAGGGCGCCAAAATGGGGGGGAATGTAAAAGTGTGACTATGACGAGGGTGGGAGAGGGTTTGCGGAGGGAAGAGGAGGTGTTGGTGGCGGTGGAGGAGGAGAATAAAATCTCTGCTGCGTTGCCGAAACGTTAAGTGACTTTTGCCCTCGTAATGAATATGCAACAATCTGGGGTAAAAGAGGAGATGCCCACAGCCGTGCTAATTACAAGATCCGCATCTAGACTGGACTGGGTAAGCATTCGCGTGTGCGGCCCTTATGCAGGTACGAGGCACACATCAGGATATGATACTAGGTAATATCTCTGTGCCGAGTCTCTTATCTATGGACAAGGTATACTCCCGAGGTCGGTATACTCGGTATATATAAGCCGCATACTACCTAAGACAACATCCTGTCCCAATGTGGGAGAAAAAGAATAAATAGATCAGTACCACTACCGCCTCCTCTCTCCCTCCATAATCCTCTTCCTCTCCTTCCCCCAGAGGCCATTAATTTGCCTGCTACATTCATTCTAAGCGGCCGTAGACATACACATTAAATTTGTGCACAGTCAATCATCGTCAAACACCCAAATACTTTTGCCGCCCGAAGACCTTTCCTTACCTTGTCCCAAATGCATAGAGCATCAATGCGCCTGCAAAAGCCGCCGTCCTGCCGCCCAGAATGGTCATAACAATACTATGGCTCGCTCGGTCATTACTTCCTTTTGCCTCCACATCCAAACAATGCCATGAATCCGCCTCCTCCACCACTACTACCGCCGCCGCCACCACCACCTCCTCCTCCTCCTTCTTCGGCCCCTTGGCTGCCCTTTTCCTTGTCTACAGCAGGCTCTGCCTCATTGTCGCCAAGCTGAATACTGCTGAGGTCCTTCGTGTTCTCAAGCCACTGCAGGTCCTGTTGCGTGTTGATGCCCAGACCGGCCTCGATACTCGTACCCGGCTTTGCGAGCCATTCCTTCAGCTCCTTGGTCGTCGAGTCGCTGACTTTGCTGGCTTGCATCTTGCTCCACGTGGTGAACAGGTGATCTGCAGCAGAATTAGCCCCTAAGCCCCCTCGACAAGCTGAGCCGTCATAGTTTTCGTCTTACCATATTCTGCAACCACTTTCCGCAGCTCTCGCAGAATCCGGGTCTTTTGCATCATCTTCTCTGACGCAGTGCCCGGCGAGTTGGAGCTTTCCAGCTTCAGAAGCTCCTTCTCTAACTGCGAGATCTCGTCTTGCAGGCACAGCAGTAATCTTACGTGCACGGCATCAAACCGTCGGCATATAATCGTATTCTTCTCGGTCATAAACGAAGCCATCTCGGCGTGTTCGAATGGTCGAAAAGGAGAAGCCGCCGAAGGCACTGGTTCTTCAATCGGCGCCTGCAGCGTCTTCTGCGAATTTCCTTCGCGTGTAGACGGCCGTCGAATCTGTGCTCCAGGAGGTAATTGGGGCAGTGGCGTTGTCGGTGCCGGTGTCGGAACCTGTGAATCGTAGATGGTGGATCTAGGGGTCGTTGCGCGCGAGTCGGTCGATTTTCTGGATTTATTGCGTACAGATGGAGGTCGTGGGATGATCTCGGCGTCATCCGAGCTCGAGTTCCTCTGTGACCGTAACGAGACGTTGGACGGGTGTGAATGGAGGGCCCGTTGTCGCCGCTCGGAAGCTGTAGACTTGGTAGGTTGGAGCTTCTGCGAAGGCTCTGTTTGTCGGGGCCCTTCGGAGGCCGGCAGCTTCGGTGATGGCAAAGGTTGAGCCACAGGCGTTGTTGTAGGTACCGTTGGTGCTAGCCGGGGCGATTCCCGGGGTGTTTGAGGCAGGCTGGGAACTAACGGCAGGCCAGCAGTAGTAGCGACGGAAGCCACATGCTTGCGGTTGTACTTGGATGTCGGCGGGAGGACTGAAGTCTTCTTTGTCATTGCGGAAATCATCGACGACCGGGTGGACGGGTTCACGAGGGGCTCTCCCATCGGTTCCGGGGGTCGTCCTGGCTGACTCAATTCCCGCTCCTCCATCACACTTGCAGTCTCGTGCTCTTCGCTGTTGGGTGAGCTGCCTACCCCATCTCCCGGACTCTCAGTATTCACTGATATCTTCTCTTCGCTTGACGCTGCCGTGGTGGACGTGGTCTGCCGGTTATGTCCCCTCGTGCCATCCTGAGAAGCTTGTACGGGGCCTCCAATGCTGGGCAATGGCTCGATGCTGTCCTGCGGGCTCTGCGACCTCGAGTCTGAATCCGATGCAAGGCTCTCAGGAGCTAGAGAGCTCTTGGAGTAGCTGTGAGAGATGGCCGGGCGCGGCTTTGGAGAGCTGGCTTGGGAGGGGAAGAGGGAGAAGGAGGCGGGCGGCTGAGAGTAGGTTGATACCTCTTTCTCTGTCGGGGACAAGGGCGGTTTGTAGGCTGCGCTGTCCAGCACGGGGATCCAATTCGGGTCGTGAATGTCAACCGGTGTCGAAGTGTTGTAATAGGAGCGTCGTCCCGTGGGGAGCTCGACCGGAGCGACCGCAGCCGCCATGGTGTGTGAAGATGCCTATATCTGGTCCTTCTTCGGTGCGGATTGACAGTTGGACAATATACCCAGGAGCAGAGAATGCCCACAATCCTGAAGCAGAGAACGGCGTCGACTACGCATCTGACACTTTTTGACAAGTACTGACGCGAAAGGAAGAGTGAGCTGCACGTCGAACCGGTACCGGTAGGTTGTAGGTTCGCGGTTTAGCGAGCGAGGAAGGAGGATTTCCTGCCGGAAACGATTATTCCCAATGACGGGGATCTGGGGGCTCGCTGGCTTGAAGATTGAACGCCGTGTTGAGCATGTACCAAGTAGTGGTAAACAGGACCATGCCACATTGGATCCAGGGCTAGCAGCCAGGAGTGTCCACTATGCGTCGCACCCATGACGCCGGGCTGAAGCCACAGGGGCGGTAAACCAAGGCTAGTCAACGGGCGATCACAGAGAAGCCAGACTGGAAGAATGGCCCAGTGGGTGCCAGGTCGAGGCAAGGCAAGACGGTGCGAGATGAGCGTTGACGGTTGGGGGAGTCAGGGAGGGTGTCTACTCCGTAAGCTACCGAAATGGGATGGTGTAGCCTCATGCAGCCTGGTGAGGCACTCGGGTGGCTGTTACTCGTAGCTAGCCACCTAGACGAAGCACGAGCAGAGATGGCTCCCCTGTTTGTTCTCCACCAGGCTGAAATCCATCCAGTGCCCATTGCAATTATCCATCTGAACCCTTGTGCCGGGCATCCGTTGGGGCCGTTGGGTGTTTACGAGAAGCTAGACCATACCTAGGTACTCAACCCACACGGCAAGGGAGGGGCCTGAAAAAAATAAAATAAATAAAAAGAATTGCAGCTCGGGACCATGTCGCAGATCCCCGACCAGGGAACAAGCGATATTATTGTGCTGACAAGGCGTGGTTTGTGCGCGTAGACAAAGAGATTACTCGGGCTTAGGTGCAGACTAGGAGAACATATCCAGCAGGACAAACTGCGCATGTCAGTGCTATACCGCCAACAAAATGAGAAAGACCACAGCAGAAACAGACGACTTGTCCCAGGTACCAGGATGAAGCACGGAACACTGGGCACCGGGCTACGGTGACAGTTATGGCCGTTGCAGATCTGGGACACTCATCACACTCGTACAGTACCTAGTGGTAGACTGGTAGTAGAGCCTCTGGTTCCCGCGTCCCATAACATTGGCGCGTCTCCTTCCAATTCCCCTGGTCCCGCTTCTAGCAAAACGGCGTTGGGGGCGACGGGGTGAGAAGGGCCGCGTTCTGAAGATCAGCCTCACTAGCTAGGAATAGCTAGGAATAGCTAGGAGCAGTGAAGCCTAGGAGAAGAGCCCAGGAGAGGACTAATAACAACAAGAAGAACAACAATGACTAAGATGATGTTATCGAAAAAGCAAGGACTCCATATTCACAGCTACTTGTACGAGGAGGGACATACATAGCAGGCGAAGTGCAATCTTGTGTGGGTTGTCGAAGGATTCGCTCGCCAAAAAAGCCTAAGCCTGAGGATACTAATAATTCGGGCACCTGGGAATCAATTCATGTTGTACGAGGTCCTCGGTACCTGGTAGTTGGGCTCTATTAATAGCAAATACAAGTAGCGAGTACAAACAGCCATCTTGGAACGTGCCTTCTCTACAAACTCGCACAGTGTCGAGGAAGCCATGAAACAAACCAAGAACTGAGGAAAGGGCGGCCGGTCTGCTGATTATATAGCACTCAGTAGTAAGTACCGAGTACTCGTAGTTTGGTGAATAGGCCACGAGCCCCCTTTCTCTTCCTCAACTTGTCTCTCCGATCCCTTTTCGTCCGCCGAAATGACCTCCTCCCCGCAAGGGTCCATCCCGCTGCTTGCCCAATGAACTCGCTAAGAAGCCGAACCGACTAATCGGAAACACCAAGGGCCTGTGGGTGCCCGTCAGTAAAGTGGGTGTGTGGCCTGGTGCAGCTCAAGAATGGCCCGCCTAACGACCACACCTCGAGCGAATATCCAAATTCTTGCAGCGGGCACGACTACGAACAGGAGGGGGGAAAAGACTCAGTCGAGTGAACTTGATGGGTTCTTTCTGCCTGTCACACATTGTTCACTGTGGCCGGCCCGTTGGAATGAGCAAATTCACACGGGTGAGATGAAGACCATGTCCTTCAGGCATGCAGCACCAGCACCACTATCATCCTCATACGCCCAAACAACCCCATGCCTGTCATGTCTCCATCGTGCCGAACAAAGTCCAAGACTGGCTGCCGGACCTGCAAGATCCGGAAGATCAAATGCGATGAGCTGATGCCCGAGTGCAGACGCTGTACTTCGACTGGACGGAAATGCGACGGCTACGGGATCTGGGGAGGTGGTGGTGAGAATGGAAACAAAGACCAATACCAACAACGCCATCATGATCGTCCCCGACCCTCGAGCGCCGCTACCGCTCTGGCTCTCGCAGAATCCTACTACTGCTCGTACGAGTACCGTGCTAACCCCCCCACCACCTTGAGCTCCTCGCCTAGGACCTTCTGTGTCTATCCCGCTAACGCGCTGGACGCCGATGAAAAGTCCCATCTCGAGTGGTTCTGGTGTCGCACGGCCAGGAAGGTCCAGGGTGCATTTTTCTCAGACGCTGCGAACGCCGTCTTGTTCCAAGCCAGCGCATCCGAGTTGGCCGTGACCCATGCAGTCCTGGCGCTCTGTTCGGTCCATAAACGTGCCGACATGTCTGTCCTCGTGCGGCAGCGGCACGACGACGACGAGAGGTTCGCCTTGGTCCAGTACAACAAGGCCATCAAGTACCTGCAGCCCAGGCTCATGGCCACCAACGACCGCACGTCGCTGCGCCTGTGTCTCCTCTCGTGCATCGCCTTTGTTCATCTCGAGTTCTTCCGCTGCCACTACCAGATGGCCCGGAGGCATCTTGAGCACGGCCTGAGAATGTTGGACTGCCTACAGGCTCTCTCAACTGTGAGCAGTGGCAGTGGCAGCCCCTTCGTCGATGACTGCATCGTACGAAATCTCCGAGGTCTGTACCTTCAGTCGACGTTGTTTGGTCAACAACCTGACCGTCCGTGGGCCGTCGTCGATAGCTTGAAGCACATTAGGGACATAGCAACCTTCTCCTCAGTGCACCAGGCAAGGGAATACCTGGAAATTCTGCTGCTCAGGATCTGTCGCATGACCGAGACTCACTCGAAGAAGGTATCCTCCTCATCAACTCCGTCGTCCTTCGACGGAGCATGTTCCTCAGCCCAGTGTCCGTCCCAAGACTTGTCTTACGATCTACAGGCGTGGAAGGCTGTTTACGACACGACATGGACCAGATTCAAGCGCAGCATGAACGGGCTCGAGGTATTCGCGTACCGGCTGCTGGGGGTCTACCACAACATGGCCCTGATCATGGTCGACACGGCGTGCGAGGCCGACGAAGCCAAGTTCGACCGGCACACGGCGCGCTTCGCGTCCATCATCGCTCAAGTGATGGCGCTCCGCGACATGGCGTCGTCGAGCAAAGTGCGCGAAAAGTTTTTTGGCACATCCGAAGAGGGACTGTCGCACTCGATCGCCGACATCGGCCTGATGGCACCGCTTTTCTACCTCGCCGTCAAGTGCCGCGTACACGCGCTCCGGTGCCAGGCCATCGGGATGATCGCCGAGCTCCCGCGCAAGGAGGGCATCTGGGACGCCATCCTCGTCGCCCAGATTGCAGCCAAAGTAGTGGCCATCGAGGAAGCAGAATCCAGCATTTGCAGCGCAGACGCGTCGTCCGACCATGATGGCCTCCGCTCCCCAGAAGATGGCCCCTATGAGCAACTATTCTTGACCCTCCCGACCGGCCTCGACCAAGTCCCAGTCCCCTCAGCGTCGCGGCGCGTGGAAGCAATTGAGGTCCTGCTTCCCGATGGTCCTTGGGACCCTGTCATACTGAAATGCATTTATCAAGACAAGACCCAATGGGACACCTACCTCATTGATCGGCGTGGAATTGGTACCTGAGTATTTGGCATGAGGGTTTTTGGCAGCTTCGGGCGCACACTACGTCTCCGGACCGAGTTTGGGTATCTGGCACAAAGCACGCAATCCGAAACTTCTAAACAACAAGTATGGCAGTGGAATACATGCATTGGCCACGTCCTCATGATATTCAAGTTCTGTTCGCGCTCATACTTTGATACTTTGCTACATGAGCCCGTTCATGACCCCGGATCAGGGTCCCAACATTCCACCCGCGCTTCCCTTTGATGATGCTTCATGGCGAAACAAAAACAGACTCCATCATCGTTTCCCTGCTAAAGCAAAAACACTATATACCCATTGCCGCCTCCACCCCTCTTTGCATTGTGCTTATCCTAGAAATCTGAGAGGGTATCCAACAGTAACAGTCATTGTCGTCAAATGTCATTTCATAAAAAGCTGTTCCAAATGTTGTGCCAGGTATATATGTCACCTGGACTGGAAAATATGTTCGCCGTCCATCATACTGATCCCATTCCCCCAAACTCCCTATTGTAATAAAAACCCGTACAGACCCACGGTAAACGTGTCTGGGTATCGTGACAACTCTATATCGAACGCGCCACAACGCGCCACACTCGGGTGTCTCCTGCAAAGGTTGGACGCCCTCTCCAAAACCCCTCAGGCGGGCGCGAGGGAAAGTGAAGGGCAAAGATGAAATGAAGAATTCCAAAGGATGCGTACGCGGCGTATCTAACAACGAGCCCCATGTTGAAAGCTCGGAGGGCCGCGGGAGGTCGGGTCAACCAGCCACCGCTATTTGATGTCCGATGGATGTGCAGGGGGTGTCTCGCCATCAACGGTGCTGCTTGCATTCGTGCTAGGTAGTGTCGAGCTGCGACTACTGGCTGTCGAAGTAGTGGACGGTCCGTTGCCTCCAAAGAGAAGCTTCTCAATGGCCGTAACCTGTTTGCCATAACTAGTGCGTCGAAGAACAGGATAGTTCTGTTCCATGTCCGCCCTCAGTGCCAGAAGATCGGACCCTTGGAGCTGGCCAAACACCTTTTCTACAGACAGATCAGTTCACGTCCACGATGGGAACTGGGAAACCCCAAACTTACGCAAGACATAATTGCCATACTGATCCCTCATCAATCCAAGAACTGGAGTGACACCTTGTTCATTTGGTGCCGTCAAGCCGCGAAGAATCTGTGCACGCTGATCCTCGTCTGCACAGTCAATGCTCTTCTCCACAATGTTGCTGGCAAATTTGTGCTTGGAAAATGCCAGGAGCTGTTGAAGGACGATATTGACAACTTGGCGCCGATCCTGAGGCTCACCGTTCTGAATAATATGCTGCACAACATAGTTCCCATATGAGTCGCTGATAAGGGGCAGAATGTGTTCGAGGAGCTCATCCAGAATGACGCGCTTCGCCTGTGGTTGACAATGTTCCAGCATTCGTTGAACCACTCGACACCCGTACTGGTGTGTTGACATTTTTGCCATTTGGCCTCTGTGCGCGTCGACAATAAACTGAATATGTTCACCTGGTATACGCTCGATGGCTTTCTGCACAACATGGTTGCCGTTCTGATCTTTTACAACCTTCAGTATTTGCAAATTAGGCCCATCCAATTCTTTCACCAGACTGGCTTGCTGGTCGGTCAAGACGTGTTCAAAAGCCTTCTGGACCACACGACATCCATACATCTGCATGGACAAGTGCAGGACGTGACCCTTCATTTGATGGGCAAGGATCTTCTTCTGTGTCTGGTTGCCATGTTCGAACATTTTTTGAATGACATAATTTCCAAATACGTCCGTCATGAGTTGCAACAAGTTTGGCTGGATCTCCTTGAAAATTTGCTCTTTCTCGTCACTGTTGGCCGTCTCCAGTTTCTGTTGAATGAAGCGCGAGCCATGCTGATCACCACTGAATTCGACCACGTAGTTGTAGATGTCTTTGAGCTCAAATCGTCGATTGGTCTTGCTGTTCATGCGAAACTCTTCGAGCAAAGGGCTTCTGACAATATGACTTTGGTCGGGCTCGCGAATTGGCATTCGAGGGCCCGAGGGGAAGTTGGTGATCCCGGAATGTCCATGCCCGACGTAGGGATGTGCCAGTGGATTCATTCGCATTGGTTGTACTGGCATTTGGGCATCATACTGAAATGCATTGCCCACTGCTGGCTGGAGGGATGCGGGTGCATACATGGCATGATCATAACCATAGATCTCAACATTTGTGAACTTGCGGTCGAACAAGAAAGGATCATGGTGCGAGGTACGGCTAGAGGCACCACTTCCCGGAGTGCTGCGGATGGATTGAGGTCCTGTTGGCGGTGTGCCAGTGGTTGAGTAGTATGGGCTGGTCAGAGCGCTCCGGTAGTCATTTTGAAGTGTGGGGAGGTTGCCACGGCCGCCATACTGAAAGCCGGCATAGTGTGGAGCCACTTGGGGCTCCAACCTTGAACCAATGTCTGCGACATGTGCGATTTGCGGTTGAAAGTTGCTCTCCATCGGACTCAAGTGGGCGCTTGATTGTGAAGAAGCTTGTGTTGGTAGGGGACGGATATCACGCTGGTATTGTGACGGGGCTTTCCGGGGGGCTGCGGCCTGAGCAGTGCCCTGATCGAAATTTAACAATTCCAAAGCTCTCAGGGTATCGTCGTACTTCTGTTTGGAGGATGGATGATATTGTTCGACATGATCCGCATTCAACAGTCGGCCATTCGCTGTCCCATACGCTGGTGAAACGGGATTGTAGCGTGAGAGGTTCCCAATTGACATTCCGTTCATTTCTCTGGTCACCTCATAACTGTTCTGCAGCGGCAAGAGTTCAGTGGTCCCATTCACAGCCGGATGATTGTGCAGAGATTGGCCCTGTTCTTCTTGGAACTCCTGGAGCGAAGCAAAGATGCCATTCGAGTTGACGGCGCTTGAGTTGTAGACCTGGGATTGAGAATCAATCTGGCTGCGTCCGAAAGTGGAGGCTCGCGTGGGAGAAGGATGGGCGCGAGGGCCGGCTGTGATGGCTCGCCGGAGATGTGGCCCATCGAATGAAGTTCCTTCAACATCAGGAGCACTCCCCGCGAACAAGCTTGATTCTTGCGGACCACTGTTGTTGATGCTGGCAGCGAAATCCAACATCTGGTTCTGTCTCTGCTTGGTTGGCGACAGAGGTTGGCCTCTTTGTCGCGACGGAAAGCCGATGGTGGACGAGGCCGGGGCCCAGGACATCTTCGACTGGGAGGCATTCTCATCGTTGAGATCGATCGACGTCACCAACGAAGATGAGGCGGTCTTAGATTGACCATAACTTGAGACAGAACCTTGACGGACAGGGGATGCTAGTGAACAGTCAGTAGACATGTCAGCCTCGCCTGGGGTCAACATGCGTCTTATCGGCTCACTGTCAACGCGGCCATCCAGGAAGGATTTGCTGGTGCCCCATATCCGACTTGAAGCATCCCAAGCACTCTTTCCCAACTCGTACTCGGTACCCTGCCCAAGATGTTGCTTGGAGGACGACATCCGTTCGAATGCTGCGACTCGGCCGTTTCTCGCCTGATATGCACCGATCAGCCCCCACTTCCGTTGTATGCCCAAGAAACACACTCACCGTGTCTAACGTGGCTCCGGCCTCCATCATGGTCATTTTGCAGTCCAAAGTGTGAAAGAAACAGACAACTGGTCGATGGACAGAGTATGCGTAGCGGGGTGAAATGTGCAGAAGCCTTGTCTGTTCGGGGAGGGGTTCCTTGAGAATATGAACTGGACGTCCTGGACCGGTAAGGAAAAGGGAAAAAGGACGTAGTTTATCGACTATGGACAACAGCAGAGTCAGTTGGGGCGTGTGCGTGCCGATAATATGACCTCGCGGGACAAGAGGGCGGGTGAGATGTGTACCAAATTTTGTGAATATGCAGGGCGAGGATGTACACCAACCCGCGGAAATTATAATATACCCCGTTGTAGATACAAGGAGGAGAAGGGAAGGAGGCCGAGAAATTAAAGAGGGAGGAGATGTGATCGGTAGGAAGCAAGGTTCGGCAGAGTCATGTACCCCTTCGTTGGCCAGCAAAGCAATGGTACAATTCTCCCAGCAGGCAGCCGCAGGGCAAATGAGAAATCAAGGCCTGAGCCTGATGGCGCCGTAGACGGGTAGCCGCAGGAGACGGGCGAGGGAATATCTGCCAGCAGACATGCGCCTCGACCACGGCTTGCGCGCATGGAGCAAGGGATGGGAAAATATGATGGGACGAGGGGTGGAAGTTGTGGAATGCTGCGTCGCCGGGTTTGTGCAAGGCGAGTCGCAAATTCGGGTGGGGTGGCGGGCGCAGGTGAGGGAGGAGGAGGAATGGGCTGAGATATTCGGATGCGGGTTGGATGGTGGAGCAAGGGCAAACAGAATCCAAGGAGAAAAAGAGGGCCTGCTAACAAGGAGGGGAGATGTCAAGAAGAAGAAAAAGATCAAGGTGCAGCACAACGGGTTACACAAAAAGAACTGGCAAACAGGTACCGGTGAAGGGCAAGAAGATGATGTATCAGAAAAGTTGAGCGGATGATGGAACAAACAGTTCCCACACCTTTTCCAGCGGGTGACGGTCGCGAGAGTTAGGCCTAGCCCACCAGCCGTTTGCATGATGCGCAGGGCAAGGCAGGGCCGCAGGGGAGATAGGCGGTACCACCCCCAGATCGACAGAAGGGCTAGGCACCCACTACCTGAGGTAGGCTAGGGCCCGTTCAGAATCGGGGCATCCCTAAGCCCAACAGAGCGTATTCTCCAAGTTCCAAGTGCCACTGGAGTGGGCCTCTGCCGTTTGGCGTCTTCGGGTGGCTTGCCTCGCTGATGGCCCATGGGTTCTTTGTCTGGGCCTCTTGGGTGCCAAATGCGCCTAAATGGCTACTGCCAGAACTGCCAACAAATCGGGGGCCACCACCCAGAAACGCCTCTAACCTTGAGCGCTGCTACTTCCAGTACTCTTCGGAAAGACCCAAAGAGTTTAGACTGGCAGTATTAAGAAACCCAAGGGCCAGGAAATGCAAGGGGGCGCAAGGGAATCACCAGCCCAAAAAGAGTTTGCTGGAAATGTCTCGCGCCCTTTTTGGGTTTTCTGGTGGTTTCACTGCACAACCTTGTGCGTGAGTCTCACTGCGTTGGGTGGTTCCACATGATTCTTCTCTCAACAACTCCCATTTCATGTGGGAAGTATCAACCGGAGTATGTAAGGTCCTGATGTAGCTAAGCAGCACCCAGCAGCATCAGTCACCGAGTCACCCACGAGTTGTAGCCTGATGAGCTGACTCAGAGATGACGCGGGGACAACCAAACGAGCCCGCAACCATCTTTTCTCTCCGTTGTTCGATTTCTTTTGGTTGGCTCCCTTTCAGGCTGATGACTGAGTGGTCGTGTGCGGGGATTTCTGCCTTGCTCTGCAACAAAGGACACAAAACGGCGCAAGATGGTGACGTGGCAAGAGAGTGACAGTCCCTGCTTGAACAGTCGAATGGCACTCTGGCAGCTTACAGTACAAGGAGCTGTTGGTACGCGCAGTAGGTCAGGCTATCCAGGGTGTTTGTTTCAGGCATATCAAGAAGAATGAGCCGCCGAGAAACATGATTGCCAGGATATGTGTACAATATGGAGGACATATAAACCGGGACAAGTCGGCATGGTGCAACCTCGCTCAATATCCTACAGTGAATCCTGACGTTCCGGCTTCTCATCCTGCGTTTGCTTTGTAAGACATGAAGATTGTCCATGAGGCACGCAAGGGATGCTGTCTTAACGAGCCCAGTGGGAGAATTGCCGAGCGTGAATAACTCGCCCTCAAGAGTTGCCAATTCTCCCTGAAAATGGTGGCAAGGAAGAAGACTTATATACTCTTGTTTTCATACTCTTAGCTTCCCAAGTTCAAGGTGTGTTGTTGAGAGAGATGGAGAAAAGGATCGATAATTTCACAGTTGGAAATGAGAATGTGGCAACAGAGTGTGATTTGTTTGTTGATGGATTGCCATTTCCAAGCCTACAACGTCTAGCCACTCAAGCCACTGAGTTGGGGGCGTTTCTCTAAGCTCCGTGCGCCGACTTTGGCGGTCCCTTACGTGGCTCCCTGGGCCCTCGTCCCCGGCCCTATTGGCCCAGTCAAGGCGCCCAGCGAGATTGGGGCTGATGATTGGCAGCGTCAATCCACCACAAGGTCAGCAGCGATCATCGGCGCTCCGACCCCCGGCCAGGCTGTGGAGGCCGGCGGCCGTTTGGGCGGCTTGGTGGCTGGCAAAATGGCTTGGGCGGCTGTGGGCGGATCTCCAAGACTCTCTTCGACTCGCTGTCACAGGCCAGACCCCGGCAAATTGAGTCTCAGGCTTGATCTTGCGTTGTGGAACTCGCTGCTCCATCGACGTCTGCCTCAATATTACCGTCTGCTTGTCCTCTGCCCTCTCTATCGTCAACAACTCTTCTCGAATTTTGCTACACTGCAAATTCCTCTTCCTCTCTCTTTCTTGCACTCTGCTTTCTGCTTGTTGGCAGCATCCAGCTTCACTCTTTTGCTGGATCCTCGCCGTCCGTTCTTTCCAAATCTACACGCTAGCTCACAGTCTTGGAGATAAGGTTGTCCGCCTGGTGCCAAAAAGGCCGTGCCCGCGTTGACGTGCTGCTCGGACTTCCTGCAGACTCTGCATTGGCTTTCGGACTCTTATCAGTCTCTTTCTCCAGCCTCAGCCTGACAAAGGACGACTGTTCTGAGACCTCGGCTCTCTTTAAGAAGCTCACGACCAGCCCGCGGCCCCCAAAAATCCATCCCGCATTCCCATCGCATTGGCAAACCCCCGATCTCCGACTGGCCCTCACTCAGCCTCATAGCTAGCTAGATCTATATTCGTCTGCGTCCTCGAAGGACGCCTCAAAGAGCCTACGGCGACTGCAGAGCTGTGGTCATGGGCTCATTAAAATACACATATCTCCAACGACGTGATGGATCCGACTTCACGGACGGCGGACCACCATATTCAATGAATCAGCTACTGTTTGTCCTCTTCACCCTCGTGCTCATGGCTGCGCTATGCTCCCTGGCTCTCTGCTTCCTTCGTCGGCGACGACTAGCCAGAGAGCGTGCGACACTCTTACCGACTCATCACCAGACCGCGCATCATCGCTCTGCGTCGATCAGGCATATCGGTCACCAGGACAAGAACGAGTCCATATTTGTTTACGATGAAAAGATGAACCTGATCCACAACTCCTCGAGCCCTCCGTCCGCAGCAGTTCCGGAAATCCACATCACCTTCCCCGACGAGGAGGGCAAGACTGGCCTTCAGAAAGGGCGTGTCGTCGTGGTCCATGTTACCGATTCGGGCAGTGTCGGCATGGAACCGCTCAACCAAGAGAATCTGCCACCTTATCAGAAAGAAGATGTCGAGCGATTTCAATCCCTTGACCTCGATCGGATAGGTGGGCTCAGGGAGAAGGAGCCGTTGAGCCAGAGGTTCTCATGAGCCGACTCAGCACCTTTCGTCCACCATATCCTCCCGATGGATAACATACCCCAAACTGGCGGAGCAGGCAGTGGTGCTCCTCGTACTCAATACTGCGGCAACACAGTCCATAATACCCGACACCGCTGCGATAATTGTGTGGAGACCATCAAAGTGATGGTTATCACACCGCTACAATAATTGTACAGAACGCTAATATCGAGGGCGGACCTTGTTGATAGAAGCCCTTGAATGGGGAATTTTGTACATATTGTATAGTCCACACGCGTCTTTGTGGCGCGACAGGCCCTCTGTGCCTGAATTCAATATGAGATGTTGAGATGTTGCAACCATGGGCATTGATCACTCTCATCACAACCACGGAGAAGTCTGTCTTTGGGTACAGGTCGAGAGGTGCTCGCATGCAGCTAAACAGTAGCTTACCTCTGGTCGGTGTGATTTGTGGCATTTTGTACGTCGTACTTGTAGACGATGTGCAGCAGCCGAGCTCCACCAGCGACAAGTTTGAACTCGGCACCGGCACATCGAGTATCAGCTCCAAGTTGAAGGAAAAGTCCTGAGCTCCTCACTGACCCAGTTTATCACCAACACCGTCATCATAATCCTCACCATTGCCCACCAAAACTACCTACCTAAGTATCCTTACCCTCGTTTATTGTTTGTTTGGCCTGGATGGCTTCCACGTGTCACTGCTTGGACGAGAACCTGTTTTTGTGAAGCTCCACTTTGTCGTCTTCCAGACGGAAAACGCGTCAACAGGGCTCGGCCAATCACCGCAACTGGCCTTTGATCGAGTCCGCATTTTCTGTGTTGACAAGCCGACAAAAACACTTGGGCTCGCCTCTCGTCTAGGACCCCTCTGTCTCTGATTGTGAATCAAGCCGCGATTGCATTGTCCCCTCGTACCCTCGTTCCCTCGCTCCCAGCACCAGATCGCCAACTATTCTCCTTCCGGTACCTTTGATGTGACCGCAGTTCACTGCACAAATGAACTTCCAATAGCCGACACTCGCGTTGCCGTTGTCTCACCCCGTTTCACCTTTTGCCTCCATGGCTACTGCGGAAGTAGTGCCCGGCGAGGACTCCCTCAACTATGGCCTACGCACATCAATGGATGATTCGGCAGATCCTTTCGTCGACGATGGCCAGTCTCGACAGTCATTCCACGGCCACCGCTACTCCAGCTTGGTCGACCCTGAGTCCATAGCGATGGGCGCAAGCATGTCCCCTTCTCAGGTCAAACGGAGCCTCATTGCCCACCTTGCCGAAACCGAGCGACGTTTGCATGACGCGCAAAAGTTGGGGGAGTCTCTCTTGTTGCAGCAGTCGGAGCTCAATGAGAAGCTGCGCGAAATGGAAGAACAACAAGGCGAGGCAGAGATTACACCGGAGTTACGACAAAGACTGGCTGATCTGGAAAAGGAACATAATGACGTTGGTAAGGAGATTGCGCGGGCACTGCTGGGCCCAAAGTCCAGAGCTGTCAGCGGAGAAGAGAAGCCCGGCATGGAGCAGGCCATCTACTCCAGCCAGGCGACAGCATCTCCTTCCAAAGTAATGGCCCCTAGCCGGCGTCAGCGCAATCAGCCCAGCAATCGAGGCGATGATTTGCAGTTTGCGGCCGATATTAGTACCTCTCTCCTCGCACAGGTTCGACAGTTGCAGAGTGCCGTGGCGGAACGAGATGAACTCTTGAAAGAGGTCAAGTCCGAACGTGACCGTCTGGAGAAAGAAGCTGCTCTTTTCTCGCAGCGCTTGCGGGCCTTGGACGAGAGCGAACAAAAGTACAAGGACGAGAACTGGAATCTCGAAACCCAAACTCATGAGTTGCTAGCCGCTGCCCGTGAAGCAGCCGACCGCGAAAAAAGGCTCACTGCTAGTTTGGCCGCCGCGACCGCCGAGAAAGGCCGGATGCAGAGTGAAATGGATGAAGTGAGAGCCGCCCACGAAAAACTGGCGGCTGACCATGCCACTGCCAAAAAAGCCCATGATTCCGAGCTGCACACCCTCAAGCGCACAATAGATTTGGGCGATAGCGAGAGATCATCGTTACAGCACAAGATTGACGAGTTGATGGCACAAAACCAGGAGCTCGCCCGAGCTGTTGCTGCTCGCCTGCGCAGCGCTCAGCCGGATGCGGTTCCTACGAATGAAGAGCACGAAGAAGACCTGAGGGACCTTGAATCCCTAGAACACTCACCACCCCCATCTCCTACTAAAGCTACCCCAAGGCCCGGAGCTTTGGAATCGGAAACATTACGTAGTTCTCTACATCATGCCCATCGGATGATTCAAAACCTCAAGAATAACATCCATCGTGAAAAGACTGAGAAGATTGAACTCAGACGCATGCTTCAGGATGCCCGAGATGAGCTTGAGCAACGGCGCGGAGATGGTTCCTTGGGAAGTGCAAGCAAACGCCAAAAGCCCAAACCTGACACTTTCAAGAAACCAGTACGGCCTGATATGCTGGGTGGCAGTCGAAGGGCCCGGACTGACGTGGAGCTTGAAGACGATGACTGGGAAGATCATGCCGTCGACACGCCGAGTCGTGGGGTTAGTCACAAATACTTGGTCGTGCCAGCTGCTGGTGAAGGCATCACTGATGCGAGCGATGCGTACCAAACTGCGAATGAGACAGAAGGCAATTTTGAAACAGCGGACGAGAGACATGCGACAGAGAGCGAGGATTTCCAAACCGGTGCGGAAAGTCTGGCGGGCGACAGTACAGACGACCTTACCGAGACAGAAGATACAGCCTCGCATAGCCGGCGAGCAGGTTCTTCTCGTCGTCCAAGACCCAGTCTGACATTCAAGCCTGCTGGAGATCGTCAATCATTCGTGAGCACTGCTTCGGACTCTGCGGAAGAAGAGGAAGAAGCGCTCAAAACACCTGTGTTGACCCAACCTCACAAGTTCCGACTCCGAAACGGACGTCAATCATTCGCTCGTCAATCAAGAGTGCCAACAGACAGCACCCCCACTAATCTGTACTCGGACACTCTGTCTCAAGACTCCCCGGCTACGGTCAGCAGTGAGCGTAGCCTACCAGCTGCTGAGCAGAGTCTTTTTGCAGAGTTGGGCGGTCTTGACGAGACAGCGAGTTTTGGAACTCCGGGTAGGGCCAGCTTGGCCTCTGTCTCCTCTACGCCTGGTGTTCCTTCTTATACGCCAAGTAGACAGCTTACACAGCAAGAGACACCAAAAAGTGCTCTCAAGTATGCTATGGTGAATGCTGCAACCATGACTGATCCGTGGGAACCAGAACGAGATCTAGCCGCTCAAAGCAGCCACGCAGAGGAACCTCTGAAGGAAGCACCTTTTCCGTCCAAAGACAGGGCGCAGTCACCATTACCTTCTGAATTCCCGTTGCCTCCCACAGTGCCGACCTCACCTGTGAAACATATCGACCACAGCACGCAGTACACTCCGCAGAGAGGATTACAAGAAAGCCCGATCCGGAACACTGCATTTATCACGCCCCCCAAAACCGTCTGGGATGAAGCGCAGAGTCCGGAAGTGATTCAATCCGAGGTCGATCCTGCAACCCAGCCCCGGACACCCACACAATTCGAATATTCAGGCCTGCTAATGCATGATACTACCCCAGTGTCGCCAGAAACTCCCCTTCAGCATGTGCCACCGCAAGCCGAGCCATTTGCTTTTTCTGCTATTCAGTCTCAAACGACCGAACCCGTCCAAACTCCCGCCAAACCAGCGTTCAATGGCGTCACGGCTTCAACACAAGCCGATAATCTTCCAGACCGTCCACAGACAGCGGAACGAGTCGTCGGGACAGGGCTCCTTGCATCTGCTGCAGCTGCTTTGGGCTTTGCCAAATCCAAGGACATGCAAGCCCCCACAATTGCAGAAGACGAAACAAGTGAGCCAGAGAGAACGATTACAGAGCCTCTTACTGCGGAAGGTGTTCCTTTGAAAGATGTGTCAGGCAACAAGGGTCAACCTCATGGGACATTCGGGTTAGAAATGAAAAAGGGGCCACAAGAAGAACGGGCCCCACTCACCTCCAATCATGACCGTGGCTCTCAGACGCTACTTACTTCTGAAGCGATTGACGAGGCTCTCCGCCCTAAGACTGCGGTTCCCATAACACTTCCATCAAGCGGCGAGGCAGCACAGAATATTACCAGCCCCCTAAGCCCGTTGACCCCAACGGAAGGAGCTCTGACGAGTGATGCGAATGCACCACTCACGATTAAGCCAGCTCCAGAACTCACTGCTACAGCGCCAATTTCAGCACCATCTCCTATCAAGCGACCGTCAAGTGCGTCCAGCCAGCGAGTATCCAGCTTAACATCACATCCACCTCTCCCAGCTGATCACAAGGAAGCGATCGCTAAGGCGAGCAGCCGGGTAGCATCGCCTACCAAAGAACTCGGCGGTTCAAGCCAAACATCAACGGTTATGGGCCCACCAGCTTTTCCTGCCTCAGCAATGCGTCGGCCTCGCACTCCAGGAGAGTCTATGCGTTCTCCCACTCGCGACAGCAATCAACCGCGGACGTCTAATGTCAGCCGTACCCAGCGTGGAACTGTTAATTCCCAAATGTCACGCCGGTCCTCGGTTTCCTCGTTCGCCTCCGAAATAGACGAACGCTTCAATATGCACCAGACAGGACAAGTCTCTGCTCATAATTTTAGTACCGATCCAAGAATCATTCAAGCCATCACACAGACCATGATTGGCGAGTTCCTGTGGAAATACACACGAAAAGCCGGGCGGTCTGAAATGTCCGAGACCCGTCATCGTCGGTATTTCTGGGTGCATCCTTACACCAAAACTCTTTACTGGTCGGATCAGGATCCGCAAACAGCTGGCAGGACTGAGCTGAAGGCAAAGAGCGTGCAAATAGAAAGCGTTCAGGTCGTCCCTGACGACAATCCCATGCCACCGGGACTTCATCGCAAAAGCCTCGAGGTGATTACTCCGGGAAGACGTGTTAGGTTTACTGCGAGCACCGGCCAGAGACACGAGACCTGGTTCAATGCGCTCAATTATTTATTGCTCCGTGGTGAGGAGAACCAGTATGGAGCCGGTGGGAATGACATTACTCGCGATGACTTGGAAGAGTTCAATGTGAACGGCGCGGGGTATGGAGCTGCCTTGATTCCAAGCAACAGCCGAATGAGCCTCTCGAGCTACAATTCTCGTACAACGCGAGGCTCGCACCGCAATTCGGCTGCCACCCGCCAACAGCTGCCGCCCAGCTCGTTTCCAACCAGCAGCACCACACGCGTCCCTCAGGACTCCACGGCGAGCCGCGCCGCTCCAAACTCGACAGTGCGGCGCAGTCGGGCCGAACAGTCTCAAGAACCTGACAAAGACCGCACCGTTCGCGCTAGCAGCGTGAGTCGGTTTTCACGTATGCTGGGATCAGTGACTGGAAGGACGCCTAAAGCGAGTGAGGCGACAGTCAATACTCCTACACGTCCTAGTGGCACAAGGATCCCCAGCGGCACAAGGAGTGAAGGGGGCAGTATCTATGACGCCAGCGTGGTTAGCGATGGGCGGAAGGATTCTGCCGAGGAGTTGAGGAGGGAAATGCTGAGGCAAGAGGAGGCTGCGTGGAATGGAGGGTTGGAGAATGTGAGGGCTTGTTGCGATGGTATGTTCTTCTTCCCTTCTCTTTGATGCTTTCTTCCTGGAACCCACTTGCTAATATGGTCATTGCAGGCAAACACGACGTCTCAACTCTCAGTCACAGCCACCGCCATGCCTCGTCCGTTAGCCACGGGCACAGGAATCTCGGCTTGAGCATGAGCCTTCGAGGCTCGGTCAGGCGACGAGATCAGTCCAGCACTCCCGGCCCTTCTGGCCCTTCATCTGCACCATCAGGCTTGAACGCAACGACCCCCACGAGACAAGCGGCGGCAGCCACGGCGTCATAGAGGGCGTCGAGGGTGTGCGTGACCGACGGGGGTTGAAATTGAGAAGGAGAACGTATAAGCGACGGCTTTGGGGCATCTTCCCCTTGTTTTACAGTTCCCACTCTCGCTCGCACCTTCCTTTTCCTCCAACAACCGACCGAGAAAAGAGGAGTGTCAAGGGATCCTTGTTATCTGGATGTAATCACGCGCGGTGTCTATCAACCTTTTCTTTTCCTCTCTTATGTCTGCGATCTCTTTTGTGTGTGGGTGATTAGCATAGCAATGGCAATGCACGGTGACGACTTTGATGCGGCGTGGCGGAGAGAAGTACAAAGTACGAGGTACAGAGCAGCCTGGGTTTGAGTTGGTCGAGGGGGATTTCATTCTTGCGTGGCTTGATCTGAGGCCACTAGGGCATCCCAGGGAGGGCCAAAAAAAATAATGGCAGTACGCAAATCTTTGACTGGCTGACTGACTGACTGACTGATTAATTGATTGAAACACCTCGAAATGGAAAGAAAGTACTTTATTCATTGGCTTTCATTCGAATTGCAGGTGGTCATTATCATTCCTTTTCTCGTTTATCATTCTCATTCCCATCTGTCTGTCCACGGAGCGGACAACAAATGTCCATTGATCATGCCACAAGCCTCAACAGAGAGGCCCAGGCAGGCCTCAGCGAAAGATTGAAGGCACGTTGTATTACATGTATAGTTAGTCCATGCCTCTGCACCCAGCTCGTACCCTTCTTTCGACTCGGTTTTTGTCTGCCATTGACTCTTTCTCTCTGCCTCTGTGTAGCCACCTCGGAGGTTGCTTCATGTCCCCCGTGCTGAATTCTTTTCGAGAGTCGGAGGGATGTCTGGCGGTCATAGAATCCCGCCTACCTCTGTCAGAAAGGAGGCCGTTCCTGAGCCGACTTCTTCCCCGGAATCAGTGCGGGTCTTGGGTATGGTGATAGCATCTCTGGCCCCGGACAAGGTGGTTGCACAAGTCAAGATTTTCCAGCGACTTGACGTATTAGCCTTGCGTCTCTTGAAGCAGAGTCTGGTCCCGCTAGGTGCAGAATCGCATCCTTATAGCGTTCAGGAGTCATGCATCACCAAGGTTTCCTAAGTTTCGGTTCCATCACATAATATAGACCTTCTTGACCTGATCCCAAGTGAAACTTTGACCAGTCGTGGGATCTCTGACTTCTCCTTCCTTGCCAATTTGTAGCTCATGCAAGCCGCCGTCGCCACCTAATCCGCCGCCACCAGCCATGACAAGTTTCCGCTGCAACTCTTCCAGCCGCTCGCGGCCGTAGATACGCCCGTTCGGTAAGACGACAGGGTCCGGTTCCACAGAGCTTGTAGTGTGGTGTGCATAAGGGACATTGCGTGCCAGCTGGTTTAGCTCCGTGCTGCAGATGGGGCACAACGACGAGTTCGTCGCAATACGAGCGTGACCGGTGGTTGAAGAGCTGGCAGGGTTGTAGGCACTGTGACATGTGGGAGTTTTCAATGCTGAAAGACCGGCTGACAGCGCAACGTGAAGGAGTGGTTGTATTGGTAGAGATAGCAACGTATGGTGTGTTTCAACGAACAAGTTGGACAAGTGGTGCCACCGTGATGGGGCAAACAGTGTGCGATATGGTTCAGCTTGCGTGTCGGGTGACTGCACTAATAAACCAGCTGCTTGCATGATGGACTCTCCTCGCGACGCAGCATGCGGTGTCAGGTGTTGTTGGGCATGTGCTCTCGCTTCAAGTTTCTTTGCGGTTGTCCCTGCGCGGACCAGCTCAATGAATTGTTGAAAACGGAGCTCAAATTCGAGATCGGTGGTTTTGTGAGGCGCTGTAATGAGTTTCTTGAGGGAATTTTTGTTCTCGTTGATCCAGGCAAGGGCCTCCCTAGTTTCGCCGCGGGTGAGTGACGAAGCAATCTTATGGCAGGTAACAAATGTATCAAGGTCAATCAGATGCGCGATCTGTTTGGTCTCGGCCAGCGAGATGGCTGTTTTTGAGTAGCCCGACCGCAGAAGATAGTCGACAATCAACCGGTCGAGACGGGTCCGGGACCACTGGTCATACTTTACGTCCACCAGAGATGGTATGTCATATAGGTCTTGCAGATGCTTGATTCTCTTGGCTGAATGGTCATGGAGAGCCTCTTCCTCAACGTGTAGTTTTTCCAACTTGCGTTTGAAGTTCTCCATTCTTTGAATCATGGCGTCGAGTGAGGCGAGCGTCTGCTCCGTGGTTTGGGATGAACTGAGTGCGGCATTCGCGGTGTCTTTGAGGGCGGGAAGGATGTAGTCTCTCTCCCGCTCTACATAGCGTTGGGTATTTCTGAAGTTTCGTTTGACGAGTTCATGTGGGAGGCGGAGGAGAGGCTGGTCCTGTATTCACACTGTCAGTTACACTCGAGTTTGTATGAGGCGCCTGGTCAGTGGGGTGCAATACCAGCAAGACATGGCTGTCTGCGTTGAGTTTGGTGGTAGACAAGTCTGCAGCCATTTTGAGGACGCTGGAGGTGATTGTATGACCCCAATTCTATGGTGCCGACAACTCGTATCAAAGAACCACTATGCACAGTCTGGCGAGGTATGTCGTGAATCCATGTTGGTTGTAGACGAGACGTCGTCAAGTCGTTGAGCCTAGGGTGATTGCGGGCAGCCAATCTGCACATCAAGCTGTGTGGTCTGAAGTATAATATACGGGTGAGCATAGAGCCTGCACCAGCAACGAACCACATCCAGGCAACACGCATTTTGTGCTCTTCACTCCGAACTCCATAGTATTAGTACAGATTTATGCAGCGGCATTATCATGCTACGACTTTCTTGACTCTCATCTCCGGTGCGCTGGCCATGGCTGTGTTCAAAAGACAATCTTGACACTGGCAGGAGCAAATGCATTGCTTCGTGCATGTCCCGCAAAAATGTCTTGCAAATCAGGCACCCTACGCTCCTTTGGACACCGAGATGCACAAATTCTCAGCTCCAATTGCTCTCGGAAGCAGCGTCACTTTGGAACCAAAGCTATCCCTAATCATAATGGCGGCTGAAAGCTTCTTACAGAATCCTTGCACAAGTACAAAGCAACTCAGTGCCACTCAGTGCCTGCAATTGATAATTCGAGGCTCCCAGATGCCAGCAGCGTCAACTCACATACTAGGTCCCCTCAATTCCAACGACTTCAATCAATATTGCGCGAGGTCAAGACTAGAGTGCACGATATCGAGTTGGCAAGGCAGTTCCTGCCACCTTGAAGCTCGAATACAGCGCCCGGTCGGGTTAGCAAATGCTGCGTGGTCGCATCCTGGCAATTCCTAGCCGAATACGATTTACGCTTGCACAGCCTCGAGGCCTGAAAGAATCCTTCCTCAAGTCTCGGATGGCTGTACTCCGTCAAAGTCCATAACATGACGACAGGCTGATGCGGCCACGCTCCACCTTACCCGGCGTAAGCAATTGTTTCTCAAAGCTTTTAAAGGCCCAGAGAACTTCATCTTGGTTGGTAATAAGTACTTCCGGCATTTTTGCTGTTCAAATCGTCTTTTGTCAAGATGACGGTCCCAGTGTCTCCAGCTGTCCTCACCACTGCCGCGATACTCCAGCTGGTCCTGAGCTTCATTGCTCTGATACTTGCGGCCTTTTCTGCTGTTTGTTTCGGCGCCGAGTTTGCTTATGCTGTCGTGTGGTGGTCGGTAAGTGCAAGTCCCATCCGACATTTGGGCTCTTTACACGAAGTGCATACTGAGTGCGGAACATTGTATAGTTTGGTTGGACACTAGTCATTTCTTGCCTTCGTTGGTGGACGCACGATCTTCGACGCTCGACCATAGAACAGATGATTCATCTTGCATTTGAGGTTTTCACTCTGGTCAACTGGGTTGTCGCCACTGGTGTCCTTGTTTCTTTGAACATACACTTGCACCACCTCTCCAGGACATATGCATACGATATCAAGCATGACATCGCCCTGACGGGCGAGTTGATAACGCATCAATTTACCAGCTTGGGCATGGGTGGGCTCTACTGCAGCTATGCGGTGAATGCAGTCACGGGAATAATCTTGTAGGTCGTGTCGTATTGAGGAGATTGTCTCTGCTGACCTTTGTGGAAGCATATTGCTCTTCTTTTCGAGCTATGGAAGTGTCAAGCTCCTCAGATTATCAAGAGAAGCAATGTTGAGCGACAATTCCGAGAAGAACTTTTCATACGAGAAGCTTTCAACACAGGAGCAATTGGTACGAAAGGTGGCATCCTACTGAAGGGAGCGGTGGTCGTGACCATATCTTTGGCGACAGCAGACGAAGATCTAATTGAGTTCTCACGGTGATCTTGCTCGATTGTGAAGCCGGCACGACAGTTTCGGATCCTCATCCCACCAGAGAATATCCGAGATCCTTCCCACTACCCATCTCAACCAATCTTTTCCGCATGGCCTCCGCCCTTTCACCCTTGCGTCCCTCAATCGAGAACTGCGCTCTGTCGACCCACTCCCCAACGGCATGCTGTAATACTTGTCGAGCACGCTCGGTTCCATGGCCTGATAATCCCACGGATCCATGCAACGTCATCCGGCCCAGCTCTCGGGACGTATCGATGCCCTTGTAGCTGCCTCTATGAAGGATGTTGCTGTCGTAAAAGACCGCGTCTCCAGGCTGCAATTCAACGAGGAGTTGGCCCGGTAAATTTGGCTCGTAGGGAGCGGCTTCCCTCTCCGTCTCTGTCCTTATTCGCCGATGACTTCCGGGGACCACAATAAGAGATGCATCTTCGAATAGCGCAATGTTATACTGGGCATGCAACTGTTGACCTTCGGCGCTTTTCTCCTTGAGCTGTCTCTCTTCTTCCTCGGGCGTTACGTCGGGTCGAATGTCGTCTCGATGCCAGCAAAGCTCAAAGTCTACCTGCTCGGCAGGACTGACCAGCAGATTGAACAGCTCCATCACAAGCTTGTCGTCGCCTGCAGGGTCATTCTTGAGACCGACTAGCTCCTTTACCACGTCGAGGATTTCGTCAGAGAAGTAGACTTCAGCGAAAGTATCTCGGACATTCATGTCGGGGTGAAGCAAATGCTGGACGCCCCATATGTTGTCGCCCGGTTTCCATTCCTGCCATGGTGGGTACTGCTTGGGCACGGTGCGGACATAAGGCCATTTGCCGTTTCTTGCCCGCTCAGTGGTATATTTGCAAGAGGCTCTCAGGGCCAACAGGAGGTTTGGTGGCAGGAGATGAGGGACCTTGACGTAGCCGTCTCTGCGCAGGGCGTCTAGATACGGAGTGGATGACACCATTTTCAATACCGTATTCCGTTGTACCGTGTTTCTTGAACGAGGAGCTACGTGCAAGTATAAGCTGGGACAACTTATGAGAGAGTTGAGAAAGATATGACAAAAGATCTGGATCTGAACATGAAGATGAACATGAAGATGAATCTTAATCGAGGGGCGGCTTCTTCCCCGCACCGCGTCGGTGTTACGCTGCCACCTGCTGAATGCGACGTACGAAAAATCCACACGCGCAGCTACTACTATCATACTATCATTCCTCTTCGTCGATGGCCCGAAACCATCATCCTCTCATTACAGGCCTCACATTATGTACATTCGTTGCAATAGTGGCCCCGTCGAGACCTGATCAAGTGGCCATTGGACCAGCGGAGCGAACTCGACCGGCAGCACACTTGCAATGGCACGCACCAGGCGAGCACCTACACCGTCCAACCACCAGATGTCTCTAAACGCATCGAGCGCCACACCGTAGTGTGCAAGGATCACGAGTGCCATTTGATCCTGAGCTCGGAGCAGTCGAACCAAGTCTGCACCTACGTAATGAGGCCAACCGATCATGTCGTCAAAGATGCGACGCTCGCTGTCTGCGGAGGGAAAAGCATTCGTCAACATGTCGATGCTACGCACATAGACGGGGCTGTTGGCTGCTGTTTGACTGGCGACGCTCAACTCATGGTTCTCGCCCAATTGCTGTACGTACGACAATAGACTGCTAAGGGCAGTCCGTGGACCCTCGATTAATCCCGGGAGGATACTTTGAGGCTCGGTCTCCCTCGCCATCAAAGGCTGCAAGCCACCTTGTCGCAGCCATACTTCGCCTTCAGAGGCAATCACAGTCGCGCCAATCACATATTCGAAGACCGAAATGACCTCGGCAATGTACTCGTGGCCGTCAACGTCGCTGTCCAACCCGGAGATGAACGAGTATTCTGTGGCCATTAGTGAGACTATGCCAACGTTGAAGATGTTTCTGATGAACCAAAACTCTCAAGGGGAAAGGGGAACTCACGTATGGACAGAAGCAGGGCTGAAAACGCAAACAGAGCGTGACAATTCTCCGCCGAGATATGTTCGAGCTGTGGGATATATCCCTCCAGCGCTCTGTCCTGGTGTTGACTTGCGAGGTCAAGGTACGTTGACTGCAGAGGGAATGGAGACGTGTGACGGATATGCATCGCTGCCAATGCCAGCAACCCGTGCCTTAAGAAGGGCTGGCTCAAGGCAAGATTGGGAACAGTCACCTGCCACATGGTAAAGAGTTCGTACCGGTCCCCGATGGTGAAGCAGGTGGCTTCTGACCAACGGCGGCTGAGTTCCTCATCATACTGATCAAGTATATCGGTATCTTGTGCTACACTTTGGGCACTGGCCAATGCTTGTGGTGTGCTGCTTGAGCTCTCGCCGGATGAATGCGCAAAAGGCCCGCCACTTGGGTCTGAGTCGAGAAACGAACACCGTCCACCGAGTCTGGTGCAGTTGGCACAGATGGGCCGCTCCTCCCCACAACGGATCCTTCTTTGCTTGCAGTTGGCGCATCCGTGGCGTGATTTGGTATGAAATCGTCGGGACGGCATGCCGCTTGGTGCCCTGTCTTGAAAAGCGATAATGTAGGGTTTGGAGGTACTTGCCCTTCGAGTCCAAGTCGATACTAGCTGACGAGGACGCCTCAACAGCCCTCTTATAAGCCTCTAATCTTTCTCATCTCTGCCACTCTTCCGAACCGTGTCAGTGAACGACTCGGCTGAACGCTCCATTGTGAACGATGGGCCGGCTCTTGCACCGAGAGCATTTGACTCCAAACTCTCAAGGTAAAGCCGACGAACAACAATGGACAGCGGACCAGACGTGCAACCAAGTTCGGACTGACTAGTCGCTCGTAGTCATATGCGAGGTCAGAGAGGGCAATCATGATTGAAGCTGGGGACAGCCATGCGGCACACAAGGCTGAGATGGGTCCCGGGGGTTAGCCACTAGTGAATCACGGCTTGTTAAAGCCGCCAGAATCCCAAAGGAAGCGACCTGATTGCTTCGTCGGGGCTAAAACTGGGGTCGCATCTCGAGCGCTAGTCGACAAACCCCTGTCGCCGAACCAGCTTAGAACCGATGCTATACTGGTTTCTGAATACCTAATCCTCGCTCGTGGTATATACCTACACTGGTACCTTGTTACACTGATCTCATGGCATCTCTTGTAACATCCGGAGAAACGCCCCCTTTTTACTCCCCTTGGGGCATGGTGTACGGTGATCCTCCTCCTGGCCGTGCAAACGGAATAGTGAATATGGGGACACGCCACAGTGGACATTCTTCCCAGCCAGCAGCTGCCAGCCAAGTCCACGTTTCTATCTTCGCACGCGCGTGATATCCAGCCTCAGTATCTTGCGGCAGTGTGTCTCTGCACATCCTCAATGCTCGGCTCTGGTCATGACGGACTACTTTATGACTACCTAGGTACATGATTACTATCAATCAAAGGGTGATCTACTTGGGACATGAATGGAACGAGTTACATACTAAGTAATTTTTTCAATTTTTCAATTGTTTGCAAGAAGGGCGAGTGGTCGGTCACGGGTTCATTGGCCCCTAATGCTTGCCCTCTGATGGAGGCTTTTTGCTTCTATGTACAGTTTCCAGCTGATCACTATGCCTGGAAAGCAGTCGTACCGAATCTTTCGACTTGGCTGCGTAACAGCAGCTTTGGGCATCGCGGCCATGGCCTTCCGGAGGGGTTTTGCAAAGAGGCCGAAAAACAAAAGGAATGTTCATCTTAAGTCTTGAAGCCAGGCGATCATTGCCTCTGGCTGAATGTGAGGATTTGTTCCAACAGCCCCACAACACACAATTGGTTGTAGCTGGTAGCTGGCAGTAGAGGTTGGCTCGTTGGTCGATTTCAGAAGCGATTGGGGAAAATGATGGTGGAAAAGTGTGATAATACCAAGGTCATCGCACGCTCTTGGTGGTCTGGAGCTGCCTGCAGAAGCAAATCCATCCATCTGCTTCGCCACCGAAAGCCAAGTCGAGCACATGGCTTCGCACCTCGACACGCATCCTTCAGTATCCCTCCACGAAGTCCAACTCCTTGAGTCGACGTTCCGTCGCGGCGAGGTTCCCGGTCAAAAGCCGCTCCACATATCCTCGCGTTCGAGCTGTCAAATTGTGGAAACGGGGATTTTGTCCCGTGAAGCCCTCGGATTCGTCGGAGTCGTCGTCGTCATCATCATCGTCGTCGTAGTGGACCTGGTTGTGGTTCGACTCTGAGGATCTTGTCTTCTCGAGTTGGAAATCAGCCCAGGCTGCCTGGACATCCTGAAGGGTTTTCTCGAGCTCCTTCTTTCGCGTGACGACTGTCTCCCAGAGAGCCTCACGTATGTTCTGGCCGCCACGCGCCTTTTGCCGAAGCTTTTTGGCTGCCGCTGTAGGTTTCCATGATTCCGGCTGGTCCTCCTCGCCCATTGCGCTGACGGTGAAGAACACGTCTTTCCAGGCTGTAATCATCCCCTTGAAGGCCTGCATATCCTGGGTTCTTTGTGGATCATCCTCGTCTGCCTCTGGGAAAAGGGAAGTAAGTTCTTTGAGATCGTGGTACAGAGTACAAGCAATCTTGGCCATGGCGCCTTGAGCAAACAGCTCGTCTAGGGCAGACTTGAATTCTGCACGTTTTCCCTCAGCATATGTCTCGCAGGATCGCAATAGACGGTGTGAATCAATGTCCATGGCTTCCGCAACACTTCTGAGTGCCATTGTGACGGGCTCGGGGCCGTTGTTGGATCTCTCCTTCACAATCTTCTGCTGGAGTTCCTTCCAGTATGCTTGCAGTTGAGCAATATCATCAGATGGACTCTGCTGATGCTCCTTGGTAACACCTTTGGCTCCCTTCGGTTGCTGCTTGAGATATTCTCCGTATCTGCAATAGAACTCGGTCTCCTTCAGTTTCCGTACATGTTGCATGAGATGCGCGGCGAGCTCCGATGGTATCCAAAGTGCCGAAGGGTTTTTGTCGGCCCACGTGTCAAGCTCCCACACTTCTCGGTACGCGTTTACCAGTCTCTGCGCACTGGCCCGGGAATCTCGCCTGACTTGTAATGCGTTTGAGGTAGCAGCCTCGTATTTTCCCGCAAATGTAAGTTGTCTTGGCGTGATGTTGGATCTTCCCTTCAAACCACGTGCGTACTGGAATCTTGTCTGGATGGCTTCGTCATCGTACTCGAAAGCGCTGTCCTTGGGTTTCGGTACGTCGTGGTCAACATGCATCTGGAAGCCGGCTAGGCTACGACCATCGTTCGCGTTGATGGACATTTTGCTTGCGATGTTCCCGCACATGGTTCGAAAGATAAGACAGAAATGAGTCCTCAGTGTCACGAAACGCGTTTGAGAGTCTGTGAGAGATACTTGTACCTTTCAGCGATAGAGTCTGCCTTCTGTCTAGCTCTTGGCGCGAATGGGAAGACACAGTGTCACTAAACAAAGAGTGACACGGCATGCTCCGGGTACCTGGGACCCCATTGCCGGACCTCCTCAGAGTGAAGAACAGACCACACCCTGACGACTATGTCTTCCAGAGGCCATCGAGTAGTGCAACTTGCATTGTTGAAGCCGATGAAGAGAGGGTGACTGTTCGTCCAGACTAGTCCCATGTTGGTCTAGTGTTGGTGTCATGTGATGCCATTGAATCTTAGCCCCTGAATTGCCTTTGCCTTCTTCCTTCACCTTGATCCTTCATCCTTCATCTTCCATTGTCTTCATCCAAGCAGCCTGCACCTTCGCTTTGTTTGCCGGTAGTGCGGCATTGTCTCAAGATGCTGAAGCGCCTTGTTTTCCTTTATCATGCATCGTCGCTTTGTATCAGCCATCCTCTGCTCTGTCTTGTTAATGAAAGCGCCCTGAGACTGCCATTGTTCTTCCTCTGCCTCCCTTCGTCCCTACACCTTGAGCCATGCCCTGTCCAGGATTCTATAAGAAGTCTTCGAGTCCATTGGGAGACACCATCACCAAACAGAACCCAAACCATCATTCAACCGCAAACATGCCCCGGCTCGAAATTGTGCAGGAAGACGCTCAGAGAGTGCCTCCGAGACCAACTGACTTGGACTCCTTTGGTATCCACCACATTTTCCGCCGAGAGGCCTTTCGCCATGCTAGCTATTTGCGCTACACTTCCCTGGGGCAATTGGACGAGCGCACTTATGACCTCTCGCAGGTTGTCTATGACCGCATGAAGCCGGCTCTCCGACTTGCCTCGTTGTTCGTGAGATATGTGATGCCACAATTCGCACGAATTGGGTCCGCCGAGGTGAGAGAGTATGTGCATCCAGACGGCTACACATACAAGGCACTGACCGACGATTGGGAGTACGATCCAGTAAGGACAGCAAGGTTTGAATCAAACGATCTGTTGCGACTCTGCACCAACTATCGGTTTACGCTCTTGACAACAGACCACTTCGCGCGAAGCCTTTGTGACGCTCATGACGAGCTGGCGGTGACTAGTGCCCTACTGAACCATGTCGCCGGCGCTCCTTTCGACCCTGTGTACCCTCAAACTGCCCTGAACAGCTCGTGGATCTGGTACTTGGCGAGAGAAGACTGGGACACTATCTCCACTGAAGAAAAGTACAGCAAGTACTTCATGTTTGCCACCACGCTCGTGCATGAGCTCGCCCATGCTGTGTGGATCAATCGAGTCTACAGTGGTGTCCGTCTCAAAAGCGATAAGAACGAGGAGATTGCCCTTGTGGAGCCCGAACCCAGCTATTTCCCCGATCATGACTTTGCCGAACTCGGCTGCGCAATTGAACTCGAGCTCTTTCACAGCCTACCTGGCTTTCCACACTTCGGAACCCCCACGACTACAGAAAGAGCCTGCAGCGACGAACCGCACAAGGTCCTGTTCACACTCCTGGATGCGAAGGGAAGAGCCATCGATATCCACCAGGCATCGACCAGCACCATCTATTCATTCTTTGATCCTCGCGTGTGGGCCATGACGGATTTCTATTTCCAACCGGACTATGTGGTCGAGCTCCTGGAGAACCGCAGACCGCCTCGCCGTCGACTGTCAACCTCTCTCTCCGATCCGAGATTTCTCGAAGAATTCGATGTGCCTGTTCTTTCCGAACCCTTTCCTGGTATGTTGAAACCCGCAATCACGGCAGACAATGAGCTGTTTGGATGAGTGCTGCTCCGGTAAGTTTGGTCTTCCTTCGCCTCCCCCCACCCCTTTCCCCACCACTTTCCCCACCACTTTCCCCCGGCCAGCAATAGTGAGGACGTTTGTTCTGTTTGTGTTTCTAGGCACATCCTGTCATCAAACATGGACTAGGTATCTCGCTTAATATCAAGGTAAGTTCCCCCACAAGTTCGCTTTAATTTTGATTAATTTGTAGGCTATTTCCCACAAAAACTCTGGCTATAATGAGGACAAATTGTTCTGGCATTTCACGCTCTGCTAGAACCCGATCACAGGTAAGTTTGTCAAATCGACGGCATTACAACGTTGTATCACGAGTGATAGCCGTGAATTCCGGCAGGTGGTTTCCCTCCCATCTGGTCCGTTTGGTTGTAGACGCCGAATACAATGAAATTCCAGGCAAAGAGTGTCATTGTGACCATGTGACAATCGCGCGAACGCTTCTTTGGTGATTTGTGTATGTTCTGCTCTTAACAAAGAGTGTCGAACAAGGCACAAGGGAGGGAAGCTGTTCCAAGAGACACGGATCCTTTGTTGCCTGACTGCCTCTTGTACCCACTGCTTCAAATTGCTCAAACGAAGAAAAGTCCAAAAAGCATCCAAACACATCCATACTTTTCCCTCCCCACGATTGATCAAACAACATTTCTGGAAACCTACCATCGATCATGGCAGTCAAGTCAAGATCTGCAGTTCCTTTGTTCATCTTTCTCGCCATCGCGCTTCTTTTCCTCCCTTGCGCAGCCCTCATCTTTCTGTGCCTTCGCCGAAGACATCGAAGAAAGGTCGACAAGAAATCGAGGAATGAAGCTACCGACGCGGTGGTCGAGAACATGCCAAACTGGGCAGCACCCATCGAGCTGGGTAACATTCAACCACCGCCACGGGCGGCAACGATTCGTCCCATCCGCTCTCTGCAAACCGCGAAGACCAGACGTATCCCCACGATGCACCGTGCTGCTAATGAGACGGACAGTCCGTTTGACAATCCCCGCACACCAATGTTGGAAATAGCTGCGCCAAAGCCAACCAAGCCTGGCAGAAGACGTAGTATCCAGGTACAGAAGATCGAATATCTTGCAACAGAACAATCACAAAACCCGTTCGAGGATCCGGTGACCTCTCCGATACCACCACACACTGCCCGCCACAACCTCCAAGCGGCACTGGCGACGGAGCAAAGTTCTGTGGCAGTGGGGAAGGCTGGGGAAAGATTGGCCACCATCAGTGACGCGCCAAGGGTGAAGAGCCAGGTCGTGAAGCCTGAGCACGCGGCTGCAGCGGCGTGCTATGCACCCGAACAGGTGCCTCAAGGGTGGGTGTGAGGGTCAAGACCCGCTCGCAAAGAACGATGGTTTGAAGACAGCAAGGACTGAGCTGAGAAATTCAGCATGGGAGAGTTGTGGAGAGAGGGACATGAACAGAATCTGGATTGAGAAGCAGGGCAACGAGAGAGCTTGACTGTACTGGTTCCCCTGTTGCTACACTTTGTTGACATAATGTGAATCAGATTCACGAATATAAGCATTGAGTTGAATGTTATTCCACTTTTGAAAGAAAGAGTTGTTTGATCATTGTGGTAAGCTGTTTCCACGTTTCTTCTGAGGTGGATTTACAGCCTCGAAGAATCTGATATAAAGCCTCGGATTCAATCCCGTGTGGTCTGTGTGTTTCCGCGTGAATATGACGGCCGTGCGAAAGACGAGACGACAAGCAATGCCAAGCAATCGGCAAGCTCAAGAAGCCGGAAGGACATCAATAGGTATACGAGGTATATATGTCAAGGCTACTACTAGGCTCCACGGGAGCAGCCGACAGAACCCAAGAAATAGGGGGCTCCAGCCTCGTCGACTCCCGGCCACCCACGTCAGGCAAAAGGTTCTGGATTTCTCGAGTCTCACGCAAGAGGCCAAGCAGACGAGCAAATTCTCAGGCTGTACTCTGGGGACTCTGGACCACTGAACAGCCAGGAGAAAAGGAAGTGAGACCATAGCTCCGCTCCTCTCGCCTCGACGATTATCCGCCCAAATAAGCGCCCGGGGAAGAGAGACAGAGTCCAGAGGTCCAGACCGACCCACCATTTTACACAGCATGCATTATTTATCGGACTCGTTACCCCATGAAACACATAATGAAATCTCCTAGAAGAGAACGCCGTACATAAGATGAGGATCGGCTCTCCCCAACAAGGCTCGTCGGCTTTCCTTACGAGTCGCAAGCCGCGATTCACTGTACTCGGTACGTACCCCTTCAAAGGATGAAAAAAACACCGGCGACAGGCCGGTCGGGCCCAGGTCGATCGAAACCGATCACGACATGGCGGTCAGATATGGCGCACCGCGCGATCCCCGATCGGATATTCAGGTGTTCAGGACAAACATTTCCCGTGGAAAGCAGGACACCCCCTACGCAACAGCAGGGGAGGAGAAGTCCTAACGCAAGAATTGGTTAGAATTTGTGCGTCGCGCTGCGAAAGGGGTGGGCGGCGGCGTTGTCCGTCTTTTCGACTAGGAATCCTTTAACCCAGTTATCCACCTGTCCTAGTGCATCCCCACTCCTACACCCTATGAGTTTCGGGATGAGAGGTCGGATGAGTGCGTGAGAGAGAGAGACTGAGTGAGAAGGGCTAGAGGGCCTTTGTTCGACCTCTGTTGGCGGGATGTGCCCTGGATTTCAGACGAGTACTGGGTGGGAGGGTTGTTTTCGGGGGGAAGGGGGGAATTGGGCAGCTTCTGGAGACATTTTATACGGATGGTCAATAAGCAATGAATTGGAATGGATTATGCGAGCTGCAGTCGTATGGTTTGTCTCTCGTCTCTCAATCTATCTTTTCTCGCCGTCTATTGCCTCTAGCAGTCTCTCCTTCTAGCAGTCCATCCTTCAAGCGACATCTCATCTCCTCCACTTCAACCCCTTCACCTCCTTCATCATCCCACGCACCGCCCGGGCAATCTCATGTCGCCCGTCATAGAACGGGTACACGATGACAAGGGCCATGGCGCCGAAATGCCAGATGATGGCCATGGTGACCCAGCCGCCCCAGAAGCTCTTGGTGAAGATGTAGTCGCGGTACAGCGGCAGAGGCCAGAGGACGATGGTGACCAGGACGTTGACGACAAAGTAGACGCTGGCGATCTTGAACCACTTCTTGATGTGCCGGATCGTCTGCGCGTCGAAAGGGTGGACCACCTCGTCCAAGGGAACTTGGGCGTTCCCTTGACGGCGTTTTGTCGGACTGGGTAGTGCACCGGTCTCCTTTCCACTTGTGAGATATGTCTCTTTCTTGTAGGCTTCTTCGTCGGAGCTGTTCGCGGTCTTGGGCGTCTCGTTGACGGCCTCGCTGCTCGGTAGTGTGGACTGCAGAGAGCTGCTGGGTTGGCTCTTGTCTTCGATAAGGTCGATCCTGAGGAACTCGCGCCAGTCGAATTGGCTCGGCCAGGCCAGCGAGACGATGACAGAATAGAGCGCAGGCGAGAAGAACGACACGATCGCAGCGTAGAGCCCCGGTACCTGATCCTGCGTCGTTTGAATGTTGATTGCGCCAGACCACGCCCATGACAGGGAAAGCCAAGTCGCAACACCAGACATAAGCCCGAGGATGGGACTGAGGATAGCCGCCAGCTTCGTTTGTCTCGACCAGAGGAGCGTCAAGATCATGGGCAAGATGCCAGGACACGCCACGATGGGTCGGAAGTATGTGGACCAGTTGTTCGTTGCTCCCGCGTACTCGAGCATGATGGCAAAGCCGGCCATAAAACAGCCGTGGAAGACGACCCCCCAGTGGCTCACCTTGAGAGTCTTGCGGTCGGACGCATGTGGGTCGACGTAGGTGCGGAAGAAATCGAGAGAGATGATACTGCTGACAGCTATCATGGATGAAGAGACGGTGCTGGTGATGGCCATGAAAACGAGCACAAGCAGGCCGCAAGTGGCTCCAGTGCCAAGCAGCGACCTCAGCACGTACGGCATCACGAGGCCAGAGTTCACTTGAGTGACTGTCAAGGTATTGGGGTAGTCGAACCAGATTGGAGTCTTTTCGATAGCTCGGGCACTCAGGCCGATAATGGTGCCGGTGCACCAAGGTATGGCGAGGATAACCACAGACACAAGGTCGTATGCGGGAACTGTCGAGTTAACTTCAGAAGCGAATGATTTCTGCCAGAAGGCCGTGTCCATGAGCACCAGAGCAAGATTTCCAAATTTCAACACGAGTCCAAAAAGAAGTGCTGTGCCAAACATCAGTATCAGCTTTGACACAACATGACGCGTTTGCCTTACAGCTCTTGGACTTCATGGTCAAAAGCGAGCCTTTGTAGTTGCCAGGAATATAGTCGTTCGTGGCTTTGACTTTGTCGTATAGACCCGAGATGCCGCCAATGTGTTCGTTCGTCAAGACAGCGAGGGAGAAGTAGATCAAGAGGATCAGGGCGATAAGCGTGTGGACATAATCAGTGAGAAATGTTGCCTTGATTCCACCTACTGCTGTATAGGTGACGACTTTGGACAGAGGGTCAGCATCTGCAAAAGAAATATTGATCACTGTCTTGCTTACCTCCTGCTGGGAGCAGGATACACGCAGCGACGACATGCATCCCAGTCATTCCAGTCACCAGTTGGGCTCCTGCAAGGATCATACTGCCGCAGCCAAAGACGTTGTTGACCAGGTTGAGCAGGATGAAAAGCCAGTGCGCATATTTCCCGTATCTCCTCTTGATGATCTCGAGCGAGGTATGCGCATAGGGGACACGTAGCTTTGCTACGATGCCCAGCACCGCCATGAGTGCAATCTGAAAGGATAGTCCACTGGCCCACCATATAGGAAGGGCAACCTGTTCAACGCAGGGACTGTTATCACCTCACAGCAAACTGTATACTACCATAAACGGTACTTACCCCCCATTTGTAGGTATATGCAGCTGAAAAGACACTCTCGTTGATCCACATCCTGTATAGATGCATCATGGTTAACATATCGACTTGACTTAAGACCACCCGCCATTCGAACTTACCAACTCGAGAAGACCGCCGAGGCCGTCAATCCAGTCCCAACCGAACGGTTGGCGACCATGAACATCTCCGACTGATCGCTGTCCTCGGAAAGATACCTCTTCTGTATGCGCACTGCGGCAATGATAATGAGGCAGAACAGCACCGAAAGACCGATGATGATGCCATAGCCGTCGGCCTGAGTGAGAAGCTCCACAGCCATCTTGGAATTTGAACAATCTCAGCCACAAGATAGTGAGATGAGACAATGTATTCCGGAGGAGTGAGTACATTCTCGCACTACTTATACGGTAGGGAATAGGTATACGCATCCACAATGCACGTGATATACAAACAACTCCCATATGGTATCATCCATGTAGTGCTGACCTACCGCAACCCGTGCCCGTTGGGCGGGAAAAAAACGGCAATGTTATCTTCTGGTTGTTGAGCACAAGTCTCTTCTATTCGCTGAGATGGCTGCGTGGAATCCAAATCGCGTGCTAACGTGGTGGAGCAACACGATTGCGTTATACGACTTTCGCAGCACGCAATGAGAAGTCGAAAACTCGGAATCCGCAGCTTGGTAGAACCTCATCAAACGTGGCGAGCTGCGAGGCAATTAGCATGGTGCGGCGATTGACGACCTTTGACTCTAGAAAGGCACTTACCCGATGTGTTGAAACATTTGATCCTTGCAATGCCATTTCCCGTGCCATAATACTCGTTCCTTCAGCGTTTGCATGAGCTTTCAATCGGATTCGGACTGCAGAGAGCCTTTTATACATCATGCTCGCAAGGGTAGACAGCAGTCCATGATCCGCCTCAGTACCAGATATTGTCTCGCCGAAGAGGAGAGGCTGACAAGATGCATTGGGCCGCTCTGACCGGAGCACCAAGGTTGGTCCAACTCAGATACATATTTGCCGATTTCGCAGCGTTGTCGAATGAGGCCGAGTCGGCTTTCAACTCCGTCTGTATGATGCAAGGGTAGCTTCCTTATTACTGCTTGTCAGTTATGGAAGATTTCCATTTATCCTCAAGCGTAGGTGTCGTGAACTTTGTGCTTCAATATCGAGCTGGATTGCTGTGGCTTTGAGATTCGAGTACCACGCATTCATCTCTAGCTCCGATGTCGTGAAATGAATTCGCGAATCTTGCTTCTCACGTTGATCGTCTTCTTTTCCTTACCAATAGTTGGCTGGGTAAGGAGGGCGTCGGGAAAGGAACAATCACCTGGTTGAATTTGCTTCAGGAATTCAGGAAGTCCCTTTTTACCTCGACGGGATAAGCGGCCGCCATGTAACATTAATAGCACAATATCATCGAAGCCTTCTGTGTCTCTCCAAATGTCTGTCCAAAAGAGCACGTACATGTCCAGGGGAGTGCGTCCGGTAGAGTCTCGCGCATTTACATCAGCTCCAATTTCTAGGAGCATTTGTGCCATCGGGCCGCAGGAAACATGGAGGGCACGCCTGAACTCTGTCGTCCGCCCACCGCTCCACACCCGAAGCAGGGCATTCGGGTCTTGCCCACCATGCTGGATGAGTACTCGCGCGAAACCGACGGCCTCTTGACTCCTGCAGGCATTCAGGTACAGTAGTCTTGCCCTTGCTCCGGCCGAGGCGAAAATGGTCTCGAATGGAGTCAGTCCCAAGTACTCATCGTCAACGCCAAACCCATGTTCCACAATGATTTGTGCCATCTTCGAATAGTCGGTCGCCATTCCCTTTCGTGTAATTTCGCTTGATATCTGCAATGCTATCTTGTGCAAGGGGCGTTCAGCACGGTGAGCTTCGATGTCTCTGAGGCATTCTCGAATGTAAAAATAGAGATTGCCTAGTACACCGAATAGGAAGTAGGAGGTATCATGATCATCATCGCTCCGCTGCTCAGGTCTATCGAAGAACGACCTGGGCAGACTGTTGAGAAAGGTAGTTGCTGCACGGCCAGTCGACCTTTCATCATGGTGTGCCAATTTGAAGAGTGTATCACCCCTGTAGTTCCACCGCTCCAGACTTGCGACCACGCAGTAATATTTCAGAAGAAAGGTATAGCCATTGTCCAATTGCAGCTTGTACGAATCGCCCAGGATGACCTGTGGAAATTGCGGACTTGCCACAAAGTCGCGCACTGTTCGATGGATGAATTGGACCACTGTGTGGGACACACTTACGTCCACGCGCTCGAGGAAGCCTCCACAGAGGTTAAGAAGGCCGTTGCTGATTTTTTTGGGCTCGCACAAAATTCGGGGAGACTTATATCCGGCGTTGCACAAGTGCTTCTCGCATTCTTGGAATGTGCTCCCCAGAGCGCAGGCAGAGGCGTAGAATAGATCCTGAGGGCTGAGCAAGTCCGAGCTCCGAGACACTATTTCCAAGAGCACAAATGCTCTGTGGCGTGAATATTTGGGGATTCTGGAAATGATTCGCATGTAAAATTCTTCCAAATCTGCCGGCAGCCTGCTGATCAGCATTTCAAGCTCTTCTTGAGACGAAATTGTTGGTGACGACGTAATCTCATCAATTGCGAGCTTTACCCAGAGAAAAACTCCTTCCGCCCGGGAAGCGATCATGCGGGCGACATCCGCAAGCAAAAGTTGTTTATTGGGAGTCGATCGGTCATCTGCGGCGATTTGATGCTGTGAAGTCATCTGCGAAGTTAGTTGTGATAATCTGCTGGTGGTGTATTGTTCCACGTCTTGATACGTGTGCTCGTGCAACACGAACCCAGGCTCGCCGCCGAAAGCCTTGACAAAGCTGTCCCATTCACGACTGGAAAAGCAAAACCTGACTTTCGTTCGGCTTTGCGGATCTCGTGAGGCAGACACGATATGAAAAATCCACTGCGATATTACTTCCGGAAATCCATAATACTCATCCAAAGCATCGAGGAAGATTGTAAGCTCAAGATGATGGTGGTCTTGCGTAAGTACTGCGGCGAAAACATCTTTGAGGTCTTCGAAGTTCCAACGGTTACGAATCTCTCGAGGCTTACGTTGGTAAGCCTCAAGCACCAGCTGAGCGATGGCAGGATCTTGGGAGACCAGTCTCGCCAGCACTGCTCGCAGTAAACCATCTAAGGATTTCTGGAGGTACGTGCCCCTCTCGTTGAAGAAGAACCACAAGTCAATTTGTCGCCCTTGCATGCCTCTGGCTCTTATTGCCTCCTTGAGCTGTTCAGTGTTATGAAGGTACTTCATAAGTGTGCTCTTCCCTGCCCCTGGCTTCCCACGGATCCAATATATCCCCGTGCCTTGCAAGATCCAGGGTATGAAACGCAGTTCTGGCTTTTCGAAGATCCAGCCGAAGGTGGAGTCATGGGCTCGTTCGATTGCCTCGAAGCGGAAGCTGCTTTCTTCAAAATCTAGAGATTCTAGAAGTACTTTGACATGTCAGTGACAATCGTGCGATCTCAAGAACTCGTAGGAGCTTACCTTTGAAGTTCACAACATCGTCCAATGATGGAAATACTACGCCGTCCATTGCTTGCTGTTCTGTGCGTGCCTTGTCGCCAAGATGAACAGAGGCTTTGACGTGGTGCCTGGGTCTTTGAAGAGAAGCTGTGGACTCACGGGATGCTGGCTCGTACAGCAGGTCATCATCACCAGCGTCAGCGGTGCTCACTGCCTTGCGCACGAAATCACGGACAACAAAGTAGTAATGATCATCTCTTTCGAACTTGACCATGTCTGAATGATTTCTGTTAATGGGAAAGCTGTCTTCGGTGTCCCTAGAGCTGTATCGCATCGCAGACTCGCGCTGCACGAGGATCTCGGAAGCACCAGTTCTCTGCGCATCACCATTTGATTGCATCTAGAATGGGGGAGGTCAGCATGTGCAGACATTAAGTTTCATCGTAACGGACCTCAGTCAAGGGCGTCATTTCGGTCTCATAAGCCGACACAATGCGGATAGAGTTATGCAGTGCGATTGCAGAGAACTGCTCGTCTACCAGGGAGAGCCAGGACGGGACATTCTGCCTTTGCTGCTCGAGAGTCTTAATCAAGTCTCTGTTGGGCCTTGGTCCTGCAATGGCAAGTAAATGATCGATCTGCATCCCTCGATTCGGTACGCCGAATCCCATGAACAACTTGGTCTTTGAAAGCATAGTCTGGGAGTCCTCTCTAGGAGACGCGGCGAGAATTGACAATGCTCTTTTCACAAGAATGCCGCCAAGGCTATGGCCTAAAAGTATCAATGGTTTAGCAGAGTACTGTGCTCGTCCAATACTCGACAGATGACTTGTAAAAAATAGAGCAAGGTCGTCGAGAGATTGGAATGAGTCGCTCCCCACGAGCTTCGTATCATAGCCGTAGGTCATGCAGCGCACAGTGGGAAAGTCGTAGGGGAGCTGGTCTCGGAGCCACATGAATTGACGCTGTCCAGGCGGCTTCCTCTGTCTCCATGAGCCAAATGGATGACTTGCAAGACCGGAAACGGCGATCAAGCTTGGTTAACGATCAGCAACAGGCTGCTGCGGAGAGGGTGAATCTGTGACACGGCACATACTCGTATGCATGGTGACGGTCGTCGACATTATTCAGAGGGGTAAAGCCTAGGAAATGCGTGTCGAATATGAGTGATTGATCACCCCCAACGGTGGTAAATTCCCAGGTTGTTCTATTCACTTCTTGCAGCGGCTTAGGTATTTCACTGAACTCCAGTGTCGCTGTTTGTGATCGAGGAGAATCCCACACGTCCGGTGATTGGGCTAGAGAGCGAACATGGATGTTTTCTTCTCCGCCGAGATCAGTCACAGAGCCTTGCAAGAACTGAGCGAGGCTCTGGCGGGTGATTTCTGCTGGCACCCGACGAACCCGGAAAGTCTTCGTTTTGTTGCTCATGGCGGTTGTAGCGTCTGTCAGGTGGAGGTCTATCGAAGATCAGATTGTACAGGGGTTTTTGGCTGAATATTCCTGACATGTTTGCGTGGAAGCAACAGGCAGACAGATGTGCTGAGGCTGTGGTGGCTTGACAGCTCGACGGTGCCCCAAGCGAGCCTTTGCTCATTTAGGACTAGCGAACTTGTTGCAGTGATTCAGGCGCAGGGGACAGTCCGCACATGGGAAGCGAGTGTGTTTCTGATACCCTTGGAGAGCCAATTGATTGTGGGCAATCTGGGTTGACCTTTCATTGCTCGGCATGGCCACAGCCAGCTGCCATGACCGCTAACATGTTCGGTTGAGGTCCTGCTCCTCAGAATCCTCGCCATCATGTTCTGCGCGCATTCGAACGCCCCCTCACGACTTCCCTTCCTGCATCGCGAATGAGGTGGCCTGAAATAAATTGAAGGCATTTTAAAAGATCTGGGCATTCACACAGTGAGGTGGGCGTCACCTTTAGAGTCTGGGGAAATGAATGGATCCGTCAACCGAAAAGGGATTCATTCACAGTGAGACGGAAGAGTGACGGACTAAAAAGGTCCGCTTTGAACTTAAAAGCGCTGCTACGCACAACCCCCTTTCACCGAATCTGATACCGCATGCCTTGCCCGCAGATGCTCTCTTGTCACCCGGACGTGGTAAACGGTGAGGAAGAGGCTCACAAGCATGCCCATACCCAACGCCACCAGTGGCAGGACGATTGCAAAAACCGCGAATCCGTATGAAGCATTATTGAAGGACCTATTGTTGCGCAGCTGGCTTGTCCCAAGACCAACCTGCATTGCAGTGAGGATGATGGTCAGATAGGCAAAGACTACTACCAACCAGGCGAAGTTGCGGCGGAGGAAAGATTGATATGTCATGTTCGAGTAGTGGTAGCCCCGAACCATATGCCTGAGGTGATACGTAGGGTGGAATCGGTAGATCATATTGATGCGACTGAGACGCAGCTCACCGAACTCAAACCTGGGCGAGCACGGCATCTTGCCAGCGCGCATCTGATGGTCAATTTCAATGAGTCTCTCGCTCAGCGCTTGCCAATCTTTCCATTCCATCCCTTCCGGGAGCAAGTGCGCCTCCTTGGCCAGTTGGAAATCGCTCTTGTAGTTGATCAAGCGCGCGTACGAGGCTAGAAAGCCGTTGGCAGCGCTCTCAGCCTGACGGTAGTGGGAGATGTGGGCTTTGACAAAGTCTTCGTCCAAGAGCCAGCCCGGCAGGGGCTTTATGAACATAGTGTCGCCCTTCCACAGTAAATGCAAATCCAATTGCTCCGTGATGACGATTCGACGACCGAGAACGCGTTGGCGGTGCAGCGGCCGGATATTTCCCAGCCTGCCTGCCAAAGGGAGGCCTCGGTCGATCATCTCATCGAGTCGAGATACATCCATTTCGCTCGAGATAAACAGACTGATGTTCTTGGACGGCTGAAATTCTGTATTGTTGCGAGTGTGGAACAAGGTAGGGAGGTCGATATGTCCTCGCAGCATGACAGTGCTCTGATCGGTCAAGGCTGGGGCCATGGGTAGGGAAGCAGACGTGGTGATCAAGAAGGTTGCGACACCTCGGATGTAATAGTGAAAGTGTCCCGCCACGAAGTCTCTACACCGCTTCAACGGATATTGGGTTGGCAGACTGGGACTATGATCTCGTAGTTGTCGTGAAATGCAGTATACGAGGTATAGGTGGTCGCCTTGGGAAAGTCAGATTCTCATTGGACGGTAGACGCTGCTGATTGCACGAAACATGATTTCAGCCTCTCTATATGTTTACACGAACTCCTCTCCTGGGACATCCACACGGATTCCATCCTGGCCCAATCAGATCATATTCATCTCCTCCGCGCGCTTCTGCCCAAAGTAAGCCCACTTACTTTCCGCCATGGCAAACGTTGTGATCCTGGGCGGAGCCGACTTAGGCGTCGGCGGCAGTTTGCTGTATATTTCATATATTTCGTGCGTGCTGTCCCTGTCTCTTTTATTCCTAGAGACATAGTCCCGGTTTGTGAGATGAAGAGGTGGGGGCGTTTCCGCTCGGATGGAGTCGTCTGCCTGAGTCTCGTATCTTTGAGTTGAAGGTGTCGAGCTTTCCCCATCGGGCGTTTTGGGAGGTAGTATCATCGGAAACTGTAATGGCGGTAATGTCTCTGCTGGACCCAACTCCAAGTCCAGATCTTGTGGCAGAGGAGGTGGATATTCTGCTTCTGGCGTATCGGGACGCGCGACTGATGGTGGTGACGGTGTTGCTTCTTGTATTGGCGCTTGAGCTCCGGTGGTCGTGTCAGGAGGCACTGCTATTTCTGTCAGTGGTAGAGACATGCCATTGTCCATTTCAGCCGCAATGAGCCTTCGTGCTGCAATTTTCGTTTTGGTTGTGTGATATATTGCGAACAGGAACGTAAAGGTGCTGAAAATCCCCACAGCTCCGAGGATTATGAGCGCAGAAAGTGGCAACATTTTGAGGTTGTGAGATGTTGGACGTGCGGGTTTCTGTTACCAATGGATAGGCTAAAACGGTGCGGTCAGAGATTGGCTCGCGGCGAGCGACACGCTGGAGGTGCGGGTTGACTCTCTTTGAGGTGACTGGAACAAAGAATCATGGAATCCTTCGCTGCGAATAAAGGGTCACTGGAGGAGGACAAAGGCCCGTGAACGCTTTCAGCGTCTCAAACCTGTTCGTTGCGCAGAGGATATAGTCTGATCTGCTCACTTAAGTACGAAACTCTCGCAGTCATCTAGGCGACCAGATCTGAAGGGACAATACTGGACTCGCTCCGTCGGAAAAGCTAGAAGCGCTGGTGATTCGCTCTTATGCCACGATGGGGTTTGCGATAGTGTTACCAAAGATTCGGTCGTCTTCTGCTTTTCGAGCTGCTTTCTTCTTGTCGTGTTGGATCTTGAGCGCAAAAAGATAGACGATGGCGAGAATCAGGATAACTCCGGCGAACATGGAAATGAATAGCCACGCCACCGGGCTCATCGTAAAATCGGAGGTTGACATTGTTTGGCGGGACAAATTGCTCGAAATGTAATACAATTGCGAAGAAATGGACTAGGGAAGCAAAGATGTTTGCCCGTACCTTTAAAGGTGGCATAGAAGTACTCGTTCAATCCTGGGATCTGTATGTTCTCTTTGTGACTATTTCCGGCGATGGAAACCAGATCTTTGTCCAAATCAAATAATCATCGGAAAATGCCATTGATCAGAGAGCGCGGCGTACGGTAGCGGCAAAAGAAGGCGCGTTCATGAAGCTATGCATCAAGAAAAGTGTAAGTTTGCAATTACGAACCTCCTGACTCTTCCTCAAGGCACCATTTGAATACCCTGAGAGTAGAGTGAGATTGGGCCGCGGGGCCATGAAGGGGCCTCAAAATGGGACTGCTCGTATTGCACATGGCCAAGATCAAGCGAGAGTGACCATAGTATGAAAGTAACAATCGCGATCAAGCACGAAGGACGGACAGTAAATGGAGGTTTGTAGGCACTCACTGCTTGAAGCTTTGAAGTTGGGCGTATGGCTTCAAAAGACAATGTCATTTGATATATGCATGCACTTCGCCGGATTGGGTTTAGACCCAATCGATGTCCCCTGATCGCGACTTTCAAGGTCCCGCAGCACCAGCACCGCGTCGAGCGCGCAGGTAACAAGCCTGCCATCACTTCCTCTCAATATCCAGCTTACCCGCTTCCATCTTGTTGTGGCTACCCAACCAAGAAAATCGTCGATTGACCCTGGAGAATTCAACAAATAGCCGGTAATATCAAAGTGTCTCCGTCGTCCTCGCACATTCCTCAACTCGCACATTCCTCAACTCGCACATTCCCCAACCTCCTCCACCAAACACACAGCACAATGTCATTCCTCCTTTCACCAGCCAGGCGCATGACGTCTGCGCTCCCCGCCATATCACACCGCGCATTCTCGACGACTCGTCCGTCTCAACTTGCCCGTATGACACTGGTGGGAAGGCTCGGCGCAGACCCTGAAATCGCAGAGACCGGCAAGGGGGTCCAAGTGATCAAATATGTCGTGGGCACCAGTTACGGACCGAAGGAGAACCGACAGACATCGTGGTTCCGCGTCGCCAGTTTTGCACCCGAAGGCTCGCCGCAGCGAGATCTTGTGATGGGATTAAGCAAAGGGTGAGCGCAGCTGAGATCATTCACATTCGTGTCCTCCGAAACTTCACTAATCGATGGCCGGAATAGGACACTAGTCTATCTTGAAGGAGATGCTACTATGCGCACCTATGAGGATTCGGACGGCAAGAAACAGAGCTCATTGAGTCTGGTCCAAACAAAAGTGGAAGTTCTGAAACGACCACAGCCCAAGGAGGAAGAGATTGCTCCGGAAGCCGTCAGTGCTTGATAAGATGCAAGGCCTCTGACAACCTCAAAATACTCCGACTTGATGGGTGCATTGAGTCTTCGCTTAAGCAAGGATATCTGGACGAGTCGATGCTGTTCGTGAATGCTGTATTGGATCCCTTCTCCGAATGTATTTCGCCACTCATGGGTTTGGTGGGCGGTGATGGCAGGGCCAGTCACCTACCAGCAGGACTATCTAGGAAAGACATGTATTTCAAAAGCAGGGGGGTTTGTAATCAACGATTGTTCCAACAGCGCAATCTCCAATTGAGAAAGGGGACCTGCATAATGTGCTTCCAGTCAATGATTTGTTCCTGAGGCTGATGAGTGAGGAGCTGGGTTGTGATTGTCCTCTAGAAAAACTTCGTCCACAACGAACGTGACATTTGCCTCATTCTGACCTAATGCGCCGATGCGAGGTGCTTGTTGTGATAGCCTGACATTTCCCCGGAAGCCTCCACAGAGAAAGTCCCTTACGCTTTCAGCCCACCTCTTGTACATCCGGATCGCATCCTGACCCATCCCGAAGCATGCGAATGATGTATATGCCGTGATAATTTGAGCCCACCGGTCGAAAGAAAAGCCTTGCGAAGTTGGTCTCAAGGCGGGTTCTGGCTCCAGGATGATTCTTTCCGACCAGTCGGCGGGATGGATGTATGACCAAGAATACATATGCATTGGCACACGAACGTTTTGCGCAAAGGCAAAGATGGCCAGTGGGCAGTATATCACCAGAAGGACGAACGCAAGTGCGAAAAGCCTGAAAAATCGGGAGGCCGTGGCACCAGGAGTATGCGAGAGCAGGGCCGAAACCTGCTTGCGATGCCGCCAGAGGCGAACGACCGAGATCAGGCAGTAGACGCTCCCAATCACACAGACGACCATTGGCCATCCGTAGGTCACGAAAGGCGCTACCCAGTCGTTGTCATAGGATACAACACATCCCTCCACCGATCCGAGCCAGTATCTTTCTTTTTGAACCAAGTAATGGCCAGCCATGACGAGCACGGGCAAGAGAATGCAAAGAACGAGCTCGATCTTGAGAGTTGTTCGGCGCTGTTGTGGGCAAGGAGTGACGGTCATGCGGTCCGAGTCGAGGATTATCGAGATTTGTCGGAAAATGCTTGCAATTGCTCCTTCAACGGCCTGGAATATCCCAATGTAGAGTTTGACTTCGATATCACACAGTATTTTCCCATCCCACCAGTCATCAGGGTTGTCAGACGACCATATCACAGCATTGACGAGGTTTTGGATGTTCAGTATGGTGATGCCGATCAGGAGAACCGAGGCTGCAAAGTTCTTTGCGCGTAATTGAACAAATATGGGAGGGAAGGCTGCAACGATAGCTAACAAGGCCAGGGGCACGACAAGGACGGAAGAAGTATCCCATGTCATCTTTCGCCGTATGAAGCGAACCTGAATGTCCTGACTCCTGCAAACAGAAATTTGAACAAGGCGAGAAGAAATCAAGTGCAAACAGGGCATCATCGTTCGCGTCCTCCTCCAGCCACGATGTCCGCAGTCTTCGTTTCCTTGAGTCAACTCACATTGAAGCATTGGTACGTATGGCTGAACTGGTGGGGGCTGCTCAGATATCTTAGAGACATCTTTCCCAAAGTAGTGTTGAATAAGGCTCTGCGCAGGGGGCAGGCTCTAGCAAGCCGTGCTCGTACGTTGCAAGCATTTATTCAGTCAGTTCTTGGAGGAACCCATGCTGGTAATACATGGCGTGCCATGATTGTGAGATTAGAGGCTTTTTCCGGCAGATTGAAACTGCCCCGAGATTGAAGCAAAATGCAGCATCTAGCAATGGCAACGAATCCACCATTAAGTGTCCCTTCATGGGGGAGCAATGGACACTTTCCCCTGACTGGACTGGAAGTTGGATCCTGCTGAATGGAACATTTCTTGCGTCTGAACGATGCTATGATACTGGGTGCCAATAGACTAGAATTCTAGTAATTGAGAAGAATACATAGTACTTGTATGTCATGTAGGGAACCGGCTCGCCGGGCAGACTTCAAGTCGTAGAAGAGTTGGAGCAGCCCGGAACAACTTCGGAACAATTCAGATACTGCGGAGCTGCCAAGATCCCCGGATATTTATTATTCCGGCGCCCGGCCTACCGCTGGGTTTGGCTTCCAGGTTCCAAGTTGTGATGTTGTCCTGTGAGACTTCATACGGCTGGAGCATCCCGTCATCAACCATTTGCTTCTCCTTGACGCCACTCTTTTGAACCCTGCTTTTCCATCTCTCACTCTTGCCAGCGCTGCTAGAGGCGCATGTAGCGCCTTGGAACTTGAGAATTACTTTGGACTGACGATTGCGTCCTTTGTTTTTCGTCCTCCACCGACCTTTGAACGCCCGAGGATGTCGTGACGCGTCGAAAGACCTGCGGGGATTCATATCCGCTGGGCTTCATTCCTGCCCTCATTTTCTGCCTTGTGCGAACCGCCATTGTCATCCCAGGATTGGAATTATGGCATCGGAGAAACCTCCTTCTATCGTCCTCCCTCCGCTTGCTTCCTCTGGTCGCCAAATTAGTCCTTCACCACAGGGTCTGAGGCAGCGGCCATTGGGAAGAGCGTCAACCTTCGCCGAAGGGAACCCTCCACTCAATCGCCGCCGAAGTTCATTTCTTTCTGAAACTTTTTCTGAGACGCGCAAGTCGTTACGCTCATCGACGGACGATATACTGCTGCCGCGCGCGCGCAACGATGATGACCTTCACGACCATGACGACAATTCTCATTGGCAGTCTTTGCCTCTTGGTCTTGCCCTGCTTCCCGCTGTCGGTGGCATGTTTTTCAAGAACGGTAGCGCTGTCATCACAGACGTGACACTACTAGGATTAGCTGCTATATTCATGAACTGGGCCCTCAGGTCGCCCTGGTAAGGAGTGACCTGATTCTTTTGCGCGTGGAGCAATAACTTATGATTATCCAGGGACTGGTATCGAGCTGCCCAGACCACTGTGTTGGCAGATTCAACCACTCCTCCTGTATTCACTCCGATAGACGAAGTGGATGAGGATCAGATTGCACTATCTCTAAATGGACGCGGTGAAGACGACACCAGCAAAGCGAAGTCGAACGGTAATGCTTCTGGTACGAAGCTTCTCAATACAGAAAGTGCAACTGCGCAGAAAGAGCTCCGTGTCCATGAGCTTCTGGCGTTGCTTTCTTGTTTCGTGTTTCCTCTGATCGCGGCCTGGCTTCTGCATAGTATCAGATCCCAGCTCTCTCGGCCATCTGAGGGCTTGGTCTCAGATTACAATCTCACTATATTCATATTAGTTGCCGAGATTCGGCCCATCTCTCATTTGATAAAGATGGTGCAACGGAGGACCCTATTCCTTCAACGACGAGCGAATATTGATGTTCTTAAAGAATCAAGTCGGATGGACAATCAACAACTTCGCGACATCTCACGCAGGCTGGACGACCTCGAGGCACATATTGCGGATCGCATTGCCAGCACCGGGAAACAAAAAGTGGAACAAGTTGATCACGCACTCGTATCTCAAGCCTCTGCGACAGCGACATCCGAGGTCAAGAAAACTGTTCAGCCAGAGCTAGACGCCTTGAACAGGGCCATGCGCCGTTATGAAAAAAGATCAACCATCTCGTCTGTGCAGATCGAAGCAAGGCTACAAGACCTTGAAACACGTTTGCATGACGTTGTGTCTCTGGCTGCGGCTGCGCAGCGAAATGCCGATCGAATCCCGAACAACTACCTGCTCATCCTGGCAAACTGGATCTGTGGTGCATTTGTCATCCCTGTACAATATCTGCTCTACTTGTCAAGTCTTCCATCAAAAGCGTTATCATCTCTCGTCGCAGTTCCAAAAAGGTACATGACAAAAAAGACAAGGAACCAACCGGCAAAGGACGGCCGGGCATCTCGGAAAGGCGCGCCGCCTCGGTCTCTTGAACGTGAACGAAGGGCGAAGGTGCCACCTTGAACGCCTCAGGTTGAGCAATCTCTTGGCACTTGAAGGACACTGCGCTCTGCGCCTGGTGGTCTTGTCTGTACAACGCAGAATTTCTTTTGAAAGAAGCAACAAGGGAAGATTGACATCTCCACAGGGGAATCGTGATGGTCACAAACACCGCGAGATGCATGTCACTACATGCTAAGATATCTTGCCTGTTTGCACAATGAGCAACTTTGCCAACATGACCTTACTGCAACAACTACTGATGGCTCCGGGAGGGCAGGGCCGTATCAAGCTTTCGAAATGGGCAAAGCATGAAGATGTCTGTTATCGCAGCATGGTTATCTGGGGTACGCACGCCGGCTTCTCAACAGCAGCCGTCTTGCCTCATTTCTATTGGCCACTCTGGACGTCTAAAAAAGGACATTATGTACCATATCCGCCGACCAGCCCACTGCACGCCGAGCAAGTATATGGTATACCGCATCATAGGACTCGAATGTAGGAGGCATCACCATCAGCCGAGTGGGCTAATACCCACCATGACGCCAAAGAAACAACAAAAATGACCAAAAGTATGTTTATTGTTCAATACTATCTAGATGTCGCACTCATCTCTATTCTAGTATTCTTCGTATAATATCAAGCTATCCAAAGAGCTGAAACCGGCGGCAACGCCCCCTTCATCACTATCCTTTCCTTTGGTCCTTAAGAGGTAGCCGCCCTCTGTGCTATGTAAAATCTCAGGCTTCGTGTCACCCGGGGTATTTCTCCAAAGACAGGTGCCAAATATACCTAGTTCGGAAATAACGTTGCCACTGACGACCTGTCCGTCACTCCGCAAAACGGTATTTTTAGCTGCGGTGGGTGGCCGGATCAGTTCCATCAAGATGTACTGCTTCCACTGAGACTTGGGGATAGAATTTAAGAAAGGCGGGATGTTGGTGCGGTAGATGTTGTTGCCGCCCCCCTCACGTTGTGGCTTCAGCACGTGGTTCGCTGCCGTCTCGGCGGAGAGAGCCAGGCGGATTCCCTCCGGTTCACCGGATGCCTCGGAGGCGGAAGCGGACAGGGAATATTGTGGAGCAAAGGTCGAGCGGAGGTTTTCGAGAACGCTCTCAGGGTGGGTTGGGAGGAAGGCTTTGAGGTGGTCTGTGTCGGGAGGCCTGGCGGTGAGGACTTGTTGGACTTTCTTGGAGCCGGAAAGATGGAGGAGGATGGTGGGGCATTTTATCGCCGCGCTGCGTTCCAGGTGATGGCGAGCGGCCCATGACGTGGGTGTGTTGTATTCTGTGGGAGCGTAGAGTGCTCGGAAATACACTACCGTGACCTCAAATTGAGTGGAAGGGGAGGATGGAGGTGTGTAAATCAGCGGACGATTAGGATTACTCTCCTTCGATGGAATGGACGTATAAGCTAGAATCTTGCTGGTTGGGAGGCGGAATGAGGGGATGTGATGGTGTTTGTACAGATGGGTAGAAAGGGCCAGTTGGTCGAAGACGTTGCGCTCGTTGTCTTGGACGAGAAAGATAACGCAGGTTGGGAGTCTGGGTTCTGATCTCGAAGGTCCATACGCCACATGAGCGGCCGCGAGGCCCGCGGTCAAGGTCGCCACGGCCTCATTGTGAGGCGGATGCCCGATGGTACGAATAGAGGTGTCGCCCGCTGAGTTTGCAAACAGCGGATGTAAAGGATACGCCACTGAGTGTTTTGGTGAGGGGTAGGTCGCAAGATGGGTATGCATATCTGCAACAAGGCAAGCTAGGCCTCCGAACGATGAGGAGATGGTGTTGAACTCGACTTGCTTGAGGGATGGTGGCGCCTGTTCCGCAGTGTGAACCATATAGTCAGAGCGGAACATGCCCAGAAACAGGTCTTGAACATAGCCCTCTTCCTTGACGGCAATGTGTATCTTCCAGAGATTGGCAAGGAAGTCATCGACCTCTATAAGCCTGCTTAATGTCAGTCTCGAATGTGTTTGCAGCAGATCATGGTTGGGCACGAGGCGGTGGAAGAACACAGAAAGTCCGGGGACTGGCGCAATACTTTACTCACTCTCTCATGATCTCTTCCAGCCACTGCTCGTCACTGGCGATGCTGGCGTACAGCTCATTGTAGACTGGCTGGATGCTTTTCGCCAGCTCAAAGCAAGCTTTGGGAAAGGGGCTTGGAAACAGAGTAACTGGGGCATTAGTAGCGAGGACATTCTTCGGGTTTGTCTCCTCTGGGACTATGGCCGTGGATGGTCTAACCGTAAGCCCATGCTCTACAGTCCAGTTTTTCACTGTCTGGACAAGGTACTCCTCCTGCTCGGGGGTCAATGCTGGAGGATAGTCAAGGTAGACTTTGTTGGCCGTGTGATCTGCCATGGTCTTCAGGCGCAACAAGTCAATTGAGTGAATTGACTGGCTGATGTGGTGCCGTGAGGCCGTAGTTCGAGGAGCAATATCGACGAAGGGGAGTTTGTCTCAAGACCAGAGCGACTTGCGCTTGAAGTTGGCGCACTTTTGTACCTTTGGTATATTTTTCTGCCGTCCGTCTCGATGAGCCGTTTAGTCAGCAATCAAGCAAGGGCTCGCTGTACTTTCCCATCTGGCACACGCGTAAAGTGGTTTTCCGCGTCGGCAAGGCTGGGCGAGGCTGCGCAAGGCTAAAACGCTTATCCTGGCCCCCACCCGGGCATTCACCTTTTCTCCCACGCGCATCGAGGCGTTCAACAGGCAGAGTCTCAGTTGCCCCCCTTCTCCTTGGATCTTGTCACTTCAAGTGCGACTGCCTGGCTTGACACCCGCCTGACCTTTGTTCAATCCCCGGCTTCTTCGTTGTCTCTGCTTCATCTCTTTACGGCAGACAACAGTCCTGCTCGGTTCCGCACCATGCGAACAAAGTTGCCGCTGCTCTCCATTCCCAAGGCAAGAAGTTGAGTGGGAGTGCCTTCTTGATTTCCTGTTTGTTTCCAAACGGCGTCTCTTGCAAGGTGCTTCTGCAGACATTTACCACCCAGTCGACTGATGAATCTCTCTGTGACGTTACCTGCGCCTCACTTCCTGCTCACTTTCCTGCCGACGTCTCAGCCTCGTCAACTTCGTTTTCCTGACACGTCCTCATTTATCTCTCTCAGAGAGGCCAGGCTGATGGTGCCTCAACATGGATTCTCTTCTCGATGCCGACGATGACCCTCGAGACTGGTCAATCGATCAAGTCGTCTACGAACTCTGCCAGTGCTCGACTCCACGTTGGCTGTCCAAACACAAGCCTCAGTTGATTCCAGACCGCCATGGCCTGGAAGATGCTCTTCGGCGAAACCATGTCGATGGGGACAATCTTCTCGCTCTCGACATGGCAACCCTGAAGGAGGACCTGGGGATCCCGTCCTTTGGCCAAAGACGAGCCATTATGAAAGCGGTTGAGTCCTTTCGCGCGATCTCAAAAAGCTATCAACAGATGGTTTTTCAAGCAGACAGTATCGCCAGAATGCAGTCAGCCACGTATGCCTCCCCACAGATAACCCAATCTCGGATTTCGGGAGTTCCACAATCTCCTGCTTACTACGGCCTCGGCGTTCAACCGTCTATCGAGCCTCCGCGTCCTTTTCAATCACCTTCTTTCACCAGTGCGGCGGGCCAGCAGCGGGTTGTTTCCAAGGATTTCACCCTCAATTCACCTGGGCTCGCGATTCATGACACTCCGGATCCCCCAGTTCCAACTATTCGCCCTTCCAATAATCCTTCCCCCGATGTCGTTCAGCCAAAATCAAGCTCTAGTGTCGCCAGCTTTCACGGAAATGATGTCGTTGATGCTCTCGCCTCTCAAACTCGCGATCAGCCACCGCCTCATCTGTTACAACAGCCTGTAATAGAACATGCTGTCGTCAGCGGCAAAAAGAAAATTGCGCCAACTTTCGTGTCACATTTGCCCGAGGTGACCCCAGTAAAATCAAGTCGTGATACCTATCTCGGCCGAGATGCACTTCCCCTGCAAGATGTGTTCTACTACAAAAGCCGAAGTGGATTTACTGATGAAGTTTCATATCGCGTCGCTGCCGCCGAGGAATCAGGTCCATTCCACATCTCTGCCGATTTTCCTGCTGGCCAACGCCGAACAATAGGGAGGCTGATGAGATCTTTCCTGCGTGAAGGTACGACTGTCCTACCTCGGAGCGGACTGAGAATCAAGCTACCCTACAAAAACTCCAGGGTCAAGCTTCCGTATTCCGAACAATACTTTACCTTGTTCACACCCGGCACCGAGAGGGCAAAGGTGTGCAGGGTAGAAGACTATCCCGAGCTCAAGACCCTCCAGGACAATCAGTCACGAGATTCCGCCATTGACTTGCCTGAGGGTGTCCAAGATGTATCTCATGAAATATCGTTGAACGCAAAAGGTGGTGGTTCGAGTTTGTCCGACCTGGACTACCTTCTGGACAAGTACCCAGTGGAGAGTTCTGATGGACTTCCTCTTTATGGCGATTCGGGAGACGAGAACGATCTCGATGAAGACACCTGGAGGGAGATCCAAGAGGAGAAGGCTGAGGCCGAGGAATCGCGCAGGAAGTCTGCCAATATGACGCCAGCTGAGGTTGAGACCGCTATCAACGAAGCCATAGACGAGTGGAAGCAGGAGTGGCGCGAAACAAAGCTCTTGAGTGCCCAGAAGAAGGCTTATCGTCACTGGATGAGCGCAGCCCGAAACAAGAGTCGCCAAGAAAAGATCGAGTACTTCAACTACTGTAAGAGTCAGGTTTTGCGCAGGTTGCATAATATCAAACGTGAGATCGCTGGAAATGTCTGGCGCAAGCCAGCTGAGGTCAAGAGACAATGCCAAAGCCTCGAATTAACAGTCTATCAGCACCAGGAATACGAATACTACGGCCATGTCTTGCTCCAAGACAACCCACCGGCAAAACCTGACAAATATGCGCTTAAAGCAATCCGGACTCCCAAACAGCACAATCTTGAGGAAGATGAAGAGCTTCTCGAATCCGAGCCAGAAACATCAACCGAAGAAGATGCGCAATCCTTCGTGGATGACTCCACTGATGAAGGTTCCATTCATCATATCCCGGACACTGAAGACTGGCAACTCATCGTTCCAAATACAGCAAGACAGCGTGATACAATGACCGTGCCTCCAAATGCTTCACCCAACGCAAAAGTCCCCACCAGTATTCGTGAGTCACCAGTGCCCGACCTCCATGCCAACGACGCAGATGTCGAAAGCGAAACCGACGATGACATAATTCCACCAGCTCGTCGAAAGACAACGCGCATTAAGACCGAAGCTCCTCGAACGCCGGATGCCAAAGGCGCTCATGTGAAGCGGAAACCTTCTAAGCCTCAGCAACCCACTTCCGATACTTCGGACCTCGACCGCTCCCCACGTCTTCCGAGTTCTAGGTATCGAAACAGAGGACTTTCCGCAGCCGCGCCTGTTGACCTGACATTCAGTTCTCCATCTGGGGCTGAAAGAAGCACAAATGATACCTCGACTGACTTCAGTGTTCACACACCGGAACTCAATCCGGTTCGAACAGGGAGTCCAAAAAAGAACAACCCGAAGAGGAGTATTCTTGTTGCCGACTCAACGGACTCTGAATCGGAGTATATGTCTTCCCAAGATGACACTAGCCTACCAGGAGTGTACGACTTTCAGGGTCTGAGGCGTATACCATGGTCAGAAATAGACCCCATCGACAAGCGGCGAGCGCTTGCAAAGGCCGTATATGCCCTTGATCTAGAAGCGGTTTCCAAATTGGCTTCCTTTCTGAACTTCACGGCGGATTCCAGCCAGGCTCCAGAAACGGTCATCATAAGCGGGCTCGTTGCTCTGGACGAAGATGCAGCCACAATCGCAGGCGTCAAACCAAAATATCAGTCAAGCGCTCAGTTGCTGGTTTTGCTCTATCTAACGTATATTTGTGGTCAAAATGCGTTGGAAGAGTTTGAGCTCTCGGAAGCCCACAGGGACCAGGCATTTGCGGACAAAGATTCTGCTCTTGTTCCGTTCTATAAGTTGCTTCGGAAAATCATCCAGACATATTTCAAGAATCAGACGCAAACGCAAACAAAGGGCAAGAAAAGAAAGCGAGATGAAGACTCTTTCTCTATTCCTGAAACAGGAAACAACACAGATGAACAAATGACAGATATTACTTTAACTGATTCATTGGAAGAGCTTCTGCCTTCATCTCACAAGAAGCGCAAGCGCAAGGTGGAAGAAAGCCAGGAGGCAAAATCTCAACAATACAGCGACAAGCTCAGGATCCAAGAACAAGAAGAGCGACGTAAGAATATGGCTAGTAAGCTTGCCCTGATGCAAGTCGATGGGAGCGCCGCCTACATCGTCAACTCGGAAGAACCACCCGTCGAACTTCACCAGCATATTGCTCAACGCGTGAAGCCACATCAAGTCAACGGCATTCAGTTCATGTGGCGCGAAATTATCGAAGATCCAAAACATCAAGGTTGTATTCTGGCGCACACCATGGGTCTAGGGAAGACCATGCAAGTCGTCTCTCTGCTGGTGACAATTTCTCTTTGCAATCAGAGCAATGATCAGAATATCAGAAATCACATCCCCGAACATCTCCGAAAAAGCAAGACTCTTATACTTTGCCCTGCTTCTCTCCTCAACAATTGGGAAGACGAACTTCTGATGTGGACGCCCGATCCTGCTGTCCTCGGTGCTATTCACAAGGCTGACTCAATCAGCAAACCGGACAATATTCAAACTATCTTGGCCTGGTCGAAGCAAGGTGGCGTTCTTCTGATAGGGTATGAACGGTTTAGACGATTCATCACGGACAGCATCAAAGCGAAAGGAAATGTTCTGGTCGACCTTGAACACATTCTGTTGGAAGAACCAAATCTTGTCATTGCCGACGAAGCCCACACATTGAAGAATGCCAAGTCAAAGATAAGCCAGATTGCTAAACGCTTGAAGACGACGAGCAGAATTGCTCTATCAGGTTCCCCTCTAAACAACTATCTCGAAGAATACCATACTATGGTCGACTGGATCGCTCCGGGCTATCTGGGAGATATGGTCCAATTTCGCTCCAAATACTCGGAGCCTATTATGGAAGGACTTTACTCTGATAGCACTGCCTACGAGAAACGGCTGTCTCTTCGGAAATTGCATGTACTTAAACGAGACCTTGATCCCAAAATCAATCGGGCTGACATTAGCGCCATCGAGAAAGACATGCCCCCGAAGACCGAATACTTTATCACGATTCCCCTTACGGACCTACAAAGACAGGCATATAATATCTATGTTGGTCATATGCTGCAGTCATTCAAGCTGATGGGTGGTAGTCTGCAAGGTGGCAATGCCAGAATCTGGGAATGGATTGCAATGCTCTCGTGGCTCTGCCACCATCCTGCTGCATTCGTTACTAAAATGCATGAGCGCGAGGAAAAGTCGAATATGAACCACCAGCAGAAGCGCAATCAAGTCAATGACACCAGCGACCCTAGCGACAGCACAGACGAGGCCTCGGCACTCGTTGAGGTCGACGAGAATGTTGTTCCTGATGTTGCGGGTCCTATGCGGGAGGCAATGCGACAAGCCCTGCACATTCTACCTGATGCGAGCGATCGGAAAGCGCTATACGATCCAACTCTGTCCTATCGTACGCTTGCTGTGAAGCGCATCCTGGAAAAAGCGATTGAGGCTGGAGACAAAACCTTGATATTCAGCCACAGTATTCCAACGTTGAATTACTTAGGAAAGATGTTGAAGGGGATGGCATCTTTCTGTCGGATTGATGGCGATACTAAAGTGTCGGACCGGCAGGCCTTTACAAAAGAATTCAACCAAAAGGACAATTACCAGGTTTTTTTGATCTCTATGCGGTCTGGCGGCCTTGGTCTAAACCTCCAGGGTGCAAACCGAGTGATTATCTTCGATTTCAGCTTTAATCCGACGTGGGAGCAGCAGGCGATTGGCCGAGCGTATCGACTAAATCAAAAGAGGCCGGTTTTTGTTTACCGTTTCCAAGCAGGAGGGACATTTGAGGACAAACTATTCAACACTTCTGTCTTCAAAACTCAACTCTTTGGCCGCGTCGTCGACAAGAAGAATCCAAAACGACATGCTAGTAAGGGCGCACATACAGAGTACCTTTTCCCAGTCAGAGACATTCCGCAAGTCGACTTTGGCGAGTCTCTCGGGAAGGATCCCAAAGTACTTGATGCCATTATTCACGAGCTCGGTTTCATTCGTAGCATCGTGTTGACCGAGACTTTCCAGAAAGAGGACGATGAACAACTGAACGACGAGGACCAAAAGGTGGCAGAAGAGGAGTACAACGATCAGCGTTTACAGCGAGAAGATCCCGTCGCATGGCAAGCGAAACAAGACGCTCTTCTTGCTAAGCAGCGGATGCAGCAGCAGCAGCAGCAGCAGCAGCAACAGAACCATCTGAACACCGTTTTGCCGTCCACAATGCCAATTTCCACATTGCACTATATGGATCCTGCACTCCGACAGAGAATCGGCTCCAATGCGCATGGATCAAGGTCTTTTGGGTACAATTTTGTGCCATTTCCTTTTGTGAGGGAACAGCTTAATGCTCCTCCTCAACAACCTCAGCCGATTCATGAATCGCTTTATGTGGCTGGATCTTACGATGATACTTTCCAAGCCCAAGGATGGAATAATATGCCTCGTCGTGCTGCAAGCACAGAGCCTGATGCAACAACGTCATGAACCATCCCCAACGGCCTGATGCATGTCAAAGGCGGGCATATTATAGGGTTTGAGATTGCGGTTCTTAAAGAGCTGTACACACATTTGATTTCGGTTCCTCCCAGCAAGCGAGCTTGCATTTGTTTCATAGTCAGCAGAGATACCCCCGCAAAGCGTTTTTATTACGAGGGCACGGTCATGGTTACGAAGGGCATGGATTGAACCTGGCGCTGGGAGCAAATGACTTTTATTTGTGGATCTTTCGTCATGCTTCCGGTGATTGTAACAGTATTAGGAGCTCAGAGAGTTTCTCCCGAGACAGATATGCAGAGAAATTCGTACGTGTGTTCAGCTTCTGGCGCCCACTTGACCACTTGCGCCTTGTTTCGAATCCGTCATGCCGGTGCTGTTCGTAGCGTCCAGCCATAAATGAAGAATGTCAGTCACCGCAAAGACACCATTTTTGCGCGTAGGAAAAAGAATGTAGTGATTGTCTGACAAGACACATCCATGACAGATTGGACTGCCCAAGCCAGGCCCCATCACCGTTTCCCCAACAAAAGTACTATGTATGTAGAAACCCGACTTCTTCCCGTCCCTTGTGCAGGACAGGATCGGGGGATATAAAGGCCATCTGCTAAGACTGCTGCCATGCGGCCGCTCGAGTCGCGACTCTCGACCAACGTCTTCCTGCACGTGCCGTTACAGCAGTCGTCTTCGTCGTCGGTGAGAGAAGCGAAGCGGACGCTACAGGTTGTCTTCTTCATCCCGGGTAATCCAGGGCTGATTGGGTATTATCATCCGTTTCTGGCACTTGTCGTGCGGGGGGTATTACGAGGGGAGGAGAATGTGGGTGGTCGTGGGCGTGGACATGGACGTGAGAAGGAGCGTGGATTTGGGGATGCGGGTAGGAAGGAGGACGAGAACGGCGATGGAGGTGAGGGATGGGCGCAGCAGACGGTGGTGGTGGCGGGTTTCAGTCTAGGTGGGTTTGATGTGGGCGACGAGTCTTCTCCAAAGAGTAAGGAGCGAGAGGAGGAACGAGCAGAGGAAGAGGAGGATCTGCTCTATCCGCCCTCATTCCTGTCTCAATCTCGTCATAAGCAACGACAAAAACAACAGGAGAACCATGGGAATCTGGGGGACAGGAAAGGAAAGGGCACAGCAGCAGAGGGACAACAGCACCACAGAATGATCTACACGCTCCGCGAACAGATCGAGCTCAGTTACGCGCGAGTGCAATACCTGGTCGAAAGACTGCAAGAGGGGCAGAAAGCAAACATCTCGGAGCAAGAGCAAGAGCCCCTCCAAGTTGAGGTCGTCCTCATGGGCCACAGTGTCGGGGCGTATATTGCTCTAGAGATCGTGAGGCTGTGGCATGAAAGGCATCCGCAGCCAATGCTCGATCCTTCGGACACCACCACGGCGGATTCCCATGACAGGGACGACGACACGTCGAGGATATCGAGCTTGGGCCCGTCCGAGACCAGAGATGGGAGAAGCCCGAGCTGGTCGATATCAACATGCATCCTCCTAACTCCAACAATCCAAGACATCCACCTCTCCCCTTCCGGTCGCCTGGCCACTCCCCTGCTCAGCTACCTCCCATTCCTCCCCGGGCTAGCACACATGCTTCTCCACGCAATACTCCTAAGACTCACGCCCCCAGCGTGGTTCTGCCTGCTTGTATCGCGCGTCACGGGGATGCAGGTGGGAAGCCATGGCTACGAGACCACGATGGCGTTCCTCAGGAGTGGGAGAGGCGTCAAACAAGCCCTGTTCATGGCGCAGGGTGAGATGAGGGAAATCAGAAGAGATGTCTGGGGGCGGGAGGTCTGGGGAGCGAGCCATCACAACGACGTGATGACCGCAGAGGAGGATGACCGCTCCAAAAGCACAACAAGTAGTCCAAGGCTGTTTTTCTGGTTTGCAAAGAAAGACCACTGGATCGCCAATATCACAAAGGAAGCGATTGTCAAAAGCAGAGCTGCCGATGTTGGTGTGCAGAGGGACAGCTTTACCGGATCTCCGACGAATCTGGCGGTCGTGGAGACTGAAGAGGTGGTTTTCATGCCAGACCAGATGGGCCAGACGACGGCACGAGCAGCAAGAATCCACATACTGGAAACGGAAGCTATGGTTCATGCATGGTGTTTGGACCAGAGCGAGTTTGTCGCAAGACGAGTGAGCAGCTGGCTGAGGGAAGTTTTGCATGCAGACAATAGCATGCTCCGGGATGGGCGCTCATTGAACCGGTAGATACAACTGTCATGCTGCTTAGGACACATAGAAAATGGAACCATTACAGCCTTCGGATTGGAAGCGCAATACATGATCATTAAGCTATCTTGCTCCGAAGCCAGCTTTCCTGAACAGATCAATCAGTACGTCAGGCTGTTGCAGCCCTGGTTGTGATGGAGGTAGGGTTCTACCATCATACTCATGTGCTCGTACACTCCAGGCTGCATCGTCTGATCTCTGCTGGCCAAAAAGTTGCTGCAGACTGATTTGCTGACCAGGAGCCGGTGCACTTGCTTGCTGATCTTGCAAGGTCTGCTCAGCCTGGAGCATGTGACCATTTGTATGCTGTGCGGTTGCAGCTGAGGCAGCCGCTTCGGCGGCTTGTCTGCTTACTCCAGCATGATCGGCCAGAGACTTCATCAGTTCGCCGTTCCGCTTCTGGGCGTTTTCAGTTGAGGTCCCTGGCCCGTCGTGGAAGATATAGACGCCGTAAATCTTTTGCTCATAGCCTTCCTTGAAGCTAATGATGACATATTCCCCGGTTATCTCCACGCCGGCATTTTCGCCTTCCCGGAGTTCTGCTTCGAAATTGTTGAGGCCCCTTCTGTTGAGAACAATCGCGGAATATCTATCTTCACCCAGTGGTCCGGGAGTGAGCTCACAGATAAACAAGGAGCCTTCCACTCCTGTCTTTGTCCATTCAGGTTGAGGTAGCGGAGAGAACTCGTATACCACGGCGTAAGGGGCTATGGAGAGGATCGAGGATATCTGGGGGTTGTGTCGTTTGAGCACGGATAGGTTGAGTTCTTCGTTGGTGCGGTTCGGAGGAGGAGGCTTTGTAGGGTAATCTGACTGATAGCCTTGATTGTCGGACTCATAGTCTGAGATCTGAACAGCAAGCTGCGGGGGAGCCACAGCAACGGGTGTGGGAAGAGCAGCAGCAGAAGTGGCAGCAGGTAGAGGACCAGGAGCAAGGGCAGATATTGGCGGCTCTGTCTGAGGTTGTGACAAGGGAGGATAGCGAGGGAAGTCGACAGACTGTTGTCGCCGCGAGTTTCCAGACCGTCGATTATTGTGACGATGCGACATGGTGAGAGAATACCTGGGGCGGGGGAGGAAGGCTGCGGGAAATGACACCAGGTCAATAAAAAGAACCTGCGACCTACCTGACGGGTAGGTACCTGCCTTGACTTTTCAGGACCTAGGCCAGTAACATGGGGTACAGCCGACGTGTCATACAAGACTGTTGCTCATCACAGCAAGGGAGAGGTATCGTGGTGAAGTGAGAAAGGGTAGAAGCAAGGAGAGCGCAGTCTGCAGAATCACAACCTCACGAGGCTGCAGTGCCAGTGCAGGCTGATCAGTGGTGAGGCTCAAAGAGGGAAAGCGCCACCCCCGGAGTCCAGCTGGCACCAATTGTCCAATTAGCGCGTCGATCCCTGGTTTCCCCTTAATTTTTGAAAAGTCGCCCGTTCACCACCTCAATCGACACCCTCGTCCATCTTCAACCACTTCGTCGCGCCTCCAACAACTTGTTTTCTTGTTCTATTCTATACCTTCGTTTCGGCTTGTCGACAACTTCCGTTTTCGGGCGTCCTTGTTTTCTGCCGGCGCCCTCCACGCCCAATCCTTTAGAACCATGTCTTCTCCGATGAATGCGGTACGCAGTCTCGCTCTTGCACATTGACCCCTAATCGCCAGCACCCACGCAGCCCATACCCATCAATTGCCTATCGCTATCACCATGTTCTCTACTAACAGCATGCGCCTGGCGCAGTTAAAGATTCGGAGAAAGAAGAATGTCAAGAAAGGAATTCAGTTTTGCTTGATGGTTTGCGGTGCAAGTGGAACTGGTACCTAATTCCCTCCACACCACACTGACCTCACTCTGATCTGACCGCTCTTAGGCCGAACCACCTTTGTCAACACCCTCTGTGGCAAGCGAGTCCTTCAGCCCAAAGATGCCGATGATGCAGCCAACGCCCACCTCGAGGAAGGAGTAAGAATCAAGCCGGTCACTGTTGGTAGGTGAAGAGAAAGAACACAGTCAGTTAGGTGTGAACTGACAGCACATCTTAGAGCTGGAATTGGATGAAGAGGGAACACGCGTATCACTGACCATTGTGGACACCCCGGGCTTTGGTGATCAGATTGACAACGAGTCCGCGTTTGGCGAGATTGTTGGGTACTTGGAGCGACAGTACGACGATATCTTGGCCGAGGAGTCTCGTATCAAGAGAAATCCTCGATTCCGAGACAATCGTGTGCATGCCCTGCTCTACTTCATCACCCCCACTGGCCACGGTCTCCGCGAGCTTGACATTGAATTGATGAAGCGTCTTTCTCCCCGCGTCAACGTCATCCCCGTCATTGGAAAGGCTGATTCATTGACCCCGGCCGAACTGGCCGAGTCCAAGAAGTTGGTCATGGAAGATATTGAACACTACCGAATCCCTGTCTACAACTTCCCCTACGACATTGAAGAGGATGATGAAGACACGGTGGAGGAAAACGCAGAGCTACGTGGCCTGATGCCGTTTGCGATTGTCGGTTCAGAAGATGTGATTGAGATTGGAGGACGCCGGGTCCGTGCACGACAGTACCCATGGGGTATTGTGGAAGTCGACAACCCACGCCACTCGGATTTCTTAGCCATTCGCAGCGCCCTCCTGCATTCGCACCTTGCTGATCTCAAAGAAATCACCCACGACTTCCTGTACGAAAACTACCGGACGGAGAAACTCAGCAAGAGCGTGGACGGTGGTGTCTCGTACGTGACCCTGACCGCATTTGTGTGTTTCTGCAGGTTGACTAATTGTTTTGTGTCACAGAGCCCAAGACTCGTCGATCAATCCCGAAGACCTCGCCAACCAGTCGGTCCGCCTGAAGGAGGAACAGCTGCGACGTGAAGAGGAGAAGCTGCGGGAGATTGAGGTTAAGGTTCAGCGAGAGATCAATGAGAAACGACAGGAGCTGCTGGCACGGGAGAGTCAACTGCGTGAGATAGAGGCTCGTATGCAGCGTGAGCAGAGCCAGGGCATGGACGACCTGAATGGCCACGGGCACCAAGACGCATAGAGGAGGGGGCGAAGTTCAATGAATCGGGGAAGGCGGAAGATGTCGTGTTGATATCGGGCTCATGCAGGCATGGATCCAAAGTGAAGCTGGTGTGGGCGAGCAGCGGGATGAGGCTGACCAAAGAGGCGTCGAGGCTGTTGCGGAGATGGCAGGGCCACCAGGGCGGTGAGTCTCTGGTCGTCCTCGAGTTGCCCGATTGCCTGTCGATGATGGATACTTGTTGCAGCAGAGTACATTCTTCTAATCAGCGGTGACTGGAGAAAGGCAAATGAGGAGATGGTCTTGTTTCCTTTTTCCCCATGCCTGGGTTCTTTGGTCCATTGAGCGCAGTACGATAGTCGATCAGCTCAGTGAGAGCACCCAGTAATGAACAGGCTCTAAATCGTTTGGGCTGCGGCAGAGAAAGGTTCGGGCCTGCCACTGGCTTGGAGCTTCTGGCAGGTGGGTGTCCACTGTCCTGGGTGTCTGCGGAGTGATTCGCGGGTACCTGGCGGACTGACTTGACCGCCTGACCATGTTGCCGTCTTCCGAGCCGGATGCGGCCTCGTTGTGCGCTGTGTGTTGTGCGGAAGACGGGAGGCCATGCTTAAGCCGTTTAGAGTCAGCTGGGGGATGCCACTGGGAGGCCAACATGGAGACGTCACAGAGCAGAAAAGTGAGAAACCGGTGTCAAACAGAGCGTGGGGTGAAGGCATTGACCAGTGGTAGAGACCAGTGGGAAGGAAGCATTTTGCGGAGGAGGGGCAGCAAGGGGCACGAGAGGCCACAGGACCAAGCCGGAGTTGGACCATTCAACTTGAGGGTAGCACAACATGAAAGCATCTGCTGGGGCCGACGCAGCCTGCCCAGCTTCAAAAAGGATCAGAAGAAATAAATCGCGCATGCCAGGGGCTTGACCTATCTAGGAGGAACCCTTGCAGGGGAGGCGGAGCTTGTTACTATCTAGGATGGACGAAGGAGTTTTGCTGAGAAGGGATGGAGGGGATTTGAGAGATGGCACATAAACACGATGATGCGAATTCACAAATTCCGACATCAGCAGACACCTCATGCCTAAGGGCCTAGGTACCTGGTATACAAGAACCCAAGCAACTGGAAGCACGAGTCGGTGGAAAGCACTCCAAGAACGCTTCACATATCCGGGTGAGGGGCCACTATTCTACTAGACTACTAGTAAGGATACCTAGGTAGGCAATTTTCCAAGGGGGCATAGTGCGCGGGGTGACAGTGAGCACGGAAGACAAGCAATCAGGAGGGCGTGGAGTGCATTGCATATTGCATGTGCTGGAGGCTGCAGTAGCGAGTTTGGAGTGCATAGAGTGCAGCAAGTGAGCAAGGCACCGTGGGTTGGCTGCTTGGATGTTTGGGGGGAATGAATGGCTGTGAAGCAATTCAATCAATTCAATCAGTCACTTGTACGAGATATTCTATTACTTGGGCGAGGTTGATAAAAGGAGTCAATCCATCTTTCATCCTCGAGAGAGCCCGTGTGCATCTCTCTACTGACTATCTCTATCTCACTCTTACTCCTCTTACCTCACCTGCACTGATTCCTGAACCATTCCCCAACTTGCTGGGTTAGCCGAGTCCTCGTGATTGACGCATCCTCCATCCCACGCTTTGTAACCACCCGCCGATCTATTCATTCCATCTGTTGGAGCTACAAAGGTGAGCTGGAGTGGTTCATGGACAGCCTCATTTCTGCCCTCAACCATGTCTCCTGTGCCCCTATATCCTTCCTGGTTCCATCACATAGGCACTGATCCTTCATACAGTCCTGCTCTTCTCGCCTTTTGAAGCTTCTCACTGCACCCACTGACGACACCCTCAAAACTCCTCGGAGAACAACCACCCTGGCACTGATCCTCTCCCACTGACCCACTTCAAACTCAACCGTGTCTTTGGGACTTTCCATTCCACCGGATCCCACGGTTCATTGTCGGTTCACTCGGCAAAGGCGACAGGGAGACTTTGCTCTCTTGTGAGTATCCAACAAGGTTCCCTGGATCCTCGCTCGAGGACCAGAAGCAGATTCAAGGAGCAGAAGAAGTCTGAACAGCACCAGGTGCAAAAGGGGAAAAGAGCCAGGATCCAAAGTCTAGAACCCTAACCACTGACACCACGAGTGACAGCCACGAGGAACTCAACACCACCTGGTATCGACCTCGGGTCCTTTTGGGTTTCCACCTACCGGGCACAAGTCTTATCTGCTTTGCACCTTAACCAACCTGGGGCCCGCATGGTGGAAATGCCGCAGGCTTTGCTGCCCCTCCCCACGTTCATTCGCGCTTTGCACGAACCGGCCCATTTCGAGTGACCAACTCCGTTCGATGCAACATTCGATCATTGCGCATTGCGTGCATGCCCACCTGCGTCTCGAGATCCTCTCGTGCTCCAAGCATATCGCGCATCCCACTCAATTCGGTTGAGGGCCCACCCCGTAACGTCTCGAAGTCACCATTCTAGTTGCTCCCCCTCTGACGACCCTACCCACCTTGTCTTCACCAGACTCTCAAAAGCGTGCCAACTTCCTGCTACTCTGGTTCTGGCAGATCCTCCGCAGCGAAGCCTCCCAGTGCTCCTCGCGCTGGCTCCTCTTCAGTTCCCGCTCACTGCCTGTGAGCCCAAACCCTCACCGGAGCCGCCGTCGTCTCGACTACTGCCGAGACCATGTCGGTCATAACCACTGAGCCTCCTACACCCACACGTACTTCAAGCGGCTTCAGCCTTCTTTCGAAGATCAAATCCCACAAGGAATCCAAATACCTCAGCCCTTCCAAACCGGCGGTCCATCGAACGGGCAGTTATGGCAGCTCCTACGACCATGCCACTCGATCATCACCTTTCTCGCTTCCCGCCCAGGAAGGCGCAGGAGCAAAAGCTCGGCGCCTGAGCGCGGATCCCCGAGAAGATTTCTTTGTCGACGTCTGTCCCCTGGAAGACGAATTCGTCTCGGCTTCCAAGATAGGTCGTCGGAAAGAGATTGGAAAGGGCGCCAGTGCAACGGTCAAGATCATGCTGCGCAAGGGTGAGAAGAAGGGTGAAGGCACGGCGCTGTATGCTGTCAAGGAATTTCGCAAGAAGTCTGCACGGGAAACAGAGGAAGAGTACGTTCGGAAAGTCAAATCGGAGTATACGATCGCCAAATCTCTCAACCATCCCAACATCGTGCAGACGGTTCGGCTGTGCACCAACAATGGCCGCTGGAATCATGTCATGGAGTATTGCCAGCAGGGTGAGCTTTTCAGCCTTGTGGAGCGAAAGTACTTCAAGGCAGAGGACAGGAACTGCATCTTCAAGCAAGTCCTTCGCGGGGTCAACTACCTGCATGAACATGGCATTGCTCACCGGGATATAAAGCTGGAAAACCTGCTCATGACGGACGATGGGTACATTAAGATCACCGATTTTGGTGTCTCGGAGGTGTTTTGCGGCGATCATCCCGGCATAGCCCTGTCTAGAGGACTCTGCGGACAAGGTATGAGAGAGGTCCGCAAGTCGGCTCCTGGTATTTGTGGTTCGAAGCCATACATATCACCCGAGGTTCTGGCCCAAGAGAGCGAATACGATCCCACCAAGCTGGACGTATGGGGGTGCGCGATCCTTTTCATGACCATGTACCACAACGGCAATCCATGGCAGAGCGCGAGCAAGAAGGAGATGAATTATGCCCTCTTCGTGGAAGGCTGGCAAGCGTTCCTGGAGCGATTCAAGGACCCAGCGATCGATGAGAATTGCCATCCGCAATGTGGACCCATCTTCAATGCTCTCCCGTCGAATTCGCACCGGCGGTGTATCCTCAAGATGCTTCACCCGGATCCCGAACGGCGATGCAGTATCAGCGACGCTCTCAACGATCGATGGATCAAGGGAGTTGACTGCTGTTCACGCGAAGATATTGGACCGGCGTTTGAGGCGATTGACGTGTCAAAGACGGGGTGTCACAAAGTGGCGGCCAGAATGAAGGTGCAAGCCAAACATGATCATCTGCCACCACCTGTCAAGCGGCTGCCACAACATCGCTTTGACATGGGGGATGGCACATCTCGCTATGACTGAGGCGGGGGAATGCACGGTCCGGCTCGCTTTGGCCCACACGGTATTTGCATTCCTTTTCCTCCTTTCTCTGGACGACCAGGCCTTGTTTTCTTCAATTTTCTCTTTCTTCTGTGGGCGACTCTCGGCTGCGTTACGAAGTGCTCGGAATCGCGGGTGTACAGAGGTCCCTTGTTTGCCTGGTTCAGGTGGGACTCGTGGGTTGACATCTCATGGGTTGTATGCATACACGGGCGTCTTTATGGAATGGGTAATGGTCCCCAAAAACTGGGTGGTAGACTGCATTCGCGATTGCGTTTAGCTGCGGCTATGGTATATACATAGCGTACAGGTACACGATAAAAAGCAAGACCAAAAAGCCCGAAGCAGGGCGATGCCAGCCGAAACGCTGGCGGATAACAGCGTAAAGAATGGATTGAACGCGGGCGATTGTCAAGGCATCGCATGTGTGTGTGAAGCTGAGTACCTAGATTTTCTATTTCACTTGGAAATCCAAATGGCAAAGCACAATTGGCTTGACCGCTTTTGCTAGCCATTGCCAGCCATTGCCAGCCATTGCCAGCAAATGCCTCCGACAACGGCAACCGGGATCATTCCCAGCTTTGTCCTTTGAGCGAAAAGGGCCACCTGCATGACGGGACTGGGACGTGGAGGGATGATTGGCGATAAAGGGACAAAAAAGAGAATATGTGTTGAACTTGTCTGCCCGAACGGCATCGTGCTGCCTGCCCATGAGCGATCGGAGCAATAGCCGAGTGTCTAGTATGCGCCATCCAATTGACCAGCAAGCACATGGGCAGGGGGCGGAGAGGGTGTGCATGGTCTGTATACCTGGTAGGCACGCGTATCTCGTATTGTTGGGGTTCTTGGGGCCTTGGTGCCGGCAAGCAGGCAATCGACCGAGGTATTCCTTGTTGAATCATTATCGGTTCGAGTGATACAATAATATATCATGAACACATACCGAGTACTTACACACACATGGTTGATTGATTATAGACATTCTTAGTAGTAGTAGACTTCGGTATTAGAGGGTCCCCCTCCCTTCTTTCTGTCTTGGATCCATTTTGCTCTTGGCCGATATTCTATTGCGCCATCTCGCCATCTTCCCGTCTCGTCCCCGCCGCGTGTCAGTCGGTGACGATTCGGTCAATCTTCAACCTCCAAACATCGACAGAGAAGCGTGGCATCTCGACTGAATAGACATTCCGTCTACTCGTCTAGCTCTTACATGGCCGAGACTACCATCGCGGCAAACATCGTCGACAACACCACCACCAACAGCGCCACCACCGCCGACCCCAAGGCCGCCCAGCCAGAACACCCTTATCAGCCCTACATGGACGTGCAACCGCCCACGGCCGCCCATCTCAGCGACGCCAACGGCATGCCTCTGAGCGAGAAAGAGGTCGAGGCGCTGGAGAAGGAGGAGAGGGCCGAGCGCAATTCGACCCCGGAACCCAGCGACTTCAGCATCGCTTTCCCGGACCATCTGCCCACGCCGCCCTTCCTGCATGTGCAGGGCGTGCCCAATTTCCGCGAGTTGGGAGGATATCCCTGTCAGCCGCCCTCGTCACAGACGCCGACGCCGCCTTCTGGCAAGGCCTATGTCTTGAAGAAAAATCTCCTCTACCGCTGTGCTCACCCCACCCACTTGACCCCCACAGGCGCCACCTACCTGACCACCACGCTCAATGTGCACGACATGTACGATCTGCGTTCGGCGCCGGAGATCAGCCGGCTCGCGGGCACCGTCGCCTCCAGCGGCAAGACCGTGTACCCTCTTGCAAGTCCCGTGTCGGGTTGTATCGACGAGGTGCCCGGCCTGAAAAGGCACTTTGTACCCGTCTATCAAACCGAAGACTACGGTCCCGTTGCCCTGGCGAGGAAGCTCGCCTGGTATACGGCCGAGCACGCCCACGACGAGCAAGCAGGCTACGCTTACTCGGAAGGGTTTGTGAGGGCGTATCGAGACATTGCCACGCACGGCGCGGGCGCCTACACGGTCATGTTCCGACATCTCCTGGACCGACCCACCGAGCCCCTGGTGTTCCACTGCACGGCCGGCAAGGACCGCACGGGGGTGTTTGGCGCGCTGATCATGAAACTCGTCGGCGTGGACGAGGACCTCATCTGCTGGGAGTACGCGCTGACCGAACCGGGGCTGGGCGGGTGGCGGAAGGAGTTCATCGAGCGAATCGCCCAGACCGGTTTGGGGGGTGGCGGCGGCAAGCCCCAGCACCAGCAACAGGCCATTGCGGGGGAGAGTCGACCGGCGATTTCGCGAGAAGAGGCCGCGCGCATCTGCGGCAGTCGCGCCGGCAACATGCGCGCCTTTTTGAGGACCGTGCTCGAGGGCGAGTTTGGCGGCGTGACCGCCTACCTGACCCGCATGATTGGGCTCAGCGAGGACGAAATCGCCCGTCTGAGGAGCAACCTGGTCGAATTGGTCGACGACGTCCCCGGCCAGGTCATGACCCCCGTCGAGATTGACGGCTGGACTGCCGACGGGGGATGTGTGGATTGACTGCGGTGGTGGAAGCTGTGATCCCTCACGGGTTGAGCACGGGGCAGAACGGGAGCAAGGCAGGAGCAAAGCAAGGCACGGCGAAGCAGGTCAGTCCACGCCTGTTCCTGTCACTGCTAGTGCTATTGCCATTGTCACTGTTCCTGTTCCTGTTCCTGTTCCCGTCCTTGCTATGGAAAGAAAGGGAGAAAAAGAGAGAAAGAGAGACGTCGTCGTTTTACCTTACTTGACCTCCCGGTATCCGGTATAGAACCTTTTTTCTTCTTCTTCATCCTCCAACCACTATTAGTTCCTTTGGTTTTCCATTTCTCTTTTCCCTTGCAATCTCACTCCTGTTTCCGATTTGGTTTAGTTTAATTTGGGCTGTTTAACCTTGGACTCTTCTACATTAAAATCCTAGACCACGAACGACGGGCTAGATGATCTCTCTCCTCCCAGTTCCCCCTTCCCAACGTAGTCAACCAACCAAGGCTTGCACGAGAGTTATGTGAAATTTGCGCTCACTTTCATGAGAGAATAATACGAGTGGGTCGAACGAATCGAACGGGATGAAGGGGAAGGAATTACGCATGTCAGAGTGGTGATTGCTTGATTGTTCTCTAATTCAGCACGCCCCCCAAACCTCCCTTGTCGTATGACGAGGTTGATAAATCACTTTAGACGCAAGAAATCGAGAATAGCCCCAAAGAAAAGAAAGCGCGGACGGAGGAGGGGAGAGGAGTGGAGAGTCGAGGGATAATTTTGGTTGATTTACTTGGATATATCAAAGGATAGACATGCCGATACACGTATAATTAGACAGACAAAACGAACAAACGCAACGGACATGTGAACGGCTAGATTAGCTGGATAGGTCGATAAACAGGACTGTATACAGAGAAGTAAGTATCGAGTAGTAAGTAGTTACTTCTACTGTATACCGCTTGAACAATGGCTTGAACGCTTGGACCACCTACCTAACTACCTACCTGGAGCAAAATCATTCCTCCTCTGCGATAGTACATCCATCCATCTCCCCTCTCACCCCTTTCCACCGTGTCTACGAGTCTAGCCACCTTTACGAGCCCACACTCGAAGATCTAAGACTCGCGTCTTCTCTCGTCTCCCGTCGCCGTACTTCCAGCGCCATGTCCTCGAGGAGGCGTCGCGACCCGGGTTGGACTAGCACCTGCGCTCACAGCGCCCCTCTTGTCCTTCTTATTGATCAGGTTTGCAAAGAACTGGGACATGGCTTCGTTGCTCTGCTTTCCCACACCGCCAGAGGGCGTCTGTGTCCCCGTCCCGTCTCCACCGTGGTCGCTGCCCAGACGACGCATTGGCGTACTGGTGCCTGTTCCAGTCACGACACCCCCTGATGATGCATGCAGTGGGACATTTGTGGATGTGGACGCGTTGTTATTCTTCGCCGCCGCCGCATTCTGCTGCCTCTCGCTTTCCCGCTCTCTGAGTCGCCTTGTTGCCTCCTCGGCGTCGAAATCGATCCCGTTGACGTTGATCTGGTACGGACCGATGTGCTCGGCCATTCTCGGGTTGGAAACCCCCTTTGTCGGTCCCTCTTCTACAGAGCCTGCTTCGACGCTGCCGGCACCGGCTCCTGTGGGCGCAGGTGCTCCCTTTCGCGATTTCCTCTCTGCCTTTTCGTCTTCCAATTTCAGCTTTTCGAGCGTCTCGTGCTGTGCTTGTAGGAATTCTTGTACGGATGGCACAGAGACGGTTTCGTCGTGTGTACGGGGCTGGAACGAGGGCCGCAGGTCCGCGGGACGGCGCAGGGTGCTTTCAAATAGTTGGACAGCTGATGCTGAGTCGGCCTCGTTGTTCTGAGAAGGAGGTCCCTCGGGCTCTTGGTCGTAGCCTTTCGAGGAGAGGTCGAATTTCTCTTCAGGAGGTGGCTGGATTTCCACGGACCAAGCGTTCGCTACGGCCTCCGGGTCAAAGCCTTCTTTCAGAATCCGGATCTTGCCCCAAGAGTCCCAGTTCGGCGGCACCAAGATCTTGTCTCTGTCGACGATGTTGTGTTTGGCCACTTCGCGTTTCAACAGGGATTGAATACTCAAACTCGAATGCACCAGCGTCCTGACGTTGTTTGGGTCGAATGTGGCGGTATAGACGAGCGAGGCGCCGTGTTTCAGCAAAACGCACCGCAGCCATTGCATCAAAAAGTCAAACTGATCTTCTCCCCAGCCATGGTCTCGTTCCAGGTCTTGGATCTTTTCCGCCTGTATACAGACCACAGACAACGGAATGCCAAGTCCTTCATCCCATTCTCCAGGTCCCGGTGGGACTATCGATCTCTGCTCAGCCACCGTCGCGCCACTGCCACCGCTGCCGGGCTGAGCAGAAGGAGCATCTGGCCCAACTCTCTTCTCCTTCCAGGCCGTCATGATTTCCTCCATTTCAATCTTTGTCTGCTCGTCCAACGTCAAGATGACAGCCCTGAGCAGGCGTATCCATTGTCGTAGTTGCCGTGCCCATTTCAAAGGATCCGACCAATCCAACAAAATAGTGATCAATGTGTCTTTGACCGTCTTTGGCGTGAAAAGCGGTCTGAGTAAAGGTGCAAAGTTCGCAGAGGGGTTCGCCAGCATGTAGATGTTCATCCTCGCAAGCACGTCTTCCTGGTCCGCGTCCAGCACATCGTGATAGGTATAGCCCAGCGCGTAGCGGTTCGATATGGGGGCTACTCTCGGTTGCCGTCGTCTGTCGTTGTTGGCGTACCGGGCTCTTTGGTGGTTCGGAGGGTTCAATTGCTCGAGGAATCCGCGCTGCTGGTCCGGGGTGCCGCCGAGGAGGATGAGTTGCTTCTCGGACAGGTCTTTGCCCTTGGAGGCGCTGTTGAGCATGGGCACCCAGATCGCTTGTTTGTTGTCGCCATCCTTGCTGCCGGGGCGGCGGAAGGATGATGGAACGGGGACGGGTGTGGATGAGGACGATGGACGAGGAAAGCTGGCGTTTGGTTGCGATGTCGCCAGCATCTTGGATCGGTTGTGTTTCAGGGGGAGGAAAGGTCAACGACAGGGAGCATGTCCGGTTGAAAGTGAAGCATTTATTCGAATGCAACTGATGTGGACTGTTTACACGCTGCTGAGTTGGAGAGATCGACCTTTTTGGTTTCTCGTCGCGTCTTCTCCGCAGGCGCCCTGATCAGACCCTACGAACCTGGCGGCCCTGAAATGCAAAACTATAAGCCTGGCGTCAACTGCGTCACTCATCATCCTAGGCTTTTTCTCCGCAAAACGCAACACACTAAACTTTTTGACGCTTTGCGCCGACCTTCGCAACTTCTCGAATTTTCAGTGGGATGACTCGTCCCGCCGGACTCTCTTCATAGACTTTCATTGCTCGCCGCAGTCTTCAGGAGCGAAGTCAAACCATGAACGCAATTCGACAGACCCAGCTTCTGAACAAGCGCGAGCTCGAAAACGCGACACCCCCCTCGGCCTCATGGCACGCCGACTACAGGGACACGGCCTGGGTCTACATAGGCGGCTTGCACCTGGACTTGACCGAAGGCGACGTGGTCATCATCTTCTCCCAGTACGGCAATCCCACGCACCTCAACCTGATGCGCGACAAAGAAACCGGCAAAAGCAAGGGATTCGCTTTCCTGAGATACGAGGACCAGAGGAGCTGTGACCTGGCTGTGGATAATTTGGGGGGTGCGAAGGTGTTGGGCCGGCTGTTGAGGGTCGACCACACTAGGTACAAGAAGAAGGATGACGAGGACGAAGATACGTATCGGATCGACAGGTTGGAAGCCGAGGCCCAGGCGGCTGAAGAAGAAGGGGTTAATGGCAACGGGAAGAAAAGAGAGAGCGATGATAGTGACGACCAAGATGACGAGCGCAGGAGGAAGAGGAGACGGCACCTGCTGAAAGAAGAGGAGGAGCTGGAGAAGCTGCTGGCCATAAAGCAGGACGGCGAAGAAGAGGATCCGATGAGAGAATATCTGATCAGAGAGAAGCGGGAGGAGGTTGAGAGGGCAAGGCAAAAGAAGAAGGAGAAAAGAAAGCACCGACATCGACGAAGAGATGATGACTTGGACGATGGAAATGACGATATCGACAGAGAGGGCCAACACCGGCATCGACACCGACATCGAGATGCTGAAGACCTTGATAGGAGAAAAGATCGGGACAGCGGCGAGCGTACGGGAAGGGACCGGCGTGAGGACGACGAGGATGACAGAAAACAGCGAGGAAAGGACAAGGGCCGAGACTCGCGATATGATCGAGATAGAGACAGGGACAGAGACGTGGAGCACCGACATAGACATCCCCGACGAGGTAGCAGGGAGAGAAGGTCATCGCGAGACCGCGATCGTCCCTCGACCAGGCTTGATGATTATTGATTTGATTGAGTGTACGCTGTCCGACATGCGATAGGCTACCTATTTCGGCAGCAATCTGTCGGGCGAGCAGAGAACTGGTAGGCTAGGTCTACTTGACTGATAACCGCCAGACCGCAAATACAAAGCGATTACTGCTCGATGCTTCAGCTCAATTTTTCTCCTTTGAGCAGCTCCACACCTTGCTCCCTCAATTTGAATTTCTCTGCAGAAGCCACACATGGGTCAGTTACAGTCTCGCCAACAAGTGCAAAAATCGGGCAAAGTACTTACGGATCTTCCCACTGGCCGTCTTTGGATAGTCCTGCACAAAAAAGACATATTTTGGTACCAGGTGGTGGCTCATGCGATCTTTGACCCAGCTCCTGACTTCCTCCTGGGTTATGGGCTTCTCTCCTGGGGGCAGATGATGCCTGCGAATGACAAACGCCGCAACGACTTCTCCATATCTGGGATCTGGAAGACCGACCACCGAGACCTCGGCGATCTTGGGGTGTGCAAAGAGACAGTTCTCAATCTCGAGCGGGTGAATGTTCTCTCCGCCGCGGATGATCAGGTCTTTGATGCGCCCAGTGATACTGACATAGCCGTCTTCGTCTATTGATGCCTCATCGCCGGTATGCATCCATGCCTTGCCCTCCTCGTCGGTTTTGATGGCCTCTGCTGTCTTTTCTGGCTGGCCCCAATATTCCTTCATCACCAGGTAGCCATGGACTGCAAGTTCCCCTCGTTCACCCACATTCAGGATCTTGTCATGATCGAAAGGATCCACCACTTTCGCCTCAACGTGCGGGAGCAGTCGGCCGACGGTGTTGATGCGCTTCTCAATTGGGTCGTCTGTCGTTGTCATCGCAGAAACGGGAGAGGTCTCCGTCATTCCGTAACAAATCGTCAACTCGGTCAGATTTAGAGTCTTGTGCAATTTACGCATCAGCTCGGCGGGCACGGACGAGCCAGCTGCAATGCCGGTGCGCAGATACTGGAAGCCTTCATATGCAATCTTTTCGTCATCAAGGAGCTCCAGTTCCGCAAGGAACATGGTAGGGACACCATAAAGGGCTGTAGCTTTCTCCTCTTGTACAGCCTTCAAGGACGCCAGAGGATCGAATGCTTCAGTGGGAAAGACTATGGCGGAGCCATGAGTCGCGGTCGCCATATACCCTAGGATACACCCAAAGCAATGGAACAGAGGTGGAGGACAGCATACGACATCTTCCGGTGTCAGCAACATCCGGTCCCCTATTTGATTCCCGTTGTTGAGAATCGATCTGTGCGACAGACAGGCAGCCTTCGGCATGGATGTGGTGCCAGACGTGAATTGAATGTTGACCACCTCACGATTCGAGAGAGGGGCAGACGGCGTGGGAGGGCGTGTGTCCGTGTCCTGTGAGATCGATGCCCAGGGTGTTGTCGCTCGGAAAGGTTTGGGATCTATCCGACCCGCGGAATTATCGACGAGGATGATGTTCTTCAGCGACGGAATCGCCTCGGATACAAGAGTCGAGCTTGAGAGATCAGGCACAAGTGCTTCCAGAAGCGAGACATTTGGCCGCGGTGGTTTGTATGGTAGATTTGTCTCGGTTCCAATGACTAGATGTGTGGCAGACAAGTGGTTGAAGGCCGAAATAATCTGGGTCGAAGTGAAGGCCGGGTTCAGTGGGACAAGTATGGCTCCCAGCTTGAACAATGCATATGTAATTGTCGCGAATTCAAGATTGTTGCCCAGCGACACGCAGACCCGATCACCCTTTTTGACCCCCAAGCTTTGAAGTCCATGGGCCAGGACATTGCTGTCGAGATCGAGTTGGTGGTATGTCAGTCGCTTGTTTTGGTGTCTGGAGATGACCGCATTTCGGTCGCCATGTGCGGAAACGATGCGTGCAAGGTTCTCGCCGACAGTTTCTTCGAGCAAAGGAGGGTGTAGAGGGCCTTTCACTCTGGCCTGGGTCAGGAGACCGCGTCGAGGTCGAAGAAGTGAGGAGAAGGTAGGCAATGCCGCTGCCGGCGGTCGAAAGAGTGCCCGCATGGCGTGGGCATTGTTCTTTGGAAGGGATCTTGGGTTTTGTCTTAAGGGGACGTCGTCGCCATCCTAACCAGCCCCCAGTTGTATCTCAGCGCGCACAATATATTGTCCCAATGTCTCGCTCCGTAGGGAGGAAGCAGAAACAAGTCTTGGGGGGCAATGCATGGTCGGACCAGTGCCGCGGTCATCGGCGGACGGAAGGCAGCTCGGCAGCTAGAAGCTGGGGAGTTTGGAGCTTGGAGGTGGGCGTGGTGGGTTCTGAGCTGAGACGGCGAGCGGGTTGAGCTGACTCGGGTGATGGATGCCGAGTCTTGCTTCGCGGGGGCGTTTTGTGGGGTAATGAAGCCGATCAGATCAGCCCAAGATAGACGATGGAGGGGGAGTAACACACCTTTGGTGCCTATTGCCCTCTGGTCATCCGCTCTGATTGTCACTGTGTAGAAATCGGTGAAAAGATGGTTCAGATTTTTCGATGGAAAAAGGAAGAACCGCGCTGACGAGTAGCGGGATGCAGGTCGCTCCATTGTGAATTTGAGATACTGTGAGGAAGGACGGAATATAACACTACCTAGGTACCTTACTATGTACCTGGTCAGAAATATTGTGGCCACCGCCAATTCTTTTTCCGGCGTCAGCATCAACGACGTATCGCCCATGTCAGGCTCATCAGGCTCGTTACGCCGATGCTTCCGCCCACCAAATGTAGGCGCTGAAAATGCGGGGTGAAAGGATCATCAGCTTCGCTACATATGTCCAGCCCAGCCTCCAGTGCCTCACGTCAACGGTTATTTCGCCCTTTACTACCAGTCCCTGCTTACCAGGCTTCACATTAAAGACAAACATACTTCTTCTCGTGACTTCATACTCGGTCCCTCACTCCTTTGAACATTAGAATGATTCTTGAACGAACAAGCCTTAGCAGGCAACATGCAGCGTCACGAGCCGCAGCAGAACTCGAGACCAAACAGGAAGCTGACGGCCAACGTCCGCTGACATGCATGTTTTACTTCTTTGCGTCTCAAATGAAGCAAAACGTGCAGCCTCCCGATCAGGATCTCGTCCGGAGAGGGAAACTGGAGGACAAGCCAACTCATCAGCTGGATTCCATGATCGCAAGGCTAGCCATGCATGCGGCGTTTTCTCCTTTGATTTCCAAATTCGAAACATATCCGGTCGAAATTCCCAACACTGCTCCTGCTTCTGCACGTCAGAAGAATCGAACGGCTTCCCGAGAGCAAGTCCACGACAGCGTCATGATCATGAAGTTTCGGGACAAACGGGCCCGTCAGGAATGGATTGCCACCAAAGAATGGCAGGATTTTATGCGGGAGACGGAGGGTCAACAGGTCTTCAGGAGGATGCCTCATGTTCGGTGTGCCAGTAGCCTCAGGGGATTGATGGATCCAATGGATATTTTAACTGCTTGATGGCGATAAAGCAGTTTCAGACCAAAGACACTAAGCCCGAGGACTTCAATCATAACAGCACGCAGAAAGTACAGTTCCTTTCCCAGGAAGTGGCCCTCGTCAGGAGGAGATGGCAGGCATCAGGTGGTTCGAGTGCGACTGATCAAAGGCCACGACCTCGCCAGCGCCAGGTCAGATGGGTCCGGCTTGGTAATTTGGGACCCCTATCGAGGCAATCGTGCTTCGAGAATTTCGCCCATTCCCTTTCGCGTTGCCGACTTCGCCTCAAGCATGGTTGATATCGACTGGAAAGGCAGAGTTGTTGATTCTGGACAGCTCGGACGCGCACTTGAGAGGCTGGAATCAGAAATCTTGAATCCCAGTCTCCCCCTCTAAATCATGACTTTGACTTTTTGGAAGTCCTTCCTCGCCCTTGACAAACTCGGGCTCCTCTTCGTCAAAGTACCTGTCTTCGGCATCCCTCTCTTCCAGGACCCGATCGTCGTATTCGGGATTGTAGTCCACCGAGTCGTAGTCGAAATCGTCATCTCCGCCTCTCAGAAAGCGGACCTGCATCTCCCACTTCCATCTGGCGAGGCCGTCCTCCTTGGTCGCAGGCACTTCATCTCGATCTTCCGCCAATATTTCCCCGTTCGGCCCGCGCTTATATGTAAACAAGGCATGAGGGTCTGGGTGGCGCAGCGCTTCGAGCTTCGCTTCGCTCCGGTACAGGTCCGCCTCGAGGATGCCAGAGTATCCTTTTTGCCGACCTTCGGCTTCGCGTTCAGCGGGTGTTTGGAAGCGGCGGATCAATCGGTCGTAAAGAAGCGGATCTGCAAGAAACACAAAACGTAAGTCGTTCGAAGCCCTACCTTCCGAGGAGCCATTTTATGGGCACACCTGCCAGCTCAAGCTGAGGTCCAAAGTATTCTGGATGAGTATCCAGGTATCGTTTTCGCCGATTCTTGATGCGGATGCGATCAGGCATCTGTGTCTCCATCGACGGCGACGCGGGCTTTGGCGGTAGAGAAGCATTGCTACGTATAGGAATTCCTGTACCCTCTGGAAAGCGAGGCATATCAGAGTGCTTTACAGACTGCCTGTAGTTGAGGTCGCGACTCAAGGAACTGCACCCAAGAGTTAGAGGGAATTGGTGGCGACCCTTGGAATCGTTGATTTTCTACACCCCGCATGGTGCACCGTACTACTTCGGAGCATATAGCATGACAACGCCATAGGTTTGTTGCCGAAAGATACCTACCTAGCTCGCTAGGTACCTAGGTATGCTCGACAAGGCTCGCCATAGTTCGAGACGAGCGAGTAAATCATAACTCAGAAGAAAGCCCATTCCTTGATTGCCACCCGGACGGCGGAGACTATGCGCGCAACCCTTGGGATGCCGGAATCAATGAATATTCAGGATGCTGGGGAACGTTGTCGGGTCTCTCCAACATCTCAAAGCGTCCTCCAGATTCAGAGTGGGCGGCTTATTCGACACGGCTGCATAGAGATCGACTGGGTGCCAGCTACATGCCGATTGTCTGTCTGGCTTTTTCAATTGGTGAGCTTAGTGGATGAGAAGCCCCGCCTTTTCTAGGAATCCAGCACTTGTTCTGTATCTTCTCCAAAGTATTCCAGTGTGTGCATTTCAAAAGGGTGATGCTGACTACACTCGCAGCTGCTGCTATGGCGCACTCTAGTGTCAACCATGTTCACGATCTCACTGACGACACGTTCAGAGGCTTCGTGGAGCAGAATGATATGGTGCTTGTTGGCTTCGTTCTGCCTTTCCTGCCTGGCTTCCAAAGATTTTCAAGAGAATACCTCGAGGTATGAATCGCTCCTATTTTCGGGCAGACATTCGAAATGGCTTACCATCGAGCGTCTATGTACCTAGGCAGCTCAAGTGCTGCATGGCTCTAGGGTTCAGTTCGCGACAATAGACTGCCAAAAGCAGACTCGGGTGTCTGAAGAATTTGTGTTCAGCCGCTGGCCAACAGTCAAACTGTTCCGGGGCTATGGCAATGTCAAGCAGTATGAAGGAGCATGGAAAACATCAGAGTGAATGTGTTCGACTTCGAATTTGTGCCCAGTTTCTCGAGTGAACTAACGCTGTCGAAGCATTGTCTCCTGGTTGACGAGGCAAACCCTTCCTGCGATCTCTGAAGTCACCGCAGACTCTCTGCAAGAACTCAAAAGCAAGAGCGATGTGGTGGTCGTCGGGTTCTTCGCGCCTGGTGACAAAGACTCTCGCGAAGCCTTCACCTCTGTTGCAGAGGCTCTGCATGAAGACTACCTGTTCGGCATCACAGGTGATGAGGATCTTGCGAGACGGGAGCAAATCGCCGTCCCAGGAATTGTGTTATACAAGAACTTTGATGAGAAGAAGAACATCCTTGAGATGCCATCTTATGATAGCCGGGCTATCTCCGCTTTTGTCAAAGCTGCGAGTACGCCCTTGGTCGCTGATTTTCACCCCGAACTTCATGTCAACTTTGTAAATGTGAGTCTTGAGAATCCTGGCAAGGGCCTACCCCCAGGAAACTGAATTTGTTGTGCTTCTAGACTGGCCTTCCACTTGGCTACATCCTCACCGAGAGTGCCGACGAACGAGCTCAACTTTCTAGATTGGTGGCGCCGTTGGCTAAGAAGTACAGGGGCACGATCATATTTGGCCTGGTGGATGTCAAAGTCTTCAATTCAATAGCAGACGATCTGCGCCTCGAACCCAACAAGTGGCCCGCCTTTGCCATCAAAGACGCCGTCAAAGGGCATCGCTTCCCACTCCTCGATCAAGGTCAACAGCTGTCGGAACAAGCACTCGGCTCATTCGTCGAAAGCTTTGTGAATGGCGAGCTGAAGCCAGTCATCAAATCAGAGCCTGTACCGGAAACGCAGGAAGGACCTGTGACTGTCATTGTCGGTCACACTTACGATCACCTTGTCATCAATAACGACAAGGATGTTCTGGTTGATTACTACACGCAGTGGTGTGGCCCTTGTAAAGCAATGGCACCCACCTACGAAAAGCTCGCACAGCTTTACGTCTCCCACCTGACTGGCTGCGGTCGAGTCACAATCGCAAAGGTAGACGCAGAGGCTAATGATGTCCCGGGCGATATTAGAGGGTTTCCGACGTTCAAACTCTTCCCAGCCGGTTCCAAAGAGTCTCCCGTGCAATACGTTGGTCCATGGACTATCGCGGATTTTGCCAACTTTGTCAGAGACAATGGGAAGCACAAGATTGATGTGCTTATAAAGATCAATGCCGGCGATTCCAAGTTGATTCAGGAAGATCATCCCATCCCGCGAGAACAGGTGTGAAGCCTTGTTTCCGGTATTAGTGGTGTCAGCACAAGACCATCTCAGGGGTGGTCGTGGTGAGGTTTGGTGAAAGAGCCACTATTGTCCTTTTGCTGAAAACTTCTGGTTTAGTATCGTGTTGTTATAACGAGGGCAAAATTCTCATGATTGCAGTAGCTATCACCGTCGCGCGTCAGTGTCCTCGTACGAGGCCGATCCCTGACATTATCGCTGTGAGGCCCTGACACTCAGCTGTATTTCGTCCAGGCACTAGAACACCAAGGGACGTTATACTAAACTAAATACTGTCATTTCCGGCGTAGCGATCAACGCGTCGCCGTTGCATTCATCTGTGATTTATATCTCTTCGAATAGTCTTCGTTACGCTCCTCAAACTCCTGAAGCCAAAGGCCATCGCAGGATCCTCTGTTGTTGACTGGTGACGCTCTTTGGAAGCATCCAAATCCAACGCTCTCCAGAAACAAAACCGCCGAGACATCCTCAGGCCTTGCACATAGTGGGAGGAACAAAAACATCAGAAGCCTTCATGACTTCTGCAACACCAATCCTGCAGCACGTCACCTCATTTCTGAGCTTGGGAAGAAACGAGGGCCACCATATCCATGAGCCAGAATAGCTTGAATGTCAATATTAGCGTTAGGGCATTGCGCCCATAGTTTGACAAGAATATAACGGCCCGACCTGTGGATATGTTAGTCCTTAATTCGCAACCGGCAACGAAAAGGGAGCTATTACTCACACTGGAGGGTCGAATTTGATTTCAGTGCTAGATTTGTTTCGGCTGATGAAGAACGCAGCATGTGGCGCAACGCCGGCTCCAGTAGAGGTGCTGGCTGTCACACCATTACTCAAAGTCGTTTTGGAGCTCGAAGCTTCAACTTCGGTGGACAGGTTGGAGCGCTCTCCAGAGGTATAAACCAAGTCCGGCGTCCCTGTCGCAGGAGCAATTATCAGAGTTGTGCCCCGAATTGAAGTTGAAAGACGATTGTGGGATCTGTCTTCATCGAGCTCGCTTTCCCGGTTACGGCTCCCAAAAAATTCATCACTCTCTCGGATTTGCTGTGCCCGCATGAGATCCAGCATGCGATTCCGGTGCGCAAGGGTGTTTTCGAGATCGACTTGCTGGCGTTGAAAGCGTTCTGTTTCCCCTGATTCTCTTGCTTCGAGCGGGATATCGGGCTCATAGCCTTCTGAGTCGCTCGAGTTGGACCACGGACCATCATTACGCTCGTTTCCGAAATACACTGGACGGTATCGATCGACATAAGATCTCAATGAATATTCATCGTCGTGCCACGGGCGCGGCGATAGTGGTCCCTCTCCGCCATCTTCTCCATCTGATGGATCCACAACTGTGACGTGAAAGCCAGGGACGAGAGGAACATCAATATGAGAGGCTCCTTCGGAAGTTGAGGGATTGTTGGGGTACCTCGAACGATCAATGGATCTGAGGGGAGATCTTGTGGAGTTCATATATTCCTGGGAGGGGCGGTATCCATCTGGCCTGTGTCGTTGACGGCGGTAGCTTTTCGGGGCCCAGCGTACATCGTACTGAGAAGTACGGTCGAGGAGATTGTCATCTTCCATGGCAACGAAAATCAAGCCATTCTGAATTGGTGCATCGTAACCGGCACGCGGGGCTTTGACCACGATATCAGTCAAGGTGAAGGGCATTCCGCCCACATGCTTCAGTAAGAGGTTGCATTTGTTGGACTTGGTGCAGTAGACGCTGGTATCATCTAGGAGGACATTCTGCGGATAAGAATTGATGGGCATATGAGGATCCGAATATTCTCCCCCGTCACAGCTGATAATCTCTAACCTTAGCTGGCCAGGAACGACCTGACCATTGTGGCCATAGCTAAATGTTCGAGGTTCGTCCTCGTATGTACCATCGGTCAATTTCCTTCGTTTCGATCTTGGCCGATCAGGGCGATCGTCGACTGATTGAGTTGGTGAGGCGGGCGACTGGTTGGATGGCGGCACAAATGCTTCAGAGGCGGCAGCTCTTCCACTTTGTCCAAGTCTTTCTCTTTGGTATCTCTGCAGACGTTCGCTGGGCCTGAAGGCTCTCCGCCGACTGCGCACGAGGCTGGATGCGCTGCTGGTCTGGGCAAGGCCCTCGGATATGTCTTGTTCACGGAAACGTGTAGCGTATTCTCTTCTTCGTCGTTCCCGGGAGGTGAGGGGGTCAGATGGTAAAGGTCGGTCCGGTCTCTCATCATTTGCCTCAGCGGCTGCCAGCTGGTCCCCCATCTCCCTTTCAAATTCTTCAAACGCTATTTCGTGCTCGATGCCGAGATGCCGCTCCGAGCTGAGAAGATTTCTGAGGTTTTGAAGGCGTGCTGCGACATCGGTCCAAGCGGAGCGTTCTGGAGGATCAGACTTGGTGGATATTAGCATCAGAATACCATCGGGAACTCTGTACGTATGGCAAGAAGGACTTGAGGATAGGATCGTACCATGGCTGAACAAAGGACGGGCTGGATGCTGGCACGAACAAAGCGTCCTTAGGAACGAAGGCAACACGCAATGTGGCTCCACTCGAATTGGATCAGGTTGAAGGAGACATGTGGGAACATATAGAGGCGACTGCAGGCTTCAACAATCTGAGAATGGGTGCAGAGCAAGGTCTTCACAAGAAGAGTGGTAGTCGGATGTTCGCCAGTCAGAGTGCGGCAACCTTCTCGCGCTGTGACAAGTTGCAGAGTGCAGCCCATCGGCCAATTCTTGCCCCACGGTGATGCACTGCGCCCGCTGAAGGCCCGTGCGGCATGGAAGGCACCACCCGGAGAATTAACTCGCCATCAATCCTTCTAGGCGTGCCGCTAGGCTGTAAAGTCCTCGTTGGGCCTCCGTATCATTTTGGCAGTGGTGGGTGCCGCCGGGAGTCTTACCGCCGAGGCCGCTTAGGCACCAGTAAACCCAACTACTAGTTAAAACCATGCTTGGCATTGAACTGCCCCTGCAGCAAGATGAGATAATGGCTACGGAGTACAAACTTGAAGTACAAGGTACCTCGTACTGACTGCACACTCCTGAAGATCGCGGGCGCAGCCAGCGAAAGAAACTCGTGGTGGGTGCGCTGGAGTGCAAACATTTCGTTTCTGTCTTCTCACCTTCACTTCAGACTCACTTTCACTCTCACTTGCTCTCTCACTCTTGAGAAAGACACATCCAACAGCCGCTCTCAGTTCCTTCTGTCATCTCCTCAGAAGCTCGCGCTGCTACAACCATCAAATTGCCTGCAACATTCCTCCCTTCTCTGCGGATGCACCATGGACCAGAACCCGTTGTCTGGTGGCTCTCATCCCCCAAACGGACTCCAGCCCACGAATACTGCGGCAGTCGACCTGAACGGAGCCATGGCCGGCCCGGTGAATGGAGGGATTGATGGGGCCATGGAGGGTTCATCATTTGTAACATCCGTTCCTGGCATGGGAGACCTCAACAGTTACTCACAAGTACCCGATGCGACATTTGGCGACATGGCTCTCGCGATGAACGGGATGCAGCCTGAAATGTTTGCGGTACAGCCTCAGCAACCTATGGCTGCCGACGAGATCGCATTGTATGACAGACAGATCCGCCTTTGGGGTATGCAAGTCCAGGAACAGCTCCGTCGTGCAAACGTTCTCCTCATCGGAATGAAGGGACTGGGATGTGAGATTGCAAAGAATCTCGTCCTGGCAGGAGTCGGAGTATTGACAATACTTGATCACGAAGTGGTCGAGGAAGAGGATTTGGGAACGCTATTCTTCGTCCGGGAAGCTCAGGTTGGCCAGAATCGTGCGCAGGCAGCTCTGGCAGAGCTACAGAAGCTAAATCCAAGGGTTGAGGTATATACGGACCCTAATGCGGCTGTCACTAAGGATCCGGAATACTTCCAGAATTTCGACATCACTATCGCGACAGGCCTCATTATGGATGTACTTGGAACGATCAATATGGCCTGTCGAATCAATGGCCGGAAATTCTATGCCGCAGATACCCACGGCATGTACGGCTACATTTTCGCCGACTTGCTCGTCCACGATTTCGTGATTGAGAGAGAGCAGAGGAACAAACCCACAAAAGTCGGCGATATGGAGACTTCGACCAAGTGCGTCAGAGCGGTTGAGTCGAAGAAGGAAAACGAGAAGACCATGGAACTCATTACCTATCGAGAGACATATTCTCCCTTTCAGCTGGCCAATCTGTCTCCTCTCCCAGCGCGGATTAAGAACACTCGACGGAGCCGCACGAAGGTCACTCCTTTGCTTTCTTGCCTGCGGGCTCTATTCGATTTTCAAGGCCAAATGGGTGGCAGGCTTCCCGCGCACAGCAGAGCAGACCTCGAGCTCTTCACCAGACTGGCAAACCAGAAACATCTGGAGCTTTCACTTCCCCTGGAAACCTTGAGGTCGGACTTTCTCCGGGCTTTCCTGCAGAACCTTGGCTCTGAGATCAGCCCAGTAGTTGCGTTCCTGGGAGGTTATTTAGCACAAGATGTCATTAATGTTTTGGGACAGAAGGAGCAGCCGCTTCAAAACTGGCTACTCTTTGACGGAGAAGAATTTACCGCCACTCAGTTCTCGATACATCCCATCAACGACGATGCTATGGAGATGATGAACACCAACGGAGCTATGATGGTGCCAGCGGCTTCATCCATGGACGGCACAATTCCAGTGGCTTAAATTACCTAGGTATGCTTCCTCACACAAGGCTGTGAGTTTTTCACGATGCGGCCGAGTTCAAGGCTGGCCTTCGACCAATTGGAAACAGGATCCATTCTTGGCATCAGGAAATTTCGATTTCACGCAGAACATTCATTGTCACAGGCCACCAGGCTTTTGTACAGAGCTCGGCGTCTCAACACATGGGAGAGGGGGGCATGTACTGGACTTGGCACTGCTTCCCTTCTTGACTGTCTCGGTGACGGAGCATGGACTTGGACAGCCTTCTTCACAACTCCGCCTTGTATGAACCATTGCTCCCTGGTGGGCAGGCAGGCTTCACCACTTGGAATGAATCTTAGATCACTGACCTTTGCTGAGATTGAGCCTTTGCATCCTGTTGATTGAGAATGACCCATCCAGATTTCCCCGCAAGATTAGTTGATTTGACCTTGAACGACTCGACTCATCACCCTTCCCTGTATGCCACGCTGAAGTCGATTCGCAAGTCCACCCTCTCAATTCCAAATCGCCTTACCTCCATTCTTGCTGACGCCAAATTTGTCAAAACAATATCCCAGCAATACAACTTGCCGCTGGTCGCCAACGAGCGTTGTGGTAGCTGGTACATCGACCCGACTGATAAAATCGGCAGTACGTATTTCAAAAGTACAGATGGCCACCACGGACAATGGGACTTTTCTCCGCGCAGGCTCAATCTGCAGCTTCTTCCGATCCTAGCCGCTTATGGCGGTGCAATCGTGGTCGACTCAACTCGTCGTGGCAAGAATCTGCCGGATGCATTCAGCAAGACTGTACCAATATGGGCCGCAGTTATCAATAAAGCACTGTTCCCTGAAATACCTTCAGCGCACAGGCTTCAGGCTCCACCTCCACCAAATGACCTAGGTCCGTCAGAGATATCGCAGATCGAAGCCCGGCTTGAAGGCTTTACGAAGACTTTCACCAAACTAGGGCTAGACTTAGAACACTTGCGGAAGCAGCTGGGGCGTCCTGTGCGGCTAACCTGGGTGATCAACGGCTATCCTGGTGTTGAGCGTGGCGACGAAGCAAACCTGCCCCTCTCAAGCTCAAGCTCTGCACTCGAGCACTCACACAACCTTGTGCTCTGCTCCGCCTCTCGTCGCGTTCGTGGTGCCGAAAGCTCGGAAGCTGGGTACATCCAAGGTGCCGGTGATGACAGCGAAGGATGGTCGCACGGACTCACTGCTGAACTCTTCTGGGGACATAGAGAGCGGTTAATGGAGACTCCAGAAGATGAACTCCCTGCTCTGATCGAGGCATTACTTGAAGAAGAAAATGAAGAGCGTGGCACAGAGATTGCGGTTACGAGAATCCTTCCAACCTCCAACATTTATATCGCAGTTGGCTCCGTCACGAGCTTGGATGGTTTCGACCTGATTGTCAATTGTCAAGGCGACGAAGGAGGCTCAATGTCAAAGGTCCTTTGGTTAAACTGTCACAATGGCAAACTCGGGAGCAAAGACCTTCGCGAAAAGCTTCCTGGCGTCATCAGTGTCATCAGCAATCAGCTCTGCAAGCATCCCCAAAGCAAGATACTGATCACTTGCTCAACTGGCAAAGATCTTAGTGTCGGTGTTGCAGTCACGATTTTGTGTTTGTGCTACGACGACGAAGGTCAGTGAAATTTCCACGTGCCTGTACCTGGCGAAACCAAATGACAATTGAGATGTAGGCCATTTGCGAGAGGTTGATGGCCGGTTGCGCGTCGAGAAAGAACTTGTTAGGCGAAGGCTAGTCTGGATCATCTCCTCCAAACAGGATGCAAACCCGTCGAGAGCGACACTGCAAGCCGTGAATTCTTTCTTGATGCAACGTCCGGACTGAAGCTCGAATCGATACACAAGAGTCTTTGATTGGCGCTTGTTGGCCATGATTAAGAGTCAGGATGGCGGGTCAGCATGTGGTATTGCCCCGGTGTCCCTTTTTGGTGATTGAGGCACAGGCAGATAAGTCCCCAGGACTATTGGTGACAAAGAGCTTCCAGCTTACCCGAGGGGAGGATCGTCGCAGAAGTGCAGAAGCAAAAAGGCGATGCTCAGAAGAGTGGTTGGAGGTGGTGTCGACTGGCTGGTGGGCGCTGGTGGGCGCAGTTGCGGATGCGCAGCGGAAACCCGGGGCCAAGGCTGGGCTCGGCTGGGCCGCATGATTGCATCATCACCGCTTCAAAGGTTCTGGAAGTGGAGGGGGTGCGGTGCATGGGTGCGGTGCATGGGTGCATGCAAACAAAAAAATACACCCTCACGACCCTTCAGCCCTTAACTCTCCAGATATCCAGATATCTCTCAAATTTCCTTTTTGCTGGATACCGCCCTCTCTCTTCGTCACAATGCCTCCTCTCTCTTTCAGCGATACCCTTCCTTTACCCAACTCCTCCGTCCGCATACCCCGCCTTGGTTTCGGAGTCTACCAGTCCCCTGCCTCTGTTTGCGTACAATCATGCCTTTGCGCCCTAGAAACCGGATACAGACACATTGATACGGCGCAGTTCTATCACAACGAAGCTCAGGTTGGAGAGGCGCTGCGCAAATCAGGTCTTCCGCGCTCTGAGGTCTTCGTCACCACCAAAATCCTCTCTGCAGGAGGAAGCGTCGAAAAATCATACAAGAAATGTCTCGAGAGTGTGGAGAAGATTGATGGGGGCCATGATGGCTACGTGGATTTGTTCTTGATACACAGTCCCAATGCGGGAAGTGGCAAGAGAAAGGAGATGTGGCAGGCTCTTGAAAAACTGTACGAGAAAGGAAAGGTGAAAAGTATTGGCGTGAGCAACTTTGGAGTTGGACATATTGAGGAGATGAAGGAGTATGCAAAGATCTGGCCGCCACACGTTAATCAGATCGAGGTACGGAGAAAGAGTCCCACTCCGTCGAGCTGCTATGGTGTTGTCGAGCCTGGAGATGAGACTGACCACGTCTTCCTAGTTGCATCCGTGGTGCCAACAACGAACCATCACCGAGTACTGTCAGAAACACGGCATCGTCATCGAAGCCTACTCGCCGCTGGTCCGAAATTACAAAGCCAACGATACCACATTGGTTTCTTTAGCCAAGAAATACAACAAGACTACGCCGCAGATTCTCATCAGATACTGTCTGCAGAAGAACTGGGTTCCACTGCCCAAAAGCGATACTCCAGACAGGATCAAGCAGAACGCCCATGTATACGACTTTGAACTATCTCAGGATGACATGGATGCACTGGATGCGCTGGACCAAGGGGATGCTGGGGCAATTGTTCAAGCTGTGCGCAACGGATAGGATGTACAAACCGGTCCAGGGGCGTCTTAACGACGGCGTTATACGAAGTCTGTGAGAAAGGTATTGCTCGTCCATGTGCGTACCTGACTTAACGGCCACTACTTCCCTGATGCCGGAACGGATCTGATTGCTTTCTGTTTCCTCTCAGTGTCTCCAGCGCGGATGCTCATGAGAACATGCGCGTGTTGTTCGGCAGGATAAAATCACCAATAATCGAATCAGACCCCTAGCTTCTCGGTAGGCAGTGAAGCATTGTCATTGGTCTATGCACATTCAAGTTTGATTACATTTTATTACAGATCCACCGATACCTTGGATTGCACACCTGCCAGAAGTTGAAACTAAGATATCTGCGCTGTATCCGGTCGTGAGTTGTCTGCTCCAGATGACGAGGTAGCACAGCTTGGAGCCTTGATTCATGGCCAGCCATCATGAGAAGCTCGCAGCTTCCGCCTCGGACAGGCCTGGGACCAGGCAAGGAGAGCTTTCTCGACCGCTTTGTGCAACAGAACAGCTGCTGCAGAAGACCTTTCTTCGTGGTTGCTGAATGGAATCATGCAGGTCATCGTCATTCGCGGTGTGTCCGTGGAGATGCTTGCTTGCCAAAAAGCCCTGAACGCCGAACCCCAGCGGATATTTCTCCCAACGCTTTCATCGAAGACCTTGGAAGAGCCCACAAGAACAGGCTGGCCTGATCTATCGGAAGTCTCGTCAACTGCCGACAATGGCTTGAGGGAGTCGCACTTCCTTGGCCGCTAAAGACTCCGCCGCACAATGTCCTGACCGCCCTGCCGTTCTGACTATCACCAAGACTGGTTGGGACCAAGCTTCCTTGTACCCGACGTCCGACAGACTGCTTTTCTTACGAGACGGCTCAGGGAGATATCGAAACTTGCTACAACCGTGGAAGTTAAAGCGGCATCCACGCTGTACGTCGTTCTTCGGGCCCATTACTGGAAGAGGCGCCGCAGCGTCGAGACCAGACCAATACAACGACTCTGTTTCCATAATCAGCACGTCAAGCGGAAGAAAAGCAGCAAGTGAGCCTTCTAATCAAACAATCCTCGAATGGAGCGTTTGAAGGTTCCTTAACCAGTCCATCCTTGTGGGGCTTGCAATTAGTCTCTGTTTTCTCGCGGTGATACGAAGTCCACCGGATTACTCAACATCAACTTTGCGACTAAGGCAGCCTCAAGCCTTGTCCTCCACGCCTTGTCTCCTCCTGACCCTCAGCTGCTTGGAAATTGTTGAGGATGGACCTTGTGTTCGATTGGGGAACAGCTATGGGGAGCAGCTATGGAGGGAAACGTGTCCTCCGCATGGGGGGCTTGGGACTACCACACGACCGCCAGGGAGCATGAGCTGGAGCACGCACGAGCAAACCAGGAAGAAATCAACATCCTCGAGTTCCACTCTACTCAAATGGGACATATCCGACTGAATTGTCAGCAATGAAAGGTGCGTTCGAGGCTGGCGGCTCAGGTTTCTTTGTCAGCTTCCAACGGAACGAGGAACTCAACAGAACCAAAACCGTGGCACGGTAGGCAGGTATAAAAATTGACGGATTCCCTCTCATCTTCTTCGACGTGTTTCGAGCTATTGCATTGTTCAGATCGTCTTCGCCGTGTGACTTGTGCTCGACCGCCCTTATATTTATTCAGCACGCCCTGCCCCAGCACTCCATGAATATGTCGTCGCCCACCAATGCAGCAGTCACGTTTGGCCCTAGCGTCGACGAGCTGCTTGAACGTAACAGGTCAGTGGATCTGCGAGTGCTCCTTGAATTTCTGGTCAACCGTATCCTCTTCACATGAGCATGCGGCTGATATGAAAACGCAGGCAGTATGCTGCTGGCCACAAACCTATTCCGTCTTTGATGGCTCGGATGGGAAATGATCCCAAAGCTCATGGTCCTCATGTGGTTGTTGGTAAGCAGCGACTTTACTCAGAGACCAGACCTCTCCATCAGAACGCCAGTGAAACTGAACAGCCTCCCTCCAGTGTCATGCTTCGACTCTCGCGCCAATCCACTCACCTTTTTGAACGTCGGAATTCGGGAATGCCTCGTGCTGCGCAACGTGGGAGGCCGCTTCGCCTCGGCCGCAGGTGACATCGCCGCGCTCGACACTCTCTTCCACGTTTCGCAGATCATCCTCATTCATCATACCAACTGTGGGGCGTCGCACGTCACCAAGCAGCAGGTACTTGACGGAGTCCATCAGAAGAGACCCGAGTTTACGGGATTCGCAGAAGAGCTTGAATGGAGATTGCCGATGAAGGAAGACAACCACAATTCGTTGCTGGAGGACTTTGAAAGAGTCAAGAGTTGCGGGTTCCTCAGGGAGGATTTGATTGATGGAGTTGTCGGGTTGTGGCTCGATGTTGAGACTGGGCTGGTGAAGAGGGTGTATCCTGAGGATCAGTAGGACCACAGCAGTCTCTCCGTCTTCTGTTGGACCATTGTCTTATCTGCATGAACTACCTAGGTATGCAGAAGACAGACGTTGTGTGGTCTTTTCAGAAGGACCCAGAGCTCTTGGATCTCTGCATAAGAAGGAGATAGTAGCAGCTGTACCGAATCCGTGACCGAAGGGTTCTATGGAGAGGGATCGTGCGACCCAAGGCGAATTTCACTAGCTCTTACATACCTAGGTAGGTACCTGGCATATATCCGAAACATGGATCAATCCACACCCCATATGGCATTTATATAGACTAATAAGAACTTTTCTCGGTCAAATCTCCAACACCTGCAGATAGAGGGGCAAATAGGATGAGACTCTGAAAGGTGGGTTGGCGAGAACAAACTCTCCATATTGTGGCGCGTCCCCTCCACAGAACATGCATCATGATCTCAACTTGTCTCACGCAGTCCGCGCAAGCTGACCCGAGCGTACAATCCCACCCTCTTGTATATGACCTTCCTGATGGGTTGCCTGAGAATAATATACCTTCTTAACATGGAAAAAAAAAGCTCGCTCCTTACATACCCTATCCATCCCCCTTGGGAGAGACACACGTCCATACAATTCGACGTCCACGTTCCAGCCAACATCGCAAAAGCCTCGACAAAACATAACAAAAGCTTCCGATCTTGCTCAATTCCCTTACAGTTGAGCCAAACACGATGGCCGCGATCCACCGCAATTGTTGTCTTTTCTGCAAGAAGAAACCTTGGGACGACGGCGAGTTGGAAATGCTCGACTGGTACAGCGTGAACCTCGACGGCCGGCTGGACACGCGCATCTGCTTCTTTCACAATCAGAAACAGATCCAATGTCTACGAGAGGTGCGCGGTCAAGTTGCGCAGGAATGCCAACGGCGGCGGCGGCGGAGGACTGCTGCGCCTGGTGAGCCTGTGGAGGAGCTGAAACGGAGGATCTTTATGGATCATTATCGAGAGATGCAAGGGGATGAAAAGCGCGAGAGGTCTTGTGTTCTCATGTGAGGTACCAGAAGCTACGAGCACCATCCTGAAGCTGGAGCAAAGTCAAGAGTCGAGGGGAAAAAATTTGGAATGCTACGCAGCATATCACCATCCCCGAACTCCTTCGCACTCTCCGGCTGTCGTTGCAAGGCGAGATGGTGGGATTTTCATTCGACTAGCCTAAACGATCATGCATATTCTTAATGGGGTATGTTGTTTGAGGTCAGCCACATTCTCACGCGTGAGTTGTGAGGTAACAAATATCACTGGTCAGGACCACAAATGGCGATTCTAATCGCCTGAACTTTCTGGACGCTGCGCGAAGACGAGGAGGGGGCGAGGAAGACTGGTCTTCACATTCCTCAACCTCATTAGCGTACAGCTTCTCGAGAGTTCTTGGAAACAGCGGCAGCAACGGTGAAGCGTGATCTCTGATCGTGTTGACGGCATGGTCTCGATCGAGCTGCAGACCATTTACAGTATGGATCCCAGGGCGAAGAGGAGAATTGATGAGATCTGCCGCAGCGTCGAGCCTGAGCTCGACCAAGGGGAAAGTGACGGAGGGTACAAGCTTGCGATGCTTGCAGAACTCGAGCAATGCAACTTGAACTGTCCAGGAGTGCTGGATCTGTCCGGCGGGCTAATCATGGCTTGATGCTTCAAGGTTGGTTTCGATCGGTATCCGAGGAGATACGGAGTACGTCTCAGCGACCGGCCAGACTCTGCGTGACCACGTATGATTGCGGGGGCATTCGTTGTTCATTCTCTTCTGAAAGAGGTAAGCGGAATCTTCTGGCCTCCTGTCCGGTCATCAACGCTTGCCAGGAGTAGTATCCCAGCTGCTGCAATGCATGGATATCAAAGTTGGAGACCATAGGAGCATCCAGGTCGGGCTCTGATGAATCAGTATTGTACTTCGTAATTGGCGATCCAAAATATATCGCATTGTCGCAATACGGTCGCAGGGTTTCCCCTATCACATACTCTATGTTAAGGACAGGCCTGTTCGTCAACTGTCGGATAGATCCTTTGCAATCGCCGTCGGTAGCCGGTCCTTTTGGATGAAGTTTCCCTCAGAGGTCAGCCCATCGTTTGCCGAATCTGGATAACGACCGGTTATTGCTCTTCCCAATCAAGATCTAGTTCCTCGATAGGAGGGAGAATCACATATCAGCGGCTTCTAATACCCTAAGTACGCGCCTAGGTACATTTGAGGGCACGCATGTGTAGAGGATTTGGTAAGCTGGTCCTGGGAAATATATATATACACCTAGGTATATACAAACGGCCGGTGAGGAAGACCCCAACAACAAACCTTCTCAGCTGGGCATTCAACCACAGCGCAAACATTATGAAGGAGCCATTCTACATTGTTGCAACCTTGCAACCCGTTCCGGGAAAGGCTCAAGAGGTGAGTTTGCGACTCGATCTTCCTTCCCATTTCACTCACTGGAGCTAAAGGCACACAGGTGATTGAAGCCATCCAGCCACTGACCGAATACGTCAAGGCCAACGAGCCAGGCTGTCTGCAATACGAGATGTTCCAGCCCGCCGGTGCCGAGGGCAATGGACCCGTTGTCTTCATCGAATTGTGAGTCTGTCCGTGGGAAACCCTATCCCAAACACAGGAGTTTTTGGTGTTTCGTTTGAGATGGAGCCAGACGCGAAGAGAGAGAAAGAGACAAAGACTGACCGCACGCCGAATCTCTAGGTGGAAGGACATGGAGGCCCTCGAGCTGCACCGCCAGGGAGAGCAGTACAAGGCTCTACTGGCCCGGGCAGCCAGTGAAGGAATGCTGACTGGTCCGCCTGATATCAAACTGCTACAGCCAGTTGGGGGGTTTGGTCCGAGATAGAAGAGGCTTATCGCGTCCACATAAATGGTGACAGGAGCTGAGACCGTAACCGCCGTGGATCGGGCCTCGAGCTTGATGCTGCCAATGTTCAACTGTTGCCCCGAGGGGAGGAAGTCAGGACAAACAGGCTCGATGGGCGGTTGCACCGAGAGAATGGCCTCAAGGTGATGACTAAGCGAACCACCCCGAAATCCCATACAACAAATCCATCTGCCAACATTCCATCACTTCACCACCTCCATCGTCTTACCATCTCATCAAATCTCATTGCCATTTGGGTGCCATTCATGCTGCTGTCCGATGTCCGATGTAGCACTAAGATCCAAGCACGTGTGCCAGCTCATTGGGCCGACGGGCTAACCCCAAATTCCCTGTATTCTTGCTTCCTTCAATGACCTCGACGCATCTGCCTCGCTTCAAGCACGCTCAGCAATGGCTGGGCCTGATTCGTCCGCTTCCGGCTCAGCCTTGCTTTCCCCTCTCTTTCCTCCTAATTTGCTCGCCATATTACCATCCGGGCTTCCTGACAGCCACGGCAGTCATATCCAAATAGTCGCGAATGGTGGTCGCGGTGCCTTATCTGCTGTTTAAAGACTGAGAGCGAGCGGGTGATAGTCGAAGGAACAGGTAGATCCCTGGGGTGATCCCCGGCACCTTGGTGCTACTGGAGGCTCGAGAACCTGGGGTGCCAGATATTATGGCTACGACATTGTCCGTCCCAACCCACTGCCACATGTAACGAAACACATCAGCCTGACCCTGAACCAGGACACAACGCACGTCCGAAACCGCCGAGCAGCGAGAGTACGAAGAATCCATCCTTCGCAGGCACTACCCAGAAAGTCAGCGAAAGAAGGACCTCAACCATCTCGCTGACACGCCAGAAATGCCCGAGGAAGACGACGATGAAGTGACCAATGAAAAAGGCGAGCCTTCTTCAGACGGGCAGAGCTCGAAAGGCGCACGTGCCAAGGTCAAGGGCAAACTCAAGTCCTTCTGGAACAAGACTGTCGTCCCAGCATTTCCCGAAGCTGTTGCGGATATCTCAATCATCAAGGCCGCGTTGAAGGTCGAGGCTACCATTACCAAGGAGCTGAGGGATACCAAGAGGCATCCCGAAGTCGCTCAAAAGGCAACGGTAAGGAGAGGGTTGGGACTAGCTCCAGAGGAATCACAATTTCGTGAGCGAAGAAAGGTCAAGGTGCGGGACGCTTTCTGTCGTTATCTCGACCTTGACCCGGCCGAGGTCCATGTTGACGACGTGCCTGTCGTAGCATTTGGTGGGTCGGGAGGAGGATATAGGGCCATGATCGGCATTTTGGGATATTGTGAAGAGATGAAGCGTACAGGCATGTGGGATCTGTTGACTTATGTGGCTGGCGTGAGCGGCAGTTGCTGGGCTCTTGCAGCATACTATACGTGGGCTGGGGCGAGTATGAAGGCAGTGATCGAGCATTGCCAGAAGAGACTGCATCCGCATCATCCCTTATCCCCGGAAGCAGTTCGCGAGGTGCTCAATGCACCTGGTGGTCCAACAAAGACGCTTGGTCCCCTGATCCAGAAGCATCGCTCAGGGCTGTCAACGGTGGCGATGGATTTGTATTCTGTATTCACCACAGGCCATCTGTTTCTGAACCACGATCCCGCCCTGGAGCCGCCGGGCCTCCGTGGAAGCTTTGGCGTCAAGAAGGAAGTAGCAGGGCACCATGAGAACTGGCTGAAGTGGTCATCGGCAAATATGCATCTGCTAGACGGCAGCGAACCCTTCCCAATTCTTACCGCAATCCGGCATGAACGACCGTGGAAGGACTGGGTGGACAAGGAACATCCCTTCAAGAATGAAGATCCAAAAACAAAGGAGCATCAAGAGGCAGATGACGCCTGGTTCAACTGGTTCGAACTCACGCCGATCGAGGTTGGATGTGACGAGCTGGAGGCTTGGTGTCCAACATGGGCGTTTGGCAGACCATTCGAAAAGGGCCAAGATACCATGCAACTTCCCGAACAATCTCTAGCATTGCTGCTAGGCCTGTGTACCAGTGCGCCAGCGGGACCCTTGACTTCGTACCTTGCGACCATCAAACGCAGCCTCCCCTCGGGGTTTATCGGGAATTCAATCAATGACATGGCCAAAGGCATTGCGCGGATGTGGGGACCAAAGGGGAAAGAAGAGTTTCAAGCTCATCATCCTCTGCATGCCGTCAATGAGCACAACTTCATGTTTCATCTGACCCGTGGTGAGAACAAGGACAAGCCGTCACCACCGATCGAGAACTCCCCACGAATCCACCTGATCGATTCAGGGATGGACAACAATTGCCCAACGTACGTCATGTTGCACCCTCGCCGGGAAGTCGATGTGATTCTGAATATGGACGCCTCGAGCGACGTGTTGAAAGGCACTTTCCAGGAGCGGGTAGACCAGATTGCCAGCCGACGGTGTCTCAAATATACCAAACGACACCCTGAACTGGAAGCTGGCGCCGACCCCAAAGACCCGGACCGCTTCAAGGGCTTATACGCACAGATCTACGACGGCAGTATCCTCGTAGACAGGCCGAAGAAAGTGATTGACTCTTATGGGCACGAAGTGTCCAATCCTCCGGCACCTCCATGCCTCCATGAGTCGACCATGATATATCTCCCATTGCTGCCAAATCAGGGAGCGGTGGCCGACTTTGATCCGTCCACTGCCAAGTTCTCCGGCTCGTATAACCTTGTGTGGACAGGTGAGCAGGTCGAGACGCTTATCAAGGTGTGTTGTGCCAACTACAAGGCCGGCGAAGATACGATCAAGACTGTGTTGAGGGAGCAGTGGCAGAAGAAGAAAGCGAAGAGAGAAGCAGCTGGTGAGGCATCTTCTACTCATCCTCTTGCTGATCCTACTGGACCTGCTCCTTCTTCTTCTTCTGCGCCCTCTGCTGAAGCGCCTGTCCAGCCCTCGTAGGCTGTCTTTGTGGACGACGTCCAATAGCAAGAACTCGTTGTTTCGGATCAATGCATGACTCCAAGGCTAGAAATAGTTGCTCCCAGGCTGTCAATAACGCAAGAGAAGGTCCTCTCTATGCTGAGAACTCTTCCTGACTCTCTGACAAATTGAACACCTCCTCCGGCATCAGAGATCCGGTTCTACAGCGCCTATTGTGGTTGGATTCCACCCCTCCCCAAGACGGATTGTGAGAAGTCGCTCCAAGGGGAAACCTCCTTCGCAGCTCACCAGGTAATAATAGCGACGATCACGGAGTCCTATCTCACCACTAAGTTTCGGTCCCCCGCCTCCCCAGCCAAACCTTCGACGTCAATGGCTGGTTCCAGGCTCGGCCACCCCAGTTCTAGAACCTGATTTTGACGACTTTCTCATGCGCTTGGTCTTTTCTTCAGGGTTTGGCCTGTAGGCGGAAGCCCCCCGCCTTGCAGCGAACACGCCCCCAATCATGCCGAGCTGCCGCTCGATGGGTATGTATTTCCCCCAGTTTGGACGGGTTAAGTCGTTGTGGAATATAATTCCTATAGTGAACCTCGCGGCACTCTGAGAATGAGCGGCATGTACGCAACACAGCTTTTTCCGGACGCCTATAGTGCTCTCAGCCAACAGTCGAGCCCTTCTGAAGGCGGCCCTACAGCGACGACGGGGTCCAAACGGAAGTATACATCGTCGGCATGCGAATATTGTCGCTTCAAACGGAAACGTGTGAGTCTTTTCTCACCCATTCTCGACGACGGAGCTGTGCGTGCGTTGTTTAATTGTAGATTGTCAAAGCTAACCCGTCCTTATGGCCCTAGTGCGATGGCAAACTTAGCTGTCGCACTTGTGTCGACGCTAACAAGCAATGCGTGTATCGCTTCAACGACAAGAGAAAAGCCAGCGTCCGGCAGGAGGAGATCCAGATCCTCGAATCCCAGAACGAGGAACTGCGATCTTTGCTGGACGTGCTCAAATATGGCAACGATGAGGAATCTCTGGCTGCCTTGCAAGCTCTCCGTTCCCCCGAGGGTACGGCATCTCGTCAATCGTCCACGAACCTCCTTCTTGACGTGTACGGGGTATCTCTCCCAACCTTGCCTTCTCTGTCTCTGAAAGACCTGGAACTTCTCCAGGCAGACCAAGGTAGTCGACAGTCTGGCACTTCGTCTCAGGCTTCATCCTGGCCGACACTAAAATTCTTTGACTACCCGACCGTCTTCTCTCCTAGCCAACTACCACCGGAAGTTGACATCCGCAAAGGAGCCGAGTTATTTTTCCAAGTGACGGCTGGCTTGTTCCATATCATGACTATGGACGAATTCGACGAGCTTTGTGACCAGGCCTTCCGGGCGCAATCGCGACCGGACACTCTTGTCGTCGCCCAAATTTGTGCTGCATCTGCCATCGGTGCTCATTTCAATATCGACGACACCACTGGAGAACTCAAAGACGCCCTCTTCAATAGCGCGATTCGCCACATGCCCGAGATGGTCGAGCTCCGCAACCTGCAAACCATGAAATATCTGGCTTGCCTCTGCGCGTACGGCATGGTCGACAAGCGGAAGAGCACAGCTCGACTTATCCAGCTCAGTCTCCAGATCGCACGGTGGAACTTGGCCCTGCCACAACATGAGCTCACCGGAGGTGCTCACGAGTGGAGAAGATTATATCAAACAATGATATTCTTTGAATGGTCAGCCCGTGTTAGGTACTATTCAACTCACCAATTCTCCTTGACTAACGTATCATAGCTGGCTATCGACGTCGTTGGGCTACATACCGGATCTCGGTGGAGAAATTGAATTTCCTCAACCCACCTCGGCTGGCACAGACGGACTTCCAGATGACAGCGTGACGCAAATCAAGGCCAAAGAGATCGGGGTACTAAAGGCCCAGGTCTGCAGAGCGGCCAGCGGCCTCGAATCACCCACCGAGCAGATAATAGAGGACCACATGATTGCGTTGGAAAGCTGGTATCGGAAGCTGCCACTTAATATGACTTTGACGGTTTTGCTGAACGGCGAGGCGAACCCGCTCACAGCAGCACAACAAGGCGCGTTGCTCCTCTCCCACGCCATGTACCTGGGTGCCGTTATGATGTTGCATCAACGAGTTTTAGTGGCCGTCTCGGACGGTATCCTAGGCCATGCCGCAGAAATCGATATCGGAAGCACGCCGGTGCAAGAACATCTGGCTCATTCTATTGAGGCGGCACGCGCTATCGTGCGTATTTTCATCCTGCTCCGCTTCGGCACCGCCACAACAAATATGCACGTTCGGTGTTGGATCTGCGTCTTTGAAACCTACACAGCATGCACAATTCTTCTTTACAACATCGCCTTGAGAACCATCCAGCACGCCGCGGAGCGAGCAGAGATGCAACTGGACCTGGAACGTGTGAATACCTGTCTCGGCATGCTTGAGGCATCGGGGTTGGTGGATAAGGTATCTCAAAAGATGTGGGCGGCTTTAGCAGCGGTCCATCATGCCGTGGTGGTTTCCACAAGTCACCAAGTTTATCCCATTTCGCCACCAGAAGTCGAGCCAAAGAGCCATTCACACCGTCAACTCAACGGCACGACAGGTTCGGGCTTCTTCGAACAAAACAACTTGTCAACTCCTCCGCTCAGGCCGCGTTCTCGGGGCTGCCTCTCTGCCATCCAGGCGTTTAAACGCGCCACTGATATGTTGAGAGATCCATTTGGCCACGGCCTGGAAGCGGGATTTCGGCTCCTTCCACGCGATAACGGCGCGGACGCCGTGGACTGGTGGTCTGCTGCTGCTTCATGAAAAGAAAGAACCCTGTGAGGAAATCTACGCTGTTGATTTTGGAGGCATTCATTGTTCTCCGCCGTCTTTCCTGCTTGTTTGGGACACATTCCCGGTTGCAGGAGAGCTTCTGAGGAGTTTGTTTCAAGCAGGTTTCGCCTTGGATGCCGCCGAGCCGCCAACACAGAATGCTCCAACGTAATCTTACGGCAAAGCATTGCCATTGATCAAACTTTTTTCTTCTGCTTTTCTCAGCACCAACTTCACTCGACCTCAACCACAGAAACTCTTTCCACTAGCGAGTCACTCACTCACTCTTTTCCCTCACAATGATGGCCATTGAGAAAGCAGAAATCGAACACCGACCAACGTACTGTAATGCTCTCTCCGGCGTTGGCTCCTCGTCTTCTTCCTCGAGTGTCCCTGTGTACCCATCATGTCCTACGCAGGATCTACCCCAAATTCAATGGAGATGCTGTTGTTCTCGAGGAAGGCCCTTACTTTGGGACTCTCCTCGCGCCGATGGTAGAAAAAATTCTCACCCGATTCTGTATCTGCTGTGCTGGACCTGTGGGGATGAAAGCTCAGTTCGTTTTGATATCGGACAGAGCCCCCCTGGTTGGGGCGAAACACTCTGCTTGAGCGGTTGCTCGAAACAACGGTGGTGATGGTTACCTACCTAGATAGGTACCTAGGTAGGTACCTGGTAGGTATGTTGCAGTGCGAACAAGGGCCAGCATAGCCTCGTTCCCCAGCCTACGACAACCAGAACTGTCAATTTGCTGCTTGCACTCCCCGTCTCGTGACATTCGTGCGATTGGCGAATCTCATGAGCTCCATCGGGTTTTGTGGCCTCCTACGGAGGTTGATGGGGCCATGCCTTGCATTCATCTTGGTTATAGCTAGCCCCTGGTAGCCATTCAAAAGCCTCAAGTATTGCACACTGTAGATGGAAATTTACATCGCGTCAAATGTCGACCGTTTCGCCCTAGGACATCTTGATTTATACAGCATTTGCTCCTGCCCCTCTTCAGCCTAACGAGGAACGAGGAACATGGATGGCTGAAGCAACGTGATAGTGAATAAGCTTTGGGGGCCTGGATTACCCCCAAAGTCAACTCTCTTTAGGCGGCAATCCCGACGGGTGGCTAGGCTCCTAGGCTCCGGGACCCCGCTAACTGCTTAAAAGTTGCTGCAACGCGTGAATCCGCGGGCGGTTACAGCGCGTTGCCTGGCCGTACTGGTGCCCTTCGCCTCTCCAGCGACCTTGAGTGCAACCTCAACAGGGTCTCTGTCCCTGACTTGTCGCATCTCTTTGCTGATATCTCATCCAGATCCCTGATATGTCACTGTAGTCGCTCCCATGTCTGCTGCGCCGTCGAAGCAGCGCACCACGAGACCCATCCATGAATTCTTCAAGCCTTACGTCAAGAGCACAGTCCCCGCCAAAAGGCCTTCTCCCTCACTGGAAGAGACAACGGGGGTAGAGCATTCGCACAAGGGTGATCCCCAAACGACGACGCCAAAGGCAGGAGGGAGGACGCTCAATCGCAATGCCCCAAAGACGCCTCCCTCCTCCTATCTATCACCAAAGTCTGCGCTGGGGTCGCGAACCTCATTGTCCATTCGCAGCCGAGCTTCCCACTCAAAAGGTCCGATAGAGCCTCCTTCAACGTACAAACGGGCGCCCCAGTTTGGCGCAGATATTCGAGATGACACTCCGAAGGGCAAGGCCGGTGGCTTCTCCTTTTCCTTTTCAGACCTACCCAGTTCCACGCACGCTGTCGTCAAGGACGGCAAAGTGATCGAGGTCCTTGACTCTGACGAGGATGATGACAAAGATTCGCTGGAGTCACTTGAGGATTTGTTTGGAAGGAGACAAGGCGGCCACAATACTTCACAGTCGTCCAGTCCGGAGGAGGACGCCAAAGCTGAGGTTGAGCGCGTGAGGTTGGTGAATATGTTCACATTGGGCAAGTCAGTCCCGTTGGTGGGCAAACACAAACTACAGGCACTGGATGCGAAAGTAAAGGCGCACAAGTTCGACATCAGCACTTTGATGGTGAGTCACTTTGATGACGAAGAAGTGGAGAGCAAAGTCAAGGAGGCATGGACAGACGTCGACGCAGCAACCAAAGCAGCAGGGGCAGACAGTGCCACGGCGCTCGACAAGACCCTTCTAGCCGCCGTTGCGACCACGGAGGAGGACGGTCAATCTAAAGTCGCGAGATTAATGGACGCTGTTGACCGCACAGAAGCTCTGTCATCTGACCCCGTCTTCTTGTTCTTCGGAGTCAACGGACTGAATGACTGGCATGATGAAAATCCCTCTAGACACCCCTTCCCCGAAGCTGAAATCCCAGAGCATCTATGGCAAGATGACGATGACGAATCCAGGTCAAGAGCCTATGTATCAGGCTATGTGGCTGACCTCGCGGCCAGAGGCCTGATTTCGGACAAGGCATTGAATTGGACCTTTGAGAACGTCGTCCTTGAGCAACAGGACGACGTCAGACAAGAATATATTCGATGCTTGCAAAGTGCGAGCTCCTCCTGGACAAGGACCAATATCCAGGCACAGGACGTCCAGACCGTCTTTCAGAGACTAGGAGCCGATTCCACCAGTCTTCAGGATTCTGTTGAGATAAAGCCCAGGCATCGACTCCTGAAAAAGCCCGAGCGCCGTGATCCGAAATACCTTCTTGCAGTCTTGGATCTTTTCCAGCACATCTGTGCGGACATGGACTTTTTGGCTTTGAGCAAGCTGACTTCCATAATCTGTCGACTTGCTATCGATGGCGAGCTGACCAGCAACGGACGGATTTCTTCGAGGATTGACGCGATCCTAGAAAGGCTTCTATCACTCCCCGAGCTGGAAATGCGTTCTCATGTTGCAGATCGAATCCTAGTTGACATCGGCCAGCGTTTGAAAGATGCCACTTTGCAAGCACAATTACTGTCTCATATTCTACCTTCTTCGCCTACCGCATTGCGGATACGCATCCTCCTCGCGCAAGCTTTTCTCTTTGGAGGCGATGCCATCACAGACAATGCATCCGACACCCCCAGGATTTCACTCCATGCCCTGGCTGAGCACGTATCGAAATCTCCTGACTTCGACACCCAGCGCCGAAAGGGTGGGAGCACAATGGACTACACTGCCCTCCACGCTCGCACTCATATCCTTGACATCGCCATCTCCGACGGCGGTCGTCCAGCCTCATTCTCCACGCGCGCGGATGAACAGTCTTTCAACAAATCTGTCGACCGCCTCGCAGATGCCGTCAAAGCGACGTTCGTGGCCATTGTCGACACGGGCGCCTCGCACATGACTCGCACGGAATGCAAGGACGTTCTACAGGCACTGTACTGGCGATTATTGTACAGTGTTAGGACAGAGCTGAGGCCCAAGAGACATATCTTTGATGGGAAGGCTGGGAAGCTGAGGGATGCTGAGGAACTCAAGGGCGAGGAGAGAGGCAAGAACTTTATGAGCCGGTTTCTGGAGAAGACGAAAGAGAAACTACGGGAGCGGGAAGGGGAACGGGAGAAGGGAGCTGAACCACCGGCCGAAGCTCCGAAGGTAGACGGCGACACCCTGCAAGAGCACGGCGGCGAGGTGGCCTCTCCCAGCAAAGCCGACAAATCCCTTCGTCCCACTTCTCCGCTGACGTCCTCGGAGCCTTCAGAGACGGAAAAGTCGATCCGCAAGCAGCTGGGGCTGGAAGACTAGAAATTCAGCCTTTTCGGGTGAGATTCATGCATTTATTTCAGTGCGTTGTTAGTGCTCCGGAAACAGGGAACGGTGTCTGGAGACTCGGCTGTAGGATCATGTTGTTCAGCAAGGCGCCAGTGTGCATGGATATGGATCACTCATGGATCACTCATAGATGGAGAATGGGTTTAACGATTGATGCCTCCCCCATTATCGGAGTTTGAATGATGTGCACCTCGCGAGACGATTTGTGGAAATAAGAATGACTTTGTACAGAAATCTTCAATACGCTCGCATTGCATTCGCACACCGGTCCCGACCATAGTAATACCCCCCCTTGTCTACTGTGCGTGGTGCTGCTCTCGCCTCCGACGCAATCTAATCACGACTGTCTGCCTCTTTCAGCAAAGGCCGCAAGTAAAACGCACTGATAACATGCCACAGGGCACCTTCTGACGACGGAGAGATCCCGCCTTAGGACTCGATCTTTTCCCCTTTGCAACCAAGTCCACCGTTTTAGTCATGGAATTTCCTGTTTTCGTTTTCGCCGAACAGAGTCGCTCTGATGCTGGGGAGGGCTTCGGTTTCAAGCATGTGCAGTCTCTCTTCCAGAGTGTTGTTCAATTCGATCTTGCCGCCACCAGCAATGATGAAGACACCGCCAGCCCTGTAACACGGAACATTAGCAAGAACGGATCATCTCCTCTCTGGCCAAAGAGAGAACGTACGATTCTTCTGGCAACCATTCCTTCTCGTCCACCACAGCCTGGACCTCACTGCCCATCTTGTCCTTGTACTCGGCCTCGGCCTTCTTCGCAGCACTCTGCACTTTGTCTTTATCCGCCTTCCGACATCTTAAGGTGACTTTCTTTTCGCAGAGCAGATACATGCCCTCCAGGATCAACCCCTTCAGCACTTCGTCGTAATTCTTGCTCTTGGCTCCCGTGCTCGCCAACTTGTTCCTCGCTTCCTCGAACAACTTGTCCAGCAGCTCCTGCCGGGCCGAGAGGACCTTTATTCTCGTCTTGTTGGCCATGGTGGAGCGGGTGATCTGCTGGGACATGGACGCCTGTTTGAACTTCTTCTCGTATTGACTGTCAATCGCGGCGATCTCCTCGCGGACTAACTTGGACTTCTCGATAGCGAATTCTTCGTCGGCCTTCAGTTGGATTTCACGGGCCTTTTCGAGGGCTTCTTGGCGGATGAAGGCCGTCATCTTTTTGAGCTCGGCGGCGACCTGGGAGACTTTGTTAGTAGCTGTGGAGGGGTAAACCGAGGAGGGCTCAAGCAATGGGCATACCTGGTCGTCCGAGAGCGCGTGGGACGACATGATGGCGGTTGATTCAGGTAGAAAACTTGTGGAGGTTAGAAGTAGAGAGGAAGGGGCCCGCTTCCAGACACAGAGCTGGTGTTGGCTGTTGTCTTCGCAACCAAGTGCAGTCCGTATCTATCGCTGGGGAGTATGGGATGGAGGGAAACTGCGTGTATCCCAGAAGCTGGCGTTGCGGCAATTGAGCTCGGGTCAACAATTTGCCGTGGGTGAGAGCTCCGTCGAGAGGATTGAAATCGACCTAAATCAACACGGAATGTTTCTGTTCTAGCAGGACAATGCAAGGCTGTATCAGCAGCAGCAGGTAGCTCCCAAATCGCTGGTGGAGGGTGTGAGCTTTTGGTGTGGACGGCGACAGCTCCCGCATCACTAGGCCAAGCGATCGCTGCGAAGGAGCGAATCGGTGACTTCATCCTCAGCAACTCGGCCAGGAGAGGCGCAGACAAGCAACCCTTCTCTCCTCGCTTCCACCTCAACAACTCACATACTACGTCCTTACTTCACCACGACGGCCACCCCTACAGTCATGACTATCCCCACCTGCTGAATCACATTCCCTCGAACTTCATGCACAGAAGCCCAAGATGAGCGGCTCAGTTGAGTTGCCCTCACGAATGCGCTTCTGCACATTTCCTGCTTCGCTTGACCGCCATGGGTCAACTCGGTGACATCTCGCCTCAGGGCACCATTGCTGTGCGTCCCTCCGTTCCTTCCTCTCTCTCAAAATGTCCTGGCTAACCTCCAAGGGTAGATTGGCATTCTCGTCGGCCTCATATCCACCTCTGTCCAAAGCCTGGGTCTGACCCTCCAGCGAAAGTCGCACCTCATCGAGGATGCGAAAGATCATTCCGAGCCGCGGATCCCCCCTTATAAGAGGCGGCGATGGCAGTTAGGCATGTTGATGTTCATCGTGTCCAACTTGGTGGGCAGCACTATACAGATCACCACGTTGCCCTTGCCTGTGCTCTCCACGCTCCAGGCGTCGGGGCTCGTCTTCAATACCGCGTTTGCCACTCTTTTGCTGGGCGAACCATTCACCCATTTCTCTTTCGTGGGCACAATCCTTACATGTTCGGGTGCAGGCTTGATAGCCACATTTGGCGCCATTGGCGAGCCGGCGCATAATCTGCATCAATTGCTCGTTCTTCTCGGCAAGCGCAACTTCATCATCTGGATGGTTGGTACAATGCTGGTGGTCGTGGCCACCATCTTGTTCGCTCATGTCTTAAAGATGTGGTCGTCTCATAAGCGGATCGTTGAAAGTCTGCCAAAGAGCGAAAGACCCCGAGAAGGATCAATCAGTACTGACCGCGCTCGCCTCTCTCGGTCTTTCACCGCTCAACTACCTCAACCGCTGAAACTACGTGTCAGTCGTCTGCGGCTAGCTCGAGGCTTGTCCTATGCTCTGATCTCTGGCATTCTGTCTGCGCATTCTCTTCTCGTGGCCAAATCCGCAGTGGAGCTCCTTGTCCGGACCATTGTCGACCACAAAAACCAGTTCGACCGATTTCAGTCATGGCTCATCCTGGTCGCGCTACTCTTCTTTGCCTTGACGCAGTTATATTACTTGCACCTTGGTCTTCGGCTATGCAGTACTAGCGTATTATACCCCTTCGTGTTTTGCATTTACAACATTATTGCAATTCTAGACGGCCTGATTTATTTCCAACAAGGATCGAGGTTGAGCTCTCTTCATGCGGGGCTGGTGGCATTGGGTACTGTTATACTTCTTTCTGGAGTCCTGGCATTGTCTTGGAGATTGGATGATACGACACCCGCAGAAGCGCCTTACCAGTCGCCTTCCCCACGAACTCCGCTGACACCAGGAATGGGAATTTTGCGGTCACCCGTGGACGAAAGAGCTCCGTTACTACCAGCTGGACGGAAGAGGAGCTACACGGCTGATTCAAGACGATCGGCCGACGAGCAGGAGCCCCTCAATGTTAGCCGCGCTCGCCCGCCTACGCTTGCAGTTTATGCACCGCCTGATACTGATACAGAGGGTATCTGGGCAGAGTTGGACGACCAGGAGCGCCAGGACGATTACCTCGCATCTCTGCCTCGAACACCATCTCCGTTCCTGACCCAAAACTTCAAGACACGTCAAAGAGGCGACTCGGCATCCTCGCACGCTATTTCAACGGGAAGTGCTCACGACTCGGAGCCGTCAGTCGTTCCTACGAACGATCAAAATAAATCGTTTCAAGGGGCAAAGGATGTCCATCGAAGGCGAAGCAGTGCCCCAGGAACTGCTAGGCGCGAAACGACTCAGTCTCGTCCTCACACTCGTCACCGGAGTACATCCGTTCGATTTGTCGACGATAGAGGCCCGGAAAATGCTGGTAGCGACGGCGATCAAATTGGACGACAGCCTGTTCGTAGTCGATATGATCACAGTGGCACCAAAGACAAAGCAGAAAATGGACCTTGACCAGGTATCCGTTTAGGTGGTCCCTGAATAGCAGGGGTTGAGCACAAGGGCATCTGGCTGGACACAAGAAGCGGAACTACAGAACAAGCAGAACAAATGTGATACATTCTTTTCATATATGGATGCTTCGAGGTCGACGGAATCTGAATATTGCGTTCATATCCTCTATTGACGGCCGTATAGAACCGGGAGATACAGACCAAAAGTATCTCTTTCTTGATTGTGGATCTTGCCATAGGACCTTTGGCCTGCCTTTGTAAAAGTGCAGACAATCTTTCTGGGGCGAGGTGAATTCGACCCCTTCAACAGCCGGGGCCAGTGGCGTCCAGAATGCCGGCTATGTAATAGTGCGCGATCCGGCGTTTCTCTTGACCCTCCTGGAAGATAGAAAAATAGTCAAGGGCCGGGGTGGTCTGCGATTTTCCATACTACGGACATTTTTCAAAGGAAGGCCGACACTGAATCTGTGACGGTGGCGTCCTCTTGCCCAGTGGCCCTGCCCCTTTGGGCAAACGCTGAGGACTTGATCCTTGCAATGATCTTAGAATCGTGATGAAAGTGTGAAGCACAGTAGAGCCTGATGCCTCCCCAGGTATGCCTGCACGCCGTTACCCTGTCAACGTCATTGTTGTATATGAGTGACCGCGCGGGTCATATCAAGCGCTGTATATGCGGTTCTCGTTAGAATGCAGAGCGTTGGCCGAGGAGTTCCATGTTGGGAGGGGCGTTTGAGTCTCTCTGGTGCTGTTCGCCGTGTGTGATTTTGCTTCGTGTTCCCTTTTTGGGGGACATCTTCATTGTCCTTTTGGCAGGAATCGGGACCGTGACCTTGCCCTCAAGACGGCTCAGGAGAGGGAAAGCGAATATCGCCTGTCCCTCGAGCACTGGTCAAAAAAGCCTCGGGGCGAATTGATAATCCTCGACCGAGACCGGACCTCAGTTCGGTACAAATTGGAGTTACATGGGCCGGGTTTTTCAGGAGCCATCCTGGGTGCCGTCCTTTCTCACAGGCACAGGACTATCCGTCATGCCAGTCCGGTCCGTGGCTTCGCCCTCGGTGTCACTACCACCGGTCTCGTCGGCGTCGTCCGAATCCTCGCTCGACTCGTCCCAAATCTCTCTGCTCTCCCTTTCCACCCGTCTCATGGCGCCCGCGACCTCGTCCAGTTTGCTCACCACGTCCAACACCCCCTTGTTGACCTGCGAAAAGTACCGATCATTGGCCTCGCGTCGTTGCCTGGCGAGCTGAATGTCCCGCTCTGTTTCTTCTTCGAGGTTCTTGTCATTCGTGAATGCGCTGGGCTTGCCATCTGAAGGAGAACCAGCATCCTTGGCTGTCGCCGGCGAGGCCGTCGTGCCGGTCCCCGGGGCCCCTGCTGTGCCCTTTGCTGGTCGTTGTTGAGCGGATGATGGCGTTGCGGAGGTCTTGCTCTCCAATGTGGCGCCCAGGTCCGTCTCGTTCTGCGAGACGATGTCGAAGTCGTGGTCCAACGATTCATCCGCCTCAATCTTGGCCCATGTCTTGGCCAAGGACAGTTGTGCGGTCCGTAACTCTTCCAATGCTCGCAAATGAGACGATCCAAACACGTGGGAGGTGTTCATGGCCGAGATCTCTACGTCCGCAAGCGTCTTCTGCATTTCGGCCCAGAGCTGCTCGGCGCGCTGATCATCCCCGTCTGCTCCCGCGGAAGGGTGACGTAGCTGAGCTGGAGACGTGCCGGAAAAGGATGAGGCGGGAGGGACGCGAGAAGGGCGGATGATCTTGCGCTGTCCGCCTCCATGTTGGGACCCTCCTTCAGCTTCGGCGGCAGGACGGTCATTAGGGATGACAAGGGAAATGTGCGATGCATTTTTGGAGGGAGGACCCTGGAATAGCGCTGGAGGAGGGAGACGGTGCGCGGTCGTTCGAGTAGTGGTGGTGCTGAGCTTGGGTCGTTCAACACCGGGCGCTGCGTTGGGCACTTCAAGTTGTCCCGGTTTTCTCGCAGCGGATGACGCCATGACTTCTTAAGCGGTATTTGGCAGAGAGCTGTGCCCTCGCCACTTCTGCAGAGACTATATCTCGGTGGACATTAAGCAATCAGTCGAGTCTTGTATAGAAGACCAGGTTGCACCATGGGTAGACGTAACAAGGCTGAGGTCGGGGGTCAAGTGGATTGGGCCGGTTCCACGCCAAATGCTCCACCGTACAAGAATTTCTGCCACTTCTCACCGCTTTTAAGTCTTGGCGAAGCGCACCAAACTTTCTCGAATTCTGGTGGCTTGGTCAATATCGCCGTCGCTTGATCCCACGATCTCAGCACCGCTCCAACCTCAAGAGTTTTATCAATCCATCTGCTTGTCACAGTCGCCCAGTACGTACAGATCCTCCACCTTTCCCGTTCGTCTCCTTCCGTTGAGAAAATATTCACCACACACAAAAGACATCTCCTTCAATAACCCTTTGAAAGCCCGCACACACCTCAAGTTTAGGGCTCATTGAGCATCTATCTGCGGTTTTTCATTTTCACACGTTGCTTTTCGACAAGAGGCTTTTTCCCCTCCAATACTCAACTAACACATTTCTTCACTTCTAGAAATGACAAACAGAGGCAAACCCCGCGGTCTCAACGCCGCGCGCAAACTCGTCGCCGCCCGCAAGGAAGGTCGCTGGGCCGACCTGCACTACAAGAAGCGTCTCCTCGGAACCGCCTACAAGTCCTCGCCTTTCGGTGGATCCTCGCACGCCAAAGGGATCGTGCTGGAAAAAGTCGGCGTCGAGGCAAAGCAGCCCAACTCGGCCATTCGGAAATGCGTGAGGGTGCAGTTGATCAAGAACGGGAAGAAGGTCACCGCTTTCGGTACGTTTTTCTCTACCCACAAATCCTTGCACAAGAAAGAAGTAGAGGAATGGGGCAAGGAAAGAAGAAAGGAAAAAGGAATAGGAAGAGAAAACCCAACTCATAAACTGGAAGGGGGGAGAGATGAAATGGAGAAAAGTACATGACATTTTACTAACCAATCTTATGCTCAACCCGCAGTTCCCAACGATGGCTGTCTCAACTTCGTGGATGAGAACGACGAGGTCCTCTTGGCTGGGTTCGGTCGCAAGGGCAAGGCCAAGGGTGATATCCCCGGTGTGCGGTTCAAGGTCGTCAAGGTGTCCGGCGTGGGTCTGAGCGCCTTGTGGAAGGAGAAGAAGGAGAAGCCCCGATCGTAAACGCGGGTGATCATACTCTCCATAAAAAAGGGGAAGTCACAGGAATGTGAGAAGCAAGTGGGATGGCTTGGCTTTGGTGGGCAGATGATGAGAGAGAGAGAGAGAGAAGACAACGACACAACACAACATATCTATTGCTGTGCTATGCTTGGTGTGAGGCCCAAAGGAACGGGAACGGGGACCCAAAAATATCCTCAGGCACAAAACCTGATGACTTGAAAAGGAGAAACGCCCATTGAAAGAAGAAAAAAAGCAAACAAAAACACCGATTTCCTGTCCCTGCCTCGCCTTGGGTCCAAGAAGCTTGCACAATGTCGGCAAAGGGGGAGTTGAGAATCCAGCATAGTTGCAAAGAGGTCGCCACTTGTGACTCGAGGAGCTATCTTCCAGCTGCTCCTCGTTCGTATGGGGGAGTGGAGTTTGTACTCGGTATGATAGGACTTCTTGAGGCTCTCTTGATAGAACGATCCTGGGTCAAAATTCAAGACCGAACCGGTCACATCAGACAAAAACACGGAAAGCACCGTTTATGAAAGTCTGGACTACCCCTTGCCAATGCACAATCTCGAACAAGAATTAAAGATTGCTATGTGTATTTCTCAAAAGTAAAAATGTACTTTTCGTGGGGTATCCTCACTCAGGTCCTTGGCCGCCCACGGATGTGTTTAGCCTCTAACGAATGAACGCCATATTTTGCCCTTGCTCTCTTCACATCCCGCTCCTACAGCCCTTCCGCTTACCAGGCAATAAGAATATTGCATAGAAAGGATGTTTGTCGAAAAGGGAAAATAGAAGAGGCCGCGGCAACCCACATGGACCTCGAAAACGAAAAGTGATTCCATCGATCCCTCAAGTCAATGCATCACATCCATGGCCTCTCGCTTGGGCTCTTCAGTGTCGCCCTTAGCGTTCTTGCCCTTTCTCCCCCGAATCAAACCCAGCGGAGGCGTCTTCAGTCCGAATATGTCGGTTTCTCCGTCATTGCTGATGGGGCTTCTAGCTTCATCATCTTCGCTCCCTTCCGGGCTGGGTGCCTGGCTGTCGCGCAGTGACCGTTTCCCTCGCATCATCTGTTCAGAATTACCCTCGTCAGCAATGGATTCAAAGTTAATATATCCAGACCAAGGGTTTTCTGTGCTTACCCATGATTTCACGCCTCCAATCAACCCCAGGCTGTATCCCGCGGCAAAGTCCTCGCTCCTACTGAGCCTACCAGGGGAGTCACTTCGCTTCTCTGGGTTGATGGCCGTTTCTAATTGCTTCAATTGCTCGACAGCAGTCATTCCACCGCTGAGGAGGGGACTCTTGAGACCTCCTTCGCTCAATTGTCTATTAAATGGAGCCGGACTCGCGGGTCTCGAACTGGCATTCGTCCAGAATGACCGCAAGTCGCGGGAGATCTCTCCGCCGGCAGTGACCCAGTTTGATTTGACGCTATCTCTCAGTTCCTGCATGTGTCTCTTGAGATCAAGCTCGTTCTTCTTGAGCCAGCTTATGTTCAGCTCCTGCCGGCTTGTCCCTCTCTTGAGCTGGCGAACGATATACTTTTCATAGTCTCGGACAATCTTTGTAATGATCCCGGTTGTCGAGACTCCCTCGGTTCGCTGTGTGACGAGGAACTTGCCCTCCTTTTTGATAGGTGCATAGATATCATCGCCTTCGTCGGCGCCATAGGGTTCGTCGTCGTGGGCCACGTAATCAATCTGATGCTTTTCCAGGAACTCTGGCGTCACGATCCAGGGGCAGTTAGGGATGACTTCATCAACCCATCGGCAATGGCGAAGCGTCTCTGCTCTTTCTGCACCAGTGAGCACGGTCAGACCTTTGCGCTTGTGTGTCTCGGCGTCTCCCGTAACCCCGACTATTAAATAGGTATTTGGGAATGCAGTCTTAGCTTGTTCAAGCTGGCGCATATGCCTTGACAGGAGATTAGCACTTTCCCATCTATAAAGCGATGGACGGGGTGGCCTACCCAAGGTGGAAGAGATCAAAGACTCCATCGGCGTAGACTCTGACAGGCCTACCCGTCGGTGGTGGATTGGTCTTGTACCCCCCGACAGGATCCCTCGAGCCTGCTTTTGGTACATCCTCCATTGTGTCCCGGTCGTCCTTGACGATTGCTTTCTTCATGGAACTTGTGACGGTTCCTTTCCTTTTCCTGGCTGTTTCCTCGATCTCTTGGCTGTCCACAGTAGTGCTTGAAGGCTCGCCGGGGTCTTCCTCATTGGCAACGGCTTTTTCAACCGTTCCATTTGGCTCGACAGGTTTGGCGTTGGACCGGGTGCGAGCTCGCTTGCTAGGCGGCACCGTGCTGTCGATAGAGTTACTAGGGGCATGTTTGCGGTTCCGTAGATTGTGCGAGGGCGAATCGGCCAGCTCTTCACCTGAAGCGTCGCGCGACGAGGGTTGCTGGAGGTCCGTTGGGACGGCCGTCCTTTTTCGCTTCGCGGATGACGTGGATGATGGCGACGACATGTCGGGAAGAGGTTCAGGATCTCCAGCCACGATCAAGTTGGTACATGTAGTCCCATGTCAGGTAAGAAAAGAGCAGGAGTCAAGTCGCTGGGAAGCGAAGAGGAACGAAGAGACAAAGTTTCCAGCAGGAAGCTGCCAAGATCCACAGTGAGCAACAAATTTCGGGGATCGTGAGAAGCGAGAGGGAGGGGGCGTTGGAGTTCAAGTTTCGTGATGGTCAGGATTTATCACAGCCACATCAAGATTTGGCCACGGGAAAGGACCCTCCTGGCACGGTGCTCCATACGGTGGAAGACCTTCGCCCCCCCAGCAACTCGGCATGGGCAAATCCAAAATGCACTGGGGAAAAGAAGGAAAACCGGTTGTTGGCAATGCCGTCAGAGGTGGCACCAGAAGCCAAAGAGGAGAGCGGGCATGTGCCTCGCGAACGTCTCCTATCCGTCCACCAGTCATGCCCGTTCATACTAAAGAGGAAGCAGCTGCTGGTCAAACGTCATCCCATCGCACACTGGAACTGGGTGGCACCAGCTGGCGGCTGTCACTCAATTGGCGAGCTGGGCGCAGGTGCGCCAGTGGATGGGATATTATGATCCTACACCACAAATTGCATAGGTTGCGAACTTACCGAGACGCATATCAATCTAGAAATGTGAGACGCAGGGAAGTGTAAGAGGGCATTAGGAGCAGAGTCTCTTCGGTCAATCGCTGCCACCAGAAGTTGTTTTGATCTAGACACGCGAACGCCGCACACACCCCCTAAGAAAGACGTCGGTCGAGGAATAACTGGTGGTTGCCGATGCAGCGCTCAAAAGTACTCCACGTAGGCCCCTTCCCACGCGATGTATATAGATAACAGGTACAGAAAATGGCATCAGTCTACCGTCGTGCTCACTGCCTCGTCGCGCGATGGTATGAGAACAGGGCCGCAGGGAGAAAGTCCTTCTGCACGCTCTTCCATGTAGGTCTAAACCAGTATCATGCATGCTAGGACTCTTCGTCAATGCGCTGACGGCAGGGGTATCTTGCGTCGGGAAGAAACTAGATCTGCCTGTCTGGTCTCGCTCATCCTTTGCCTTCAGGCAGCAGCCTTCTGCGTCGTTTCGTCTGCCGTTCCTGTGTTCTCGGCGTCTTTGCTGTGCGAGGCATCCTGGTGACTTGATGCTTTCGATTCATCACCTGCCGATTGGGGAGCCGGAGTGCCTTCGCGTTCACTTCGCGCAGACTCGATATCTGATGTGTCTGGGGTGCCTTTCTTGACCTGGTTCGCCGCATCTTTGTCTTCTTCACTTTGATCGAACATTTCCGTATCGTCTGAATCTGTCAGGACCTCTGTTCCATCCCCAAGCAGAATAATCCTCCCACTCCGACCCGCAAACCCTCGAGGCCGGTGGTCTAAATCAAGCTCGTACTCGTCCGGGCTGTCATGATCAAACTGGTGTCGGACACCTGGTCCACGGAATTCAGCTGCATATTGTTAGACAAGACTTGGCCTCAAGGAAATTAGGGTTGGACTTGCCGTACTCTGGTGGCGCACATGGTCCATCACCGTCTGCCACTCGCTTACTGATCATCTCATACCACTCCTCTTTGCTTTTCCCGTTCAACAGACCGATCACAATCATCGTCATATTGTCACAGCCAACACCTCCGGTCTCACTGTTTGACGCAAGGCAGTTGTCCATCATATTCTCGCAAATGAGCTGTAGCTCTTGTTTGGCAGCAATACCTCTCCGCACAAACTCGATCACGGCTTGCGAAGATTGACAATCCCATATACCTGGTCCATCATAAGCCACGCCAAACGGGGCAAAGGGCTCGAGGGAGAGACTTACCGTCGCAGGCAATCACTAAGAACTCGTCGTCGGACGAGATTTCATGCGTGATCACATCGGGAAAGGCTGTGACAATCTGCTGCTCGGGGGAGAGGTCGGCGCTCTTCTTGAATTCAAAGTCGCCTATGGCACGTGACAGGGCAAGATTGCCATTGACTCGACCAAAGTCCACAAAGCCTCCGGCGGCACTTATACGGGCTTTCTCGCCTAGCCTTCTGGTTAGCTTGTGTCAACGGCAATACAATCAAGTGGCGTACCTTCGTTCTGGGGTTTGTGGTCAAAGGACAGGGGCTTTGCTCTCCCTTTGACACCGAGGACAGTGCGAGAGTCTCCAGCATTGGCCTAGAAAGGTGAGTCAGTGCATAAAAGGATGTGAACATTGCTGTACGCACCACCCATATTTTGTCCTTTGATATGATGCCAACGGATGCGGTACATCCGGACACCTCGTCTTCGTAGCGAGCATCTGCACGTTGCCTTAGTACCAGAAACTATAGAGTTCGCCTTGGTGCCGTTCATACCATTGAGGATTGCACGGTCGGTGGCGAGAAAGCCATCCTTCAAGGCTTGTTCAATGTCTCCTTTGGAGAATGCGTCTTGTTTTGCGACAATCTTGTGGATGTTCTCCCCAGCGAACTGTGCGACTTTTTCCCCACCATGCCCGTCGTAGACACCAAAATACGATAACCGTTTATCTGGAGGGGCTGATTGTTTAGGTTTGCCATTTTCGTCGGGTTGTAGGTCGAGTACTGCGGCGTGTGCGTCTTCCATACTTATACGCCATCCTTGCATTGCTGAGAGGCCATAGTAAACACAGTCATCTGCGCCGCTATCGGATATCTGTCAAGTATTTGCGTTAGCTACTGTGTTCATGACTCTGACGACAGAGATGAAACTGCAAACAAGAAGCGGGCCTGGCGGTCTTCCGGCTCTGAATCACACGCAGGCGCAAGTGTTTCTGCTGAAAAGCATGGGGGAGGGGGGCAAGAACGCATCATTATCTGGGCGTACCTTTTCGACCACGGGCTCTGACAGAGTCTGACCCATGCTTGTATTTCTTCAACTTGTGATTGGAATTGGAGGCGACGGTGCTCATGTACTCCTTGCACGCGATGTCATAAGCTGGCGGGCGGTTGTGGCAGGTCGAAAAGGCAGCGGAGGAGGACTAGAACGGGAAGAGGGCGCAGGCTCTGCAACCTGAGGGAAATATGCAACGTCTGAATGATGCACCGAAGGATGGATACAGACAGCAACGCAGCCGGGTCAAGGCTCTTTCTGGCTGCCGAGAAGCAAGGTGTCGCGTGCAGAAGTCAGAGATGTCACTTTAACAGAATAGAATAATCCGAGTCTGAAAGGTGGGCAGGCGAGTCTCTCGCAGGGAGTTGCAGGTGAGTGATGCTTTGTGGCTGCCACCCAGGTTCGGTGCCAGTTTGGTGCCGGTTTGGTGCCAGGGCGAGTAAATGACGATAGATTCCAAAAACCCACCCACTGCAACCGAAGTCCCTTAGTAAGGAAAGCGAGGAGGCCGCCTGCGCCCTCACAGCCCCGTGTCGGGATGCCAAGCCCTGTATTTACAACGTGGTGGGCTCGGTGGTAACAGCGTAACTCGGTACATACGCCCTCAGCCTTACTAGCCTATGAACTCTTTGGTCACTACAAACTACCCATGGCAGTACATGGTGCTGCTCAAGAGATCCATGCATGTGGCTTGCTCTAACTAGACGTATCGACTTCGACAATTATATGAAGCGGAAACTTCCCCTTCGGCTGGCTTGGGATCGCTTCAGTCCACCCTCTTCAACACTAATACGTCGCCGCCCATTCACTGACCACGCTTGCTGCTTCGCATCCGTGCTGAACTCACCGTTCCTCATATTGTCTCGCGAAGGCGGAACGGGGTTAAACGGTAAACGTGGTAAAGATTGCGAGCTGTTGCTAGCCGGCCACTGTTTCCCTTCTGCTCTTGTTTCTTCAATGGCAGAATTTTCGTCCTCCAGGTAGCTGTCTGAGGAAGTGACTGAGTCGAACTGCCCACTGCCGGCGATACTGACCTGCGTCCGCAACATGGGTGTATTTCCTGGGTAAGAAGGCACAAGACTACCCATTCGTGCAGGCTCCCGAGCCCCGAGCTCAAGGCCAGACCACCTTGACCATGGATGCTCGCGAGAAGCTCCAGCCGTCGGTGGTGATGTTGGTGGGCCTCGGTCCGCGAGCGCTGCCGTGTTTCTAGGCCATTTGGTTTGCGGTGAGGCCATCATCCGTGCCGAGCCTGCATTTGAAAACCTTGCAGAGCCTTCTAACCGGGCTCGTGCACGTTCCGTATGCCATTTCTGACGCTGCTCCTCAAAGGATAGAGGCTGACTGCTATCTTCCGGGACAACTCGTAGACATGGACCTGATTTCTTAGTCTGAGACCCAGCTCTAGCGGTGGTCGCTCCAGTCACAGGGGGCGCAGGGAATGAATCTAATACCAGGGTGGTCCTCCTGCGATCACTCGATGGATTGGATGCCCAGGTATTCCGCCAGGACGACTGGTCCAGACCAGAATCAGGAGTAATAAGGATGCCGGCTCCATGTCCAGCGCCGCTCCTCCTGTCCGGCAAGCCGACCACGTGTGACACCGGACTTGCATGGGTATTGGTAGTTGAATCCTCCAGTTGACTCTGCAAGCCTGCTTCTGATAATCTACTCGGGAATGCTGGAAGTCCCGGGAGCGACAGCCTCGGGTTGGCAGGCAAAGGCAAAGGCTCATATGCCGTGTCTCTCGCTCTGTCAAATCCTTGAGCAGCTTCCAGTTGGGCAGCGAAAAGGCTGCCAGGAGTGAGAATCTGTGAAGTGCGATGCTGCGAAAGGGGATGTGGACGTCCTGTGCCCGACAATCTCTTCCTAGAGCTCTTCAAAGAATCGTGAGACCATGCAGGCGTCATTCTCAACGAGTCAGAAGGGACGATATCTTGAGCATAGGGTGGACGGCCAGCCGTTTCCGCAGCTTGTGCAGATTGATTAGGCGGCTCGTACGCACGCCCATCAGCAAGTGCGGAACCTTCTTCGAATGAGGCATTATTGGTTTCTTTGCCCTTCCTTCTCCTCCTCAGACAACACAGAGTCAGGCAAACCGCAAGCAATGCTCCAACAACAGAAAATACACAGGCCAATACAATATGCAGTACATGGCTGTTCGATGTGTTACCATTGGGAGAACTCATTGCTCGCTCAGATGCTTTGCTCGTGCCACTAGCCTTGGAACTTGTTGGTAGCTCCGTGGTATGCGTTGGTGTCATTGCGGTAGCAATGGGTTTCCGAAGCACTTGTAAAATCACCTCTCCTGTCGCAACAGTCGATGAATTGGCAAATGTGATAGATATATTGAGTGTCTGAGGAGATAGATCTGGGGGCACTGAACCTGACAGAACCCAGGTCTGATTGTTAAAACCAAGCCAGGCTGCGGCACTGCCCAGGGCCGCCACAGCTCGGACCCAAGGCGAGGAGGTAGGGTTGATCGAATTGTACGAGAAGCATTCCCCCGCTGTAACGTTGACAACGCCTATGATCCCAAGAGAAACATTCGAAGCCCCAGTATTTTCGAGAAAGATGGTAGCATTGGCAATATCATGATAAATATCCATGACAGTAATAGTGATAGTAGTGTTGGCAGTATCAACAGCGGTACCACTCAAAGACAGTTGTTTTCTGTCTAGCTTGACCCATGCTGGAACAGTCGCATCTATACTGACAATCTGATCGTCCGTAACAGGGCCCCCGTCCAGAGTGATCAGGGGCCGGAGTGGCAAAGTTTGGAAGTGATCACCACTGGAGATCTGAATATCTTGAGAGGCGGGCGAAAATGCCAGGATCCTGCGGCTAATAACAATCTGAAAATCAACCGCCGATTCTGCAAATCCAGGCACATTTGAAGCAATAAGTCTTAAGGAGTACGTCTGGGATTCGGCCAAGGGGGACACCAAGGCAGGAGTTGTGCCCGAGATCTCAAGCCGAGATTCATCGAACTGCACCCACGGAGGCAGAGGGGTATTATCGGCCGAAACTGCGTAGTATCTTGTCTCAAGCGTAGCGCCATCGAAGATTTGCTTTTCGAAGACTAGATGAAAAGACTGCTGTGGATGCGCCAGTAACGAATTCGGCGGGGAAACGAGGCCACTCTGCTCTAGTTGAGGCAATACAGGTGCATTGAGCGTCAAAGTCGAAGATTCGAGCACAATAAATGTGACGTTCGTCGATGACTGTCCCGTCAAGTCTGAAGCGACCAATTGAAAGATCGTGGTGCCTATGTCGCTCTGATTTGGGATCCCTCGGAACTGGCGGGAGGCACTGTCTAGATCAAGCCACTTTGGACCGTGTGCTATTGTGTAAGTGATCTCGGGAGCGTTTGAGGTGAAAGTATCGGCGGAGAATGCAAAGTTGTACGGCTGTGACACGTATGCAACAGGCGGAACTTGCGAATTGAGCGGAAAAGCAAGCTCCGGTGCGGCTGCGGCGAGACTGAGTATCACACTGAGCGAAGCCGCCAACAAAGGCTTGCGGATTTCTGTGAGATACATTCAAGTGATCAACTGGAAGGTCGAACTCATTCTGCAATGGGGCAACTCGAGGCTTTGGCGGAGTCTTGTCGAAGAGCATTTGCAGAGAAGATTTCCCTGTCGCGGTTGCAGACGCGGTTTGCGCGAGGTAACGCGGTCGCAAGCATTTTAATGATGTTCCCGAGGGGTTGGTCGACTCCCGAGAGAAATTGATGGTGTCTGCAAGGGATAAATCTGCGCACAGAATGTGAAAACCCTCGAATCCCAGAAGCTCCCACGTCAAGGCTGCAAAACTCGGACCATTTTGACTCCATTCTTACCGGGGGAATAGTAGTCGTTGACGGTTTCCTGCACGACAAAGCCACATTTAGAGTAGAGGCTCCTGGCGACTTGATTTGCTTCGTCGACCCAGAGATCGATTGCCCGACAGGACCAGCATTTCGCATCCTCGATGACCTTTTGCATCAACAAGCTACCTATACCCTGGCTTCTTGCAGCTGGGGATACGCAAATCTTGTGGAGAAGAAGCCGATGGTTCCATTTCACTGCAACAGCATAGGCGACAACCGGCGGCCATCCCGCTTGATCTAAAAGTCCGACAACAATTTCCATATTGCGCTGCTGAAGGACTCTATCGTCCAAAGGGAACACTTCACGTGGAGCAAATACCTTGCGTTCCAGACTCCTCATTTCATGTAGAATGCGCGGGATAGTAGAGCGAGGCAGTTGCCGGATGTTGTGGAAGAGGGGACGACTTTGACACGAGGCATCGCCACATTGACTTGTTTCTGCCTTGCAGGGCATGATCAGGCAAGAGATTTCAGTGCCTGCCACAGCATGAAGTTGCAGTGATGGCAGCAGCCGCCATCCTGTATCGCAAGCACAAATCAAAGCAGGACAGAGAAGTTAAGTTGAAAGTGACCAAGACTGCCAGCGGTTGAGGTCTGTGGGTCTTGGCTGGGAAGTTTCCCATGGCTGAAGCAGCGCGTTTTTCACCTAGACTCGGAACAACGACGCGTTTCGAACAAACACCTCGATTTGCTCACTGCTTCCCACCACGACTTTGATTGCTGAGATCTCGGCTCTCATATCAGGAGTATTGTCATTTTGCGTGCAGTAGACGATATGCCTGCAACCACCGATAAACGGGAAAAGGCTCGAGAAGTTGTTGATATCCTCGAAGAGATATCAATTCTCCTTGTAAGTGATGATAATCCCTTTTGTGCGTCTCTCTCACAACAATGGCAGAACACACAACTGGATCGGACACAGCTGTCGCTTTGTGTTTCCCTCATCGAGAACGGGGTCAATCCAGAGGCTTTAGCAGTGAGTTGAGGCCTCAGACTGGTTCACAAGGAGGCGAATGCTAAGTGATTTTGAGACCGCCATCAAAGAACTACGACAAGAGACTCAGGATTTACAACCAGAGTCTGGACTATCTGAGTGAAACCGATCCGCTGCAACGTGCCATCCGCTGCGTATTTGACGTACTTCCGGAAATCAAGACTTGACTATGGACTTGTGTCAATGAGATGTTACGCCCTCCCTCACTTCGGCAGACCGGTAGAGGTGAAGCTGTCCCGAGCAGTGCCTCTACTCAGATTGCAGCGAACAATATATTCGGGAAGCGTCCGAGGATCACCAAGTCGCAAGATAGCTACGAGTCAACTGTGAAGAGAGGTGGTTGCTGTCTTGTGGTGGAGTGTACCAGAGGGCGCTTGCACAGGCCGTTGGCCAGAAAGTCGACCCTCTGTCCTCGGAAAAATCAGCATCGTATTCATGTCTCGGATTTGGTTCCACCCTCAATCACATACCGGAAAGCCTGCGCAATGGTAAAGAGGGGAGATGCAGCTGAACCCATGGAAAAGCAACTGGCATGAGACGCATATCATCAATGTGGCTTTCTGCACATGTCTCGCGATGCGATGCGACACGCGGTCATGCATAAATGTTCCTCAGCCCCAATGCAGGGTGTTTCGCCATAATATATCGAGTCCACGTGACTTCAGCGTCTTTGGTTCCTGTTTCTAGTTTGGGAGAAGATCCTTCGGCAACGACGCGTAAGATCTGTACGGGTTGCGCCCTTGCGCCTCGTAAGACGGAGTGGCACCTCCAATGGCTTTTGGCAGCAGATGGAGGAATGAAGTAGGCCAGGCAGCATTGGCAACCTGTGAATGCTGAACCAGCGAATGCTGGACCAACGGCACTCTGTGAGAGCCGCCTACCCCTTCTTGTAGCAGGTTAGCCTGATGCGTGTCGCTTCAAGACAACGACTGTGGCTGGATTACGCAGATGCCGCCCAAGAAGAAAAGGCCACAGGACGCGGCGTTTCAAAACGACGTGGCCATGCATGACGTTAGCCAAGTGCTTGGTGGGCGACGATCTCAGGGTGGCTGAGGCCGCCAATCGGAGGCCCACATCCCAGGCTTAGGGGCCTAACTGGCGCCCGTGGTGCCCAAAGAATGGCCCTGGGAAGCGGCTAGTAGGCCAGAGGCTGGGGATGCCCGATCCACTCTAGGGGCCCTTGGGGTTGCCTGGCTTTCGCTGGGCTCCGAGACCTGCACTCAACCCGCTAATTCTTTGCCATTGTGGAATCAAAGCTCCATGTCTCGCTGGACGGATGCCCTGTTTTCCTCACCACCCCAGCCAGATTCTGACCACACCGATCAGAGACTGCGGTCATGGCCTCTTGTTTGACGCAAGTCGAGGCTGAGAGCAAACGACGGCACAGGTCGTCCTACATTTAACGGGGCCCATCAGCACTGCCCTGACCTGTCACTTGCTCAACTCACCACATCCAACCTGTGCTCCATATTTGTATTTCTGCTGCAGGGCCTCAAAAGTCGTTCATTTCTGGAAATCCATTCGTTCTTCTGCACAGAACCATCCTATCCCACAAGATCTCCTTTCCAAGATGCGGTTGTCTTCCCTTCTCACACTGGCATGTGCTATCACGGCTTTCATTCTTTCTATCCTCAGTCTCCTTGCTGGTGATAAGCGGACATTCCTCCAGGATACCGAAATACTGACAGTAAGCACATCTCCTCGCAGAATATATAGGTGCATCATATATTGACTCGACATAGCTCAACATCTCCCGGCTCGGTCACGGGAGTCTATTTACCTCTAGTAGCGACAGCGGGTTGCTCTCGGGCTTGAGCAGCACCATTCAGCAGGATATCAACGACATAATTGGCGATGCAACGACCGACATTGCTTCACTCCTGGGCCTCCCCGATTTCTTCAATGTCCATGCCACAGACTACTGCCAGGGCGATTATTCGCCAAACTCCACTGTGCACCATGCCAAACACAATGTAACTCATTGCTCGAAGTCGACCTTGGGCTTCCACTTCCAGCCCACGAAGATTGTTCAGGATCTTCTGCCGGACGGAATCACCTTGGACGACATCCACTGGCCAAGCGACATAACAAATGCGGAACACACCATCAAAGTGGTCAGCCGTATCATGGTGATCTTCTATATCATCGGCATCGTCTTGTCAGGTGTTGCCATGTTCACTGCCGCCGCCGGTATATTCACCAATGGCCGATTGTCAGCGTTCTTCAACTGGCTGGTGGATGTGGTAAGTCCTCTCCTCTCCTGGTGACGAAAACCAACTTGTATTAATCATGGTCTTTGCAGCTTGCCTTTGTCACTCTCGGCGTCGCCTCGGCCGTAGCAACGGCCGTGATGGTCATTGCCACCAACCGAATCAACAAGTACACAGATCAGATCGGCATAGCTTCAAGCAAAGGCGGGAAATTCCTTGCGATGACCTGGGCGGCCACGGCAGTCATGCTGCTGGCGTCGTTTGTGTCTCTTGTACAATGCTGTGTGGGTCGACCCAACAGGGCCAAGAGATATGGCGGGAAAGATGGTTACTGATACAGTACTGTGAGTGATGGGGCTGATGCATATGCCTGACGGCGTTTTGAGGATTTTATGTAGATAAGAGAGCGAGCCATCACGGCGCACGACCTGCATATTGTACAGAGGCGTACTAGGCGTCGGGACAACCACCAGCACCAGACTTGGATAATAGCCAAAGGTTGGGTAGCAATTGCTATTCAGAATCTTGCACAAAGCTACCCCCATTTTCTTCTTCTGCGGCAGGATGGATAGTACCTAGTAGTGGTGGCAGCGAATGTGATGTGACGTAATGAAGCAGTTGTTGCAAGTTGCACCCCAAATCGGCGCCTTTTATTTACACCCGTTTAAACCCCCATGAGGAGCCCGTGGTTGATATAGCTCTTGACTAATGGGCTCATCGAACCAATGAGGTGTTGCTAAGCCGTCGCTAGTTGTCCTCCCGGTGACGCACTGGCACGCGGGGCATGAAGCTTTCACTGTTGGAGCGACGAGGTACATTTACTAGCCGTTGTGCCTCACCTCTCGCATCCCACTTGATCTAATTTCTTGTTGACCGCTTCCAAGCCCATATATCTTCTCTGACACCTCCGACTTTTCTGCCCAAATTTTTTCTCCTTCTCCCAAGGTGATTTTCATTCTCCTGCCTTGTGCTGTACACGAACTTCATTTGCTTTGAGCTTTCAGAGCGGCTTCGTTTCGGACGAGACCTGTGAGTACAAACCAGCGGCGCGGCGTCGTTATCACCATGCCAGTTTTTGGACAGAGAGCTCACTGACCTTGGGCAGCAACTTTCCATAGTCCCTCTCACCTCTTCTTCACACATCACATATCCCCCCATCCACCATGGTTGGCACAGCCGTCCACTTTGGCGGTGGCAACATCGGCCGTGGTTTCATCGCGGAGCTGCTCCATGAGACTGGTTATGAAGTCATCTTCGTCGATGTCGTCGACGACCTCATCAACCGAATCAACGCCTCCAAATCGTACAAGATCACCGAGGTTGGTGAAGAGGGGGAGAAGAGCAAGGTCATCACAAACTACCGTGCGATCAACTCAAAGTACAACATGGACGAGGTTGTGCAGTGCATCGCTGACGCCGATATTGTCACCTGTGCTGTCGGCCCCAACGTCCTCAAGTTCATTGCCAAGCCGATTGCTGATGGCATCGCGGCACGCACAAAGTCCAAGCCTCTTGCCGTCATTGCCTGCGAGAACATGATCAACGCTACCGATGCCCTCAAGGCCCTCATCACCGACGAGAAGAACATGAAGCCCGAGGTGCTCAAGGAGCTTGACTCCAAGGCCGAATTTGGCAATTCTGCTATTGACAGAATCGTCCCAACCCAGCCTCCGCATGCCAACCTCGATGTTGTCATCGAGAGCTTCTTTGAGTGGTGTGTTGAGACCACCGGCTTCAAGTCGGGCCATCCAAACGTCAAGGGCATCCACTGGGTCGATGACCTCGAGCCATATATCGAGCGTAAGCTGTTCACCGTGAACACCAGCCACGCTACTGCCGCCTATTTCGCCTACAACAAGGGTATCAAGACCATCCATGAAGCCATGGCAGATCCCGAGATCCGGCAAGAAGTCCATGAGGCCCTCGAAGAGACTGCGCACCTCATCAGCGGCAAACATGGCATTACCCCAGAGGAGCAACAGCAGTACGTCGATACCATCATCTCTCGCATCTCCAACCCGCACCTTGAGGATGTCCCTGTCCGTGTCGGTCGTGCACCGCTCCGAAAGCTTGGTCGCAAAGAGCGCTTCATTGGTCCCGCTGCTCAGTTGGCCGAACGTGGCTACGATGTGACTGCTCTGGTCCGTGGTGTGGAGATGGCGCTTCGATTCCAGAATGTGGAAGGTGACGAAGAGAGCAAGGAATTGGCACAAATCATGAGCACCTTGGGTCCCGAGGAAGCAACCACCAAGCTCACTGGTCTTGAGCCAAGCCACCCCCTTTACCCCAAGATCCTGGAGAAGGTCAAGATCGTCCAGAACGAGAAGAAGTAAACTTCACCGGCGTCTGCTTGCAGTAGATGCGGTTGATCGTCATGAGACAAACGAGAGGTGTCGGCGGGTATCATGGGGATGGTCCTCCTGCTATTTTGCAGAGTTTGAAAAGCACACTTCTCAGAGATAGACTTCGCAGGAACAGTGCCATGAATTATTCAACGTCAGATCCCTTAATGTCGTAGCGTATTGGACCATTTCAATACCCACCTCGAGTCATTGTTGCCGGTATCAAAGTTCTGCTTGAGTCGTCGTTGATGTTTCACAACCGAGTCGTTGTCGTCGGATCAACCGCGACCGGGATCTTGTGTTCTGACTTTTCTGTCTTCAGCTACGCCACGGATGGGCATCAGGCCGACATGTTTTCCGGTCGGCACCAAAAGTGCTACTTGGCAGGAATGCCTTCGCTCGGCACTTGCAGTCTGGAGGGCTGCCCCACAAGCAGAGCGTCGGCGAGTTGTCTAACGACGTTGAATTGTGAGTTGACAGATCTCGGACGCTGTGAATTGTGTAGAAGTCGATCAACACCTGCACAGAGCCAACCGGGCTGACGCTGCCCTCACATTGCTCACACGCGCTCGCCATGCATGCAGCCAGCCAGGCCTCTTACACAAGCCATGCAAGAGGCTCAGATCCAGCAAATGAACCCCATGCGGAATTGCGAAAATGCATCTCCAAGCACCGTAATTGGGCTGATGCGGAGTTCCGAGTTCCCTGGGAGCGATGCCCGCTTGTCTTGTCCAGATCTGCATGGGCTTTAGGTACTCAAGCAGGGACTCGAGGGTAGGGCGATGGTGGCGGTTCTCGAATCAGATCCAGACCATCCCAAGATGGACCCGCAAACGCTCGTCCTGGACCGACCATAGAGCGAGTGAGCCACATGAAAGATGAAGCCAGGCTAGCAAAAGGAAGCCCGGGCTCTCTAGTTTCGCCTACCGCCTGGTCAACCGACAAATCGGCAGTCACACATCAAGCTCTTGGGCCAATGGCATCAGCAGGAGGGGAATTTCCGAGGGGTGTGCGCTCTGGTTATCTTCTCCTAGGTCGTATCTGAGGGGAACCTTTTCCCGCGCCGCGTCTTGTCATACTGTCGACTGGCTTGAGGGGCAACAATTGTGGCTCGGACATTCCTAGGGCGGGGAATGGGCTGAGATGGGGCGAGTCGCCAAGCGGGAATAAATTTCCACTCGAAACCCGTTGGTACTTCCTCCTACTCTGCCTGACTACAACCTCAGGGCGATCTTATGGATCGAAGACCGTTGCAGTCGCTGCGCCCGAGCAGCAACAGCAACAGCAACAACTACATCACCACTTCCGACCGGCCTGCTCGCACTGGGAGGCTGGGACGCAATAAAATCACCCGGGTCGGCACGGCATGCGAATCCTGTAAACGGCGAAGATCTAAGGTGGGTGCACATTTCTACAGACCCTGATTATCGGCCGTGCGGATAATGGGACTGAACCAGACCTGGAAATGCAGTGTAGCGGGTTCCCTGCACCATGCAAATTGTGCTTGCAAAGCGGCATCGAGTGTACATTCGACCCTTCGCTCGACGGCCGGCGAGCAGGAACTCGTCTTGACCGTGAAGCCTTGCTTTCACAAAACCGCCTTTTCACGGCACTCCTCCAAGTGGTCCGATTCCGCTCGAGCTCACAGGTCCAAGCCATCATCAAATGCATCCGCGACGATGATCCGACCCATGATATCTTTGCAACAATTCAGGAGTGTCTCGAGCAACTCGACGATGGCCAGACAGCGGTAAGTGGAGCTGATGGATCACAACCCGACTTTCAACGACAGCTTCAAGCTCTATCGCCTGTCGAACAGTCTGCAGCGGACGACTTACTCGATACTGTCCATCTACATAGCGATACACATGGCAGAAAAACCGCTCACAATATTACCACCCCACCAAGCTACGACGATATGGGGGATGACACCCAGCCAAACGATGGGCTCAACAACAATGTCTGCCCAACGTGCAATCAGACTTCTCACACATTATCCGGCGCACTCACTCCTCCAGAAAGCGCTCAAGAGCACCCAGGGCAGCCAGTGGCTGACGAAAGTTACCCAGGAGAATCCAATCTCTACAGCGGCAATGCTCACCTTGTAGACGAAGCGATGACTTCGGACAGGACGACGCCATCTTCGACACAGCAAAGCAATATCTCCGACTTGCAGCACAATAGACGGGGATGGCATTTCAGTTTGTGCACTGCAGAGACTCAGTCAGCTCATGCTAATGGGGCACCGAAAGACGTTCAAGCTGAAGACGAGGCACATCAAACGGATGCTTCATATGAAGTGGTGGCTAAACACGCACATGCCAGCCAGGTCGCAGATGCAGAGAAATCCTCAACTATACCCAGAATCAGTGTCAAAGGTCCAAATATCCCCGGCCCTGCCCATAACCACGTATCCCCCCTATACGGCATCCAAACGCTGGTCGCCCAGGAGAAAACCCCGCTGAGCGACATCATCACCGGATTCATGGACAGTGCTAAGAACTTGCTCTCCTTTGGTGCCTCGCCGTCCGGAGTTCTTGGCTCGGACGAGATTGATGTGGAGCTGTTTTTCCGTGACCGAACTCAAGAGGATGACCTGACAGTCAGTGGCTGGGCTTGCCAGGTAAGAGCTTCGCCTTTACGCCGCTCTAAAGCAAATTGTTCATTCCGAAAACTAATTGCAACATTCCTCCAGGTATGGCGCAGCTTCGACGACTGGGACGTGTATGTCCGACTTGCGCAAATTCTAGCCTATACCAAAGTCATGCGCTGGATGCTGGTTCCCACGGCACACTCGTATGCTGCCATTCCTGCCATCCTGAAACCCCGACCGATTCAATACTTAGTACCACATCACATTGCGCTTGACTTCTTACCACTTCCGCCGTTGCGTGAAGCTCTAATCAAGAATCTGAGAGACTGGATGACGGCTTTACCTGCAGCCCCACTGAGCGTCAACTGGGTTCGCGGGATGGACGAAGCAGTAGAGTGGGACGAGCCTGGTCGTCGCCGCTTGCTCTCCAAAGACTTCGTGGAACATGTCACAAACTACCACAACTGGAGCATTGGTGAAAATATCCTTGACACAATCCCTGAAGTTCAGGGGCTCATTCGGCTTGATCGCGTATGAGTATTAGCGTGGGCGTTACTGGGTTTCTGGGCTATTGAGATATATCGAGGTGCCATTTCCTAATATTACCTTTTTCCGAGACACGACGAAGAGCAGGCCTCTACTTTGCTATTCAAATTATTACATAGCAGGGAACGTACGTCTTTCCCTTCTAATTAACATGGATGCAACAACTACCGGCAAGCAATTCCAGGTGCCACTCATCGACTCTGGGCCTCTCTGAGCCACAACTCTGAGAGCTTGTGGTGGCAAAGTCGCCACTTCCGAGCCGCCTGCCCAGTGCCCACGCTGATCAATGATCCAGAACAAGGTCGATCGCTGATCGCGGGCTGCAACGTGGCCCAGAGTTTCGTCTGAGTTCAAGGGCTAAGAAAGGCCCCTGTGGGTGGCTGTTCCCCGAACAAGTCACCAGGCACGCCTGCATGCACAGGCCAGGAACATGTTAGCCGCAGTTGCGGAGCCTCATGCGCGACTTTCGTCGATCAACTATTGCGGATTCTCTCCCTTCGATGGTCCCAATTGTCCCCGATCCGTCTCGCCGTCTCCAAGAGATGAAGAATGAGAAGCTTCCACTGTGTGGGCAAGCTTTGACGGAAGCACGAAGCAAAAATTGCGTGCAGGATCCCACGATAGCTGGATTAGAGACCGCCTCGAGTCGGGGTGGCACTGGTGCCCTCGAGCGAAGCACCCTCAATAGTGAGAAATGGGAAGCTGGCCGAGACGGGCCTCGCAAGGACGTTGCAGGCCCTTCTGCTGCGGCGCCGCAAAGTGACGCTGCCCAGATGATCTTGGTCGACGAAGTGAACAGCAGCATGCGTCACATCCAGGCGAAGTGGTGTCGGTCGTCACAGTCTGCTTCTTCGACTCCAAGGCAAGCAAAGACAGGACAGCAGCTGTGCATTTCAATCTCCAAACCTTGAGCCCCTCACGAGGCTGAAGCTCTTAATGCATACCTAAAGTTTGGTCAGTATCTCCTGGTCAAAAACGTCTGATAGATCCCCCTGGCCATTTGAGCCTCGGATTCTCCTCACCTCCCCTCAGACTTGCAGAGCTCCTAGGCGCCTGGACTGACATCTTTTGTCCCACTAAAAGGCAAGGAGCGCCGCTGGCAGCTTCCTTGTGTTTGAATGATAGGCGGGAAATCCAAAGACTCACCGTTCCGGCCCAAAGAGATCGTTCAACCAGGTGCCCTGGAAGCTGCGCCTCACATCTATGTTTTCCAAGGTTCCCAGCACCAATGCGCTTCACAGGTTACACAAAACCCCTCAACCCCTCCTCAGGTCGCGACGAATTCTCGAACCTCATCAGAGACTTCTGCTGAAGAGACAGCAAAAAGGCCATCTCGATTGTGTCTGTTTTCAGAGCAGGCCCCATTTACAGTCATTCGAGTGGCCATGTCGGACATGGTGGACCTCTCCTCCCTTCGCGGCCGATCCGTTATGATTCTAGGTGGGTGCTTCGGTCCGACTTGAAAGAATGATTTACAGATACGGTCTTTCTGAGCCCCTTTACACCACCCAAATATACTTGTCTTGTTCTTGCGCTAATACTTCTGTAGGCGGAGCTTCAGGATTGGGCCTTGCCATGGCCAAACGCTTCGCCCATGCAGGGGCCCACATCACCATCGCAGATCTCAATGTCACAGGTGGCACCCGTGCCGTTAAGGATCTTCAAGCGCAAGGGCTCTCGGCAACGTTCGTGGGCTGCGACACGGCCGACCATTACAGCTCTAGACTAGCTTTTGACCATGCGCTTCAGACGTCGCCAAACAACTCCATTGACGTTACGGCGTTGGTCGCGGGCGTCATAGGTGAGACGGGAAGTCTGGTCGACAAAGTCCTAGATTCATATCGCAAGAAACATCTCGCCCCGCCTGAGTTATACCATTCGGCTTTGGACGTCAACCTTCTTGGAGTGTACCAGTGTGCCTATCTGGCCTTGTGGTATATGAAGATCGAACAGCACGGGTCTGGCGGACAGGCGAAAGACGAGGGGTTCTCCAAGTCGCTCATCTTTGTGAGTTCGACAGTTGCTTACACAGACGTTGGGAACTTTGCCGATTATCATGCTTCGAAGTGTGAGTTCCGTCCTCTTCTAGCCCAGTCATTCTTCATCGTCCCGCCATGCCCTCGCTTGACGTTCCGGGCGGACGATGAAATAGCCGATGCAGATCGTGGTTACAATCAAGACGCGAAATTCCCTGCAGCTTCCAATATTGACGTCTATTTTCTCTGCAGTCGGCGTCCGTGGCCTTTTCCGTGGCCTACGCCACGAGACTCCCCGCCTCAACATTCGCACAAATTGTCTCGCGCCTTACTTTATGCGTACTCCGTTGGTCGAGAACGCACTGGATACATTTGCCGCTGCAGGCATGGAACCTGGGAAAGGATTCACCTTTGTGGATGTTGAATCTGTGGTTGATGTGGCGGGCCGATTCGCGGTGGATGAGAGCTTGCATGGGCGCGTCGTTGCAATCCTCCCGGATCCGCAGGGCGCTGTCGATTTGAGAGACGATGAGGAGGGACTGTGGGCAGGGAAGGTGTTCAAAATGGTGCAAGACCAGAGGAGGGCGGTGGGGGATATCATTTAGGATGCCTCTACTGGGAGTCGAAGAATGGGGTGTATCAGGGACGTCAAGCTGTCAAGGCGGGACGCTCTTACGACTACGGCATCACAAAAATGAAGATACGAGCGACGCAGCGAGTTTTAGATGTAAGACCACATACATGGCACATGAAGTAACGATTTATACTCCTCGACGACAACAGACAAATCAACGGAATGCCATGAGTATTGAGCTTCTCCATCAGAGTCCATCTACTATCCGCTGGCCTCAGTCATATAAATGGCTGGCAGGCTGATTGATTGATTGGCTGGCCGGCCGTCTGGCTGGAACTGGCTCCGTTGTGTCGATACTGAATAGTGTAAAGTAATCCACCACCAGTTTCCCCCTTGGCCATGGTCCCAGAACAGGATATACCTCGGCTCTCGAGCCGTTTTTTCTCCACACGAGGAGTTTTGTAGCAAATGTTTAGTATATAGATATCCATTAGACACACGAATTTCCCCCGAGCACAGTGGGAGACGGACGAAGGCATCAGTGGTTTTGTTGTTTTTGTGTCTATACTTAAGGGAATACTGGGCTGGCTAGAGGTCTCGTATTATCGTTTGAGAGCAAGGGATCGGGCACAAAACAAGTCGGAAGGAACGAGCAGGCTGGGTGAGGGGAGAATAGGAAGCGAATTCAAATAGGCACGCAAAAACAGCAAACGGCAAACAGCAACCTCCATCACTGGCAGTCAGTCAGTCCAAGCCATTCGATTCGACAAGTTCAATACCAATCCCCCTTTTTGTTCTAACGAACGAACCACTCCCCAAAAAGCCATCCGCACCAAGTATTACACCTCATTTCTCGCAAACCCCCACCGGCCAGAAAAGAAAAGGGGGACCAAAACAATGTCTTCATACCCATCGACACTAACCACGCCCCCGCCGGCAACGCCAAAGACGATCCTCCTCTTCCCCTCCCCCGCGGTATTGGTGGTCGTGCTCAACAACCCACGGGGGCTGAACTGCCTGTCGACGTCGATTCACTGGGCCCTGCACTCCCTGCTGGAGTGGTACGACGACGAAGCCTCGCTGCGGTGCTGCGTGATGACGGGCATGGGGAGGGCATTCTGCGCGGGCGCGGACCTCAAGGAGTGGAACGAGAGCAACGCGCGCAGGGCGGAAGGTGGTCAAGGGCAGAGAGTGATGCCGGCCAGCGGGTTCGGGGCCGTGTCGAGGAGAAGTGGCAAGAAGCCCGTCATCGGCGCGATCAATGGATTGGCCTTCGGCGGCGGGATGGAGATGGTGGCGAACATGGACTTGGTCGTCGCGTCAAAGTCCGCGTTGTTTGCGCTGCCGGAGGTCAAGAGGGGCGTCGTCGCCATCGCGGGCGCGCTGCCGAGAATCGTGAGGACGCTGGGAAGGCCCAGGGCCATGGAGATGGCCTTGACGGGTCGGACAGTCTCGGCCGCTGAAGCCAGGGAATGGGGCATGGTCAATGCGGTCACCGACGATGCACCCGTCGACGCCGACATCTTGGACAGGCCGGTGGTCAAGAAGGCCCTCGAATACGCAAAGGACATCTGCAACAACAGCCCCGACAGCGTCATCATCAGCCGCGCGGGGGTCATTCAGGGCTGGGAAGATGGGAGTGCTGAACATGCGACCCAGAACATCGTCGAGGTCTATTCCAAGAGGCTGAATGAGGGAGAAAACATTCGCGAGGGCGTCCGAGCATTCGTAGAGAAGCGCGCTCCACGATGGGTCCCCAGTAAATTGTAACAGGCACAGTACAACGAAATAGGTTACATTACAATCAAGTTGGATTATCATCATTAGCCACTTTTGCCTTCGTAGTTTCTGAAGGTGGAATGGAGCTACCTGGAACATAATGCCGGGCATCAAACACAGGACTTTGACGACTGAGTGAATCTGATTTGACATTTTTCTCTGCCTGTAAAGCATGACACACAATTCATGACTGTGCACACTAGGAGTGTATTCCTGCTGATTCCCAGTCTTTGCCCACCGTATCCCGCATCCATTCTTGAAGATACTGTCTCGTACAAAATGCATGGGAGAATACTGGACCATTGGAAAGAAATCACCCTGGAAGCAGCACATCATCTTGGCAAAACTCCGATGTTGATGTTGATTTGAGCAAAATTCGAGGACGCCAATCGATCAGGGGAGAGCTATTTGGAAGCCGTCTCTCAGCCGATATCAGACCGCCATTGACAACGAGCTAGGCTCATGTGCCAGAAAGGTCAATGACCGCACGAGAGCCGACCGTTGCGTAGGTTGGGGGGTATCAAATATGTGAGAGAAGGTGCGTGGAGTTTTATTATGCACGTTGATGTTGAGGCATCTGGGGCATGCCGCCGTACTGGCCGCTCTGGTTCTGTTGTTGCAGTTGTTGGTAGTACAGGGCTTGCTGCTGCTGTTCGGGAGTCATGCCGTACCCAGTATGAGGGGCAGGTCGGGGTACGCCCGCAGCGGCGGGAGGCATGGAGGGAACGTCGTCTGGTGAGGCGACATCGTCGGCGGCGTCGACACCATTCTCATTGCCAGAAGGTTCGGGAGCATTCAGGCATGCCTAGAGCCAATGTCAGGACTGCCTCATGAGACCTTGGATGAACGAAGACGTACCTGGATGAGATTCTTGCCCTCGGCCTTGGTGACCAGAGGTTGCAACTTGGGAGTGGTGAAAGTGTACACAAGACCAGTCTCTGAGACGACCAATAGGAGGACTTGAGTCCCGGTGAGCACGGACAGTTCGTATGCCTACGGGAAGGAGTCAGTACAGGTTCCTTGTAGTGCCTGATGGTCGGGGACTGCGCCTGACCTTCTTCATAATACCGGCCTTTCTCTTGGAGAATGTGATGTGACGACGCGACTTGTCTTGAATGAACTTGATCTCAATCTTTCTGCGTTCTCGTCCTCCCTTCTCGTCATCATCATCGTCATCCTCTCCGGCCATGGATGCTCTTGGGCGCTTGGTGCCACGGGAGTCGACGCCATTGCCGGCAAGGTCATCACCGGGAGAGGGATGTTCGAGGCTGGCAGAGGGATCGGTGATGTCCGCCATAATGGATCGTATGGAAGTGATCAAGTATGACAATGTCCACCCTAAAGAAGTAAAGTGTCAATAGACGAAAGAGGAAAGCGGTCGACGGATAGAATACCTTTTAAGAAGTGGTATGGTCAACTGAGTCTCGGAGAGAAGCAGTGATTGGCGGCGCGACTAAGAATGGAGATGTGTGTCAGTGACTTGATCAAGTGAACAAAGACAGGGCTATGAGCAACTGCGACGATTGGTGAAGAGATGGCATGGATTGGACAGCGCAGGTGGTATAGGTACAAATTCACAGACACGTACTCGGCAAAGTGCAGAGACACGGGTGCGGTAAGCGCAGGTACCACCACAGGAAATCCGGGGCAAACGGCAGGTAACTTGGAAGGGCGAAGAAGAGGGTCAAGCTTTGTGGACAGAGGACGGGATGTGCAACAATCAGCCTGCAAAGGGACAAGAAGTGGGTTTGGAATACAGAGAAGTAACCACTTTCTGTATGGCCTGAGATCTGGATAGAAAACGGTTTGGTGTGCAGGAGGGAGCTTCGGGAGGTTCTGAAGAAGGAAACGAGGACAAAGGGGGGGGTTGGAAGGGGAAAAGAGGGGCGGAGGTCTTCGGCAGAACCAAAGGACCAAAAAGACGGCAAAATGGAGCAGGCTGGCAAGTGGGAGGGGAGTGGGCAAGAGGGCTGTGCAGGCGGCGTGAATATGCGTTGCATGGGAAAAAAGGTGGTCTGAGACTCTTGAGGTAGCGGTTGGGCGGTGGACAGTAGGCAGTGGGCACCCGTGGGTTGCAGTGCCAGATGAGAAAATAGTGGTGGACCAGTGAGCGAGTCAGCGTGCAGCCCGCCCGAAAGGCCGTGACCAACAAGTGGGGGGCTGATGGATAGGCCTTGGCGATGAGCAAGACGGAACCTGGGGGCGTGATTCAGGGCACACAACCAACCCTCGTCCGGCTCTCACTCTCACACGCTCAAGTCGGGACTCCACTTTTTCTTTCTTTCTCTTTCGCAATTCGAGTCTGGCTGGGGGGGAGGGGAGTGTGGGCGGGCAAGTGGATTTCCCGTTGTCCCTTTGCTCAGAGCTTTGTTTCTTCCCAGAGAAATCGCCAGCCACCCACGGACCAGCGAGCACACGCTCTCATGTTGGGCGACAGCGAGAATGGCGATAGCCACGGGCATGATCGACAAATCTCGGGTGTCATATATACCAACGCAAGATTGTGAGGGCGCTTCGCTCGTGTTGGTGGAGGAGCTGGTCGTGGACGTGTTACTGTGCTCAATGGGGGATGGTCGAAAAGGATGATCTTCGCCTTGTGGATGGAACAGGAAACAACGACACAACTAAAAAGCGAACCGAAATGCCATGAGAAACACACGTACCTTTTTCCAAGAGCCAGGAATAGCGTCAAGAGTCAGATTGGGACACGACTGTGACGTATCGCAAATGATCAATTGATGGATGGATGGGTTGGTGATTGAAGGTACAAGTCAGTGGATGGAATTTTGGTTGTTGGGCGAGACCGAGGGTCGATGGACTCGGGAAGCCGCTGGGAATTCGACGGTCGCCGCGACGCCCAGATCGACGCAACAAGCTGCACCGTACAATGGGCACAGTGGCAGATCTCTCTGGATCTTGTCGAACAAAGGCTCGACAAACCGATTTGGATGGATGGTGGAAGGGCCAGGGCGCGCCGTGAGACACAGCGACAGGACAGTGGACAGTGGACAGTGGCAGAATGGAGGATGGACGAGAGAGGAAAGGGAGTCGGAAAGGGCATAGCGGCAGCTGCCTGCCTTTTGTAGACAGAAGGCCACCTGGGGACCGCCCAAGCTCCTCTGGCAGCCGCGGCCACGCCTGGGCCGTGATTGGGCCAGGACCACCAGCGGATCATTCTTTCCCCGACTTGTCTTGGGCCCTGGCCCTGCTGCCTAAGGGCCAAAAGGGCTAGCGGGGCCTTTGGGGGTGGCCCAGTGGCACCAGAGGCACCAGAGGCACCGCGAGGCGCGGTCTCTACTGGCTGTTGGGCGGGTGTCACTGGTCCAGTCCAGCCTAGAAGCCCCGCCCAACGGAGCCATTTCCAACTAGACCGAATCGCTAGTCCGTCTCCTGCGTCTCGTTAGCTGACTGACCACCACGGCCCACGGCCATCTTGATGCAACTTATCGCACAAGTGCTCACCGGCTCACGCTTCAACAGAGCTCATGGGCACGAGGAGCATCGCAGTCCCCCATTTTCCGACAGTCTTCCAGACTCTTTCCCATCAAAGCAGAAGAATAAGACTGAAGACGAAGAGAACTCCCCTGCCCCGAGGGATGTTGTTTATTTCTTTTTCTTCTTCTTTTCCACTTCTGGAATAATTCAATTCGACTCAATTCAATATTGCTGTCCCTCACTATTTGTCTCTACTGTCAGTATTTCCTCCGGCCCCCCTCCACCACTCCTCTCCTCGTCTGCCTCCAAAATCCAACTCCTCCACTCACCGGCTTGCCTGCTCCCTTACTAGCGCAATCCTAAGAGCCTGTTAGCCCCGAGATTAGCAACACCGCCCTAATGGCCCAGCTGATTCATCACCGCCACCGCCCGTCACTAGCTGGTCACCATGACCTCCGTGCCTCTCCAGCTTCCACTCCTTCCCACAGACATCCGCTGTCCGATAGCCATTGGGATTCCATGGGATACATTGGACATCCAAAGGAAAAACACAGTAAGCTCGCATATCAGAGAGTCAATGACATCGGCCCGCGTGGTTTGGGCGTCTATGGCTTTTGATATCCACCCAGATCCTATCCACTTCTTCCCTTATGGGCGGAGTTGACCGGCTTTTTGACTCTCATGACCCGTGCAACCCAGTCGTGCTGCTGCTCCTGTCTACGAGTAAGCCTTCCGGCAAGTCAAAGAGACCCCAGAGATCGTTGAGCGAAAGGCCTTTCATACACGTATCTGTGGAGAGGCCGACCCACAACAGCCTCGTTCCACCTCACTTACTCATCAGCGAACCATCATGTACATCATCCAGCCATTACGGGGGGATCTCCTGCCCATTCCAATCCCAGCATTTCCCCCGGCTACTTTCCTCCAGCCCGTTGACGACGTCTATCAGCCTCTGTGCACTGAACTCGGGGCTGAACAGCTTCTCTCGTGGCGTGCTGTTCCAAAATTCCTGACTCAAACTGGTTTTGACCGTTCCAGGATGCAGTCCGACGCACATGGCGCTGTGTCCGCTCTGCATCTTCAGAAAGATGTCTGTGGACCTGACCACTTGATTGACTCCAGCCTTGGAAGCCCGATAGCTGTACCATCCTCCTAATTGATTGTCCGTGATCGATCCGACTCTGGCGCTCATCAGTGCCAGCACAGCCAAATTGGGTAACCCCTCCTCAGTTACCAACTTTGTCGACTTGCGCGGGAGGAAGCTGGCGAAGTGTTTCACCAGCATCATGGGTGCCAGAAGATTGAGTTTGAGCGTCTGCAGCGCGGCGTCATATTCAATCTTATCTGGCGCTCTCTCGGGTATTAACATGCCAGGTATCAGGAACCCCATGCGTAGATGAGCGTTCTTTTCTTTGGATTTGTCGTGGTATCGATCCTTACAATACTGAGCCAACCTCGAAATCGAAGCCTCGGAAAGCACGTCGCACTCCTGCACGTCAAGGCGTGATGCCTGTGATCCAGACAGCTCCAGCGACGAGAGAAGCCTCTCCTTGACGCCCGCCAGATCCGAACGTGCCGTCGCAACAACAGGCACGCTCGTAGGCAATGTCCGCATCAGATGACGGGTCAAAGCGAAGCCAATGCCTCTGGATGAGGGCGTCACGAGCGCCCAAGCCATCGCCAGACAGCTTTTTGCTGTTGTTGCACCCGATAGTATCCCATGCGTTTGTGGAGGGGTCGTTTGGCTTGAAGCCTCGCGAGGTGCTTTAGTTACCTCGACGTATTATTGATGTACCGAGTACAATGTTTCCCCTACTCGCGTTCCCTGTATCTGCGCCCTCCCACCGTGCCGTTGAGTTTATCATGCCAACACCGTCAAGATCGCATGCATCCCGAAACAAACCGTTAATCTATCAAGGCCCCGTATTTGGCAGTTCTCTCCCAGAAGATTGAGCTGGCAAAGGCGGGGGGTGGCTGGTCATTATGTGAACGCAGAGTTGGTTGGCGTCGAGAGTTATGGTATGTATGTGATGACGATCATGAATGATTTGGTGATGTCGACGATTCATGTCAAACTCGACCAAAACTCAAATTCCCTCGTAACCTCCTTTTATTTTTCACTCTCGGGGCCACTTGCATCGGCGGGCATGCCACGACGTGTCTCGCACAGACAGTCAGGGCGGAGGAGCTGGATCTCGAGCGCGTGCAGAAAGGGCTTTTCATGGGGTAGAAATCTCTTGAATCTATCTATCCGTCTGTCGTGTTGATCATATCTAATTTCACATATTCATGCCGTAAACCTCACTACACAACATCTCGGTGTCATTGCTCCCACATGTCCCAGTTCAGTGAACAGCTTCGCATATCCAACGCCAAGAGAGCCCCAAAGCCTTCCTCACAGCTTGAAGTACACAAGAGCTCCAAGACAGTTGTGCGCCAATCCTCTCCACGATCTCATGACCCCGACACCACATTCTAGTCCCCCATCTCTACTCTCAACTTGGTATCTCTCCGACTGTTCTTCCTCGCCCTCACCGCTCTCGGTAACCTAGACCCGTCGCCGGCCATCCCGCTCCTTTGCCCTTAAATCGGTCCAAATCCTCTTTTCTCATCAATGAGCCTATATCGTTCCTTCTCCTTTCGATCCTTGATCAAACACAACGCCGCCAACAGGAGCATCATATCAACAGCGACAAATCCGAAGAACGTCGTAAAGACCACATCCAGGAATCGATTGGCGAAAGTGCCGAAGGGGGTAATGCAGGGTCCCAGCCTTGCCGCCGTCGCCGCACTAGTACACGTCTGGTCCTTGACAAACAGCGCGGGATTACTGTATCCACAGCATTGGAACTTGGTCTGTAGCATGGTTTGAATGGCAGGAGTTTGGGCGTTCCAGATCGGAGCGAGGTTCTTCTTGGTTTGGAGGGTGGAGAACCAGATGTCCAGACCAATGGCCAATGTAAGGAGGGCAGCAATGACAATTCCCCAGGCGTGGATCTTCAAGAACGTCCGGTTGCGCCGCATGAAAAGGGCAGGGACGGAGAGGAGGAAAGTGATGAACATGATAATGGAGTTGACCACGCTCACTGTTGCAGTCCATAGTTAGTCAACACATCCAAGGAGGTCGAGATACATGAGTGTGAAGGCTCTACCTGTAAGCGGACAATTGTCCAGCAAGAGGTTGGACGCAATATTGTTGACATTGTTGTTGTCCTTGATATTCATGCGAGTATACAGTGGGATGAAGAGATGAAGGCCCGCGCAAAGGAGGAAAATGACGTCGAAGACGATAAAGACAAGGAGGATTTTGTTGGCCATTGTCGCTGCCGTGAGTTTTCGAGATCTCGAGGAATGTCAAGCCGTAGCGAATCTGGTCTTCTGCAGTAAATGGGAAAGAGTGTCGGAAGGAAAATACGAGACCTGCTCGAAGGACGCTGTCGATCTAGTCGAACGAGAAGGAAAATGAAGCTCTAGAAACAGAAAAAGTGAACGTGGTCGAAGGAAAGAGAGGAAAGAGAATCGAAACGCACAGCGCGACAGATAAAGAGGAGAACGTAAAGACGCAGGTTTAGGGAGACTCGAGTGTGTGTCAGGAGGGTTCGGTTGGTTGTGGTTGAAGCTCCATGGTCGCAAGGGGGCGCTTCAGGATACACGGCGTTTCAGACTTGCTCCACTGAGGGTGCGTGTCCTCGGTCTTTGTCATTCCAGGACCCTCCCTCATAGCTCGGGTTGAGAGGACGCTACGGGCATGCTTCTCCTGTAGCATAATGTCAAGGCACATTCGCCGAAGAGGTACGAGAAGGTGAAGACAATGAAAGGAGAGTGGAAAGGAGGGTTGAGGAGAAGGTCAATATGACCCTTGTGAAGGGGCGAGGAGGACACTGGGAGTAAACAAAATAGCCAATCGGCATGGCGCAGTTTTGGCGGACGGGTTCGGCATAACCTTTCTCCACATCGCCATCTGCACCCTTAGAAGACGAGCTTCGAATCGAATGATCGTATGGGTAGATGTTGTCTTGTTGATTGCCTCCTGTTACTGCTCAACCTAGAGAAAATTAATTAATCCATGGTCAACACTGCTCCTGTTGTGCAATATACCTTTGAATCCCGGCAAGGCAAGCTCGCAGCTGGCACGTCTTTTTGGGCAAACCCACCTCAGGTCGACTGGGTGGTCCTAGCAACAGCTTGAGCATCGTCCGTCATATCAGTTCCCTATCAGTGGCCGAAACAGCAAACTCGCCATCGCGCCGCCCGATGGATCCTCATCTCCTATAAGCCGAATCGAAGCATTACAACAAAAGCCATAGTATGCCAATTCCTTCCTTATTGTAACCTATTGTACAAGATTGCATTATACATCATTTCGTCAGTGGACTGCGTCGTATTTTCCATCAACAACTGGCAGGAGGAGGGCAGGCTTCAGCCCATCGCTCGAGGGGGCGCCAAAGATGCTGCTTCAGCACTGGGCGAATCATGTTCTTTTGTGATCATCATGATCGGCCATTCAAGCTGTTCCTGCCACGCATCCGGTATCGATTCCTTTACCGTTTCGAGCATATACTTGGCCCACCCACTGATGAACCAATTGTCTTCCTGGTGAGTCTCTCCCCAGTATATGAGAACGCAGTAATGTGCAAGAATAACCATAGCCTCCGGCTGCTTCTCGCTCAAAAGATCAAGAAACTTCGGCGGTAGATTGATCGGCCAGACAAATGTTGCTAGAACAGTTCCATCGCCACGCGTTTTCAGTAGTGAAGCTTGGATAAAAGTGCTGAGGAGCGAATGGATCGCAAGGTCGATGGCCTGCGCTGTCTCTTTGTCGTGTTCCGAAGAACCGCAAACCCGAAAAAGCTTAGTGATCTGATCGGTATCTGGAAATCTATAGGCCGCAATGTTGTCCATATGCGCCATCTCGTCCAGTAACGGCTTGAGAAAGCTGCATCGGATTGTGTCGTGGTGCATATTGAGGACCATGTTTGCCCCCCTCAGCAAATAGAACCAATGCAACACATCATGAGTAAAGTCTTCGGGTTTGTCTTTCGCACTGGAAGCAAAGGCCAGAACGATCAGCAGGCAAGAAAAGGCAAAAAGTGCCTGGCAGTTGGTTTCGTCGACATGTGCCAGTGTTTCTTGAAACTCGGTCAGACCCAGGCTTTGATGCGTCGTCCCAATCAATTCATACTCGGCCTTCCTGTCAGGATAAAGATAGGCAAGGTGGAATGCTGACACAGCCAGAATGCCTCGGAGAAGGAATTCGTGCTTCAAGCCCAGCTTAACCGCATGGACCTGCCACAATGCCTGTGCTTCGGGAGTTTGGGCATTTGCTAGGTCGAGGGCGACCACGCTGGTGAAATGATGCATCAATCGAAGGTCGGTCACGTCCAGATCCGTGCTCTTTTTGGTGCTCACGAGGTCAGGCTGCTGAAATGGATCGACGATAGGCAGCGTAGGAGTGCGCTGTGACCCACTGACCGATCCTGCTTGACTCCCTTGCCTTCGTACATCTGGAGCTGCAGTGCTGGGAGATTTGCTACTACCGGGAGACACGGAAAAGTCGCAGAATATTTGGCGACGTTCGCAGTTGTTACAAACTGGATGCACCTCATTACACTGCGACGCGACATCAGCATATAAGCCCGCTGCTGGGAGTGTCTGGTTCGAACATGCTGACCTTGATTCGCCGGACCTTGCATTGACTACATCCATTCTTCGACTTTGTATGCGAACGCCGCTGATTCTTTGGCGGCATGAGAGAAAGCGCACTGTCAACAGCAATTCAGTCTGTGGGCGTGAGTGATCTATCGCATGTCATCACAACAACATGGATTTTGCGACCGTCGAGCTGAGCATGGGGTTAAATGTTTTATCGGAATGTTACGCGTAAGCCATGCGCTTATTATAGGAGAGCAGGCTATCCAGATAGGCGCAGGATATACAGCGGCAGAGTAATAGTGCCAGCAAAACTAAAGGAAAAGAGACGTGGAGGCGGAGCTATTGAACGAGACATCAAATTGTGAGGACGAACGGAAGCCCCGAGGATCAGGCTCCAGAATTGCAGGAAATCGACATGATCCCATTCGAGAAAATCGCGGTCCGACCGCCAAGCTGCCCACGTTTTTCTGACTCAGCAACAAGCCCTGGCATAAGACGCCGAGGGCTGTATCCGACAAAGCATCCAATATACAACGTACAATGAGGCATCTCGGCATGTCAATCTTCACCAATTCCTGGGTCTCCGCGCCTTGTTCTCCCGCTGCCTCTTCTCCTTGAGCACAGTCCTGCGTCGCAGCTTCCAAGACCGATTGTTTTCCGCTCGATTCTCCCAGAACTTCTTCTCAAAATCACTTTGGGGTTGGGATGTATGCTCCTTGGGCTTCTCCTGCGACCCAGATTTGGCTTCCAATCCAGCTTCATCAGCTCCATCTTCTCCGTCGCCTTGAGGTTCCTCATCTCCTGGTAGTCCAGAGCTGCCATAGCTGTTGAAGCGGCTAGGATGTGCAGTGTCAGGCGTGGGGGCGGCGCTCCGTAATCCACGGTAACGGTGGTCCTGCGAGCTGAAGGGTGTCAATGGGATGACCGGCTCTTCTGCGAGGTCTTCGGGATCTCCCGAGTTGAAGAAAGAGAACGATGTCGAAATCTCCAATGATGGCTTTGCAATATCCTGTGAAATAGGCGCTTTCGGCTTCTTAAAGAGAGCCTCCAATGGATGTATCTCTGATTGTGTATCTGCCTCTGAAGTGTCATGGGCTGAGGCGCTCGTGGCCGTCTCTTCCTCGTAACCCGAGTCGGGTGAAGAACCCGAACTGCTCGTGTCCTCATTTTGCTCGACTTCTGGAGAGCTAGAATCCACCTCGCCTTCATCAGTGTCTTCAGAAGAGGATGAGGATGGGGATGACGGAGGCTGGGAAGATCCACGCCGCCGCTTGCCAGCTGTGCCATCCGCATGAGCTCGTCGTTTGCTTGTCTCGCCGTGCTTGGAAACGCGCTCATGTTCCCTTTCAACCAACTGCCCTTGTCCGTCGACCCAACCCTCGCCCTCAACATACTGTAGATTTCCCTTGATGCCTAGCCCAATATCTTGTTTGAGGAAAGAAGGTTGGATTGTGGACTTCTCAAACTCGTGCACCACTTGTTGGGTGTCTTTCTTCTTCGATTTGCCCTTCTCCTTCTTGGCTGCTTCTGTGCCGTCGAGTTTATTGGGAGGTACCTTCGTTCGAAAGAGGGTCTCATCTTTATCGGTATATTTTGAGCTAGATGAGGCAGCTTTGCCCTTGTTCCTTTTGCTGGACTTGGTGGATTTGGCTTCTGTCCAGCCGCGTTTCACTTTGCGGTCCGCGGGGAGTTCATAGCCTTGAATGACATTGCGCTCCTTAGATTTCTTTGGCTTCGTCTGCTTAAGTTCCGCGCTGGGTTCGTCGTCTTTGCTCAACTCTTCGACTCGTCTGCGCTTCTTTGGCCGAGCCTCTTCAACTCTAATCTTCCTGCCTTTCAATATGGCTCCGTTGAGCTTCTTTTTCAGTCTGTCAGCTTCCATGGTAGGGAGGTCAAAGTAGCCGTAATTGTTCTCAGGAAATGTCTGGATTGTGTGATAGGACAAATTGGCAACCGACTTGAGTAGGTGCGGGCCGACGACAACCTGGAGCAGATCGGGAGTCAAGGGCGTTACATGTAGTCGCACAAAGTCGGAGACCATAGCGCAGTCATCTCACACAGCACGCGCTCGCGAGAGAAGTTATCCAGAACAAGCGCTGCCAGATTTGGCGCCCATGCATCTAGATGGTACCTACTCGCAAATGAGGCTGGATGAAATTTTGAGGGGATACTAGGCAGGAGAAAGGCCCGCCATGCCCCCAACGAATCAAGCCAAAGCTTGCATGGTTCAGGCACAACCCGTGGTAATGGCACCAGCGGCACCAAAGGCACCAAAGGCGGCACGGAGGTTCTCCAAAGCTTGAAGGCCCAGAGGCCCCAAGTGATGCGGGGGTGCCCAAGGGTACGAGGTACTAGGCTTGAGCCAGCGCCGATGAGTTGCAGATTTAGGGAAAGGCTCACTAAATACCAGGTAGGTAGGTGGGCAGATAGCAGGGCCACCCAGCAGATCGCCCTCCGTATCGTTATCGTGGAAGCTCGGATGGCTCCAGCCCAATCCTGACCTTTCACCATCCAGCTTGTGCGTTTCCCCTCCGTGCTCACGCTTCCCGCTTCCCGTACATCATCCTGCTTCTCTTCTAAGCACCCTGCGTCAGGAAGCAAGGCACAGTAGGTTGACGTCGCCGCAACGAAATTTGCCATCCCGGGGCAGATTGGGCTGGTCTTGCTTGCCCTGCGATTTCACTACTGCACGGCATCTCTTACCGCGTGCAGGTACTATGTCCCAGTTTATTTCATCTCACATGGTTGTTTTGCGAGGTCACTGATCACTCCACGACCTTCTTTACATCAGCTCCCTCACTCCTCGAGATTGTTTGCCCATCATTCTTAGTGACAGCCTGTGGCCTCATTTTCTGGCTGAACGCTCCGCTGCATCCGAACTGTGTCCTAGCCCATCGGAACGACCTGTACCGGCCGCTGCATTCGAAAGGAACCAAAATCTTATTCCCACTCAAACCGTCCATGTTCGACCCCGGATCCGCAGGACGCATCTAAAATGTGGCGATGATTGAGCAGATTGGTGTATTCCAGCAGCAGGAGGTTGTCCATTGATCCAGAAATACGTCCACCATGGGCAACTCTCAGACAAAGGAAGCACGTGGCCACGGCTCCTCTGGCTCACGCGTCAGTGGCAGTACAAGCCCGGCGGGACGACAAGATGGACAACAAAACAGCTTGGAAGCTCCCCCTCGACCCGCGCACTCCCGCCAACGAAGAAGCAGCCGACCCGACTTCTCCTTCCTCGGCCTTGGTGGAAGCAGTGATCAGGATGCCTCCTCACTGGAGCAGCGACGCGAGACCAAGGTAGAAAGAGAAGCTCGAAAGGCAGAAAAGGAAAGAATAGCGAGACTCAAGGAGCGGGAGCGCAGCATGAGAGAAGAGCATGTCGATGGGGGATATCTGGTGACTCAAGGGGTGTATGTGGGTACGGAAGACTTCAACAAAGCAATCGTTAGACAATTCATGGTAATGCAAAGTGGCCCATCAGATATGTGAGGAGGCACTGACATTTTCAGATCGAGAGACGACTAGCTCCATTCTGGAGAGGTCTTAACGACTTCTCAGATTCGTGGGCAGAACATCAGCTCATGGCCGCCGCTCGAGGCATGCCTATTCCTCCAGCGGATGAAGTGCCTCCGGAGCTCGAATACCAGCTTGCGAAGAGGGTAACTACGGACAGGACCAAAGAATCTGCACTCAAAAGCCTCACGATCCCAATTGGAGGAAGATCGCAGTCCTTTCAATCAGACAGCTCCGCACCCCTATCGCCGCCTCCCAACTCTTTACCACTTCCGTCACCCTCCTCGCCGCCACCATCGGGCTCACCAGGGACCAGCACCTTTCGAACTCGCGCCAAGACACTGGCGTCTTTGGCGACCTCATCTCGGGGGAATTCTCAGGTAGATATGACTCCAAGAGAATTCCAGCTGCCACCGGATCCTTTCGTCAATGGACAACCCATCGAGGTCTATCTTTACAAGGACGCTTCAGAATGTCCGATTTGTTTCTTATACTATCCGCCCTATCTCAACACCACCAGGTGCTGTGAGCAACCTATCTGTTCAGAATGTTTCGTTCAAATCAAGCGGCCTGATCCTCATCCTCCGGAACATGAACAACCGGATCCGAATGCGCCACCGGTCTCAGAGGCTGAGCGTGAAGTGCAGGCCGATGGTCTGCTTGTTTCTGAGATTGCAACCTGCCCATATTGCAAAACCCCCGACTTTGGTATCACTTACACGCCACCTCCGTTTCGCAGAGGGCTTACTTATGGCACTGGGTCTCAGCCGTATCAGGTCATGTCAGCCATGTCCTCTCAAACCTCGTTTTCTTCTGGAAACCTTTCTCCGGGGCCGGGTCGGAGGCGTGGGACTTCTTTGTCTGCAAATGCCCCGGAAGTCATCACCACAGACAAGATACGCCCTGACTGGGCGACCAAGTTGGCAGCTGCTCGGGCCCATGCAGCACGACGGTCTGCAGCAGCCACGGCGTTACATACAGCTGCATATCTCATGAATGGGCAGGGCGCCGATTCACGAGCCTTCGCAGCGTTTAGCCGACGCGGAATGTTGAGACGATCCACTCTAGAAGGTGGAGAGAATGCACCAAGTTCAAACCTGAGTGCACTTGCAATGCTGGCGGAGAGACATGCAGCGCGGCAACAGGAGGCGGCTGGAGAAACCCGAGCAAGTATCTTGTTGCCTCCACCACGTGGCAGCAGTTCCCGGCGAAGCCGCATGGACGACCTGGAAGACATGATGATGATGGAGGCCATCCGCCTGAGTCTGGCGTCCGAGGAAGAACGTCGTAAAAAAGAGGAAAAAGAAGCGCGCAAAGAAGCGAAGAAGAAGGAAAAAGAAACCAAGAAGGCCGAGAAAGCGGCACGGAAGAACAGTCTTTTCACACTAAATTCAAACGGTAGTAACGGGGACGCATCCAGCAGCCTGATGGAGAGGTCTCGAAGCAATCTTTCCCTCGGCCAAGACGATGACTCTACAGCCAGCAAGGGCAAGGGAGTAGAGCGGAGTGATACCCCTCCTACAGGGGGCCCCAAGGTGGAGGAAGAGGCTCCGCGACCATCATATCTCCCGGCTCTGTCGCTGTCTGGAACCAGTCAAGAGTCTTTGGCGAGTTCCATCCCCATCCCTACTGCGGCCGAACCATTCCGACGGTCTCATCTCCGACAAATGTCAACCGCCTCGTCCACTTCGTCTTCCTTTGTCGAACCAGGTCCTGCAGCTTCATTTTCGGGCTCCGGTACTCCTCCGCCTGGGAGTCTCGAGCCTATGTTCAATTTCAGAAGCCTGGCCGCAATGATCGGGGAAGATGAGAAAGATAATGACAGTGCTCATGTCGAAAATGCTCCTCGAGACCAATCGCCAAAGTCTCGGGAGGACGTCCAAGAAAAGGGTCCCTCGAAGGTTGGGGAGAGCTGGGATCCTGACGACTCGGACCTTCCTGCATCTTCGGATTCGTCTCCTATGCGGGAGAGCGATGCAGACCCGGTGGTCACAAACGGAAAGCCCGTTGTTGCACCATCAACCAGTGTATCCCACGCCTGAGAAGGGATATTCCATTGTCGACAGGGGAGCCAGGGCAACCCGAGTGCGACTTGCTCCCGGCGCATCTGCCGAGTTCTTCCTCCGATCGGTGATGCGCGTTTGGCGGTAGCCAGAAAACAAAAGGCAAAGTAAGACGAGTCGATTGCCCCCAGCTTCTTGCACGGAACGATAGAATGTTTTATTGGATTTTGGAGGCTATGTCGCGAACGTCGGTTGATGCTCGTGTCGACATCAACGCGTTTTCAGAAATGGACACTGAAAGGTATGCAAGGGGCAACGGCAACGGCAAAGCAATGCTTCGGCGGGGAGCGGTCATACAGGCTGAGAGGCGGCAGGATGAAAACCAACGAATCCATGTTTAAGATATAGACATTTGGCAGATGAGCATGAGTATTGCCCGTGCCCATCAGAGCCATAACACACTACAGTTTTCCCTTTTGGGGATCCGAACTCTACAATCTTGGAATAAGGCGGACAAGGTGCTCTGTCCATGAATTGTGATTGGCCCAAGGCGACGCGACCGTATGGTTTCAACCTGCGCAAGGAGAAGCTGCGTGAACCTGAGACTTGCTTCGTTGGCCCTCAGTCAAGACCACTCATCCCTTTCCACGTCTTGTGCCGTCTGCTCAGTGTTCGCCTCGTCTGTAGAGGAGAGATCGTTAGGTCGTTAGGTTGTCAGGCCCGCCCTGCACAACTACCACTTGCCCTTGACCGCATCCTTCGACTCCTCCATTTGATGGGCGACTGTAAAACTGGCTCGCAGAACACATTGTGTTTTCTCCGACACCTATCTTGACAACGACGCCCGTGCTCCTTTTTTAAATGAACGCGAAGATGCCCGACCTCAACTCGATTGAAAGATCACCTCGGGGTGTTTCCAACTCTCAGGCTGCAAGGACCAGTTCTGCCGCACCACAACCCCCATCTGTGCCCGCGTCGAGGAGAACTTCGACACAAATGCTGCCTCCGCCGCTACCTCAGAATAACAGTCTCCCGAGCTCACCCAGACCCTCACAGGTGGCTATGATGGACAACACAGGAGTGGGTTTGGGCCCAGGTCAGTAGAAAACGAGCACAGACTGTTCCCAAAGACTCAAGAGTCGGCCACTGAGAATGAACCAGGGCCTATCCGACATCCCAGACCTCTCACGGCGGCTGAATTACACTTGGAACTTGAAAAAGAGCAAGAGAGCATTGTAAGCACTCGCCGCGGGCGAGGACAACGGCATGCAAGATAATGGCACTGACGATGACGCCTGCCAGGTCAATCGACTCACGCGAGAACTGTCTGCTCTACGAGCCCAAACAGCCTCTGTTGCCTCTACCACCTCCTCCACTTCCGAGCACTTGTTTTCCAGCGACCCGTACAATACAACCACAACAGGAACCACCATCATTCCCACAAACACCCGCCGTCATCGTTCCTCCTCGAACCTTTCCACTCGTTCAGCACGTTCGATTCGTGAAAGTCTCACCAATGCTGCCAACACCAGCGTGTCTGGCGTAGCCGCTCCACGAGACCAGAGTGTCCAAGCCAGCGCACGACCCAGCATGGAAATGAGCAGGCCGGACATGAGTCGACAAAATTCGACCTCTACGCCGGGATTTCGATCTAGTTCGATTACTTCTTCCCCTCATTTGACCCAAGGAGGATACGCATATCCGCACCGCAGCTCCGTGTCGTCGACGATGGACGCCTCGTCTGTCGCCCCTCATCACGCAATGACACGCTCTCCGAGCTCCAATGCAGCTATTGCGCAAGCGCGATATGAAGAGGCGGCGTCGCAGCGGGCGGAACTTGAGGCCGTGAAGCGGGAGAACGAGGCATTGAGAGCAAGGGTCAAGGATTTGGAAAAGAGCTTGCAGAGGGCCAACGAACTGGCCCAGACGACGAATACATCATGAGTACTTGGTATCTGCTGCTCTCTATCTGCAGAGCGCTTTCAGGCAAGGAATGCTGCGTGGACGAAAGATCCCTTGCAAAGACTGAAATGTGAGCGAACATGCACAGAGAGCCATACGATGAATCAATGATGACGACGAATGAGCAACTTGAGATGACGATTTTACTCGCCGTACAAGGAACACTTTGCGACTGGGGGGATACTTCTTGAATGGAATGATCGAGGACTCAAACAACAGCATGCATGGTGTTACGGGCGTTGGTTTCTTATGTGACCCAATTGCTGCTTGAAGGCTGAAGGTCCAGCACGAGCAGCATGCCGGAGGCGGCATGTCATGGGGAAGTGACCTGCGTTAGGAAAATCAGAGCGAGAGATACTTCAAGGTCCCAGCTCGATAAGGAATGGAAAGGAAAACCAGATTTCAATTTGTTGTGATAGAATACCCTAGAAATATTTGGGCACCTTCCCTGAACGACTTCTCATCTTTCCTCCACCGTTCTCCTCTTCTCGTCAGATCTTGGCCTGTCCTCCTTTCTTTGTCTTACCCATATCGTAATCGGCACGAGTTTTCGGATTTTATCCTGATGAGGTGCTGTGGGACATGGAGCGGCTTGAACTATTCGTCAAGAAAAGACCTTGCGTCCAAAAGATACAGCCCTTCAAGATGTCTTCATCCTTTCTTTGCGAGAGTTGGTACGAGTAGACTGATATTGCTGGCTCGGTGGTCGCAAATCGAAAGGTGGCCCCAAGACAGAAATGAAACCACCCTGCTCTTTGAACTCTGTTTCAACATGCCAATCACCAGCCTCTTCAGACAGACGGGAGGACTGAATGGGCGCTGGGGATTGCTCAGTGCGCAATATTTGCTGGAGATCCAATACCTTGTTGGGCAGAGAAGGTCAAACGGTCGTCCGGGCCGAGTATGATATGGTTGAGCTCGATTCCCAAGGCTCAGCGGCTGAAAAGGCGTCTCGAAAACTGCCCAGCTGTTCGTGAACAGACACTTGTCGCTGTGATGGATCGCAATGACTGCAGCAGTTTTGGAGTGGAGGGAACGAGACCGTTCGCACTAAACGAAAGGGAGGATGCTGCTTCGACAGTGGGACGCGACTCTCATTTCAACTCCAAAAGCCTTGTCGGTTCCTGTGTCGTCTCTTCCTTGACTTTCTGCTTTCCAGCACCCACCAACTCATCCACCTTCTCCTTTCCAACATCCACCACCTCCTTCACCTTGTCTTCCACCTCCTTGCCGGTCTGCGATTGTCTCATTCTAGCCCAGACATTGCCCACTTTCTCTTCGACGTCTTCCCTCACGCTCGACCAGTCAGTCTCCTCCACATTCTTGACTATTCTCGCCACCTCTCTATTCCACCTGTCCTTGAGCTCTTCTATAATTCCAGCTCGGCGGACTTCGTATGCTGGGGGATCAGGCAAGGGGGGTGCGGGTTCCACGACGGAGTTTAGTAGCGTGGCTTGTTGGGACAGGAGTGTGCGTTGAACATTGCGGTTTGCGCGGTGAACGTATAGAGAAAGGTAGAGAAGAGAGTAGGTTAGTGTTGCTCCACCCAGCTATTCGAAGTGTCTGGTCAGTACGAGTTACCTCGCCCTGTGAGGGATTGTTGGAGGAATGGGTGGTGCTCACAAAGCCTGTGGTGAAGCCCATGTTTGGGCGCTTGGGGGGCTTCAAAATTGCTATCCGAACCACAGAATGGAATAGAATAACGTTCTTTCTTTGGCTTTGGGAGCTTGCGAGCTTAGGTCAAGTTGGCAGGATCGGGTCAAAGCGATGTAGTCAGAGGAGGTGGATGAGAGCAGGTGAGTACACTTAGAGCTCTTCTGTCCTAGGGTTCTGATCGGTAGGGTTTTGTTCCAAGCTGCAAGGTGGATATATCAGTAGAAAAGCTCAGAGTATTCTTAACGCGGAATTGAGCTCTGATATCAGACTGCAAAATTCGTGGTGTCTGTACTCCACCGTTCAAAACCTGTCGAGCTGTAGCTTGACACGGTGGAGCGTTGTAACGACCAGTGCTGCGCAATGGAAGCCATCGACCATGAAGCCGGTACTCGGTACCTAGGTACCTAGGTACGTAGTATGTAGAACCGTAATACCGAGTACGTTCAACACGAGTAAGCTCCCACCCAATCTATCTCAGAGTAAGCCCCCCTTCCTTATGCTCTTCCCTCACTTGTGGAGACGCCATCTTCCTCTAGAGTAGACGTCTTCTTTTTTTAATCCTTACCATCCTCACCAGGTATATTTTGTTGATATTGGCTCACGCTGAAGACAACTCGCAGGCGTTGGCTTGCACTAGCCTTCTCTTCTACTCGGTGCACCGGCCCCCAACTTCTCTCTATTATAGAGCGACACTCAATACCGTTTTCGGAAAATACGAACGAGCATGAGGGAAATACCGAGTAATACGTTATTCGAGGAAAGGCATTGCAGGTGTGCTTGCTACTTCGGATACTAGCCACCGAGCAAGGGGCCTGACTGACGTGTGCACACTTGCCGGCCATTTTTTGACGAATCAACATTCATGGACACAGGATCACTACCTCGTGTTATGGAAGTATCTACTTCTGCAGACCACCGGCTTCAGCAATACAGATTTCCAAGGTTCCTCCCAAGAGCCTCGTACCTTCGTCCAGGACTGGGTATTCAAACGGCAAACTCGTGATGCTGTTGCACTTGTCACGTGGAGCTTCCGTCCCCAAGACTATCTCAGTGACCTCGCAGCAGTGATCGACACCCGAGACATATAATGCTTCTATTTTTGGGGCTGCGGGAATATCCAACACAGTTGCTCCCGTGAGTTACAATGGTCCTGTGAAAATACTCTCCTAGACCCTGTTTCCCACGACTTGGGTAGATTTCGTTCCGACAATGCGTTTGGCTTTTGAGAACAAATTCATTGAATGGAGCGGGACGCCTTGTTTGAAGGACCTCGCTATTTGGCGTCAAGCTCGTTAAGTATGATGGCAGAAAAGGATAAGCGCCTGAACTACTTTATTGATATCAGCACGAAGTGTTTCGCGCGAACTGGCGGCCTCATGCCCAAAGCTTGCTTTGACTACAAATGCTAACCCGAACTTGCAGCCCTAACGGCTGTCTATGACTAGGATTGGACCAACAGGACGGTCTAATTTACGGTACAGGCGGTACAAGCAATACTCTGTTCGAGGTCAATTGACTGAGGGCATCAGCACAGATGAACCCTCTTTCTACATCGATCGGCAGGCTCGCATTGGGCGCGGGCGGGTAGGTGTCTTTGTCTCAACACGCGCTTTCCCTTTGTCTCCATCCGTTGACTGCCTAACCATATGCCAGCCCATCTTCTCTAAATGCCATTTGGGGAACCTCTCTGGTTTGAATGGCTGTCGTTCATTTCAATACGTCATCTCTCTCTACAACCAGATCCCTGTTTCCGTATCCAAGTTACGTTTCCGAAGGGGTGTAAAGACACCAACAAGCTATACTTCTAGCGTCATTTATGCTATCCTCGTATCTCGATACGTGGAGCTCTCATATGTGTACGGGGTGTCATGTGTCACAGCACGGTTCGTTGAGCGATATAACAGTCCTTCCCATCTCTTTTCAAAGGATTTCTTGCCTCATACACGAGAAAGACGAATCCCTCAGACCAAAACGAGAGTATACGACCATTATTGCAACAAAGCCTGCGCAGCCTCCAAGAAGCAGGCAGAAAAGAACTACTTGTGGCAGTCGCAGCCCAGCAGCCAAATGGCGGAGAACCTGAGTATCGCCTTCGATATATCGGAACAACAGTACTGGCTCCCCGGAGAACATATACGTGGGTCTGTCATTATCAAAGTGCCATTTTCAACGGCCATTTCCAGTGCGAGGATTGACTTTGAAGGTATGCGAAGCCATATGGAACAGCTTTCTCATCCCACTGACAAGAGTGCTGCTTCAGGCTTGTCGCTGATCCACACGACGAACAATGACCGCAGCACGACGTTTTCTACACACAAAGTAATGGAGTCCACATGTACTTATGACTTGTCAAAGCTAACCGATGATCTAGTTTCTCTACCAGAATCACGATGTGCGTTCTGTCACTAAAGTTAGCGATGTGACCCAGAAGACTTGCCTCTCAACATATCGAATCCCTTTTGATTTCCTGATATCCAGCACAATATCATCTGGCGCAGGCAAATTGCCAGATGGCGGTCTTGAGCTTCCCCCGACGATGTTAATCGGCAGACTTGTGTGGAGCCGCAAGCACGGCAGAGTCTTCGCGCAACCCAATATTTCTTATCATCTCGTTGCCAAAGTCGCGCTGGTTGACCAATCGTCATCAAACACACGGGTTCTAAGGGAAGAGAAGCCCATCAAGATCTGGAAGAGCTCTTCGAGCCTGCCGCCGATCAGCCTGGGTGACTTTGCCGCAGAATACAGAACCGTCGCCGAGACCCAGTGCGCTCTCCGAAGGCTGTTGGTATCGCCCAAACTTCGCCTCACAATATCGACAACAGAGCCAGCTGCGGTAGCGTTCAGCTGTCGGAATTCAGACCAGGTGGCCCATGTCGACCTCAGCGTCCGTCTTTCACGCCCGGCTTCATCACACGCGGACGAAGGTCGACTTCGAAGTCTCCTGGACCAAAAAGTCAAGATCCAGGTCCAGGCTTGCCTGCGGGCCAAGACATTCTACAGCCCAGTTGCGTTCGAGAAATTCCCCGGCCAGACAATGTTGACCCCAACCAGCAGTTGCCGGATGAACGATAAGGTGTTTCAGCTTGGTGCTGTAATGGGTCTCCCCGTAGACCCCGCAGTGGCTGCCTGGAGGAGGCCTTCGATTCATTTCGAAGGAAGCACTCATGATGGTTCCTTCGCCGTGGGAGAAGAGAAAGATGAAGAGAAGCGGGAGCTCCGCACCAGGGGACTAAGCGACGACGACGCACATGCCTCGAAAGTCGACGGCGCTATCTGGCACAGCCACTTCTATTGCCCTCTCACCATTCCGCACGGTCTCGTACCTACGTTCTGGAGCCCCACGGCGAGTCAACAGTACAGTTTGCTGTTAGGTGTGAAAGTCTTGGGCATTAAAAGCCAGACCAAACTCCGGCTCGAAGTGCCTCTGCAGATATACTATGATTTGGGGCCCGTTGCAGCGCCCTGTGGACCGAGGTGTCGACGTCTATTGCTGGGGAATGGAGAGACGGGACGACCACAGAGGGATCAGCAGGAGGGAGGGAATGTCTCCACTACGATTGTTATGCACGATGTGGGCGAGGGGAGCCCGCCTATGTATGTTTAATTAGTGGATGATGGCTTGGAACGGGTGGTGTTTCGGCTGATTTTTAGCATTCGTTGTGTTGTATTGTATTCGCCCTGCGTGTCTTCTCCATGTCCATCCCTATTACGGTACCTAGGTAGCTTCCCAGCTGATTTCGTCAATGCAGCAAAGAGATCACCAAACAAAGAAGAAGACATGCCCAAGGCAGTCCGCTGAAGGGAATTCAAATTGTTGAGCCGGGGCGGTTTCCTTGCTTTGAACACGTCGACTGGATAATGACATATGCCAGCGATTTTCCATTCAGATCCAACCTGCAACGCTGGATATGGGATCAGTCCCATTCCAGGATAATAATACTATGCCGATAATTCCAGGGCCAGGGGCCAGAAGACCGCAGCCCGTACCTCGTGTCCAGATGTCGATGCTCTTGCGGTCCGTGCAACCTGAAAGGCGGCCTTTTCAAACTACTCAGGCGGGCGCGGGAACTTGACTTGAACGCTCTAGCAAAAGCGGGAAAATGGCCGACATACAGTCCTTATCCCTCGATTCGATAAGATGTGAGTAGACCTCGCGTCCGCAAGTCCACCTCTTGAACCGCTGTAGAATGTATTCCAAAGCCAGGCTCGTGTCCGCTCCGCCTCGGTATTCCGGAAAGCAATTTCGAAGCGGGACAAACCCGGACTCGATCTGGCGTCTGAAATCCTGAATCCTGTCCATGAACAGGAGGATTGGTCGCTTGGGAAGATCCTGCGACTGGCACGTGAGCGTAAAGTAGTCTAGAGTTTTGAGCATCTCAATCTCTGGTTCGGGTGCGTGTAGCCACAATGACCGGCCATAGGACGACAGGTCACAGACAAAGACGATGCCGTCGTCGGAGGCATTGGTGTGTAAATAGGTGTATAAATAGAGGTCACCGCAGAATCTTGTCTGTTGGGATAGTGGTAGAAGGTGAAATTGAGTCCAATCAGGGAGAACGACCACGACTCCAACAATGCAAAGGGCTTCAGGGCCGACCATCTGCCACCAGGCAGCCTTCTGACTCCTTCAACGAAGTGAGAGACGGCAGCTCCCAGGCCCAGCACTAGAAACGACTTTCCCCTCTTCTCATGGCTGGGAAGTTCTTGGCTTGATGTGGCTACCTCTTTGCACCGAGGGAAAAAGGGGTATGGGATCGATGCCGGATCGAGATTGACAAAATATGCTAGCGAAAGACACCGATGTTAGATTCCGTTCTCAGTGCTGTTATTGCCATGTCAAGGGTCGGCAGACATTTACCTACCAGGGAAGTCGTCATGCTCATCCTCGAGGCTTCCTGTCCACCATGCGTTTTGGTGGCTTGACTGCGGGAAAATCTCAATGATGTCGCCGGCTTTGGATGAAAGATCACCACTTTGCAGACCTTCAAAGTCAAAGAATGGGTTTCCCATTTCGATTACATGGGGATCACCTGCCAGCCATGGAGCAGTCTTTGGACTCGGAGCAGTCTTCACGGGATCTTCCTCCCCCTCCTCACTTACCGCCATCTGCTCCATCCGTACTGAGATAGAATCCCACTTGGTATCCTCGTCATCGGACGGGTCCTCCAAGATGTTCTCGTTCTTGATCAGCAATTCGATGTAGTTCTTGATGGCGGTCTTGTGCTTCTCAATCTCCAGCTTGGGGATGCCTTCGTCGGCGAGGTCGTTCTTGAGAGCCTCCCAGGAAGATTCATCCTTCTTCTCGTGTACCGAAATGATGCTCGGAGCACGTTTCCCCTCGCGTAGACCTCGAACAGCTTCCTCCAGGACCTTTTCTATTCTCGAAAGAGATTCTTGCGAAATGCTCTGCCGAAAAGTGTTGATGTAGAGGATATGATTCGAGATGGCCGTACGCTTCTTGTCCAACTCCTTTGGCGCAAACATGAACCGATCGAATACTCGCTTCCTGGAGGAGGCCAGGCTTTGGTACTTTTCCACGAGGCATCGGAGCTCGTCCATCTGCTCCTCAACGGTCTTTACCATTGTCAAAAGCGTATCCCGGCGACTGGCTCCCCGCCGATTGAGGAGTGAGTTTGGATCCTCGGCATCTTCTTGCAGGGTCCGGAGGAGAATGTTCAGGGTGCTGGGGACAACGAGGGTCAGCCTGCTATATTGCTACGAAAGGGAAGGCAACAAGACATACGAAACATCGGCCTCGAGCATCCCAAACTTTTCGGGGGCGTCCCTCACGGCACGGAACGCTCTCCACGATAAGTCAACCGCCGTGATGAAGTCTCCTGCACTGAAGCCAAAAGACATTGCGGCTAGTCATGCCACAATGGCACTTCCAATATGATACCTTCACTGAGAAAGGATTCTTTAACATGGTGCCGCGAACTTGGCCATGAGGCTGAAAGGCCCCGGGCGCCTACTCGTACTGGAGTACTCTGTATATCTAGGGCAGGAGCCACCCAGGAGCCTAATCCCGCCTCGGGTTAGTGGCGCTTTCACTGCAATGGCCGATGGGGAAGCAGACATGATGAGGCTGGACGACCCAAATCATGCGTAAGATGCGGCAGTAGACACAGTGTGGGTGGAGAAAGATAGCGATACTGTCTGAGGCAAAATGATTCGAGGCCCAGAATATCTGTTGTATACCAACTAGGTCTTGAGAGCGGGAACCTCGACAAACTCAAACTCGCTGCCCGACGACTGCAACTTCGTGGTGACTTTCTTCGCATCATCTTCCGTATTTTCGTTCCTCTGCTCCTCCGACTGTCCATCCTCTACGCGGTGGAGACTGTAGATACTCAGACCGTGAAATAACAACACCAAGGAACTCGACTTCCACATTTTACGGATCTCACTACTTGAGATACGTAGGATGGTGATGGCGAAGAACACAATCGTCAATGCGATCAACGACGCTGGAAAGGACAGCCACGACCACCGGACGCCGATGCACGTCTGCAATCCCAGCGTAGTCCCCACCGCGAGTGGAGTGGTCGAATTGTCGCCCTTCTGCCGCATCACAGATGTAATTTGGTCCGCAAGCCCGGCGAAAGCAGTTTCAAAGTGCGTAAGGTTCGTGACTCCCTGATTCCAGAGGTTGACCGCCCAAGGAACGCCCTCGGGAACGCCATCCACGTCTACGACCTGTGTACCATTGAGGAGTTGCAGCATGAGAGCCTGTATCCCACCTGTGGGGTTCACACCCAGAGTCCAGACGCAATCGTTTGGCCAACAGTGTCGATTTGGGGCGCTGAAGTTATATGGCGTGTATCCCATATCCGTGCAAAGATCTGTGTCGTGACGTGGTTCGGCGGTTGCTGAGCAGGTTATATCCTTGCCATTGCGGCTGATGGAAGGAAGAACCAGGCTGTACCAATAGACGAAGTCGACACCGATATAGGGCATAATCTTCGAGGAAACCAAGGTCTCGCGCAGGACGCCGTTACTGACATTGCCAGTGTAGGTATTCACACATGGAACCAGGTTGCATCGTGCAGCGAAGGGTCTCCAACTGTTACCTTCGGGGTTGTTCTGGGCCACGAGGGTGTCAATGGTGACGAAAGAAGGCTCTGCATCGTCACTTTCGTCGGCCACGTACATCGAATTGGCAAAGATGCCACCTGGACCAATTTGACATCCAGAAGACGTTGTGTAGTTCGACAGCTGGCTCGTAGAGCTGTTCTGAATCGCTTTCGAGATATCGGTGCATGAACTGCACATGGCAACCGTGGTATACGTGTCGGTTGTATTGGTGGAGAAGGTGCAGTTGCCGGTGGCACAATTGGGTACGATGGTCGAGGATAGATTTGCAGGAGGATTGATGAGTCCCAAGTAGATTCCGGCCGTCATGTTTCCGTCGGTAGCTTTGGAGTCGCCGTTGGTGAAGTAAGAGCCAGCACCATAGTAGTTAGTGATGGGTATTGTCGCCGGCGTACCCCTTGCCCCTCCGACTGGACGCAAGCAGTCATGGTACTTGAGAATTTGTTGTGAGAAAGGATCGATTGCAGTTGCTAGAACAGTGATGAGAGCACCCAGCGCTGCTAAATGCCTGCAAGTAGAGATTATCAGCATTCGCTCGAGGACTCTGAAAAGCCTGTCTCACCGGCCTCGGAGATCTAGGAGTAGCAGGAACGAGCCCCAGGGCCCTTTGCTCGCCGAGTCAAAATGCTCCAGATCGCCAGCTTCTCGAGGTTTGGTGAACCACAGCCACTTGAGCTTTGAAATGCCTTTCGCAGAGAGAAAACGTCAGCCTGAGCGAGGCGGAGGACCAGAGTGTTCATACCCGATGCTACTGGGAGTACCAAGGCCGCTTTGAGTATTGCCGTAAAGACTGCAATCAGGGCGTTGATAGATATCAGATGCGGCCATCCTGGGAGGGGTCGGCCTTGATGAACTGCCAGCGTGATGATAATGGCAATAAAAGCAAGGATGGCAATCAAGAGCCCCACAGTCTCGACGCCCCATGCCAATATGGCATTGTGTGTATTGGATTGATTTTTGTCACTGGCAAGAGATCAGGCCCCAGTAGAGAGTGGCATGAATAAGAACTTACTGTCGCAGGAGCGACAGCCCTTGTCGTAGACTGGCGGACTTGACGCTCTCCGTCGCGGTCTCAGAGGCTGGCTTCGAACTGGGCATTGGCGGTAGTCAGTAATAACGCGGTCGAAGATGAGTTTGTTCTGACAGACTGATGGTGTCGGCGTGAATTTCAGCGACCAGCAGAATGAAGGGAGTATAGGGAATATCTGCTGGGCATCTACCACATTGCACAGCCATGCGTAGCCTGACTCTTTGACACCCGAGCAATTCCCAAACACTGTTTGCAAGACCCTCAGGACGCCTAAATGGAATCCATGCTAGCATTGGGACATAGTGGCTGCGATACAAGCGACAAAAGCATATGATAGGCGGCCTAGCCCTGTGAGTCCCCTGTCCGAGCAATTTCACCATCTTGAATCCTTGCCAGCCAGCCTGCGAACCCAAAGAGTCCACAAGGGTATATCTCAATGGCAGGCTATAAAACGTCACATCGTGCCTATTGCAGGTGTTTGTTGAACAGCCATGTATTCGTTTCCAGAAGTGTACTCCGTACCTAAGTATCGGGGACACTGGTATACTGTGTCATAGAGAGGCGACGAAGATCAGATTCGAGGGTAGGCGGGTGGTCCCGAGAAGCGAATCCTTCGTTTTCGCCCCCCGCCCCTGAGATCTCCAGCGGGCCAGACTGTGACTAGGGCGGAACTTCGCGAGGCTTAGACGGGCTTGTAGTGGCTTGCCTCGAATTATGGGTTGTGAGTGGTTGTGGTCTGCAGGCATTGTCAACCCCTGGCGTTTGATTGACGAAAGCCGAGTCGCTGCTGTCCCTTTGATTCTGCCGTGTGATGGAGGTTTCAGCCGCAGATGTCGACACTAGTGTACGAGTAGGTAGGTAATAGGGTGGTCCCTCTAGTCGAGTGGGATAGAGTCGATATGTGTCAAGTGTGAGTGGTAAGGGGAATCAGTGAAGTTGTTCATGAGGTTCGGTTGAACCTTTTTTCCGTGGCCGGGCATCTCGTCTCTTTGACATCTGGAACCAAAGTCAACCTCTGCTCGATCTCTGCATAGCCTCTGCATGTCCGAAACGATAAGACGCCTCCAAGTTCTCTCATCTTCCAAGGGCCACCATGATCCCATCTCCAGCACTTCTCGGTAACCAACTGCTGGGGAAACTCGGCTATAGCATGCGATACCCGGGCAGCCTCTCAGCCTTCCCCGCACTCTCCAGCATAAACCATCATCTAATGTCTCCTGCATGGCAGCTTCGTATACAGTTCTCGCGTTTTTGGTATATATGTCTGAATCGCCCCCAGAACAGTGCTAGCAAGAAGCAGCTTCCAAAAGACCTCGTTGGTCACACTGTCAGCGGACATGGTCGTATTCAAGTCCAAGAGGGAGATTGATATCCCTCGCCTCGATCTGCTATCGCTTTTGTTCGGTAAGGCTTACCATGTTCCCTCCCTGTACGCATTGTCGGCCATGGCTCGTTGCTTAGTTCTGCTGCAGACTCAGACTGGTGCTTGGCGCTGGAGGAGACCAAAATCCATGTGCAAGCTGCCAATCCGGCAAACAGCATCACCAAAGCCGAGAGCCGCAAATTGCTGAAACGTGTTGCCTATGTGCTTCGACACCAGTTCGGCATCGGCGCCTCAGGGCCAGGTACGGATGTTGTTCTCACGGTGCTCAGTGGGAGTCCGTTTGCTCCCGTCTTCTTCTACGGCATCGTCGCTGCTGGGGGCATCTTTTCGGGTGCGAGCACAGAGTACCGAGTGGAAGAATTGACCCGTCAAATCGAGGACGGAAAGGCCACTTTGTTGGTGTGCTCGCCAGAATGTGAAGCTCGCGTGGTTCAAGCGGCCGAAGCCTGTGGCATTGCGCGGGACAGGATTTTGATTCTGGACGGCACGATACCACACAGCTGGAAATTGATCTCTGTGGCGGACCAGTCCGACCTGCTCGAGCGAAGCGGTGGCAAGATGCTGGACTGGCAGCGCATCACAGACCAGCGGACTCTGGAGAAAGTCACGACATGCTTGTTGTATTCATCCGGGACGACCGGTCTGCCGAAAGGCATCCGACTATCTCACTGGGCTCTTGTGTCAAACAATGTTTGCACCATGGACGTTGCGCGCCGCTACAGAGCGCACTGCCAAAAAGAAGGACGAAAGTTCGCTTTCAATACTATAGCACATCTGCCCATGTCCAACATTGCCGGCATCAGCCTGTATTCAACGAATCCGTTCTACATGGGCGGCACAACTTGGTGGATGGAAAAGTATGACTTCGATTCGTTTCTCGAATATCACCGCCGCTATCGCCCAGCGTACCAGTTCAGCGTGCCGCCGGTGTGGTTACGCATTGCGAAAAGCGACAAGGTGACTGATCACTTCGATGCTCTTCAGGTTGCCGTCACCGGTGCGGCGCCGATCGGAGAAGACATTGTGAGGGAGGTAAGGAAGAAGTTGGGTCGAGGCCAGGCGCACATGGCTCAAACGTGGGGAACGACGGAGACAACAGGAGTGATTACTGCAACTGACTGGCCTGCCTATGCGAAGGACGGGACGTGGAGCGTGGGCGAGCTATGTCCCAACGTCACACTCCGAGTCGTCGATGAGGACGGTCAGGATCTCCCCGAGGGTCAACGAGGAGAGCTGCTCGTCGGAGGTCCCATCCTCGCCCAAGCATACCACAACAGGCAACAGGCCACCATGGAATCGTTTCAGGACGGCTTCTATCGCACGGGAGATATCGGGACTTACACGGACGGGCATGTGCGTATCGTGGACCGCAAGAAAGAACTCATCAAGTACAAGGGCTCTCAAGTTGCCCCTGCAGAGCTCGAAGCGCTCCTCACTTCTCATCCTCGGATTGCAGACGCAGCGGTCATCGGCCTCTGGGATGAGCAACAACAAACAGAAGTGCCGCGCGCATACGTGGTTTCCCGGCCACAGACTGTGGGCGGATCCATCACAGCTCAAGAGGTCGCCGACTTTGTCAAAAGCAAAGTCGCAAGTTACAAGCAACTGCGAGGAGGTGTGTTCTTTGTCGACGAGATACCGAAGAGCGCGTCTGGCAAGATACTGAGAAAGGAGCTGCGGTCAAGAATAAAGCCGTCATCCTCCATACAAGCAAAATTATAGATCTTACTTGCTGAATACCAATAAGGGCGAAATACTCAGGCTAGTGAGAAAACCCCGCGGAAGGAATTTATTTGTATGTACCTAGGTAGCCTTGCAGCCCCGTGGCCTCGCAGCCTTGGTTGAACTGCCCCTCAGCGCGTTTATGGTTAGCCGTACTATCCCGGGTTACGCTGTACTGCGGAGCATTCGCTTTCTCGAGAATACGAACTTCCTCAATTGAACAAAAACCTCTCCGTTGGCAAAGAATTCCCATGAATCGCTAAAGAGGACAATTTTGGAGACCATTGACACCTTCTGTTGACGCGACTAGCCAGCTGTCTTTGAATCTCAACAAACCCTTTGCAATGTTGCAATAAGGACCGCATTCCCACTGGTCCTCTTGGGGACAAACTTCCATCTCGCACGAACAGCACGGCGACCTCCTCGTTCTTGAACGAGCTCGACCCTTCCACTTCCGTTTCCTTACCTCCTTCGGCAGGACCAAAATGTCGACACTCAAATACCGACACTTGGGCCGGGACTCGGCCCACCGCCGCGCCCTGCTTCGTAACCTAGTGACCTCGCTGATCGCCAACGAATCCATCTCCACGAGCTGGCACAAGGCGAAAGAAGCGCAACGGCTGGCCGAGAAGCTCATCACACTGGGGAAAAAGAACACGGGGGCCGCGCGGGAACGCGCCAAGACCATCTTCTTCGAGCCCGAGCGGGAAGGCCACATGGACAAATTGTTCGGCGAGTTGAGGGAACGCTACGCGAATCGCCCCGGCGGTTATACGAGGGTGTTGAGGCAGGAGCCGATCCGGGAGGATCAGGCGCCCTCGGCGATTCTGTCGCTGGTGGATGGGCCGAGGGATATGCGGTTCAGCATGACCGCGAAGGCCCTCGTCAGACAGCGGAGAGAGAGCCTCGACATGAACGAGATGATGGCCGCCAATATCCGCAAAGTCACGAGGTTTCGGATCGACGGGGAGAAGGCGCTGGAAGAGGAAGTGGGCAGGTTAGAGAGAGATCAGGAGGAGCAGACAGAAAAGGAGCGAAAGGAATTTGAAGAGGATGGCACCATGTACGAGTGGGTGAGGGGGGAGAAGGATCGTCCGAGCGAGATCAAATCCAAAGAGAAGAAGGGTCCGGGACGGCTGAGGAGGCAGAGGGTCGGTGAGGACAAGGCCGTCCCTTGACAGAGTTGTCCATCAGACTGTGTGTGAGAAAGGATTTCTCTCAACTGTATTACCATTAGCTCGTCAGGGCTTCCAGGGTTCATGTAGACGGGTGCCACGCAATGCTTGGACACGCATTTTGTCTAGCATATGGTGCGAGAATCCGAAAGTCAGCGGACGTTTCCAGCGATCTGTATTCCTCCGAATCCACCAATGTCAGGGGGTATCAAGCTCTTCTCTATCCTAATATTTACTCTTAACGGATAACATGGAATCCTCCAGCAACAAGCTCGACAGCAGACCCATATCCGCCCAAAAACTTCATCACAGCTGCAGGTCTTCATCTCGATACTGTTCCCTCACAACGCGGTAAAGGTATCCCGTGCTAACAACAGCCGGCACTTCATTGGTGACGAACAAATCGACATCGCCTGCTTCAACAAAATCATATAGCGGATTCCTCGCTGCTTCTTCTAGTCCTTGACGCAGCGCGCCCGCTTGAAATGGCACCACCTTTCCCGCCTCACCGTATTCGATCAATTTGAAGGGATCGTATGGGTACACTGGAGAGAGTTTGTACGTCGCCGCCAAGACGACGATGGGAATGCGGTGGAATTTAGCGGCTTTGATGACGGCTTTGCTTCCCGCCGTGGCGACTATGGATCCATTCGCTAAAACGGCGTGAGCGTCTAGGATGACCTTGCTTGCCCGAGACATAACTGCGAAGATTGCCGAGTCGGGAATCATCACCACTGTGATGCCCGCTGAAGTCAACGTCTTGGAGAACGTGTCGTTAGGGAGATTATCCTCATCCTCTGCGACAGCTTCTTGATTCCCGGTAAGTAGAGCGTGTGTCTTGAGGTGATTGTTGGGATATGCTTCGGCATGGACAACTGTAAACTTCCGCCTTGAAGCGGCTCGAAGAAGGAAGCGCTGAACTGTCAATGATGAGGAATATGTGAAGATGGTCTCATGCGGGTGAATCTGGTCGAGTGCGGCAGTGGCGATTTCATCATCGGCAGCATTGATTTCATCTATGATCTCTTTGATCCCTTTGATCACTTCGGGGCGGATACTTGACTGAAATGTACCCGAAGCATGCAGTTGTGGAGTAGCTTGACCGCTGCGGCTTAATGGCGAGTCACCGCCGAGCATTCGCATTGTCGGATGGGCATTGATGCTGAACATAGATGTCACTGGGCGAGCAGTTTCTGGGGCGCCTGTGCGCGAAGTGAGCAACGGGGGGCGGGGACTGGCAGAGATTCTTTGAGGTGAAGGGCTGGGTGAATCGCCATTAACGATCGCATGTGAGATGTTTCTTGGATGTATAGATTCCAAGGGCGTAGGCGAATCGAGATCAGTATCACCACCAGCCGAGCTTAACTCGTCTCCTCCTTTTGTGCCTGCAGCGTCATCTTCATCTTCTTCTCGTATTATCCCCAAGACTCTGCGGACGATGTTGCCCACGGCCGGTTCGTGCGGAGCAGCTTCGATGAGCTTTTTGCCAACTTCTGTGACTCTTTGGATCAACCTGACTGAATCGGCTTGTTTGGTTACCTCCACGGTGCGGAGTAGCAGGAGTGTTGTGACGACTGCACAGCGTTTGGAGCCTCGTATTTGCCGTCTCTTGAGCAATCTGTGCACGCATTAGCCCAACTATTGCTGGAAGAGTCTCAGATGTAGAACGCACGAAACCAAATATGTTGTCGAAGTGTCGAGCGGTTCTGTCGACAAGACTTTTTGGAAGCTGGCAAACCCTGGCGTCAGAGACGCTGCAGCGGGCGCCATATTGATGGCTCCCTAACCAGACTAGAAGATGTGCGAGTTATTGCCGCAGAAAAGTGGCAGTTGTTCTTGAGCTTTCGAGCCTTTGCGTGAGTCTGCAGCGATCGAAGATTGTGGAGGCTTCTGGCGAGAGAAACAGCTGGTTTTGGAAGTCCAGTAGCACAGGGACCGCATACGCGTAATAGATCCGTTCTGGATTTGGTCTCTGCAATCTTCCTGTATGTGTGGGTTGACGTTCTACAACAGTGTTGTGCGTTTGAACAGACAATTTTTTGGGCGGTATTGGTGGTGAGGAATGACTCGCATGCTCGCATGCTCGCCTGCGTTGGAGACGCGGAAAGCCACCCGCATCCCGCGTGCCTTCGTCGCTCCCACTCCCGAACTCCCACCTCGAACTCCCACTGCCACCCCGACTTGTTTCGTGACCACGGCTGCTTGGTCGGATCAGCTGCGCCAGCCACCATCCTTCATCCATAAGAGCTTGTCTTACCCTGAGCTTAATGATATTGTCCATATCGTCTTCTCTGTTTCCGCAAAACAAACGTCTGTTGGAAGTGAAGGGAACTGACTATTGAGCTGGACTATGTGAGCATATCGTGTCATCTCATCGCTATCCACAAGCCTACCCTGTCGCTGTTCCGTTGCTCGCCAACTCCCCCGCTGTCGCAGAGGATCGTCATGCGATCACGATAGTCATACCAGAGGACACTGTTGACCAGAAGCCGATGCGTCGACCGCTACAAAGAGTCCGCGCCTGCGTTTCTGGTGGGAGATGAACTCCCTTAATCTCATCTCCTCCCGAGTCATCGGACAGTCTCAATCCACCTCTCGCCCTCGGTCCCGGTCTCAAGGTGAACTTCTGAAGAAGGAATCCGGCGATGAGGATTTTAGAGGAAGATCATACAGCGCGGAGCTTACAGCCGAGCTGCAGAATGAGCCCGACACCCTTTTCTCCGACAAGCTACCCGCCGAAGCAGCTGCCGAGGAGGGGGGACCTGCCATAAAGTCGGAGGATGAGAAGCATCCTCTGCTGTACACGGGCCAGAAGGAAGATGTAGCCTCGACTCCAGAAGGCTGGCGCCTGCTGGTCAAGAAGCTGACAGACGCTATAACCGCCATTTTGGCTGCAGTCGGTGCCCCAGTGGTCTATCTCGCGAAGTGCTTTAGGGATCAGGATGGGAGGTTCACCATGGTCCCAGGATGGCCGCGAAGGGAAAGGCCACTTAACGCCAGCACTACACGTGCGATGGGGCTCTCGAATGCTGCCCAGGACGGCACTTGGCCTAATGAGAAGCCCACACACCGCGCTCTCCAAGAGACGAAGCTACGCCACTCATATTCAAGCGACTCATTAGATACCACCACTTCGGATTCCGACGCAGAGCACCGCAAGGCTGAGCGTGCTCAGCTACGGTCGAAGCCGAAGCGCGATAAGACCTCACGAGAGGACTCGGAAACCCGGCGATCGTCCGTCAGGATCAAAGAGCAAAATGATTTGGCTCTCAAAAGGCGAAAACAAAAGAAAGCCGCCAGTCCATTGGCTGATTCCACCCCATTGACCGTCGACAACATCAAATCCCCGCGATCGCCTTCTCCGTCCCTGAAGATCACTAGATATCCTCATGCGCCGCAACCACCCCGGCCCCTGGTACCTCGAAGGCAACCTTCTTATGCCAACCTCATCCCCAGGTCGCCATCCCGCCATGGTCCGCCGCTACAACAAAAAACGCTGATTTTAGACCTTGACGAAACCTTGATCCATTCTCTGGCCAAAGGCGGGCGGATGTCGTCGGGGCATATGGTTGAGGTCAAGTTGAATGCCCCTGTGGCTCTCGCACCTCCTCAACCAGGTCAAGCGACACCTGTGATTGGCCCCCAACATCCTATTCTATACTATGTGCACAAGCGACCTCACTGTGACGAGTTTCTGCGGAAGGTTGCCAAGTGGTATAAGCTGGTGGTGTTTACGGCGTCCGTGCAAGAGTACGCGGATCCGGTGATTGACTGGTTGGAGACGGAGCGAAAGTACTTTGTGGGCAGATACTACCGACAACATTGCACATTCCGCAATGGGGCATACATCAAAGATCTCAGCAGCATTGAGCCCGATTTGAGCAAGGTTATTATTCTGGACAATAGTCCCGTCAGTTACATTTTCCACGAAGGTAAGAATCTTCCCCAGAATTGTGGAGCGAGGACTAAGACGACGGGAACAACAGACAATGCGATCCCGATCGAGGGATGGATCAATGATCCGACCGACAACGATTTGCTTCATTTGATACCCATGTTAGAGGCGCTGCAGTACGTGACGGATGTGCGGGCGCTGTTGGCGCTGAGGAGAGGAGAGGCTGAGGCGGCCAGCGCATCGGCCTCATAGACGGATCGGGGGCCAGAGAAATCAAACGATGCATGAGACCTGAAAGACGGGGGATTCTTCTTTTTCTGGGGGTTCGTGTACAAAAGAAGATGCGCTGTGTTGTGTTCTGCTGTGCCGTGCTGTGCTGTGATGTGCCTTGCCCCTGCTGTTCGATGTTCTCCAGGTTGCTCTGTTTCTCTGCCTTTCTGTGTGCCAGTCTCTCTCTTTGACCACTTCCACCCCTCGATGGCATCACTACCTCGATCCCCCAATATCCGTGATTCCCGAGTCTTCCGTGGGTACATTACTCCAAACTACAAGCACACCGGCCCTTTCCCCGTTGACCCACGCGCCCTGGGTGGCCCTTATCCTGCGGTGTAATGTCTCATCCAATCGCGGCCCAGTTGGTACATGTGTATGACACGGGTTTGTGGTGTCGCAGGGCGTTTGGAGGGGGACTGCCTGCTGGTGGCATGCACCCAACTCTGTAGGGGCATCATGTCCCAGTCAATGAGAAACGAGAGCTGTTGATTGACGGAGAAACCGTCATGCTCATCCTGCCAGTGATTTGTGACTGTGACTGTGACTGATGAATTCTTTTCTCATTCTTCGTCCCGCTCGAACTTTTGCCTGTTCTTTTTGGCCTTCCACCCTCCTCATCATTCTCTCCGTCATTATAATTATTGTGTGATGTTTTTTTGAACCGCTTTCCTTTGTGCCTCTTTACATAGCTGGTCATCATCTTGTTCCTGTCATTCCGTATAGATACCCCATTCTTGGATCTTGGTCAGCATTTTATTCTTCCCCTCTGGCCGTCGCCCGCCGTACCTTTTTTGTCGTTTTCTCGACTTTTATCAGTTTTCGCTTTCCCTGCTCAACTGAACTGCATCCATTGGAGTCATTGGGATGGCGCATACTAGACCATGTCCATGAGCAGTGCGTCTATCCATGATGGATCTGATCCAGCGTCCCCTTCTTCCAGCGACAACACTACCGTCGTAGCTTCCCCCTCGTCGTCCAAGTCGGCGCCTCCTCTGTCAGCCTCACCAACAGGCCAAAAGTACCTTGACATCCCATCCTTTCGACCTTCGCTTGACAGCACCTACTCCGAGCTTTCAGAGCTCTCGTTCCATTCCAATGAACTTCACCAAGCCGCCCACCCTCTCGTCCGCAGCATATCTCAAGATGGCGCCCTCTCGACGTCGGCCGATCCGCCTCCTCCTCCAAAGTCCCGCCTGCGAGCTGCTTGGGATTCCTTCTACGTGACGAACTATGGTGCCTTGTTAGTCCTTGCATCTCAAGCTTTTGGCGTCGGTATGAACATCAGTACCCGCCTCCTCGAGACTCCAGGCTCACATGGCGAACCGATGCACCCGTTCCAGATCCTCTTCGCTCGACAATCCATCACCGCCGTCATCTGCACAGCGTACGGCATCTACTTCAAGTCCACTCCATATTTTCCCTTTGGTCCCCGCGGTATCCGCTGGCTCCTTGTCTTACGGGGCATTACTGGATTCTTCGGAGTATTTGGGTTATACTTTAGTCTGCTCTACTTACCGTTGAGTGAGGCGACCGTCCTGGGGTTTCTCTCGCCCATCCTTACCTGCTATATCTGCAGTTTCATCATGCCTGGGGAAGTCTTCAGCGTTCAGCAGCAAATCGCCGGCTTTGTTAGCCTCATCGGCGTCCTCTTCATTGCCCGACCAGCCTCGCTCTTCTCTACGTCCACCCAGCCTTCCGACGCTCTAGTGAGTCCTCCTCTCAATTCGACTGCGACGGCGGAGACTGCTCAACACATCACTTCCGAACAACATCTGGCCGCAGTTGGCATTGCTATGATTGGCGTCGTTGGCGGCACCGGTGCACTCACCGCGATCCGTGTCATTGGCACCAGGGTTCACGCCTTCATCAGTATCAATTACTTCAGCTGGTGGTGTAGCATCGTTTCGCTGGTTTGCCTAGTGATCTTCCCTGACGTCAAATTCCGGCTGCCGGCAAATCTCACCGAATGGGCCCTGCTCGCAAACCTAGGTCTCTGCGGGTTTGTTATGCAGTTTCTTCTGACAGCCGGCCTAGCATACGGTGGACCGGGTGAACCGTCCAGTCAGAGAGGAAACAGGAATCAACCGGCACAAAAGATCAGGGATCTCGAGAGTACCTGTCCAGCCCATCTGGAACGTCCTGTGGGAAGTGACCCCAAGCCAAAGCCGTCCGGGACGCGTGCGACGGCCATGTGCTACACGCAGATGCTCTTTGCCTTAGGCGGTGACAAGCTGGTTTTTGGCGTCACGCCAGACACGATGAGCTGGATTGGCAGCGTGCTGATCCTTGCGGGAGCCGTGTGGGTGGCTGCTGCCCGGGACTCGACAACCAAGTCGAAGCCGAGCCCTACTTCTGGCGGATTGGAAGTGCTGAGAGAGCATGCACGGACGAAGGAGGCTGCTACTCACCAAGAGTCTGTTGGATTGATGAGTGGCCGTGAGGATGGACATGAGAGAGATGACGAATCGGACGATGACATGATTTACGGTGAACGACAAAACGAACACGGTCAGGCTCTGGAAAGTCTGGAGATGCATGATTTACGCCGGATACGAGCAGTAACTGAAGGGTTATTTACGTTTAAAATCTACTACCTTCGCGACAAATGTCTCTGTCCAAAAAAGGGAGTCGGTTGGGGACAAAGGGAAGAGACCCGGCCGAGCTCAGAAAGTTCGCATAATAAAAAGGGGCGCCCCCGTACGCAGTACCTTCTAGAAGGGGCAGTGAAGAAAGGCAAGAAGCAGGCGTTTGGCATACAGGGTGACCGGCTGGAGCAACGGGAATAGGAGTATACATATGTGGTTATTTATCCATTGCATGGGACAAGCGGCACAGCATCTATGGTATAAGTACTATATAGCATGCAGCCAGAAGCGCAGACCAACAGCACGCAGTACGCGGGCGAAAATGAGGAAAGTATGCTGAACTCAGTCAGTCACAATGGCATTAGAAAGAAACGTACCTAGGCATGTAGGTAGCCTAGCGGGTGAGAAAATTAGGATGCATGATAGGGAATTATTTACACGTATAAATGCCGCAGAGGGCTCGCAAGATAAATAAATCTACATGACTCTGCCTGGTCTGATGGCCGTGCTCGCCATCTTGCTTTAGGGACTGGAGCGCTGCACCCACATCGCAAGGGCTTACAGTGCTACATGAGACCAATTTACTTATCCAGTGGGAGAGAGGTGAGACGTGAGGCAGCGAGAGCCGTGTGGCCATAGGGTAACGACACTTGTTTTTTAAACCAGACATTTGGATTCCCATTTTGGTTCTTTTGGTTCTTTTTGGTCTTAAGCCGGTCTCCCATTCCTGTCCCTTCCGTGGAGGAGAGGCATCTGATACATGCATGATTGATCCCTTCCTCGTCCAAGCCAATTCCATCCATCACATGAACATCCCTCCCTTCCATGCTTCCATACCCCGATTGCTAAGGGCAAAGAGACCAAATGTCGAGACTCGAATACCATGCGCTATTGCGCCCATGCCGGCCTGAGCACGTGTCCAATTTCCTGCCCATGACCATATCTCATGCCTATGACCCGCGGACCTGTCCCGTTCCCGTCAAACTGTTACTCAGTCGTTCCCGTCCCTGCTCCGGCAGAACTCGAATTGTTGATATTCTCAACATCATACAGCGATGGGACCTGCGATGGAGGTGGCTTCTTAGGCAGATGCGCAGGCGCGCCATACTTCTGTTGGAGAGAGTCTTCTTTGACTGGGGGTGGCTTGGGCGACGATAAATTACCAGCGAGTCCCTTTTCGAATGTGCGTGCAGGTGGTGGCGTCCCAGAAGCATCTGAACTGAATGATTTCGTGGCAGGAATGCTGTTCGCTCGACTTAGGCTCGACGAGGATGAAGAGGGTTTTTTCCGGCCACTGTTGTTGTTATTATTGTGGCCAATACGACCGCCATTGCGGCTTGTAGAATTGCTTGGAACGAAGGAGCGGGTCTGCGGATTGAAGAGTGATCTGGAGTAGGTGCTTGCATTGGGATATGGGGCACTGTATGGCTGATTCGTGCCGCCGCTGAAGTTTTGAGCAGGCATTTGTCCATAGCCGTAACTGGTTGCATTGTTGATAGCTGCATTAGCCTGATAGCTAGACCAACCGTTCATGTTCGAGCTCGCTGGCCCTTGGTGTTGTGGGTAGGCAGCCTGGAATTGATTGTTCATCCAGTTCTGTGGCTGTTGCATTCCTGGATGAGATGTTGGCATGAATTGATTATTCATCTGAGCTATCATGGGAGAAATGCTCTGCTGATACGTAGTTGGAGAGGCAGAATAATTGAAGTATCCATTCGAAGGAGTCTGAATCGATGACCAAGACTCCGTAGGGCTGAAAGACTGATTGCCACTGTTTCCGTATCCCATTGCGGCGCCGTTGTAAGACATGGAAGACTCAAAATTGGGATAGGCCTGGGTGGGCGTAGAACTGTAATTCATGTTTCCGCCAAAGCCGCCACTGGGCGCTTGGTATTGCCCCTGGTATGCCTGTTCTGAGTAATGCGGCTGATACTGAGGTTGCATATGTGACATCGGCATGGGGGCGTAGCTGGGAATAAATGCTGATCGCGCTTCGAAACTGTCGTCTTTTGGCGTCTTGTGCTTGCGTGCCTTTCTCTTGCCACTAGATGAGCTCGACCGCGACATGCTTGCCGAATTCTCTCCGGTCGAAGCGCTTTCACTGGTCACCGACTCCTGAAAGTCGCCAAAGATTCGATCTCGCGCAGCTTTGTACTGAGCTTCTCGTTCTTCCCTTGTGAGTTTCGACTTGTCTTTATTTGGCGTCCCCTCGACTGGAGACATGATGCCTTCCTCGCTATTCGTTTCCAAGCCTGCTTCCGAGGTGGCTTTAGATGGGGCAGATGAACTCGCAGGTGTACTGGCACCGGCCGAGCCCTGCCGTGGACCCAAACCGACTCTGCGCATGATCTTAAAACCCGCAGCGGAAGGAGGTTGAGATGGCCCAGCAGGGATGGACTGGGCTAAGATATGTAGTGGCGTGGGCCTGCAAAAGACATCAATCAGGGCATTTTGAACTCCTAAAAGTGGTGTACTCACATTGATACAGCGGGCGTCCGAAAAATGCGGATGGATGTACCGTCCTCATTAATGTGATGAGCGAGCGAGTAATAGTCTGCAAGTTTATGTGCGAGGAGCCTGGCGAAGGAGTTCTGCGGGGGTAGGTCGAGAAAATCATTTCTGTGCCACGGTCAGTGAATTACGTCGATGACGATGACATGTATACGTACCCGGGTATTGTGATAAAGGCCAGGAACTTCTCTTCCAGTTGAAGGAGAGGCAGGCGATCTTTTGGGGTGGCCAGTGCATCCAGTAGTTTCTCATCAGGTGCAAGTGGAAGTGATGAAGCTCGTTCGTGCATCTCGCGGGGCTGCTCTATCGATCCTTCTGAATGAGGCTGGTCGGTTGTCTCCGCCTGAATGATGGGAAGAGGGAGATCTCCAAACCGCGGAGGATTGGTCAGAGTCAACGTGTGGTATCGGCGAGTCGCAATCGTGACTCCAGAATTGTTTGGCCGTGACGGACCACGAGCATTGGACGCCGACAAGTCTTCTCTGTGCGGCGCATTTGAGGCCTCTTCGTCCTCTGCAGCCCTGACACTGGCACTGTCATCCGGACGAATGCTCTCCTTCTCGTCCATCGCAAAGGTTGTGACGGAAGCCATACTTTTGGTATCGAAACTCTGGTGTTTGGTGGAGGAATTCGAGAGATGAGATTGATCATCTTCAAGAGATTCTCCGCTTTCTGCGCTCTGTGGCCCACCTGATACAAGGCTCGCATCTTCAACGAGACAAAGGCCTTCGAGTGCAGGTGCCAAATAGTCAGGCTGACTGTGCACTTGGAGAGTATTCTGCTGTGTCTCCCTTGGCTTTGTCGGCGAAGTTGGGGACTTTAGAAGGCTGGCTTGAACAGGCTTTGTATTGATGTTCTCGACGGGACGTGCCTTCTTTTCATCAGAAGCATTAGAATTTGGTGTAGGAAGAGCAGGGGCACGCATTGCAGCGACCTTGGAAGCGTCAGCAAGGGAGAAGGAGAACGATTCGTGCAGATCAAACGTACCTTCGCGAACGATAACTTCCCCGGAGGCGGCCCGACCTGAGAAGACGCCATAATGCCTAAGGAGATTCGTCACGTCGTATCCAACAGCGTCAAGCTAGGCTATCAAGCTGAGGATTGGGGTTGAAAATGAATGTGAATTGTACGAGCCAAAGTCGACGCTTCAGTTCTTCCTTCTGCTGTCTCACACAACGTCTTGCTCATCGAACGAGCCAACACAGCACAACCTAAAAGGCTCCATGGATTCGGCAAGGCGGTCTTTGGGCTGTCAACGTGCGTAGCAATAGACGGGATGCCTTGAGCGTAATAGTAGGCGCAGTTAGGTGCAGATCTGGCAGGATGCGGTGGAATGATATGTAGGGGTTCTTGGAAACCCAGGTCAGAGGTCGAAGTGCCGCGGCCGGTAAGATGTGAAATGGTCGCTCAAATTGAAAACGACGAGAAGCCGGTCTGGTGGAAGGCTCTCGCCTACTCAGGAAGGATTACGGGTTTTTTGGAGGTTGTCAAAGCTGCGCGCACAAGATGGAGGAATGTCAGATCCTGGACAGGAAACAGCAGCGTCGGAGAGGAAGTCGGATCAGTCCATTGTGCCTCTGAACAATGGAGATCGACAGACTTGAAAAGGTGGACAGCAACGACTGAAGTCAAGGCTGGGAAAAGCGTGACTTGTGGCAGTCTTGGGGCATGGAAAAGCGCAAGCAAGCCATGGCCGATGAGGGAGAATGCCAAGCCCTCCCCATGTCACGATGCCAGTGTGCGGATCAAAGTTATTGCGCCGCCACCACGGCGCCCAGCGAGCCCAGGACATTGTGGGTGACTGGCACATCTCTCGCTAGTAGGGAACCAACGGGCATCCATCAGTGAGCATAGGAAAAAAAAAGTAGAGCACATTGACAATAGGCCAACCAGCATCATCGCCGGGTAGGAAAACCACCGAGTCGCACTTCGTCCACCTTATTTCTTCCCGGGACCCCTTGGTGTCTATCTGCCTGCCTGCCCGGTGGCTTGGAAGGTGGCACCTTCTTGCTTCCATTCTCAAGACACTCCGTCTCGCATCCCACTCCAGTTGAGGTACCAGCACTCTGTCTCTGGTTTTATGTTGCAGTTCGACATTGGCACAAGGCATCAGCATTTCAGTGCCATCCGCGTTATCCTCCATATACGTCGGAGCCGCACTGTGCTCCGTTATATAACTTCTGACAAAGCAGGCATCTCACTCCCGGGTCATCAAGCCTGCGCCTTCACTGCATCCTGGGAGACTCCTCGACGTCCATTTTCTTTCCCTGGCCATTTGCAGGGAAAACCCCTCCGATGAACCGGTATCGCACCCTTCCGGGCCTAGGGCCACAAAGGGCTTCCGCCAGTACTGTGTGCCAGAAATGCTTGAAGAAAGATATGTTTCTGCTCCTCGTCCCTCATCTGCAATCTGACCACCACTTGTACTGACAAATCGGGCACGTCACTACAGCTACGAATGCAAATCAAGCGTACAAGAGCGGCCATACACTTCCAGGCCCTCAAGGACCCAGCAACTGCTTAACCCGACATTGGCGCCTAAGCTAGCGAGCGACACTCCCAACACTCTATTGAATAGGTGACTTCCTTGCCTGGATTTCCGGAAAAATTGTCTTTCTGACATTTATCTAGCAAGGGCGTGGCTGACCAACAACTGGCCGAAGCTCAGGCCAGGCGAGCAGAAGTTGTCGTGGAGCCAGAAGATCGGGGTCGATCGCTAACCCCAGACTCCTCAGATTCAGTCTCAACAATATCGACAAATAAGTCTCGGTCTCGCTCACGGTCTCGTTCACGGGAACGCGGTGACAACTACTTCGCCGCCAGTCGTACACGCCGGAATCGCTCCAGAACACCGACTACTGATGTTCCCCGGAAAAGGAAACACCGCTCCGTTTCTAGTTCATACTCAAGGTCGCCAAGGTCTCCAAGGTCCCCAAGGCGAGAGCCTGGCTCACACCGCAAAAGCCGACGTCACCGCACCATCAGTCCCATTGACCGAGGCCGGCCTAGTTCCATGCGTCGAGGCAGTCATCGTAGCAGGACTAGCAGTCCAAGTGTGGACAAGAGCCAGATAACCAAGCAGAGAAGGTCCCTTGAGAATGAGGGCCACGCTGCTGCTACATCTCGGGGGTATCGGCGCGACTACGACGACAATAATCACCACGAGAAGCGAAGCAATATGAGAGAGCGGAGCCTGAGCCCGTATAGCAAAAGGTTGGCTCTGACGCAGGCGATGAATATGTGATATGTCGACCCTGAAATTCGACTTCTGGATATTACTGGTTGGATCCTCTAAGTCTAAGCAGAGGAACGTTACTTTGGTGGTATTGTCGATTGTGGTTTGCAAGGCGTTGGCGGGTGCATTGACACATGAACGGCTGGTCTCCCTTTCTCATACCCCCACGAGCAATGCATGCTTGTCATTACGGATTACTTGTTCTTATCATGGCATCGCTAGTTGATTGGGTACTGGAATTTCATTGCTCATCACTGCGTGCTCATTTCTGAAGCTCAATGGGCAATGGTTCTCAACAATGGTTCCTGATGCTACGTGCCACAGATTCTTCTGCTTCAGGGAGACTTTCCGCCGTGTCTCCTGTTTCCTCATGTTTTCTGGGGCAGGTCATCCTCGCCAAATGCGCTGTCTGCCGCAACAAACATTGGATTTCTGAGTGACCGTGGTAGATTCCTCCAGCATTTAGCTCTGAGCAGTCGTCGTGATGTCGGGTGCGCTGCGCTCGGCCTCCGAGCTGCGGAGATTCGAGACCATGGTGAGAGAAGGCAGCCTTGCTTCTTGCACGACGCGAGCCGTAGCCTTATTCAGGTATATATCCAACCTGCGAAATGGAAGGGCCGCTGTTGCCGCATTCTGTGTCGGCTCAGCTTTTCGGCTGTCGCTCTGGTCCAATTGTTGCTAGATCATTCGCATCGTCGATCACGGAATACCATCTTCTTCATTCTCGAGAGCAGCTTCTCGCTCTTCCTCCTGTTCTCGCAAATGTATGCTCTCGACAAGCGTATTGCCCTCCATGCCCACCTCCTCTGCCTCCTCTCCCTTCTCGGCCGTAGGCTGCGTTTGAACGGCCTTCTTCTCCAAAGCCTGTTTCTTCGTATTCTCGATGCGTTCTCTCACCAGACGTGCAATGGCGTTTTGTGTCCGTACATCCAGGATCTTCATCTTCTCCGCCAAGTCTCTTTTCAAGTCCCAGTTTGGCTTCCTCGGCTGCAGCTTGAACAAGTCAATACCCTTCTCTGCTTCCAGCTCATCTTTCGCGGCTTGCTCTGCAGTAGTTGCAAGGATGCGATCGGCCTGCTCTTCAACAGTCTCGGCGTCGGCACCAATGGGGGCATTTTCGAATCCAAGTTTGGCGTTTTTCGTTGCTAGATCGTAGTTTCGGCCGGAGAGATACTGATCAGTGGTGGAATAAGGCGGTGTCTCCTTGTCTCCTTCCTCGGTGTCTGCTTGCAGGCTCGAAACTGTAGAATGGGAGTCAGGCTGCTTGCGCTTCAGAGATGCGAGTTTAGCCAGGCGAGCTTTTCTGTCGATGGCAGCGGCATCTAGGGTGTTGTGCGTGGCTGACATTGCGACTATCGTCTGCTCTGTCTTACAGGTCGTTTCCCGAGGACAAGAACATCCCGATACCAAGGTATCATAAAGGCGGGCTTGGAGAGAAAAGATGGCGATGTCAAAGTGGCCCCCAGTGGGTTGAACCTATCACTCGGGAAAATTTCCCTCTCGGCTGCGCACGCGAAGAGTACCTCGTACATGTCCGCATTTACATATCGTTCCTTCAGGTCTACCATCCACACGTTACTCTTGATTCATCCGTCAGTGGGAAATCAAGCCAGATGCCCGGGAACCTGAATGTTCCACAAGTCAATCAACACTCTACGAGGCTGCTTAATCAATAATCCAGCAACCTACGGCAGGTGTCGACCCCAATTGACCTCCCCTTCTCTCGACTTCGTCAAACATGGCCTTCCGATATGGAAATCGTTCCACCAAAGCTCTGTCCTTGCTGAGTCCTCTACTGAGTCCCCGGAAGACTCTCACTTTTCATCCACCGAACATAGCGCAAAAATCGACGCACGGGATCGTCCACTTCAAGATCCGACTGAATCCATACCCTTTCCCAGCACGATAACTCTTCCACCTGCGGAATCTAGAGTACAGTCTGTCTCTCCTCGATCGCGTAACCATGGGCATTATTCTGGAGACCCGGCGAGGCTCCAAGATGTTGAAAGACTCTCGGATCGGATATTTGGTACTGAGAAGGCTCGGCCTAGTGTTTCGAGTCACCTCGTGTCTCGTAGGCTTCCTGGGCCTTCGCCAGTTCCCATGCTTGCAGTTGATGGGCTAGGCACTCCATTGTCCTACAAAGCAACCCCGAGATCAGTCGCTCCAGAATCTGAGGCCCTGGAACCTGAACACTTCGAGTCCAATGTTGCTGAGTCCGAAAGCCTCGAGACTCGTGACGACTCGGACGCGGAGAGACACCCACGATACTTGCCTGGAGACGACCGATTCATCAGGATGTGGACAAGGCCGTACAAGAAGCTGGTGTTCCCAAAAGACGGCGATTACACAAAGGGGCGTCAGGAGTTAGACGTGTACAAACAAGTTGCGGTAGCTTTTGTGGGCGATTACACTCTGGAGGAGCTTCGCAAAGCCTGGCTCAAGATGCCCCTCCGCAGCAAGAGGCAACATCTCACGCAGATCCTGCTTGGTTGCCTTGCTGACGGTGCTCGGAGAACACTACTCATGCTGTCTGTTCTACCCACAGTCCCTCGCGATTGGACAACTCGATGCGATTGTCTTTGCTATCTGGACATGGTCTACCGGAAAGAGATCGATGCGGACCCCCATCTTCAAGAACTGTTCGCTGGGCAAATAGCTCTGGTCTCTCGCATGTCCACCTGGCCCGAGGAGACGATGCCGTTCCACTTCCTCGTTCTCCTCTTGCGGCACAATGACGCCGAGCATTGCGAAAATATCATTGACACCCTCTTCCAGAATTATGCACCCTTGCCGCCGCGGCTGATTTTAGTTATGGTGGACCACTTTACGAAACTTGGCAACGCGGATCGAGCAATAGAACTCCTCTCATGCATCCCTCCGGACCAAAGGGAAGAACACAAAGTGCGGATTCTTGACCGCTGCGCCAAGCTTATAACCATTGACACAGTTGAAGAATCCGGCACTGTGGGTAACTTCAGGGCACTTCCTAAGTTGATCGAACTTGGCATGCCAATGGATGCGAAAGCGCATAATCTCATCATTGAGCGAGCACTTTCCTTAAACGTGCCGGACGTTGCGTGGGAAGTCTTCCATTTCATGGAAGCAAAGGATATCCATGTTGACGAACGCAGCCACCTTTTCTTGCTCAAGGATAGTTTTGAGCGACAGAATCGGGAAAAACTGGATGAAATCATGTCGGCTATCCACCAACGCGAAGATCTTTACAAGTACCCTTACTTGGTAACATACATGATGCATATTGTTAGGGTTGTTTGCACAATCGACCGCAAACTACCCGCTGGAATATCGGTATCACATCTTCTCGCGATCTACGACAGAGCCTACGACAGAGCCCCACTGATCAAGCTTGGTATTGTGAATCCTCTACCCGTTGACGAGTCTCTCCCCAAAAAGCTCAGTGAACCTCCGCCGGCCGTCCTCGGATTTACGATCTGGGCCTATGTTCTCTGCCAACGGGACGAGCGACTCGTCTCGGCATTGTGGTATTGGATAATCCACATGGTGAAACAACAGGACCCGAGTATTCTCGAGTGCGCTAAACATGACATCATGTACAATGGTTTCATCCACTTCTACGCGCGGAGCCGATTTTTCCTGAGAAAAGCGGTGGACGTTGTTGAAGCCATGATTGAGCGCAATCTGTGTGTACCCAGCGAGCGAACGTGGAGCGAAGTACTTTGTGGCTTCTTGCAACACGGTGAAGAAGAGGCTGCGGAGAAAATCTGGAGGATGATGCTGGCACGAGATGTTCAGCCGACCGAGAAGGGTTATGCGTTCCTCTTGGGGAAGTATGATGAAAGTCAGTTTGCCAAGCTGGTCAGATATGTCTTGGATGAACGGCGAATGCCTGATGGGCTCGACATGACTCTCCAGTGGCAAGATGATACAAGTGCCGGCGCCGAAGCGGCAGGCACAGGAACTCTCGAACCCCAGCAATCAATCGCGGATAGCGAGCAAGCTCTTGAGAGAGATGGAATCTTCGAGGATTATGGTTTCAGAGACGCCATAGGAGACTCCGCCCTTGAAGGTGTTAATATGTACCAATAGTACGCTCTCTTAACTGTAAAGGCACCACCTGGGCTTTGTGCCTGACTACCAGCTGTATTGACTGTAACTCCGGATGGGGGGCTCTCGCACGGGTCTTAGACCGGCTCTTGCAGCTAAAGCATGCTGCTTTGGCCTTGTGAGGATCCGGTAAGGCTGTCAGTGTCATACACAGGTATTAATCAATGATATAAATAAAATTGGGCTTAAAGCAGTTTCCGACTCGGAGGATGGACTTGCCAAGCACGCGCCAAGCACGCGTCAACAGCGGGACGGGATTGCCAGCCAATAATTGCCAGTCTTTGAACACCCTTGACACCCTTAGTTCATCTCTATTCTGTCTTCAGCTCCAGCTCTACCGATTGTCTTTCTTCGCTCCTTGCGTTGTTTATGAGATCTCTGTCAGCCTCGTCTTCTTTTTGTTAATGGGAGGGAGGACTGCATCAACTCGTCCAGTCTCTGCAGGAACAATCCTATCAGCTGCCGCTTTACTATGGTGATGTTGCCATAATCTTTAAGCACTTTGCCAATCTCCACTCCTCGCCGAGTCCTCAGTGCCTTCGCCACACAGCGCTGTGTCAGTGCGGCAATCCTCCTCAACGACGTCGACTCCTTCTCATCAAGTCGGTCACATAGGGCGACCGTATTCGCGATCGAGCTCTGTCTATGTATGGGCTCATTCGAAGAATAATGGGTTTGGAGCCTGCACCCTGCATGTACACCCCGCATATGGCAACCCGTGTTTAATCACTATTGGTAAGCATAGTTCCCTATGTTTGAATGAATTTGCAGCCTTTTTGCAATTTCCTTTCCAGTGATGAGTGAATGGTAAAAGGTCCGATTGAAAAAGGATCGTTAGTGGTAGCTCGTTGATAGGGCTGGTTCTTTGTGCACCTACACAAGGGCGGCACAACAGGGAGACATGACTTAATACGCAGCCGCATTCCTGCAATCTCTCCAGGTTTGCCAGCACGAAGTCACGCAAGAACGATGCACTCCGAACAGTTGGAACTGGTTTGTTGGAGACTTCGGGTACAAGAACTACAACAGAGAGACGCCGCAAAAAATGGGGCTCTCTTTCTCAAAGACTTCATGAAATGTTTGAGCCAATGGCAGCAGCATACATTGTCAACAAAATCTATGGCCAAGTTGTAGGATGATAGCTAGGGACGCTGGGAGCGCAGGTAGTTTGTTATCTCTTTGGTGTCAGTCCACTCGTGTAAGACCCTGCACAAAGAACTTCCTGGGTCCTCACAGCAACCCTAGCGACACAAAGTGAAGACCCCAAGAACTGAAAAGACCTGAGAGAGACCCAAAGTTGCTGCGCTTTTGATCCAGACTCCATTGTTCTTATCTGCTAATGAGGTCGTCCATCTAGTTTGCCCTTTCGCTGCGGCACTCGGAGTGGCGCTATGAGATGAGATTCTCTTAAATCAAGCACCATTTGCCAGTATGGCTGCAGACGAATCGAACATCGCCGAAATCCAAACCTTCACTCCTGTCGACATCTCCTCCACGCAAAGGCATCATCCTCTGTTCAGCACTCACAAAGGCGCGAACTCCAGTAACTCTTCTGGTCCTAGAAGTCCATCTGGAGTGAAGATTCCTACTGTTCACGGCAAGCCTATAGAATTCGATTTGGCAAGTCACGCACGGACAAACCCACGCTCACTGTACCGAAGTCGCAGCCTCCCACTCACAAGAAGTGCGAAAACTTCGACGGCCCTGCAATATGGCAACGATTTTGGTGGAGGTGGTAGATTTACTGTTTCTGATCATCATCGACCTTCATTTCTCCCACAACTGGTCGGCTCAGACAGCATTTCCAGCATAGCACTGAATGACATGCCGCGGAAAGAAAGCTATATCATGGATCTGGATCGGAGTCAAAGGGCGGGTCAAGATTCGATCCTTGATGCATCAAGATCCACGAAGCTGGATGAAAGCAGGGTTCAGAAAGTTGAAGGGTGGGGCAACTTGTTCCAGCGAGTGACTCCCCGTGAACGTGGCGATACATGGAGGAGAAGCTCTCAAGAGAACTTGACACTAATCGTTAGTAATGGCAAGAATAGATTTCCCGAGCACACCGACAAAGCAGGGCACGCTGATACGCAGAGGGATCACAAGGCACAGCTTGGCTTGGCGTCGTCTCAGGCCAACCGCACCTTCAATATTCCTCTGCGATCCGAAGGCGATACCACCCACCAGACCACCATGGACCAACACTCGCCGCTCGTACCTCCAGCCATTCCGAATTATCTACTCGAGAGTCAGTGGACGGCCATCCTGGAAGAGCGTCGAGCGCAGCCATTAACAGGGTCTAATTTTCCGACGGCTCGCCATAAGATGTTGAACAGACCGGGGTCGCACTTTTCGAGCGAGTCAATCTGGTCAATCTCCTCAATTCGGGGATCCAAGAGCAAGGACCTATGCACAGACTGTCGCAAGCCTGGGAGCAGCCTGACACCTCTTGTGCCCTGCAAAGCATGCCGTGAAGGCTATCATACTCTTTGCGGAAACCCAAAGCCTCGGCAATAGTAAGGCAGTAGACCCTCGCCATCCACATTATCACGCTGACGTGATTAAATATAGCTTGCGTCTCGATGACTTCACCTGCGGAATTTGTTCAAAAGAGCAGGAAGCTACGGCCAGCAACGCTAAACCACTCAGAGGCAGCTTGGATGGAAACCCCTACAGAGCCGCGATTATTACTGATCCTGATTCGTCCCTTCGTGGTCCCTTTGTGCAACCTACGGACTTCGCTCCTCTCTCGTCTTCGCAAGCATCTGCGGACCCTTCAGAGCCAGTCGCCAAGTCCGACCAAGACACAAATCACGTTGATATCACACCCGCAATGGGTAGAATGGCCAAAGCAGTGCCCGTTCATTGCCAGAATCCCGCCGACGGTAAACCCGAGCACCCCATAAACCCTGCAGTTAATAAGAACATGGGCATGCTTGCCTCGCAACCAGTCATGGAACGACAACCGCAACAGCCGCCAGGGGGGCCCGCCTTGAAGCAACCCATCTGTCGTCGCTGGGAAGAGGGTTTCTGCAAATGGGGGGACACCTGTCCCTACACGCATTCTTGGACAGGCAGATCGTGTCTGCATCTTCGCAAACCCACCAGCAACCGGACTGCTGGCTTCGGTGGCGACAACAACGAGAAATCACAGCCTGCGCAAGGGCCAAAGAACATTTCAGATACTGATGAGTTGCCGCTGTCCAATGGCGCGATATGCCACGAGTCAACTGCTCCAGCTGTGGTCGCAGTCTTGGCAAGGTCTAGCGCTGGCCGAGGAGCAATACAGTCCGCCACAGAACAACAGACACTATGTACCACAACAGATCGACCAGCTCCCGTCAAGCGCCTGGCCAGGCGTAGTGGAATCGTCCACTCGCACCATATAAGTAATGACAATTTACGAGGGGTAACTCAGACCCCAACCGACCATGGCAAGGACCAACAAGATATAATGAAGACGCAAGCCACGAGCCTGGAGAAATGTGAGAGTTGCGGCAAATTGATTCAAGGTTCAGCTGCACGTTGTGCCAGGTGTACAATCAAGCACGACGATCTGCGGGGGGATGGCAGAGGTTGTGGCGATCCCAGAAGGCAGTCAACACCAATCACGATTTCCGATGATGAAGACGCAGATTACCGAACAGTGATAACAATTTCAGACGACGAAGACACGCCAGACGTATTGAAAATTGGAAATGAAAGTGACGGTGTGCAGCCTCACACTTCAACCTCAACTGTGCAGCAACATGAGATCCGTAGCTCTCTGAAGCATCATATAACGGAAGATTCACTGTTTGCTCCAAGAAAGAAAGTTCAACTTGAGCAGATAATAGTGAATGAGGCTGTGCGCTCTCTGCACCAAGGCGCCAGAAAGAATGAGGTCCAAGCTGCCCTTGAGGCCGACACTCTAGAGCCACATGTTGACCGCAGCAATTCAGTAGTGGTTCTGGACTCGGCGAATGGCGCCCGTGCAGTATCCCCTTTGCAGAAGAAAAACGATGACAGCGTCTCCAAGTCTCCGCCGGCTCGACCTACCACTGCACGGCGCCGCGAGTTCCTGCGTCCAGCATCTGCTCGAAAGCGCACGCTACGCAGCACAACCGCCGTTGAACAGCCAGGTCCCCAGATGGAGGCGGTGGTGCCGTTGATGGTTCCTCCTACGAGTATTAAGGCACTCATCAACGACGAGGAAGACGGCCCAATCCCAACAGAACTGGTCATTTCATCTTGGATAACAGAAGAAGACGAGTTCACTCAGAATGAGCATGACTTGTTCGTCGAGGCGTACAGCCGGCATCCTAAGGCTTTCCCAAAGATAGCTGAGCTCGTAGGACGCACAGTCGTCGAATGTGTGCGGCATTACTATGCGACGAAGCATTATGTTGACTACAAGGTTTTCAAGAAGAAAGCTGTCGGCCGAGCCAAACCCAAGGCCTCCAAAACGAAGATGTCTCGCAGTAGGGGCAGCAGCCCCGCAGTCGCAAACAAACATGAAGTGCCAGTTTCAGCTTCAGCTCAAGTCACTGTTAAACAAGTCCAGACCGATAGCCACGGCAACGCTCCTGCGATCCTAAACATACTCAACGGGTTGCTTGGTGGCGCTCTGACGAATCTGACACCAGCGAAAAAGGCAGTTGAGGCAAATTCTAATTCTAGTGGCGAGAGCTCGGCTCAAAGTCGATCTCGCCCTGCTACGAACGTAAACCGCTCGACTCATCATGTGGAGACGCCTGTCGAGGCGCGACCCAAGGCAAATGAAGAAGGGGGGAGTGAGCACCATGAAGCCGTGTCAACCCAGTCTCGGCGTTCGAGTCGGAGCCGGGACCCCTTGGATTCTGATTCCGCCCTCTTGAAGCCTGCAATCGTGATCTCTCGTGTCAAAGCTCGCGAGGCTACCAGTCAAGTGCCCTCCAAGAATACACAGCCCGCATCGGCGAATGAGGACGACGAGGAAAGGTTACGAGACCGTTGCGTCAGTTTCGAACCTGATTGCGATTCTGATGGGATCGATGATTCCGATTCTTGGTCAGATCCTTCTCGACGAACTTTGATAGCGCCCCGTCGAAATGCTCGGCGTGGACCGCTGAACAGGTCTCAGGATTTGTCGAAACTGGAGCCGTCCCTGCGGGTGGCCGGCTAAGGCAACAATTTTGCGCCTGCAGAGCCTCTGCATATGAGGTCTTCCACCGCGCAATCAGTTGGAGCAAGGCATTTATGTTTACAGCACACGAAAAAAAGAGCCGGAACAGAGACATTGAGACCATGACCCTCGCCAGGTTTTTTCGTTGTTGAAAGAACCAATGATTGACTCTTGCAAATCGGTTCATGTTGTGCTTTCGGAAGTGAAGGTGGACAACTAAACCCTGTTTGGCGGCTGGAAATGGAGCGACCAACCTTCTCTGCGGGTTTTTGGGCCGGAAAGGCTCGTGCTTGTTTCCGCTGGGAGCATGGAGAGCAAGGTGGCCTCGGAAGATTGCTAGCAAATGCATGAAAGCGCTGAGGGTTATATGGGAGTGTCTGATGCCTGGAACGTAACGAAACGATATGCTTTATAATAGCTCCGCTGCGTGCGATTGATTTTGAAAAAAAAACCGTCGAGTAGTGTGTATTCTTTCCGAGAAATACTGCATTGAAATTGGACTTGACATGCTAATGGCAGGGGTTTGGTGTGCTTCTCACGTTGCGCAGAGCATGGCGAAACCGAAACACGCTGTCCCCCTCAAAGGAGCAATCTGAACACCGACATGAACTGTAATATATTTCTAATTGGTAGGATTTCCTACCGCCGCCTTGCTCCCAGATCCCTGGCCCTTGGAATTCCAGTTCGTGACTGCTCGAGGCGTTAACTCCCAACACCATGCATGAATCCATCGTGGATTTCCCATACTCAGCCCCCAGAGAGTCCTCAATTGGGAAGAGAAGGGAAATCCATTTCGGTTTTAGTAGCCCATCATTATTGAGCACTGTCGTCAACATGGGTCAGTAACAGTTTGCACCTAGGCTTTTCACCGGAACGAGGTAAAAGATAACAACTAAACGAGCAAAACACTTACCGCCATGACTATGCAAAAGATGCTGACGTACGGACTGAGCCGCTCGCCTATCCGGGCGCATTTCCAGAATATGCCCATCACGCTGTAATCAATCCACGGACACACACACACCCGGAAATCAGCACTGGCTTTCACAACAGGAAAAAAAGAAAGGGGGAAGACACAAAGTTTCGCTATCGTCGGAACCCGAGTAGGGGTCGTGACTTACCCGTCTTTATTCCTGTCCATGACGCCGGGAGCCATCGAGTGTACGTACGTCGAGGTGCATATTAGGAGGATGAGGACGAGGAGGAGGGACTGGAAATTGAATATGGCTGTCTGTATATGTGACCGGGAAGAGGCTCGGGTTAGAAAGTGTTTTGGAACACGCTTTTGTTTCCTCTTTTGGAGGCTTTCTCCCCTTCGTTTGCGTATGTTTGTGTGGCTCTTTTGTAACAAAGTCTCGCTTTCCCTGCCCTGGGGAGGTTTTTGGGGGGGGTCTTTAGGGAATTAAAGTATCGAGGTAAGAAGAGAGACGTACCATGGTGAAACCAATTCTTCTACTCAAGATGGGGCGAAGACCGTCAAGTCCGGGCACATCGGACAGGAGAAAAGGCCCGAGTTGTTATGCGTCGGTGGTAAAAGTGTTGTCGTCGAGTTTAAGATGCGGTTTCATCCTGGCCGTAAAGAGCCACGAGCGAGATGTTGAAAGGTGGTTTCGAAGAAGATACCGGCACTAACCTTAACAAGAATAGCAGTGGCGCTGCCTCAAGATCACGTGCTGAGCTTTTCGAACGGAAAGCGTGGCTTCAGCCTCGCCCCAGTCCAGATCAATTCCTTAGCATTCGACAATTTCAGCCTTGCCTGCGGAGGGACTCCTTGCTCTCCGCTTCCTTCAGCAATCCTACGTACCTTACGGGAGTGCTTCAACTTTTATTCCGAAGTCAATCCTCTACTACGTATCATCCTGCCCTCACTACTGGTCTGTGCCTATGCTTGCGGTCTGACCTTTTCACGAGATCTGTCTTCCCATCTCCGACTGTCGTTTGTCTCTTGGACGATTCGATTCAATTAAGTCCGACCCGGTTCGCCATATCATCCCTCCCTCACCTCACTACCTCCCACAGTCATGGAACCTCGCGCCCGCGCTGGCCGGCATAAAGTCAACCTCAACTTCGGTCCCGAGCTCTCGGCACTTTTGTACGCATACGGTGCACCCACACACCCCGACATTGCAAAACCCCTCGGCGCATCGTCACGACAATATCTGTCGTCCTCCAACACGCCCAACACCACCCACGCACCCACACCCTTCACCCAGCCCTTTCCCGAAACGCTGCGCGTCCTCGACGAGATCCTGACGGACTTCATCATCGAGACGTGCCACAATGCCGTCGGCGTGTCCGTCTACTCTGGGCGCGCCAAACTAAAACTCTCCGACTTTGAATTCGCGATCCGCAAGGACAACATCAAGCTGGGCAGAGTGCAGGAGATGTTCAAGAAGAAGAGGGAGATTGATAACAAGAAGAAACTGTTCGATACAACCGAGGGCAAGGAGGGCCAGAAGCTGGCGGTGGACGATCTGGTGAATTTGGGCGAGGTGGTGGGCGAGGAAGGCACGTCGAAGGGGAAAGGTAGGGGGAGAGGGAGGAAGAAGAAGAGGGATATAGACGAGGTGGATAACAGTGAAACGGTCAATGGAGGGGGAGTAAACTCAAAGGAGAGGACGCCCGGTGCGGACGAGAGTGGCGAGGAGAGGGCGAGTAAGAGGGCAAAAAGTGACCTTGGATGAAGAACGCAGTGGATTTCCAGAGTTGGTGTTTTATGGCTCTGACTCTTTCTCTTTCTCTAAGCGCAGCATTCATCCTACGAAACGGCATCCAGACTCTACGGAGGACAATCGGCATCCAACTGCCGAGATCCATCAGAGGCTTCTCCTGCCAGGACGATCCCGACCATACGTCCGGGGACAAAGCCTCTTTCACAACACTGACAGTATTTTGGGGAAAACTTCCTCGGGGAAATGCGAACCAATACAGCATGTCATTTGTGGAACCTCCCCAAACGGAGTCGGGTTGTCTATCTGCCCAAGCATGTGCTGTCTGGACGGCTATCATATCGGAGATCTTGGTCGAACTGTCCGACGGGATGACTGCAAAGTCATTCCGATTTCAGAGACAGTGTGGGCGTGTCGTCTCGAGCAGATCTCAACTGCTCTTTCATGCAATCATCACTCAAGTTGCTTTTGGCGTCCCTTTTGGGGGACTCGAGACTCGTGCCACCGAGCATGTGTCAACGTCTTGATGCATAGCAGCCAATCTCAGACGCGCTGACTTTTAATCCATGTCCTTAATCCATGTCCATTCAAACATTCGACACTGAGAAACTCTCTGTCCTGTTCTGCCTCGTCTGTCCACCTTGACGGTTCTGTCTGCGATCACCCCGCCCTTCCTTTTCCGTAGCACCGCTTTCACCGCCACCCATGGTCAATGCTGATGTCGCCAGCCTGTTTGACAGGTCCATCTGTGTACGGATCATGTTGGCGAGGTAGGACACAGTCAAGACGTCCTGAATGTGGTTGTTGAAATCCTTTTCGATCTCGGCAGGGTCGACTTTTGGTGCCAGGGCCAGTGTGTTGAGGAGAAACTGGCCCAGCGCAGTCGACGGCTCTGTCTCCTCCTCGATCACGTTCTCCACGTACTTGGCCACTCGGTCCAGCATGCCCAGGGTGTCTTCCAAGGATTTTTCGAGGCTCTCAATCTCGGTCAGAATGGTTGCCGTCCTGCTCTCCGTGTCCTTTGCGTATCCAACCGCCTCCAGACCCGCGCGGTCGGCTTCGCCGTAGTTGACAGTGTAAGGGATCGGAATGAATGCCGCCGAATCGGCCGCTCTCTCGGGGCTCACGCCCACGGGCGAGGAAATGTATGTTCTCACTTCGATATCTTGGCCTGGCTGGCATGACACGGTGATATGGACCGCAGGGTAGGGAAACGTGCCTTCGCCCTGGCTGCTGTAATGGTTCTGGATCAAGGCCGAAAAGGTGTTCAACTCGGAGCTCGTGGCGTACCACCCCACCAGGACCTCCTTGGGGTTCGCGCGGAGATGCAGGGCCAACATGGCCTTTTGGTATTCCATGTCCACTTCCACCTGGTCGGTCGTTTCGGTGTGGCTGACGGCGAATGAGGAGTGGACAACGATCTGAGATTCATCTGCGTCGGAGCGGGTTCCCAGCAAGGTGCCAATGACTCTCTGTTGATCTGGAGGGCGTCGAACGCAGTGGTCTAGTACGGAGAAGAGAGCCTCGGAGACCAAGGTCAGCCTATTGCTTGTATGGTACTTTTTTTCAGTCTCGACTTACTTGCGGTTGTATCACGACGCGGAGGGGGGCTGTTGTGGGTTGTGCGCCAACTGCGACAGGGCCCAGAGGCCGCGTGAGGTGTAGAAAAGCATCCTGTTCAGCCATGCTGGGCAAGACGAAAGGGGGCCGGCTGGAAATGATTTCGGTATAAAGGCTGGCCTCAGTCTTTGGCTGGCCGGTGGAAACTGGTCTGGCCTTTTGAGACTGGCGCAATGGTGGTGGTGATGGCGGTATTGCTTGGGTCTTTGAAGGGGGGGCGGGAAATTTTGGGCCACACACACACAGCCTTGCATGAAATTCATGGGCGGCGAGTGTGTGCGCTGCGCAAATGGACTGCTTCACGTGACCGGACCAAATCTTATCTAATCCATCTTAACACCGGCAAGACGGCGATATAATAAATTATTTGATATGACGGAAACAGCGCCCGCTCGTTTGGCGCTCGATTCTTCCTCTTCCTCATCCTCATCCTCAACATCTGCTTTGTTTTGACTCTCGCCACTTTTCCCACATCTTCTTCACTTCTATCATCTCGGGACCATGAGTGCCAATGGGTTGCTGCGCAAAGACCAGCTCGAGCTCAGTCTCCACGACGAGAAGAAGTTGATTGAGGAGGGCATCCTCAAGGAAGACAACCCTCTCGATTTCAGCGTCAATTTCCAGAGACTATGCGACGCTTGCAGAAGAGGCGACCTCAAACTCTGCCAGGAGATGATTCAGGAAGGGGCAAACATTAATGCAAAAGATCAATACGACTATACCCCTTTGATTCTGGTAGGTACCCTATGTTCTTGATGTCCAACGGTGCCGTTTGCCACTTGTTGGTTGGTGCACACTCCTCTGACATTGCGACCAGGCTAGCCTGTGTGGGCATTATGAAGTTGTACAGTTATTGTTAGAATCCGGCGCATTGTGCGAACGAGATACTTTTCAGGGCGAGAGGTACGGTGTCACATGGGTCCCTTGTTCTGGTGTATTCTATTGACAACCTTGCCCTAGATGTCTATATAATGCTTTGAACGACCGGATACGAAATCTCTTATTACAATACGACTATTCCAAGTCGACTGATCCTTTACAGCCGTTAGCGTCACATCTGGTATCATTGCTCACCAGGGACCATCCCAAGACTCATGACATTACCGTCGTCACCCCCAGCGAATCTTTCCGTCTGCATAAATTTATCCTGTCAGCTCGATCCCCTTACTTCCAGAGCAAACTCAGCCAATCTCCAGACACCAAACTCTGGAAACCGGCCCCCACCATCCCTCCACAGTCATTTGCCATTGCCCTGAAACATCTGTATCTCGGGGAAGTGCCCAGAGATCTCGGCGGAGGCCCAGGTACCGGGTTCACAGATTCCGAAATTTTGGCCGGTGTTGACCGGATAAGCAAACACCTAGAAATCCACAATCTTTCACAGTTAATCCTGGACAGCAATGACCGCCGCTTAGCACGACAGCGGCGCCAGGACGAAGTCCAAAGGGGTCGTGACCAACTGGAGCAATGGTTCCGCGAGAATGTCTTGAAACATGCAATCGAGGTTGAGACTTCACGAGCCGACGACGTCAAATGGGATCGTGACAATGGCATCTTCGCAGACGTGCTTCTCCGCGCCGACGAGGACGAAGACGAAGAGGAGATGGGTTCAGACCGGCAACAACTGCAACTATCTCGATCCGCCACGAATGCGCTGGGCATTCCCCTGGACCAAAAGTCCAATACATCGCGCTCCCCTTCCCGCTCCAGGAAACCACGCAAATCAAAAATCTACCCTTGCCACAAAGCCATGCTCATCCGCTCCGAATTCTTCACGACCATGTTTGAATCCTCTTTCCGCGAAGCCCAGGATACGCCGCACCTGCAGATTGTGCCTATCGACTGCAGCCCTGAGGTCCTGGAAATCATCCTGACTTTTTTGTACGCCGAGAGGGCCGATTTCGGGCTGGAAATTGCTGTGGATGTCCTCTTTGCCGCAGACATGCTGTTTTTGGAGAAAGTCAAGGCGAAAGCGGCCCTCGTGATCTCTTCGCTCGGCAGTGGAAATGCCATGGCGATGCCGAACGCCACCATCTCCCCCGAGATCGCGACGACCGAGACGAACGGCACAACAAACGGAGCCCACCACCACCCTGAAGCAGGCGAGGAGGACCTGGACATCTACGAAATCCTGCGCGCCGCCTGGCTCACCCGCGTCCAACGCCTCGAGGAGTTTGCGGCGCGCTACATCGCCTACCGCCTCGAGTCTTACATCGACGACCCGGACTTTGCAGAGCTGGTGAAAGAGTCTGCTAGTAGGATCAGCGCGAGGCAGGAAACGGATTCGATTGAACTGTTGGATGATATTCGGTACTACTTGAGCGAGCGATTCCGGTTGAGGTTCGAGGACTCGGGTCTAGAGGACGTCATGGACGAGGAGCAGGCCATCATGGCCGAGTCGCTCTCGCAGTCACAGGGACAACAAGCGAACGGAGCTACCGGCGACTCAACAACAGCAACAACAACAGCAGCAGCAGCACCTACCTCACTCCCACAATGGGGTTCCGAATCGCAACCACCCGACACACTCGCGGCGGACTCGCAGCAGAAGGGAGGATCACCACAGATTCCCGACGACGAAGGCGTAGACATGTCAATGCCCACACCGGCTCCCGCCGCCGGCGAAGGTTCAGCATCGTCCCCCGAACCGAACCCTGACTCTGTTGAGGCGCTCCTACAATCCGGCGCCGTGCGCACCCTCGACGGCGAGCTCGCGGGCGACGAATTCGCCGCCGACGCCGTCAACTACCAGATCCTGCTGGGCAAGATCGACACCCTGCTCGAGCAGTTGAAGTTGGATGCCTAAGTAATCCCCCACCCAAAAAATCCAAACCATGAGAAAAGAGCGCCAGCTATTTACTCTCTGGACTTCGGAATAAATGTCCTCTCGGGACGGATTAACAATACCGGCATTGGCATGGACGAGGGTCGGGAATGATTGCATATAAATGAAGATAGAAAATAGATGACAAAAGACTAAAGTCAACGCCACGGGAAGAACAAAGACACAGTATCATGTTCTGGCAAACCCATGCATTTAAAAACATTTCTTTTTGGGGAAAAGTTCCAAGGCAAGTACTAGCTATGGAAAGGCTCTCTTGTCGTACCTAAGTGGATCAAGCTGAATGGCAATTTGTCCCCTGTCTCAATTTTCCTTAACCGTCCTTATCCCAGCAACCCCCCACGATACACATACATGATCCTCTTCTGCCGAGCAGCAGAGCAAAGATTGATTTGCCAAGTCATGCACAACATCCCGATTCGAGATCCCAATCCAGTTCTTGATCGACTCGCTGAGCTCCAGCTCTAAGAAGCCATGTACGTGCTCGAATCGACACCGCCCTCAGGATATGGAGGCACTTGGGCGTCAAAACGCTTCTCAATCTCCTTGAGCACTGCCTCATCTTGCTCGCTGCTGACAAAGCTGATGCTCAACCCCTTCGTACCGAATCGGCCGGCACGGCCCACGCGATGGAGATAAGAGTCGGCATCAGCTGGCAAGTCGTAGTTGATGGCCAAGTTGATGCGTTCAATGTCAATGCCTCGACCGAACACGTCGGTGGCAACACAGATTCGCTTGTTGAACTCCTTGAACTCCTTGTAGCGTTTGATACTGCGGAAACGAATCAGCACACAACTTCAAGATTGTAAGTGTGCGTAGACTTACCGCTCCTCTTGACTGACACCAGAATGCACCGCAATGCTCGGGAAATTGCATTCCCGGAGCAGCTTGTCAAGCTCGGTGGCACGGAGAGTACTCTTGACGAAGATGATAACCTGGTTGAATTCGAGGCTGTCGAGCAAGTCATTGAGTTTGCGGTTCTTTTCGCCCTCGCTGAGCTTGATGGAGTATTGTTGAAGACCATGGAGAGTGAGCTTGGTCTCATCATCAACGAACACCTCGAGAGGATTTCTCATGAACTTGCGACAGATGGGTCGGATGTCCTGCGGTAAAGTCGCACTAAACATCATGACCTGTTTCTCGGTCGGAGTTGCTCGGAAGATTTCTTGGACGTCGCGACGCATGTCTGAGATAGCTCTGTTAGAAAGTGGATTTTTTTGGGAAGTTGTGATCCTAAAGCATACCGATTTGGTCCAGCATCTTGTCGCACTCATCGAGGACAAACGCCTTGACATTGCGCAATGACAAGATCTTGTCACGGACAAGGGCGTTGAGACGACCGGGTGTCCCGACAATGATGTTGGGAAAGGATTCTTTGTTCTTGAGGAGATCAATGTCCTTCTGGATTGGTGTCCCGCCGTAGAAAACAGCCGTCTTCACGTCTGGAAGATATTTGCTGAATCTTGCGTATTCGTTCTTGATCTGGTAGGCAAGTTCACGAGTGTGGCACATGACCAACACGGAACATTCGCCAGGAACAGGTTCCAGTTGGTGCAAGGTGGTCAAGACGAAGACCGCGGTCTTACCAAGACCTGACTTGGCTTGGCACAGGATGTCGACACTGAGTAAAGCCTGTGGGATACATTTTTGCTGGACTGCAGGAAATCGTTGATGTTAGACTTGATTCGGTAAAGAATGTGTGAAGACGACAAAAGAGCATCGCAGGCCGATCCGTCCATCTCCTTGAATTTGCACCTGAAGGAATGAGTCGCATCCCCCTTCATCCCACCCTGTGACTGGTTCTTTACCGGACGCCAGTAACGCATGTTCAAGCCACCATTGCTCGCGAATGTCACAACGCGGGTAGGTGGTTGGCCTGTTTGTGCGCGGAAGTGTCACCATTGGCAGCATTTTCAGCATGCCTATTAGAGCGTGGCGCAAAAGTGGCGACTCCAGAGAAGGAGGTATACTCTCACTTCTCTTCAAACTGCAACCTTGTAGGACAGTCCGTCGAAACAGCCGACGCGAGGCTGGGGCATTTTATTGCCCGCCTCTATTCGGCCGTAGAATCGCCGACCGGAGACTCTCGAATCCGTTGGAGAAGCTTTTGATTCTTGTATAATATTTCTTTAACTTTCTTGCCTTCCCTTTCTTTTCTTTTCTTGGAGATGGACGGATGCGCTCGTAGCAGGAAGAACTTTGGAGGGTGGATATTTTGCTTGCAAGAATATGGCAGGATGGATGATGAATGACTAACCCTCCGAAGGATGTTCGAAACCGCAGTCGGTGATTGCTCGCAGCAGCTCTCCTTTGAGCAGGAAGTCTCTGAAGCCGGTCGAGTGGATGCCAACGTAGCTGCCTTTTCCCTTGTCGGTGGTTTTGCCTCCGCTGACGGTCAGATCGCCTTTCTTTGCGGCACCGTTGGTCGCGCCGGCCGCTGGGGCCTCGGGTGCTTGAAGTTCCTCGTCAGAGTAGTCGATGAGATCCTCTTCGGCGGACATGGTGAATGGTGTATTTTTGGCTGAGGCTACGAGCGAAGGCCAAACAGGGGTGTGAGAGGTTGAGGTGAGGTAAAGGGTTGGTTCAACCGGGGAAGCAAGAGCAGCGGGTGAGGGAGGATAGTGGTAGGGAGCAGAACCAGTCAAGGTCTGTGAGATACGCGACAAGAGTTGGAAAGTCTGATGAAGACGGCGAGAAAAGATGGATGAAGGGAGAATACAAGATGAGAAAGATGCCTGCGCAGGAATGTTCCAGGGTGTTTTTCTGCGGCGGAAGGGGCCAAGGCGAGCAGCGGCACTGCAAGGCAACCTCGACGCCAAGACCCACAATGCTTAGTCATCATCATCATCGCCTTCGACTTGAGGTTTGTCGCGGCGAAAAAGTCCCAAAAGTCTCAAAAGTCCTTCCTCGTACTATAGAGGGTGTGACTCACACTCAACAAACCAAAGCCAGAGCCATGTGAGTTGCTACCAAGTCTCCTCGAGGATGCGGCACCGAGATCATGCTTGAAACCCCCCGCGAACACCCAGTATGGGCAAAGCAAAGCCCTCAAAGGGAGACTCCCATGTGCCACAAAAACACCTTCACTCCAGACTATCCTATCTCCACCAGGCTGCCACATATTTAGCAACAGTCGGCAATCATGACGAACCGCAGAAAGCTGCCGAATCTGCCAATTGCACGTCTTCTGTGGCGAACAAGGATGTGACCACGCACAATTCGATCGAGGCTACGCGACTACTGATGCACCTCCGGGGAGTCTCTCGAAAGTCACAGATCCGGCTTGCACCAAGAGTGAAACATTCAATCTGCAAGCGCTGCGATGCACTCCTGATTCCGGGGGAAACAATGACAGAGAAGATCGTCAATCCGAGCAAAGGAGGCAGGAAACCATGGGCGGATGTATACCAGATTCGTTGCGACACATGCGGGACTATCAAACGGTTTCCTTGCCCAAAGAAGTCGGCTCAGACCAGGCAGGAAGACTCAAAACCTGCTGCAGAGGCTAGCCCAGAATAAACATTCGCATTGATCCCAAAACAGCCATTTTCACGCCTCAAATTCCAAAGTTGCCCATGCCTAACCGTGTCTGTTTTGCGGCCTGAGCCACGACATCTCTATCGGATGTAACCCGTTCAGAGCGCATGAGATCGAAGAGCTCGTCATTACATGCCTCCCAACGCCCAAAGATCAAAGTTTTCATTCAAACAAGCACAGCAAAAAGTCCCACTCAATACTCGTACATTCATCAAGCATGACCTCGTTAACCAGTGACCTGCCGTGAGGCTTCCATCTTTGCATTCGCCGTCGAAAAGGTGGTAAAACAAAGTTGAGACGCCCGGGACGAGGGTGTCCAGGAGGAACCTGACCCTTCCCATGCTGCGAGATGTGGTCGAGAGAGTATGCTCCCCCGCGTCCCAGGCCTTCGTAGAATTATAGTTCCTTGTAAAGTTCAGGATCGGTCAACGTCCCGATAGACCAATTGCACATCAGCGCCGAGGTCGTGCTCCGCCAGAGCTGTGGCCGCTTGGGCGAGAGCGATCGAGTCTGTCACTCAGCTCATCCACGTTGTTGCGGATGCCCTTTATCTTGTCCCGAATCCGCTTGGTCTTCTCAAAATCTTCTTCGAGCTTGTCGATCTCAGCTATGATGCGCCGCATCCTGGCGATCTCGTTATCTGCATTCTGCACGGTGCCTCTAGCCTGGTTACTGGAATTGCTGACCGACTGTTCGGTTGCATCTTCGAGCTATACGACGGTCAGTTCATGTGCGGCAAATTCGGGCAGAGCCAGGCTGAGAAGCATACCTCACCAATTCGCCGCTGGATAGTCCTCATCACACTCTCCAGGTGCGCAAGTAAAGTCTGCAGACTATGAGGATCTAGCATAATCCGCCCTGGGACACTCTGGCTACTGGCGGCACTGACCGCACGGGAGCTGGGCTGCGACTGCCTGCTAGTGCCACGGCCACGGTCGGGCATGCCGCCTTGATGACTTCGCTGGGCCAGGATTTGTTGTTGTTGTCGGAGGAGAAACAACTCGGATTGAGTTAAGCCCAGAACGGAGTCGGCGACTGACTGCGCGGACATGGACGTCCCGGGCGGGCAGCAGAGACAGCAGTGAAAATGACCAATCTAAGCGTTGAGGCAGGTGAGCTTCGACAGGTACCCGTGGTGGTCAAACGGCACATAGCAGTTCTGAGAGCTGATAGGTTTGCGAGAAGCCGTCAGGCGTGGTGCAAGAGCCACCAGACAGCGAACGAGCTGCGAGATATGGCAGTCGGGATGAGCCTGGTCATTGTAGCTTGGAGGTATCGATGGGCGCGTGGCTAGCGACCGCAGAGCCTCAGGTTTGGCGAGGCGCTCGCAATCTCTCAGTCTCAAACAGCCGGTTGGCTGGAATTTTTGCTTCTTTTGCTCTTTTTCTCCTCTCTTCACCCCTCCCAGGATCCCGGCGGCTGGTGGTGGAGAGTCCCTATTTAACGGTGAGCGGGCGGGTTGGGTCAGCTCATGCCAAGAGGGGTAGGACAACGGTCGGCAGAGCAGTTCAAGTTGATGAAAAGCGTGCCCAGAGGAGCAGCAGACTAGAACCAGGAGACGAGACTAGGCGCGGAAACGGCAACGGGAGCGGGGACGGCGACGGACGAGACGGTTGAGGAGGAGTATTGTTTCATCGCCTGCAACGATGACAAGGCGGAGGTGTGAGAGATTGGAGACTGACGCAGGGTAAAGGAGAAGACGAAAACAACAATGAAGCTGCTGAGCTGAGAAAGCGAGAGAAAAGAGGAGCGCGGCTATCGCAGCGCTGTTGGGTCAGTTGGGTCAAGTAGGGTCAGTAGGTACTTCTCTTGATGGGACCTCAGCAGCTACGCAGCCTAGTGCCTGGCTAAGGATGGTGAGGAGCAACAAGGACAAAGAGTGATCGTGGGGACAAGCAGGTGACCGACCTTGACCGTGCCGCGGGATGGGCAGAGAATATGTTCGATTGGCTCCGGAGCTCGTGGTCTTTGTTTAGTTTGGTAGAGGAGGATCATTTTCGTGGGGCATGGATGGAAGAGAGCGAGTAGCAGCGAGGCAAAGGGACAACCCCCATGTCGTTGGATCTTGATTTGAGCATTCCGAGAACCAACCCGTGAAGGTGAAGGGGAAGCGGGAGGGGAGCGAAAGAGAGAGACGGAGAGAGAGGCACCCAGAGAGGTGGAAGGGCAGAGAGACCAGACTCCAGAGAGCAGTGAGGCCCTTGCCCTTGTCGCCTGGCTCTATCTTAGTAGCACAATGAAGATGTGAAAAATACCCAAGTACCAGGTAATTCTCTACCATTTATCTACCCTCCCACCTAAACACCTGCTGTCTTCTAAATCGTCTCAACCAGCCTCATTGTCTCTTCCTTTACGACCAAGCCCTGAACTCCGTCTCAGTATATTCAGGGCGTCGGCTCACAGAGCAAACGACTAGTACCACCACCTGCTGCCCTGCTGGTGACAACTCGCAGCAGCTCCAATTACCATTGACTGATTTGACTGATTGACTGAACTGGTTCTCGAGGGCAGGCCTAGCCGTTCATGCAGGAGTCAACGCTTCTCAAGAGGTAGCTGCATCTGCCACTGCAGCGCTACTGCAACCCACCCTTCTTTTTGCATCCTGCGAGCCTCTTGATCTCTACCCTGCAGCAGACCCGGTAACCCTCCTGGATCCTGCTTCTCGGGTTCGTCTGCCTCTGACCGGTGAGACCCAATGTTTCATGGGTGCAAACGTGACACCGACTGCAATCAATCACGTCTGGCAGCTCCCTTTAGTCAATCCCGCCCTCAACTTGCATGATTTGTGCTACTGCACGCGCCTGCGGCACCGGCCGATCTTTTTTAACATCTGACGTCGTTGTTTGCAGGTCGAGAGTTTTTAGTCAACGCCCATCAACCCAAATTCCCCCTACCGTTACCTGTCCTTTGGGTTTTCAAATACCATTCCCCGCCCAATGGCGAGAGACAAGGAACGATCTGTCAATCCTGCGCAACAACAGCGCAAGCTCGAAAAGGCGAAACAGCTGAAAAAGAGTCGGGCGGAGCTACAGGCAAGGCGCAATGAAAAACTCGCCCGCCGAAACCCCGAGCGCCTCCAGCGCCAGATCGATGACCTCAAGGCTCTCGAAGCAGCTGGGGATATCAAACCCAGAGAGCGTGCCATTCTAGAAGACTTAGAACGAGATCTACGCGCCGTCAGAAAAGCAAGGGAAGCTCTGGGCGACAAAGCGCCAAACTTTGCCGGACAACCACGCCGACGGGAAGGGGAGGGCAGTGGCACTACATTAGGCAAGAGAAGGCATGATGGCGAGCGCAAATACCAACATTCGAGACAAGAGTCGTCCGGTAGTGACACGGATGAATCTGTCCGCCGCATTCCTATGCCAGAAGATACACCACCACCGATCCCGCGGGAGTTCAGGCGCCACTTCCCGCGCAGGGAAGACGGTGACAATTCTCAACAAGCGACGGCGACGGCACCGCGCAGACCATCACTACCCACCAAACCCGGAACGAAGCCCATAGAAGTGAAAACCACATACGAAAGTGCTCCGCAGATCCGTGATCTCCGCAAAGAGGCCGTCAACAGGTTCGTCCCGGACGTTGTACGCAAGAAACAAGAGGCCGCAAAAGGCGGGCCCACGGGCCGCCTGATCGAGCCAGAAGAGATGGATCGACTCGAAGCCGAGGGCTATCTGGGGAACCAGGCGAATGGCGGCAGGACAACAGACACCGCGAGAACTGCGGGTGGTGATGACATGGATGTCGACGACGAGAATGCAAGGCGGCTTGCGGAGGAGGAAGAGCGCTTTCTTCGCGAGGTGGAGATGCAGCAGATTCAAGAGGACCCAGATGAAGAGAGGCGTCCCAGAAAGACTGTGGAATCACGGCCTGTACCACGCAGGAACGTCGAGATTGAAGAAATCGAGGATGAGGATGCGTGAGAGTCTAAGCCAGGCACCCAGGTGGCCTGCGAAGGGAGAGATGAGAATGCATGAGGAATTTTAAGGCCTGACAGCAAGGTTCTTCCGACGAAGCTGTATACAAGAAGTCGCTGTTCTGATCCCCATTTCCGCTTACAACTGCACAAGAGACTTGCTTTGATGTTAGACTCGGGAGGTCAAGCACATACACAGAAAGCAATGTTTATCCAAAGTGATGATGCGCGACGGCCCATCAAGACTATGTATAAGTCCCGTGCAGAGCAGACGGACGGGCAACTAGAAGACGCTCTTCCAGTTTGATCAATCCAACTCCCCATCAACCAACAGAAGCCCCTGGACCGCGTCCTTCAACGATGTCTCAAACGCCAAACCGCCATGGTTGTTTCCAGAGTGACAGTCATGCGCACGCTTTTCCAACATAGTCATTGGACCTTCTAAAACCAAAAGAAAAAAGCTCAAAAAATCTGTACAGGCGGCATTCACCCCATCTCGAGAAGCTTGGGTATGTCAACAATTGCCTCGAAGCAACAATTTGGGGTGTTGCACTGCCGTTCTTCATCGTCGGTTCAGAGACTCTGGGAACGCTGGAAAGCCAGATCCCAGACAATGATACATCAAATGTCATCCATGTCCGACCATATGCAGTCAGATCCACTCTCTACGTTGTCGCATGATCGTCGTTATTCCAGCCACTTGCATCGTAACCACAAGGGTCCATAATCACCGCATAACCCGCACAGATTTGACATCTTTCTTCAGGAAAGGACTCGGCATCTCATCCCCAAATATTTCAGGATCCCAGACCGGAACAGGAGGTAATTCTTTTTCGCTTCTCTGTTCCGGGATGGTCTTGACCTTTGTATTCAGGTGGCCTCCAGCCCGCGCCTGAGCGAGTTCGACCAGAGTTCGGCCTCCGATGCTGGTGCCAATGGCAGCATCTCGGCCGCCCCCAAGCTTACTAGGGAGCCGACCAGCTGTAGTTGCTGCTCGTCTGAGCGGACTAGTGCTTCCTTCCTCAGCAATGGCGTGCTCTCTGAGGTCGTTTCGGCTTGGAATCTTGCTGAGCCGTCGATTCGGGCTCGTAGGCTTCACTGCCACGGATCGCAGATCGCCATCTGTGGCATTTCGTGGGATACCTTTGATGGCATTGGCGCTATTTCCAGAAGCGATTCCTGCGATTCCTGCCCTCACCTGTGCTGCTGTGTTGCTTGACGGGAACAGAGTTGGCTTTGCGATTAACTTCTGCATAGTGGCTGTCGTATTCTGTCTCAAGATGCCTGGTCTATTCTTCAGCGGCAAAGGTGCAGGGTTCTTGAAGGGATCAGTGTTGGCAATGTTTCCCTTCGCCCTCGTGGGACTTGCTAATTCAGGGAATCCATCATCATCATCCGAGTCATCTTGGGGTTCGATGTTCTCTTCGTCGGATGAATAAGCTAATTGTGGCTCCCACCGAGCCTTTTGGCGTGCCGCTTCGGCAAAGAGGTTCTTCGCACCTACAGCAGTGACTGTCGGGTTGGCGGTCGCCTGTGCTGCGGCGTTTCGACGGGGGGAGAGTGCCAAGGAAGAGATGGACATCGGTGATGGCTCTGACATCTGAATATCGACCGGAGAGTCAAAGGTGGTCTTGGACCGAGCAAAAGGTGTTTTTGTCTTCTTGGGCATTGACTTGGTACTCGCGGTCGGCGAGTTAAGTGAAAGGTCCGATAGGTCAGTGATATCTGTTGTTGACGGGAAATCTTCTTCGCCGGCTGTGTTGATTGATGAAGAAGGGTTTACGTTCTCCTTGTCGAAGGCTCTCGCAGGGGGGTTTTGGATCTCTCTCAGTGCTCGAGTTTCTGTTGAGTGCTTCTGCTTAACCAGGACTTGTGCCACACGATCGTCGACCTCCCTGTCGAACTTCTTGCGGAGTCTTTCCAGCTCTAATTGAACTTGTCGGTCAATTTCAAGTCGTGCTTTGACCTCCCACTCGCGACGAAGCTGGGCGTCAATCTCCACCTTCAACGCAGCTCTATCTGCTTCGAGGGCAGAGAGTCTTTCTTCAGCCTGTCTGACCTTATGCTCTGCGATTTCCTCTCTGGTCTTCAATGTCTTTCCTATCGTGACCATCTCTTGCTGCCTCCGAGCGAGCCATACATAAGGCACATTTAACAGCGAGCTCGTGTCCGGCCGATGCATTGGATTCGTCTTGAGGCAGTTCGCGATGACATTCGCAAGATCTTTTGAGTAGATGGATGGAATCGGTTTGAAGTCTCCCTTTCGGATACGCTGAACCAGTTGCAGGTGGGAGTTTGCGTTGAACGGTGGCTCCTTGGTGCAAAGTTCATACATGATGCATCCTAGTGACCATATATCTGAATACAGAGTGTATTTCTCGGCTGCACAGATCTCTGGTGACATGTAAAAGGGTGTTCCCACATAGGTCGAGGCAAAATCGTGCGACTGCATAATCTTCGACAGTCCAAAGTCGCCGAGTTTCACGGACTGGTCTTCCCCCAGGAATATATTCTCTGGCTTGAGATCTCGGTGTAGGATCATTTTGCCTTTGTTGAGGGGCCGGGTGTCGTTCTGTCTTGAGAAGTCGCTTCCAGGTTCGGGCGGGTCGACTCCGTAATGGCAACGGTACAAAGCCGTGACCAGTTGGCTGAAGATCCTCCAGACAAATTCTTCCTTTGCGTATTCGCTCTTGCGTTTGAGTTCTTTGATGACACAGCCTAGATCACCACCACCACAATATTCCATGTACAGGTATAGCTCTTGGGTCTGTCTGAGATGCTCGCGATGGAAGTATCCGACAATGTTGGGGTGACTGAGAGAGGCCAGGATCGAGAATTCTGCATGTAGTTGGTCACGTTCCTTTTGAGACATCTTGAGGTAGTTGATCTCCTTGCGGCACAGGATCTATGAAGCGTTAGACAGTAGGACAACAGGCCACCGGAAGTATGGAGGCGTACGTGGCCATCTTGTTTTCGACGAACTTTGCGAATGATTCCGAATGCACCACGACCTGGACTGTCAGCAGGAAGAAGCAAAAGCGACCGGGCAGGGAAAAACATACCAATGACTTCCTTGACCTCGTACTTGTCGTTGTCGGCAAGTTCGAGGGCCATGGCGACTACCTTGGGAAGCGATTCGAGAGGCAGGCGCAATCAACGAGGACTTGTCCGGTTATGGTAGAAGCATTCCCGATGCATGGAACTCCCAGTGCTGTATCGAAGAGCAAGAGTGCTCAATCCACGAATGTCGCAATGAATGTTAGAGATGGACTGTCTAGATGAACAAGTTAATGTGTGTGTGTGTGTGTGTGTGGGCGAGAGAAACCAATGCTCGATATTTACCGGTGCGTTGCGGGGCAACGAGCGACGATGTCATTAACCACTTTCACCATCACAACATCCGCCATTAGGTACCAGTACAACAATGTCACTCAACTGCCTTCGCTCACTCTAAAACTCACCCAATAATTGGGGAAGGAGAGGCACACACCACAGAATACAATTTGGTGTGTTCCTGGAACTACAAACCCGAAAAAACTCGTCACTTATGCCACAACGCAGTTGAGTGCCCCCAAATCACGTGCCGACACCGTATCTCTGCAGCAGAGGCCATCCGCCATAATGCATAGGGCTGATGGCAAATGGAGTCCGGCAATGCTCAGGTCAGTCTGCTTTGGTCGCGGATTGCTAGATCAGTCTCATTCTGGGTCTGGTAAGCACCACTCACGGACTTAGTGTGAGACAGCAGCTGGGATTCGTATCCTATGGTACTGTGGTCCGGACAGCCAAACAGTGGACTGTGGGTCAGGATCCGAGGTGTTGCAAAAGCCATTTAACAAACTGGCCCTTCGCATACCCAATATCGGCGGCTGCGAAGTGAATAGCAAGCATCCTTGGCCGGTCAGAGAGGGAGGTGAGCAGCAGCAGCAGCACACCACCACCACCACCACCACCACCATGCACTATCACTCTGCCTCAACAAGTTGAGTCAAGCTTTTGCAACACCGCCCTTGACTTGAGATGAAACGAGGGCGCGCTGCATGGAAAGGTAGAAGGGGAATTCAGCAAGCGCACTGGAGAGAGAGCGCGTTTCTCATCGGGATCAGGCGACGGGCATACGAAACCCTGGAAAACCACGCAGCGGTGCACCTCGCATGCGTCGCCTGCTCCTGCAAAATATGGAACGAGACTGGCGCGGATTTGCTTTTTTTTTGATCGCTGCGAAAAAAGCAAGGACTTGACACTCCCTATTCCTGATTGGAATTCAGGTACTGAAGACACTTGAGCTGCTTGATTAGGATGCCTAGGTGCCCTAGGAAATTAGTGACGATCTTACGAGTATGAGGATCATCGTTGCATGAGCCAGACGTTGCTCACAATGTGAAGCCATTAGCCACAGACCGAACAGCCCAATGTCCACCTTGAGAAAGGTCAACCCACGTTGCTTAATGGAAGACGTCGAGTCATGGGGCTCCCTGATGATTAAGGCACATGAAGATCCCGTCGCAAGATAGTCGATCAGGAAGGTCAAATACGAGTAGTCGTTACGGGTGTGGTAGGTGTGAGGGCCGGGCCCGCTGCCTTGCGAACTTGGGAGTCAAGACGCCCATCATCAAAATCGCAGGCAGTTTACCCCGAGCGGCTTCCATGATGGAAGAGCATAGATGATCATCACCCGGGAGTCGGGACACACCCAGCCTGGTTGGAGCTGGCGTGGATCTGCGTGGCCTGTACTCCGTAACGGTAAGCCGCTATTGTTCTGGGTTATGGCTATTTGTTGGCACTGCATTGCCGCAGATCGTCACGGTTGATCGTCGGTGACGGCTGCATGCACTGCTCGTATTTCCCCTTAACCAGCCATGCTCGTATGAAAAACAAATCTGGTCGTCTTCCTCAAGTGACCCGGGAAGCGTCTTGAAGTGTGCGGGCAATGGAGCGAACTCTGCGGCGCTTCAAGTCTCTGGAGATGAAGCAGGACCCTCCCTTCATTGGACGGTTTCGTCAAAGACATCACGGTTTGCTACTCGTACAATCACCCAACACAATGCCCACCAGCCTCCATTGACGAGGATGATCTTTTCGCGCGGCTGCCGGCGCCTTCAGTCAGCCAGCCACGGCCAACACCTGGGAGCCTCGACAGGATGCGAAATTTCATCTCGGCTTTGGATGCATGCTTCTGGGAAATTCTGTACGTCAAACCAGACCGGGGCTGGTCAAGGTTGAGGGGGAGAGTTGGATCGGTCGAGCGAAGAGGCCCACAATGCAGTTCTCACCTCCTCCCGTCTCACGGTTATTCCTGCCAGACAATGTGCTCTGAGGTGAAGTTTTCGGGGACCCGGGGATTTCGGGCTTCTAACATGACATGGAGAGCCGCCATGGCTGCACTAACCGAATTGGTTGAGGAGGGGATTTCGTGAGACCGCAAGGGTGCGATTCTGAGGCCTGGGCACGCTTGCTAATCGCCAGCCGATGGGAGTGGACTCCGTTTAGCCATGTCAGCCTGGAAGGAATCGGTCCCGGTAAGCTTGGATTTGGCCTGCAGGTGATCGAAATGAGCATTTGTAGTGACAGGCCTATGCTCAGTCGGAAACGCCTTGTTTCAGTGGCTGTAGGTCCTTGTATCATCCATCTGGTCTGTGCAGAGGTTTGAACAAGTTTGACATAAAGAAATCATATATATATGTGGCCTGATTGTTGACAATAACAGGCCTCTAGCTGGCTGCGTGGCCCTGTCGCAGATCACAGCGGGATTCAAAGGGGGACACAAGCGGCTCTGTGAAGACAGGCCCTCCACTTGGCACCGGTACTCATGTGTCTTGACCTCACTGAGCCTAGTAGAAAATGAGCAACAGAGGTGCTAAAGCAAGCCAAGCGGATTCAACACTGAACAGGTCTCGAACCGGGTTAAGAGGTGGATATCAGAAGTCTTTCTGCTTCTTGGGGTGGGAGAAGGATGGCGTGCTCAGTTTTCTAGGCTGGGAAGGCTGGCTTTGAGGATGATCAGGGGAGCTTCTACTCACAGAAAGTGGAACCAGAAGAGCAACCGTCCCAGGGATGGCTGCCACGTGGAAATGTTAGCGGGGAATGAATCCCGGCTGGCTTGAACGGCCTTGTCCATCACGTCTTAGCTTGGTGACGGATTCCCTAGCTGCTTGAGCCTTGAGGCGCTTGATCACAGGAACTTGCCAGGATTCGTGACCTGTCACTTGAAGGAGTGACCTGCATGAGGAAAGGCGCAATGACTAGTAACTGAATACAAGGTTCATTGACAAAAGTATGCATCCAGAACCCGGTCCTCTGTACGTGCCTGTGAAGTTGAAAAGGATTCAGGCTCCCTACTAGATGAGAGCAAAGCCATTGAACAAACAAGCGGGCGCCTAGGGTTGGAAAGTGAGAAGGACCCACGAAACAAAAAAGGTGCAGTACCTAGTGATGACCACGACGGTCTGAGACCGACATGCACAGGTTTGCTCTCAGCGCTTGCTCTCGGAAGGATCTTCAAGTCCCTCGTGCTGTAACCCCAGGTGCAGCAAGGGCTTGACCAAAAGCTCTCCATGACGGGGAATTGTTGCTGAAAATCCAAAACATCGCGTTCGACCGGTTCGAGCAGTCAGTCCTCCGGCAACAGAAGGGCACAGAAGGGCACAGCTAAAATATTAGCCCATAAATCTTCGGCTTCTCCTGAGCGCCAGCGCTTGTCGGGGCTCCACGAAGCTCGGAACATTTCGCTTCTAGAAGGCTGGTTTCAGGCAAGCCTGAAATATGGTCCAAACCTACCTAGGTAGTCCGGTACGCGACTTTTGTCAGAAAACAGTCGAGAAAGCTCCCAATTATTCTGGTGTGGATTCCGAGTCGGGTCTTGATGATCCATCATAATTCTTAGAACCACTCTGGCCCCCAATCCGGCTGCCGAGGCGAGCTGTGCTCAGCAAACAAGCTTGAGGGGGATCACCCGGGATGGCATTGGACATGGAGTGCATAGGTAATCGTACGAGTAGCATTAGGGAGCGCAACTCACCCACATAGCAAAACCATAATGTTGACGGTTCTGTTACTTCGGTACCTCGTATGGGTACCCCGTTGATCATGTCATGAAGGGGGCTTCCGTACCTGGCGATCATGGCACTTCGTTTCGAATGGCAGTTGAGGTTGCTACACCTGGCTGGAGCATTAGTAGGATCGCCCGCCACCGAGAAGGTGTGGGTGAGAGTGGCCTTCGTATTGACGCCCTCTTCTTCGAGTTCCTGGGCAACAGACTCTGGGGATCTCGCAGTCCTTTCCTAGTCTTGCCTAGACTGTCCAACACCCACGGGAGTTGCGTCGAGTCAGTGACCCTGAACGTCGATCGCAGAGGTGAGAAAAGAGCGCTTTCAGATTAGACTGGGGCTGTCAGACCAGCTTCTAGTTGGCCAGTTGTGGATTTTTGAACAAAGGAGGAACAGAACACAACAACAACCCACATGGCTGATCTCAGATCCGTTTTTGACGGAAGGGGAGGCCTGAGTAGATGATCTTCGGATGCAATTCTATCCTGTGACTCTAACTACCTAAGTCACAACACAGATCACAGATCACAGGCCACAGTTATCAGGAATTGTCTAGAGTCGTTCTGGAAGTATTACCTAGGTAGCAATTGCACCCGTTCTACCCGCAATGCAGAAGTTAATCCAACACTCTTGTGTCTAGGTCTGCGGAATATTCGAGGCAATACGAGGATTTGACGAATTCGGAGAAAACGGTCTCCGGGGCAAAGGATTCCTGGGAAGAAATCAAGATCGTCCGCATAGCGCTTGTTAGCTTGTATCAAGATTGATTTGGGGAAAGTCTGAAGCAAACCAGATGTACGAGGACAGGACAACCATGTTACACGAGACTTAGTTGCCACGTGGTCGTTGTGAGGATTGAGGGCGAAGAAGGAAGAGATAGGTCCAAGGGTGCCCAACAAGCCCAACCTACCTTAGGTAGGTACGTACTGTTCGCCTAAAGGGGCTTGTTAGGGGCTTTTTGAGGGCTTGACCGTTTGTTCCCCGTCCTGAGTCCTGACCGTACCGTCCATATGCTTTGAGGCGTTGGTTGCCGACCCAGAAGCCATTGTCTTTGTGCCTTTCTATCAGCACCACTCTAACGGCGGTGCGTCGGTGTGTCATTTGCAGTACCCGCCGAGTCCGCGGAAACAGTGTTCGTTGAATCTAGACCACCTAGGTACCTATGTAGGTAAGAAGAAGCAGGGTGCAGGCGCTGACAAAGCCTCCTGCAGGCCTTGTTCTTCTGTGCAACATGCCTCGTAAATTCGATGTTGATTTCACCCAACACCTCCCCTTTTGGCAATCGGGGCAATATTGTGCGCGCTGAGACAGGCATCCGGTCGCAATAATAATAATAGCATGGGGCTACCAGGGGCGGCAGTAGGTGTGCAGCCTAGGTTTGATTTGAACATCTCGCGTGGCTTTCCCACGTTGCACGGCGATTTTCTATTCCGATAGATACCGTTGGGCGACGAACGCAAACCTCAAACCGCCGGTGAGAAGGCGGAGCGCAAGGGGATGTGTCCTTTTCATCTCGCATTCACACCGTGGTCCGCCCAGGGCAAGGACAGAGTGCCCCGCAAGCGATCGCAGATTTTAACCGCGTCGCGTGGTGGAGGTGCTGAGACAGAGGAGAGCGACAGGGAATAAATTCCTGTGCAGTGATAGCCGGCCGTATCAGGAAGGTCACCGTTCGGGAGCTGCATGGGAAATGACGAGGAGGTCACTTGGTGATGATCAAACAGCTCTATGGCCCCCATGTGCAACACGATCGACACCGCGTGGCTGGCGACGACCAGGATCCTGACCTCCACTGGCAAGCTTGATTGGATGACACCCCGAATGACGCCGCTGCTTCGGAACCATCAGGGGGGCCATTGCCCACCCATCCGCCAAGGAAAAAATGAACATGGGGGATGAACAGAAGAGAACACAAATGACCTGCTTGCCAAAGATGGGAGACGGCTATGTAGCTAGCTGCTCTTGCTTGTTGCTTACCTCCCTCCTCTCTATATTCGTAGCTCTGAAACAATAGCCGATTTGAGGCCGCGTTGAGTATGGGACGGCACTCGGTGGCATCCCGGAGCGCAAACACTGGGGATGGCCAGCGGAACGGTAGGTAAGTCTCTTTTTCTGTCATGGTGCAGATCTCTCCAGCGTGCAAAGCGACGCGCGATGCAAGGATACCAGGGCAAGCTCTTAGTGTGTATGTAAAGACACCAGATGTTTCTTCATTGGCAGCGTTGGACCAGGTCATCAATAAGCGAGTCAGTCCAAGGCGAGGCACTAGAGTGTCTTTATGCGCATAATCTCCGATTGAAGCTCATTGGACTGGGTGATCAGGACTCTTTAAGCGAGTCCTTCGGAAGCCTGATGCGGTGTGTTTCCAGATGGTCCATGTCGACACTGCCAGCGCTTTGATGGATTTTTTTTGGGCGTCTTGCTCACCCTACTGAATCCGAGGGAAACTGGGTAAAGGTCATTTTCAGACATCTCGTGAAGGAAAAAGGGCAAATAATGAGCGAGAGAGACGGAGGCGGTACTTGTACTCGGTACGAGAAAGAATGTTTGCCTTCCAGTCAGTACTTGTCTTCGGCAGGATCGAGCGTGTACCTGGTGTGCGGAGTCCAAGCACATGGTTCTGTAAATGGCAATCCCCCTTTCCACGGAAAGCTTCGGAAATGATGATTGGTTTTGGCTCGAATGCCAGGGACAGTCGCTGGTCAGGGCGGGCAGATGGGGGTGTGAAGAAGTAGGTAGTTGACAAAGTCCCATGTCCTTTGCTGCACGGTTTCAGAGTGCCACTTTCTCATTTCCCATGGAGGGAGCAAGTGTTGGAAAGCCTAGGTTTGGTTCAGGGCAGCCTTGCAAGCTGGAATACGAGAAGCTCGTACAGTGGTAATCGCATCGCAACCTTGCGAGCAACAGGGTTTACGGTAGGTAAGGTGAGGGAGAACGAGGCAACCGTTATCTAATCGCATCGAAGTGACACAAGACCAAAGGGGCTTCGTCGCCCTTGGCAGGCCTCTGGGCCAGGGTTTAGCCTCCCTCAGGCTAGTCTGGGCCTCGCTGCAGAGCCCATTGCTCGTTCTCATGCCCATGCCCATACCTAGGGACCCATGCCCATGTGCTTGACCAGTAAGTGGCCACCAGCAGGGCCCCCGGTCCCTGGAAAAGGCACCTCCACTCGCTAGCTCGAGACTAATGGTTTGCCGCTTGATCGTCTGATCGATTTTGATCGTGGTTCGGCACCCACCAGGGCCACCACCACCTACCACCATCCACCCCAGGGGCCTCAGCCTGGGCGCGAACCCCGGGAGATCTCTGGGAGCGGTTTGTGTCCAGCTCTATTTTGCTTTTTGTGCCCGCGAACCTCGAGCCGTTCAGGGAAAGCACAACATGACCCTAAGGCCTGCCTCTGTTTCCTGTTGGGCAGCCTCTCTCGCTTAAGGAATAAACAAAGATACTTCCTTGTACCGAGGACACTTGCTACATTGGCTTTTTACCCAAACTGCCCTGTGTTCTGCAAAGCCTGCCATTGGACCTCCTGCCATGACAGCAACAACTTGGAACTTACAGGACTGTACCTACGGACCGAGTAATACATTGTTGCACAACTCGTGATTGTGGATGGAATCCAACCTGTTTCTCTTGATGGATCTCGGGAAGTTTGCTAAAGAAAGCCACCCTTCCCACTCTTTCTCCCCCTCCCTTAGTGATTCCTTCGGCGCCGTTCCGAATTGGCCTCGAATGCTCTCCTCCCCCCAAAATAAATGCCTGCGCCAGCGTATTACATGGATGGAGCACTTGTATTCCCAACCCCGGTATCGCTGATCATCCCCCGTGCTGCTGTCGTGCAGTCGGTTGCTGGTGAGTCGATTCACGCCATTCCATTTTCCCTCCCTACCAGGATCCCCTTCTTCGACTTGCACAGTACTACCATCCCGACTCGACCAGACACCAACCCGTCCTTTCGCCAGAGCTACACTCGACACTACTGTATGCTTTCTCTGAGACTGGGTTGATTTCACTCGCTCACCACCTTGCCTGCCGCGCAGGACCATCCTTCTCTCAATCTTAGCTCACCAAGCCGTCTCCCCCAGGTGCGCCAGTGACGCCACCTCAGCCGTTCTTGGGCCAGGTTGGGCTTTTTCGGGAGTTTACTACGCACGCACCACCCACACGAGGAGGCCCAGCAATCCACAGCCATACAGGTGACGACGGTCGTGCTCCCATGCACCCTCCGAGTCCGGAAACGGTCAGCAGTCGCCATGGTATAATGGAGACCTGGTCTTGCTGGTCTTGACGGCCCCGAATACCCACTCCCCAGGCCTGTGGCCGCTCATCCATCCCACTCCTACGCCTACTGTGGCTTTAAACTCACTTTCCGCCCACTTTTGATCTTCACCCAAGCCCGCACATCGTACGCCTTCAGGTTGCCAAACCAGGCACCGGTGCTAGGTGGACGCAGGACAAGATATCCCTTCAGGCCACTGCCTTGGATCAGTGGAGTGAAATAGCCCGTGGCCAGCCGACCCTCCCAGTACCTCCCAATCACTCACTGGAAACCACCGAAACGAAAAATACATTCAATCCCCCGTCCTGTTCTCGTCGATCTTCACCTACCGTACCCCTCGGCTCCGGAAGCGCCCTGCTCATCGTTATTGTGGCCCTCTCCAAGGACCGCCCGCCCTCTCCGACACTGTCGCTTGCCTTAGTATCCCTTTTACAACACAAGCGAGCTGTTCGTCGATTTGCTCGCGGACAGACGATCCAGTCCTTGGAAAATACCCTGGGCTGTTTGCTTCGCTCCCACTGCAACGTCACCACCCTGATTCCCACCGACCAACCTTTTCCTGATCCTTCATCAGCCAATATCTTCCTTCCTCCGTCTTTTGTAACCCTCCCCGCGAGTAGACAACGATCATCTCTACTGTCATCAGTGTACCTACCATCCACGGTGCCAGGCAGGCAAGGACTTGTAGATCCCAATCCTATCTCGATCTTGTGTGGACGACCCCCATTACACCATCCTTCGACCCTCGAGCCGAGCAAAGGAAAGCCTACGCAGACTCCGCTTTGTACCAGTCATCCAGTTCTTCCTTCAGAAAACCTGAAAGAATAGTCGTGGATCTTTCTTGTCGTTCAATCAGCGTCACAGTACTCGCTGGCATTGCATACTCCGTCGACGGGGTTGGATCACAGATTTCGAACACAATAAGTCTGCCACAGGCCCCTTTGCCGACATCTTGCCTGTGCTATGGCATTGGCATTGCTTCCACCTTACCACTTCAATCACCATCTGCAGAACCCTCTGCCATCGCCAGCCGTACTTCTGGCTTCAGCGGCTATGGATCAGACCAACAAATTCAGGCCTTCACTACCTTCAATCTCCAGTCTCATCGAAGCAGTCACGGAGCAGTCTGAAAAAGGTATGCGCTCCTATCATCTGATCTTAGAAACCGGAAAGACGAATTCTGACTTTCGCCAGGAAATGCCTCCTCTCCAACATTCGGTGACTCTCGAAGGATTTCTGGAGGCTCACATGGACATGGAATAAGCCCAGAAAGACCGAGACTATCAGGAAGCCCCCGAAGTCTTCCTCCACCGACACCAGAATTACCGCCGCCGTCAAGATTCGACTTACCCCGACCCTCTCCCACCAACACTTCGCCCAGCTCAGCCGCCAACCGGAGCAATTTTCATCAAAGCTCGAATCCTGAGTTTTATGCTCAACGGCCATCTGCTTGTCCTCCAGTGACTGAATCAGCTACTACATATCCCTCGTCGGCTGATTCGACCTCATGGCCATCTTCGCATCTTCCAAGACTCGCAGCTGAAGTTGTGCAACCAGACCAGCCGCCGAGGCCCCAAGCAGCTGCCCCTTCAATCGAGCCTCGTCCAGCAGAGGTTCCGGGATACAATGGGCTTTCTCAGCAACGACCTCTGCCAACCGACTTCCCTGGCCCCATTCCCGGTATCGGCATGCCAACAATGGACCATTCGGCGGCGCCGGCGTGGCAGCTTCCTCGCTACTACCCCTCTATTCACAACTCATACCCTCACAACCACGAGCGCTACATATGTCCAACATGCCACAAACCGTTCTCCAGGCCGAGCTCATTGAAGATTCACACTTACTCACACACGGGGGAAAAGCCTTATCGTTGCAAATACGACGGGTGTGGGAAATATTTCAGCGTCAGAAGTAACATGAAACGGCACGAGAAAGGATGCCATGGAGGTGAACCTGCAGCAGCAAGAGCGTCCTCGGCGCGGGCAAGCTACTGAGTGTCACGATACCAGGAAGGCCGTTTACGAGGTGCATTTTCAACTCGAAGAGAGTCCACACTACCTACGGCGAATCGCGGCGTACGCCTTCAGCCTTCCCTTCTAGCGCCTTTCTCGGGGAAGTAGGAGAATTCTTGAAGAGCAGACCGTGCGATTTTCTATTTTGCGACCTTTACAGCACAAGGTTGGTTGGCAGCATTCCCCACCCTCCTACACATCCTGATCGCAAGGAACTCTCACAGTGTCTTCTATCTGGTTCTGGGACGGCAACGGGCAGCAGCTCTTCCGTCTTCTTGTCTTCCTACTTTCCAACATCTCATGTGTGTGTTTTTGAGTCTTCTGCGTTCAAGCGATGGGTTTCAGGGAAGGCGGAAAAGGATCAGTACGGACATGCTTGAAGGATGAAGCATGTCAGCATGGCTGGGATCAGGCGTTAGCAGTTGGAAACGCAAAAACCATATCTTTTCACAGAGACAGCATTTCTTGTTAGCTTCGCGCATCCAGCCTACAGAGTAATGGATAGGTCATGACCATACTCTCTGTCTCTCACACCCCTCGTTCGATGGTGACATCGCTAAAGAGGATTCTATGGCAGTGCGATCGCGGGCTTACACAGAAAACGCATATGTGGGAAGGGTTTCTTGGAGCAGAAGCATAGATGATGACCACTATGCGTATGTACATTTCTGGGGCGAACACACATGCGCCCCGTCACATGGTGACTGGAGGATAGCAATTAACCTGTACAATATTGGATGATTGACAATGCTGGTATTACCGTCAAACCCTCTCATACTCGTACCTGTTCGATCTGTCGCATTGTCTAGGTTTCTCTGACACGATACTTTCCGTCACGTCCCAGCGTGCTGGATCCTTCCTAGGCACCCCTAGGCAAGGTCACACAAGATTTGACACCATTGAAGTGCCACAACATGTTCTAGCTGCATGCCAGAATCGAGCAGCTTCGCCAATCGAGATGACCACAACGTCAGAGCGGTGGGACAAGGCAAGCGAGATGGTCTAGACCGCTGCCGCCCATTTGTTGGGCCAGCTGGTTCCAACCCTTTCCTTGGGCGAGCCTTTTCCTCTTTGGAGCCCATTCAGTGTCGCATCTGGCCACCATGATTTCGGAGCAGAGCTACCGAGAATGTGGCTCAAGCGCCATCCAAGCCGGCAGCATGTCATGTCAACACCCACCGCATCTTGTAACCCGTCGATTGGCAGCGACGGGCGGGCGTGGAGTCTCCTGAGTCTAAGCGACGTTTTCGGGGCTGACATCGAGTCCACGTGGGTTTCCGATAGTCTTGATGCTAATGCGCAAGCCACACTGCCGGCGTCTCCGATGAGCCACGTGGAGGAAAGAAACTCTGAAGCTCTAGTTGGCGATGGCGACCAAGGCCAGGCCCGCCGAGTCGTCGAGTCAGCCAGTCAGCGAGTCAGAGCGTCAGGAGGGTCAGATAAATCAGACTCACCTTCCAACTGCCGTCACTTCAGCTCGCTTCCCAGCAAGCGAGCATCCCAAGCTCCGAGCTCTGACCACCCCCCCAAAAAGGTTGTTCTCACACCACATTCTCCCAAGATTACAATCTAGGAACCTCGTACTGTCCCTTTCTGGTTGCCCCGAAGTGCCCCGAGTTTCAACCACGCTAAAGTCGTGCATGACGCAGGGATCGCTCCTCGAAACCTTGCTGGCCACGAGGTAGAATCTCGCTTCCTCCCCGGGAGCCTTTTCCTCGGATGTGGCTTCTGGACCGACTTCTTGGGTACGAGCTCCAAGCTCGCGTGGACATGCTGGCAGTACCACAAGTGCATGTCTTGGACGCCGCATCTGGTAAAATGAACGAATGCACAGCACAGCGCCATGAACTCTGCAAGCAGCGGAGGCCCCTTGCATGGGGGAAGTCATCTCTTACATTGAACTGATGCGTTTGAGATGCCGACAACCCAGTAAAGCCATCGTCGTCTTCTTGAGTCACGGAGACCATCACCGCGTTCGGTGTCGTGCCAATATTCTCTGTGCTGGGCGCGACCACCGCTAGGGACAGGGTTGTACCACCGGCGTAATGTTCGGAGTCCTGTCTAGTGAAGCTGCACCATGTTGGGACCGTTTGCTTCGTGCAGCTTCAAGCCCTCGAGCCATGCAGATCGCCACAGTCTGCGACTGAGGTTGCGAAGTCTCTCACTCCGGACTCTGTCAGGGAGGTGCACGATACTACCTTGGCTGGCCAAGAGGGTGCACCACCGGGCTGCAGCTCAAAGAAATGCCCAACTTGGAACGCAACGGGGATTGCGCAAATGTTCCCCCATCACGGTAGGTCGTCCACGAAATGATCGGGGCTCCGCTGCCAATCTTCGGAGCAGATGTTGGGAGTCGCGGAGCTATTGGGACATGCTTTTCTCGTTAAGGCATCCATATTGACTCCAGAGGAGAATGCGACTTTCACCTCCAGGCTTGGGGTATGATGGTCTCTTTGCTTCGTCCGACACTGTGCCAGCAGCATCGTCATTTCAGCCGCTCCCTGCATCTTTACAGAGCGGTTTGATCGTATCGCCGGGGAATAGTCTCTCGAGCGTTGACGGACGGGGGAATCATTTCTGGCTGACGTACCTGCATGACGAGGGGCTCTTCTCGGAGACCATCAACAGCGCCGCAGAGAGTCAGCTGTGTGAGGACAGAATGTTGTGTGGGAGAAACCATTTACCGCTATCAATGCCTCCGCGTTGTCCTTGAGGCTGGCAATGTGAGTAACGGAGTGTTGCCTGCCTCAAAGTCCTTTGAAAGGCGTATTCTGCAGACAAAGGTGGCGAAGAGAAGAACTACCGGAAGATTGTTTGGTAATGCTGTCGACAATGGCAACATATAAGGCTGGGAAGAGGTTTCCTTTCTGCCAGTTGCCGCAAAGGAACAAGGCGCTGAAGGTGCAACAAGGCTTTGAGGACTCTTTTTTCGCGCACCACGGTGCTGAATGATTCAAGAAAGCAACTGAGATCTCATAACCCATGAACAAAGTGTGTTCTCACAGTCTAGGTTGTCGAAAATGGTGAGAGGCGGTTCCGGATCCCCAATATGCTTCTTTCGGTTCTAGGAGCCAGCGTAAGGCGGTTTGCTTTCTTCGCATTGTCGAAGGGTCATTCTGATGCCGAACCTTTGTCCACGGATGGCTTCTTCAATCTCTAGCATGTCTTGCCATGTGAATTTTCGAGCGACTAAGCGAAAATTCGCACGGCACGGTCACTTTTCCATCAACAGACCTGCCTTGAATTTTTCTTCCACCTTGCCTGGACCTCACCTCCATCGAACTTCCCCATCTTTGATTGTCCTCACAAGACATCCTCAGATAACCGGTACGGCTGTTTGTCCTCCTCAAATCCTTCAAGCAAGCTTACTGACCATCTCTCCATCCACTGTCTAGACGTTTTCTAAGTTCCTGGTCTCTCAACTCCTTGGTCTCATCTGCCAAACGTCTCCAATCCGAGAGAGCCATCCTGTCGCAATGAGTCCAACTACTGGTAACGAGGTCTTCCTGGCCGCTTGCATCAAGTATGCCAAAGAGAAGGTCGTTGTCGACTTCGAGAAACTGGCGAGTGAACTCAAGATGAGCAAGGGCGGAGCTGCGTAAGTTTTCCTAATTCCCTTTGGGTTTCACCTTGAAGGTCCTACGACTGCTTGTCTATCTGCCACCCTTCAACCCCGACAGCCAAACGTTCGTTTGCTGTTGCGAAATGTCTGAGTGTACTAATACATGTGCTCGATAGCAACAAGTATCGTGCTATTATGAAGCAGCTTGAGGAGGAGGGTGCCGGGTGGAACACCAAAGACGACAAAGCCGAGCCAAAAGCTACTCCCGCTGCAGGTGTCAAGCGCAAAGCCCCTTCTAAGAAAACCGCTCCGCCTGAGCACAGTGTCAAGGCCGAGGGTGGAAGTACATCTGAAGAAGCTGGCAACGAACCTCCCAAGAAGAAGGCTCGTGGCAAAGCAACCAAGAAGAACGCCGCCAAGCTCGCTGAAGGTTCTGACAACGACAAGGAGGCCGATGTCGCTACAACCACCGCGAAGAAATCCAAGGGCAAAGGCAAGAAGAAGGTCAACTCCGCGACTCTTGATGATGGCAGCTTGGGTGATGATGAAGCGACGCCGGGCAAGGACGCCTTTAGGGCCCCACAGATTGTGGTGAGGAGCGATATTCCCACAGCGAAGATGGTTGAAGCTGCTGTGTCAATTGCGAAGGCTGACACAGTGCCATGCCAGGATGCCAATTAATGAGACAAGCAGTCTTGGAGCTATCATGCAGATACCCCGAGTGTTTCTTGGATCTCCAGTCCCTCAAGTTGGTGATCATGGATCGGCGTTGAAGAGAACTGCGACATTGGCGCACAACGATGAACATGGGACAGTCACGACGTTGGCACATTGGCACTGTAGAAGAGTGATTATTGGGTGAACGACTCTTCTACTGAATACCAGAAGGCATGGAGCTTGTGATAGCATTCCCCAAACGAGCTGAGGTAGCATTCTCACTCTCAACCTTGGAGAGGAAAGCGAAATGAACTGATCGAACCTCACCTTTCCTTGAGTGTTTCTCTGTGATTCGAGGGTAATTCCACCAAACTTGACTCGAGAAGTGAAATTTCCATGAGCTTTTCTCGTCTCATGTCCCCAGTAGGTCATCATTTCAGGTGCATGGAGGCATGCTCGCAAATAGTGCCCTGTGTTATTTAACTCTTTCCCCTTCGCCCATCAAAGTTCCTTTTTTTCCTTCTTCTACATCTTGTCTTTTTCTTGTTCAAAACGTTCCATCCTTTGCCTTTTCCTTGCCAAGCCAATAGACCATTCAGTGTCGACATAGCAAGCATTACACCTCGTTTTCTCTCCTCCAACAGTTCCACAGGTTAGTCCCAGCTGCACTGGCATCTTCCCCGATCTCTCCTTCTCCTGCTTTTCTTAATAACATCGACTGATTAATGCCAGCAAAATGGCCCCCACCAACCAAACCGTCGACGACTTCACGTTTATCATGACATGTCTGAAACACGCGGAGGGCAAGCCCAAGGTCAACTTCGAAGAAGTCGCGAAGGAGACAGGAGCGAAGAGCGGCAACGCATGGTAGGTTCCACTTTCAGCTGTTGCATCAGATCCAAGCAATCTCACTAACCATGACAGCTACCATCGACACTGGGGTATTATGAAGAAATGGGGTCTTGCGGGCGGGGGTGGCAAAGGCCGTCAACCAGCTTCAGCGTCTCCTGCCAAGGCTACCACGTCTCGAAAACGCAAGGCAAAGGACGAGGAGGACAGCGAGGAAAACTCAACAGCCAAGAAGGCTAAAGCCACGCCGAAGAAGAAGGCCATGCAGCCAAAGGTCGAAGAAGCGGACTCCGAGGATGACGCAGAGGACGAAACGGAAAGCATTAAGGCCGAAGTCAAGGACGAAGACCAAGAGACAATTAATGGATGACCATCTCAGGCGGTCAAGAAGGGACTGTGCAACATTTCCATTCTCTGATCCGAAGCTTCCACATCTTACAGGACAACTTGGGAATAAACTGTTCGGGCTGGAGGAGTCTCTGTGCTCGATCAGACGGCGGTATCATTGGGGCTTGAGCTTGGAGTCGGGTGCTCAAATCATCCAACAGATCAAATACAGTCCAGGTAGCGACAAATAGCCCACGATGGGCTCAGCCCCAACAAAAGTTACAACTTCCACAACTTCCAAGGTTCGTATTGATGTGGAGACTTGTGATGCCTTCCTCATCTAGAACGGTGGTGCTGCTGCTTTAGAGAAGCCGAAGAATGCCCAGCTGCCCAGGCTCGCTAATTAAACCCCGAAGTCAACTCTAAACTCGCTTCATTTTCTCCTTCTCCCCCGTCGCCCACGCGCAGCACCCTTTCTAATCAGTACCTACCTACCTACCTAGGTATACACCCTTCTAAGCGCAAGTCTAGTCCATGGATTTTACTTGCTCAACGTGCGTCTCCACAGCCTTGCTGTCATTGTGCTCCAACTTTTCGAGCAGCTCCCGTCCCTTCGCCGTGGCCGCGTCGCCCCCGATCTTCGCATCTTCTCCGTCAAAACAGATGGCTATCGTCTCCAGGCTGTGGCCCTTTGTCTCGATGTAGAAGAAGTACACGACCACGGACTGGAATGCCAACCAGAAGATGTAGCACAGATAGTACTTCCAGTGGATGTTCTCGAGCGCCACCGGGTTGACATAGTTGGAGAAGAACAGCCCTGCAGCCACGCTGAGCAGCATGACGGTAAGATACCGCGACCGCAGATAGAAGGGCGAGATCTCCACGACATATCCGATCAGCAGGCCGGACCAGGCGAGGTTGTAGAAAAACATGAAGATGAAGATGAGTGCAATCACCGCGCGACCCGCGGCCGTCGTTCCGTGGGCTTGTTGCTGTTGACTGGCAATTGTCCAGCCCGTCATGGCAATGCACATGCCAAAGGTTGCTGTCAGGTAAAGAGGGCGACGGCCGAGTTTGTCCACCGCAAAAGCCATCCCCGTGGCAATGACCATGTTGAAAATAGTCAAACAGCCGTTCAAGATTAGCTGCGAGTTGGAGTCCGTGATGCCAATCTGCGACAAGACGAGGAAGATGTAATACGAGACGATCCCCGAACCTGCCGTTTGGCTGAAGATGCCCGCGCTGACGACAATAAGCAGGCGATGCCGATTGCCTTTGGTCGCCCAGAGCTCGGAAATGCCACGGCTAGCAAATTCCTTTTCCAGCGCCATGGTTTCCAGCACTTCGCGATATTCGCTCTCGACAAACTCCTGGCCAGAAGCAGGGCCGTGGAAGCGCTGAAATATCTTTTTGGCTGCTTCGTGGCGGCCTTTGACGATATGATACCGGGGACTTTCGGGAACGAGCCAGATCAAGAAGAGTTGGATCACCGATGGGAATGCCTGCAATATGCTAGGCAGCTTCCACGACCACTGACTCTGCATCTTGAGCGTGCCGTACGTTGTCCAACTGGCGATAATGGAGCCCAGATACCACAGAGTGTTGTAAATTGTCGTCAGCCTCGCACGATATTGAGGGTGAGACAGTTCGGTAATGAGCATCGGAGAGCAACTCTGGGTATACACGATTCCGAGTCCGATGATGAAACGAGCAGCAATGAACATGCCAATGTTGATGGACACTGTCTGCAGTATGACGCCCAGGAAGATCAAGGAGCTTCCGAACAAGATGGTCCACTTGCGGCCAATGTGGTCCGCCAAAAAGGGCACGAGAGGTAGGCCAACGACTTGTCCGACTGAGAAGATGGCATTCAGGAGCCCGAGTGTGGAAACAGAAGGGTGGTGGAACTTGTCCTGCCAATAGCTCAGAGTTTGCAGACCGTTCACTTTCTCATGGTCAGCGCGCCTTGGTTTGCCCGCAAGTCGGAGAAGACGACATACTCATGGATCCATCATAGCCGTTCGTGGCTGAGGACAGCAGCAAAATTGCGCACAGCAAATGCAGGTGAATGAGAGATTTGTGCTTCCACCATTTCACCTCCGGATACTCCTGGCCTCCTACGACCAAGGTCTGGGTTTTGGGGACTTGGGAGAAGAGACTGAACATGATGGCAGAGGATACGAGGAGCAGCCAGGAGAGGGAGAGGTACGTGGGCACCAACGAAGTTCACGGTCTTTGCCTATGCTTTTGTATCCCTTCTGACCAGCGGCTCCGCTGAGGAGACATCTGGGGGAAACGCCCGGGGCACAGTCCGGGGAAACACTGGGTACACATGAATTCCCACAAACTGCTACCCGAGGATATCTGCAGATTCGGGGAACATCCCAGATGCAGTTCGTGGGAATATGGAAACATCAAGGCTCCAGGTGACAGGGGATGTGTCGGGACGGTGTCGCATTGGAGAAAAGCTCTATCGCTTTTGCCCTGGAGGAAATGCAGAAACGCACGACGAAGAGGTCACAAGGCGAGTTCCAACTTTTGCGCCCTGTCCATGGAAAACCCAGCTGCTGATTGGTAGCAATGACTCCAGAGTAACAGCAATCCCGCTAGAGCTCAGACGATCTATCGCAAAGCAGTAGTAGGTATGGTCGATCATCCCGCGCGGTCACATTCCGATCTATGCAAGCCGTGCGATTTATTACCCTGAGTTAGTCCTAGTGCTCGGCTACCGGCAAATGAGACAGCGGAACCCTTGACATAGCTTGACATAGGCTATGGCCCCGACTGGTTCTTTTGAGAATTTGGGGTAATCATTCAATTCTGGTTGATAATGCTCGATATGGAAGTCGATATTGGGGTTATCTTGGGGCTCGGGAAACGAGGGGTATGGCACTGTGGAGAGACTCATGTTCCCTTCAGCGAAGAGGTATGGCCACCCCATTAGCCTAAATGGATATTATCAACCGGAAGCTAACAACCGACTCGACCTTAATGCAGCGTGTAACTCGGGAGATGTGGCTGTCAATCATATCAACTACTGTCGGAAACGAGTCGGTGTCACAGCGTGCCGCTTCTACCGGCGGCCAATTAGGGGAATCCGATATTGGGAGGAAGTCCGACCTGAGCCACATTGATTAAGGGATTGACGCTCTTGAACCTCGGGCATTGAATTCAAGAAACAAGACGTGGAGAGAGGAAGCTGTCATTGCCCTCATTGCGCTACCGTCTCTGCTCTGTCAGGTTCTGATATTACTTCACCGACTGGCTAAGCAAAGTCCACTATGGCCCCTTCAGCAATAATCGATCCGCCAGCATCAACGACGCCGAGATATGTTGACGGCGCCTTGATCACCGACGTTGAGAAGCACGGCGACAATCCCGTGGTGATCCGTCTGACGGATGAGGAGCTTCATTCGGGGAAGACGCGGCCAGAGACCCTGCAAGAATGCCTCAAGTATTTCCATCGAGACGGGTTCGTGGTGCTGGAGAATGCCATCCCCGACGAGCTGGTTGACCGCTTGTACAACCGGATGGTGAAAGACAACGTCGAGTTCCTCCAGAAGAAGCACATGCACTGGAACCAGGGTGCTGCCACGGGCAATGTCAGCCAAATCCCACCGCTTGAACCCGAGTATCTGGACCGCGACTTCTACGCGAATCCCCATATGATCCACGTGGTGGAAAATCTGCTCGGACCCAAACCGGAGCTTCGCTTCATCAACAGCAACGTCGCCTGCCCGGGTGGCACGGGCCGCCAGGCCGTGCACAGCGATGTCAGCCACGACTGGCCCGTGATCCCATTCGGGCTTGTCATGAACATCTACCTCCAGGACTCGGACGAGAGCAACGGCGTGACGGAGGTGTGGTGCGGCACGCACAACGCCTACCCGCAGAAGGACCAACAGGCGTTCCCGGAGCGAGGCTGGATCAAGAAAGAGTACATCCAGAAGCAGGCCAAGGTCAAGCCGCCCGTGCAGCCCAAGGTGCGCAAGGGCAGCATCTGCTTCCGCGACCTGCGGCTCTGGCACGCGGGCATGCCCAACAAGAGCGACAAGCACCGCATCATGCTGGCCATTGACTACTTTGCGCAGTGGTACCAGTGTCCCATGACCACCAAGCTGCCCCTCGCCGTCAAGGACAAGGTCGAGCGCGAATGGGAGGGCATCTCCACCGCCGGGGTCGAATGGGTCGAAGGGGATCTCAACAGCCTGGATGTGCCCTTCTACCTCAACATGACCCAGGATCCGAACCTGTATCTGCTGCAGACGGAGAAAGGCTTCCAGGACCCCAGGGGCAGGCAGACGGGCGAGTACAAGTTCGATACAGTAAAGGTCTCGGACCAAAACTACTGGACTCCGGAGTGAAAGGAATATCAAACAGCCAGCGTGCACCCGCGGCAGAAAGAAAGAGACAGCTCAATCTGTTCTCATTGTCATCCAGTGTGTTCTTCTCATTTACCGACCAGACTCAATATCAATATCCTCTGGGTGTCCCTTCGGTCGACGTCCCTCACTTTGCTCTCCCTCTCCCTTTGTTTTTATATACTCTCCATTCACATCGCAAAGTCAATGCAGACGACGCCCGTTCATTTCTCTCTCACATTCCCTTTGCTTCTTGTGCGCGCGTCATTTACATCGCATATACAACACAGTGACGCCGCTCATTCACATCGCACAGGCAACGAGTGACGCCGCCCATTCACATCGCACGGTCAACACGGTGACGCGCGCCCGTTCCAAAGATCTCACAGACTATTTCAATCCGCCCATCTTCTCCCCCTGCCTTGTCGTGACTTCTCTCCTTCTCCCATCGCTTTCGTTTTAGCTACTTCTTCCCTCCATTGACTCTTTTGCATTCCCTCGAGTTCCCCCTTTTTCAGAACCTTCTTTCCCCCACAGCCCAGGTCGCAATGCCTCCACGAGTTGGGCCTGCAGCAAGCGGTGTGGGCGACCCGAATTTCCGATTCCTCTTGAGCGTGCTCAAGCATTGCGAACAGGTCAAGACGGATTGGAATGAAGTGGCCAAGGAGAATGGGATCGCTTATGGGAGGAATGCGTATGTTTTGATTTACCCGTGCTTTTTCTCTCAACTCACCTCACTTTCTCCCGTCTCCCCCACAAAACACACACACACACACACTCTCTCTCTCTCCCTCTCTTTCCCCCCCTCTCTCCTACAAGAATCGAATGGATCCCTTACTGACAAGATATCAAATCTGGCGCAGGGCCGCGCGCTTCAAATCAATCGTCGACAACAATGGCCTCAAGTTCGAGAACAACAAAGTCACCATCCCGAACGCTGGAGTGGGCAACGGGGTCGCTGGCGCCGCGATGCCTCCTTCTCCTGCCCCCACTGCAGCCACCAACGCAGACGACCAAGATGTCAAACCTCCCAAGCGCGCCAAGAAGCAGACTGGCACGAAATCTCGCAAGCGCAAGTCTCCCGCACCATCACCAGACGGGGACGAGGATGAAACAGCAACAGCGGCAGCAGCTCCAGCCAACGCAGCGCCAAGTGCTAAGAAGAAGAAGGGTGGCGCGACGAAGAAGAAAATGAAGAGCGAAGCATTCATCAAGACGGAAGAAGAAGAAGATGCCGAAGAAGACGACAGCCAGGTCAACGAGGCCGCGCCAGGCGAGGAGAAGAGCGCAAAGACGGACGCGAAGAGCAATGGCAATGGCAGCGACGAGACGGGGGATGAGACTCGCGCCGAAAACACCACTATCAAGGTCGAGAAGGAGGCTTGATTGAGCGGGGTCTTCGCCAAATCCGATTTGCTTCTTTTTCTTCAATCCCCCTCACCCGGGGTGGTGGAACGGAAAATTCAAGCCCCAAAAATTGTCATGTTTACCACGGTTTTCCTCCTAGGAGGGCGAATCGTTTCTTTCTTTCTTTCTTCATCTCTTCTATCGGGGGGCCAAATGCGAGGCTAAGGGCACATACTCACTTTCGTGCTTGGATACAGAGAGAGTGTATGGGAGAAATTGAGCTAGTGAATTTCACAAAGCGTTTTGGGTCCAAGATTGGAAAGCAAGGGGGAAATAAAAGTCCCATTTCCCGACACCGGAGTCGGCGCCAGGGCATCGAAAAGTTTTTTGATGCCAGAGGGCAAGAGCCATGGTCGAGAGAGCTTACAAAGTTTGAACCCGGACCAGAGTGGATAGAGAGACATAGACTCACATACCCACCACATCCGTTCTCACACTCGTATGGGTGGGGGAGAGATAGAGATTGCTGGAACTAGCGGCAGCTGATGAAAAGTTTTGACCATTCCCCCGAATCAAAGTGGTCCACTCCTCCTCGCGATGCACTTTATAGTCTTTCTTTCCTTTCCTGTCATTGGCCCATCCGGCGCTGAAAATGGCCCAGGACGATCCGTCAGCCAGTCAAGCAGCAGCTTCATTTGGCTGCTTGTCGAACCCATTAAAAAGCTGGAGAGAAGGGAGGGTTCATGATCGGTGTCTGGGGTGTATTAATGAATCATGCTAAAGGAATGCAGGGTGTGGTTGTTCTTTGAAACGGAGAAACAGATATTCCGCGGACCACAGCCCTGCCTCGCCGCTTCTGTCCGGCCAGGGAAAGTCTGCCGGGTCCTCGCTCTTATTGGTAGCGATTTGTTGGAAGGGCCTCTCTTTACCTGGCTTGGAGGCAAGATTTAGTTAAACGGTTGCCCACGATTAGTTAAGGCCACCTCCCAAACTCCGCCTAGTTGTGGTTAAGGCGAGCACGGCTAGGTACCCTATGTCGTTGGCCCTTGATGAGCAGAGCCTCTGTAGCATCTGGACAACCGATAGCCTTGCTCCTTTGGCATCCCCATTCTTTGCATGGGTAATTATGATTATTTTTGTTATTCGTACACTATAACAGGACAGAAACCCCCTTCTTCGGCAATGGGTGGGATTTTTGCTCTGCATTGCTTCACAGCGTCTATGACCGTGCTCTTGTGAAGACCCCCTTCCCATTCCAGGAAAAGTAAAAGAAGCGGCTCTGCTTTTAGTTGGGTATCTACATGTAGTATTGTTTGACAATAGAGTTCGACTCGGGCCTTACCTTCCGCCGGGGTTAGGCGCGAGTTAGGCAGAAGTTAATTCGAATGATTATGCTCTCGAGGTATGCAAGGGTGTATGCATGGGCAACTCGTCAAAGGCGTCTTCTGCAACCCTCCCTAGCGCCTTGCTTGTGTCAAAATGACCATCTTTCTATCACAAGCTCGTCGAGCACACGGAGGGGGCCTGCTTGAATGGTAGGTGCGGCTCGTTCGGATGCGCCTTGCTGGAAATGCTTCCTAGTCCACCGTGAGGCTGAAAATGATCAATGCGACTAGGGCGCCAGAGGCCCCCCTCACTCAGCACGGCTGAAGAAGTCTGCCAGTCTGCCAGTCTGCACAAGCCAGGATATCCTGGCATGGAGATGACTATTGGATACATCCCTCTTTCGGCATTTGCACAGCCGAGACACTCTTTGCTTGGGGCTGGCCTTCGTTGTGACTGCTTGGCCGATGTTTCGGCGGCAGAATTACTCGAGGATGTGAGCGTGTCGATTCGCCAGCGACTCCGCGAGTGCTGGCTATCATATCGTAAGCAATCCCAAGCCCCTCCCTTGGGTGTCCCTGGCTTTCAGGGTGTGCGCATTCCATGTGTGCCGCCACGCCCATCAACCCATCTTGCCTCATACAGGTCGCGGAGAGGCTTTGGCAAGTTCCAAAGGTGGGCACCTCGTCAGTCGCGTTCTTCTCGGTGACTGATTTTCGTCAAAGCATTGTGCAGCTTGTTTTTCTGCGCTTTGAGGAAACTCCTTACGCTCTTGCGACTCAGCTTGCTGCTGTGCCCGCTCTGTGCGCTGTTAACACTCTCGACCTCTAGGTGTACTCCAGCGGCTTGACCTTTCATCCCCAACTCTGCTGGCAAGTGCATTGCGCACTCGTCACAGAACAGAGGTTGCTTGAATTTCCCACTGATACCCTGAAGCTCGGCAATGACTGCTCGGATGGTGGGCCTCTGCTTGGTGTCTCGCGAGACCATCTTGCCAGCAAGCATCAGCAGGCTCCTGAACGGCTCGTCCCTTCCCCTTTCTTGTAAGGAAGCAGTCTCAACCCACTTGCTCACCTCGTCGAGATGATCGGCATAGATTCGCAAAGCCCGTATTTCGGTTGTTCCGGTCTGGATCATTGCGCTCAATATTTCCAAGAACGTGCAGCCTAGAGAAAACACGTCTGTTGACCTCCCGTGAGGTTGAGTTATGCTGTCGTTCTCAGGAGCCCGATAGTATTCGGTGGATTGGAAGGGACCGAGAGTGCCACTTCCGAGTTCGGGGTTGAAGTGGTAGGCAAGCCCAAAGTCCGCAATGTAGTAACGATGGTCATGATACAGAATATTGTCAGGTTTGATGTCGCGATGCCTTGTCGCTGCTTCGTTATGTAGGTAGTCCAACCCGAGACTGATGCAACCGAAAGTCCTAAGCAATATCGGCTTGAGTTTCGCACGGTCGTAAGAATTCCGGCAATACTGGTTGAGCAAACTAAGAAGGCACCAGTCGGCGGCCGGTGTTGCCAAAAAGGCGAACTCGTCATTGCCTCTTTCGTAAGACTTGACGTATCGCAGAATGTGATGGTGTTTCAACCTCTTCAACGTCGCCACTTCATTTACTAGGTGCTCGCGCGACGCAGTGGTCGCTTTCTGACATTTTCTGGCGTAGAATCGAGGCGCAGATGATTGACACGTGAGGTCTCGCACCTTGTCGACAACGCTGTAGGATCCATCGCGTGAGTAAATTTCCTCGTGTTTCAGCGGCAAAGGCTCGAGAGCCCGAAAGGTAATGTGTGTCCCCTCAGGCCATTCTTTCCACCTGGCGCGGCACTGTTGGTCGCGGAAAAGATCACCAACTCGTGGTGCGTCGGCTGCTCCGGAGAAGATAATATTCAACTTGGTCGTGTCGAAGGGAATGAGATCGTCATTCCATCTTCGCTGTAAGAATCGATCAAAGTAAATTGGGCCGTTGGGCAAGTGGTTCAATATCGTTGCAATCCTGGCCATGTTCTTGAAATCCTCGAATTTCCCTTGGTCCTCTATCTTTGGAGTGAGGACTTTCCACGCCTCACAGAATGCTTCAAGCACCATCTTGGCCTTGTCCACGTGTGAACTTTCGATCGGGATGCCATCGTGTGGTCCGCTGGCGATGTTTGACTTTGTCAAGCCGTCAACAGTAGGAATCTCCTTCCATAGAAACAACAGGCTGCCAATTTTGAGCTGGCCAGCAGTTGTAGGCTGATGTGCGAAAGTCGCAACTCGTTGCTGCGGCAGGCTACTAGATCTCAGTCGCTCTACGAACCATTGTGTCAACTCTTCCAGCACGGTGACCTGCTGGTTGGCGTCTCGAGCTATTTGCTCTCGCTGCGTCCTCGTAGAATCAGCAGCAGGGATGGTGACCGTATGTAGTTCCCCAATTAAGGCTTTTATTTCCATTCGCGCCCTTTCAAACCCTTGTGATGGCTTCCTGACGAGGTCTTAGAGGCTAGTTCTCCGATTCTGAGTGCTGGACTCCGAAGGTCTTACCATTCATGCCGCTGGTCACTTGGAGCGTGGGTGTATCTTGCAACCTCACCCCCGATCACATCAGCCTGCTCCGAGATGAGCCTCAAGTACCGCTCAGCGACTGGGCTTGGTGTTGTGCTGTCTGCCTGCCGCCGCAGAGAAGTCTGCCAGGTCTTTAAACCGATAATGCTGTCGTCCGCCGAGCTGGAAATGTCGCCCAAACCCGACTCTTCTGCATGGTTGGCCGGATTAGCAGCGGACTGTCGGGCAAGAGCCAGCGTACTGGTCAACTTGTCAATGATTGACTGGCAGCTTGTTTCCAGCTGGCTCGTCATGGCAGTTCCATGAATGTGACCTGTGCACAGAGCACACTTGGTCGAGGGTGATTTGAAAATGTGAATTGGGCTGGAAGCCTCTGTGCTTCGCTGGCATGGCCGAGCACACCTGAACACCACACCACATTGCCCAGGTGGTCAGTGGCCAGTGGTCACAGGGACTGGACAGGGTCACCCGTGCAGTCTGCATTCTTTATTTTTTCATTGGAAGGGTTGGAGGGCGGTGTTGGGAGGGGCGCAGCAGAATGTCGCGCGAGCCTCGTATTCCCAGATTTTCCCACTTAAAAAGAGGAGCGCAACTCTCGGACTCCGGCTTCCCCCTCATCCTCAGGCCTTCTTGCCCGCGGCTGCTCGACAGCCTGATGTCGTCAATGGAACCCGTTAATCTGTCGGCCTCTATCATCGCTCAAGCCCAGCAGGTCTATAAGTTCATGTTTTCGTTCAACCAGGCACTTCTTTTGCACTCAGACCATGACCTCGACCATATCCGCCTCCGGATGGAGGCAAACCTCCTTAAATTGTCAACGTGGCTGCAGAGTTGGTCGCTCGATCCCAATGCTTTGAGCAAGGCAGACCAGGAAAACTCACTCTGGGGCGAGGATGGATACCAATCAGTGGCACAGCGGGTTGCTCTGATTCAGACGCAGTGCAAGGAGATCCAGACGGTTTTGCTCTCGTACGGTCAAGCGAGTGCCAAAGGTTCAAACAAAGTCCTCCGTCGCTGGAAGTCACTTGTGCGGAAAGACCGAAAACTTCAAGTCATTGACCTGAGAGAGTTGCAGGACAAGACTGACAGCTTAAGCCGGTCACTGGACAATCTCAGCGCATTGTCGGACCTCCATTTCCACGCCCATCACAAGATTGCGCCCCGCTTGATTTCGGCGAAGACCGAGGATGGACTTCTGCGCGACATCATCCGCAGTAGAGGCGAGTCGACACGACTCTACACCGCATGCACGAGGCGCAACCTGGACCTAAATCTCGAAATCGACCTATTCTGCGCGGAGTGGGCACAGATGTCACAGGGGCATAGGTACAGGGAACGGCCCATGAGCAGAGGGTATCATTTCTACTTCAAGACTGGCGACACGCAAGAGATGCAGGAATTGGTTGTTGGACCACTCAAGGATCAGGAGACAGCACGAGCGCTGGAAGGCGGGAAAGCTACACTCCACTCAGAAAGCGACCTCCTGCAAGCTCTTAAGGCAGTCAAACCAGCAGCAGCGACTGGATCTGTCTTCAAGCTGGCTGACTCTGACTCAGGGACGAGTTTCTACTATCGAATCGAGCGCGTGAAGCGACCTCTTATGATTGAATGCGAGCCCCTGCCGTTTGCAAACCACTTGGGTCTTGATAAGGGCGATCACAAGATCTTCATCCGTTTGAACCTGCGAGAAAAGCTCAGCCTGGCATATAAGGTGGCGGAATGTGGCATGTTCCTTCTGGGAACCCCTTGGCTATCACACCTCAGCAGCCAAAACATCAAGAGCATCCCGTCGGATACCTCCCGGCAGCGTTATGTTGTACGTATTGAGCCCCAAAGCTCTGTATCGCCGACTGGCAACGTTGTGAAGACGTCTGTGCGTCCCCAGCTGTTTCAACTTGGTATCCTGTTGTTTGAAATTGCGCTCGGAGACCGCCTTTATGCCAGCGACCTCAAGTCCCCTGAGAAGCGGGCGGAGAGTTTCGTCTTGGTAGCACGTATAATGGGAAATGAATACCGGAAAGCGTGCGAATTTCTGTTGAGTCGGGGCGAAGACGCTGGTGCTCAGACGAGGTTCCAGCATCGCCAATCTGCGGACAAAGTCGCCATCGTCACAACGAGGGCAATGCATCCAGAGAACGCTGGGGAAAGAGCTTGTTACTTACCAAGGGACGCAGTCAATGAACAGCCACAGACCACTCGAGGTCCACCATCAAATCCCGAAGATACTTCTATGGAGAGCACGGTAGCGTTCCAATTTCCAACACTGACGTCTAATAGGTTCCCCGTCTGACTTTCGCAGGCTTTGGAGTCACCACAGATTGAGTTACGAAGCCTTCTGCATCAATATCGCATGAAGGTCTTTTCCCCGTAAGTTGTTCCATTGAAAGCCGACGCCCTACAACTCACTTCTGAAGCCTCGATTCCATCTACAAGTCTGTTGTGTAACAGGTTGACGCAAATCACCTACTCTGAACGTCACATAGCCAACTATCAGGCCGCTCTACACCAAGATTTTGCTGCCAGCCATCGCAGGTATGCGAAATGGTCAGGAAATCTGGCCGGACATTTCACCATGCTATCCCACCTGTATACGTGAGGTCGATATTTTACATGACATTTCACCAGTATATGTCACTTCGACACTTCACACGATATTTAACACGACCCACGACAATTCAACAGGACATTCCCACCGACCTGCGACATTCCAACTGGGCACACAGAGTCTCTTTTTGTCTCCTTGGAATCTTCTTCTGGCCACACACGACAGCACTTAGTCTCCTCGGAGACACGCCCCGTTACTTTTTTGGATACGCCTTATTGCTTATGGACACGCCCCGGTGCTTTTGGATACGCCCTCTTCCTTTTAGATACGTCCTGTTACTTTTGGACTCGCTCCCGTTACTTTTGGATATGCTCCCGTTATTTTTGGGCACGCCCCGTTACTTTTGGGCTCGCCCCTATTGCTTTTGGATTCGCTACCGTTACTTTTGGACACGCCTATTGCTTTTGGACACGCCTATTGCTTTTGGACACGCCTATTGCTTTTGGACACGCCTATTGCGTTTGGACACGCCTATTGCGTTTGGACACGCCTATTGCGTTTGGAAACGCATATTGCGTTTGGAAACGCACTATCGCTTTTATTCTCGTCGGAGTTATCTCCTGGATATACACAATCGCTTTCGTCTCCTCGGAATTTTCTTCTGGACACACATGATTCACACACGATCGCTTTCGATCGCTTTTTGTCTCCTCGGACTTTTCCTCCCGGACACACAGAATTGTGAAACTGGGGCTGGAAAGGAGGATTACCACTATCTAGTAGCAGACGTCACGCCATATTGACACACATATAATCACTTGATCATTATCATTACACTTCAGAGGGGGCTAGAGGCTAACTCCTTCAACTTTGGCAAGAATCTCTTTTTGTCTCCTCAGAATTCACCCCTGGAGAACACAAAGCCGTTTGTCTCGTCGAGACGTACTCGTGGACGCACTTTTGATGACGCCAGGACATTTTCTACGCCAGGTTATTTCTGTGATTACACTATGGATCTTTCTTTACATATCTGTTTAGTGGAGACTAAAGGGAAGGGCTGTCACATATTCCAGCTAACATATTTGAATTCGCAAGGCGTGGAGAAGGGTCAACGTCCGTATTGTCATTGAAGTGTGCGTGACACGAAGAGTGCTAGCTAGTTATATAGGTTCTTCGAGATACGCGTTAAGCCCAGAGACCGTGAAGTAACGAGCGCGCCCTCCAAATCGTAGCATTGCAGTATTCTATGCTTGGAAAGGCAACAGAAAGGCGCATCCTAGGTCGCCCATTCCGACTTCTTTTGCCTCACACGGCGCCAGAATCGGACAATCGGGCCCCAGAATGCCAGCACAAGGCAGGGAATGGCAATGACCGAAGTCACTGGCACGGCCACGGCCCAGAAATGGCCCACCCCGGCCTTGGTGCCATTTATCCCCTGCAGATTCATTCCAAAGTACCCTGTCACAAACGACATGGGAAGAAACAATATGGTGACCGGGTGAAGACGAGGATAGCCTTGTTGTTCTCGTCCTGCTGGGTCTCGACCAATTGAACGTTCTGGGTCCGCAATTGCGTGATCCGGTTCCTGAGCTCGTCAAAGTCGCTGATCCTCTCTCGGACCGTCTTGAGGACGGCGCTGACAGATCTCTCCTCGTATGGGAACCTCTTCTCCCGCTCGATCCCCGCCTTGCCTTTACTGAAAGTCCCCGGGTCCAGAGACTTGCGGTACAGCAGCAAGACCCGCTCCTGCTGCTTGAGCACGTCGCGGACAATGTCGAGCTCTTCTGACGTCTTGTTGATCTCAAACAGAAGTGACCTGGTTGCATTGTACTCGACATCCGCAGCCTATGCCACGTTAGCTGGCATCACAACAATCACGGCATTCGCTGTGGTACCTACCAATTTCTCTATCACTCTTTCATATATGTCTTCCAGATCGAAGCTGCCCACTCCGTGAACGTTCTGGCTAAGACGATCCAAGAGCATTATGATGACGGCCTCGGGCGTGACCATTGGACCATGCGGCGGTTCTTTCTCGAATTCCCCAGCTTCTGCAATGAGGTCGTTTGCAGCTTCGTGGAGCTTTTTAGCGCAGTCATCTGCGTGACCCAACGCCCAGGAAAATAGTTGTCGCTCTGGAGCTGCCTCGTTTTCTTTTCGGGCCCAGAGAGACTGCCAGAGTCCGAAGTACATGTAGATTATGTGGATAAATGCCTTCACGATGATCCTTTGTAAGATGGCAGAACCACCAAATTCTGGGTCGCTGTCATATTCTTGCATCCCAGAGAGCGAACGAACCCCTAGGTGCAAGAAAAGGGCAACCCTGTGTATAGTTCGTAGACTCCGGGTGATTTTGTTGAAATCCTCCTCAGGAATCGGTGTCCCCTTCAAGAACTATGTCGCACAGCATCAGCACATCATACCATATATAACATGTACCGCTTTGGTTGACTCACCAAAATGACGCCCCCAATTACCGCTCTGAAGAGCTTTAGAGTTGGATGAGTCTCCATCCCAGGTGGTACATCCTTGTCATCGGTTTTGGTGTTCGTCTCTGTATTTGCTGTGCCTGGTCTGTGAGAGGGCTCTTGATTTTTTCCAGCAGACGGGTCGTTGGTAGCTGGCCCACCCCCTTGATCTGAAGGGTTTCCTGTAGGATTCGAGTTGCCTGCTGAGGGACTTTGTATATCAGCAGGTTTAAGACCTCCGTCCTGGGTAAGAGGAGATAAAGGCTCCCGTTGCACATTTTGGTCGATGATATTTGGCAAAAACAGGGGTAACACTGCGCTGGTTGCCTTTATGAGAGTCTCAATTTGCGCACCGCGTGGTGAACCATCTTCGGTGTCTGCAGCAAATTGCTCGAGCGTTCGTCCTTCTAGCTTTGACAACTGTGTCAAGCTTTCCAAGTTCAATTCATTCAGGATCAGGTCGCCGTCATAGAACAGCTCTCGATATGTTTCAAACAATGACGGCTGGATCCTGTTCAATACGATCCGGCTGCGTCCAACTCTAGTACTCTCTGTACCCTTCTGGGTGTTCTTGCGCAATCGCCATTGGAAGAACGGGATGATATGGCGTTTGTCGCTGCCAAGGCTGTTTGCAAACTCTTCTGGACTTGGCTTGGATGGTGAGTCCAGGACAATGTCAGAACCACCACCCTTGACGTGTGCTTGAGATGTCTGTTCCTGACCTGCATTGATGGCCGTGCGCTCCAATTGATTAAGACGCCGCATTTCAGATGATTTGTTCATCTCCTTCTTGACTGCTGGAATCTGAGGATCTGCCACGCCTTGCTGAATAGGTTTCGGAATCTGGAGGGTTTGAGACGTTTGACCCGAGGCAGTCGCTCCAGCTAAGCTAATTCCTGGCGTATTGGATATTGATGTTTTTCTAATCGTGATTTCCAGATTTGACGAATTATGAGTCTGCAGAATCTCCAACCAGTTTGACCAAGTGAGTTCCGTCTCTTTGGTTTTCTCATCTTGAAAGAAGAGGTCAAATTGTTCGTTCTGTACGCCTTTGTCTCCGAAAAGCCCCTTAGAGAGCAATATCTGTCTGTGCTTGTTCAACAAGCGCTGCTGACTCGTCAGTTGATAGATCCAGCACTTTGACGTGACTTAACATACGAACCACGAGTCGCAGTGATTCCGTTGATATCTGTAACGCTTCAAGCGACCCTTATAATCGAGCACTATGTGCACAGTTGGGTCCTCTTGGTTGATCTCGTTCACCAAAATGACCTGCCCGTGAAGCGTCTCTCCATGGATGGGAGCGCACGTAACTACGGTGTCTGCAGCAAATCAGTCCTGGATAGTCAGCATCAGAATCTCCGTATTTACCTCCACTGAGAGACAAACACCAGAGTTGGTGGGCGTGTACAATTTTAGTACATTTTTCCGTGGTAGTAGTGCTAGAGCCAAGGTGGGCGACAGCAGGTTGTATACATGCGTTGACCTGCCTGTTGGTCAAGGCCGAGACAGACTGCTTCAGATCTTTCTCATGGGTTAATTGTAGACGGTAACGCGACTGCAGTAGTGAGCGCACTGGGAACTTCCTCTTGACAGGGTCAGGCTCTTCTGGGAGCTCGTCCAACTTTATAGGGTCCTCAAGGCATAGATATGGAAAGTTGACAAATGTGCAAGGCTTGTCGGGCACGTCTTGTAGCGGAAGTTTTCCATCATATCTGATGACGCCAGGTTGCAGATAGTAGCCTGCGACGAATGTTTTCTCCTGGTTGCTGAACATTCGACGCAAAAGCCCGTCAGTCAATCTGTCAATCCCATCTTCCAGTCCCGAGCAAGCGTATTTATCGACCACGGACTAGCCAGAATCAGCCAGAGCACAGAATTCTGAATGAGAATCTTACTTGGATCACGCCAAGGGTCGGAGATCGAAACCCCAAATGGCTGGAAATCAGTTATTTCCGTTAGCGTGTAGAGACTGCCTGAAGGAGAAGACATACACCCATTCGACTGTGCCATCGGCTATCGGATTGCCAGCGGCGGTTTTATGCTTTGCAGAGTTGAAATAGAACTGATGGCCGTCACCAGTTCCACGCTCTCCCCAGCTGTCCATAATGTGATAACGCTCAACGGCTCCATCGACAGGGTGATGTCCTGGAGTCGCGGGAACGTTCAACCCGTCACCTAGTCGCTCCCGACCTCGCTCAAGGTCCAGATCCCACTCGTTCACGAATTGACGAGCAGGGGCTATAAATCTTTCATAGATTTGCAAATCCGGGTTCGACAGGGCGGAGGAAACTGCATCAACCTGGCGACTTTTTCCAGCCTCGTTTTCGTGTTGGTTCGGGTCTGAAGGCCTCGTTGGAGATTTGTCGTATGGCAGGCCTGAATCTTTGTACTCGGAAGCGTGATAGCCCACTTTGTATGCTTGAGTATTAGTAGAGTCGCCCATCTCGATTTCCCTGAAGGAAAAGAAGGCGGACGAGGTAGAGTGAGAACCAGATCAGAAGGCAGCCTCACATTCTCAGAGAGCGGCAGCGCCACCGTCAAATAATCCATAAATCTGGCAGGGATCAATCTTGAGCTTGTCTGTGTTCCAGGGACAGGGCAACCTGTTGCCTGAACGGACATCTTGCCACCGGTGTTTGAACCAAATCAGGTCTGGCACGTCACATGCCTCTTCACCCAGTTGACCTCTCCAAGGTTCCTGAGCAAATCACCTCCAGATTGAGAGTTGGGGGCTGCAGACGCTAGCCAACCGTCAAATGCGAAGTCGAGGGTCAGCCTTCATTAGTTGAGACAAGTACTACTCGGCACATAGCCGAGAAGCTGGCTGGGCGACAAGTCCGGAAGTGCGAAGGGTCTGCAGGTTTCAAGCCAATGGAAAATTTCTGAACTCCCTAGTACGGAACATGGCGTTCATCAACTGCACCTCTCGATACGAGGAGCCTGTCTCTTGGGATGTCATTGCGGTAAGAAGGGTAGGCGGCGAAGAAGTCAGGCTCGAATCCCCCAGGCTCTGGGTATGCCCCTCCCTTAGGTTGAATTTCCCAATGTTGCTGCAGCGGACAGGAGTGGCGGACAGGAGCCTGACCAGGGCTGAACTTGGTTCAGCCTCAGCACAAATTTCACCAGGGGCAGGAGAGGCCAAGTCGAGACCCAAATGGCGCAGTCAGGAAAGGCAAGGAATACGTGGTCTTGGCGAGACAACCAGTCCAACATGCTGGTACTGGAGGTTGCGGTCAGGTGCTTGTGGCCTTCCAGCCGATCAAGACACAGCTTATATATCTGTCAGCGATGGGAAGATGTCGATGATAGAAAAGGCCCAGAGTTCCATAAAATCACGTGTCTAACCTTTTTTGGGCCGGCAGATAAAGCGGCGACGAAAGGTTTGCTATTTGGAGAGCGGCTGAACTCACAAACTTGAAGTTCGAGATAATTTTCGTCCCCGCATTGGTTGTGGCACTGCTTAGATTTTAGGAAGTCAACAATGCCTGGCTACCGACCTCGCAGAGGAGGCAAGCCATCTTCGAAGGGCCGTGTCGGCAAAAGAGGCCCTGTGGTTGAGAAGCAGAATGTCTTCCAGACTTCGCGATTAAAAGAAACAGAGTGAGTCGCTTGGTACAGCACATTCAGTTGGAGTCGGGGTCCGCTAATGCTGGTAGAGATGATGCTTCACAAGGTGACGCCAAAAACGAGGAAGACGCCTTGAGTGCCACTGAAGAGAGTGGGCTTGAGGAAGACGAACAACAATTTCAGAGCGCGAGCGAAGATGAAAGCCATGCGCCAGACTCCTATGCCCTTCTATTGCAATCGCTCACCTCAGGAAAAGAGAATTCTGAACCTCCAAGGAAGAAGAGAAGGCTCTTGCGCAGCGAATACAGTAATGGCCGTACACCGGGCCGCACAGCGGGCGAGGCTGTGACACATGGGGAACTGTCCCGAACCCAAAGCCCCGAGATGGAAGCCAATGAGCAACGTTTAGGACTTCAAGAGGAGGTGGAAACGGATGAAGAGTATTCAGGTGGCCCTGCGGGAGACATGGATTCTGAAGATGAGCCGAGCCTCCTGCGAGATCCGTTCGAGAGACATTATACGACGGTTTTGGAGCACGATCTGAAAGAGGCGATCACCCGGGTGGACCAGAAGCAATGGAACACTTCCTCCTCGACGTCAGATTCAGGCGTGCGCAGCACCATTCTCTCCACGGCGAAGGGGACTCCTGCCACGCTTAGCGATCTGAAATCCATCAAAGATGCTTTCCTAAAGCGCCGACTTGTCGATGGTGGAAGCAAAGCTGTCTCTAGTTTGTCTTTGGAGGAGAAAACCATCGCCGCACTCTCGTTCAACTATACCGACATCATATATGGCTGTCGGAGCATTCCAAACTCGGCTCATTTGCGCGATATATCGTGTTTGCATGCCCTCAACCACATTTTCAAGACAAGAGATCGGGTCCTCAGAAACAATGCGAAGTTGAGTTCAGCATCCAGCACGGAGGCTCTCGACCTTCGTGACCAAGGATTTACTCGACCCAAAGTCCTCATTATGGTACCCACGAAGCAGGCCTGTGTGCGCTTTGTCGAAAGCATCGTCAAACTCAGCGAACCTGACCAACAGGAAAACAAGGCCCGGTTTCTGGAAACGTATTCTTTGGAGGATGAGATTGAATGGCGAGACAGACCAGAAGACTTTCGGGCACTTTTCGGGGGCAATCACGAAGAAGACTTTCGGATCGGGTTGAAGTTCACCAGGAAGACCATCAAGTATTTCTCTGGGTTCTACAACTCGGACATCATCATCGGCTCCCCTCTTGGGCTGATGCGCACCATTACCACACAGAGCGGCGGAAAGGATAAGAAGAAATCCTATCACGACGCAGACTTCCTTTCTTCCATCGAGCTCGTTATCGTGGACCACGCAAACGCCTTACAGATGCAGAACTGGCAGCACGTGGACTTCGTCTTCTCCCAACTCAACCTTCTCCCCAAGGATTCCCATGGCTGTGACTTCTCCCGCGTCCGCCACTGGTATCTCGACGGGCAAGCCAAATACCTGCGCCAAACAATCATATTTTCCGACTATCTGACCCCTGAAATCAACGCCCTTGCCTCAACCCATCTGCACAACATCGCCGGGCGAGTGAAGCTCGTCCCGACATATCCTGGCGCGATGCTCTCTGTATCCTCCCTCGCCCTCCCCTTCACCTCGGGGAGCGTACCGCAGACCTTTCTGCGCATCCCCTCGCCCAACCCGTTGACGGACTCGGACGCGCGCTTCAAATTCTTCACCACCACGATCCTGGCGCCCCTGGTGCGTGACGCACGCCATCAAAGGGGCATCCTGCTCTTCGTCCCCGCCTACGCCGACTTCGCCCGCCTGCGCAACCACCTCTCGACATCCTCCGACGCGACGTCTCTCTCGTTCGGGAGTATCTCGGAATACACGCCCGTCAAGGAGGTGATGCGGGCGCGCTCGCACTTCCTCTCCGGCCGTCACGCAGTGCTCCTGTACTCGGAGAGAGCGCACCATCATTTCCGGTACAGGATCAAGGGCGTGCGGAAGATCCTGTGGTACGGCGTCCCCGAGAACCCCATCTTTTGGACCGAGATCATTGCATTGCTGGGGCTGGCGTCGACGGACAAGGACGGAGAGCATCAGCGCCACGCTGGCGGTAAGGGTGGAACGAAGGGAGTTATCAGGGCACTGTTCTCGAAGTGGGATGTCTTGAAGCTGGAGAGGATTGTTGGGACGGAGAGGGTGGGGAAACTGATCAATGATCAAGGGGGTGATACGTTTGATTTCGTCTAAATTCTATATGTAGTCTCTTCGAAGAGGGGGGGGGGCTTCTTTCCAGTTTTAAGACGTGATCAAATTGGTCTTCTCATGTCAAGCATGAGATATCAAGGCCCCCCAAAAAGACCACAATGTTCCATGCGTCTTTTTTTCTATTCCAAGGTCTGGTGCCAGTTACTGTCCTTCAACGCCCATTGAACAGCGCCTCTAACATCGTCCACAATGGCCGCGGGCTCCCACGTGGGCCGGCGGCCGTCTTGATCTTTATAGACGCCCGTCCTGGTTAACAGGCTGACCCAGTTGATGCCGTGGGCCGACTCATAGGTATTTGCGCCTCGAATGTCGCTCTCGGGGTTGTCCCCGACCATGTAGACTCTCTTCAACTTGGTCGGGTGATGTTTTCCAAACAAGGAATCGCGGTAGCGCATCAGCTGCTTCTCGGCGAACGAGTACGTGGTCTTGTAAGGTTTGCCGATGATGCGCTTGTACAATTTCGGGGCCTTGTGGTGGTCGGTGTTTTTGTTGTACGTGATGGCGCGCCACAGGCCCTCGAGGGCCTCGCGGAACCCGCCCTGACCCAGGCGCGACAGGTGGTAGTCGGCCGCCCACAGCAGGTCCGGGTTCGAGAAGTACAGCGTGGGTTGTCCGTCCTGGAGAAAGCCGCTGTTCGGGAGTGAAAGGTCGCCGTTCTTGGATGAAAAGGTCCCCATGATGCCCTCGCGCGACAGCATCACGTCGAGAATGACTTGCATGTCCAACCCCCAGTCGCGCGGGTCGTTGTAGACGAACACGGCTTCGATTTTGAGACTGTCCTCCGGGGACGTCGGGTTGATGGGCTTCGGTAGCGGACGAGCGAAGGAGGCATAGTAGTCGCGCTGAAAGGGTTTGCTGAAAGGCCAGATCTCCGGGTGCGCCGTGTATATGTCGCCAGGCGTGACGACGTTTGTGAAGCCGTACCTCTCAGCCACGTCCCTGCAGCGTCCGTACTCCCCTCCGACTACCATGATGCATTTGTGCCGCAGGCTATCCTCTCCATGTATCAGCTCGGCAAAGGGCGTGTGCGACTGCATAAAGTTGGCCGTGTCGAGCGGCACCGAAAGGGTCGCGGAGAGGTCTTTGACTCGTTCTGATTCATGCTTGCCGCCGCCGTTGGTCAGGAGCATGAAAGGAATGCGATTGCGCTGGAGGAATCGGAGCGTCGACGAGGCATGGGGAATTGGCTTGGAGCTCCGAACGAGGACGCCATCGATGCTATCGTAGAAATGGTCAGAATCTATGGGTCAAAACGGTGCGCGCTTCGTCAGCCGTACTCAAAAGCGAACGCAAAGTCCGGGGCCTGTTCTCTGCTGCTATCGCTTTGGAATGATCGTCTCGGCGGATTCAGAGATAGGCGGGACGATTTCTGCCAGCATCCTTGTGAGGAGGAGTGGATTGGGCGACTCAAGGACCTCGCAATGAGGCCCGAGCAATGCACCCGCATCCTCAACAATGGTCATCTCCAGAGCGTGGTCTGGTGGAGGGAAAAGGTCATTGAGGTGCGCAGGTTGAAGTGTGGGCCCAGCCACCTGCAGATAATGAATTACTGCCTATTGCGGTAAGCTCGAGCGAGGGCGGGAACACTGCTCGTTCCAAGTTCCAGGTCGTTGCCTCGTACTCGTACAGCGTTTGCGTACCTAGCGATTAGGTACCTATGTATGCATAATGACATGCGTGCCGACCCGTAAGACGCGTCGTAGCGACTAGGAGTACTGAACCGCTCGCCCTACCGCCAGGGCATTCACCGATTCAATCCCTTCCCAAGCACGATTCGACCCGGTGGTGCCGGTTCCTTCGACAAAGCTAGACGTTCCTACATGGAGATGACCTTGTCTCATCTGAGCTCATGCCTCACTTGGGTTGAGCCTGGCGCGGATCGTTGTTGCGCTCATGCTTATCTGCCGACTAATCTGTGCCACGCTGAGTGATGATAACCTGGGTAATAGTGGCAACCGCTACACCACAATCTTGATGGCGGACCATTGGTCTAGATAGGTAATCGTCAAAGGGTGCTTTAACTTGAGTTGGTAGAGGATCAAGAGAAGCATGACAACATCTCAGGGCTGCTTCCCGAAGGATTTACTTGCTGATACAAGCAAAGGCTGCGCAAACATCGCAGTTTGGGTCTGACACTACCTGGCATGGTTGGGACAATGCTCGGTGGACCATTGTGCGACCAGTTCATGCTCGTCGCCCTTCCGCCTGTCTCGCTGGCTCGGTCCTGCTGGTCTCATGGACAAGACGCGCAGACCAGCCTCCACTTGAGGAAGGCATGTGAAACCGCCTCTTCATCATAAGACGCGCGCCTCCTGCCTTCTTTCACTGTTTATTTTTAATCTTAATTTTCATTCTGCGGCGTCCATCTGAGAAATTACTGCCGCCTCATTACCTCGTCCAGCGGCAGAATGAAAAGATGGGCGTATTGGAATGAAGGGATTTTCTGCAGGGGGCTTCACTGCACACAGGCGGGAAATGGACGACCCTCCATTTCAAAAACCAGCCACAATTCCTGTCCTCGAGAGCCTGCTTGTTGGGGCGACAGGCACCCAGACAGATATCCAGTTGAGTTGCCTAGCGAGACCGAGGAGATAGATTCACTCAAGGGGGTCTGCGCAGAATCCTTAAGAGACCTTCCGAGGTAGAGCCATCTATCCATCAGTCATTGCAGCTGATTCAGGCTGCCTTGTTGTAGAAAGCGCAAATTTCTGCAGGTTGCAGATGCAACACAGTGGGATGATACGTCACAGGCAATGTGGAAAAGCTGAGATGTGGCAGAGACTGCCGGTCCACGTTGTTGTGTGGGTTGACAATGCGAAATGGAAACCCACAATTTACCCGAAACATGTCCACTGAGATAGGAAGTTCATGCAGGGGAAGCTATCCATGAGGCGCTATTCTTGTCGTGCAAGACCCAAAAGTGGTTGAGCATATTCGACTCACCACTAAGCCTCGTCCAAGTGGAACCACTATTATCCAAGACTCTTCTGTAGGTAATCGGATATACAGCCTTGCACAATTTCGCCCGTGCACGGGTAGCGGGAGGGCTGCTAACGGGTTACTGAAGTAGTCGATTGAGCTGACGATCAGCGGAGCCGCGTGTATCTGCCGATAAGCCCGTGTTTAGAGGCTCCATATACCTAACAGACCAGACCCCTTTTCAACGATAGATGGTGCAAGGAGAACGATTCATGCGTTCAATACTTGTACAAGCACGAGGCAATCGTAGATTCACATGTGTCACCGGGCTATCTCGAGAGGTGGCTGAGACTGAGACGCCGAGTACGAGAAACCTGCTGTGTAGGTGGCGTTCAGGTAGGCAGGATGGAACGTTAGGGCATGAGGTGATCATGGCGCAAAAGTGGCGCCAGCTGTCACAGCGTTTGCCATAACGGAAGCGAGAGGCACGGAGACGACAAGGGTGTGGATGGGGGGGGGATACGAGTAATAATAGAGGATGCCTGGCGAGTGGCGGGGCGCTGGGTGGGCACTTGGCACGGAAAAAGGCCAAGCCGGAAAAATATGATAGCGAGAGGGCAAAAAAGGAGGCCCGCTCGGCGACTATTCCCGACCGGGACAACGTGACGAGCGGGTCGCTGAGAGCCGCAGTTTCTTTCAACCTCCAACCAACATTTCCCGTCGGCCCAGTTTTCCAGTTTCCAGTGTGTCCCAAATTTTCTCCTCTCAATAGCCACTCCTCAGCTCCTATATGCAATGCCCATGCCCATACCCATGCCAATGCCAATGCCCAACATTCTACTAGGCCATCTCGGCGCCTTCTCTGTGCTGCCCTGAACCCTGCCGAGTGCACAGATATGGATAGATACATCAGCCTCACCCACGAACAGTTGCTTGTTGTCGTCCTGGGGCCGTCCAGGGGCACTGCTCGCATCACACGCAGCCGCACACCACACGCATGGACATAGAGACAGCAGGAAGGGCATTGCCCTCGCTAAATTCGCGAGTCGCTTATATCCCACCCAGGATCGGTCCTGCGGTAAGCTCGATCAAATTCACCATGGCCTCGACGTGGAAAGTAATATCTTCCTTGTGGGTACAATGATGACACACGCATAGTGAACAAAATCCCATTCACTCTGTATCCGCCTTTGCCGACGATATGACGAAGTCCCAACAGGGTGGTACAGGGGAGCCCCTGGCTCGATACATGTCTTATGCAACGTTAAAACTGCTCGCCAACCTGTACCGCTTAGGAACGATTGGACCACAGCCTCCCATACCAACAAGAGCAGTATAACCTGTGCCATACCCGCTTTCATCCCGGCTCACCACCAGGTATTCCCTGTCGGAAACATTCATGGGTTATCCTGCCGTCTACCCCTCTGTCTCCAGCCTTATGGATCACTTTGCCTTCCACGCGCTGAATTTTTAGCACTTATCGCTCAGTCAAGACAGTGCACGGCCACACTGCCCTTTTCAGTTGAAATCATTATCTGGCTGTCTCATAGAACCGTGACCTGGATTCACACTATGTTGTCGCCTGATAGCCATGTTCTCTTGATCGCCACGGCACGGATGCTTGACCGTTAGCTGGTTGGGCTTGGACTACCGTCTTGCTTTCGTAAATGCAAATCGCAACGAGAGAACCAGGTATGTGGAATCCTCAACGTGGGTCGTCGCATCCTGTTCCTGGATCCCTCAGGTTCCTGCCGACACAGAATCCTTGCAGCGTTGCCACAACCCATGCGACTCATGCATGGCTGGAAGCAAAACCTCCATGGACATGCTTACCGTGTCTCATATGTCTCTCCACCTGCTGGATTGTGTGACGAGGACTACGCTGGTCGTCTAGTGTTCTCGTGTTGAACCATTGCAGTCACTCTCTTCCGCGCAGAGGCTGAGCATGCGCTCAACCTTTCCATATCGGTCCCTCCTGTTGAAGATGGAGCACATGGTGTGTGGTAGGCTGACCTGCGTTGGTGAAATTCTCGATTCTTCTCTCTCGTCCTCTTCTTGATACGCCTTCTCTTTATACCCTCTTTCTATCTCTCCATGACCTAACGATCCCCAGTCCCTCGCTATTACTACGGGTGCCACGCTCGCTTTCACGGTTACCGTTGTCGTAACTGTAGTCCTTCGTTTGTTTCCCTGTCTGCAACATGTTTCTTAATACTCTCGCTTTCGCCACTTTTCTCTTTTTGTCGAGTTGCAGGGCACTCAGATATGATCCAGCTTTCCTTCAGTATAATCTCAACCAGAACCAAACAGCAGAGAATCCGCTCGACTACTGGGGAGAATGGATAGACCATCAGTACCACCCCTCGCCGTCGAACTGGCGGTTTCCCTTCTACACCCTGTTTCTCGACAGATTCGTCAATGGCGACCCGAGCAACGATAATATCAATGGGACAGCATATGAACATGACCTGAACTCCAACCAGATGCGCCATGGTGGTGATCTTCAGGGTCTTGTTGACACGCTTGACTACCTCCATGGGATGGGTGTCAAGGTACGGCCACTGTTCCCCAGCAATGGTATGGAGCTAACCAGTGCAGGCATTGTATATTGCCGGCTCTCCCTTCATAAACACTCCATGGGGTTATGACCAATACTCCCCCCTCGACCTCTCCGTCCTGGACCAGCATTTCGGTACTATTGACATGTGGCGAGCTGCGATAGAAGAAATCCACGCTCGTGGTATGTACGTCATCCTGGACAATACATTCGCTACTCTTGGGGATCTCATCGGATTTGACGGGTACCTCAATACAACGACACCTTTTACGCTCGCGGAGCATCAAGTGCAGTGGAAGTCAGACCGCCAGTACCATGACTTCCACTTCGGGAATAATTACAACAAGACATGCCAATATCCAAAGTTTTGGCTGGAGACGGGATTTCCGGTTGGTGAAGATGTGACAAGCCAAATGGTCGGCTGCTATGACAGCGAGTTTGACCAGTATGGCGATACGGAGGCCTTTGGTGTCTTCCCCGACTGGCGTCGTGAGCTGTCAAAATTCGCTTCCGTCCAAGATCGTTTACGTGAATGGCACGAACCTGTCCGCCAAAAGCTTGAGAACTTCTATTGTATGATGATTGCGCAGCTTGATATTGACGGATATCGATACGATAAGGCCACACAGTCCACGGTTGACGCCATGGGTTCTATGAATGATGCTATGCGCCGGTGTGCTCGACGATTCGGCAAAGAGAATTTCTTCACCCCTGGTGAGATTACTGGCGGAAACGTCTTCGGTTCGATCTTCTTGGGTCGTGGGAGACAGCCTGACATGATTCCCGAGAATTTGACCATGGCCGCCACAATGACCAACAACTCTGCAGACAAATATTTCCTGAGAGACCCCGAACACGGTGCCCTCGATGCTGCCGCCTTCCATTACACAGTCTATCGCACCCTGACACGTTTCCTGGGCATGGACGGTAACCTGGAGGCTGGTTATGATGCTCCTCGCAACTTTGTGGACATGTGGAATACCTTTTTGCTCACGAATGACTTCGTCAACCCTAACACTGGGAAGGTTGACCCCCGGCACATGTATGGAGTCACAAATCAAGATGTCTTTCGGTGGCCAGCCATCACCAACGGTATCCATCGCCAGTTGTTGGGTCACTTCATTACCACAATCCATATGCCCGGCGCCCCACTCCTGCTATGGGGCGAGGAGCAGGCATTCTATATACTGGATAACACGGCGTCAAACTACATCTTCGGTCGACAAGCTATGTCTTCAGCGACTGCCTGGCAAACTCATGGTTGCTATTATCTCGATTCCACACAATTCTTCCACATGCCGCTGAATGCATCGCGTCATGGCTGTCAGGACGATACAGCTAGCTATGACCACAGGGACCCGTCACATCCTGTACGCAACATTATTCATCATATGAACCAACTGCGAGAACAATTTCCGGTCCTGCAGGATGGGTTTTTCTTGCAACAATTGTCGAACCAGACCCAACAGATCCAGTACCCTGGTTCGGGTAACGTGACAACAGAGACCGGCATGTGGTCAGTCATGCGTTCTCCGTTCCCCGGCATACAAAATCTTGGTGATACGGGCGCAGGCAACCTTCCTGTCTGGCTACTCTACTCGAATGCGAATGCATCGACCGCGTATACATTCGATTGCAACAACAATGATACGGATCTGAATACTACCAGTTTAATCGCTCCATACGATGCCGGCACGACCGTTAAGAATCTGTTCTATCCTTACGACGAGCAGACTCTCATGAACAGTGTCCATCGCTTGGGAATTAACGGATCTACAAACCCGAATGGTTGTTTGAGCAGCCTGCGTATGGCCGCTTACGACTTTAGAGCCTATGTTCCGTTAGATCAATGGGTAGGCCCGAAACCGATGATTACCAAGTTTGCCCCTGGCCACGATGCGCGTATCGAATCTACAGTTGGCGCGAACGGCACGGAGTCAGTCAACATCGAGCTTCAATTCTCGTTGGAAATGGACTGCGATAGCGTTACAAACGGCATTGCGTTCAATTCCACTACCGAACTCGGAACGACTCCCACCATCGACCAAGGCAGTGTGCAATGCACTAATCTTGCAGAACCTCAAGCTCCTCCTTATGTGGGCGCGATAGCATCGACCTGGTCCTGGTCTGCCACGCTAAACAATGTGGCTCACGGGATACACGCAATCTCTGTCCGCAATGTATCATCTCAGGCGGGAGAGCCTACGAACGCTGTTGATCGTTTCCTCTTCCGTATCGGGCAGAGGGACAATCCGATTGTATTCACCAGGACCGCGAACTACTCGTCCAGCCTTGTCAATAAGAGTAAGAACGGCTCCCTGGTCATTGCCCACGCAGCGGCTGGCGCAGACAAATGGCGATACTCTACAAACTGGGGATCGTCTTTCTCGGGTTGGATGCCTTATGTGGGCGGAGAATCCCAGATTGAAGAGCAGGCTTGGACGGGAACCAAACTGCAGTCCTGGAAAGGTACGCACGTCCGTGTGGAGTATTTCAGTCGCTTGGCCGGCAGTAGCGACCACATCCAGGAGGGCGATGTCGGCTTCAGTACTCCCCGGAGGTTTCCTCATCTTTTCTTGAATGGGCCGTACAACCAGTACGGATACGATGCTGGTCTCGACAACGAAATGAAGCTCGAAGGCAATTCAACATGGTCCCATCATTTCATGACTGAATGGAGTCTGTCGGGTGCGCTTGCCCAAATCAATGTCTGGGGTCTCAATCCAGATGGCAAACCCGATCAAACAATTGTGATGGGTGATGCCGATGGAGACTCAGTTCTCGACCGTCTTCCTCCCTCGTCGCTCGCCGCAGTCGTCCTGAACATTACTCAGCCACCTCCAAAGCCACATCTCGGATGGAGAATTGTCATAGATGATGGCAGTCTGCATTTCGAACTGTTACCGTCCGGAAATATGTGGACTCAACTTATCCTCTACGTGCTCCTATGGACCGTCCCAGTCATCACAGCAGCCTTTGGCGTGTGGTCATTTATGCAATCCTTTTACCAAATCAAGTTTAACGAGATTGGCATATCAGAGAAGACTGGATTGATCCCAGCGGTTTTCAAGAAACAGTTCAAAAAGCTAGTCGACGAGGAATCATCCCCAGGCATCCTGACGAAATTCTCCCGCAAACCAAAGTTTCTGCAGCCATCGGACAACGTTATCGACCAGCAGAAAAGACGCACGGTTCTGATCGCAACAATGGAGTATGACATTGAAGACTGGGCTATCAAGATCAAGATCGGAGGTCTCGGTGTCATGGCACAGCTGATGGGAAAGAACCTTGGTCACCAAGATCTGATCTGGGTTGTGCCCTGTGTTGGAGGCGTCGACTATCCGGAGGACCAAAAAGCGGATCCGATGACGGTCACAGTCCTTGGCAAGCCATATGAAGTCCAAGTCCAGTATCACGTTCTACGCAATATCACTTACGTGCTGCTCGATGCGCCTGTCTTTAGGCAGCAAACCAAGGCAGAGCCTTATCCACCTCGCATGGATGACCTTTCTTCAGCCATTTACTATTCGGCGTGGAATCAATGCATTGCCCACGCCCTCAATCGCTTTCCCGTGGATCTGTATCACATCAACGACTACCATGGCTCGGTTGCTCCACTCTATCTGCTCCCGAGAACAATTCCCGCTTGTCTGTCTCTGCACAATGCCGAATTCCAGGGACTATGGCCGATGCGAACAAAGCAGGAACGGGACGAGGTGTGCTCTGTCTTCAATTTGTCACCTGAACTTGTACAGCGGTACGTCCAGTTTGGCGAAGTATTCAACCTTCTCCACGCCGGAGCCTCGTATTTGAGAGTCCACCAACAAGGATTTGGAGCAGTGGGTGTGTCCAAGAAATATGGAAAGCGGTCATATGCCCGATACCCCATCTTCTGGGGTCTTAAGAAGGTCGGCAAGCTGCCCAATCCCGACCCGTCTGATACTGGCGAGTGGGATAAAAAACTTCCCAACGAAGCCGATATCCAGGTCGACCCAGAGTTTGAGGCCGCGCGGCCTGAATTGAAGCGTCAAGCTCAGGAATGGGCTGGCCTCGACCAAAATCCAAACGCCGAGTTGTTTGTTTTTGTCGGACGCTGGTCTATGCAAAAAGGTGTGGACTTAATTGCAGACGTCTTCCCGTCGATCCTGGAGTCAAATCCAAACGTACAGCTCATCACCATCGGACCTGTCATCGATCTGTACGGGAAATTCGCTGCACTCAAATTAGATCGAATGATGCAGCTCTATCCTGGCAGAGTCTTTTCCAAGCCAGTCTTTACAGCTCTGCCTCCATTCATCTTCTCCGGGGCTGAGTTTGCGCTTATTCCTTCGAGAGACGAACCCTTTGGGCTCGTCGCCGTCGAATTCGGTCGCAAAGGTGCCTTGGGAGTAGGAGCCAGAGTTGGAGGACTAGGTCAAATGCCGGGTTGGTGGTATACTGTTGAGTCTACTACCACTGCACATCTGCTGCATCAGTTCAAGCAGGCCATCCACGAAGCCCTCAGCTCGAAAACGGAGATTCGGGCCTTGATGAGGGCTCGATCGGCCAAGCAGAGATTTCCAGTGGCACAATGGGTCGAGGACCTCGAAATTCTGCAGTCTACGGCTATCCGTATCCACGACAAGGTCGAAGCCACCGGGCGTCATACTTCTGCAGGGTATCTTCTGGGATCGTCTGTCTGGAACACTCCTGGTGGATCGGGTGCAGTCACACCAGCTGGTTTCCACACTCCAACGTTTGGCCATTCGCGGTTGACAAGCTCCGCAGCCTTGCATTCCCTCACCACTCGTCTCAGGAACCTGGGTCACAGTCGGGAACCAAGCCAGGATATCCCAGCTGACCGTCCCACCTCTAGCCATTCCCGGGCGGCTTCTGGCCTGTCGCGTTCAGCATCCCTTGGGTCGCGCAGAGGTCCTGGTCATGTCGAGGCCCAAGATGAACACGACGGAGAAGATTCACACATGCCCGCAGTCCTTCCACCGGTGCCTGATGTTGAAGGAGACGACACTGGACTGGGAATGTCTGCCATGCAGAACCCGAACGAGAATCTGGACGAAGACGACGAAGACATGGATAGTGATTTCGAGGATGATGATGGAGAAGGTATTACGATACCTGCTCAGACACCCGGGCGGTATCAGCGGCTGGCTGTGAATGACGATTCCCCTTACTCCGCACAATCGAATCATACCCGCCGATCAAGCAGAACAGTGGGACTGGAACTCACTCCCTTACCAAACAGTCCAAGTCACACTGCTCATTCGCCTGAGCAAGGCACGCCTAGACCAGAATCAGGGCTCCTCATTCCACCACCCGCTTTCACTGACAACAACCGCGTCTCGAGTACCAACTCGCTGCTCTCCATGAACAGTATAGTTGGGGAAAAGACCGACTTCCAACTGCAGAAGGTTGACCCATTCTTCACGGATAGCAATGGCGAGTTTGCCAAAGCTTTTGAGAAGAGACTCGAAGATCTTAAAGGGAGCAACTCGGAGTCTACGGCGTGCATTGAAGAGTTCCTGATCAAGTCAGAGAAGCAATGGTTTGACACTTTCCGCAATGTCAAACTTGGAAGGCATACAGCTGCTCCCTCTGGTCGCACGAGCTTCCACACCAACCGCGACTCTCGTCCAACTTCAGCTGCCCCTTCTATCTATGGGGGCAACACCGACCCCGACTCTCAGCCCGATCCAAACAACCTAGCCGAAGAGTTTTTGCTAGGAAAGGACTACAAACCGCCAACTGGCCTGAGGAAATGGATGCAATTGCGAATTGGAGATTGGCCGGTATATGCCTTTTTCATGGGCTTTGGACAAATCATTGCGGCCAACTCCTACCAGATCACTCTCTTGACCGGAGAGGTTGGTCAAACAGCATCAAAGCTCTACGCAGTTGCCTCGATCTATCTCGCCACGTCGATTTGCTGGTGGCTCCTTTTCAGGCGGTTCCAGTCCAGACTTTGCCTGTCCTTGCCATTCTTCTTCTACGGGCTGGCATTCATTCTGATCGGAACTGCCCATTATGGCTCTACCATCAGCGGCCGGGGATGGATTCAGAACGTGGGAACTGGCATGTACGCGGTGGCTTCGTCATCAGGCTCCATCTTCTTTGCTCTCAACTTTGGCGACGAAGGCGGCGCCCAGGTCAAAGCTTGGGTGTTCCGAGCCTGCGTGATCCAAGGTACCCAGCAAATCTATGTCGTGGCCTTGTGGTACTGGGGTGCACATCTCAATCAACGCATGGTCGACGCCCTCGTCACCACCCCCGACCCCATTTCCTCGACCTGGAAAATCACCGCCATCACCCTTCCGATCGCCATTCTCCTCTGGTGCATTGGGCTGCTGATGTGGTTCGGTCTACCCAACTACTACCGACAAGCTCCTGGTAAAATGCCGAGCTTCTACAGGAGCTTGCTGCGCCGCAAAATTGTCCTCTGGTTCTTCGTGACCGTCCTCATCCAGAATTTCTTCTTGTCAGCGCCCTATGGCCGCAATTGGTCATTCCTCTGGAGTAGCTCGCACGCCAAGACGTGGCAGGTCCTACTGCTTGTCGCCCTGTTCTTCATCGGTGTCTGGGCGGGTCTTTTGTGGCTGTTTGGTGTGCTTTCCAAGTCGCACAGCTGGATCCTGCCGCTGTTTGCCATCGGTCTTGGAGCACCCCGCTGGGCCCAGATCTGGTGGGGCACCAGCAACATTGGTCTTTATCTTCCCTGGGCGGGCGGCTACACAGCTTCGGCTCTCGCTTCCCGCGCGCTGTGGCTGTGGCTCGGGACCCTCGACGCCATCCAAGGCGTGGGATTGGGTATGATTCTCCTCGCCACACTGACGCGGGTGCACGTCGCATTCACTCTCGTGACGGCACAAGTTCTTGGTTCGGTTGCTACAATCGTAGCCAGGGCTGTGGCCCCTAACAAGATCGGGCCAGGGCCTATCAGCCCGGACGTCAGTGGAGGAGTGGGTTCGATCTGGCAAGCCTGGTTTTGGATCGGACTGGTTGCCAATCTGGCCATCTGTGTCGGGTATTTCAAGGTAAGCGATGACCCTTTTTTTGTTTGTCCCAGTCATTTGAAAGAAATGAACTCTGTTTTCTATATATCAGCCAGCTAACTCTTCTGTCTTCTTCCACAGTTCTACCGCAAGGAGCAATTGAGCAAGCCATAAGCCGGGAGAGCCCATGCTTGGGATCCGGCCATGAATCTGTTCGATCTTAACGAGTCTGATGAAAACAAATACGGATAGATGGGATGGATGGTTAGATGGATACTCGTGATATCCACCCTGTTAATTCTACGGCAAACGACTATGGGCAATGCGGGTATTCAAGTACGGTTGGACGGAAGGGTCAGTTGCTTCGAGTTTCGAGGAATCGGTCATCAAAAAGGGCGCATGGGTTGTTAATCGTCATTATATATTGGGAAGGGGATACTTTGGAATTAAGGGGAATGCATCCTCGCCACCTCAGGTCACGTGGGTGGTATTTGGACCCCCTATGGAAAGGCTAATACATTGTAGGTAAACCCAGAGAGGTATGTACAAATAAGGACGAGACGACCTTAGTGGATTCTATACTACATATATATGTACCGTTATTCTTTCTTTCCCCCAACTGGTGAAATATCTGCGGTCAACAAGGGTACTTGGTGAGCTTGGGATTCCAGTGGCCTCGACTACGGGAACTGGAAATGCATAGCGCTGCGAGAAGGATGAGATACCTTCACACTTACTCTCCCACTCTATCGACCATTACGGCGTACACGGTACACACTACATAGTTCGAAGGAGAGTGGTATCCGCACCCGTCTTATCCGCCAGGGCAATGTCATATTACACGACCGAACGTGATTGTCGAGGCAGCTGAAACTGCTCCGGGGCTGTAACCCGAGTGACTTGGAGGAACAGCATGGAGGCGTATCCGGATCAGTTGATTCTCTGATTTATTGGTGCATTGGTATTGGTCGTAACAGTGTATTGCTATGAGAGCGGGTCCGCAGCGATTGGATACTTAGAGGATTGCTGAATTGATAATTATGAACACTGCGAGAGCGCGTACGGTGGCCTCTTCCTTTATGTAGACTGCTTAGTACGAGGAAACGGGCAGGCCCGAGGCTGGTGGAGAATTGTTGAATGGGGGTTTAAAATAACTCGGTGTCCTGGGACACTGCACTGCAATTTTAGTCTCTACGAATGCCTGGAAGGTGCGGGGAAAGGGCTTTCGGATGCGGAAAATGTACATGGTATGTGATTCCATACTGCACTGCAACTTTAGTCTCTACAAGAGCCTGAAAAAGCGCGGGAAGAGCTGTTGCTTGTGGCAGTGCATTGCATTTTGGGGCGATTGCTGCCTGGGGTTGCTCTTGATTCAAGAGCGAGCTGGAGGGATGGCAAAGGTCCCCGTTCCGTTGTTGAACAATATACTCTCCCTCCAATTGATGTCAGCCTCCGACTGCACTCATGACCCTATCTCTTGTCAAGGCGATATATCCATTTGTGAAAGGACTCCGATAATGTGGGGGCTCCCTGGCCTGTGTTTCTACTCGCCAAGTTTTGTACGAGCAAGAAGGAAGAGGTTAGTTCGTAATAATACATAGCTTCGTTCAAGACCTGAAAAGGCTATCACTACCGTCCAGAGGATCCAACGCTTTGACCAAGATCTCCAATCAACAGTTGAGAATCAGCTTATTAGATATACGATCGATTTTGTAGATATTCCTGTGGAATCTACTTTTTGACTGAACTCTATCGCAAATGATGGCCCTTGTGTCGTGGCGGCTCTTCTCGAGCTAAGAATAAATCAGACTACACTGTTGGTCAGTATTTTTGATAGTTTTACTAGTCGCTGTTAAAACCCCTTTTCAGAGGGGCTAAATCCGCTCCTCAGAAAGTATTTACACTAAAAGCTATTATTTCACCTTTCTCCTTCGACAGCATGCTCTTCTGGATCTACTACATCACGCTTTGAAATGCGGATATATTCGGCTCTTACTTTCATCTTTGCTGCTGTGGCCTCTCTTCTCTCCATCCTTTGTCTCTTGGCGGGCGACAAGTGGTGCGAATAACTACAGCACCCTAGCAAAAATATCCGTCCACCCCCACCCCACCAGATGTTTTTGCCCCTACCACCCCTACACAAAGTAGCCACAACACACTCAATTTACATGATAATTTACTATAAACTGTAGGATCTCTAGCTAAATAGCCATAAAATAGGTCTGTGCAAAAAAAACCATTAATATCGAGTGTACCAGCCCTCTGCAGCGATAATCGCGTTGATCCTGTTATCCATTGACTTAACCACCGCCTTGATCTTTCCAGGGCTAATACTGGCCCAGGCCCTGGTAATGGCGCTTACAAATCGCTGCCTGAGGGCTTCGCTATCTCCAGTAGTGTCCTTGAGGCCAGGATCGATCTCGTTGACTAGGCGCTTGAGCTCAAACCAGAGGCTTTCGATAGGGTTCAAATCTGGCGAAAACGGCGGCCAATCCAGCACTGTTATTCCATTGTCTTCAAAC